AGCTTGAGTTTGGTTGTTGATCGTGTTGGTAGACATGTTGGTAAAGGCAGTGAGACTCTTAATTGTCAGATTTGATAGTATCTGAAGATGTCACGGTGACAGAAAGATTGATTGAAGATGGGTTGACTGATTGTATTCAGGTGTGTGCCTGTGTGGGTGAGGCTGGGGCCTGACACCGGTTTTGATGTTCCTTCTCTGGGCACCAAGGCTGTGCAGGGCACTAGCCACTGCAAAATCACTAGCCACATGTCCTCAGACAGTACCGGTACAGACAGTTTCTCCCAGTCCTCCTCTTCAGTCCCAGATGGGATGTCCATAAACTGGCTTACCATCTGACAACTAGCCACTGCAAAATCACTAGCCACATGTCCTCAGACAGTACCGGTACAGACAGTTTCTTCCAGTCCTCCTCTTCAGTCCCAGATGGGATGTCCATAAACTAGCTTACCATCTGACAGTAATGTTAGCAACTCTAATAGTCTAATCTGCTGCACTTGTAATTCATTAGACGAGCTGCCGCTGCTGTCGAAATAAGCTATTATTAGAGCTCGCGCTCCTACTCCGTCCTCCTTGACAAGCCTACTTGGATAGTCGCAATCCTTAGCATCTATTGCGCTATTCTTTACCCTAGGAATCTAGCATAGCTTCTAGCTTTTGCATACTGAGAAGTACATAGGAACGTGCCACTACCCCAAGGTATCCTACCTATTCATCATCCATAACCCTCGAGCGCAATGGCCTCAATAATCCATCTCGTCCGCCACGCCGAATCCGAACACAACGTCTCCAAGGACTTCTCCCAACCCGACCCACCCCTAACCCCCCTCGGCCACGCCCAAGCCAGCCAACTCATCACCTCCTTCCCCCACCCCGAGCGCATCGCACTGATCCTCACTTCCCCGCTCCGCCGCGCCATCCAGACCTCTCTTGCAGCCTTCCCTCACGTGCTCGACAAGCGCTACTACACCGAGTCTTCCGGTCTCGGCGTCGAAAACGGCGTCGAGCTCGTTCTGGATGCCGACTTGCAGGAACGCAGCGCGTTGCCTTGCGATACCGGTTCGGAGAGCCATGTGTTGAAGGAAGAGTTCTTGAACTTGGATTTGCAAGGTTTGAGGGAGGGGTGGCGGGTGAAGGCAGGGCTGTATGCGGCTGATGATGACGCGGTTGGACTGAGGGCGGGGAGGGTAAGGAAGAAATTGGGGGAACTGAGTGAGGGCTTGCGGGGGGAGGAGAGGAGGGATGTTGTTGTTGTTACGCATGGTGTGTTTATGAAGTTTTTGTCGGGTGATGGCGATATAGACCTACCCAAAGCTGGATGGAGGTCTTACACGATCGGTAAGGATGGGGGAGATGGGACGGTACTTGCACCGGTTAAGGAAAGTGAGGATCACAGTCATTGAGACAGATGTACTTCTGGACTCTTAGCAACTGGTTTGATTTCCCTAGGTTTATAGGAATACATTTTTTTGATCTTCTAAAGTTTATTCGCTCTTCTTTATTTGTATACTCGCCAAGAAGTTAAATTGTCCTTCGGCGCAAGCGAAGGTCTTTTGGCCTAAAGCGGTGGAATAGGACTGTGTGGTACTACTTAGACTATTCACCCGCTTCGGGCGCCGCTAGAGTTACGCCACATGCTAGTGCTAATGTAACAAAGCCTCTCGTACGGACTGCTGTACGGTACTGATGCCGTGGAAAGGTTGCGTATCGCTTCCAGTAACAGAGGATGACATGCCGCTCCAGATAGCTGTGAAGGTCTAACGGGTATAGAAGCACCGCTTATAGATCGTGTTGATTCTCGGAATAAGCGTTAGGGCTCTGTGCGCGGGATCTGCTCAAGTCAGTGAAGAGTAGAGTTTTCCAAAACCAATATCATGTATTGAGACCAAGTGTACAATGGGGGTATGCTAGAGAACCACTTGATTAACATCATCGCTCTATAACAATCAGTTTGCTCCTCCTTCCTCGACCCCGCAGACAAGCCGCAGCAATCAATAAAAAAAAGACACATTCGCACAGATCCGCAGACCCATACAGCCTACACCTAATCAGTAGATGCCAGCCCGCAGCCTCAACTGCCCAGCAGCCGGTTAGCAAGCTAAGTCAGCCGCGAAGGATATCCTCCTTGTAGAGATGCAAATCTAAAGGACGAGGAATTATGACATCGAAAGCAGATGTATGTGCTAGATGCTTGTCCCCCATCCCCCGCTCACCAAGGACCCCGGGACCGGCATGAAGGTCCAAGGATCTGTTCGACTTACTCGAATCTCGGTGTACCCGCACGAGCGTGGGCTCCTGAGATGAGATAATCGTATCTGTTGGCTGCGACGCGCGGCGCTACTAGGTGTGCCTGACCCCACCGAGGTGGGTTGGAGAGGCTTCGCGACCGCTGTCTTGTTGCGTTGGGGTTGAAGTTATTGAAGAAGTGTGTCGAAGTTGTGGTGGAGAGAAGTGAGGTGGAGGCGAGTGGGCGGTTTAAGTATTGACGCGCCTGTGTGGTGAACGCGTGGCAAACGCGTGAGTGAGGGCCAAAACAAAAGCGGGACGCGTTTGTGAATCATCGGTAATAGGACGGGAAAAGAGCGTGAGCGCGGTGAAAGGCGGATGCAAACGGGCGGAGCGGGGTTGTGTGGTAGAGAGGGGTGGTGAATGGGAGGGTGAATCAGGGTGAATCAGGGTGAATCAGGGTGAATCAGGGTGAATCAGGGTGAATCAGGGTGAATCAGGGTGAATCAGGGTGGACAATGGTGTGAGCGGAGATACTGGGGGAATTAAGAGATGTTTCTCCCAATAGCGATGAGTGAGCAAGTTGGTGATGGTGAAGCCCTTCGGCCTAAGTGACAATGCACGGAGATCCTAGAGAGAAGCAGGATACGTGAATGTGAATAGAGGGTGAATGAGATTGAACCATTTATCGTCCAAGATACTCTTGCGTAGATAGCATGAGTTGACGGCAAGGTGAAGGCGATATACCTTTGCGCAGGATTTCTGAGGCAGTTCGTGCTTGTGCCGTCCCATCATCAAGAAAGGAACTCGGACACGCACCTAGCTGTAGTTTTTGGAGCCCACGGGCCGTAGCTGTACTCCCCTGAACAAAGGTCGTCCAACAGCTTGTGTATTATATCTCTCCAGCATCAGCCCGCCATAAGTGCAAAATCGGGCATAGATAAGAGTATAAACGACGTCTTATAATCTCGGCGCGGTTTGAATTTCAAAAAGTTGTCATGACGGACTACTTCCCCACACATGATTCTCACACAGCACTATCTCTCTTCTAAACCAGCCCGCGCCGAAAGCGCAAACTTGGCGATAGATCAGAGTAAAAACGACCCCTTATGGCCTCACCGCGCTTGGAATTTCAAAAAGTTAGTCATGTCATCATGCTCATAGTGTCACGACAGCCTGCTTTCTCCCACCACACACGATTCTCACACGGTACGATCTCTCCAGCACCAGCCAGCCGAACCGCAAAAATTGGGGACATATTGGACTAAAAGAAACCGCTGAGAGTCTACACGCGGCCAGAAGTCCGAAAGACACCCTACTGGTTGCCTGATCGCGGCGGAATCCCATCCCCCAAACACTCCACTCCCACCACGTTTCTTCTCAAGTACCAACCCGCCGAAATCACAGCAAGCTCGACGGGAAAATAAGAGAAATAAGCCTTGATTTATTTCGTTCTGCGGAAATCAAGTATCCGAGAAACGCTTGCAGCGTGGACGCGAAGCCCGCACCTCTGCGTCCGCACAGGGCCCATAGGAGATTAGGGATAGGCAAGACGATGTGTTTCTCGAAAACCAGGGACGCGAACGACGTACCCAATAATCTGACCAAGAGATAGCCCTCCAATAAAAAATGCCATGAAGATACAGCCCCCAAAATCCGTCGTCGTCTACATGTTCCGCACACCCCGACAGCATCAACTGCGCCTGGGACCTCCCACTAGCACGGCCGTAGGCTCAAAAACCAAACCCGCCAGGTTATCATTTCTTAGGGAGAAAGAGCGTGTCAACGGCACATAATCAATCCCATGGAGTTACAGCTCAACAAACGCGTAGCTGCGAGGTTGTGGAGCCGTGGGAGTAGAGGCCGGAATGGGAAGACGCCTGCCTTGTTCATGTAGATACAACGGCAGGATTCTGATCTCGAGGTCCAGCCTACCCACTGTAAAGTCTTATCATTAGAATAGACATTCTAAACGACCCAGATGTCCTCACGAAACACGTGCATAACATTCCCAACCCCGAGGGTCAATGACCCTCCACCACAACCCACCCCCAACTCCACAGAACCACCGCATTCTATTTTTACCTCCCCCTCCCCATCCTTTCATCCATTATCCCCCCTTTATCATCGCACCTTCTTTATCCCATCTCTTCCATTCTCCCATTGTCCCCATCCGCGAATGAATCCCCCTTGTCCCACCCCAGGGAACAAAGAACCCCCCACAAAACACCTAACAACACACCTCACAAAACACCTCACACGCCTCGAAACAATCGAACAATCGAAGCGTGCAATGTATATCTCAGCCTTGTTTCTCGAAGGATTTCGATGGCATGATACGATACCCTTACACTTTCTCTCATTTTTGATTTTTCTACCTTTTATTTTATTGACCACCCGCGGTATTTGTGATTTTACGGGAATATAGGAGATAAGAGGACTACTTGAGCGCAATGGCGAAGCGAAAACATGGAACGTCTGAATATAGCGGTTCTGATGGTGAGGATGATGGGCGGCGGCCTGCTAAGGAACCTCGTCTGGACCAGGAGGTCGTAGAGGAAGAGGAAGAGCAGGCGACGAATGCGGAGAAGGCGAATACCGCGAAGGGGCACACGAATGGAGAGACCCCTCAACCAGCTCCGGGCAACACGGAAGATGCGAATACCGCAAACGGGCCCGCGAATGGAGATACAGCGTCCCTAGTTTCGAACGAGAAAGCGGCGGGAAAGGGCAACGTAAAGAGAACTGGGACCGCAAAAAATCCTATTGTACTGATTGGATATCCCGATTCCTCCGACGAGGAGAACGAAGGAGTCGAAGCCGCGGACACAAACAAGACTGGTCCGTCGATCACTTCTCCCCATCCACCTCCTTCCCAAGCGCAACAGAACGCAGAAGACTCTGATCTCAATCCCAGTCCCAATCCCACTCCCCCTCCCCCTCCCCAACCAACCCCCCAAATCCGCAACATCCGCTGGTACCCAACCACGCGCCTCGAATGGCTCTCCAGCTACCTCATCCAAGCCGACGTCCCCGGCCCACTCCTCATGTCCGAATTCGCCGACACCGCAAACACGTCCTCTCCTACCGCCGCCTTCTGGACCGACGCGCACTACAACTGGGCGCTGGAGCTGCTGCGCCGCAAATACGCATCCCACAAGGACATCTTGATCGCAGCGACCTGGGTGTCGACGTCGCTTCATGTCATCTTCAGGCAGACGGCGAATCCATCGCTTGTGTGGCAGGAGGACTTGACGGATCAGGGCAAGCCGGCGGTGAGGCGCGTGGTACCTGCCACGGCGGCGGAGGAGTACTCGGAGGTGTTTGCGCAGCTGAAGGACAAGGAGATTGTCGTTTTACCTGTCAACGATGACATGGGGACGGGAGAGGTGAGTAGCGAAGGGCCGGGTAACGGCTTGCACTGGTCGTTCATTGTCATCAATCGAAGGAGGAATTCGGCACATTATGTTGATCCCATGGTCATGGTTAAGGGGCCTCGGGATAGGATTGTCGACATCGAATGGAATGCTGTGACGGCTGGCGAGATCTTGTGCGGATATGATGAGATCATGTCGATTGAGCCCAGGGGTAACTTCGACGCCACGACACTCAGATACGTTCCCCATATGGCGAATGATAACCACCGTGACGGTGACGCACGAAATCCACGAAATCTAGATCCCGGCCCCTGCGGCCCTTACATTTACGCGATTCTGGATTATATTCTTCAGCGCAGAGAGTTGATTGACAATGGGCTGGAGGTGTCCTTCTCAAAGGAGAACAAACCCAAGCGTAAGCTGGAACTCGGATACGACTCCATTAAAGCCAGGAAGAGGATCAAGCTTGCACTCTGGCAAGAACGTCTCGATCTGGAACGGCAACGGAATGAGACGGAAGATGAAGGCCAGAAACTGTGTCCATTGAACCTCACGCTTGAGGTGTTGGCTGACAGTACCCCTGAACTTGTCAATGCCATGGTGGGCCAAATGAGGGTGAACCTTCCCACACCAGCGCCCCCGCCCACGAGTAAAAAAGGAGGTGGAGGTGGAAGAGGAGGTGGAGGTGGAGGAGGAGGAGGAGGAGACGACGGGGGAGACGACAACCCACAGCCACCCGACGAGGAAGACGATGGTGGAAATGCGGTCCAGCCAGACACTGACGCGATAAACGACGACGACATTGCGCAGGAAATTCTGGAGCATGGTTTCTCAGACAATGAAGATCCCATCGACGAAGACCTGGACGAGGTCGGTAACGAGGAGTTTGACGATGACGGGAATCCTGTCGATGAAGGAGCCGCAAGCGAACATCCAAACGCAGACGGCGATGGCGACGGAGAGCAAGGCGAACAGGAGAATCCAGACGACGAAGGATCCATGCATGAAGGTCCTGACATGGACGATGAGGAGCAGAACGAACAGGAGAATCCAGACGATGAAGAACCCGCGCATGAAGGTCCCGACGTAGATGAGGGCGAAGACGATGACAACAACAATGATGATGATGACGACGACGACGATGAGTCCGAGCATGGCAAAAAGCCCCGTAAACGGAAAGGCAAACTCACCGAAGAGGAGGAACGAGCCCTCCAGCAACAATTGGCGGCCAAATATCCGGTCCCAAACATAGACGAGAACGTCAAATGGGAGGATTTCAATAAGAAGAAGCCACCCCAAAAAGACATCAAAAAGATGTCGGTAGACCATGTACAACGGTGGGCCAGTGCAGTGGCCCGAGTAAGAGAACAGGAAAACGACATCTCTGAAGAGGACCAAAAGAGCAAGCGTTGGGCTAGAGCCTGTAAAAGGGTTGGGGAGGGAAAGGCAGAGTTCCTCTTCCGAGATAAATATTATAATATGACGGACAAAGAGCTGGAAGAAAGGGATGCCAAAGACAAGGAGAGGAAGGAGAGGAAGAAGGCCCTGGCCCAGGCAACCCAGAGCAACACAAAACCAAAGACCAAACCCAGTAAAACGACAACCAAAAGGACAGCCAAACCCAAAACTACAACCACGCAGCCCGCAGCCCAACCCAAGAAGAAACAAGATGCAAAAGCCACGCCGGCCCAACCTCAAACGCGACCAACCCGCTCCAAGACCACCAAGCCGACAAAAGCCCAACCGGCCGCAACCAAGAAGCCCGCGACCGCAAAGTCGACACGGGGCAAAGGCAAGAAGCCTCGCGGGGAGGAAGAAGACGACGAAGAGAACGAAGAGGACGAAGAGGACGAAAAAGGCAAAAAGGACGAAAAGGGCAAAAAGGGCAAGGAGGGCAGAACAGGACGAGGAAAATAAAGGCAAGACAGCGAGTAGTTAGAAAGGTACGGAGGAAACGGGGACAAAGAGAGGAAAACTACTTGTAAGATAACAGCGGCGACAATCACCCGTCTGAACGCTGCAATTGCGGGTGGACAAGTCTTCCCAAGGAGGTCAGAGTACATCTGAGAGAGAAAGATGGTGCTGGTAAGTTTGTTTCGAGCGCATCTCGCCTTTGAGTAATGTCGTTTGTTGTTGGCGTTTTGATTGTTAGATACCCGCTATTGTCGATTCGAAAGACACTGTTAGATCTGAGCACATAGAATAATAATTGTCAGTAACTTTTAACGCGCATGTTGCAAACGTGACGAGTCTGTAGCTGAACTTGGTTGTTCCAGAAAATTGGACTTGGTAAACCGCCCCTATAGGCCTGGACAGAGGTACGGTGTGCTGTCATTGCAGCATGCAGGGATGCAGCGAACCGAACCATCAAGAAGGGACCATTCCGCTGGGCAACCAGACGATGCGAACCGTGATCTGCGAAGTAATGGCCTCTTCAGAATAACTGTCAATGCTGCAACGAGTTATCCGCCACCACCACCCTCAAGAATCCAGACCTTCGTCTCCAGCTCACTCCGATTCTTTCCTTGGAACTCCCCACCAGTCGTCGCCACCTCCAAGTGCATGTGGCAAAGTAGGCCCGACTCCGGAGAGGTGTCCAACAGGACCAGTTTGGGAACGAGGAGCTAGGGACAGGGGGTCCAGGGCGGATACGAGGCTAAAAGTGGCAGCGCACGCACGGGGTACCCCAAACGTGACGACTTCCACCTTCCATTGTAGGAGCCGTATTCGGAGCCCCTACGCGGAGTCCTAGCAGAAAAGAGATAAGAGGCAATAGTGTCGGAGGCGCGACCGAAGACAGGTGTGGTGATAAGGTGATTGTGGTATATAACAGTAGACTCGCCGAGACCAGCGGACGACTGCTCTGTGCTCAGATGTGAGTAATAACGATAGATACATGGAAGCATTGGATGCGAGGAATTGACAGAGGAAAGAAGGCGATGCCAAAGTTAGCTCAACCGACGGGTCGAGCGTGGTTCATCTATGATGCGTCGCAATGAAAGCAGATACATATGATACAGGTCTAACAGGAAATGTGCGCAGTATGCACCGGGGTATCGTGAACGCGTCATGAAACCAAATACAGGAAAAGCATGTGAACTCGGCATGGCTCAATTCTGTGCATGAAAAAGCTGCAGGTGTGCGTGTGCATCCGGGCCGCGATAATGCTGTCGAAGGGCAGGATGCTGCATGTGCTGATGGGATTGAATATGCGATGGAGTTTGTTGATGCGGAAGAGAATGTTGGGGCGGAAGCGCCGGTTGCGGAACGTACTGCTGGGGAGGTCCTGGAACTGGTATATACTCCGGACCAAGGTCATGCTGGCCCACCTGTGAGGAAGGCCGCGAATGCGGAGAGCCGTTCCTGGAGCTCAATTTGCTGCCGATCTTGTGCAAAGGCTTTGATATCATCTGACCCAACGAAGTCAACGACGGCCGGTCGCAGTAGTCTGATTCCTCGAACGTGGGTGCGGCATCGAAATAGTTGGGATAGCACCATCCGAGCGGGTTTGTTGTCGGCGGCTTCTCCTGTTCTACAAAACCGGCATTAGACTGCTGCTGTTCTGGTTCCAATTGCGGTGGTTGTTCGAAGTTTGGGGGAGGGGCCGGCATAGCTTGATCAGGCAGACCGGCGAAGTCGGCGGTATCGAGGTCCATGTAACTGATGGGCCGTTCCGGTTCATCCACCACGGGAGACTCATCGTAGTGCTCGAAATTCGGGTTTCCCGAACTCCTTTGCAGGAGAGCAGCATTTAGCGCAGCAAGGCGCGAACGGGACACCTGGTAATTCGGATTCCCTATGAGGATGTGCATGCGTTGTTCTCGTGACAATTGATCCACGTTGCGAACAGAGTCTCTGCTAGGCGTGACGAAGCCGGGCGGTATCTGGATTTGGGATTTGTCGAGTTGTATATCCGAGCGCAGGCTCAAGGCCGTAATGAGCACTTCCTCGCGGCTAGGTCTAAGGTCGCAACACTGGAGCTTTTGACGGAGCACCCTGGTGTTGTGAGGGGACCAGGTGATCTGGGATCGGCTTTCCCTCAACCTCTCGTCAAGGTTCGCAAACAGGTCCTTCCATGTGTCATGCAAGGCTTCCTGCCTTATCAGGTTACGGATGACGTTGGAGTATTTCCATTGCTCAAAGGTTGCGCCGTTCTTCATGTGTTTGGCGACGTGGTCGCACCGCTCGTCCCAGCCAATGCTTACGTCTTTGCATCGGTCAAAACCGCAGCCAAAGACTCTGCGTGGAAGCAGTCGGATACCAATGTCCGTGACCGAGGGGAGCGGCCGCCCGGAATGATAGCGCGAATGATGCTTGATGAAGTCCTTCTGCCGATCATGCACGCGGTCGCACCCAATCACCGGACACGGCCAGTCCTCGCCCGTCTCATGCATCCTCATCTCGTGCTTTTTCCAGTCTGATTTGGCTTTGAAGGTCTTGAGAATGTTCAATTCGGCGCAGTAGGTGCAGAACATGAAGGATTCTCCGGATTGGCCTTGACCCTTCTCGCTCGGAAACGTCATTGGCGAGGCCATGCTCTTGGCGTCCTCCTCGGTGGGCGTAAACATGTGCTCCAGCTTGACGTCCAATGGACTGCTTGTCTCAGAGGAAGGCGTGAGGAGAGGGGCTTTTGACCTCGCTGGGTCTAGAGCGGACGGATGCGAACGGGGCTCAGGGCGCCGCATTCTCGAGCGCGACGAAGACGAAGACGAAGACGCAATGGACGGTGCGAAATCACTGTTGCCGGTCGAAGTGGAGAAGCCGGTGGAGGTGGAAAAGGTGGTGGAGGTTGAGAAAGTGGAAGCGATGGACAGGCGAGATCGTAACGAAGAATTCGAAGAGGTATACGAAGAAGCAACGGAATTGCGCCCTATAGTGGTGAGTTGCAATCGAGCAGTTCCCGAAGGGATGGTCCTACTGTTCTCCAGCACCTGCTGAAACATCCTCTGGATGACCTGTGGAGGATGTCTGCTCAGCAGCGCCTCCACCTGGCGCAGAGACTCCTCTGGGAACTCTAGGCTATCGTCCATGGTGGCAGAACTGTGGAAAAGAAACTCAAAGGGCTTTTGAAGCGAGCGCAAAGTCGGGCGTGGAGCAGAACATTCCTCGCAAGCGGCGAAGGTCTGTCTGGCCCGGCAGTGTTGAAGGAGGGAGACAGACGGAACGGATGCAGGAACGTCACTAATGAGAGGCAAGGACGGATGGCGCAGATAAGAGAGCGTGTCTCGGATTGAACGAATAAATGAACGGGGCAGGCGATGGGAAAAGGTAGGGTCCTGTTGGTGCGACGCGGGCTCCTCATCCCATATCACATCATCAGCATGTCGCGGGGGAAGCGGACCCGTCGAACACTCGTGGAAGGCTCGTCGAAGAAGCTAAATTGAGCCGTGTTCCTATGCGCGCTCGTGCGCGGCGTCAAGACCAGCACCCATGCCATTGAACCCAAGTTTGGGGCAAGATGGTGGACAAGCCAAGCAATCGCATGGTTGATGCGCTCACGGGCTTCGACCAGTTCGAGGGGAGCAGCAAGCAGCAGAGGCTGGGAGGATTTCCTACCCGGTGCTGGACGGTGCCTTTTGCTGTAGACGTGAGAACGGCGGGTTGATTTTGGCATGACGGTCGTGTGCAGTGCTTCGTGATTCTGGCTTCGATGGCATCTCGCAACTGAGCATGATTACTGTGCCGCAATAACGGATTCCTAGCAGTTTCTGGCGCGCAGGCAGGCTGCAAGGGGTGGCTGGTTGGTACCTGAATGACGCGCTTGCTAGCATCCACCATCCACGAATGAATGCCTGGCGATTGTTGCTCCGTTATAAGATACCGGGATGAGGCACTTGCGATTACAATACGGAGTACTGCAGTAGTCTCCTGTCTCCCCTCCACAAACTTGCCCTGTTCGAGGACGGCAGCTTCCACTCACGCGGACACTCGCACAGTACGGAGTACATAGTCCTAGATAGCAAGCCGACAATGTGAACCGCATTGAAGTGCGTTGTGAAAGCAGCGACAGTATCGAGTACCAGAGTCGCAGCCAAAGTTCTTTTCGGTGCCGGAAGGTCGCTGGGCTGGCCACTGTCCTGCCGCCTCTGACAAGCATGGACACTCATCAGTCATCAGCTTCGGCATCTGAACGCCTGATAGGTGATGCTCGGGATAGCTGCGGTCCCTGCGGAAGTAGTTGAGGGCAAGCGTCGCCCGATAACGGCTAGGCTTGACAGAAGCTCGGTCCTGGATAGCGAGCTGATGGCGGCCGATCCATGGCACGGCCGCACGGGTGTGGCAGCGCCTGTGATGCTGCGCAAACGCACCCGGCTATCCAGACAGGAAAGGTGGCACTCCTCCACCAGCACGGCCGTAAGGTGTGTGCCTTCCTCGCTTGGTAGTAGAGCTCGTCAACTCGTCAGTCATCTTGTTCACGTAAAATGCTCAGTTCGATGCCAGGTTGCACTCGTCTCTACTCCGTAGAGAGCATGGCATATGCTGACAGATGCACAGTCCAGCTGCATGGGGCGGCGACACCTGCGAAATCCATCCAGAGACACAAGAATAACGGGCACCACAGCACCAGGGAAGCTGATGGGTGATCACACGAGCAGCCGCTTTGCTGATTGGAGGATGGCAGATATGATGGTGTAAGGATCCCGGAAGGCGAAGCTCGGAGCGGGCGTGTTTAGTTACGTGAAGCAGAGAAGTCTAAAGACATCTGCTACGCCGCTCTGAGTCTTGTGAAAAGAATGAGAGAAATGAGAGCAGTGATAGGGGCGAGACGAACGAGTACGGTCGGCTTCGTGGCCGGGATGAGACTGTGGAATCCAGATGAGGGTGAAAGCAGCGAGGCAACGGGAGGGCAGCCACAGCCGGGCAAGTTCGTATTTGGACTTGTCGAATGGACAGGCGTGGACTATCCAAAGGTCTCGACCGCGGATACGCATCTAAAAGGGGGTTGGCAACCATGAGTCCAGACGGGGAAGAGCAGGGCAAGTTGTTGAAGAGAAGAGTGGAGGAGTGAAAAGAGGAGAGAAGTGGGAGGAGCAAAAACACAGTCAGTTGTTGAGGTGTGGAAGGTGCAAGCGCCAAGATCTTGTTCACGTGATCACGCGTAGACGCGCTCTTGCCCAGGTGGGTCCACTAGCAGCCTCCCGTTCGGTCTAATCCTCGCGCAACATCACACTTCGAGCTCACTGTAAACCAGCTGCCCCGAACTATCAAACTATCGCGATCGCTTACACTCGCATATAACTTATTAACGGTCTTCAGGTCGCTCATTATTGGACACCTTTTCGCACAATGGGGAGTCGAAAACCTATCCCTGAGATAGACCTAACCAGCTCCTCACCAGAACCAGAATCCTCACGGCAACCAGTACAGCGATTTAAAACGGAGCGAGTCGAAGGACGGTCGACTCCAGTAACCTCGAAACTGCCTATACGCTCCGCCACGGTTAAGACAGAGGCCAGCGCAGCCCCAGACAGCACCCCGCAAAGGCTCATCCACCCCGTGCATCTGGAGCGCTTGATTGATACAACCGACAGGGACGCAATCAAATCTGTTTTACTTCAACTCTGCGCACTCTCACCCGCCTTCTCCGGCGCGCTCGCTCGCGGTCTCGCACCTCACTCCCGCTTCGCACAAGGCCTTGAGACGCAAGGCGGTAGTGTGCGGCCTCATGCCAACCTCGCAAGCAGCATCACCCCTTCTCCAAGGCCACTTTCGGAGCGCATACCTACTCCCCACAATTCGAAGGCTTCAAATCTCCTGCGACAACGCATCAAGGACGAGCATGGTTCGTCACCAAGTACCTCCAACCTGCCCCGTGGCTTTCCCGAATCGCCCGTCTTTGCACCGCTGAGAAAACCAACGCCAACCGGCACACCTCGGCTGGCCTTTATAAAATGGGAATCCGCAAGCGCATCTTCGTCGTCGAGTCGAACTCCGTCGATCCAAAGAACTCCCATATCTCCCTCCAACACAGCTAGGAAGAGCAGCAGTGGGGCAATCTTGGAGTGTGACAACTGTGCGTTGTTCTACTTTGAGGATTCTTCTGATATGTGCCTCTTCCACCCTGGACGTTTGAAACCAGTAGAGGATGGGAACGGTTCCCAGACCTGGGTATATACATGCTGTAAGGGAGGATCCTCGGCTGCTCCCTGCAAGGAGGGGAAGCATGTCTCTAAGGCAAACGACGATGATGTGGATTCTTTGAAGCGAGCTCGGCGGCCAAGTGGAGCGTCACCAATGAGACATGGGAAGAGCCCGAGACTACTTTGATCCAGGGCGACAACGGTTTGTAGGACCCAGACTGCCCTTCCCGTGCATGCGTGTCCAGTGAACGCAAGGTATCCGTTACGTTACAGGGAAATCTCGAGGATATCACCAAACTGGCCAAGACTCCAACCGGAAGCTTGGGCGAGTTACGGCACTGAGACCCGCCTAGACTCAGTTTGCATCGCCATTCTACAAATGGCTTTTGCATACCAGTGACATTTCGTGGCACCCGAAATTTTGCTTTTGGAAAGAGAACATCCTGCTTTTTATGGAGCGCGGCGCTATTTGGTTAAATGCCAATATATTGGGAACTCCCGCATCACGTGGCGGACTTCTGGCCCTCCCTTGGGAACCTGGAAACTTGAAATTCAGGGATTGGGTATAAAGACTCGACGCAAGTTGGATTTATGGTTGGAATTTCTGCGTTCCATGAAGACGAGTCGTGGGGACGATTGAGGAAGGCCTGACTTGAACGACCTCCCGGACTTGCCTGCCGCATTGCTTTTCTCTCTTGTTCTGGGATTGGAAACGAACTCGCCGATTGTTATATCTTTGCTTCTATTCAGGGTCATACTTGCTAGCCGACGATATGCAGTTCCTCCTACCTGGTATCACCGCCCTCCTGCTCGCCCTCCTTCCTCTCTCGAGCGCCGCACCGGCCGCATCTCCCCAACTGCTCCCTCTACAAGACCTCCCAAGCTCCTACATTCTCCAGGTGTAAGCCTCTGCATACAATTTCCTCCACTCTCACGGCTCCCCTTCATTTCAATCCAGTCCCAGCTTGAGCCCAAAGCTAACGCCCTCGCCAGCGCCCAACACCCCTGGCAAGGACGGCCCCTTCTCCAACTCCCAACCACCCACCTCATCGGTCTCGAAAACTTCACCATCCATCCCCCATCTGCCGGCCTCACGGTCCTCCCTATCCGGATCCCGAAACAAGAGCCTCCTCTCTATGCTCTACGCATCCCCTCCCCAAGTGACGACCTCACAAATACGCCGTATCTTGCGGCCCTGCTTCCCGCGTCGAATGGGAAACCGAAATGGGCGTCGGCAGCACCAATATTTGTGCCTGATCCCACGGGCGAGACGGTGCGGAAGTGGCGGGATCGATGCCCGCGAGGATGGGAATGCGGGGCCGATGCTTGGGTCATCTATTCGGGGACGGACGCTGGCGACGAGTCCCAGTCGGCAGGGTCGGTGTGTGTGGCCGGAGAACGGCAGCCTTTGGGGAAATTGGCGTATGGGGGGTTCAATGGGCACTGGGAGGCGGTCAAGGACGCGCCGAATAGTGAGGGATGGCATGTGTATTGGATAGCGGAGGATGCGGGGAAGGAACCGGGAGTACCGGTCGGGACGAGGGTTGAGATTGAGATTGTGCCGACGAAGGATGGGAGGGGATGGGGTGGGAGTGTGTGAGTTGTTTCTCTGAGAATACGCAAGAAGGGATACTGAACGAGGGAGGCGGGAGAGGGCTCTCAGAGGAATGATATGACCCTCTTCCTTGAATGCTTTTGTGCAAGATGGAGTATGCATATCCCATGGACTCATATACTAAAGCCAGGTGCACCTACCTGTCGACCGGCAAATTTACTCTCGGTTTGGAGCAAACGGTTGATGATAGCTGGGTAGAAGCTGGGTACAGTAAGACCCCGCTATTAGGAAATTCTTGGTGGCAGGAAAATTTTCCTTATAACGCGGGGTTTCCTTATGCTGAATCTGCTTATATAATATAATATATTAGTTATTACACTATGTAACCTAGGAACCCTCCCTTATTCTCTACTAAAAACGGCATTACTAGTGCTAAATATAGCTAGCTTAGGACCTTGTAAATAAGGAAATATATAGGTAGGGGCTAAGGAAATCCTAGAACCCTAGGCTTTCCTTATTCTCTATACAAATTTGTACGGTAGCTCGGAATTTTCCCTATCTACGATAGTTTACCTAATTCCGATGATTTCCCAATACCGAGGTCTTACTGTAGATACTCAGGTAGGAAGCCGAAGGCACTTGGGACGAAAGGGGCAGGTGTGATACACCCATTCCGGCTAGGCCCGCATCACTAGCTCTTGTCCTAACCAAACACAGCTGGACAGCTTTTCGACGATATCTTGACCTCAACATTCATCCATCCTCCTGTTTCTTCCTCCCTCCTATTCTCCCACTCCCCCCCTTCCACTCATCTGCTGTCCTCCCTCCTCCCGTTTCCAGTGATGGATGCTCCGCTCTGTGCAAGCTCATGGGCACTTCTTCTCTTTGCAGTGTCGACGAATGACGAATCATATGGCCGTCTTTCGAATCTCAGCTCGTATCGCGCCCAGCTGTGGCTGCTTGTCTGACACGCATCACATCGTGCACACACGTCCCCAATATTTCGCACGCCCAGCCCGTTTGGTCAGCCACAGCTCGAGGGGTTAACCGTAGAAAACGAAGCCCAGCGAAAGTTTGATGAAACAGAAGGTTCAGTCAGCCCTCTGGCGCTCCGGCGAATCTCCTGGGACGTGGCTTCATGGCTTGCGGGCTCCACGTGGTTGCCAGCCTGAGCAACCTCGGATGGCTTCTAGAAAGACTTTGACGAGCTCCCCCCACGTCTTGCCTCCAAGGCCTTCAACCATGTGAAGAAGAAGAAAACTCAGATGCTGACAGCGACCACAGTCGGTTCGGGAACTCTCGCCTCTGAAAACTGCTCCCCGCGCTCGTTCCGAGTTCTCGCAGTCTTGGAATAGGCAGACAGACCGATTCCCCTTCCTCCAGCACAAGTCCTTCTTCCTTGAGCCTGAGGCCTGCGTAATGGCACACGCACCACCGCCAGTCCTCGAGCGCCCATTACCACCGTCCAATTTCAGATCCGATGAGCTGAACTCGTCTTCACTGCTGCCAATTGCGCTGGGGCCTGTCCCACTGCATGCAAGCAGCAAGAACCCTCGTCCCGAGTCTCTCGCTGAATGGATGTTCACGGGTCACGAGATGCAGAACCGCCTGCCAAGTGATTCCGGTGAACGCTCCTGTGAAACCTGGGCTCGAGCCTCCGCCAGCATCTGGTGCCATCCGGTCCCTGGCAGATTCCGTCCCCTCTACTACTGTACTGTAGTTCTTGGCCCCTTGAGTTTTCCGCGAATCCAAGGCCCCGAGACGACGCCAGACGTACAATTGCACACAAACTTGTGTTGAGGCATGCACTCGCTTCCGCTCCAAACCACGCAAGCATTATTAGCGTACCTGCGCCGGTTTTGATCAGGTGCACGTCGCCTGCAGAGGTGCCAAAATGCATGCAGGGCCGCTCATTTCCCTCTTGGACTCGACTGCCTTTGATCGGCACAGGCACTGTTGCTGGACTGTGAGTGGACATACTGGCGCACCCCGCCCAGACTCTGCCTCTGCGTTCCTGAAGCCCTTCCTTTTTTGAGTTTCTCGTCCCAAGTTAAAACATAGTTTTCCTGGTGCTGACAATGGGCGCTAATGGTGGGCGACGCCTACACCCCACTATGACGCGACGGCTTGTTCCTTTTTCTTTTCTTGATTGCACGGTGCCCGTCCCCTGTTACTGCAGCAGAAAGATGATCCGTGTTCACAGATCAGCAATGGAGTCATGCTCACCTGAAAACTCCGCACATCTCGTCACTTCAGAAGCTCACTGTTAACGGACACTTATATCCTCAAGCCAGCCTGTTCCCTACAAATATATATCTTAATGAGACATCCTCTATCCTTCGCTTTCGCCCTCTATCGCTCGTTTTGTTCATTGGCATTTCACTCCTCTGGGAGGTTCGCTCCTCCTTGCGCCGTTCTCTTTTGAAGAATCCCGCCACGCTCGTTCCATTACATCCTGCTTCGAACCGTTATCGAAGTCTCCTATAGGTCGGGCCGTCTCACCTCACTGATTCCCCGTCCTTCGACATTCTGGGAAAGAGAAGCGAGAGTCTGCACCGCCTCAGACAGGATATCAATCGTCACGCTATCTATCGACCGCTTGGTCCCTGACTGGCATTCCCGACACCACGCGCAATGCAAGAAGAAGAGACCGTCGCTGAATCACGATGGGGCCCTTTCCTCGACAGGCTGGATGATTTTCAGATTTGGCAGCTTCATATGGAGGTGCTCGCCAACTTGGACACTCGTCGGCGTATGAACTCCTACTTTGATACGCTTCAGCCGGGATACGGTAAGTTGCACCATTCTTTCATGACAGCACGAGAGATTGACTGACGCTTTCCACTAGACCAGGAGCCTGCCGGATCTCAATCGCAGTTTGCATCCAGATCTCCCACGCTTCAGCCCTCCGTACGGTCCAGCATCCCGTCAACTCCGGTGCCCGGCAGGGATTCCCTTCCTGGAGACGACGTAACTTTAACCTTTGCCAATGTGGCCAAAAGTCCTCCAACACGGCATGCTCAACGGCAAGATGCACCCTTGACTTTGGGAAACACCCCCGAAACCAAGCAGACCGGCCGTCAGACAACAGAGGATTGTTTGCAGAAGGGGCTGTTGAACCCCGCACCGCCAACACGTGCGGCCCCATCAAGGTCCAAAAAGGCTGATCCTAGTATGAAAGGGCCTTTCTTCTGCACATACTGTCATGAGATGCATAGTCCCTCCTCTTTCAAGATGAAGGCTGACTGGAAGCGGCACGAGACAAAGTTCCATGAAACAGGCTTCGAGTGGCCTTGCAAGGTGTATAATTGCTCTGAAACCTTTTCCCGCAAGGAGGACCTCAATACCCACGCTGAGAAGGTCCACGGCCACGTCCCAGATACCCACGACGTCAAGCTCTCCCTACCGGCGAAACGGGTGTATGCCTGCGGCTTCAAAGGCTGCCAAAAGCTGACGTACACATGGAAGGAGAGATGTAACCATATAGCCAGATGCATGCTGGAGGTAAAAGACCAGCAGAGGTGGAGTTACCACTGGAGAATCCTCAACCTCCTGAGGCAGGACGCTACCAAGCCGGGCTGGAAAGTCGTCAAGTCTCGATGGTGTGAACGACTGGGGATCCAAGTATCCGACCTAAGATGGGAATACAGAACCTCCCGAAACCTGGTCCAACAACTGGAATGCCAGACATATGGAACCGATATGGAATCGTTCCTCGAGAGGCTCTTCAAGCTTGGGCTTCCCCGACAGGGCCCAAGCAACTTTGGGAGTGCCACCCAAAGAGCGCCTGCAACAATTGTTCATCCTACGGGTACCTCCTCCACGTCGGTCTCTCGCATGAATAACTCTTCCGGTCACTCCATCTTGCCAGCCTCCAGACTATCCTTTGCGGACCAGCGACACATCCATCATCACAACCAGGCTCACCAGGAACCTGCCTTCTTTGAGAGCATTCTCACTGACCACAATCTCAATCAAGCGTCGCGACCTCACAGTGTGGTGATGGAAGACGCACCCGATGTTGGCTTCGGCACCGTGGGCACCTCTGCTGGCTGCGACCCCTCGATGTTCGATGACCAACTTCTCACCGTCAATGACTTTCTTCTTCTGGGCGGATACTGTACGAATGCCACTCCGCCTCTCTCTACATCCCCTCTCGAAGCTGCCACTGCGGCCAGCCAGGACACGGCAAGGACTTCCCCGGGAAGCCGAATCATGAGGAAGAGCAAAGATATCCTATCCCCCAAGAGATCGCCTCAGCCCGCCCGCCGCATCGTTACGGATCACCCGGACCTGACGCCTGATTACACCGTACCTGGTCCAGCTCGCGAAAGGAGGAGGTCCGTTGTCGCCAACGTTTATGGCATGCCGTTCTTTTATGGTAGCTTCCAGTCTTGGGCATGATAACGGTTGCATCTCGAACGATAGAACCGAGATGCTCGACGGCCCTTGGACCGTATCGTCGTCAGCGGTTCGCACCAACATGGAATCGGAGCATCAAGTACACGATCCAGCGTCCAACTGCATTTTTATCCGGCTCGCCATTCGCCATGGCTGCCGTTTTCGCTTTCTTCGATCCACTCTTCACAACTAAATAATTTTTCAAGACCTACAACATTGTAATCACTTTCGTTTTCGATAATCTCCTCCCATGTTTTTGTCATATCAATGGATTCTGGGGAGGCAGCGCTAAGGGGATTAACATGCGGGTTTCACTGGTTGGCAATGAAATGAAAAGGATCTGGCGTTGGTGCTCTAAATTATGAGCAGGATGTATTTAGGGATTGGGATTGGGTATAGGGGTTTCAATGTAGGGTTCCGGGACTCTGTAGTCTTTGCAGCGAATCATTGCATGGACTAGGTCGGCTGGCCGGGTCCTTGTGTACACACGCCTTGGTCTCTGCTGAGATTGCTGAGATGGACACATTAAACTAGGAATTAGAGTACTTTCGGAGGGTGTGAGCTGTTGACTTGTATTCCATGTTAGCACGGGCAGAGTCGAATGTTGGGCATGAGAATATCAATACAACACCAAGGCAAGATCTCGAAAACATATTCCTGAGCGGCGGTGGAGAGCCCATTTCGTAAGGGATCAACCGGAAATTAGAAAAGCCCATGTAATTGGCAGTGTAAGACTCCTTTACAGAGCCCTCTCATTATTGAGCAATCGGACTTCGACCTTGAGTCCTCCATATGCATCAACCGACGGAATGAGGGAGTAGTCCAAGTTTACCTAAGGGTGCTGACTAAGCATACACTAACACAACGACGAGCTCAACCAATTCACACACTGCCAACCCAGCCAGCAGCCGTTGGCCCTCCTACGGGCATCCTCCGACGCTCATTCCCATGAACGCGGCCGCCCAGATGCGCGCACTCCGCCTACGGCCCTCGCTGGCTCCGCCGCGGACCTGCCTCCGGCCCCTTCGCACACCAACAAGATATTCTTCCTCCTCCTCCACCTCCTCCACCACCACCACCTCCTCCTCCTCCTCCGCCGGCGAAACCGCAACCACCGCGCGCTCCACGGCCACCCGAGCAAAGAACCTCATCTACGGCACCCTCCTAACGCTAGGCCTCGGCTTCGGATACCTCTACATAACCGACACGCGCGCCAGCATCCACTCATGGCTCGCCGTGCCCCTGCTCCGCCGCCTGTACCCCGACGCCGAAGACGCGCACCACGCCGGCACCACCATCCTCAAGACGCTCTACTTATTCAACCTGCACCCGCGCGAGCGGCCCAGCGGCAGCGGCGCCGACGACGTCACCAGCTCCTCCGACCTGCAGGTTGAAATCTTCGGGCACACGCTGAGCAATCCCCTGGGGACATCGGCGGGCATCGACAAGGGGGCCGAGATCCCCTCTGCACTATTCGCATTAGGTCCCGCGATCGTAGAGGTCGGCGCCGTGACACCCCTGCCGCAGGAGGGTAATCCGAAACCCCGCGTTTTTCGCCTGCCGAGCCAGAATGCATTGATCAATCGGTACGGGTTCAATTCCGAGGGCGTGCAGACGGTGGGGATGCGGTTGCGGCAGCGGGTAAGGGAATTCGCGTACCGAGCGGGTTTCGGAATGGACGAGGAGGCGGAGAGGCGGGTGTTGGATGGGGAGGCGGGTGTGCCGCCGGGGAGTTTGATACCCGGACGGTTGATGGCGGTGCAGGTGACGAAGAATAAGGGGACGAGTGAGAGGGATATCGAGGCTGTTGTTAGGGATTATACGGCAGGTGTGAGGCATTTGGGCAAATATGCGGATATCATCGTGGTCAATGTGTCGAGTCCCAATACCCCGGGGTTGCGCAGCTTGCAGAATGTGGAGCCGTTGACGCGGTTGCTGAGGGGTGTTGTGCAGGCCGTGGGGCAGGTGGAGAGGAAGACGAAGCCTGCGGTTATGGTCAAGGTGAGCCCGGATGAGGATGAGGAGGAGCAGATACGGGGGATTTGTGAGGCGGTTTGGGAGGCGGGCGTCGATGGTGTGATTGTGGGGAATACGACGAGGAGGAGGCCCGAGCCGCTGCCTAGGGGGTTTAAGTTGGAGGCGAAGGAGGCGCAGGTTTTGATGGAGCAGGGTGGGTATTCTGGGCCGCAGATGTTTGAGCGGACGTTGGGGTTGGTGAGGAGGTATAGGAGGGTTTTGGATGAGGGGCCGAGGCGGGGGGTGCTGGGGAGGGAGGGACATGAAGAGGGAGTGGGAAAGGAAGAGGGAGGGGCAGAGGGCGATGCGAAGAGTGCTGCTGAGGCGAGGAATGAGACGCCTGCGGTTGAAGAGAAAGCGGTGCATTCTACCAACTCCCCTCCGATCGATACCTCTCCCATGGATATCTCAGAACTACCCTCCTCCTCCCCGTCAACGAGTACGACTACCGTCGACGGTACCATCGAACCCACCTCTGCCTCTGTACCCTCTACACCCTCTACACCCTCTACACCCTCTACACCCACTCCTCCCCCTTCCCCCGCCTCTCCCCTTTCACCAGCAGCAGGAGCACCAGGACCCCGCAAAGTCATCTTCGCGACGGGCGGAATCACGAATGGGCGCCAGGCAAAGGAGATTCTGGACGCGGGCGCTAGCGTCGCCATGGTGTATACGGCGCTGATTTATGGTGGGGTGGGCACGATTACGAGGATGAAGGGGGAGATTAGGGAGGAGAGGGCGAAGGAAAGGGAGGGGCAGGGGAAGAGGTAGTAGTTGGATGGTGTTGAAGGGTGGGATGTGTGTATAACTTGTAAGAGATGCAAGGGCTTTGGACCAGTAGGTGGGGCATAGAAATAGAGAGCAGGATTCATATTGTACGTGTATGTGGTATGTAACGTAGAATAGGCTCACCCACTCGTGACGCAATGCACTGATAGGCGGTAACAGGCAGAAAGAAAACGAAGAGATGTATAAGAAAACAAATGGATGGATGGATTCGGGGTATACGTAAGATCCATGCCGACTAAATAAGAAAGTAAAAACAAAAAAAAATAGATGATGACCCTTTCAACGCCGTCGCTACCCATGCCCTGCTCGCTGCTATGCAATATTGATGATACCCATAAGAGAGAAGAAAGACGAAATGATAACACGTCGTTATGCCGCCATTGCTCCGTTATTCCGTGCAGGAGAATGATTACGTCGGCTTTCATGACGATGGAGATGGAGAACCAAACGGTGTCCGTGGCTAGTAGGACGACAAATGCGCCCAGCGGGGATCAGTGGCGTCTTCTCCGAACCCACTGTACGTGCTGTCAGCATAGGGACAGAGGGACCCGAGTCCGAGGATTGCCTGTCTGGTCGCTGGACGGTGGAGACAAGTGTGAGTGGGTAAGATAAGTGAAGGCTGGGAGCATCCGCAAAGCCAGAGCAACTTCGACATCGTGGAGCCCAGTACCCCAATATGGACGGAGGAGCGCCACATGTCTGCAAGCTCCCTCACTCTCTCCTCTTTTCTTCGACAAGAACCCGAAACAAGTCGCACGCTCGGAGATTCGCTCCAAATCCAAGCAATTGGAAGGTAAATACCACGCACCTACCAATCATAAACCCACCCCGTATTCCCCTCCAAAAACTGCTCGCACGCCTCCTTGAGCGCAATATTCGGCCTCAGCTCCTCAATCTTGAGCGGCTCCCTCGTCAGTGGGTCCGTCGCGCTGCGCTTCAAATGCTCGATGATGGTCGCGCGCTCATAACTCCGCCCATTCTTCGTCACGACGGGGTCGTGCATAATCTCAAATGTGATGCCGTCGATGAGATAGTCGGGCACCTCGCGCTTGGCCATGTGCTCCGGGTCCGAGACGGCGAAGGCGGTGCGCAGGTCGTCGACCTTCTTCTCCCAGGTCGACTTGAGTTCGGCTTTCTCCTCGGTGCCCTCGACGCGGCCGACGGTGCCGGCGGCCATCTTCTCGTCCACGTCGAAGATTTGGCGTTTGTAGTCTTGCTCGAGTTTTTCCTCTAGCTCGGCGAGGAGGTCGGCGCGGCGGCGGATGCGGTCCCGTTCGCGGATCTCCCATTTGGCTTTTTTGCATTGCAGGACGAGGGCGGTGATGCGGGCGGCGTTGTTGGTTTGGGTGGGCGACTTGGTGCAGAGGTCGTATGCGGTGAGGGCGGAGGAGAGGGCTTCGTTGGGGTGGTTGAGGGAGAGTTGGGCTTGTGCTGAGAGGGGGAAATAGAGATATCAGCTGTGGAGCTCAGGTGTAGGAGCACATGGTCTGCAAGAAAAGGGCAGCCCCTTGGTCACGTTCATTCACCACCCATTGATTGATGCCGCAACTCCAACGTAGAGAGAGAGAGAACAGGACAGACATACCCAACAGGAAGAAAGCCTTCATATTCTCGCGCTGGATCTCTACGCTCTTCAGACAATCATCCACCACGCCCTCCCACTTCTCCAACTTGAGCCGCGCATTCGCCCGGTTCGTGAACAGCAAGGGGTTCTTGTTGTTCTTGATGATGGCCTGCGAGTAGAGCTGCTCGGCGCCCTCAAAGTCGCCTTCTCTGAATTTCAGGTTGCCCGCGTTTTTGAGCTGCTCGGCGGCGTATTCGTTGCCGGCGGGCATGGTGGTGGGGGAGAGGTGCGGCGAGAGAGCGAAGGAGGGAGGAGGGCGGAGGAGGAGGAGGGAGGAGGATGGAGAGGCGCCCGACGGAAGGAAAGCTACTTGTCGGCGTGTCTCACCGACGGCGTCGTGGGCAGCTCTCCAGGGCTACTGTTAGAGGAGGAGGAATGGTCCGTGTATACTGTGTATGGATTGGTGAGAACTCGGGAGGCGCGCGGGGCACCGCCTCTTCTTGTACGGCAACCAACAGCCGAAGCTTCTGGAAGGCCGCGATGACGAGAGCAAGAGCAGGATGCGCGAGGGAGCAGGGGCACGGAGTTTTCGGCAGCAGATTTGGAGTAAGAAGAATTAATTAACATGTCGTGGGGATGTGAATGCGGCTATGACGCGTGTTTGGTGGTGAGGTGTCGTAGCTATAGGTGACATTGAATAGCAGCACAGCCACAGTTTATAGGTGTTGTGCCATCTATCTCTTCACAAGTTCCTCCTCCGCAGAACAACTTCGACTATAACCAATCCTGATGTGTTGCAAACCAGTACATGAGCTTTATAGTACGTTGAACTGAAGAAGAAAAAGAAAAAAAAGAAAAGAAAAGAGCTATGTGGCGAAAACACACATGCTTTGTATTATGGTATCTCGCTGTAATGCATAATCTAACATTAATCCCCATGTGACAACCCTGACCTTCGAATCGCCTGACCCTTAATCTCTGTTCTCAAACTTCAAACCACTCTCCTGCCTCACAGCTCCATAGATGCTCGGCAAATCTCCCTTCTTCCCCAGATGCTCCTTGACCTTCACCAAATGCGCATCCCCAACCTCCACTGCAGGCAACCTTGTCCCACTCTTCCTGGCCAAATCCAACGCATGCCCCGCATCTTTCCTCGCAAGGTCCACCTGGAAGAGCGGCTCCTCCCTCTGGTAATAGTCCCCTGCCAGCATGCGACTCGAGTACGCCGCATACGGGCCCGGGAACAGCACCTCAATCCACCGATGCAGGTTCTCGACCCCTAGTCCCGTCTTCTCAGCCAGCGTATGCCCCTCGGCCAAAGCCTCGACCATCTGCAAAACGAACGTATTCCCAATCACCTTCAACAACGTCGCCTTGCTCGCCGACTGATCCACAAACTCGATGTTCTCCCGCGCCATCACCCCCTTGGTGTACGGCCTCACCTTCTCAACCGCCTCCCTCCGCCCCGCCGTCACGCAAATCAAGCCTCCTGCTTCTGCCACCGGGGGTGCCCCGAACACGGGCATGCCGACAAAGTCCGCGCCCTGGGCCGTGATGCGCTGCTCCAGGGACTCTGTCGTGTCTGGATGCACCGTCGAGCAATCGACAATGAGTTTGCCGCGCACGTCTTCTTGGAGTATCTCGTCCACGGCGGCATAAACGGCGGGGTCGTCGCCTAGGCAGATGAAAACGATGTCGGCGGATTTCACCGCGTCGCGCACGGAATCAACCACTTGAGTCTTGTCCGAACCCAGGCGCGCGGATAGCTCTTCTGCGCGCGCCTTTGTGCGATTGTGCAGAATCAGGGGCTTGTCGAGGTTTCCTTTTGCGACGAGGTTTTTGCATATTCCCTAGGTGCGTACCGGGTTAGATGCGGATGTCGAGGATTTGGAGGAGATGGAGTTGAACGTACTCGGCCCATGTTTCCGAGCCCGATCCACGCGAGTTGGGGCGCCATGGTGAAGTCGCTGAGAGCGTTCGTACTGCGTACTGTACCGTGCGGATTCTCTGGTTGAGAAGAGAGGTTCGTTGGCAGTGTCAGTGTGAATGTATATACGCAGCAAAGACGAAGGATTATAAATCGAATCTTCGCGACATCCTCAACTTCCCTCCCTCGTATTCGCATTTCCGAATCTATTCCGAGTTCCGACTTTAGTTGATAACTTCCGACGTCCTTGGCATACGTCACCGGCATCAATCTTCGCTTTCATAGCACTGTAGTGGGATAAAATACGAATTCACACACCCCAACCATAATTTCTATAATTTCTAATCACCGCTGCAATCTCCGTAATAATGTCCTCCCAACAAGACGAAGCCGCCATAGACGCCCACTCCCGCACCGCCCTCACCACCGCAAAACGCAACCTCCGCTACCTCTACTCCCCCGAAACCGCTCCAGCCTCGGCCCTGCCTACCCACCGCCGCACCCGCGCCCTGCTCCGCCTCGTGCGCTCCTCCCTCCTCTTCCTCTTCTGGCGGCTCGTCCGTTACGCAAAATATGTCGCCATTGGGTCTCTGATTGCGACTGTTGGTGCCGGGGCATTCGGCACGGTGGTGAGCGGGGCTGGGTTCGTGCTTGCGCCGACGGGGATCGCGGGCACGATTGTTGCGGGGACGGTTTGGGGGGTTGGGAGGTTTGTGGCCAGGAGGTTGAGGAGGAGGTGGGAGAATGGGAAGGGGTATGGGGAGGTGGAGGAGAGGTGGGAGGAGGGGAGGGGGCCGGTGAAGAGGATGGTGAGGGGGCCTGAGGCAGTGCCTTGGTGATGTAAGGGGAATGAATTGGGCGGTTGAGGGAAAGATTGTGAGGTTTGCTCGCGTCAATGTGCTGCATGCATCATCAAGGCGGACGGTACTAAAAGATTGGAGACTTAACCAGAGGGAAGGACTTGATGACGTCCTCGATATCGGCACTCCAAAGAGATATCACGAGATATGCTCGCACCAGTGCGCGTCGCGCATTCCATTCCTCAAATATGATCAGGGACTCAATTTGCGGTAAACCTGTAGGCCAATACCGGGCTACGCAAACACGTCTTGCGGGTGTGCCTCGGCCTTAGACTCTTCAACAAATTTCGCAAAAGCACCGTGAACAGCACGTTTACTCCTGCTCTGAGGCGTCTCGTGAGCTTGAAAGTCAGCTATGGCTCAATGGAAGGCGGATCCTGATCCGAGAAACAGACATACCTTCTCTTTTTTCAGCAACGCCGATGAGAACTGTACCAACGTCCACCACGCCAGACTCATCCCGGTTGAGGTTTTCTACTTGGAGTGTCAACTCAAGAGGCCGTCACGCCGACTACCCGGAAGGGGGTCTACACACCATCTCTCTTCTCAGCTACACCGATCAAGACCGTAGCGACATCGCCTACGCTGGCATCTTCGCGTTTCGGAAGGCTAGTATCTAGAAATGTGTCAGTTTCCGTCCCCTTCACTGCAGTGTCCGAAGTACACCGTACCGTCTCTCTTGTCTGCGACGCCGGTCAACACTGTAGCGACGTCGGCCACTGCGAATAAGATCAGCAGCTTCGGCTTTCATCCCTCTTCCAAAATTGGCAGGATGCGTACTATCGTTTCTGACTGGCGCCGCACGAGCGGGAACAGCCGAGGCTGCGGAAAGGGGAATGGGGAACTTCAGAGCCACGAGTTTGTAATAAGGGTTTAGCTGAAGCAACACCAGAGGGTGAGACGTAAGTTGTCTTCAGGCACTGGATCAGGAGGACGTTATATACCACACTAGTTTCGTCTTAGGTGACTCGGCTCCCGATCGGTACTCACTTCGTCAATGGTTGCTTATACATTGCGGCTTCGACCTGTGCAGGATGCTACTGGTCCCGTGTGGTTGGCGAGTGGGGGCCGGTGGTGAGGAATCAGATTGTGCCGACTGAGGAGATGGAGTGGGAGCTGGAGAGGTAGGGGGTTATTGGAGTGGACTGGGGGTGGGAGTGTGGAGGGTTGTTGTAGAGTGAGGGAGGGGTTAGGTGTGGATATGTTTGTGTAGGGGTTTATGGTTAAGTATAGAGAATGAGCGAACTGAGTCACGTTTAGCTTAAGGGGGTTGTTTTGAGAATATAGCCTCATACAAACAAGGGAGGTGTAATCATCGAGGGCGAAGCGCACTTCAAAAGACATTCTGACTGGAACGGTTGAGTCTCTTATAAGTGGTTAATTAGGTAACCGTATACTGCGTGGCTCCGGGACCGACCGCCTAAGAACTCAATGACTACCCACCATGCTATTTAGCTGGCCGTACCATAGAGTCCAAAAACGTGCTGAGGTGACACTAGCAAAGTTTCTCCGCACCTCGCCTCGCAGGGTCCATATCTAGAAAATCCCTTTGAAATGTTTGCCTTGAAGCAAGAATAATCAGGGAATTAGTATGACCAGTATGATTAAGGTTCTGTATTTCTACATCCCAGCTCCACTCGAGCACGATATAACCCCCCCAACAATCATCCATTATGCCGACTTCTTCACCTCGCGCCTTTCCCAGCGAATCCGCGCCGGCTTCATGGGCCCCGAGAACAGCGACGAATAATCCGTCCTCGGCACCCCCGTCTTCCCCTCCAAGTTGGAAAAGCGTAGATGGCGAACCATAGTGCCTACGATAACCGAGAGGTTGAGATAGGCGAATTTCTCGCCGACGCAGCGGTGGCGACCCGCGCCAAAGGGGAGATAGGGACTCGATGTGCCCTTTGACATGGCGCCGTACCCATAATCGACGATATCGTCCTTGTCGTCTATTTTCGGAGCTTGCGTTTCCCATCGGCGAGGCTCCCACTTCATGGCATTCGGGAAGTACTCGTCGCTGAGAGCCGTGACTCCCGGTGCGGCGAGCAGCACATGAGAGGTAGGAATCACGTAGGGCGTGCCAGGAACCGGGATTGGATTTTTGACCTTGCGCATGATTGAATGAATCGAGGAATGGATACGCAGAGTCTCGCGGATCACATTCTGAAGCAACGGGAGATTATCGAGGTCCTTGTACTGAAGTGGAGGAAGTGCACCGTTGGCTGTTCGTCCCAAGTTGGCCAGTTGCTCTGCGTAGAGCTCCTCGGCGACAGCCGGCTCCGATGCCAGGCGGAGCATGATCCAAGCGCTGATGGAGGAAGACGAGTGCTGCCCGGCCATCAACAGTGTGATCATGATATGCGCGATTTCCTTGTCCGGCAAGGGCTGGCCGTTCTTGTAGGTGCATTGCATCAGGTTTCCAATCATGTCCAACTCCTCCGTGGCCTTCTCATTCGTGGCGGCTCTTCGTTTATTGATAATGTCCAGGTAGATTGCACGCATTTTCGCATGTGCCGCATCGCGCTTCTTGTTGTGCGGTAAAGGGGCCCAAGGCAATAAGAAATTAATAGGGGAGAACCCCTTATCAAGATCATGGTAGAGGGCCGCGAATTCGGTAGTCAGTTTCGACCGAACTTCTTTCCCTTGCAGAGCGCTTCCAGCAGTGAAGATTGTAATCTCAGCCATGGCTGAGGAAATGTCCACCTCCCCTGAGGCTCCGGCAAAATTAGATGACGTCCTGAGGTAGTCCTCGACTTCCTTCTCAATCAACGGAACGTGTGCCTCGAGTGCGGCCTGAGAGAGCCCAAACTTGATGAATTTCTTCTGCTCGATGAGCTTCGAGTTGGGACAGTCATAGCACACGTCTGATCCGAATACGGGCGTCGTCAAGGGGCTGTAAACCTCCTCCGCATTAACGTCCTTTAGCTTGCCGTTGAGAATGAATTCGTTGCCTTTTATGCCTAGGTAGACGGTGATCGGACGTCCGAGGAGAATGAAGGTAAAGATATCGCCGTACTAAATGGGATAGCGCGTTAGGTTGTATCTCATCGCACAGTTTGGTTAGGGAGGCTCGCTCACCTTTTCACGACATGAAAAGAAGAAATCGTACGGATCCATGCCATAGTGAATCGCACTGCCTATGAAGGGCACCCAGTGGAAGACGAGAGGCGGCCTGGTCCTGTTCAGAATGCGAAATAGGAATTGGTAGACAAGATTAAGGGCGATGATTGACAGCAAAGCCAACAGGCCGTAGACCCCAATAAAACAGCAGGACATGACGACCAGCGGGCCAAACTGGAGTTAGACAAGCACGAGGACAGGAGGGTACAGGTTGGAAATCGTAGCTTTTGGAAGAAAGAAAGGGAGAGACGGAGTGAAGACGGAGGTAGTGACGGAGTGATTTTGGCATTATTTTCTTGGAAATGTTTCCCTTCCATGACCATCGACCCATTTCACCCTCATCCGGATTCCTCAGTTCCGCTCGCGCTTGCGACTGGGCTAGCCGCAAGCGGGCTGCACAAGCCAATGAGCGATGTGAATACTATAGAAATTCGTAAGTCTTACTTGTACAAACCTACATGCGCCAAGCAGGGGCTGCCCTGGCCGGCAGCGCGCTTTAACCCGACTTCGCTTTATTCACACCATAACAAACAAACGATGCGAACCAGAACTATGGAGCTTTCATCAACTTGCCGCGTATCACTAGGTTGATATAGGCTCCTTACTCGCACTCCACATTACATAGGTAATGACGTTATATTCGAAGCATTCTAGCTTACACGTAGCCATAGGCGCACATGTAGCCTAGGGTATGATCTCGCTTCTGATCGAGTGCAGGATGGATGGTAGTGGATGTGCTCGACCTGCTAAGAGACGAAAACCCCAAGGATGAGAGATCGTAGACCTAGCCTATGTACCTAGCCGACGGTCTGCCTCAAGACCGACTCTGGAAGTTGCACTGGTCACTAAGACGCTTCTGGATTTGAATGGAGTGTTGGGCGGTACAGTAGAAGTGGAGGCTGTCCTGTAGTTTTCTGACGCATTGCATATGCAAGTGGCCCGTCCGAGGTAAGTCCAAGATTGCTGGAATGGCCGCCAATATTCAATGACTCAGGGAGAGAAAGATGTCATGGTGAGCGAGGTGCCCATCTCTTATATAGTATAAGGAGGAAAACATTCTCCGTGGGCGCACAGCCCTCATTCTGTCTCTGCAGTTTGGGCATTGACATCGGCGATGGGAAGCGTAATCTCGGACAGCGCGCCAAGCTCCTTGTAGGTACTAAGAACGCTTTCCATAAGAATCCTAACGGGGAGTTGGGTACGGAGTTGGTCCAGAAAGATGGCTTGGTCCATATCACTCGGTATGTAAATAATCGGCAATGCGGAAAATTCCGGTTTCGAGCGATACTTTCTCGTCAAGCGGATCGTAACCACTCTTCCGCAAGGCGAAAGGTCTTTTTACTCGCTACGGTTTGAGGGGGTCAGCGAAACTGAATGTGTTCACTCCAAGGAGCAGAACTTAAGAGCTCTCGGTGAGGACGAGGTAGTCATCGATGTAGACGCCGCTCTATTGGATGATGCTCTTGTATGTATACAGTTCCGTTTTCCAAACCATTTGAGCTTCCGCAGTGTTGACTGGTACTGACCAAGATTAGCCAATTGCCGCTCTCAAGGGGCAGAGATTCTCACCATGCTTGGGATTGGAGCTAAAAGGCACTGTCCGTGCCGTGGGATCCGGATATCCAAACTGAACGTGGGGAACCGTGTGGGCTGTTTGTGTCCCCGCCAAGTTGATACAGCAGTATTTGTGAAGGGACGTTATTGTGAACCTTGGATCTTCGCCGCTGCAATGGTGGAAGGCGATCCCATCAGTACACGTTCGATGAATTGGCCGAGCAAGTGGGAGCCATGATGAAGGCGAAGGTTAAGTGAGACGTCGCCGGAGACATTTTATCTTTTTGATTGCTTGAGCAGACAATCGCTACCGGGGCTGGCTCAGGGGTGAGTTTCTGAGTTTCTACCAAGTCACGTGGACGAGCATTCACCCGCTGAAATCATTGACGTGCTCGATATGGGGATCAGACAACTATAGAGTAGAGGATAGAGGCAACAAGATATGCCGGCTTTGAAACATACCGGCATGTCTTCGGCCCACTGGCCGACGTTCGCGTCGACTCACGTGACAGAACGATTCTGGGTGGGATTTCCGCTACGGGGCAAGGTGCCGATCCCGATCAGCATCAACTAGACTGTTACGACAAGCTTAGTAGTTGTTAGCAATGGTATATGTAAAAATGTACATGGGGAACATACTTTGACTGTCGACCACAGAGATGGGTGAACGACGAAAGACGTTTGAGGCTCTTTACAATTTCGGCATTCGGCTAAATGACGTTTATCGATTAGATGGCATCCGGCCATGTCCGGGGCCGAGCCAAGAGCTTCCGAATAGCGGACCTCAACTTTCGTTCCCTCGTATTCCCAGTCATTCACCGGCATTGCTGGGGATTACCTCTTTGCTTCCTCGATTATGAAGCATGAGCATCCGCCAGACCGCCCAATGTCGGCGCCTGGGAACGCTCGCGAACCAAGTGAGTACCCTGTCTATATTTTTGACTTACCCTGCAACGCCCCGCCTATTGTGAACCCTAATTGTACAACATTGGCTTATCGAATCCTCCTCCAGACATTCTTGAGGTACGGTAGACTATGCAATGGTAGCGAAACTCCAAGATTTTCTTCGACCGAAACCGGATATCCCACGTCTCGACGAAACTCCGTCAAAGAAAGGCAGCGTGCCGAACGAGAGCAATTGATCAAGTCGCTGAAAGAATCGCCTGGAAAACGCGATGCCAGAAACTTCCTGAAACACTTTGATACCTCTACGAAGGTTCACAAGGCAGCTGCTGTGGAACAGGATCGCGCTGTGCGGGATGCCGTGGAGAAGGCGCATCATAATGAATGGCGCCTGACGAGGACGGGCGTGAACTTGGGGAATCTATATGAGCCGACTAAGGCTATACAAGACAGCCCGGTTTTCTCTCAGCAGCCCTTGCCAGAGAAGCGTGGCCCAGAGCTTGTGGAGCCGCTACATATTGCATTGGTCAAGTTGCGACAACCGCAGGTGCTCGACGATGAGACGCTGGGGGGACTCGCGTTGACCTTAAGCCAGATGGTCCGTCTGGGTTTGAACATCGCAGTTGTGGTTGACTGCGACGACGATGTGGTTCCGAATACGCTCGAACTTAGCCCACCCTGGGAGGACCTGGTCCGTGAGCAATCAACCCGCATCGTCGATGCGTTGGAAGAGTACAACGAACCAGGCGCATTTGAGGTGGATCATGCGTTGACTGTATCGGAGTTGCCCAAGGAAATACCCGCCACTGTCCATACCCGTGGAGTCGTGGAAGTCAAGCACAACCACCTGATATTTCCGCCAATCGAAGATGGCATCATTCCCGTCATCCCGCCCTGGGCTTATAATGCGGAGTTAAAGAAGGTTAGAGTTCGACCGGACGATGTGGTACTGGCGCTGACCCGCGAATTTGCGGGCCTCACCAAGCAGATCGTAGAGGCAGAGGACACGGAGGAAGGTTCTCTCAAGGAATCGAAAGGACCCGACGAGGGGCGACTGCTGGACAGAATCATTGTGCTCGATCCTCTCGGAGGGTTACCATCCGACAACCGGGTGGATGGAGCCCATGTTTTCGTCAATCTGGAAGCTGAATACCAGGACGTGAGGAAGGAGTTAGAAAAGCGGCCTCCGACGGCTGATCTGAGAATCACTTCATCAGAAGCGGAGCCATCACTTGGAGCCAGTAACCCATTCTCGGCATTTGTTGAAACCGAAATGGCACCTTCATGGGGTCCATCTACCCAGAAGATCGAGAGCCCACAAGGGCCTAATCGACACGTCCAGAACCTCGACGTGGTGCAGAAAGCTCTCAAGCTACTGCCTCCTTCTTCATCGGCGCTAATCATCACCCCGACTGAAGCAGCCATATCGTCTCAAGTTCCCTTCATGCCTTCACCCTCCACCGGCGTGCGAACGCGACGCTCCAAAAACCCTCTGATTCACAATCTCCTCACTGATAAGCCGATGATATCCTCATCACTCCCAGCGCCTCTTGTTGACCGTGTTACGGCATCTACCGCTCCGACCCCAGCTACTTTCCTTAAGAAAGGCATCCCCGTCACTCTGATACCGGACCCTCGCCTGACTGGCGGCTGGCAACCACCATCTCCTGGAAATCCTAGCATCGAGTTGGAGAAAGACCCTCGTATCAATTTCCCTAGGCTTGTCGAACTTATCGAAGACTCGTTCAGGAGGAAGCTGGACGCTCGGCATTACCTGGACCGGATACGAGGCCGAGTGGCAGGGTTGATTGTGGCGGGCGACTACGAAGGCGGTGCCATCTGCACGTGGGAGACGCATCCCGATGTGAGGACGACCCCGCCACCAGATTCTCCCCTGTGGGTGCCATATCTGGACAAGTTCGCCGTCCTCACCACTTCTCAGGGCTCTGGTGGCGTGGCCGACATCGTGTGGAATGCGTTGACGCGGTCATGCTTCCCCAATGGCCTTGTATGGCGCAGCAGGACAAGTAACCCCGTGAACAAATGGTATTTCGAAAGAGCGGTCGGAATGTGGAATCTACCAGACGGACAATGGACGATGTTTTGGACCACTGAGGGCGTGGTCGAGGAATGGGCGGAAAAGAAGGCGGAGAAGAGGACGATTACCGCTGATGCTGTGGGCATGAATGAGATGACTAGATGGGACTCCTATGTTGGTGTTTGCGGAGGAGTGGTACCCAGCTGGGCGGACAACAGGAAGCCGGATTAAGTAGTTGACATGGGGGTCAGATACGCCGGAAGAGAATGCCACACGGCACATTACTCCGAACTGTTGGGTCTGAGAGTTGAGACCTTAGGGTGCAATTCGCCTGTACCTGAAGATATTGCAAACAGCCCAGGCACAACTACGCTCCGTTTTTCCATCTCCGCCTTATATCGAACGACAAAGACGCGATTTATGCAGCGTATCAAGCCATTATGAAGACTTCCTCCCATAGGAGACGGTTTCACATTCGGTGTCTTCGGCAGGCGATAGGGACAACCCCTATAAGTATTCGGTGCCTCTCCCATATGCCCACGAGAAGCCCAGAGCAAGTCCCTATTAGCTCCGTAATAGGGATCTTTAAAGAGGCGCAAGGGAACGCCTACACACCCTATTTTAGCTCTTAAGGAGGGGGAGTTGTCGGAGGGAGAGAGAGCGACGGCGGGTTGACTGATGGAGGGTTCCGGATGATGAGTAGATGCTCATTCGCTGAAAGGGGTGATATACTGTGTAGTTGTTGAGGTTGTTGAGACTAACATTGCAGGATAGTCTATACCTAGTACTCTCACTGTAGTGACTAGAATTTTCTGGATTGGATAATGTCATCTCTCTCTGTTGCGATCCACTCAACTTGGTCACCGTCAAATCTCCAGACCATCCTTTTGATGGTGTATAAAAATGCTTCCATTGAGTTCCGTGCTATGCAGAGAACTTTCCCAACCAATAGAGGGTAACTCAACTATCATTCTCTTCGATCCACTTCACGATATCCTTCTGTTGTTGCGCCACGATATTCATCGCCTCATCCGTGTCATACAAATCGTACCAACCAGGAGACTCGTGCGGGGGATCCCCAGCCCACACCATGCCAAAGTCATTGACATATTGTGTCTCCGGTCTCCAGATTCCACCATAGGCCCATGGACAGCTGCCCACATATGCGCCACCACTTTTGAAGCTATCCATCACTGCGCCAATGATGCTCTAGAAGATTTGGTTAGCTGTTCTTCCTTAATGATGCGTTGAACATACCTTAAAATAGGCGTCCTTATGAGTCGTCTTCGCAGAGCTCAAATAAGGATACTCCTTGTCCATATTCTCCCAATTATCCCTCGCCATCCCAAACTCTTCCAAAAACACCGGCTTGCCAATATCCAACGCCCACCGGCTCGAATCCTTGACAAAGGCCACGGCGAAATCCTGCGCTTGTTTGAGGTTCGCCTCGCTGGGATCATACATATCGTAGATGCCCCAATTCTGCACCCAACAATGGGTAGTGGCGTAGTCCACAGTGGACAGATTGTGCACCCTCTTGAAGTAATACTCTCCCTGCTTGCTCTCCAATCCAACGCTGATGAGCTGTTTCGGAGCTAATGCCCGGATATACTTTGAAATGCGTTCAACCCAAGGGAACAGCAAGTCATCCGGGTTCGATTTCAGATATATATTGAAAGGGCCCTCGTAACCGAGTGCCTTCTCGGCCTGTGGCTCGTTCGCAAGCTGCCACGTCATGATTGTCGCATCTTCTGTGTACAACCGCCCGTTGATTGTGTTCCTTCGCGACATCACGGTCTTGATATGGTCTTTATACCATTGCTCCGCTTGGCTGTCACTGTATATCCGGTTCGCGAAGTCCGTGAACTCGGTATATGGCGCGGCGTCAATGCCCTGCACTGTATAGCTTCCCCAACCCGTCCGTGGTTCCTTGCGCTGAGGCGGCGCGCTCATATTCCATGATGATGGATAAGGAATCCTTGTGTTATTATGCGCCCAAGACACAAACTGCGCGAACCCTCCAGACCACTGCCATTCATTTCCGAGCGTCATAGTCGCTCGCATACCGCGTTTGGACATTTCATCCAAGCAGATGTCTAGCCCCACAAATACCTTCTCGTTGTATTGCCCCGGTGCTTCCAGTAGTGGAGGATTCATGCGGAAGGGTTGAGGTGTAGGGGCGCCTTCTGATGCAGCCATTATGCGCAGGTGATTGACCCCTTTGGCGGCCATTTGATCCAGCTCGGTGACGAGTCGTGTGTAGTTGCCGCCTTGAGAGGCATCGGCGGCTAGGTTCATGCAGGCCCAGTAGTTGAGGCCTGTGATGTAGTGGAGGCCCGAGGAGTCTTTGAGGCGGAGGCCATCGACGTGGATGAAGTCGCTGGGGTCGATGCGGTTTGCGTTCTGTCCTTTTCTTCTTTGTGGAATGGCGTTTGCGGCCAGCGAGACTCCGATCAGTGAAAGGAGTAGGAGGATAGAGCGAAGTGCGCCCATTTTGGCCTACAATCAGCACTTGTACCAGATTCTACTAACCGAGGGAAGTCGTCGAAGGAGGCTTTGTATTTTGTATGTTGGTGGATAATTCGTTGTTGATTGACATCATTTAGGTGCATTTCCCGGGTAAGCTACACGGAGCTTCCTATTCGAGCCAGGCAGGGGCAAGGAGCTTAGATTGATGGTTCCATTGAAGGAGGGGCGATGGTTTGGAACTTGGAGGTACAAACTCAAGTACCCCTCATTTATTCTTGCACGATTCTCCCGTGGCTAACGTTGTAACCAGCATTTGGGGTTACCTTAGCTTGAGATCTCAAGCACTGCGTATGTTCTCTAACACAGTAGGAACCACTTTAATAGGATATCTGATAATATTTGAATTAGACTAGACAATGTAGAGTGTTTATCGAGTATAGTAGGCCATGTCCGAGAGTTAGGGCCGCTTCCACGAGGAAAATAAAGTGAGCATATATTTTTTTTAACCCTCACGCAACCAGTGCGGTTCCGCTGAACAAGTTCAACCGCTCTTATGTTGGGCACAAAGTAAATACTTAGTTTCACAAAGGGTAGATCAATTTCTCCCAATTCTCACCCAACTTCTTTAGCGCAACGTTATGCCCAGTCGCTAGTGTTGCAAAAGAGACATAGATAGAAGGGCAACAGCCTGTTATTAGGCGCTATGTTCTACTTAACTGCCATGCTTAAACGGCGGGCAAAACAGACCTTGTTAGGATATTGCAAGTTGCAATGTTTTTGGCACGGCAAATAGGACTGGAGATGGATGAGAGCATACAAAGGACACTTAACGCTTGCTATCAATAAAAATTGGAGAGACTTAAAAGCGACAACTCCGTATGGGTAGTCCAAATACTAATCAAACAGAAGCCACAATCCAGTGTTATATATTCCTTTGATACCCCGACTACCACCTCTATTCTCCAGTCTGTCATTGCTGGCAAAGCGGTTATGCAGCAATCCGCAAGTGGAAAATGCTGATGATCCGGTATATACGGTTAGCAATCTCTCATTCCAGGATTAAGGAGTCGCCCACGTTTTCCTGACACTGACGCTCCTTTCGTATCATTTTAATTCTAGCTGAGGATTATGAGGTTGAGCACAGACTCCGGAATCCATTTGGTCCTACACTAGGCACCTCACAAAGCATTTCCGCCGCCACTAGTCCGCGGGATGAAGCACGCTTCTTCGGTCGAACAACTGTGCGGACGATTGTGGACACCACATGTTGTAATAAAATGCGCACAGCCAATTAGCCACCTAAACGAGGATTACAATGCGAGCGCACGTGGTGTAATCATCTCACAAACAGCGCAAAAGGCCGCTGTTGAAACTCCAAGGCAACAACAAACGGCAGGACGCTTGTGCGTGGATGAGTATTTGCTCGTAGAGTATAAGTACGAGATTGGATACCGGAGAAGTCCCCTGGCCACACGGAACTTCTCATTCACTCCTAGAGATACCACAATGTACCTCCACGCATTGATCCTTTCATTTGCCTCGTCATTCCTAATCAAGCGCACACATGCTCTACCAGAATCCAGCTTCCCTAGCCGGTGTGCCTCCCTTCCGCAAAACCTTAACTTGAAAGACTACCCCGGTGCCACCGTCACAATCGCCAAATATCTCCCAGCGAACTCTACAATCGACCACGCAGCCGAAGGCCGTAACGCAACATGCATCGCTATGTTCGACGCTCCGCCCCTTCCGGTCAATATTTGCCGCTTGCAACTTCGCGTACCGACGTCCCACAGCAGCGGCGTGATCATGGAAGCATGGCTCCCGGAGAACTGGTCCGGGAGATTTCTTTCAACGGGAAATGGTGGACTAGCGGGTTGTATTCAGTACAGTGACATTGCGTATGCTACAAAGTACGGATTCGCCGCCGTGGGGACCGATAACGGACACCCTGGCACTTCACCGGGCGCGTTTTATCATCAACCAGAAGTTTTGAGGGATTTTGTTTGGAGGGCGCTGTATACGGGAGTAGTGGTTGGGAAGGAAATTACAAGACAGTTCTATGGAAAGAGGCACGCGAAGTCGTACTATTTCGGGTGCTCGACAGGCGGACGGCAGGGTTTCAAGGCGGTCCAAGATCACCCGGAGTTATTCGATGGAGTGGTTGCAGGAGCCCCCGCGATTGAATTTACGGGAACGCTGGGATGGGCCACGGCTATGATGGCGACGTTGTGGAATCCTGCTAGCGAGGAGTATCTGTCGGAACAGGATTGGCAGCAAGTTACGAAGGAGGTAGTACGCCAGTGCGACGGTAAAGATGGCGTCAAGGACGGCATCATAGAAGCGGTACAGAACTGCAAGCCGGACCTATTGAACCTAAAGTGCCGGGTCGACAACCAATCGGAGTGGTGCCTCTCGGAGGTGAAATTCGAAGGCCTGAAAAGAGTTTATGGCCCTTTGGTTGACCAAGGGATGATCAGATATCCGGGCTTGACACCGGGAGCTGAAGCGGCAACTCAGGCCGGATGGAAACTGTTCAGGGATCTGAATACCATCAGTGAATGGATCCGCTTCGTCGTCAAAGAAGACGAACATTACAACGTGGTCCCCACAACTCAAGATGCCGTGGATATACTACGGACGAATCCCTTCAATATTCGCACTTTCGAAACCGACATCTCCAAGTTCCGCAAGCGGGGAGGAAAGGTCCTGCACTGGCATGGCCAAGTCGATGAGCTACTTCCCATCGGGACCTCGGACCGCTACTACGACCTTGTCGCGCAGACTCTGAAAGCTTCTCCCAACGAGCTGGACAGCTTCTATCGCTACTTCCGCATCTCGGGCATGAACCATTGCGCGGGAGGCCCTGGTGGCTGGGCCATCGGTCAAGCTTGGGGAACATCTGCCAGTGACCATCCAAACGACAATGTGCTGCTTAGTATCGTGGACTGGGTTGAGAAAGGGAAAGCGCCGGGGTTTATCAGGGGAACGAAATGGTTGAATGACGATCCGGCACAGGGTGTTGTTTTTACAAGAAAGCATTGTAAGTACCCAGATGTGAATCGATACTTTGGAACGGGAAATGGAACCGATGAGGATGGGTGGCGATGCGTGAGGAACGGTCATGGAACACACTAAGGACGGACGATCCCAGTAATAGCGTAATGTTGCAGCCGCTAGATATGTTACTTGAAAATCTATTGAAAGGAGCGGAACCTAGATCGCTCGCATGATCTCGGCCTTGATGCTACTCTTAGCCACATGAGTTAGTATTGCAAGCACATGTAATACATGCGGGACCTCCTTTCTTATCAAGCGTGCTCTCCTTTAGGCGATGTTCATCATTCTTCTCTCCACCGCACTGTGGGAGAGTGGCGGCGACGCAAACCCCGACCCCGAGGCCGCGGAGACTGAAGTAAACGCGCGCATTGCATTGGGAAGACCATTAGGAAGCTGCGATAAGGCCACTACAGTAGTCTCTGGTAGAGCACGAAGGGAGCTGGTATCAACCATTGTGTCCTGAAAAGTGTTGCGGATCCTTCGAGCCGACTTCTTTGAGAAGATGTACCAGCCACTCAAGACCAAGCCCGTAAGGCCCGACGCAACGAGTGCGTAAAGCCAGATCCACTTGGAGACAACCCGGTCACTCTCTTTCGGGTGGAAGTTGAAGAAATCTGTGCTAAAGAGTGTCTGCGGTGGGATAAGTTTGAATCATTTGACAAGTTTAACAAAGCGCAGTACCTATCGCAATCAAAGTTGGTGGGAGGAACCCCAGAGTGACGGCGGCAATAAGCCGCATGTCAGTACTATCCCTCCGCGTCAAGAGAGCGACCTTGTTTGAATCAAGGGCGATGGACCGCATCACGGAGCTGTCGTGCAAGCTCAGCTCCGCCAGTTGTCGAGAGGCGGCGGCACGTTCAATGTTCACCTGGCTGTCCCGTTGATTCACAAAGTTATATATCTGCAGATAACCAGTGCTGCGATTGAAGTGCAGGGCGTACAGCGAACCGTTTGCAATTGGATATCTGCGTGTTGTATTGAAGATAAAGTGCGACTCTGCAAACTGACAAGCAGATCCTCGGCATTTGTTATGCTGACATTCACTACATTGCGTAGCGTGGAGGGTTTCGAGACCTGAATTGGGAAGACCTCCTTTAGACGTCTACACGATTGCTTCAGCGTCTTCAGCGCAAAGTCATCCCATGCGAGGCTATGCCACATCACCGTAATTTTATGCGTGAGTGCATCGATATCAAGTGGACGTTTGCGGAGGAGTGCCTCCTCAATGGTCAGTGCATGCCTGTTTGGAGCTGAATATTCTCTAGCTCGGCGCGGCGGTGACTTGTGCGGATCACCCTGACTTCAAGAAGGATACCAAGCCAGACCACAATAGCGAGTCTAGGGTCATCGGCGTGACCACTCAGTCTTATAAGCTCGCGTTTAAATGGGCGGGTTTGATGACCGCACAGGCCTATGATGAAGCAATCTGCGCTTTGAGTGTTGTAATCGAAAGTGAGTGCAATTCCAGCTGAGCCGAGTGTTGCTAAGAAACCTCTTAAGGGCCTGAGATTAGCTATAACTGAAGATCACCGAAACTGATTCTGGACATGCCATGTTTTCCGATACCTGGATCATACTCGGTGACGATGGATGCATGTAGCACGAGATAGTCAAGGAAGCCAGTCGGTAGCGCAAAAGTGGAGCAAATTTCTTTCCACGTTGACTGTTTGAACGGAATTGGGACCTCTTCTATTCCCAGGTCAATCCGTTCTGCGCTGAATCTAAAACATATCAGTGATACTCTTACATTCCGTGGTTGTAAACTCACAAAACCCGCAATCTGTTATTGGCCACCCTCCGCCTTCCAATGTACAGCACGATCTGTTCTTGCCGTAAATTCACGTCGTCAAATCTACTACCTTCGTCATCCTCGTTCGAGGTGTGATACAACTCAAAAATGGTATGACCGTCTCTTGGAACGAACATACTGAATTCGAGTTTACTTCGGATAACGTTAACATGACGCAGATTGATTGAGCGATGAACAGAAGGAGGAGTGATGATCTGTCGCAAAGAAGAACCCAGTGGGGTTTCCGCCGCAAAGATCACAACGTACGACTGTTTTTGTCTTTAGCCGTTGTTGAAGAAGTTGACGCGGTACAAAGCGTAACATGGTAGTACAACAAACCAATCAACCGAACACCTTTCGAAACCCAATACCCGCGGGCCCAATGTTCAAGCTCAAGCTCAATTTCCACCTATTCGCATTCGCCGTCCTTTCAAAAGTGTCCATTCTATCTTCCCACTCCCTCGCCCTGGATGCAAATTCGTGTGCTCGTCGCTGCGAATCCCTCTGCCGCCTCTTCACGACTGTTTCACGAGAATCTCGCACAATGGCGTCTTTCATACCTTCTATCCCATCCATGGTCCACTGAGGCATATTATCGTACATCAAGGTGCCATTTCGCGATTGCGCCACGAAGCCGCCATACCGGTATGGGTGAAGTGTCACGTTCACAACTTCCTCAATGCCACGGTCTTGCCTACGTGCATAATCCAGCATTTGGGATAGCATGCGGTAGTTTCCTAGATCCCAGATTGCTGCGTCCTTTTCGGTGATGAGGAGGAAGTCGTTGTCCGCGCCGAGAGCGACGATGCGAGGTTGGTCCGTAAAGGCACCGTTCTGAATCCTTGATTGCAGTTTCTCTAGGAGAAGGGGAGGAAGGTTCATCCAGAGGTAAGATGAACCATCACCAGCAAAGAAGGATGCATTGTAAGGCCCCAGAGTGAGGCGAAGATTTGGTATCGAGCGGAGGTAGATATTTTTCTCATTTTTGGCATAGAGGAAGTCGTGTAGCTCAGTGGGGAGGTTCTCGGAAGCTGGATAGCCGTTACCAAAACGAAGGACATTGGGAGACATATCTGAACCTACCTATATGATCCACCCCCTGTTTGTCTCGATACGTTATGAGAAAGCTGCTCTGATATCCCAACGTCACGTGATGCACCTCTCCCACTTGTTTCGAACTGAGCAGAATCTGAAGTCTCTTCGGCAGGCGAGAACTAAAGAATTTGTTAGCTACTGTCTCTCACGGCTTACAAAATCTAGCGTACTGGTCACGTTTTGAAGGACATTGAAGAAAGTGGCCACCTCTTTGACCAAATGCGAAGATGGTGTCACACATGTTGAGGTGTTTGTGGTGAAATGCTTCGAGAAGTAGTCATTGCAAGGTCGCAACCTTAGTTGGGAGGAGAACTTTTTATGCTTTTGTCACATCATATCCGACGTGAGAAAGCGTCTGCGTTGGAAGTCTGGAGTTGACCGTTCAAAGGGAGTTGGCGATGCCAAGAATTCATTCACCAAGCAGGTTTCAGCCGTTTGGGACTCTTTCCCAGGCTCCGTTTGAGTTCATGAACGTGAAACGACGAGGTATCATGAATTGTCTGACATATTATGGCCCAGCACTGCGACTGCCTCTTCTTGATTTAGCTCTTTTGAGTTTGTATCGTGTTGAGGGAAGGGTCGCTTATGACGTCATATTCCCTTTAACGCAGCTGTACCATGAACGGAATATCGAGTAGTACTAGATCGTTTTTCTCTTTTGGACCTAATGAGAGCTATATATCGAATAGTTATGAAGGACTAACATAGTAAGTTACTCATGATTTGAGGTCTGGTTTCGTGTTTAAATCCTTACAGTCGCAACCTCCCTCTGCCGCTATATCAACTCATCATTTCGGGAAGAGTGGTAAGCGCGCACTGGGCCGCTCTTGGGCCGGTACAAGAATCATGGCTTTTAAGCTACACAGATGGGGAAGGGAAGAATAACCTTGGTATTTACCACAGTCATACCATTTTGGACGTCAAGTTGACCATTGGCCGAAGCTTGGGGCGAGGAGATCCCTTGGGAGTTAGAAGAGATCCTCGGATCTATCAAACCCAACCCTCATATCTACGTATATCTAGGCCCTAAAGAGTCCTTCATAGCCTGGGGACCGAGCTTCATCCGATGGACTGCCCTGCCCTCTGGGTTAGAAGCTTCTCTGCAGGGTTGGCTCACTCCCTCTGGATGGAGAGCGGGGCCTCCAAGGATCGTGACCTGGGGACGGAAAGGTGCTTATTTTGCCTTGAGTGAGTATGGGGAGGTTAAGTATCGCACTGGATCAGGCGACTCTTGGCGTACTTTTAAAGAGACGGTAGAAGAATGGGAGGCCGAAGCTGGGTTTTCATGGAATGACCTCGCGGTATGTGACAATCGAGTTGCATGCGTTGACACGTCTTCTCATACACTAGCACAGTATATAACTCTCGACTCAACCGTGCCGGATCAGTTCGTCATGATGAGAGTCGACAGGACATGGGCTGGATCCATAGGCGACGGCAATGAGCAGGCTCTTGAAGCGTTTGTGCACAACTTCTTCACATCCGTCAAGTCTAAGTCGAAGACGCAGCCAAATCAGAAAAGCAATGACAATAACCGGTCAGACGGCGGAACAAACCAAAGGTCAACTGTTCCCGATGCCGCGACAAGAGCACACTACGAAAAGTGGGCAGCTGAGGTGTCAAGCGCGTTCTCTTCGGCGCTTGCTGCCGCTGGAGGAAAAGCAGGACCAAAGAAATTGGAAATTCGCAATGGCAATCCTCGAGCATCGACACCGCAGAGTCCAAACGGAAAGAGGCAAGCAAAGCTGCTGACGTCGTTCCCCTATCTCCCCTCCGAAGTCACTATCTGCGAGCTGGACGTTTGTCGTGTATCAAAAGTCGATCCTGGGGGCTTAAGGGCCTGTAGGCACGACGTGGAACGGTTCTTACGCGCTTCAGGGCAGTACAGCAAAGAGTTCTTGAGACAAGAACGAATCAGGTGGCATCCAGATCGCTTTGGTCGGTTGTGCAGCGCAGATTGGAGAGATGATGGGAGGAGGTTGGCGGAAGAGATGTTCAAGATTATAGACAATCTCATTGCTGATCTGGACACAGATCAGGGCTGAATTGGCGGGTATAATCCAGGTGGATCTGTCCATGCGAAGTTGTATATCTCGTTGTCGCTGAATTTGTAACCCCCTCATTCAAGAAACACTCCCGCATGTAGTCGGCAGAGTTCTCGCGATCTTGAAGAAATCCGTACTGCTTTGTTCGTATGGAGCCGGACTGGGCTTATGAGTGTGGTGCAGGTAGGCCTTTGTTTGCCACCCGATGCGCTGCAGATGTTCTTTCAGGACCCCAACCCTGGTTTCTTCTCCTTCTCCTTATCAACGGTTATGATTCTGGGCATCACCCTCTTCAACTCCTCCTTGTCCTGCTCAGTTGGCACCAGTCCGAGCTTCTCCTCCACCTTGTCAGACATGAACATGCCGAACACTGCGTACCCCATGATGCCAACTCCGATGAGTATGCGCGTCTTGGGCGCAATGCCCTTGTACCACCTGAGTTCTTGTTAGCTGAATCGGCATGACCGATGTGAATAGTATACGCACTGCCAGACAGCCATTGAGGATGCTGGTAGAGCAGAGGACGACGGGGATGCAGAAAAGCTCGGCGGAAGGAGCAGCGCCAAGACTATTTACTTTAACGACATGCAAACCTTCCTCCGGCCACCTGGAGCATCCATTCGCAATTTCCACGGCCAACCCCGCCTCTCACAGCATATCTTTTGCCCGAACGGCAATGCCACAGCGCAAGTGAAGGCCGACTACCGCAGGCTCGATGTGACGAGACGCCAATTCGCCGTAATCGACTACTCTACGCCGTGCACATATCCCCTCCATGATTGCACCATCTCAGCCCTCGAGAACAGCCCAGGTCCCTGGACTGTGGATATAAGATCCGCACAACATGCCCGGATTCCGCCGCTGGGGCAAGTCCAAGTTCCAGAAGAATCCCGAGTCGTCCTTCAAGCTCTTAGCCGCCGTCCTCGTCATCACCTTCTACCTCATTATCAAGGAGTTTTCGCACCCGACTTTTCGGCAAGACACAAGGATCGCCACGTTTGGGGCGCATATACAGTACACAGAATGGCAGAATGGGACGGAGAGGGCCGATGTGGAAAAAGCGGACAAGGTGCGCGAGGCTATGAAGCATACATTCTGGAAATACAGGCATAACGCGTGGGGCCAAGATGCTATCAAACCCGTCACCGGAGCCAATGACTCTTCGCGGAATGCCTGGGGAGCTTTCATTGTTGACGCTTCGACGACGCTGGCGCTCATGGGTCTATGGGAGGAACTGGCGGAGTGTGTTCGATTCATAGTTGAGATTGACTTCTCAACTGCACACGGCCTCGTGGATCCATCCGAAGCAACGACAAGATATCTAGGAGCTTTGACCTCTCTTGTAGACTTGTCCGAAGCCGGCATCATTCCAGGGAGCGTCTTAGACATGGAGACACGGGTGAAGATACTACAGCAGGCTGTTGCCCTCGCAGATAATCTGGGACCCGCGTATGACACGCCCACCGGTATGCCATGGCCCCGTGTAAACTTCAGGACTGGCAGAGGCGTTCCTGGTCCTCCAGAAGTTTACCTCGAAGACCCAGATCAATCCCGCTATGATGGTCCAGCGATCTCACCCGCGCGCGGTGGCTCGGCCATCCTTGAGAATCGCGTACTAAGCCGCATGACTGGAAACAATATCTACGCAAAAAATGCAACCCTCGCATGGGCGCCGCTTGTATGGAGCAACTACACTGCTACATGGAGCGGCATGATTGACGCACCGATAAACATCATGACAGGAGAACCAGTCGGGCGCCAACGCCATTGGGACGCCGGCCACGACGCCTATTACGAATATCTCCTCAAGATGACCCTTCTGGCACCCCGCTCTGATCCTCATCTCGCAGTCTACAAGCGCCGCTTTGTAGACTCTGCCTACTCCCTTCGCGGATCACTAGCCACCCGCTCGACCCCAGTTTCGGATCACCTAATGCAGCATCTTTTTCTCGGCATGCAGGATCGCCGATGGTACCTCAACCGCCAGTCCCATGCCGCCTGCGCTGCACCCGGAGTGCTTCTCCTGGCCGCAAAACTCTACGACGAGCCTGCCCTACGAACGTTTGCCCTCGCCCTTTTAGAAGGCTGCCATCACACATACGCATCTACTCCATCCAAAATCGGGCCCGAAACCTGGTCCTGGATCCCCAATCGCGTCACCACCGAGTCACAAGCCTTCCAAACGGAAACAGGCCGCGAAGATAAAGAACTAAAAGCCCACGGTTTCTGGGCCGTCGACGGGCGATATAGAGGCCGTCCGGAGTACTTGGAATCCCTCTTCTACGCCTGGCGCATTACCGGTCAACAGCGCTATAGGGACTGGGCGTGGGAAGCATTTCTCGCCATGGAAACGCACTGCCGCGCCCCGTTTGGATACGCGCAATTAGCGGATGTGGGCAGAGTGAAGGAGGAGGAGTGGTCTGGCAAGGGAGAGGGGAGATGGATTGACAAGCAAGAGAGTTATTGGGCTGCGGAGACGCTGAAGTATGCGTATTTGGTGTTTAGTGGCGTGGATGTGGCGAGTTTGGATCAGTGGGTGTTTAGTGCTGGGGGTCATGTGTTCAGGATGATTCGGTAGGAAATGAGGATGGGATGGTTAGCGTTGTATGTATGGGCGTTCGGCGTCTGATACCCGTCCAGTCGTCATGTTTTTCTCGGTTGGGGACGCCTTAAATGGAAATCAAGATCTCTCTCTGTTCTAACAGATTTAGACTACCCTACAATACTCTTGCCTGCTCTCCTACCTCCACCCCCGCAACGTACGTAGGCTAAACATATCTTCCTCGGCCTTCGTACAAGGTATTGCAAAAGTTCCACAAAGGAAACAGGGCAACAGTCCTGCGAATTGACACTCGCTTCGCCTGCTTGTGCGACGGATTGCATTGTCTCCATGTAGGATGTGGTGGAACAGCGTACAAGGGGTGAATGCGGTTGAAGACCTTAGAGTGCTGCGGTGGGGCGGGTAGATGCGGATAAGAATGTGCAAGAAGGACGGCAGCGGGGAAAGTGCTGGAGAATGGGTCTGGGTGAGTCCTGAGGGGAGAATGTAGGGGTTCGATGGGAGGGTGGAAACAGTGCGCTCTTGGGTTAAGGTTGCAAGTTCAGTTCACTTGGACAGACCAGGGAAGTGGCAACAGGGAGGGGTATGTTATTATATATTAGTATAGATGGAATGATACAGGGTATATATATACAGTTGATAGCCGTCATTCGTGGTCATTCATTACTGGCATCAGTTCCCCAAGTTCTCAGAAGAAAGACGAATCGATAGATCCATCCTAGGGCAATGAGCAGCGTCGTGTTGAGCGAACCCTCGAAAAACCGCACCCTCAAAGCAGGAAGCAAGACGTATTCTCCAACCTTGCCGTGGCGTTGCCTGCTACAACGTGGATCAGTCTCTCACTTCCCCCTAGCCACTCCTCCCACTGAGTTTGTTTCTCCATCCCACCATCCAGGCACTCTTCGTTCCTCATCTACATTCTCCACCCCTTCAGCACTCCCGACACTGTCCACACTAGTGCCAGTATCGGAAGCGGCATCACTGCAATTCGTCGGAGCAGCAGTAGTATCCAAACTCTCCAGAACGGTCGCCCAATCCGACATTTCGAGGAGATCATGAGGCGCTTCTTCGGGTATCCTGGGCAAGGAGGAACTCAGTTCTGGATGGCGGTCTTGCGGCGAGAGATGCGGTGTTCGTGGGGTGCGTCGGTATGGTATAAGGTATTGGTTGGAGTGTTGGGGACTGTTTGTGGGGGCACTGAAATTGAAAAGGTTAGTAGATGTTCTCATAAGGACATAAGCAATGAAGGGAGATGCAATCTTACAGTGCGTTATCGTCGACACAAGAATCAAAGTCTTCACAGCCGTTTATGATCATGTGCCTGAGTCTCTTCTCCTTCAACATAATTTGCTGCAGCTCTTTTTCCGTCTTGGATGACATTCGTCTGTGTTTGTGCGGTTTGCTTGCGGGATGGAGGTCTGACATTGGCTCTACTAATCCGTGGGAGGAACAGATATTCACGCTTCTGATTATTCGGGAGTGGGACAGTGGATATGACGAAATTTCGATGTTTGAGGTTCTGTGGATCGAGGAAATTTGGACTACCTCTCTCACTCCATAATATATGCTCTTCTCCCCCCATGCGCTTTCCGTCCGTCATGTCCGTCATGTACCACACCGCAAAGCTGACCGCAAGCATGAACAGAAATGCACGCAGCAGGCAAAAGGGCGGCCCAGGCCTATCGGTCACACAGGCATGTACCTCGTTTTCCCATACAGGTGGGGCGCATGTGGTGGAATGTTGTGTACCAAGGAACAGTTGGGGTTATGTCAGTGTGCTCAGTCTGTCATTTCCACTCGTAACAATACTTCACCGTGCGACTTACTGAACGGCGCGAGCTTCGTATGCTGATGAGCGAGAGTTGTGTACACGCGTAAGTTTGGGTTGAGAGGTGCTGTGGTCCGGATTCGGGTTATGTGGAATGCACTCTTTCTATATTTGACTTCATCGAGCGGACCCCTTAGCAGCGCGGGATATGCCGCTCTTCTCATGCACCCTGCGGAAAAACCCAGAACGTGGTACAGGCTGAGTATCTCGGGAGCTTGATGCCAAGTCTAGAGGACTCGAAGGACGGCGTGCCCGACGGACTTGAGCGGTATGGTTCCCTGCAGAAGGAACGAGATGATGCAGGATGCGGAAGCGTGCAGAACCTGTTGTGGACGTGTTAGGCCGAGAAGTTGTGAGAGGGTTGTGGGAATGGTACAATTCGGGCATGCGCCGAAATGACTGAAGCTGTCATCCGTCAAGATTGCAAGCGTAAATGAAGCATGTCCTTGCGAAAACCTAGTACGAGAACGGCGTCGTCTGCATATACGTCAATGCGTGCTGATAAACGGCGTTGATGGGGAATGAGTGAGTGGTCAGAAGACGCCATTCCCGAAAATCTAGAAGCAGACGAGTAGTTCGGAATACCGATAGCAGCGCTGAAGCCGCTCGGAACTCGCATTTTGTAGTAGTGGGCGGGCCGAAGTCGAAGGCAAGAATAGCTGTTGCACAAGAGACATCCCAGGGCATGCACAGGCGCCTTTGCGTTACCTTACGTGCTCTGGAATTCATGCAAGCCGTTCTTGAAGATATCCTCTTATGTGTTTCATGCCTGGGGAATCTTATGGAGAGACTCTTACGAATGGTGTGGGAGGTGGTAGGTAGGGAAGCAATGCCGGTAGGTGTGTTGTCTCCTGATCTTTCCAGCCAGAGTCTTTCAGGTGAGCTGCCATGTGTAATGGCGGTCTAAACACTGTGGCTTATGCTGTGCTACCAAGATGGCTGCATCTATTTCCACGATAGATCCATTCGTGTGACTTAAGGGTTAGGCCGAGAGTGAGTAGCCTGGGGGGTTGATATGTACACCAAGATCAGTCACCGGTATATGAACTATAAGTAACCTGGGCATGTACAGAAGAATGGAGATAGTTCGTGTACCGGTGCCTCAATACGTGAAACTCTTGTGTGGTTTTGACGATGAGGTCCGGAGTGTTAGTCACATGACAAGAAGCCCACCCGTCCATGGGTGAAGAAGGCGTCAATATCTGGAAGCAAATAGATGCAGAGAGCTTCGTCGGTCGTTGTGATAGTCCATGTTCGCAGAGACTGGTTCAAGGGGAGAATTGGCGGTCCGGGCCGATGAAGAGCCTTCCACGTGACTACTACCGAAGTAAGCTTAGCTCGAAATGCGCTTGGTTTCACTCCCGTCGAAGTTGGGATGAGAGCCCTCGTCATGTCGCCGTTGAAACAAGTCCATTGATGGCGACGTTTCCGCCTTCATTTAAGATGTCCCACTGCCATCCCCATTGCCATCCCCATGACCTCCTCTTTCGGGACGACGTCTGCCAGGTCAGCACCTGACAATTCTCACCAGGATGTTCGCGTCCCCAGGGTCATGAACCTCGGATGTGTGTTGTTCAGTGATCGCCGCCAGCCTCGCCGACGACCTGGATATCATTGTCAGTCACACTAGGGACCTACTTGATTGGTACACTAGTCCGTGGAGGTAGTGTGGGGAAGTCGGAGATGGGGGAGATGCCGAGAGTAAATCGTCGGACACAGCATCGGATTCGGGTTGAAGCCCACGCACATGGCAACCAACACCCGCACACATCCGCTGTTGCTGACCCCACAAACGACGAGCGGTCCCCTTCAGCCGCGTGCTGAAGTCCATCGCAAAGATCCCAATGGAGGACTATTTTTCGAATGCCGAGTTCGCCTGCTTGCCGCTCGAAGCCTTGCACTTGTCTTCAAAGACTGTTCCGGCTGCCCAGCTGGGAGGCCGTCTGGTGCATTTCGAGCGAAGAGGCCTTCGTCTGGCATGTCCGGCTCGGTACAACATTTTCGACTGGATAGAGGCCATTATTTGAAGGCTGCTGGTGTTACTGGTGTGGACGCGGGGTTGGAGTCCGGACAACGTGTCTAGGGACAAGCCCTCGGTCCAGTACCCACGTAGTACAATAGATATGGCGGAGGAGCGCGACCCGGCTAAAACCCAGCCTATTTTGTAAGAAAAGGCGGAGCCTTCGTAGATAGCCTGCGCGCCACCGCTGGTCGCCATGACGAGAAACGTGTGGAGGAGACGAGGTGGGGTGTCAGTGTGGATAGGCACTTGTCTCGGGTTTACATCACAGCTCTCCAGCTTCCACCATCGACCCTTCATCGGTTTGTCAGCTCTCCCTTTTATTCCTTCGTAAATGGGAATGTACGCCGCGACAGGGCAACGGGGAGAGCCATTGTTATGTATATCCTGAGAAATCGGGATTCGGACTTGTCGCCTGTCGGACTTGTGCCGTGGAGGATCATGTCCGTCGGTTGTCTGCTACCGAATGAAGTTGCGCCGGAATATTACAATAAACGCCGAGGTATATCCCTCTGTGATTCGGAGCCGGCAAAGGACCCTGAATCCAGTAATATGGTAGGCAAGGTAGCTTTGGAAGCAAGACGTTGCGTTGCTGTCCTGCATTCACAGTTTCCCTCCCTCCGCCGTTCACTGCCCTGGTTGGCTCTCTCCAGCCGTCGCGCTTCTTTCCCTTCACAGAACCAGGGCGCCTCACGGGCCACGAGAATACTGTCGGAGACTTGGCAGACATACTGTACATGCGACTTTGGCCCTCAAGCACTGCACCTTCACAAGACCGCTTGAAGCTTGCTGGCGTCTTCTGCCATCCACCTCACTGCCTACACGCCGCCCAGTGGACTGTCCCTTGAAGGTCTGCTGGTGCATTAGGCTCTCCGGTACATACGCGCCTCCCAGCAGCGAGCGAGTTAACTGCCGAATATTCAGGATTTCTACATTATATGAAAATCGAGAAATCCCCAGCAAAGCATGGAATGAAAAGCACGTCATAGGCAAATATTCAATGCCCCAGGAAGTGCCGCAGGACGAGAGCAAGAAGCCGCGGATAGGCAACGCTCATGCTTGTGTCCGTTGCCGCCAACACAAGGTCCGATGTGAGGTTGGCGAGACCCGGGGGAGCTGTTTTAGGTACGTTACTTTGTGTGGAAGATTGACGGCCCTGGTCTGACATTTGAGCAAGATGTGAGAGAGCCAAGGCCACTTGTGAGCAACATGTACCTCGCCGACGCCAACCAAAGAAGAAGGCTATCAGGTCGAAAACAAGTGAAGCCGACCAGGTCGAGGACAGCCAGCCGGAGGATCCTACTTCGGTGCGGGTAGCAGCAGGGATTGCATCTCCGACTTCCCCTCCGCCGCTCACGGGTCCTCCCCAGCTTGCCCTTCCACCGGTATCATCCACTGCCACTTTCGTTGCTCAACTCACTCTTCCTCTGGTGCAAGGGTCTGCCAACTCTGCAGCCCAACACCTCCCTCCTCCGGGAGCAAGTTTCGTCAAGTCCCCTTCTCAATGCACCGACGCACCCATTCAAGCGACCAATACCGCCGCGTCTCCTTCCCAATACAGGCTTCCTCCTATAGCAACCATTACCTGTTCTCTGGTTGAGAACGTCCAGCTGCCTGCGGTGCTGTCCCCTCCACCAGCCCCAGCACGACCACCGGCCCCCTCAGCAACTACCACGTTACCGGGTGTGAGCAGTTCGTTTCCCGCTATTTCCCTGTCTCAGACTGGGGAACTGTCGGACTTTTCCAGGAACCTCGCTTCTACGCTTGTGCCGCTTTATGGGTTGAACCGCGTCATCCAGGACATCAGCTATGCTCAAATTAATCACTGTGTCGAGGTCTATCGGACGAGCCTGGTTGACTCTTTTCCCTTTGTTCCACTACCAGCCGATGAATCCTGCAGCCATGTGCTTCACCGACGACCATTGCTGGCACTTGCTATCTTGGTCGTGTCGAATCACGATCACCCTCCAATACAACAGTCCTTGAGCCAGGATTTCCGAAAGGTGGTCATGGCTAAGATCATCAATGGCGTAAGGAGCTTGGATCTGGTTCAGGCATTGCTGGTGTTTATCGCTTGGCATCACCAGTATATGGATTCCAACACCACACCAGTTGGATTGCTCCTGCACTTTTGCATAACCCTTGCCGGAGAACTTGGGTTGGACGATATTCCCCCGGGCCCCCAGAGCGAAGCGGAACATAGATCAAGTCGTGAAGCAAAGAGAGCGTTTCTCGGTTGCTATTACGTGTCTGGTTCTCTTCCTATTCACAACTTGAGCAAATCCCGGCCGATGACGTATTCTGAGTCTATTCGCATGTATACGTCCGAACTGCATGCGCGGAGAGAATTTGAGACGGATGCAATGTTACCCACGCTGATGGAGACGTGCCGATTCCTGGAGGACGTCGAAGAGACTTTCCCCAATAAGCCGCAACTGACTTGCATTGCAATGGCTCAGGCGCAGCGTCTCATAGACGCGTATTCCAGCATACAAAGGGATCTGCTGAGTAACCGTGTGCACTCAGGTGAGCCCACCAAGTTTGCTCAAAACACGCAGCTCCTCAACGGTCGAGCAGACATGACGAACTGGACGCAATTGAAGGCCAAAGTCTGCCTATACAAGTCCATCGCATTTTCCCCGACCCTCGATGCCGAAAATATCTCCGGAGACCGCGGGTTCCTCCTCTCGATGCGCGTATCCTGTCTCCGTGCCATCGACGACTTTCTCAAACATTGCACGCAACTTTCGATGACTCAATGGAAGTCATTGTCTATCGTGGATTGGATTAGTCTAATATCCTCATTCACAGCTCTGCGAGCATTGTCAATGCACTTGACGCCCCTGCCAGGGAGTCACTTCCAAGAGTTTCATCCCTCACGCATGTTTGGAGCGTACCGAGAGGAACTTTGTGCGAAGATGCCCCAGTTGATCAATAATGCTCGCTCCGGAGACGATTGCTTTGCCCGGTTTCGCAGGGGCACTGGTGTTATGGAGGCTTCTTTTCCGGATTTTGTGCGACGCGTCGATTCGAAGGGATCGTCGTTTGGGATCATGTCGCAAACATCACATTTGGATACAACGAGGCTGCAGAATGGGCCCATGGGCAAGGGAGAAATTGATTATGGGCAGCCATCGCCTCCCTCCAAACGCGACTCTGTAGATGAGATGACCAGCAACGAGTTTCTCTGGAAATTTCTTCGAGGAGAAGTCTAAACATTGACCTAAGCAACAGCATCTGCTGGCTTTGTGAATTTCAAAAGACAGCCGCAGTATCAAGAACGACACAGCCGAAGGGCATTTGCGGCTGTCGACACTGGGGCATTCATTGGGTCCATGATGAAACTGTACTAGACGTCATTCTCCCAGGTCTTGCAAGGTCTGGAAGAGGAGGTCTTTTGCCCTCGCGTTCTCATCGTTGCTGTAAGTGATTAAGTGTTTCTTTTCACATCTCAATGGAGGTTAGACTGACTGCTTCTTCAGGAGAACAATGAACATCACTACACTCCCCCATACCTATGCAGGATCTCTACTCGGGCACTGAAAACGGACGGCAGTTCCATGACTGTGCACCGGAATCTAGCTCAACGGCAAGATGGCGCGTCATGGGCCTCATGTGGGTTCGTTCAAAGCTCATCGGCGATCCTGCGGTGTTCGGTGGGGACGTCTTTTGGAGACGGGTCAAGATCGTCGCGATGGTATTGACGGACGCTCTGGGGAAACAATGCGAGTGACACGCCAAAGGGAACTCGCCTTACCTTCCGCTCACCAGGTACCATTTCCAGAGGTTGAGTCAGATGATACTCAGCAGTTGCGTCCTGGTCGCATGAAGGGATATGTTCACAGCATTGTCGGAACTACTTTAAGGGTACTGGCTGTAGGAGCTCAATCAACTCCCTGGAGTGGAGTACCTTGTTGCTCCACGCTGGAGAGTAGTGGATATTATATAAATGAGGACCGTAGAACTGCAACTACGTCTTAGTGTGGAATGTATACTTATATAACAGACTAATTGAACATTAGAAGCTAGGCATGTCCAGATTTCTAACCAGTATGACGTGCTGGTTAGGTGAGTGCTCATAGTGCTCTCCCCGCTTACATAGATACCCCAATCCCGATTTCTATTCTACACAGACTTTGTACCTCCCCATAGCCACCGTGATGTATTCTTCCGTAGGCCTATGCTCACTTCTGCGAGGACACTGGTTAGCATGACGTTCAGACCTGCTCACACAGGTCGCTGCAGTGAAGACACGGTAGAGCCTCTTATCCTCCATGGCTGGAGAGTCCTTCCAAGCTGCGAAATTTGACCAGGGAGTTGAATGATTATTTGAATAAGAGGCTGACAAACTCTAAGCAGAGGCTAAGTAGGGAGAGCGTCGCCACTGAGCTCTGCGAAAATATGTAATCTAGCCCTATATCCTGCTTGACTGATACTCGCTCAGGGTAGATAGCTCACGGGACAAGAGAGTATCTGCGCCGTTAGAGGCTGAATCGTGAGGATCAGGGAAATCTGGCTCTTCATCATTTTGTTGCAGGGCTGATGTTTCTGGTCCTACCCTCCCCATGCACGCGGTCAGCAGTCCAACGGGTTTCGAGACACACAGTGATTCCGATAATTGAAGTATTGCCTGCAGTTTTCATTGGGTGGTTGAGACATAACAGTTCGCTTCCATCCATGGATATTTTATTGGTAGCTTGGATTGCTACGCCGTACTGTGCCACAAACAACAAAACAGCTGACGTCACGCTAGGCAGCACTATACGCTGTGCATGAAACGTACAAACAGTGATCTTCTCCAACCGCATCTTCAAAGTCCGCCATTTCTTTGGTCCCTATCTCTAGAACTTATGCTTCATTCCCTGCCGAGCATCACATATCACAACGGATATCCGTTATATTCTCAGGTGCCTTGACTACCCGTACCACCGAGATGTCAGGAATTCGCATCATGATGTCAACCTTGCTCTTCTGCACAGCTGAAGACGCTAAACCTGTAAGTTAATTGTACTAGCACGGTACTCGGGAGCAGTGAGCCTGACAATGTGTTTCCAGTTTATCCACCGGATCTTGGCCGGAAACAATCTGTACCTGGTCCAGTCACGTAATCTGCCCAATGATCGCAGCGGCTTCAAGATGCTGTTAAATGAGGGGGAGGACTTTGAGACCGAATTTATTGGGGCTTCTCCAGAAGAATGCCAAAAATGGACGCGAGAGAAGTCAGTGCAGGTGGACTTTATCCACCAATACGTTCTGGTTATCGCAGATGAGCGCACCTCTAGGGATGGCACGATCTTGGTCCAATGGTTCAATGAAGACCTGGGCGACGAGGAGCCTCTTGAGTTTCCACCTTACGGTGTTCTTCCCAAGACAAACACGTGGTATGACTTTAGGATTGATCCTAAAGCATTCTTCAGACTGTTTGCTGCTCTGGAAAGCACGTCACCAGATGTAGCATACCCTACCTACTATGGCCGCAAAGACGAGCTCACGGATGAAAACGGTGTGTTCGATGTTATTAAGGCGGTCCGTACTATAGTTGGGGAGAAGGCTAGTGCATTTCAATGTCTCTACCGCGTAAAGAATAGAGACACAGGGATTTGGGAGACGTAGATTCCAGAGGAGGGATCATGGCTAGGCCCCCGAAAAAAAGGTGCTAGCCCATTGTTCCTAAAGTTTGTCACCAACCAATACAGGATAAGCAGGCGGTGGATTCTACTCCAGAAACCAGGCGATGAAAAATGAACTACATTGCCCTATCCGCTAGCTACTTCCTAGCTCCAGTCACCGGCAAGTGAACTTGAAACTAGTGTATAAATGTAGTTGCTAAGCTAGGGCTGCCGGCAGCCTGTGTTTCTTCCAAAAAACAGCTCCATTTCCAAAAAACACCTCCAAGATAATCGCAGCATCAATACCGCTAACAATGTTTACCACGTTTAGACAGGCAGACTGCTGTACAGGTCCCAAGAATGTTCACTTTGCGAATCCTCCCCGAGATGCCGCTTGTAGTGCATTTTTCCATAACTTTCGTTATGTTAGTATTGCGCCCTCGAGCTTTTAGAGACATTGCAGGCTATAGCAACTTACTGCTATTGGCATGTTTAGCCAGATCACCCTTGGTCAGAGTGGCGGGTAGCTGAGTATGCCACGAGACGCAGCATTCTTTGTCACTAGAGTCTTTATAACAAATCTGACGGGGCGACTGGCCAACCCCAATATCGCCATGGCCCCACAGCTCATTCACTAGGTTGTCACAGAGCTCGTTTGGTGCGGTGTTGCGGGTGTCACATTTCAAGTTATTTTCGAGGTCGTCGAATTCGTCGGGACAGTTGTCGTTGGAGCCCCACCACCAAGGTGACCTTGCTTCGAAACGCCTCTTGATAGGAGTACCGTTGGTTAACTCCCCATAATAGACGAGGGAGCCGCCGGACTTTGTCTCCTCCCGGAAGAGCTCAGGGCGGTTGGTCCCCGTCGCTTTCCTGGCTTCGACGAGGCCTGTTTCGGAACGTTTTTCAGGGGAAGCACCGTCGCTCCAGTCACCATAGTAGACTAGGGAGCCGCCCGATTTTGTATCCTCTCGATAGAGTTCAGGGCGGCTGGTGATTTCACCACCGGTTTCCACGGGTGAACCTGTCAGGCCATGAGCCATGGCGAGAACAATGATGACGTTGCTGGACTTGAATTGCATATTGAAGGTTTGAATGTTGATCCTGGAGCGTTGTATATGCCTCTAAAGCAAATAGTAAAAGATTGTACGTTGGAAGTAATTGCGACAGGATGACGTAAAAATTGGATGTATCAGAGGTTGTCTGTCAGCTGGGGCATAGGAATCTTGTCCTCTTATAACTTTCGCCCCTCAAGAGAACTACGAATGTAACACGTTTTCCTTCTCGACAGGATATGATACATGTGGGCTTATCGTCGACGTTAGTGTTGGTACTTCGACTATTTCTTCGAATCCGCCTTGGCGGACTACAACATGTAACCCGACCCTCGGGGAGAAAATGGAAATACCAGCAGAGAAAGAGACAGGTGTTGTCAGAGGAAGTGGCATAGTCGCTCCGGACTGCCAAGTAGACGTTCCAAGGGGGCGGCGTAGCGTTTGACGGCAGAACCAGTTGGAGGAAGTGGCACAGGATGTTGGAGGAGTTGGCACAATTACTAGAGAAAGGGACAGGTATCAGTTGATATACTAGGGAAGAGTTATCCGGAAAACACGTATCCCAACTACGTGGCATCGAGGCCCGGAGAATGTGGCACGACTTACGGTGGTTACTGGAGGAAGAGGCTCGGTTATGCGGCGTAGGTATCTGTATGAGACGACATCGTGTTTGAAAGACGTGTCCTAGGCTGCCGGGAGGAGATGCCCATCGTGTCCGCATTGTGAAAAGTTATTTTAGGAAATGCAGTACGGATGGTAGGAATTCCCAACAGTATCTTGCACGATGCTTGATCCTGCTGCCTTGCCTCTTCCGCTTCAGTATTATTGTTGGACGTTTGCCTTGTTGGTTAGGCTGACCGGACCTCTAGTGGCGATGCAGAGACAGTTGAAGACTGGATAATTACACTGGGAATCGACTATTTAAAAGGTAGTCAAGCTGTTCCCCAGAGCAGACTATCCAGCTTCGCGATCTTCAGGACTCGTTTCGACTCCCCGCCACTTCAAAAGGTATTATCGCACCCTGAACAATAACTCCTACTAAGAAGATACAACATGATGGCACCTCTGACCCTTACTATCAAGCTTTGCCTGTTTATTGTGTATTCAGTGCAGCCTTTGCTGCTCCACCCGGCAAGCCCTTGTGCCAACCCGACGGGGAGCCAGTACGGAAACGCACACCAGGCGATTCTTATGACAACCCAGAACACGTCATGATCGATATCACCGGCTGGGAGGACTCAGCTGAGTTTAATTGCTGGGCAATGCTATGCCACTTTGGTGGGGAACGAACATGGTACGTGCAATTACACACATCTCTGGCGAAGGGTAGTAACATTAATTATGCAAAACTTAGGCAGAGGCGGTTAACAGAGAGCGAGGGAAGGAGTCATTACCGAGAATCTGGTGCGTACTTTCACCCTTTCAGGGCCAACGAACTTGGGCGTCGTGGAACGGCCCAAATTACCCCTCAGACGGATAGTGCAGAGGAATTCCCCTGGGAAAGCATGCATCGTGGTGGGCAAGAAGCTCTTTTGTTTCCTACAACCCAGGATGAACAGAACGGTACGTCAACCCCATGTCCAAAGACCGATTTCAAAGGTCGAGTACTAATTGGAAATCAAGCCCAGGGAGGGCACCTCCAGGCTCTTTCCGCCGTAGGGGACGGCAGATGGTTCCATATTACCTTTTTCCCTTCAAGGTAAGATATTTCCCCTTGAACTGCTGCCCCCTGGTTTACTCTCCTTGTCTAAATTACTGCAGGCTATTTAAAAGATACTGCGGTGCGCTCATGGTTGAACCGCCTCAGAGGCCAGACTTTAGTGTTTGCAGAGAAGACAACAAGCAAAAGTTATTTGGCAAGTGGATTGAGCTCGCAAGTTACGTCTACAAGCGGAGACAAAACAGACAGGGGAACCAGGCAGTTAAGTTCGACCGTATTAGCGGCAGCACCAAAAGGTCCTTGAAAGCAAATGCACCCGAAGACTCCGAGAAGCGAGAGGCTACTGAGTAAAGTGGATCGAAGCCTTTCGAATAGGCCGGCCCTTACCAAGGGTCGGGCTAGATGGGATTCGATGTTTGTCGGGTCTTACACTCAGGAGTATGGACAGTGCGGTACATCTGTTAGACACTGAGGGCACGGTGTTAGGTCACGCAACTATGAGGTATAACTGGAGAGATCAGCGCAGTCATCAATCTTGAGCTTCATTCCCCTTTTTTTGTAGGCATTATGCTACGGCTACATATGTCGTTCCATGTCATACCTTATACTTGACACTGTGTAACCTGACAGAGCCACAGCATTGAGCGCGCTTCGCATTTCCGAGCGGAATGGTCGGCTTCAACGGAGGTGGGTACCCTGCTCCTGACCGGTGAGGCTGAGGACAGACGAATGAGATTTGGCGACTTGCAATGCCTGCATATATTCGGAGTGCTGCCTTAACGGAGGAAAGTGGACGAAGAATATGCTTAATATCATGATTTGGTTATACTCGCATCGAAGAGGTAAGCTTGACTGGACTTTGCCGGGGAAAGCAGAAAATAACACGTTTACACGGTAACAACATATCCTTACGGATAGGAGCGGCGACAGTACTTTAGTACTTGCGGTCCAGGGAGGGGGCTCGTTCGTTCCTTCTGCGTGAATATCCATCCCCTGTATTGTCTCCAATGGCACCTACTGCTCACCCCGTTCATGCGCTCCTCCCCCGCTACCTCAGTCGCCAGAAAAAAGCATCAGCACCGGCGTGGGTATCGGCATCGGTGGCTTTGTCATCCTCTCGTTGCTGCTTGTTGGCGCGTACTTTGTCTATCTGCGTCGTAGGAGGGAGAAGCTGGCTACACGGCAGATTGGGCGGAACCACCCGACGAAGACGCAGTTGAGGATTAGGGCGCGGAAGAGGAAGGATGAAAGGGTGGAGGTTGGTGGTGAGACGGGCGTTATTAGGGGTGCAGGGGATGAAAAGGCTGCTCGTGGGGAGGATCGTGGAAAGGGAAGAGGGGAGGGCGAGGTTGGCGGGGTATGAAGAGGTGGAGAGGGAGCAGGTGGGTACTATGCAGGGGGAGAGATAGGGGGTGGATTGAGGGAGGGAGTATAAAGTTTGTGCGAGAGTTGAGCTGGTTGGGGTGGACATGCCTCTTGCTTTCGTCCTGCGACTCATTGGGTCAAAGTCTTGATAATTGAAGTCCTTGTTGTTGTCACTCAAGCGAAGACAGCGGCTTTAAAATCCTACAAGGATGGTTAACCAGGAAGAGACTTTGGAGGGACGGTGATAGGCATGCTGATGGACATGAAGTGGCATATTAGGAGAGAGGATATGGAAGAGTCACCTAAGATAATATGGGCTGGCGAGCCCTCTCGCATTGAGTACCGGTGACATTGTAATAGTTGGGATCATCTAAACGTCATGGAGATTTATGCTCGTTATTTAAGGACTCTTCTGACGTAGAAGTGTCATCCCAGGGGCCAGAGGGAGTCCTGCAGGCTACCCTGCTTCATAAAGCTTATCCACGCATGATCCTCCCCAGAAACCAATGCGAAAACCTCAATGCAGGCATCAACGTAGCCGCAATAAAGGCTTATTCATGTCAGTGGGATGCAATTTATTGGAGTAGTGCCTACCAGAGAAGATCTCATATAGCTTCCAGATAAACAGCTCGGTTACCTGGTCCGGGTCCATTTCGCTGAGCGCAACTGCGCGTTGAGCAAACCGTGAAGCTTTGTCCGGTAGTTCAAACCCGAGTGCTAAGTACAGCCCAACGATAATGTACTCCATTATGACCTGCATGCATAACTGGAGCGTAACGCTGCCGCTGATGACGTTGAACCTTTGGCTCCCCCAAAGGCTCTCGAAAGCGAAACACATCATGTAGACGACGTTAACCAGGAAAAAAGGAAGACTGAGAACGACCGTGGTGAGTATTTTGGCTTCAGCGGGCGTCGCCAAATACACTCGGGATGCGATAACGATGGTTGCCCAAACAAGGATGACAAAGCATGCGCAATACAACGAAACGCCAGCTTTGGTAGTGTCTGTTGCGGCGAACGTAGGTCCTTCTCTTGAGTGCGGGTCAATACCGCCGGCCACAATGAGGATGAGGGATACAACGAGCGGAACATGCAGAAGGATGAGTATCCATTGCATCCGCCGTCCTTTCGGTCTTTTGGTGGCATTCAGGAGTGAGGCGGTGGACATAAAGAGGGGAGTCAGTCCTATCTCCGTCAAGATTGCTACGCCTGTCTGCAAACTACTGTCTGCCACAGTTTCGGGTGGGTACATTGCGGTTGCGGCCAGATCGATCGACACCTGTACGAGGCGACAAAGGGAGAGAATGGTGAGCCATACCCAGGGGTAGTTGTGGCCAAGACCTTGTCGATAAACGAGCCAGATCGCGAGGATGGTGGTGAAGAAGAAATAAATGAGGGTGATGATGTTGATAACGCCGCCGTAGTGGACCGTCATGGGACAACGAGAGTGAGGTTTTGGGTGAGATGCACGTTGGATGGGAGAACGCGACATCAGATTCTTGGCACGCCTACCCTGAGCGTATCATCTCATTGTGATACAGTTTTAAGTCATCTGTCTGCCCTCACTGTCAACGCATTTGCTTGCACAATCTTAACCCTACGTCTACATGGGTCATAACCTTGAGATTCGCTCCCCCAGGGGCAAGAGCTAGAAGCTTCGGAAGGTAACAATCAGGTCACGTGATACGCGATTTAAAAGATATTTTGCAGAACCGGATAGGATTCTTTTCGGAATCTGCAACTATCCTAGTATTAGAAGGATGGTCAACTTGTTCGAAGGTTTTGCGCAATGCTTACTACCCGTTACATAAGGGTATGCCTATTCACACACAACCACTACACAACAACCGCCCTCATTAAAGATCAATAATTCAACGCTGCACTCTACATTTATAGGTTCAACTTAAAAGGCGCCGTGTATTTAGGTCAAGCTATGGGAACAAACATGAAACAGTAGCCCATCGAATTGGCCCAACGCGCTCCTTTCCAGCAAATGTGTAGACTGTATCCATTGCTTTGAATTGGTATTGGCTCTTTAGGGAATTGCACACCAAGTACGTTCGGTGGGAGCCTGTGTGGGGTACATATTACAAAATGACTCGGCCCAGAAGTTGACACCCATCCAACCTGAGTAACTTTCTGCTTACATCAGTTTTGCGTCCTCTTAGGGTTGAAATCTGGCCTGAAATGATCTAGGCACTTCGAGGACTTTGCCTGCCCCATGAGCTTTCATGTCGTATCATCGGCTTCTATAGGTCGCTGCGGAGAGCGGATTCCGGACCAGTGTAGGAAAATCTCTACTGACCTTGTTCCACCGATTGGGGAGTATCACCAGCTTATCTCCTTCCACGTTGCCATAATCTCCGGACGACGGATTCATATACCCTGGAGTCCCCTGCACATCCTCAGTGCGATCCAGAGGTTTCGCAAAACTCTCTGTCGCCCTTAGCTCCAGCAGTTTGAGCTGGAGCCATCTGCCCTTTGGGTTCCCTGCCTCTATCGCCTCTGCACACCAGTCATCAAGAATGCTACAGTTCCATCTCGAATACCGCAAACCCCATTCGCGAGCCACGTTCATTGTATCGTAGACAATGGAGCGGTCACAACCGCCGTCGATAACGGCGAAACGCACCAGGTCGAGGTTGGGCGGTTTTCCAAGACGACGGTTATGATTGAAAAGCTCAACAGCGTCGAGATTTCTTTCCAATACGGCCTCTCTCCGCCCCTGTAGAATCGTGGCCCGTGTATGCGGATCGCCCCAATTAACTGTCATTCCCGTGGTCCAGAGCAGAAACCTCAGAAACTGTACTTTATCCGTGGTCCACGCCCCATGGAGGAGCTTATTCGGCAGGCGGCAATTCATGAAGGAGAGCTCGGGAAGGTGACTGCGACTGAATACCATCGTTCCTACCGGATCGTCGAAATCGGGCGGCCATTGGGCATTGAAACATCCCGTCTCCGGTGACTTGCCACACAGACAGCCATTCTTGCCGTACTTTTTCAGTATCCAATGTTTGTAGAAGTCCCATGTCATCCACCGGTATCTGAAGAGCCGCGATTGCATGCTGGACCGCTCTCCGCGCGTAAGCTTAGTTTTGTCCGGGTCTGGAGTGAGATGCTTGTCACATATGGCCTGTAGTACATAATATCCCGCCAGCTTCGTTCCAATGTAGGGCGATGCTTCAGGCAAGGAAAGATTCAGTTCGGACAGGAAGAAGATGCGCTGGATAAGCTCCATCGGCAGGTTCTCGATTGGTGACGGCGCCATGATGACCCAAAATATGCAGGGAGGTACAAGTTAATTGGGCTGCAAAACTACTGCGACATTTCCCAACGAGGCTTCAGATAGTTGTAGGAGTTTGAAGCCTGGACTTCTGGAGTTGGATGCCTAGCATTACGCAGTCTCGTATTATCTAAGCATGAATGCGAGATAGGCTGGCGCTGTGCCGCAGTCAAGCTAGGGCGCGCCACATGAGGTTCCTGGATGTAATACCACAAAAAATTTTGGCAATTGGAAAACATATTCTTCGCCTTCAAAAAGCTTACGTAGATATGTGGATAAGGCCAGCTCTTGTCACTTGGCCTTGCGCGTAAAGTTTAGGCAGCCGCAAACGGTTTACGTCGTCGGCATACAAGGCGCCATCATGTGCTGGGAACCCCTTTTCGAAGTCTCTGTTCTGTCGCCAGCAATTTGGCATCAGCTAGTCGTTTACTCCATCACAAACCTTAGAAAGGCCCCCCTGTCTCCTAGCACCCACTGGAAACGGTCAACATCACCAAGTGCGAATTTGTCAAGTAGTACCAAACAATGTTCCAACATGGGCGAATGGCGCAATTGTAGCAAAAAGTCTGATGTCTTATGTTGAGCAGAGCATACATGTAGTCCTTACCTCTTGCCACCGTCGCTTCAAGTCAGGCTTTTAGTCCTAAACTCGCAACTGTCATCATAAAGGGCCTTTTCTTTACTGGAGTGCTGTTCATATTTAGATGTCGAAGATGTTTCGCGCAATCCTCGAGCAAGTGTACGAGATTTTAATGGCTTGGTCTGTATGCTGCGATTGATGTACTTGAAAGACGGCATGCGAGGCCCAACGATATGCACGTCCCTGCAAGGCCTTACCGGATATCGAAAGCTTGCGCGAGGATTTCACAATGTCCGAGTTACGCGGAAGAATGCGACGCGAAAACACATGATAAGTTTATTCTCGCGTATCGTGCGTTTTCTTGAGCCAGTGAGCACTTGTTTACATAGTTTTGTACTCAAAAAGCTTCCATGTTTGACTATGTAGGTGTTGACGGCAACCCGCGGACATCTGGAATAAATGCAGCACATGGAAACACATGTCCATGGAAGTTGTCTTCGAGTAAAACTCGGATCAAGATACTGGCATGGCTTCTCCTTGACTAGCGTTTGGATTGAATTACGGGACTGCCAGGGCTCCGAATGGACAGTGAGCGAACACTATAGGAAGATCATGATGTGCCCGACGATGGTGAGGACGATAATTAATATGATGACAATAATCATAGTTTCACTCAACAGATATTTTTCGTTATGTGATTCCTCTTCCCTTGTATACTTACAACGTGCCCAGCGGATATGCCTTGGGGATATTCGTATTATCCGGCCTCACAACCGGCATCTGCTTATAATCCTTCACTTCCACGTCCTCCAGCGCCCACTGCGGCGACTTCCTAATATGCGTCAACTGTTCAATCTGATATGCGATCTTCAGAAGCTTCTCCTCACTCCATGGCAGCCCCAGAATCTCCATGCCAATAGGTACACCCACAGGTGCATCTTCAGTTGGTTCTGAGAATCCGACTGGAACGGTCACGACGGGCGAGCCGGTCAATGCGGCGAGAATGCCATTACGGCCTGCTTGAGAGGGCGATCCGAGTTTGACGACGAGGTTTTTCTGCTCGGGATAGATGATGGCGTCGAGCTTGCTGCCGGCGAAAGTGGATGCGAGGGCAAGAGTAAGGTTTCGAATGCCATTCTGTCTTGCTATGTAGCGTGCATTGCTGGTGGAAGAAACAAGGGCCGTGTTTACGTATTCGTACTGTGCGGGAATGACGAGGAAGTCTTTTGTGTCCTTGGAGTAGAACTCATTGAACGACTTGGGGTAAATACCTTTTCGAGAGGTATCTTGAAGGTATTGATCCATCAGCTCACGGATCTCAAAACGCTGTACGTCGAGCTGAGCACCGATCACAGCGGCATCGTAGAGGGTCTCATTGATAGGAATTAGAACAGCACCGGCGCTTTCCAGCTTCTGCATCATGGCATTCATCGCCTCGTTGACCGGGGCGACCTTCGGCGCGTCGGTGAAGTTAAAGAATCCTTTGAGAACGCCCAATCGAAGACCTTTAAGTGCTCCAGTGGTCAGCGCGGCTGCATAGTCGATGTTACTCACTGAGGCTGGTACAATAGCTGAGAAATTATATGTTGGATCGTACCCCGTTGACGCCATAACGGTCAATGCCACTGCCACATCTCTAACTGAACGAGCGATGGGTCCAACGGTATCTTGTGTATACGAGACTGGTATTATACCAGCCGTGGTAATCAGACCTCGACTGGGTCGGATACTGAAGAGGGAGTTGGCACTGGCTGGACTCCTCAGGGAATTCACCGTATCCGTTCCAGTTCCGAGGACGGCGAACGAAGCGCCAATAGCAGCACCGGTCCCCGAAGAGCTTCCTCCTGCAGTGCGGGTATGGTCGTACGGGTTGATGGTCTGTCCACCTAGTGAAGAAGCCCCTAGACCCTCAAGGGCAAGTTCATGCATGTTGGTTTTACCCAAGATGACCGCACCGGCCTGCTTCAAGGCAGTGACGCTCGGTGCATCTTTCGTAGGATGAAGATCTGCTAGCCGCAAACTTCCCCCAGTTGTTGGCATTTCCTCGGTGTCATAGTTGTCTTTCAGAAGAACTGGGACACAGAACAGAGAGCCACTGGCATTACCAGCAGCGAGTCTTTCATCCAGAGAGTCTGCATAGTCCAGTGCTCGAGGATTTAGCGTTATGACCGCATTGGTGTTCTTGTTGAGGGTCTCAATCCGGGCGATGAAGGCAGAGACGATTTCTCGACAGGTTGATAGACCAGAAAAAACGGCATGATGGACTGAGTCGATAGTTGCTTCCCGGGCATCGAAGGGCATTGTCTTGCAGGCAATGACGAGCTGGGCGCATGTTAGCAAGAAGTTCGTGACACATGATGACATTCGCATTTTTCCTTGGTTTCTCGAAAGAGTCCAACCCATGAAGTAGGACTTAAAAGGATGATATGGAAATCGTGCTTTATGTATATGGATTCCGGTGCGACTTGTTCTTCAACTCACCCTGCCCACGGCACTCAGCTTCAGTTGACACTACCCTAACTCCGCTACCATTGGGATTGCACATGTAAGATGCCGACTCTAGCGAGACGCTCGTGAACACAATGACATACACGAAGCCGGTAAGAGACAGCTGTTTATCCGATAAGAACCAATTTTTGGTGATTTGGAATTTTGCAGCCTGTTGAGAAAGTGACATATGGAACTGCCGAGGTTCGGAATGGCACATTCACCTAAGAGGTTAAGCGCAGCTTTTGGAATCCTAAATATGTATCTTACCAAGTTCGAGGCCAAGCGGAAAGATGTGCGGGAACTTGCCCCCCCCACGCTCTCCGCAGAACTAGGCACGCCGCCGGTTCAATGAAAACATCGTTGTTATCAATCTCCTTGTTGGCGTGTGGGGAATGTATGGAGTTGAACATGCTGTGCACAAAGATCACGTGGAAAACCCGTAGCTGCTATTCCTCCGTTCTTACGAGATGCTAAAGGAATCTATCTAGTGCTATGATATTTGAAAATGAGGTTCTTTTCTGATGTAACATATTAGTCTTTATTTCTCTCCTGTGCATAGACGGTGTCAACAATGTATCGAATAGCACATGATCTGAGTCGAACGCTTGGACCAACAGTGTCAACCGGGGAAGCTCAATGCCGAAAACCTCAACCGTACACCAGAAGGCCCTTCTTCAGCCCATTTCAGCGTATCATTGCAACTTCGATCCGTCACTCACTCAAGTCATAGTTTTGGGAAAGCACCTGCATCTATCACACCGGAAGCAGTTCGCACCGGAAGTTTACTCCATCTACTTTGGGAGGTCTCGCCACGGTGAAACTCTTGTGCGACACCAAACATGACCAGAATTCCAAAAAGCTGTTTTGGAGATTCGAATCATTCTAACCTACTTGGTTCTGTGAGCCTCGTTTGAGGAAGAATTTCAAGCCACACGCAGCTCCCCACATGTTTCAAGCAGCTCAGTTCTCTGTTCTGGGACGAGCGGTCGCTCAAAATAGTATATCTCAAATCATTACTATGAAGTTTCCCCTCTCCGCCACAGTTTCACATATACTGAACTAACAATAGACCGTTCGAGTCCTACATCGCTTATCAGCAGAGAGACGATTGTAGGCGCTGACATGGTGGGGGGAAATATCTTCAGGTTGTCCATTGCACGACAGTATCCACATAAACTTCCCCGAAGCAGAAAGAACCAACGTCAAGCTCTGCCAAATGGTTCTGCTTTGTTCATGAGAACAGCTTTGCTGGGAGCTGGAGACCTCGCAGAGCGATTCGTCGGAGGAGCAGCTCCTCCGATATGCAATGGGATGTGTAACTCAAACCATGTTTACACATGGGATGGTCCCAGCCACAGCGACATAAAACGTAGGCCAAACATGAGAAACCTGGTGTTTCTGGCCGAATAGGCTTGGCCATACATTTCGTGAAGAACAACTTCACACCGGAAACGAGGACTCCGAACGAGAACAACCTCATCGGACCTCGTCTTGACGACGATTTGTCAACCAATACTTGTATAAGTAGGAGCAGTATTCTCGTCGAAGTCGACTTCATCAATTCAGCTCTCAACAACCAGCGTTCGCATCCAAGCAGGTCTTCTGTTCTACCTTCTATATACCCTCAGCTTTAATCACTTTCAACTTTTTTTCCCTTGGCAACATGCATTTCTTTCAGCCTTCCATCCTCTCTTTTGGCCTTCTGGCTACTTCCTCGCTTGTGGCAGGCCACAGCGCTATCATTGCCGCAACAGGTGATCAGGGTGGTGCTGGCTCGGCCATCGGCGGTGAGTCTGACCATTTCTTCTGTTCACTGCTCATAAGAACACATTATTGACAAGTCTCAGTTGACCCCAACACTCCCCGCGATGGCACGAGGCGCAACCCTTTCCAACAAGATGCTACGCGTTTCCGAGGCAATGCCGCTGATTCCTGCGGTGAGACGCTTGCAGGAGGCGATAACGACATCGAAGCTGGCACCCAGCAAGTCATGGCCCAGAATGGCAATACTCTCCCGCAGGTCTCGCCGGGAGGGTCCATCCAGATGACCGTCCACCAAGTCAACGCCGACGGCGCTGGTCCCTACACTTGCATGATCGACGCTACTGGAACTGGCACCAACTGGGTCCCAATACAAGTTACTACCAATATTGAAGGGAGCGCGAGGGGCCGCAACCGAGAGACGAATACCCAGGATTTGCCTTTGACGGCTGCCATTCCTGCTGATATGCAGTGCACTGGCACAGTTGCTGGACAGCAGAATGTCTGCATGGTTCGCTGCCAGAATCCCGCTCGTGCTGGGCCGTTCGGCGGATGCGTCCCGGTGCAGATGGCCGCTCCCGCAAACAACACCGGAAATGCTGCAAATGCTGGGAATGCTGCAAATGCTGGGAATGCTGCAAATGCTGGGAATGCTGCAAACGCTGGAAATGCTGCAAACGCTGGGAATATTGAGAACAACGGAAACGCTGCCAACGCCGGGAACGGGAACGCTGTCGCAAACGCGGGAAATCTTAACGCTGGCAACGCCGCCAATACTGTCAATACGGGCAACTCTCCCACCAATGCAGCTACCAACGGTAATCGCAACGGTAACGCTAACGCCGTCGCCAACCCGAACAACAACAATCGCTCCGCCAAGCAGACTGCCGATGGCGCCCTCGTGACCGATGACGACGAGGAAGAAGAGGTTGGGCTCACTCAGAGACTCAGGCGCTGGATCCCGGCTTCTGCTCGCAAATAGGCGTGCTTCCCTCCAAGTCGAACCTACCGGTCCCGCAAGAAAACAGAAAGCAGTGGAGGGGCTAGGATCATGATGATGGTTGGAGTCCGTTTATAAAATTGACGAGGCACCGGATTGGAAGTGCTAAGTGACAGTTTCGCAGGGCGTACTGGATTGGTTTTTTGCTTTTCTGGCTTTGGGCTGGTTACTAGAGCTGTTACGCTCCTTTACGATGAAATGTTTATTGCTGCGATGTAGATACCACATTCTCTTAAATTAGTTGGTTCATAAGATTTCCTAGGCGCTGAGAAAGGTCTTCCATATCTTGAAGCTGAATGATCATGGGTTGATAAGTGACGGTTATGAATCACATCACTCTTGGCAAGCATATGAAGATCATCACGATGGTGCTATTTGAATTGCCAAGAAGCGGTCGGATGTTCGCAACTCCTCTCCACATCCATCTTATCATGAGGCGTCTGAGATCATTTTTTGAACAAAAGCAAAGGTGAAACAATCACAAGTGCGTATCGGAAGAAAAGGAAGAATTGGGGTTTATATACCTGGAAGCCTCGAACATCCATCACGTGCCAATGTTGTGAACTGCCTGATAGCAACCTTAAATTCAAGGCAGTCACTAGATACAAAACAGGAGTTTACATTAGCGATGGCGATATGGGGGTGATTATAACTGACCTTGTAACGGTGTCGAAAATTCCTCACATTGTTACGGGCGCAGTGAGGGTCAGTCTTCGCGACACAGGAGCCTCATCCGTGGGTTTTCGTTCATCGTTTTCGCCAAATCAACGACTGGGGGCATGTGTTATATGCCGTCTGTTTTAGAAACAATAACAAGGGAGTACGAGTGTATGGACAAAAAAGACAAGGAAGGGTTTATATTCCCTAAATAGCAAGACGCATGATTTGTACGACTCGCTTCTATAACATCATAGGCATAGACCAGTCTTCTCTTTTCTTGGTACTTGAAACCAATATGGTGATAGTATGGATGATAATAACGATAACTGAAACACCCCGCCGAAGGCTTCCTGGGCCTTTCAAACCGCCACAGCGATCTAGATTGCCCCTGACAACAACAAACATCTAGACGGAGTTTAGGAAGTTTGAGGACTAGAACACATCAGTTGTTGGTGTGGCGTTTAGGAAAAGATAAGAAAGACTACATGTGTGTAGTAGGAGAGGGGAAAGGAGGGGGCTTTATATGCCCGTAATGTGAGGAAACATAGTTCGTGGGAACAGTAATTTGAGAGCCGGAAAGCCAGATATTCGAGCTTGACACATAGCAGGACCTTAAGATAAATAGGCAATGGTACCCTAGGGTGGTAGTGGTAATAATACTCATGTGGCAATCGTCACTAGTCGTCGATCGGCATCTCAGCTTCCTATCTAACATACTCTAACATACTCTTCTCATCGCTTCACCTCTTAGAATTAAGGAGTCAGAACCATGATACCCGCTTAAGTTATGTTAGAAAATATTATGGAGAGGAAAATGTATAATCTGAGGAACACATAAGGTAGTTTACTTGGGTAACACGTTTCATTCGACATGTTACAAATATACTGTTTTCGAAACATGTAAAGACCCGTTCTATCTGCACACTAAACTGTTCAACTTGCGGCATGCAGAGGGTAGTGATTGTAATGTGATGATGCAGCTGGTAACCGTGATCGACTTATCTTTCATACTTGCAATCTTCTTACACGGTTCAAGAAAGTAGGACGGTCGGGTCTGGCAAAAACAAAGACCATGACATTCTTCACTCTCTTTTTTTTCTAATTCAGGAACATGGTTCCCCACCATGCGCCTCTTTTCAATGGGAGATGCGTGTACCAGATGTGTATACTAGAGGCCGGAAGGAGTTCTGCTTATATATGTAGAAACTCTAGAGCACGTGATTCTTATTGCGAGCTTGGATGCATATATACAGAGATGTTTAAAAGTTGAAGCACGATAATAACATGTAAATCACTTCAATGGTGCTGGTGCTCATGATTAGGATTGCTCCATGCAAGGTCACTGTCTGTTGCGTCTGCAAGGCACTTACCAACTCGCCGCTTGCATTTTCACAAGCCAGAATGCCATTCCACGCGCGTCTTCCTATTTGAGAACTTCCAGGGAAAGGCGGAGGTGTAGAGAAAGCCTATGCACGCGCTGCAACCGCAGGGTTTCCGTGAGGTCAGGCAGCGTCCGGACAGCTCATGTGACAATATCCAGATTCAAATAACAAGCGCTAGAGTGGCTGGCTGCATAGCAGTGTATGGGTGCTTACTGTGGCTATAGGGTATTAAAAAACGCTACTGTCTTAGTTGCAATCTCGAGACTCTGCCCGAGGTTCCGTGGTCGCTCCAACTTGCAGAGAGATTATATTTTCCTTTTCTTGAGCGAGGGCCAACTAACGGTGAGAGTGATGGTGAGTATGGAGTGAAGCTAGATCTCTTCCGGGATCCGCAGATTTTGGAGTGAGCCGAGACTCGGTTGAGATTCTGAGCTGGGGATCACTGGAAGTATCCGTCTATTCACAAGACCGAAGCTTTGATGGTCAAAAAGTCACCATCGATGACGGCTGTGACCCACCCTTTTGGCTTTTGATTAGACCGGCACCTCTTTAATTAGAGGCGTTGTTCGATCTTGTACATATTTAGAGTACGTTTTCCTTGCATTGCGCGCGAGACAATCGGCAAAAGGCTTGTTGGACTGAACAACCTCGTCTTTACCTGCTATAGTACCTTGAGCCCGGTGCGGCTGCTCTTTTTCAAGGACTAGGAGGATTGAAAAAATCATGTTCCTCAATCGGAATAAGGCATCATTGCCGCAGTTGCTGCCAGCGTCCATGTTCACCGTGCTTTCCTAAATTGGACCGTTGGAAGCTGTTGTTTGCGAGAAGGTGCGGCGAATCAGGAAAGAGATATTACACCGTCCTACTGCCTTTCTAGAATCATCATCCGTCTTCTGTCCTCATTCTCTCGCGGCATCAGGCTTTTTGTTCACCGCATCTCGCGCACGGCTCACTGCAGGGCAAACGGGCAAACACAGCATCACATCATGGCGTCTACAGTACTCAGCGACTATAACGTGCGCCTGGCACGTCATCCCCGCGTGCGTTCGCTGTCGCACGTGTCTTATGGCAGCTCTGTCCCCGGCACCGATAACCCCTTGGTAGACTCACCTCCAGTACCAGCTACACCGACTAATACCCCCACGGCGGGTACCCACAGTCCTCCGGAGACGCCGTTCCACTCACCGGTGATTCTCTCGCCCCCAGCAAACAGTCCTGAAAACGGTGTAGATAGCGGAATTGCCAGTCCCTCCGACGGATGCCAGATTCGATTCCACCCACCCGACTTCATTCGGCAACACCACTTCCCTACCCCTTTACTGCGGCCTACAGTACCTCCCAATTCACCCGAGAATTGGCGTTTGTGCGGAAACACCATGAACAGCCAACCTGAGGAAGACATTCCCACGAGCTTGAGCGAGCGACTTGGTGCACTCAGCATGACTAGGCCGGTAACCGAAGGCGTTACCAGCAGCGAAGTGAAGATACTAAAGGAAGAGACTCCGAAGGCGCCGGAGAACCCATTCTACGAAATTCGCCCAGTGCCAGGCAAGGGCTACGGTTGTTTCGCCATCAAGAACATCAAGCGCGGAACCCGCATCTTGGCCGATGATCCTCTTCTCGTAGTCCCTATCGCCGAGTACTTTGAGACTGATATTAAGGAAGAGTTTGCCAAACTGTCTCCCAAAGACCAGGCCCTGTACTTCACTCTCCACTCAGCCCATGGGCAGGATCCAAAGAACTGGCCGAAGCATATCCACCCAACGGTGGAAGGGAGGGAGCGATGCCGCATCGAGGAACAGCACAAGGCTCGCACTGGGAAGGAACCGACACTGATTAGCATCTTCCAGACGAACTGCATGGAGATGGACGGAGGCGCCGCTGTCTTCCCGAACGCCGCTCGCTTCAACCACAGCTGCAACCCAAACGCCTGCTTCTCCTGGAACCCAGCGATTCGGAAGGAGACGATCCACGCGATCAGGGATATAAAGAAGGACGAGCAGATTACCCTGTCATACTGCGACATCACGCATGATAAAGCGACTCGCCGATGGGAGCTCAAGCACTACGGCTTCATTTGCGACTGCCCGGCCTGTGTCGGTGACGATCCTCAATCCTTCGCGGGCAAGTCCGAGACTAGAAGGTATAGGCTCATGGAGCTGGAGCAGGAGTTTCGACTTACTCGCGGCGAATACATCGGATTCGGGGTTAGCCAGCCGGGCTTCATCGAGAAGCTATTGGAGTACGCGACGTTGCTCCTCGAGGAAGGGGACTACACAGTTCGGCTTGCCAACACGTACGTGCCGCACGCTCACTGACGACACTTGCGTATGCTAACTGGCCCATAGCTACCTGGACATCGCAATCGTTTGCGAGAAGAAGGGCGATTTGCTCCTCGCAAAGCGCAGTGCGCTGAAAGCTCTCCGCATCAAGCTCGAAACTCAAGGTCCTGATTACCCGGATATCCCAAAGTATCAAGGGGTTGTTCAGCGGATCAAACGGAAGATGGCAGAGCAGGAGGCTGCACAGGCTGGGAATAAATCTTGATGAGGGGGCGGATAAGCGATGTGGGTGGGGATTTGCATGCGTATTCTGTGTGCAAACCCATGTGGGAAGAAGAGCGAGGAGGGAGACATATCTGGGCGACGGGCGCGGACGGGTCATCGTGGGATATGGGTAAGGCTCTCTCTTGAAGTGTAATCATAATCCTCTGGGCATGTCCTATCTAGCGGCAGACAATAAAGCAGAGATGATTCATCATGGTTCTCCCAACAAAATTGGATAGTACGAGTGAGGTTGAAGGGCGCAGGTGGTACTGACAAATAGCGCTATACCTGATTGGGAACCCCAGCGCTTACACTTTAGCGCGCTCTGAAACTGTGCTGAAGCACAAGTCCCAGTCGCACAGTCTGTCAGCGTCGTGACGTCGTCGCTGGGACCTGCAAGATCCGGGTCTGCTGAAACCTGCCCAGGTGCAGTGCCACCTGCTGGCTGGCCTTGCCGCTCATCATGTTTCCTTCGCGCGTACCTGGGCGGAGCTGCATGCAGAGTCCAGATGCTGCTTCCTGAATTCACTGCGCTTGCTCACTAACACTCAAACCAGACTCAGGCAACTGGGTTTCCGCTCTCCACTGACCCAGTGAATCGCTGATATTCACAGTATCAACAGTATTGCACACCTACGACAATGGCTCGTACGGACTCTACGCCTTCGGAGCCAAAGCCTCCAACATCATCTCCAGCCCCCGTACCGCAAGCGCCCACCACCTCCGAAGAATCAACAGCGTTCCGTCCATCATCACAGTCAGGAGACGAGCCACGGTTATCGATGGCTTCTACGGAGGCGGCAGAACCACCATTTTCTCCCAGCAGCACCACACCGGTGCTGGAGAAGGATGAGGAAGATAGCGATTTCGGCAGCCATTCCGAGGTCAACGACGACCTGCCCACGGAGAAGGACCTCAAGCGAGTCGAAAACTTGCTCATTCTAGATTCCAAGGGCCAGTCGCGCCCATTCAAGGATCTGTATTCCGGAGAAGGCGTTGCGCCGCGACAGCTCATCATCTTCGTCAGGCATTTCTTCTGCGGGGTGAGTCCACTGTCTCTCCCTCGAAGCTGTCGACGTACTGACAAGAGCAGAACTGCCAGGAATACTTACGCACCCTCTCTTCCTCCATAACGCCCGAATCGCTCCTCGCTCTCCCAACCCCCGCCTTCATAACCGTCATCGGCTGCGGCCGCCCCGAGCTCATCGACATGTACGCAGAGACGACGAAATGCCCCTTCCCGATATACGCGGAGCCCACACGGAAGCTGTACGATATCCTGGGCATGACACGGACATATGAGCTGGGCAAGAAGCCGGACTACATCCACACCAACCTCTTCGTCTCGTCCGTCCAGAGCGTCGTGCAGGGCCTGAAAACGGGCAACAAGGCCCTGAAGGGTGGAGACTTCAAGCAAGCTGGCGGGGAATTCTTGTTCGAACATGGGAAACCGGTGTGGGCGCATCGGATGCGGAATACGAGGGATCATACCGAGGTGGAGGAATTGAGGCAGGTGCTGGGGTTGGAGGTGGTCAAGGCGCCACTGAGGAAGAGCTGGAGTCATGGGGTGAAGGAGGAGGGTGGGAGGAAGAGGAGTAGTAGTTGGGGGAGGTTAAGGAGTCTGAGCAAGGGGGCGAAGGAGAAGTTTGGGGAGAAGGAGAAGGAGAAGAAGGTGGTTGAGGAGGGAGCTGCTTGAGGGTAATGGGGGAGGCACATCACCTGCCGGTGGTATCATTGGTATATTGGCACGGATTCTCTGGAGATCAATTGTTAGCATAGGCACACATCGCATGTTTACTCGGGTACTATCATACGGTTGCGACCTATTAGCAAATGCTTCTGACGCTGCTGTCCTTCGGCCATATAGATGTTCCCAATACGGTAAACCCTAGATTTCCTTGTAGATGCCAAGACCAGTCCACAACAGCAGGAAGGCGTCAATCCTGCAAAGCCGTGCTTCACCATAACTGTATACCTCTTATTCCACTCAATCTTAAAACCGAGCTTAAAGCGACCTCGTGGCGAATATTCAGCGAACCCGCCCCTATTATTGTAGCACAGCGGCACCGATTTAACCCCGCCATACCTAGTGAGGGGTGAGGGGTCGGCGGTGCAGGGGTTCACGGCGGGTAGCGTCGTCATGGCGTACAACCCCACATGGGGAACAGGCGCGGCAATTGCAACAGCCAAATACAGGAGGAGGGACAAGTGCCGAAGCAGATAGATCCCGTCGGGTTTTCGTTTGGCTCCTCAGAAAGCTTTCTCCTCCTGCCTACTCCTTTACTCCTCTCACTTCATTCTTGTGCTTTTGACTCTGACTTCGATTGCTCTCCCTTTCCCGAGGACTCACGGTTCTACTGTAGTGGTAGAGGTTTCACAGAGAGGAATTGAGAATGTCTGCTGATACGGTTGGAAAGGTACGTCAATGTTTTGCTGTTAGGAGACGCGGTTTTGCGTGGATGTCGATTTGGGAAGCAGGCTGACTGATAATAGACAATTACCTGCAAGGTGCGTTATGAACGACTCCTCTGAGCTTCTGCGAGCTTCAACTTGTCCCTCTCTGCTCTTCGTCACTTTGAGCGCTCTCGACCTATCCTCCAGCACCGCATGACAAGCTTGCCTGGGGGGCTATGGATCCGCAGCTATACATATACCGGACGACAGCTGAGACGGTCAATTGGGCTCAATACTGGCGGAGTGGATACAAGAACAGGCTAGAGAATGATTGACAGGACACTGATATCCGTTGTAGGCCGCCGTTGCCTGGGAAGCAGGAAAGGACCTCACGATTGAGGATATCGAGGTTGCGCCGCCCAAGGCCCATGAAGTGCGCATTCAGATCTACTATACTGGTGTCTGCCATACCGGTACGTCCTGAAATCGTTCTACAACTCTATGGCCCTCAAAAGTGGATTAGTGCAATATCAAACGGAACTGACACTCACAGATGCATACACTCTCTCCGGCAAGGACCCCGAAGGCGCCTTCCCCATCGTTCTCGGCCACGAGGGCGCTGGTATCGTCGAATCAGTCGGTGAGGGCGTCACCAGCGTGAAGCCCGGAGACCATGTCGTTGCGCTATAGTACGCCGTCGGAACGCCCATCATGCCCTCCAACATCTAACAACAACAGCACCCCCGAATGCCGCGAATGCAAGTTCTGCAAGTCCGGCAAGACCAACCTCTGCGGCAAGATCCGCGCCACACAGGGCAAGGGCGTCATGCCGGACGGAACCTCACGCTTCAAGTGCAAGGGCAAGGACCTGCTGCACTTCATGGGCACCTCGACCTTCTCCCAGTACACCGTCGTAGCCGACATCTCCGTCGTCGCTATAACCCCCGAAGCTCCCATGGACCGCACTTGTCTGCTCGGCTGCGGCATCACCACCGGCTACGGCGCCGCCGTCATCACCGCCGGTAAGGGCGGCATCGAAAAGGGCTCCAACGTGGCCGTCTTCGGCGCCGGCTGCGTCGGCCTCAGCGTCATCCAGGGAGCCGTCAAGAACGGCGCCGGCAAGATCATCGCCGTGGACGTGAACGACAGCAAGGAAGCGTGGGCAAAGAAGTTCGGTACCACGGATTTCATCAATCCTACCAAGCTCGGGAACCAGAGTATCCAGGAGAAGCTGATTGAGATGACGGATGGCGGGTGTGATTATACATTTGATTGCACGGGCAATGTGCATGTCATGAGGAGTGCTCTGGAGGCGTGTCATAAGGGGTGGGGAGAGAGTATCATCATTGGGGTTGCGGCCGCGGGTCAGGAGATCAGTACTAGACGTGAGTCCTCTTCTCCATTTCTCTACCTTGCCATTTACTAACTCTCCACCAGCATTCCAGCTCGTCACCGGCCGCGTATGGAAGGGCTGCGCTTTCGGAGGCGTCAAGGGCCGCACCCAGCTCCCGGGCCTGGTCCAGGATTATCTGGATGGCAAGCTCAAGGTGGATGAGTTCATTACGCATAGGCAGCCGTTGTCGGGGATCAATCAGGCGTTTGCGGATATGAAGGCTGGGGATTGTATTCGGTGCGTGGTGAATATGAGGGAGGTTTAGGGGGTGAGGCATGGGGATGGAGTAAGGCGTCTAGTTAAGAAAAGTGGAGATGCATGGATGGAGATAGATGAGAGTGTATATTGAGATCTTTAGGCGACATGAAGTGCGATGATGATGAGGATGATGATACGCAAATGTGACGACTCTCTTGAGGTGAAGTTGAGGCACTGCTGTACGAGACGAGTGGAGGCAAAATGGGTATATAAACCCCCTTCTTCCACTCCTCAGGTCCCTTTCTACTGCCTATGGTACCGTTGGAAACTGTCTCCAAAACTGACTTCGGAAAGGCCTTATGTTTGCTTCGGTTTTCGCGATTTGGATTCGATGCATGGATGTATCCACTGGTTTTGTGCTTGGACATGAGTGATTGTTTGCTCGGTTTTTTATCGCAGTGGTGGTGGTGGTGATGGTGATGATGGTGATAATTGTGATCTGCCAAAACGAAAACCGTGCGGGAGTGCATGTGGTGGAGTGCGGAGTGGGAAGGATGAGGGCTATCGTGCGCTGTTGCGGTGATTCCAAATTCATATTTGAGAATTTGAGTTCGAAATTATGCATCAATGGAGCTGAGGTCAGTTGTCAACACGGGCCATCAGATAAGCGGGTGGGCTTGATAGTAGCCCATGCTAGCTAATTTTTCTTCTCGATGAATTCAAAGAAGGACATTGGGAGGCTGAGGGGGTATATAAAACCCTTCCTCCTGCTTATCCTCCTTTTTCTTTCCACACCACTTTTCAAATAAGAAAAAAAAAAAAAAAAAAAGGACGCCTGAAATGCATCAAATTGGAAAATTATGTCCTCGGCCGTTCTTTCCTCTCCCAGTCACTGTGTTTTGCGAAAGGGGGCAGGCATGGAAAAGTGGTTAGATGTCCGAATATGTTTTAGGCTGAGTTGCGCGTTTGAGAAAAAGAGTACAAGAGAATGATGATGCGTGTGCGTCGTCAGTTTCTACGGGGGATCACCTGGGTTTGGAAGGATGGCGCCTGAGGTGATAGCGGTGGTGGTGGTGCTGGTTAGGGTGGTGGTGATGGCGATGATGATGATGGTTGTAACTGTGATTTCTTCTAAAAACGAAAACCGTGTAGAAGTAAATGTAGTAGAGTAGGAATTAGGAATAGCAAGGGCTTTCGTGCGCTCTCCTTAGGGTTGCCATGATTCGAAATTCACATCTAGCCTAGGAGGATTTGAAATCAAAACTATCTCTCGATGGAGCTAAGGTAAGTTGTTAACCTAACGCAATGCATTAGATAAACAACTGCTAGTAGGCTTAGTACATGGTCGCTGAAACTCTCTTTTCGGGGGAGAGGGAAAGGGGAGGGGTGTATAAGGCTCGGTTTTGTTCGTAGTTATCCTTCCTACTGTACTTCTTCCTACACTCCTCCACGAAAAGAAGGACGGCATCCAAAACAAAGATAAATCCAAAGCATGTCTTGGGCTTCGTTGCTTGTTTAATAAAGGGAGTACGAAGAGATGATGATGTGTGCGGGTTATCGTTTGTATCTAAAAGAATTTCATTTCACGGGACAATCTTCTCCTCTCCTTCCAATGTTCCCACACTCGTCAACGGAAAGAGGAAGGGCATCGAAAATGAAGAAAACCCGATGCATGTCTTGGGCTTCGTTGCTTGTTTAAAACAGAGAGTACGAAAAGCTGATCATGGGTGTGTGTGTGTCGTCGTTTCTGTTTTGAATGTTTCTAGGGGGATGGGGAATTGTATGGGTTTGGAGGGATGGTGGTGGTGATGGTGGTGGTGATGGTGGTGGTGATGATGAGTAGTATCACTGATGGACAACTGCGCGGATTCAAAGATTGAAGGCGCAAGTGAGTACGGCAGTCTTGCACGTGCCTCTACCCTTACCCACACCCACCCACCAACCGACGTAGTCACGGGTACAGTGTGAGGGTAGAGCAGTATATAAACCGCCCCTTCTCCCTACATCCTAACACCTATCTACTCATCGTGGTGTCGTGTTTCCTTTTTCCAAAAACACATAAAAGGTGTCACGAATGACTTTCGTTGTGTTGGATTGCGATCAAACTGCGTTGATGTGTTGGGTTTCTGGTAGGACGTAGGAGGAGGGGGAGGAGAAGGGGGATATAGGGGGATTGATGGTGGTGGTGATGGTGACTCCGACGGGGGTCAGTGATGGATAACTGCCCAAGTTCAAATGTAAATGTTGCAGGCGCATGTGAGGAATGTGGTCTTGCACATGCCTCCCGACCCCGACCGACCGACCCAACCGGGCCCAGGCACGAGTTGAGGGAGAGAAGTATATAAATCCCCTCACCTTCCCTACTCTTCGTTTCTTCTGCACTCTACCTCAAAATCAAGCACCCTTTGAAAAAAGACAAGGATCCGAGCGCATGGGGGAGTTCGGATGGTGTTGTCGCGCTTTCACTAAACACTTAGTATCCTACGCTTTTGGGTTTGTCTTTCTTGTTGCATACGGTTGGGTTGTGGTGGTGTGTTGGGAGGGGGATGGAAGGGTTTGATGGTGATGGTGATGTTGTGGATTATGGTAATAAAGCTTATATGTGCACTGGCATATGAGTGGGAGTGCACAGAGTGCTGTTCCCCATGCCTCAGGGTGTCTGCAACCAAATCATCAAGTAGAGGTGCAGGTATATAAACCTCCTCAACTCCCTTTTATGCTCTCTTCTAAATTACCAAACTCCCACGATCTCTTAAAAGCATTGGATAGTACAATAATGGTGCCGTCCTCGTTTCCCCCTCAAAAGATCCAATTTCGTCCTCACTCTCATGTGCCTTGTCGGTGTTGTTCGCTCAGGCTGCGGTGATGTGTTGGGGTTTTTGAGTGAGGGTAGGAGGATGGGGGATGGAAGGGCTGTGGAAGGGGATTGGGTGTCGGTGATGGTGGTGGTGGTGGTGATAATGAGGGATTCAAATTCAGTCGCCAGTTCAGCGACACGAGGCAGAGCTCGCGTGATGAAGGCGACGGGACAGGTATATAAACCCCCTCCCTTCCCCGTCCTGCGTCCCTTTTTCTCTTGCACCCTTCCCTTCTGTGCGTGGCCTTATCAAACTGAAAAGTACGAACCTCACGCGTCATGCGCTGGGCGTCTTCTGTCTTTTCTTCAAAACATTCACCGGGTGTGCCCATGTGTGCTGTTTATCAAATTGCGTTTGCAGGCCTCTTGAGGATTTGAAGGGCCCCATTAACTAGGCAACGGCTGGTTTGATGAGATGCACGTGATTGGGGTGAGGTAACTAGTATTAAATCCCCTCACCTCCGCTTCTTACGTCTTTCTTTGACTTGCACGCCTTTGTGCGCGGACTTGTTTCAACATCAAAAAAGATAACCATCCAGGAGTATGTGGCTGGCGTCCTGTTTCTCCGAGTGTTCTCAAAAACAGGAACGGCCTTTCGTATGTGTTCGTCGATTGTTTTGTTTTCTGTGCGTGCGTGGGAATTTGGTTGGTTTATGGGTCTGACGGTCTTATTCGGGGGGCTTGAGATTTTGGTCTTGTGCTGAGGGTGAGGGTGGGAATGATGGTGGTGATGATGGTGATGGTGGTGATGGTGCTCATCGTTAACACTGGTCCGCAGCGCTTAACATGACTTCCTTGGCTGAGAATTTGAAAGTAGAGAGGATGAGATGCGGACGGAGGAGCGGGCAGAATATAAGGCTTCGTCTTTTCCTCCTTTCTTCTCTCTTCCTCCTTTCCTCTCTCTTCCTCCTTCTCCTCACTGTGTTCTTACAGTTCTCTATTTCCAAACAAGCTGCGGCCTCAGGACATGTTCTCTGCGGTCCTTGTGAGATAAAATGTATTCGATGACTTTGCGCGGCTTCCAACGCATGTTTTCTTCGGCTTGAGCTTGCACGCTGCTGATGTTGGCGGTTGGGACATATGTAGTATGGACTCAGGCATTATTAATGCTGAGAAGGTTTATTATCAGACAGTGGCATAAGGTTGAGCGAATGGACTCCCAAGGGTCGCTTTAAGGGACGGAGAATAGGGGAAGTATATAGAAACGCTATTGTTTACTCACTCTCCTTCGGCCAACCTCTACTTCAATTTAGCTTTCTTATCCAAAACAAAAGATGCCCAAGACATGTTCATGTTCTTCCTTGCTTGCTTTTGTGGCTTGAATTCTGTGTGCTCACGAGCAGTTCCAGCGGACACTTCTCTTGGGGAACATAATTGAACTGTGCCCGCGTTTCCAACACGAACATGATGGTAGAGGACATGGATTTAATATTCCTAGTGATGATAGTAAAGAGAATTTCATTGCAGCTGCGACATCCGTGACACCCGACTCAATTTTCATTTGCGAAGAGCTAGGGCAGCGAGAGGTAAGCATATATAAACCCTACTCTCAAGCTCTTCGTTATTCTTCCTCCTCTTCCTCTTCCTGCAAAACCTGGTACAAGGGTTTTGTAAAACGAGTGCAAGCAAGTGGATACCTGGATACTTGTCTTTCTTTCTCCAAAATCAGATCAGCAAAGCATTGATGGCTGTGTCTCCTTTGTTGTACCCGGCTAAGTAGGAATATTAGTTAGTTGAATGTAGATTTTTGAAGAGCGGCAGCGGCGGCGGCGGCAGTGCAGATGATGATGATAATCATGAGGTTAGTTCCGTGATATGCTGAGATTGTCACATGAAGGTGAGCGACCAGGTCTTTGAAAGCGCAGATGGGACGGTTGAGGGGTATATAAACGATCTTCTCTCCTCCTGTAACTTGTTTTCCTTTCCGTTTTCTAGACTTCTAAATGCCCAAGCGTATTTACTGTACTTGAAAATCTAACAAGAAGACAGGCAATGTCGGCTCCGGTCGTTTCGCTCTCTTGTAAAAATTAGGCGGATGCGTCTATAGCGTGTCGTTCTACTGTAGACCCTTAGACATAGAACTTATTTTGTTGGAACATAGGCCCTAGTGTCCCTGAGGGTGCGTGATGATGATGAGCAGCATTATTGCTAATTTCCAGATTCCCAACATGTTCCCCAAGCGAACGAGCAGCTTCTGAGGTGCCGTGCGGAGGGGAAGTATATAAACCCTACACTTTTTCCCCTTTTGCTTCCTTCTACTTTGCTGCTTCAATAACGCTTGATTAGATTTTCTAAAACGTGCGGTTAGGGAAACCCATGGGCTGCCGTGTTTTTTCCTTTCCAAAAGATACACACAGGGTGAAGATGTTGTTGTAGCGTGTCTGTGTAGTAGGATGACAAGCCACCTTTGAAACAGACTTGTTGCAATCAATGCAGGCGAATTAGTAGTAGTGGTGATCAGCAGCGTCGCCGTTGTCTTCCAAAAAGCCAGCGCTGTCGAGAACGAGCCTTCAGTCTGCTACTTGAAGGAGCAGGGAAAGTATATAAGTCCCTCCTCACTCCTGCTAATTGCTCTTCCTCTCCTACACAGCTACTGCGGTTGATAATCTCCTCAAACTTCGCCGCCGACGTGACTATGTCCGGTGTTTGTCGTTTTCGCTAAAACTTGAGTCTTTGTTCGCCATGTGTCCGCCGTTCTCGAACTTTCTGAGATTTCTAGGTTAACCGAACATAGTGAACATGAAGGGAACCATATAGATTTTGAAACAGTTGCGAAAAAAAGGAAACATAATGGTGGAGATCGACATCATCGCCAGACAGAGCAAAAACAGTGTCGTGACACGCTATGTACCTAGAGCCAGTTAGCTAGAACTGTTGTATGTGGACGGCTCAAGTATGAAATCCTCTCTCTACCCCCGCGAGCGCCTTTCTCTTCACGCACCCGCACTAAGTACTTCTTTTCCTTAAAACAACGCAGAGTCCATCCTATGGGGCTTGCTTGTCTTTCCTTTCTCTAATACGGCAACCTGGATGTCAATGGCCGTTCCTGTCGTTCTGAATCTTGACATAGAAGCATGTTAATTATTGGCTAGACTTTGAAGAGCAATGACCGTAGTAGTAATAATCGTCATTAGTACATTCCCAACGGCACTTGCAGTGTTCCTGAACTCAGGAATTAAAGGAGAATGGATGGATCTACGAAGCCTGCCTGTCGCTCTTTAGTCGAAGTATCAGGGTTTGTGAGCCATTACAAAGTGATATTTGCGTGATATCCGGCCGTGATGAAGCAATGATTTTGGCCATTTTTCAAATGATAATAGTGAGGACCGCCGTTTCTGATTGCACGCGAATGTTGCGGCCAGTGCTCTCATAAGCCCCCGAGAAGACGTTATTAGAGATCCTTCCTCGCCATGCACTCTGAAACTTCTTCCTGAGTCGCTACATTGTAGGGTCTAAAAAGGAGTACACTGTTGTTCATAGCTTGTTTTACCCTATTATAAATTTTCTGTTTGTAACATGTGAGTAGGTTTTGTACGCGCATCTCTTGTAATGCTTAAAAATATAGAAACGCAACGGTGAAGCAGAAGTGAAACATGCCATATAAAATTGAGATCTAGCAGTGGTGATAATCAGCATGGCAACAAAACAACAGAGGCGGCCAAGCCGTGCATGTCTCAAGCATATATATAAACAGTGAGCCTCTCTACTTCGTCTTTCCAAAATCCCCTCCCCTATCTTCTCACACTATCTTAACAATGTGCTTATCTCAAAAGCTGTCTTCTTCCTGTGCATGTCTTGCTGTGCTTGCCCGAGCGCTCGCCTCAGTGATGTAAATGGATCGGCATGGCTTGCATTGCTTTGGCCGAACATAAGGCATATGTCGATTGCTTTCTAAGCCGTAGGGGAAAGTTAGTCGCAGTAATGAAGGTCGTTAGTACAAATTAACAACGTTGACACCGAAGTCTAAACATTAACCGTGGCAAAGACATTAAAGGGGCACAGGAGACGTCACCCTCTTCGATTTGCCGCGTAGGCTTTCCAAGAAACCGAAGCTCACGCCGTCGGACTTGCTTAAAGAAGAAGGCGCCTTTGAATGCTCTTTCTGTACTCCGTACGGCGAGTTGATAATAACGGGGGATTATGCATACATGACTAAAAGTGCTCAGGCTTTTGGGGTGAAACGACCGGGGGAGAAAGAGCATTTCCTAAGGGTAAAATAGGGCTTTTTCATATCATTTCTTTAACCAGTTAGGGGGTTAGTTTTCGAACGACAAGTAAGCTAAGGAAAAATAACCTCATATGTAAGAAACTGTAACTTCTATAAGGAAAATAGCCGAATCGCTATGGGACCTGACTCGCTGATCCTACACTTGTACCTAGGGTATGCAATGCAATTCGCAACACACCGCCTTGGCATCTACTGGCGGTCCAACACAATTTCACCATACATGATGCACCTCACAAACCGGCGCTTGCCCAATTGAGTAAATCTCAATTGGGAGAATCTCCCTCCCAGATGCGGCGCAGTACAGCCCCGGGGCTGCAAGCGAATCTGATTCCCACAACACCTCCACGAACTTGTACCGAAAGCATCCTGCAGTCATGGAGTATCCTAAGAATGTCGGTATCAAGGCGCTGGAAATATACGTTCCCGGCCAGGTGAGTACATTGCTTCACTACGATTCTCTTCGCTGGCTGAACAGGACATCCGCAGACGCTCGACCAAGCTCAGTTCGAAGCGCACGAAGGGGTCTCAGCGGGGAAATACACCATCGGTCTGGGACTGAAGTCCATGAACTTTTGTACTGATCGGGAAGGTATTGTGGCTTCTCTGCTCGACAACCACAGGTTCTCTCCGGGGGTTGACATAGACTAACTTGGTTACCAAACAGATGTGTGTTCGCTTGCTCTGACCGCGGTCTCGTCGCTCCTCCGCAAGTATTCGATCGACCCGCAGTCCATCGGAAGACTGGAAGTCGGCACCGAATCTCCCTTTGATAAGGCAAAATCTGTGAAAACAGTCCTGACCCAACTTTTCCCTGGTAACCACAGCCTGGAGGGTGCCGACACCGTCAATGCCTGCTACGGAGGCACAAATGCGCTTCTCAACGCGATAAACTGGGTGGAGTCTCGTTCGTGGGACGGGAGGGAGGCCATTGTTGTTGCATCGGACATTGCACTGTATGCACCGGGACCCGCCAGGCCTACAGGAGGTGCAGGATGCGTAGCGATGCTCGTAGGACCTGATGCTCCCATAGTGTCCGTTCCGGGTTTGCGAGGGACATATATGACGCACTCCTACGACTTCTACAAGCCAGATTTTAATTCTGAATACCCGACCCTGGATGGCCACCTGTCTGTTGCTTGTTACCTCTCTGCCCTTGACGGTTGCTACTCGGACCTACGGAAAAATGCTGCACGCATTGCCAACCAACCAGACAGATTTCCGGAGGCCCACGACGTTCTCAGTCGGGACCGCAGCACATTCGTCGAGATATTTGATTCCATGGCCTTCCACACCCCAAACTGCAAGCTGGTGAGCAAGTCGTACGGTCGTCTGCTCTACAATGATTTTCTCGAGTCCAAATCTCATCCGACATTCGCTTCGGTTCCGCAGGAGTTTCACACTATGTCGCGCGAGGAATCCCTGCGCTCCAAGGAACTCGAGAAATTCTTTGTACAATTGAGCAAGACTCAGTTCACGAGTCGTATCGAGCCGTGTATCATCGCACCGAGCCGATGTGGAAACATGTACACAGCCAGCTTGTACTGCTCTCTTCTCAGTGTGATCAGCAATGTTGGCTCCGACCGTCTTCAGGGCAAAACCATTGGCATGTTTAGCTATGGCAGCGGTATTTCCAGCACATTGTTCACGTTGCGTGTTGTCGGCGACGTTACGGAGATCATCAAGCAGGTGAACCTCATGGCACGGCTCGATGAACGCCATGTCGCTTCACCTGCTGAGTACGAGGAGGTAAGCAGGCCCGAGAGGAACTCCCCTTCCTTGCTTTATTGGAGAACCCAAAGTTAACATCGGTCGCAGGCATACAAGCTAAGGGCAGAAGCATACGGCAAGAAAAATTTCACACCCCGCGGAGATGTCGCCCGTATTGGTGATGGAGTGTACTACCTGGAACATGTCGATGAACAGTACAGGCGCACTTACAAGATCAAGGGAGCGGAAACCAATGGGATCCATTAGAATAGAGTTATCGATAGAGATAGAAATGTCCAGTGCTGGTAATCTTGCACCACTGAATCCTCTGCGTCACGCGTACTCTAGATATCGACACAGTAGGGGATGCCGGTGTGAATCTTGCGCAAGATGCGGTAACTCAATATGATAGGACCCATGAGGCAACTGGCAAGGGACAATTCAGAAGACTCAAACATCTAAGGAGGTGCATGTAAGTTGCATGGGAACCCACAGCACGAGAACGCTTAGCTGACACGGGACAGTTTGAGGAGGACCTTCACTTTCTTATCCCTAACAGCATATGTGCCTAATAAGGTACGCGGAATATATATTCTGTGCGCCAATGTCGGCAGATCCACAATATGAGCACATCGACCTTAAAGCGAGCACGTTCACGCTATTGGTGAACCCGGCAGGGATTCAGACCAGGTTCCCCATATGCTGTATATTCGGAACTATGCGTGAACATCTTACCAATAACGCCGAACAATTGAGTGGACATGCAGGAATCCCACCAACCGAAGACTGCCTCCAGATGAGAATCAATCTCAGACGATGTCCTTGGCCGGGACATAGCAGTCTCTTGATACGAATAAGTATTCTCGCTGCCCCAATCTTGCATGTAGGGTACCTCGAAGGAGAGCTAACGGTTGATGCTCAACATGGTTCAGATATCGGTAACAGCGCTTCTCCTACCGCTCACGCTAGCCTCTGCTCTTCCAAAGAGAGCCACCGTCCTGATTCCGAAAAGCGTTTTCGACAGCACAACCTCCCTCGAGCAATACTTCACATACAACTACCCATGGGGAGGTAACACCCACAATGGCGGCGCCCGCATGGATAAAGAGCACGTTGCAATCTCCCCTCCGGGTACCCTCAAAATCACTGCTCAGCCCGTCAAAGGTCAGCCTCCTGCAACCCACGGCGGGAAGCAGATACCCATCAACTACCTCTCCGGCGCCGTAGGAGCAAAGCAGCATTTCAATGTTCCCAAAGGAGGCGGACTCGTGTTTTCAGGATCTTTCCAGGCCACAGCCACAAAGGGGACATGGCCCGCTTTCTGGCTCACTGCCGTCAACGGCTGGCCACCTGAGATCGATATGGCGGAGTGGAAGGGCAGTGGCAAGATTAGCTTCAATACCTTCAACACGAGCAGTGTGTTGTCTTGGAAGGATGTGGCATACAATAATCCGAGCCAGTTCCACGATATCACGTGTGAGCTGCGGGATGTGAATGGGAAGGATACGCAGGTGAAGTTCTGGATGGATGGGGCGTTGCAGGCAACACATGTGGGGAAGGATTATACGGGGAAGCCGTTCTATCTGTAGGTGGACATTGGCGGAGTTGTCGGAGAGGTTTTGCTGACCAAAGGCAGGATAATCAACCTGCAAATGGAGGGTTCGAGCGGTAAACCGGGACCGACAACTAGTACGTGGGCCTTGCTTCTGTGAGACGAGTCAAATGGGATAGGAATACTGACCGCGATAGACACGACTTACTCGGTGAAAAACCTGGAGGTGACGACACTCTAAGATGTAAGCATGGGCGTGCAGCTGGGAGCCCGACTCAGCTATTCATGTTATATAGGGCACTAATAGATGTTGGTTTTGGTCGTACACCTTGCCTAGGAACGAGACCACGATCTATGAAGTGCGGTAATGCGTGCGAAGCGGTAGTCGCCGGTGAAAGACGGGCTCCAGAAAAGGCCCTGATATCCCCCACACGGCACAGACTGAGTCCGTTGGTTACGATTGTCGATGGCCTAGTATGCCCATAACCTTCCAAGGGAAAATAAGGACGCGTTGAACCCGATCCTACTGTTTGTTCTGGGCCTCATCGCGTCACTTCTTCGCGTTCTCCAGAGAGCGCGACCTATGACTATCACTTCACTCACTTCGGTTCCCCAAACGTCCTGTCACGAGCGACCTGAATCTCATCTCTGGCGGTATTGACAGTTACGAACATGTATCCAGGTTCGCTCGCCGCAATCCTGGTTGTCTCGACAATAATGATTGGAACCATCATCACCTACGTCGGCTACTCTCTCTACAGTCGTCATCTGCAGAAAGGCAACCCGCGTGCGCAACGCACTCTGGACAACATCGAACTCTACAACCTCACGCTGGCGCCCAACTCGATTCCATCACGTCCGGTGTCGCGCGCCCCTCGCGTCCCGCCGAAAGCGAAATCACCCTCTACAGCATCAACACCCGGACATTACAGTCTGCGCGAGTCACAACTCTCGCTTGGCGGGAGTTCCGTCTACTCCACCACGCCAGGACGAACATCGAATGAAAGCGGCGGTACACTTCGGCGTCACGGGGAACCACCTGCAAGCACTGAGAAGCGTACCGAATACGGAAATGACGACGACGATGATGCTTGGACTGATGTGGACATGTGTAGCCAAAGTGCAGTCACTACTTTCGACTTTGGGTTCGGCGACGAGAGCTTTGAGGGTGAGAAGAGGAGGAGCCGACCGGAGACCGCGCTTAGAGGCCACGGATTGAGTCTTACGATGTGACGTGCGGGTAGTTATTGCTACGGTCTCAGGAGAGTAAGATGGGTTCGACAGAAAGTGATGGCAGGCTGGGACATGTCTACTATACAGCAACGGTCTTGATGTTCCGCCTTGTTAGGAATATGTCTCGAAACAAAATCGTCTTATTCCTGCCAGAGATATCCATCAGTCTTGCTAGCCTTGCGGCGTGTGCATCAGCTCTGAATATGGTCGTGTTGGGACTTTGACTGGGGACCGCACCCAAATTTCTTAGGATATCGTACTTCTGGTGATTCCATATACAAGTACGTTGATTGGCAAGTCTGCGGAGCACTCTTGTTGTTGGTGTTTACAGTTGTGGATACTATTGAAATTGCTTGGCTCAGATTCCCCTTTTCAGAATTCAGGCGCTGATGATGTCAGGGTCAAGGTCCACAACCAACCGCGCACAAGACAAACATTCCTGATCAACAAAGAAAAGCTAAGCAACACGAAGGCCCCCCACAAGCAGTGCGCAATCGTCGTCAAAAGCTTCTTTAGCAGAAGCTTCTGTCCCTTGATTATTGATGGCGGCAGCCATTTCACCAATAATTGCGAGACAAGCGTTTGAAGCGCACGTCTTGCGAACCGATTCGCTGTTTCATATCTCGCTCACCTGTGCAATTACATCTGCGGCATAAACCGGGTCTGCCCCTTGTGTAACAGCATCGGCAACGCCAACGCATTTCAAACATCCAACTGCACGTCCAACTCCTCCCTCCCCAAAGCTGTTCCAGCGAAGGAGCTACACAACGTGGGCTTCCCAATAGCGCATCCTGAGGCTGATACTTCGGCTTGACCTTGATCATTGCAAACTTGGGCGAGGTTAAACAGCGCTTCTTACAACAAAACCCTGGAGTCTCGTTCTCCTTCTAGGGGCAGATAGACTGCTCGGAAGGACCTAGGAGGGTCAGTGTGTTTAACATACGTAGCCAGCGGTAAGCAAACAGCCCCGCAGATTGTCCTCAAATACTCCGTCCTAACTATGCCTTTAGGGGTCCGGCGGTCCATAGCAGGGATAGCACCTTTCGAGATTCAAAACAATTCCGAACAGATCTCCACGATGTCTCAGCGACGTTCGCGAGAAAGCCGACGCCCCTCACGCGGATACACCGAGCCGAAAACGGACGATGGAGGGTACAGCTCCCGGAGCACCAACCTGCCGCAGTACAACGTCAATGGTCACAAAGTCACTCCGGGAATCCAACCGGAAGGCGAGTCAGGCAGAAGTTGGATACATCCACTCAAGTTCCTGAGCATATGCTTCAGGAGCTCTTGCAAGGCGTCTATGCTTGTCAATATCCTCTGGCCAATGGTACCTGTTGCAATAGCACTGGTAAGCGGCTCCTGTCCCAACAGGCTTCTTACAAGAAGTTAAGTCGATATCACAGCACTTCGCACGGCCGGACTTACACCTTGCGATCTTCATTACGAACTACATTGCCATGGTACCCGCCGCAAACCTCGTTGGATTCGCAGGCCAAGAGTTCTCGCGCAAGCTCCCTGCCGCGATTGGTGTGATCGTTGAAACGACGTTTGGCTCCGTTGTTGAGATCATTTTATTCATGGTATTGTTGAAGACGGGAGATGGGAATGTCCAGGTCATCCGCGCCGCCATTCTTGGTTCCATTCTGGCTAACATGCTTCTATGCATGGGGGCATGTTTCCTTGTTGGCGGCCTGAAGCGCGATGAACAGGAGTTTCACCCAGCTATTTCCGAAGTGGGAAGTGGATTGATGCTAGTAGCAGGAAGTAAGATTTCACCTTCCCTCGTCTCTTGCAACTTGGTAATACCCAAACATTACTAACCCAGTCAGTGGGACTTATACTCCCCGCCGTCTACTTTGCTGCACTCGACAAGAGGACGGATCTAGAGCTAGGACCAGGCGAGATAGGCTCTGAGACGCTGAAAATCTCGCGCGCAGTGGCGATCATCCTGCTGGTAGGGTATCTGATATACCTCTGGTTCCAGACAAAGAGTCACGACTCGTTGTTCACGGAAATCTACGAGCACGACGACCACAGAGATGCCGACCGCCATAAGGATCTCGCAAAGGACAAGCTCACCTTGACAGAAAGTATTCTCGCCATCGCCATTGGCTTGGCATGTGTTTCGATGATTGCCGTTTTCCTGGTTCTTCAGATTCCGTACATGGTGGAAGAACGACATATTAGCGATGCTTTCGTGGGCTTGATCCTCGTCCCACTTGTTGAGAAAATAGCAGGTTTGTATGGGCGCTCTTCTCATGGGAACTGGGCTGATCATAGCAGAACACCTCACGTCTGTGGACGAAGCTTGGGACAACCAGATGAACTTTGCGATTGCGCATGTACTGGGCGCCAGCATCCAGACAGCGTTGCTCAACACGCCTTTGGTCGTGATCGTCGGTTGGGGCATTGGTGTGGGAATGGACCTGAAGTTCGAGATCTTTGACGCGGTGGCATTGATCTTGGCGATTCTCGTCATGGGATCGTTCCTCAGAGATGGGAAGTCGAACTATCTTGAAGGAGTGCTCTGCATAATGGTGTATATCATTATTGCCATTTGTGCATTCTTCTATCCGGACCCGCCGCATCATGGAGGAGGCCATGGGGGAGGCAATGGGGGAGGCCATGGGGAAGGCCATTAAGGAGCTTCTTTACAGATTGGGAATGCGTTGGCCAGCTTTGCGGCAGCTCATAGCGAAGGAGTCCGTTTCACAACTGATTATATGGGAAACTTTTAGAGAATAGATACCAATTCATTTTTTCGAACAGAGAATGGTGCGAGGTCCATTTCTGTAAGTGAAGAATCTCAGAGATGCTGACAGGCGCTAAACCAAAAGAAGCGCTAGCGCGCCATGGCATCTCCCACAACCTAAGCGACATTCAGCGGAATTTCACACCTCGACTTCAACCCGCGACAATCGACAATCCGACGACCCCGTTCCCGACGCCTCACTCCTCCAACCTCCCTCAAATACCGCAAAAATGGGTCGCGTCAGGACGAAGACCGTCAAGAAGTCCGCCAAGGTCATCATCGAGCGGTACGGACAGCTGCGCTTGACAAACCATTCTCAAAGCTGATGATCATCCGCAGTTATTATCCCAAGCTCAGCCTCGACTTCGAGGTCAACAAGAGGATTTGCGATGAGATCGCCATCATCGCCGTACGTTTTGAGGCTGTCTAAATGCAGGGGACACGGACTCACAACAATCTAGAGCAAGCGCCTGAGGAACAAGATTGCCGGATACACGACCCATTTGATGAAGCGTATCCAGCGGGGTCCCGTCCGCGGCATCTCCTTCAAGCTCCAGGAAGAGGAGCGTGAGCGCAAGGATCAATACGTCCCCGAGATCTCTGCTCTCGACTTCACCCAGAACTCCGAGAACGGAACCCTGGACGTCGATCAGGAGACCAAGGACCTCCTCAAGAGCATGGGCGTATGTTTCGCTCGATGGTCCTGCATGATACAAGAATTGACAAATCCCAGTTCGACTCCATTCCCGTCAACGTTGTTGCCGTCTCCCAGCAGCAGGTTGTGGAGCGCCCCCGCCGTTTCGACCGCCGCCCTGGCCAGTAAATGTTCGATTTCGGCTTTTCTCCTTCGGTACATTCAAAAGACGGTTAACGGATGGTGCATTGGTTTGCCACGGTTTGGCAGGAATATATACTGCCGTCATGATGTCTAGGAGTCAATGAAAAGGTTACCCCCACACAGGTGTCGCTGAGCTCAGTTCTCGAAAGAGATCTGGGCGAGGCTTGATTGCCATTTTCCCCTTTCATGTCGTGATGTGGATGATATGTGCTAACCTTGCCCAATCTTGGGTGTAGAGTCGCTGTTGCAGGTGCATCTAGGCGCATTTTCCGTTTCCAGCTCATGAGCCTTCTTATGATATCAGACCCCTCCCACCGAGTATATGAGAGACATATCAGCCCATTTATAACCATCTTGTAGACCACGAAGGCTTTGGAAGGCATGGATGTTGTTCAATACTGTAGCCTTAGTATAATATATCGCTGTGCATACTCCGTTTCCTGGTGTCTCTTTTGGCAACTTGGCTGTGCTGTGAGTACAATAGACATCCACATGTACATGTCATACAGTCACCAAGACGCATACACATTGCTCAGAACAATAATGACAGAGAGATCCCGTATACTTCTCAAATCCCTATAGAAAGGATAGAGTACTCGCCAAGTTTGTAGAGTGCTGAGTCTTGGAGCGTTGATGGGTAGGTGTAGCCGTGAGTCGCGGTTACTAATCGGCTCCACCTGCCGCCTCTTCCGACAACTACCCGTCGTCAGCAACATGCTTCCTGTGATAGTGTAAGCCATCGCCGTACCTTCTAGCTACCGCCACCGCCCTGTCTCACGAATGCAAACCCATTTTCCTATATATACCCTCCCGAGAGTTTCAACATGGCAGAACAACAGCAAAGTTATACCGCGATGAAGGGCGACGTAGAGGCTATCGGTGCGCATTGCCAGCTAGAATACTGCCATGTCCTCGACTTTCTCCCATTCAAGTGTCAAAGTTGCGGAGGGTAAACATTCGCGTCTCACACTCTCTCCGTTCCCATGCTAACCTGCTGCCAGCACTTTCTGCCTCGACCACCGCACGGAAACCGCACATAAATGCCCAAAGGAAGGCGAATGGGCACGGCGGCGGAACGCCCAGAATGGCACGACAGGCGCACTTCCCTCGAAACCCTCACTCTACAACCATGACCAACAGTGCGCCGAAGTTACATGCAAGACCCTCATCAATACCTCGCGAATGCCGGCAAGTCACTGCACTACATGCAATCGGTTATACTGCCTAAAGCACCGTATGCAAGAAGACCACGACTGCAAGAACCTCAAACCGCTCGGCGCCCGACCCACGAATATACTACAGCAGCAACGAGAGAGGGGGATGACAGCGCTGGCAAAATTAAAGCAGTGGTCTGCCAATAAGCGGGAAGAGGACGCAAAGCGGAAGGAGAAGAAGGCAGGTCTGTTCGGTTTAGGAAAGAAGACGTCGGCGGCAGCAGAGACGCAGGCACAACTCAACCTGCTGAAAAGGACAGCGAAAGGCGATGCCTCCATACCGCAGGAGAAACGCGTGTACCTCTACGTCGAAGCTTCGGCGGACACGACCAAGGCGAAGTATCCGACCGGCAAGTTCTTCTACAACAAGGAATGGACTGTCGGGCGGGTGCTAGATATGGCGGCGAAGGCCCTGCAAGTCGAGAACGTCAACAACAGGGGTGGAGGCGAGGAGGAGAAGCTGCGCGTGTTCCATGTGGAAGGGGGTCGGCTGCTGAAGTTCAGTGAGAAGATCGGGGAGCCTTGCGCAAACGGGAATATGATCGTTTTATTGCGAGGGGTGGGTTCAGGTGAGCCGGATTTGATTGATCTGTAGGGACAGGTCGCGGCCTCGCATGAGCGTCTGGGACTGTTGGCGTGGAACATACTGTATTTAGCGGGATGGTATGGTTGAGATACCCATTTCTCATTTCATCGGAGTTACTTTGATAGATCGAGTGGGAACAGATCAGCGACGTCGCCTTTTTTGTCTCATTGCGCATGCACTTTCATGACGGGTGATGAATCTAGTATTGGTACGTAGTCTACCTTTTTAGATTCGCGGTGAAAAGCACGTGTTTGGTTGTGGAACGGGAACAATTAGAGAGGTCCTTATTCAACGCCACGGAAGTGATACGTGGCTCGAAAACAAATCCTACGAAGTACCGGTTTCGATCCAGAGATCGTGTTGACTGTAAATGCTTAGAGCTGAATGAACGATTGTTGGACGTGATGCTTCTCCTTGTGCCACAGTAAGGCTGATACTTGGCATGCGGAGGAACACGCGGGAGATCCGCCCCACGCGGGGGAGTCGCGGGGTAGACTAGTCCAAAGTCGGTTGGATCCAATGTCGCAGGTGGTGGTGAGCTCGAGTGCTCCTCACTTCACCGGCTCCCAACCTTCCTCGCGCAAAAGTGCAAAACGAGCTTTCTGGCTCTGCACTGCTCTACTGTTTGCCTGAAATGTGACAAGATGCCGTCGATGCTTAGGCCCCGGGTCAGTGCCTCGGCCCTCTACCGCCCTATCCGGTCATCGCCATCCAGAAACCACCGAGAGCGAGGTTTCCACAGAGACCATGACGGCTGGTTCCGCCACCTTTATAATACTCGCACATGCTCCTCTCCACGCTTTTGGAGGGGCCAGCACTCCGCAGAAGAAGAACATCGTCCGCTTGGTATATCGTACATAGACTGGATGTTGCTGCAACACAGCCGCTTGTGGAGGCGGTACTTGTCCGCAAGCTCATACAAAGCCTTCTTCGGGCCTTGCAACGAGCGATTGCGAGCGAGTGGTGTGAGGCAGAGTGGAAGGGCGTGGGAATGGAATGGGCCGGCTGTGGCGAGGTGGGTGCGTGAGGCACAGAAGAGAGGATTCTCGGAGGATGCTGAGACCCCAACGCGGGTGGGCTTCGGAGGTATGCGTTGTCGCGAGTTGTTTCGTATGCCTCTGATGCTGACTATAAATTACAGACTATGCTGAACCTGCACCTAAAGAGTCGCCCGGGACGGAGTATCCGAAGAAAATCGAACTGACCGACGAGGACGAGCTCACCATAGGACCGCGCTACGAAGCCTGGGAGCGCGACAACATTGCTTTTACCGCGCCGTATAAGTCTTGGCCATATAAGACCCTAGGTCCGGAAAGGACTGAGTGCAAGCCGAAATCCGGAGCGCCGTCTAGGGTCACACCGGCGACGGACCAAGCCTCGTCCACCGCACCTCCTGTGTCCATCTGCGATCAGGTCGATGATAAGCCTAAGAACGATGGACTCAACAAGCAACAGAGCACTCCCGAGGACAAGCGGCATGATGATCTGATACGGCATGTGCAAGACGAGCACCCAGAGTACTTTGAAGGCCCCGTCGAGCAACTCAGTACTGAGCAGGACAAGATGGAATATAATACTCTTGCCGGGATGCAGGAGAAGATGAACAAACCTTACAACCCTTCTTGCGATGAATTTACTTCTAGCAGCGGGGAGAAAGACGCCGACCAGCTGAACGGCCGGGAATGTAATAGAGATGAAGATCTCGATCTGCTTAGCGCCGAGGAAATCCGGTCCAACATGCGAAGAAGAATGGCTGCCTCCGAGAGACTTTGCCCAGAGATGTCTGAATGCGAAAGCACTAAAGATGCGGCACAGGAAGCGGCCGCTCCCACCAAAGCCGTTGAACCTTCTCAAGAGGTGGAAGAAATCCAGCTTGAGCAGAGTCATGAGACTGTTACCTCGGGTCAAACCACTTCGACTACTGAGGAAGTCACTTCTACATCTCCCTCCAACCCAGCCCCACCTTCCGAAAACGCTGAGGAACGATCTTCCGAACCCGAACGCTCGCTAGGATTCATGCCTCGGACCTCTGACGTCAACTCCGGGAACATTGATTCGAATATTGCAAAGACGACCTACCGAACCTTCATATACGAACCCTCACGCGACAGCATCACCGAGATTGTCACTGAGAGCCCCTGGACGTCCAATCCCGCTATTCCTCTTCACGCCGCGTTCTCCCGTCTAAACAACCCCGCCAGGTTCCTACAACATATTTCCGGATTTCTCGAGCCCAGGGACGAGATCATAAGTGCACAAGGCAATATACTCGTAATTCGAGAGCGGTCCAGCGATTCTCGAGCCGTAGAGAGGATCACAGCCATATCGGACCATCAGCTCCCTCGTTTTAACGATGGCAGCGACGCTTCGGGCTCGGAAAAAGCCCCCGCCACCGCAACCGTCGAGCGAGCAGTGGATTCAGAGGCGGTGGACTCGACTTCCGAGGGTCCGCGATATGCGATCAATCCCGTTGACGGCACGATGGCGGTAAGCCTCAGTCCTACAGGGTACGCGGGGGTGGACCCGACGGTGGAGGCGGCGAACGATCCGTATGCGGATGAAGATGGGTCGCTTAGGAGGGCATATTGGGATAAGGCGAGGGAGGAGCAGAATTTGAAGGAGGGGAGGGAGACAGAGAAGTCCGGGCAGCGGCGGCGGGAGCGAGGGAGGGAGTGGTGGACAACGGAGGGTGAGGAGGGAGAGAAGAGAACGAAGGGCAGGGGAAGAACGGCGGGTGTCGTGAAAACTGTGGTGTGGGCGGGGACGATATGTTATGTTGCTGGTGTGGTGGCGGAGTTGTTGAGGTAAGTTTGGTTCTTGGGCTGAAGGTGTGGAGTTTTTGGTGGGCTATTGATTTTTCGGCTGTATTTTTGGGAGTACGACTTCGGAGTATTCTGTCCAGGTGTTAGGTTTCGGCATATTTGGGACTGTTGACGATTGAAATGATGGATGCAGAGTTCCCTGGAGGACACTCGTTACGACATAGTTGACCATTCCGCTTCACGTAATTACTTAATAGACACTCCCTCTTACGTTCCACATGGCTACCTGTTAAATGACGAAAAACACCAGGCGACTTTTCTCAGGACAGAATATCACGTCTTCGTGACCCTGGACATACCTGCTATCCATCGTCATTCACGGCCAGATATAAAGGTTCCGTTGGGTATACTTGAAACTACGCTGATCCGTGCTGGGTTTTACGCAGGTTCAGATATTTCACTCTGCAGTCAGGCCATGACGGACCTCTTCTACTACGCCATGCAACATCGGGAGGAAAGGGTACTAGAGGGTGTCTTCGGTAAGCTCAAAACGTGCGACCGATACCTCTATGTTAGCTAAAGGCCGGCTAGCAGTGTCAAAACCTGCAGGTGTCTCTTCTGCAGATGTCCTCAAAAAGCTACAAGGCGCCTTCGCGTCGTCGCAGACTTTTGCCCCGCTTCTAAAGGAGCAACCAAAGAGGCCGAGCAAAGGCGAGGAGAATGTATTCAGGATGGGACATGGCGGAACTCTAGATCCGTTGGCGGCAGGCGTCCTCATCGTCGGTATTGGTAGGGGGACGAAGCAAATGCAACAGTATCTCGCCTGCACCAAGAGCTATGAAACTACCATCTTATTTGGCGCGAGTACGGATTCGTATGACAGCACGGGGGTTGTGACAGAGTGTGCTACCCATGAACACGTTAACCGGGAACTGGTTACGAAGAAGTTGGAGCTGTTCAAGGGGAAGATCATGCAGGTTCCGCCTGTATACTCCGCCCTTAAGATCAACGGCATCAAGGCCTGCGAGTACGTGCGCCTTGGCAAAGAACTACCAAGGCAGCTGGAGAGCAGAGAAGTACACGTTGAGGATTGCGAACTCGTGGAGTGGTACGACGCCGGCGAACACGAGTTCAGATACCCAGGTGAACATTCGCCCGCTCCGGGTCCGGTAGCGCGTATCAGGCTCACCGTGAGCTCCGGATTCTATGTGCGCAGCTTCGCGCATGACCTTGGCCTAGCCTGCGATTCGCGAGCGCACATGGTGTCTCTCCTTCGCACGCGACAGGCAGAGTTCACCACCGAAAGCTCGGCTGAGGCTTCAGGGTTGGTGACTGCTTTGACGTATGCCGACCTCGACGCCGGTGAAGTAGTCTGGGGACCTAAGCTCAAGCCTCAGTTGGAGAAATGGGTCGATGCCCATCCGGTTGCCCGTGGGCATATCAATGGGCGAGACCCTGACACAAAGTGCAAACTTGCCCAAGGGTTGGCTAGCCGGCCCAAGCAACGGTTTCGCGGTGAATATGTTGCAGATAGCAAGAAAGAAAGGATCAAGCAGCAAGGGGGAAAGTATAAAGGGAAGTGGGGTCGAAAGCCAGAAAAGGATCTGACCGGAACGGCTGGTAGTTCACCGTTAACCACTTAGGATGCGGAGTCCTCGATATATCTCTTCCCAGGCGAGAATCTGCCCCAACTTCATTCGGTCACGAACCAGATCCGAGAGGCCCCGGGGTGTTCCATTGGTTCCAATCCTCAGCCTCCATCTCTCTTTACAGCCATTTACCTACAGGTTACGGCTTCCCGGACTTAATTGGAATACGAATCAAGCCATACCGGTGCCGCCGTCTAGAAGATGGATTTCTCAGTTTAGGGAACCGGTCTATTAGTAACAGGACTTCACTGTTACTAGTATAGCTAGGGTACCTCGGACTTTACCAAATCCCCGAATGCATCACGTGATTCAACGGACTTTATAGTAACCCGCCTAGCTCATCCTAGAGCTCCATCATCCGAAAATCAGAGGATCTAACATCAGAGTGACCAGCATCATCGAACAATGCAAAGCGTCGGCACTTTTGGGAGGTACAACCGCTCACGTGCATGTCAGGGTCCCTTCCAAGGTTACCTCCAGATCTAGGCCAGACGCCAGCACTCCTCCGCCACGATTTGAGTCCACCCAACCATTCATGAGTCCAATATGTCGGCCGCTGCAAACCCTAGTACACCGTCAACGGCACCGGTCTTGCCTGTTGTGATTGGGGCCGAAACTCACGAAGCGACGAGAATGAAAACACGACGCATCCTGGCATGTGTTCTTTGCCAGCAGAGAAAGGTGAAGTGCGATCACAACTCCCCTTGTGCGACATGTGTCAAAGCCCGGGTACCATGCGTACCATCAGTCCAAGCCAAACGCCGTCGGAGACGCCAATTCTCCGAAAAAGAACTGCTCGGTCGACTTCACTACTATGAAAGCCTCTTGAGCCAGCACAACATTAGCTTCGACCCCCGCCGTTCTATTCCCCAGACGGCAGAAAATAGAGACTCTTCAACTCATGCCGCCAAAACTCCAATCCTTACAGATGATGAGGAATGTGCCGAAAGTACAGTGGCTTCGAGTACCTCCCGTGATCTCACGCCTGGAGGTGCAAGTGGCCCGCCAGCTTCTGAGAGGGGTAAGAGCATGCTTCGCATTATGCGTCAAGAGGTAAATGTTACATGACTTCAGTTCTTCTTCTGGTATTAACACATGCATGAAGGTCCGCGATTTTGACAACGAGGGATCCTCGGACGACGAATTACAGCATGGCGCACTCAAGAAAGTATGGGATGAAACTATCAAAAGCGACGACTTACTTTTATTTCGCTGGCCCCATTCGACTGTTGCGCTCTATACATTACATCCGCAACCGCTCGACATATTTCGCTTATGGCAGATTTATCTGGACAACGTGAACCCACTGCTCAAAGTAACTCACACTCCAACCTTACAGGCTCGAATTCTATCCGCTGCAGGAGATATCATCAATATTGCGCCCGAACTTGAAGCTCTGATGTTTAGTATATATAGTATGGCCATATTCAGTCTTAGCGAAGAGAGCTGCTACGGAATCTTTGCCTCGTCCAAGTCAAGCCTGCTCGCTGCATATCAGATGGGCTGCCAACAAGCTCTCGTGAACTGCAACTTTCTACGTACGACAAGCCGCGATTGCTTGACTGCCTTGTACCTATACCTTGTCAGTAATCTTCCTGGTTGCAGGGGCGCAATCTAACAAGACAGATCTCCATCAGGGACAAAGCCACCCCTCAGTCGCTGTCATCCATGCTTTCCGCAGCGATCCGTATCGCTCAGCGCATAGGGATCCACAACGAATCTACGCTGTCGAAAGTCGCTCCTCTGGAAGCTGAAATGTGTCGAAGGCTCTGGTGGTGTCTCGTAATTTTCGATGCGCGCATTGGAGAGATGGCCGACATCCGTGCGACATCTCTGCTTCCTATATGGGATTGCAAATTGCCTCTCAACGTCAACGACTCCGATCTTCGAGAGGATATGAAGGAGCATCCGCAAATGCAGGGAATATGGACGGAGGCCCTATTTGCCGTTGTGCGCAGTGAGCTCGGGGACGCCCTTAGGACTGCAAGGCATCACTTGGGTACCTACGCTCCATCTCTGAACATCGGATACACTGGCAATCCGGTTACGGAAGTTGGACAGACTCATCTAATCGAGAGACACTTCGAAGAGAAGTATCTCGGCCGTTGTGATTCGGGCAATCCGCTCCACTTCATGACGATCTGGTTCACCAGGGGGCTTATTGCAAAACTTCGACTGATGGAGCATCATTTTCAATATTCAGGATCGCCTCTGCATCAAGCTGAAGGTCAAAGAGCAGCAGCAGTCTCTTACGCGCTGACCATGCTCAAGGCCAACACCATGCTCGTCACGTCGCCACTCACCCAGGGCTTCCGATGGATGGTCAATCAATATTTCCCTCTCATCGCATACATTCAAACACTCCAATATGTCAAGTCGCACCCCTCGACTCCCAAAGCCGCAGAGGGATGGATAATAATGAGCGAAAACCATCAGGCCCACGGAAATATATTTCAGATGCCTCCAGGCTTGGGCTTTTACAAAATCCTGGCGAACCTCGTGCTTCAAGCCTGGGACGCTCATGCAGCCAGTACTTATGGAAACTCGCCGTCTGCCGAAGCTCCTCCGATTGTGGTGTCCATGAGACAGCGCATGGCTGCCATGGCGAAGCAGAGAATGCTGTCCTCAGAGGCAGTTGATGGGAACGAGGGTCCTGCACGGACAGACTTGGGTACAGACTTTAGTGCTTCTACAGCAACGGACCCTGGATTCCACCAGAATTTCAACAACAGCGCACCTAACGATGGCTATATGCTGCAGGAGTGGGCTTCCTACGCTGATCTGGTAGATTTGCAACCGGAGAATCTGCCAGCTGCGTCGTATGTGTAGCTCCGCTCTGTGGTTGGAATTTGGCAGTCGGCCGGTACGGAGTAGCATTTTCAAAATCGATTACATTGTGGCCCGCAGCGAATAGAACCTACAGAGGAAGAGCAGCGGAGTCTTTCTTCCGAGGTGAAAAGAGAGAGTCATGTTTGCCTTGGCCCCCAGGAAATCACCTTCCAGTCCTATCTTGCACTGACTCGAAGTTGGACCGAAGTCATCATCGGTACCATTCTCGCGGATGCGCTATCCCGGTCCAATATCGGCATCCCTTCATTCTCCTGTCATCCGTGGAAACCCAGGGAAATGGAGGAGCAAACCCGAGTCTTTGGTCGCCTCAGATCCTCTTCTAGCAAGCAGAACGATTTTGGCTTGAGAATAATCCAAGTAGTCGTATATGAGTTAGGCCAGACCAATTACACGCCCGACACATATAGATCGACCCCTACAATACTTGTATTGCAACGCGCCAACCGCGCTCGGAAAATGCGCCTGATCCGTTGGCGCGCCGGCTGGCGCGACGGCGCCACTGCCTTTCTGTTCACTGAGACCTAATCCAGTTAGTGAATGTATAGGCTGATTGCTATGCCGCGGGATGGGCTTTGGTGTTCCTGGAAGCCCATGAGACACCCATGTCAAGACACGTGCATTTCACTAAATTTAAGCCCCGTTCGTGTTTCTAGCGCTTACAATTTTAACGAATGCTTCAACTCATGAACGCAACAGGCAGGGTGCGGAGGGGAATTGCCTCAAATTATCTGCCGCATACAGATGCGGCACAGTCGCAGGGCGCTGACGTTGGGATTGCCGTGTAAGGCTTGAGGTATAAGTACCGAATGGGTCGCCATCATGTGCGCTGCATTGACGTCGACATTCCTTTTCCGCGACGTCTATCGCTTTCACGCCTGCCAAGATGCACTGGTCTGCTGGGTGTGCTGTTGCTCTTCAGCACCTGCTTCCCCTGGCAGCAGCCCTGCCAAACAATGGACCTGTCAATTCACGGGCTGAACCGCAGGGTTCAAAAGACACCTATGACTATGTGATTGTGGGAGGAGGAGTCACTGGCTTGGTGGTTGCCAATCGCCTGAGCGAGGACAAAACGAGTGAGTGGGGGACTTGACCCTGGAAACTACTAGACGTACTGAAACGAATCTAGAGTCTGTCTTGGTCATTGAGGCTGGTGCTGCCTACGACAACCCGAACATTCGGTTGCCATATGCAGCCAATTATGATTTGAACCAAACGCTTTTCTGGCCGAACTACCTGTCTGAGCCGGAGCCTGCGCTGGGGAACCTGCAAATGAGTGTGGGTGTTGCCGAAGTTTTGGGCGGAGGTTCCATCGTGAACGGAATGGCATATGACAGGGGATCCGCCGCAGATTACGACGCTTGGGAGGCATTAGGCAATAGAGGCTGGGGATGGAATGGATTGCTGCCTTTCTTCAAGAAAGGGACCGAGTTGATCCCTCCCCCATCAAAGACTGCCAAAGAATTCAATATTACATGGGATCCCAATGTGTGAGTGCGTATCCGGAAGCCTCACTTGCAAGCTGACACGGTTAGTTACGGCAACGGACCTCTCAAGCTGGGCATATCCGATTTCCAGTATCCGGATATCAAAGACTATTTTGCGGCTTTCAAGGGTGCAGGCGCTCACAGGCCTATCGACGGAAACAATGGAGAGGCCTATGGTGCATTCTGGATTCCCAACACTATGAACCCGAAGACTGGAGAACGAAGCCACGCCCGCAATTCCTATTACGACCCGGTGTCCTCTCGCCCGAACCTTCGTGTTCTGCTTGAGACTGAGGCAACTGAACTAGTTTTTGACAGCAGCAAGAAACTCACCGCCCGCGGAGTCAAGATCACCGACAAGCTGACGAAAACTTCCAAGACGGTCTACGCAAAGAAAGAAGTCGTGCTGGCTGCGGGTGCCATTAATACCGTCAAACTCCTCCAGCTCAGCGGAATCGGTCCCAAGTCTGTGCTCGAGGCTGCCGGTATCAAAGTCAAGTTGGCACATGACGGAGTTGGAGCCAATTTCCAGGACCATCCGTTCACAATACTTGCCTATGCCATTTCCAACATGAGCACGCCCAACCCTGATTCTCTTTCCACCGATCCTGCTTTCAACGCATCTGCATGGGAAGAGTACCTGACCAAAAAGACGGGTCCCCTGACACAAGCGCACGGGAACGCCCTGGCCTTCATCCCTCTCCCAGAAGTCGCTCCGCAACAGTATCAGGATCTGGCCCGCCAAGTTGAGACCTTGAGCGATGACGCCTACCTACCCGCCATCTATAAGAACAGCAAGAAACTGCTCAAAGGCGTCAAGACGCAGCGTAAGATTCTAGCCAATCTCTTCCGCAGCAAACAAGCTGGCCTCATCGAGTATCCCGTCCCGGCCTCCGGTGCTAGTGTCATCGTCGCGCTGGAAAAGCCACTTTCGCGTGGAATCATCACCATTGACCCCAAGAACCCCCAGGGCCCTCCCAAGATCTTGTTCAATGCGCTGATGAACCCCGTCGACAAAACGGTTCTCGCGGCGGGATTGAGGTACGCACGAAAGGTCTGGGCACGGCCGGAGCTTGCAAAGTTTTCCCCGACTGAGGTCATGCCTGGTCCTCAGTACCAGACCGACGACGAGCTGATCAACAAGCTGGTCGGGCTCGGGGTGGTGTTCCCCTCGTTCTCCCACCCCAGCTGCTCTTGCCCTATGATGCCCGAGGTAAGCATCCATCATCGTTTTGCAGAGAGTTTGACTAATGTATTTGCGCTTTCAGGACATGGGCGGATGCGTTTCGGATGAGCTTTTGTTCTACGGAGTAAACCAGCTGTCCATTGTTGACGCGTCTATTCTTCCTCTTATCCCCTCTCAGCATCTTCAGGCGACCATGTACGCGGTGGCAGAGAAGGCAGCAGATATTATTAAGAAGAGGTGATAATGCCGCATCTCCATTGCGGAAGCTATCTAATTGCTTTTTACTTCGGAATGTACATCCCTTTGCACTTCTTCCGTTTAGGTTAGGTTCCCTAGTCAGTGGAAGTTCATTGACTACGGCCTGATAGATAATAATGGAGCCTTTTCAAATCTTATTCTACCTGGGTCGAAACGCTGCAAAGCCGATCGCACGGTGTGACATGTCCCTGTGCTTTCTTCCCTTTCAATCGGACGTGGAAAGCTACAGTACTTCCTAGATTTATCTGGCTCAGAAAGGCAATTCGCATCGGCAAGGTGTACGAAAACCATTTCGATGCTGCGTATAACAGCCCCCTCGTGCATTGCAAGCGTCTAAGAAGGTTATCAGAGATGGAAAACCCCTGACTGCGTACTGAAGTACACATGAACAGTCAAAGCCACTTCGGATTCCTCGTTCGCTTCCGCCATCTCTGAAAGCGGCAATCTGTAATATTCCTTTCGTGCATTGGACTCGACGCTATCAAATCTCTGCTTTACATGCCGCACTCGTATTATTCCCCTGACATCTTTCTCTCCAACATGAAGCTTCCCTGTGTTGGCCGCAGAATCCGAGCCCGCCGTTAACCCCCTTGGGACCTTGTCCTGCAAACGGCCGAATTTCCATTGGCACGGAAGGGGCTGCTGCTTTTGGCTACAGGAGGCGTATAGAAACGAGGGTAAGTAAGTTCAGATGATTGCGGAGAAGATATGGATAGATATCCAGACCATATCTTTAAAAACAAATAGGTTTCCTTAGTCCAATCATACAAATCAAGAAAAGTAGGGAAAATGAGTTAAATGTATGATTTGAATAATCCCTAATAGCTGAGTAGATGCATTAGGCGCAGGCTAGTCGTAGCAACAACACTGCTCGAGCAGCACAGTTTCAGGCGATCTTGAGCAACAATGTGCGACGCACACACAAGATATGGACGGAGGAAATCCGAATCACTCAAGCTCCCATGCGCCAGGACAGCTTGAAGTGCGCATCGGTTGTACCGGTATAACGAACTCCGAATGATCTCGATCGTGACATGATCAGAGGAACCGTGAGAAATAATGATATGTACGGGATCTAATCAATGAGATGGTCCGATTGCAGAGCGGATCTCGCGCTTGACGTCAAAGGAACGGGTACCTGAGGTTAGAGCCCAATGACATGCATGTGCCTCTCGGGACGGACCATATGCCTAAGAACACACTAAAACTTGATACAAAAGAACTGTCATTGCCGCTTAGCAACCAGAATATTGCGTACACAAGCTACTCGTCTACAAGAGCAAATCTATTCACCAGCGCTCGAACGCATCAAGTCTATTCAGACATGCCACGGTCCCATGCTTCAACTTCCGAGGTATATGCGCATTCCCTACTATTCACAAATCATGCGCGAAGCCCCGATCGCGTCGAGGTGACCTTGTATCGCAATCCATCTCTTGTCTAGAAGTCATACTCGTCCTTGCCAAACTTGTTGTACTTCTCGTGGAGCTCCTTCGGCAGCGTGACGTTCGGGACGATGACGGTGTTCAGAGCCGAGGTGTGCTCCTTGACGCCCTGGGCGATGCCAGGCCTCGCGCTGGAATCGGAGCCGGTAGGGGCTTGCACTGTTTCTTCTGTTAGAGATTTTCTCTCCGACTCCTGGCGCGCTACGTACCGAAGCGGTAGCCGGCCCAGCCGAGGATAGCAGCCGTGACAACGTAGAGAGGCTGTATGCGTCCTGTTAGCCTATTGCCTAAGGCCAATGGTACACAATGGTGTTGTCGCTGCTCATGCAGCACCGCTGGGAGGAGTCCTTACGAAGAGCTCGGGATCCCGCTTCGCGCCTTGTTTGATGGCGCGAGCACCCTCTGCATCCGCGCGGAGGCGGGGAGTAGCTCTGAGAGCGGCGCGGCCGATGATGGAGGACATGGTGGTGAGATGGATGTGGTGAGGTGAGTGAGAAGTCGTCGGTTTTCGGCTCGAGGAGGTGGGGTGGGTGGTTTCGATGTGCGCGATGACAATCGGCAATTGCTCGTGTCGCTGGCTTCTGGAGCTATAGGGGTATGGCGGAGCGGGTTGTCCTACAAGCGGATCGAGGGGACGTGAGTTCGAAGGTGGTGTGAGGAAGCGATTCCGAGCCCAACCAGCGGGTTTACGTCAAAGCCGATGGGTGGTGCGACGACAGACGACGGTATATTAGTCATCTCTTACCCAAGGGGTCATTCTTCTGCATGTTTCATTTCCAGTTTTGGCGATACTCACTTCCCAGTTTTTGGCGACTTTACCCAAAATGTCCAATAGAAGGCATGGAATCGCACAGATCTAGCCGTTTGCGGCTAAATAACTAAGCGGTCATTTTTCGGCCGCCAAGCCTTCAACTCTGCGGTCGATCCCGAGGTCCTTTCACAAACAATCACCATTGTGTGTGCGATGATCTGGTTGATCAAACCTCGACATGTATCAAAGACTTCTACGTCCATTATTGGTTGGGTCTATCTCCAATTGAGCCGTATGCGCCAACATTCACAGCCCGCCTCTCAGCATTCAGGTTGCCTCGGAGCAATAGCCATCCAACCCATGTAGGGGAGCAGGATCAATGAGACATTCACCTGCTCCTGGTAGCTACTCTACCATAGCCGCATGGACCAGGGGCAGGCATTGTCCGCATCCAGCTGTCTCCGGATGGCCTCATACCTGACGTTTCTTCAACTTTGCATGGAACTTCTTTCCTGGGAAGCTGATAGACTCATTAGTCATTTCGGCGACCCCTAATTTCCAAAACGAATGCACTTACTATGTCAATAGCAGATCGATCCATTCCATGTCCTTATCCGTCGTATCCCAGATCTCTAGCTCAAACTTTCTGAAGAGATTGGCAAGGAAGGTATACAGTTCGCAGAAGGCCACATCCTTCCCAATACACTGCCTGGTTCCCCGATAGAAGCTCGTCATATATTTGTCCAAATAGGCCGAACCTGGATCTAGCCAGCGAGACGGGTCAAACCTATCAGGATCCGGAAACACGCTGGGGTGCCGATTGAGAAGATAGGCGGAAGTGTTGAAGATGGTTCCACCCGGGACATGCTTGTCGTAGAGCTTGAAGCCCTCTGGCGGAACGACACGGGGAGTCAAGCCTGGTAGGGGGCAGCTTACACGTAGCACCTCCTTGATCACGGCTGTGAGGTAGGGCAATCTCTTGACCTTGTCGTACGTTACCTCTTCGGAGATAGTAGGGAATGCTGAAAGGACCTCCTCGCTAACTCTTGCGTAGACTTCCGGGTGCCGCAGTATCTTGTAAAGTCCAATTATCAGGACATTGGAGACGGAGTCATTACCAGCCGAGAGGAGCATAATCACTTCATCCGCAAGCTGGCTCTCATTCAGCACTGAGTGGTCTTTCGCCGAATTTGGATCGACAAGCATGTCAATCACAATACTCCTGTCAAATTCCGCTTTCTTCTTGTTGGCATTGTCATCGCCTATGACAGGCACATCCCTCACACGGAGGTAATCGTTCATTATTCCAAGGCACTTCTGGCAAGGAGTGAGCTCTTGCTCGTAATAGCGAACGCAAATACGCACGAACCTTCTTGAACTCGAAGAGTGGTATAGGGAAGACTTTTTCTGCTACTGCTTCGGGCAAAGAGTAACTCAGTTTGATCAGATTGGGAAAAGCTGGAGCTACCCAGCCCATTTCGAATGTCGTATGCAGGAACTCGATGAACTGATTCCGGAACTGTGGATCCTGGATGCAACCAAGCGGCTTTCCAAAAACAATCGTTGAGATGATGTCCATGGTGAAGGCTTTTGTACTGGTGAATATATTCACTGGCTGTCCACGCTCCGCGAATTCCTCATATCGGGCTAGGATCTCATCCACCTTGGCCTTGATCATTGAGGCGAGTTGCTGTACTCGTGCTGGCGAAAACGCAGGCGTCAGCACCTGTCGTCGAATACGATGAGCATCTGGATCATGTTCTCCGATGGAGGTCCCAGGAAACGTAACGAAACTGTAAAAGCTGGGATCCTTGGTGAACCGAGAACCCACCCGCGTCATCTCCTGGAAGACCTCTGGATCATTGATGTGGAGCTCATCGGGAGCTATCCGGACAACAGGGCCTTGAGATATCAGTTCAACAACATCATGCTTGAGACTGAGCGACAGTCACTCACCGTACCGTGCATGCAATCGTTCGATCTCAAAGATCAACAGACCCCTGTGGTAGATATTCCAGTACCAGTGATACCTGCGTCTTTCAGTATGCTTTTCTTCAACCAGGCTGACGGATATACCATGGTTTCGAGATTGCGGCTACGAACGGCCCAGGATACTTTGCCAGAGGATGCAGCGTGACGCGGTATACGGCTCGCACAACCCAGAACACCAGATACAACGCCACCAATGCGATGGACAATCGTATGAAGCTGGCCATTACTAAACTTCGAAGCGTACCTCCTTCGGACGGACTTGGGACACTGGTCCATCTGAGAGCGATTGTCCAGTTCACTTTGGAAGAATCGACGTTAGACGGCTGCAGGGCCCGTGCCTCCTAGCTGCCTTAGGTGGAGGGGAATACAATGTCACGTGAAAAGCGACATGTTACACCGGTTATCATCTCGGTCCGACCTCTAGAGTACAATAATCAGCTGCGCTCGTATTGCCCCCATATCGGCGACATATTTTGGGGGCGGAATCAGCTGCAGCGAGCTGGCCGCGTATGTGCAATATTAACGTCGCAAGGGGCGGAGCTTCTTTGTGTGACCCGCACAGTGCACGCTCGGAGTAGCTCCAGGGTGTGCATATTTCCCTTGGTATGCACAGCAAGGATGGATATTGCCCGTCACGAGCAGCCGTTAGAAGCTCCCGATCATCCAACATCCGAACTTGAAGAACAGGTGCCTCAAGATACTTGGCCTGATATTCTCCGCCCGCGGGCTGAATTCCAGCCACCTCCCCGGCGATGGACATTCCTGTTCCTGGGGGCTGGAAATCACATACTGTGTTCACCAGGGCTGATTGTAGGATATTGGGGCTATACCTTTCCGACCGGGATCAAATCACTGTACGAGCGTGCAGAGAGCGTCGTGGCTCGGGGCAAGCTTCTGGAAGACAGTTCAAAATGTCCGAGCATCCAGGGCTCGATTGAGATACGAGATTCTTCGCTTCTTCCACTCGTTTCAAGGACTCGATGTGCATCATGGCTGACCGACGCTCATCTCGAAGCTCTCTTCCAACGTTGTTTCTGCTAGCATCCCTGCTGAATTCAGTATGGGCTTCGAGCGCATCAGCATGCTCTCGACTTGCAGCAACCAGTTCAAACCGTGTCGTGACCGCCGAGTCCTCAGAAAAGTATCAGAAACTTCGCATGCATCATATGTGAGCAACCCCCATGCGGCAGTGGACCAAGCGTCCGCTCGTTCCTCATCCGCGTAGACTGACTAAACCTCCGCAGGTCACCGACTGCATACGGGTCACCGCTCTGCATTTATTCTCCGGAATCTGTCCTTGCGTTGACCGACGCATTCACCATTCTGCGATCCGAGAATGCAACTTTCGCGGTTAGGGGTGGGGGGCATTCGCCTTTGCGCGGTTGGGCCGATATCGATGGGGGAGTGACTATCGTGACCAGCGACATCAAAGAGATCTTATATGATGAAAGAACGGGAAACATAGCTGCTGGGATGGGTAACTCGTGGGAGGAGGTCTACTCGTATGCGGAAACGTACGGTCGACTTCCGGTTGGAGCCAGGCATTCAACAGTGGGTCTGGCCACGGTTCTTGGAGGTGAGCGTCTAGTCTTGATACATCAACGCCGCGCGGCTGACACGAGGTGCAGGTGGACTGTCCCACATGTCGAGCAAGTATGGCTTCCCTGCAGACAACGTGGTTTCCATCGAGATAATCACAGCCATGGGTACCTTGGTCACTGCGAGCAAAGACGCCAACCCGGACCTTTTTTGGGCCCTAAAAGCAGGGTCCACGAACTACGGCATCGTGACGCGCGTGACTCTTGCTACATACCCCGTGGGGAAAGTCTGGGGCGGAACCTTGGTGTATACGAACGATCACCGCGACTCCGTCATGGGCGCCATTGCAAAGTACCAGAAGTCTGGTCAGTTGGATACAAATTCTGCCATTCTCCCGTACTTGGGTATTTCCAATAACACCATTTACGTCAACGTGGCATATCTTGACGGTGTAGAGCGGCCCGATGCGCTCAAGCCTTTCCTCGATATTCCCACAGTTGCCGATCTCACGGCATTGCACGACAACTTCACCGATTTGATAAAAGGCGGGACTCCACTTGGAGTGCCACGATGGACACAGGGTGTTACGACTATTCTTTTTGACGAGCAGACTTATCTCGACGTGGGAAGACTGTGCCAGGTCTTCTCCGACCAGATAGCCCCTTCGATACAGGGCTGGACCATGATCCTGATGCCTCAACCCATCGCGAAGTCCATGGTAACGGAATCGTGGAAGCGTGGAGCCAATCCTATGGCGCAGAACTTGCGCGAAGCAGCTCAGATGTGGTTCAGCATCAACATCGGATGGATACGTGCTGAAGACGATGCCAAAGTGGAGAGAGGATTGGCAGAGGTGCTTGGAAAGATTGACACTCTGACCAAGAAGAAAGGACTCCACCACCCGTTCATCTTTGCCAATGATGCTTCGAGTGCGCAAAGACCTCTACAAAGCTATGGCAGGGAGGTCGTCGATAAAATGAGAAAGGTGCGGTCTCAGGTCGACCCGAAGGGTTTCTTTCAGAAGAATTGGCCTGGGGGATATAAATTGCGGAACTAGACTTCTCCTTTGGTAGTGTATTTCTAGGAATTTTTTCCCATAGCAATCCGACGAAACATGTTGTATGCTGTGTTCAGTTACGAGAGTGAAATCTGGAAGGGAGACCACGTGATTATCACAGTCAATGAAAGTTGTGTGCAGGTCGACCACAACAGGCCCCAAGTTTGGTAGCGGCTGAATTGATGGGCGGCGGGAGGTGAGAGCAGAGCATATTGTACGTGGGTCCACGGTGAAGTGAACATGGGCGTTCCAAAGCAATGGTTGTGCAAGGGACGGGTCCAAGCGCGAACGTTGTTACCTCTGTTTGCCTCGCCGCATCCCCGTTTGTCTGCTCCTCCATACACGACAGTGATCTTGAGGCAGGATACACACCATAAGAACTCCTCAAGAGCGACGAGCTCAGTAGGAAATCCTACGAACTTACTCCTCCGCATCCTGCGAGCGGCCACTTCACCAAGTAACCGTTCTTCGCCCACTCTCCGGATTACGAACTCAAACGAGAGGATCGCAACCACCAAGACGTTTCATCATGGGCGGCTTCCTTGGATTTGTCTGGAATCAGTGGACCTACAAGCCTAAGCCGCTGGATCAGGACAAATCGCTCGCGGGGAAGACAATCCTCATCACTGGGGCCAACAGCGGTCTCGGCCTTGAAGCGGCGAAGGAGCTTGCGTCGCATAAGCCGGCCAAACTCATCGTTACAGTCCGAGATCCTGCAAAGGGAGAAGCAGCCAAAGCTCAGATCATTGGGAACAATGCCGGCATTGAGGTCGAGTTCTGGGAAGTAGACTACGAGTCCTACGACAGCATCACTGCTTTTGGAAAGAAGGTTCTGGCGCTTGATCGCCTTGACTATGCCCTCCTCAATGCCGGCATCAAGCAGATGCAATACACCACGTCAAAGGCCGGTCATGAGTCAAATGTTCAGATCAACCACATCGGCACGTCGCTCGTCTCCCTGCAGATTCTACCCGCTTTACAGAAAACAGCACGGATTGCCGGACAGCCGTCTCGACTAACGATCGTTTCATCCGAGGGGCACTTTTGGATTCCGTTCAAAGAGCGCACCGCTGAGAACATTCTTTTGAGGATGGATGACAAGGAGACATTCGGCCAGCAGATGAATCGCTATTACACAACCAAGTTGCTCAATGTTCTATGGACACGCGAGCTCGCCTCAAAGGTCAACCAGAATGAGGTCATCATCAATACGGTCAACCCGGGATTTTGCTACAGCGGTCTGCATCGCCATGAGAAAACTGGCATCATCAAGATCTTCTTGTGGGCTCTGGCATGGACTTCTCAACAAGGCGGACACTGCCTCACAGACGCACTGGTCAACCACCCTGACAGCCACGGCAAGTATCTCAGCGAGCAGAAAGTAGTACCGTAAGTGTCACCCGACATAATCTTGGAAAGTTATTGATGGATGATCTAGTCCCTCCAAATTCGTTTTGTCCGAGGAAGGCAGAAAGGTACAGACAAAGATCTGGAACGAGACTATGGAGTTGCTTAGGAAGGAAGCCCCCGGCGCCAGTTTTCCTACATTTGAAGAGTAGGGTTAGATAGACTACCTGGCGGCCTCTCCAATCGGGTGCCGGACTGTAGCTCTGTCTAGCATGCAGGCTGACCTACCTTCCCAACAGCGTCACTTGAGACAAATGTAACAAATCGTGCAGAGTGTGCGAAGTCCTTTGCGGTGCGGCCGATACTGTGCAACACCGATTCATTATATGAAATTGATACACAGTTCCGTACCCCATACCGGCAGCAAGTACCTCAAGACCACTCTGTCAGACCGTGTTACATTGTACTATTGTGGTGTGTATTGCAAACTCTGGGTTTATGCACCGTCGGCGTTACACCATGTAAGCCAATCAAGCTCTCCGGTATGCAGTCTCAGGGTTTGGTTGGGCCTGGTTCGTTAGGAGTCCGGTGAATGGTCCGTACTACCAACCACCTGCGCCGGCTAATTGATAATTGAACCCAGCTGAGGGTTTTGTTGAGCGCTTCCACATAAGGCTGTGCAGCCACACAGGTCGCCCTTGTGCAATTTGAATTGCCTTGCATGCTACGGAGTCCGACAGTCTGCAGATGCAAGAGATGCAGACATCATCTGTTCCGCACTTGCGGGTGGGGTGCAGGTCCGAGATTCAACATCGCTTCATCATGCAAGCAATCCAGGAATGAGACGATCCTGTGCATTCCTTGCCCTACATCTTCGATCGTCCTTCTAGAAGTTGCCCCCTTTCTGGTCGTGCTCGAGTGCACTTTGCGGATTCAGAATTCACGCCTGAGCATCCGCCAGGAGCGAGCTCACGTCCGATCTTGGAGCTTACAGACACCGGGAAGCCATTTACTACAACCTCGTCTTTCAAACCAAAGATGGCGCCCTTACCTCATAACCCTCTTGGTGTCGCAGTTCTTGCTGTCGCATCCGTTGGCGTCACCCTCTCAGCGTTTTGCATCTCCCTCCGACTATGGGCACGGCGCCTGTTGAAAAAGAGGTGGGCAACGAGCGATTACCTGCTCATGGCAGCGTGGGTTTTTGCTCTGGCAGATTTTGTTCGCAGAATAATCGGTGAGTTTCTACAGAGAAGCAACTTCACTGGGCTCTGCCATTGCTAATCTCTCCCAGGCTTCCAGTGGGGCCTTGGTCTCCATATGGAGCAGATACTGGCCACGCAAGGAACGACCCACGTATTCGACATCTTCAAACTCAACTACTCGAGCTACTTCATTTGGGTGGCTTGCGCGACCTTGACCAAATTCTCCATCCTGCTCATCTACCTTGAGCTATTCTACTGCATAACCTGGTTCGTCTGGGCCGTCCGAGTCATGATGGCCATCGTCGTCGTTTTCTTCTTCGTCACAATTGTCGGAATGGTCATGATATGCAAGCCATTTGAAGCGAATTGGAACCTTTGGTACCAGGGCGCAAAATGCAGCATGACACAAGGCGATCAGTTCGTCTTCAGTGCCGCTTTCAACATCGCTCTCGATATCATCCTGGTCTTGCTACCTATACCAGTGGTTTGGACGTTGAATATTTCAAAATGGAAACGCGTAGCGGTGTGCGCCATGTTCGGATTGGGTTTCTTGTAGGTTTCTGCCTTAACCCGTACTCGCACACGTAGAGGGACTGAGAAATCTGCAGCATTATCGGCGTTGTAGGATACCGCTTCAAGTTGATCCCAGACCGCAACCTCTACGACATCACGCACGACGGCGAAGTTCCTGGTATCCTGAGCCAGGTTGAACTCTATCTGGGCATGGTCTCGGCTTGCTTGCCATTCCTGTCCCCGGCACTTTCCAAGATGCGGACAACGGTCGTCGAATCCAAAGCTTTCAGCTATATCCTATCTCAGACTGGAACGAGCAGGAGCAGTCTCAAGGATTACTCTTATGGCACAAAACTCAGCGAAACGTCTGGAGAAAGACGCAGGAATGATAATAGCCACGAGAAGCTTCCGCATCACTACGCGGAATCCAAAAGGAGCGATGAGGAGGAAATGGTGGGAGGGTTTGATGAGAATGGCGCTTGGAGCAACGAGATTGTCGATGTGCCGATTAGTACGATAGTGGTAGGGAAGAAGTAGCAGAACGGGCTAAGGAATAGAGGGACCTGTACAGTTTCAATTAGATGAAACCATCACCATTCAATTACCAACACCAGCACACAGAAGTCGCGTGATTGAGAGTGTCGTGAACTATATCATCACGCCTTTCACAAGGATGCCGACATCATAGACAGAGCCCAAAGTCCAGACCAGATGTGGGGCACAGAACGCAGGGTTGGACTGGTGGCTTGTGTGTAACTAGGATTACTCCATAGATGGGGAAGTATCGGTCAGTGCTCCCGATTACACAGTATTGCGGAAGGGGTCGAGACACCCGCTTTTCACCGCCGAATTCCCCTTAATCATATTGGATTCTCTGAAGTCCTCGGAGCTGAAAATCCACTCGATCCATGTGCAGGCATTTTGGCTGGCACGACGGTAATACGAGCTCAGCTATTTTTGGAGCAATCAACAGACGCGTGGTTCGTTGAGATCTTCGGGAACCAGCCTGAGTCCTCGGGTTCTGCGGTTGCCTTGGCTCAATTTATCTAAATTTTATTATCGGGACCAATAACGTTGTCCTTGTCCCCTATGAAGTGTCACACTTTGAGAGGACGATGTTGAATGGCTGAGGGCAGAACAACGAGAAACAGGCCTCACATGCTTGAGGCTGAGCAGTTTGCCGGAACAAGTCAACATCGAGTCTGCGAGGTTTGTGATTGCGATCTGTCTGTGTGAGAAGTGACAACGAAATCGACCAGCCACTCTACTATTTTCACAATCGAACAATATGGCTTCGGATGCTCAACCGCCCACACTTCTCGCTCTAGCCCAGAATGTTAATGCACTCGTCTCCGATATTGTCGCCCACTTGTCCGCTACGAATCAACCCGAGCCGAACTTCACAACGACCTCGACTGAGATTCAGCAAGATGCGCATTACATAGCGCTGCGAGACGCCCTCAATGACTCAGCTTCTGATCTACTCCAGCTCGTTAATGGACCGAAGCAACATCTCCGTAGATATCTCTGTACGCACAATGACCTAGCTGCGTATCAGATTGCGGTCAATCACTCATACTTCCAACATGTTCCCGAGGACAAGCCCATATCGCTCTCCGAGTTGGCGAGCAAAGCAAATCTCAGCGAGGACATCGTTGGCCGAACAATGCGCGTCCTCTGTATCCAGCGAGTCTTTTCCGAGCCCGAGCCAAACGTCTTCGCACACACAGCCGGCAGCATTCTCTTTGCGCGCGATGAAGATCTCCGCGCAGCCGCTGCCTATCAGTTGGACGAGCTTTTCGAAGCCGCCAGTGCCTCCGCATCGAGCTTAGGAACGGGGAGGAATCCCTTCCAGCAACGGCACGGTGTCAGTATGTTCGAATTCTACGCGCAACATCCGGACCGCGCAGCTAGATTTGCAAAGGCAATGGCGGGTATCGTGAAGATCGACCGGCAAATCTCCGAGCTCGTGACTGGGTTTCCGTGGGAGCAGCTTGGAGGCGGCAAGGTTGTTGATGTAGGAGGAGGGAGTGGACATGTCAGTATAGCGTTAGCCAGGGCAAGTCTTCCGCGTGTTTGTCAAGGTGTCGGGACTGATTCAATAGGCGCATGCGAACCTCAACATCGTCGTGCAAGACGCCAACCCCCAGATGCTCGCGCAAGCAAAGCATCTTGATCTGAGTGACCTCAACGGGCGAGTCACTTTCATGCAGCATAACTTCTTCGAGGTCCAGCCTGTCACTAATGCCAGCGCCTATTTTATCCGTCAGTGCCTACACAATTGGGACGACGAGAAATGCGTCACTATTCTGAGGGCTCTGGTGCCGGCCTTGGAGAAGTGCAAGCCCGGCACACCGTTGCTCATAAATGACACGATCATGCCGGGCCATGCGACTGATAGCAGATATCACGAGCACGGATTGAGGCAGATTGATATGATGATGTTTGTGGCATTGGGAGCTAAGCAGCGCAGTGAAGAAGAGTTTAGGACTCTGTTGCGGACCGCCGATGCACGGTTAGAGGTCAGTGTTCACTTTGTAAGCTCCCAAGTAACTCCAGAACTAACAGCCGTTTAGATCGTGAAGGTCCACAGCGAAGGGACTATGGGGCTATTAGAGGTACATTTGAAGCGGGAGGAATAGCCCAGCTATGCCGGTTGCGTTGTCCGAGAGACTTGGACCTGAACAAGCCATATGTACCGATCTATGCAAATGTAAAAGGAAAAGAAAAAGACGAAGGAAGACTGCTAGCCAGTATCGGGCATTGGGCAATCGTCATGAAGCGTGGCCATTCTTGAGCACTTGCTGCGGTTTTCCACCTCCTATTAAACACCTCGCTGCGCTCCTTCGCACATAGGTAGGTTGGAATTTTTGTTCAGCGCAACTCAATTGGCTGCTACGCAGTATATCGGTAGTTGGAGTTTCTTTGAAACTCATGATACCTTTGCAGGTGCTGTCAAGCCAATCACAAGATCTGCCATGTCCCTGCCTGTGCTAGCCGTTTAGTCTGACGTGCGAATCTGTCGTACGGAGGAAGTGCAGGGGGGCTTCACTCGGGCATTGAAAGAGGCGGTACCCGTTCACCCCTGGCCCCCAGGGAATAATCTCCAGAATTGCCTGAGAACGACGAAGTTAAAAAGCCTCCGTACGTAGTCATCAACGGTTCTCCACGGCCGTCCGATAGCACAAACTGTGGTCCAACTCCCGGCGTAAGAATGGGAGGTATATGTGCCGAAATTCTGTCATCATCACTCGGCGAGGTAGTAGTACATATCTGCGACCTAAAGATAGCGGGAAGGTGGTGTTGAGCCACGCCACCCTGTATTTCCAGGCGGCAATCCATCCAGTATGGTAACGGCCGCAGAAAGTCGTTTTCCCACCCTGGTGCTGCGTAAGAATGAGATTAGGCGGTAGCAGTTGCGAGATTGGTAGGGCTGCCCCCCTTGTAGTACATACAGTATACGCGTGGCACAGCTAGCTGAACAGAGCTAGATTTCTACCGTCCCATATCCATGGCTGGCACCACAAGGTTCCCCGATCGCGGTTTCGCCGAGCTGATACTTTGAAGGGTCCATGTCGCCTAGCCCCCAAGCTGATATGAATATCAATCTGGATGAATTACGAGGCGAAAACGGACCTGTTTCCACTTTTGGAAGTTCTTTCTGTGGAAATGCCAGACTCGATAATGATTGTTTCAAGGCAAGCAGGCAACAAAGTATGCATGGCTTTCTCGAGTGCAGCCTTGTCCCAACATTCAACAGTCTGTTCACCAGCTCGCAGTCCAGGAGTGCCTTGATCCTATTCCGGTACAACATTTCTCACATGCTTTTTGTCGATAAGCTTCAGCTCGTGCATGCCACGTTTCCAGATTCGCACTACTGCTGGTGAAAGCCCAGGCAGAAAGTTCGTGGGGTCTGTTTTCGGCAACACCCGCCTCTCAAATCCACCGACATCAACGAGGTGACCAACCGGCAGGAAGGGTCAGCCAATTTTGTATAAAAGTACAAAACGAGATTTGTGGCTTGCGATTATGTTCTGAGTTCGGGAGGCGTACGATGAGATAAAAACACACCAACAATCCAGATTCGACAGAATCGGCACTACCAGACGGTCGTGGCAACCATGCCTGCGAAGACGTATGATGCCCACATCGAAGCCTCGCCTAGGGGCGTCGATTCCGTGGACGAGAGTTGGGGAACATCATGTCAATCACCTGACCCCATAGCGGTCGTAGGAATGGGTGGGTCTCGTGTACACTACCGATTCGCATGTCGGGGACTAACAAGCCACACACAGGATGTCGGTTGCCGGGAGGGGTCTCGAATCCCTCAGAGCTATGGGAGCTCCTAATCAACAAGCGCACAGGAAGGCGGAACTTCACCCGTTCCAGACTGAACCTCCCGGGTTTCTATCACCCAGACCATCAGAGACCAGGGAGTATCAACACTGAAGGAGGTTACCTCCTAGACGAAGATCCTAGGTTATTCGACCATGCCTTTTTTGGCATGAACACGAGCGAGGTGATGACTATGGACCCTCAACAGCGAAAAATCCTAGAGGTCGCGTATGAAGCATTGGAAAGCGCCGGTGAGCCGTGGGAGAAGTTCTCCGGCTCCAATACAGGAGTGTACGTCGGCAACTTCAATATCGATCATCATGTCATGCAAATGCATGACATCGATTTTCCTTTGCCATATGCACCTACCGGCGGAAGTTCGAGCATCTTGGCTAATCGCGTTAACTATCTTCTCAACTTGAGAGGTCCAAGGTCAGCAACCACCCCTTAGTCTGATGGTTTTCTCGGACAATGGAAAGCCGTACTGAGTCTCCATAGTATGACTGTGGATACCGCATGTTCGAGTTCCATGTATGCTCTCCACTTGGCAGTCAACGCGATTCGCAACGGGGAATGCGACGCCGCTATTGTCGGCGGAAGCAACCTAATTTCAGCGCCAGAGATGCAGCTTCTAACCGTCAAGCTAGGAGCCTTATCCCCGACCTCAACATGCCACACATTCGACGAATTGGCGGACGGCTACGCACGCGCTGAAGGCTTCACTGCACTGTACCTGAAGAGGTATTCAGACGCGGTGAAGGGTGATTACCCTATTCGGGCCGTGATTAGGGCTACTGGGGTGAATTCCAACGGAAGAACTGCAGGAATTTCCCATCCGAGTGTGGAGGGACAGGAGAATTTGATCAGACAGGTGTACCGAACTGCAGGACTCCCAACGCATTTGACAGGCTATTTCGAGTGCCATGGTACGGGAACGCCCGTTGGAGACCCAGTCGAAGTGACCGCTATAGGGAGGGTGTTCGCACATGAACGCCTAGAGGAGCCGCTACTCGTTGGTTCGGTGAAAACCAATCTAGGCCACTCGGAGCCAGCCAGCGGATTAGTGGGCTTGATGAAGGCGATTCTGGCCATCGAGCATGGCACTATTCCTCCCACCGTTGGAGTGCAGAAGTTGAACCCGAACATAGACTTCAACGCTACCAGAGTGCGTGTTGTCACAGAAGCAACACCGTGGCCGCAGGGGCTGCTCCGCCGAGCAAGTGTGAACTCGTTCGGCTATGGTGGAGCCAATGGCCACTGTATTGTCGATCATCCATCCATTCTGGATCCGACTGCGTTACCTTACACACACTCAATAAACGCTGTAAATGGGACGAGTCAGCCTTACATAAACGGAACCGTCAATGGGCTTGCCAGTCATTCCAATGAGGGCAGAACCAATGGATCAAGGATGCAGGACGGTCCCATCGTCAAATCAGTCGCTCGTACAACAGCGGAGAGTACAAGGAGACTCGTCCTTCTCCCTTTCTCGGCCCATGACCCAGACTCACTGTCCCGAAACATCGCGATGCTCGCAGAAGCTCTTCCCAAGTTACCCCTCGCAGACGTCGCATACACACTCTCCGCCCGTCGTTCAAGGTTCCGCCACAAATCATTCGCAATAGTCGACCGCAACAGCCCTGAAGTGGCCCTAACAATGCCCGACGTTACGAGCCTTATATCCGCAAACGAGCAGTCCCCACGCATTGGCTTCGTCTTCACAGGTCAAGGCGCGCAACATCAGGAAATGGGCCGCGCCCTGTTTGACTACGGTATTTTCCGTGAATCTATTCGGCAGCAAGATGCCGTTCTCCAGTTACTGTCGTTCTCTCCTCCTTGGAGAATCACGGACGTATTGAATGGAGAATGCGAGATCTCGGTCCACGAGCCTGAGATTTCGCAGACCGTTTGCACTGCGCTTCAGATTGGTCTGGTAGACCTTTTACGATCATGGAATGTGCGTCCGGACGTCACGATAGGTCACTCGTCGGGTGAAATGGCGGCGGCATATGCCTCGGGGCGGTTGTCGTTGGCAGAGGCGATCGTCACTGCCTATTGTCGCGGCCATGCTATTGCGCAGAATGCCCGACAAGGTGCCATGCTGGCCGTCGGAATTGGCGCTGACACGGTCCAACGGTATCTGAACGGTGTAGAACACCAGGTCAAGATCGCCGCGATAAACTCTCCGAGCAGTGTAACGCTGTCTGGGGATGTGGAACCTATCCATGAACTTGAGAGACGATTCAAAACCGACGAGATTTTCTGTAGGATTCTTCAAACTGGTGGTAACGCTTACCATTCCCATCATATGAATGCGATTGGAAACTATTACGAAGACATATTGACCAAGGCGTATGGAGAGCTCCATCTCTACCAACAAGATGCGGAATGTTTTCAGCGTCAACATCCTGTCCCTTGGGTATCATCAGTGACTCCGAACAAGGCAATGGTCCAACAGATTCCGCTGGCTTACTGGCGCCGCAATCTCGAATCCCCCGTACAGTTCTACGAAGCGGTTCAGAACTTGGTAGTGCAGCCACACACGGCGGTTGATATTCTAGTTGAGGTTGGACCGCACTCCGCACTCCAGAGCCCGCTCAAGGAGATTCTCACGAAGGTGGGGAAAGAAAATGGAATCAAGCCTCCGCTGTACCTCACGGCTCTAAAAAGATTCGATGATGGGATGCGAAATATTCTGACCTTGTGCGGCTCACTGTTCTGCTTGAATGCGAACGTGGACCTCGCAGCTGTCAATTCGAACGAAGTTACTGAGGACCATCCAATAAGATACGTACATGGGAAGGTGTGCGTCGATATGCCGACTTACCGCTTCAAGTATGGGGAGCCGTTGTACTATGAGAATCGAATCGCCAAGGAGATTCGGTTACGGAAGCATCTGCGGCACGACCTTTTAGGTGTTCGTCAAGCCGGCTGTGCAAAGGAGAGCCCAAGCTGGAGGAACGTCCTACGGCAGAAAGATTTGCCCTGGTTGAAAGACCACAAGGTATGTAGAACTAGATGGGCCTCAATCGCACCACTGATCAGTTTTAGCTTCTACCGCACGCTGTCATGCCGGGTTCGGGGTACGTCTGTATGGCGATAGAAGCCATCTCTCAGTTTCTGGATACCGATTCAAAGAGTACGACAGGTGCTCACTATCAGCTTCGCAATGTGTCAATCAAGTCGGCAATGCGGATACCTGAGGACGAGATCGGTTTGGAAGTGATCACCACTCTACAGCAATCCTCCATAAGCCCAGCATGGTTCGACTTCAGGATTTCATCTTACTCTCCAACGGACGAAACATGGACGGATAATGCGTCCGGCCTTGTCAAGATGGACGCATCCCTCCAGGCGGACGTCGCTCTGGGAGACCTGTCAAAGGACATGGACCCTCGTGTTATTGAGATGGAAGACTGGCAGGAGAAGTTTCAGCAGATAGGCCTCGGGTACGGGAAAGCATTCCAAGGTCTCTCAAACCTGCGGGCGGATCCGATCAAGAAGCTTGCAACTGCCAACGTGGCTCTTCAGACAACGGACGGCATGCTCAGAGGCCTGGAATCCGGCTACCCAATACATCCCGCCTCGCTGGATCTCTGTCATCAACTAGCGCTGATCGCAACGCATGGCGGCCAAGCCGGTAGCCTGAAGAACGCATTCATTCCAGTATATATCGATGAGATGTCAGTCTGGGCAAGAGATGAAATCGGATCATTTGGACACGGCACTGCAACAGGCGAGTTCAAGGGACTACGAGGCGCCCAGGCGAAAGTACAGCTGCTCACACCATCTAGCAAACCAATAGTGGAGATCTATAATCTCCGATGCGTGTCTTATAACGGTGGCGATGCTTCCACATCTAAACCTGGGGATCAGCCTGCTCCATACACACGGCTTGTTTGGAAACCGGATATCGCACTCCTCACCAACGAGGACGCGAGGAAACTGTTCCCTCCTACCATGGCACTTGACGATCTCGAGGATACCTTTGCCACTATGGACAAGATCGCCGCTTGTATGATTGTTGATATCGCCGAGAGGTTTTGCAATATCGACAGCCCTGAATCGCATCTGCGTAGATTCCTCGCCTGGGTGAAGCGATCAGTGACGCGACAGCACCCGGTAATTCATGAAGCGCAAAGAATGTCACACGAATATAGACTTGCCATCATCGAAAGGCTATGTACTGCACTCGGGGATGTACCAGACGTCAAGCATACCAAGCGGATATACGACAACATCTCTGAAATTCTTTACGGCACAAAGACTGGCATCGAGGTCGCAACGCAGGATGGCCTTCTGCAAGAGATGTACGCCCGTGGCATGGGAATTCAAGCGGGGTATTCGCAGTTGAAGCGACTTCTCGACCTCCTTGGACATAAAACCCCGCATATGAAGATTCTGGAGATTGGCGCTGGCACAGGCGGAGCGACGCGAATCGCATTGCGGACGCTAGGTGGCGACACTGCACACAAGCAGTATAGCGAGTATCACTTCACTGATGTGTCGCCAGCTTTCCTTGGTGCAGCAGAAGCAGAATTCGGCAATTGTAAAGGCATGGCCTACAAGACCCTTGATATCAGCAAGAGCCCTTGCGATCAAGGCTTCGCTGCGGATTATGACCTCATTATAGCATCTCAGTGCCTTCACACGACGCAGAACATTAGCCAAACGCTAACGAACGCCCGGAGCTTGCTGAAGGAAGGGGGAAAGATGGTCTTCTTGGAAAGCACTCGAACTTGGCTGGGCCACAGCCTTGCCTATGGGACATTTCCTGATTGGTGGCCAGAGGATAGCGAGAAAGATTCACCGTTCCTTACTCGCGAGGACTGGAAAGTTCTACTTTTGAACTCGGGGTTTTCCGGTGTTGACATTGAGCTGGATGATTACCCTCGACCGTTGACGACGGTATCGACAATAGTTACCACAGCATTGTCGACTACCACCTGCGTATCCGCTGAGATTGTGGACCAGGGACGAACAGCATACATTGTCCGGAAGAGGGAGAGCCCCGATCTTGGAAACCTAGTCGCCGAGCTGCAACGCCATGGATATGAGGCTCGTTTCCAAGACCTTAACACTGCGGACATACCCGATGGAGCACATGTCATCGTCGCGACTGATTTAGGCAACGCCATCCTTGTCGACGGCTGCGAAGATGATTTCTACTCCGTCAAAAAGATCATCGAAAGGGCCTCCTGTTTGGTGTGGCTGACCAAGGGCGGGATTGTTGATGGAAGTGATCCGAAGCCTGCCGTAGCCACCGGACTTATTCGAATGCTCATCACTGAGAACCAGCTGAACAACTACGGTATCTGTCATCTGGATCCAGAGGGTGGCTGCACTTCTCCCAATGTCTCCCGCAATATCGTTCGGCACTTCTTGCGGGTCGCTGATGGCAACGCCGAGCGCGAAGTGGCCATGTACAACACCGTTCCACATGCCAGCCGACTCTTAATAGACGACAGCCTCAATGAGCGCTACAACATACTTCACGGGGCCGCTCAAAAATTCGAGCAGATGGTCCTCCAAAATGGCAAACCTATGATGGTCGATTTCGAGACACCCGGCCTACTCAGCTCCCTATATTTCCGTGAGGACGTATCGTTCCGCAAACCTCTCCCGGAAGATTATATCGAGGTACAGACGGCTGCCGTCGGGCTCAACTGGAAGGACATCGCCGTCAGTGCTGGTCGCCTCGACATGAATGCCTGCAGCTCGGAGTGCGCAGGCACAATAACCGCCGTGGGCAGCGCCGTAAAAGGCCTGTATCCTGGCGACCGCGTGTATGGCCTGGCTTGGGGCCGGTTCGGGACCAGACCGCGCTTCCCGAGCGCTCATGCCCAAGCAATTCCGCAGAGATACTCATTCGAAGAGGCCGCAACTGTCCCTATTGTGTTTTGCACGGCGGTGTACGCACTGAAGCATCTCGCGCGGGTGCGTAAGGGAGAAAGTGTTCTCATACAGTCCGCTACCGGAGGATTAGGGCTTGCGTCAATCCAGGTAGCCCAGAGCATGGGTGCGGAAATCTACGCGACTGTGGGCACACTGGAGAAGAAAGAATATCTCATCCGATCATGTGGCATAAGTCCGGAGCGAATCTTCTCGTCCAGGGATTCGAATGACATTTCGCGACTTTTGGCCAGCACCAACGGCAAAGGCTTCAATGTCATCCTCAGCACCTCCAATGGCGATCTTATGCACGAGACATGGCGTTGTATTGCTCCGAGAGGTCGCTTCATCGACGTGGGAAGGGTTGACGTCCAGAATCACGGAACCATAGCATTGGAAGTCTTCGAAAGAAACGCGACTTTTTCGTCCTTCGATCTGAGCACTATGGCCGTTCAAGATCCGGAGTTCTGCGCGGAACTCATCCAAGAAGTAGGCGACATGCTCCGAAGCGGACAAGTACAACCGATACCTTTCAAAACCTTTGACATAAATGAACTGGACAAAGGAATGCTGTATTTCTCCCAGGGCAAGCATATTGGGAAAGTGGTTGCTAGCTATCGGAACCAGGAGGCGGTGGTCAAGGTAGGTGACTCGACTAATGCTCATGGCAGCCGCGCTAATTTCCTGTAGATGATTCCGCCAAAGCCAGAAGCGTATTTCGACCCAAGTGCCGAATATGTTCTTGTGGGTGGTCTTGGTGGCCTTGGAAGATCGATCTTGCAGTGGATGGTGTCCCGTGGCGCTCTTCATTTCACGATCATGTCTCGGTCCGGCGATGCAAGGCTTTCGAAGGAGGCATCTGAGATGATTGAGACCCTGAGATCCCAAGGTATCACCGTTGAGCTGGTTGCTTGCGATATAAACGTGAAAGAGTCTGTTTCATCGGCGATTGCAGCGGCATCGTTGCATAGACCTATAAAGGGAATACTGCATGCGGCCGTTGCTTTCTTGGACCAGCCATTTGACACCCTTCCCTACGCCCAGTGGAAAGGAGGCCTTTCAGCTAAGGTGCAGGGAACAATCAACCTCCACGAGGTCACGATCGAGCAGAAGCTACCACTGGACTTCTTCATCATGACATCATCCTTCGAGGCCGTGGTAGCGCTGCCGACACAAGCTGCCTACTGTGCGGCGAACAGTTTCCAGGACGCATTTGCTCGCTATCGTAGACTTCAGGGGCTGCCCGCGACAGCGATTGCCTTTGGGTTGATAACCGAGATAGGGGATGTCGGCCAAAGGGACGCAACGCGACAGATGATCCAGCGCAACGGCTTGTATCGCACAGGAGAACTTGGTTTCTTGCGACTGCTCGAAGCGGCATTCCTTGATTCGCCCGAGTCGAAGCCGGATTGGCATGCTTACGATCCGTTAGCAGAGGCCCAGATCACCACTTGTCTCGAACCATCTCAGCTGGCAAAAATTGCTCATCAAGTTGGTGAGGGACCACCACCGCGGTGGCATTCGGACGCAAAGTTCTCGCATCTCTTCCGTGCAATGCAAGATTGTCTGTCGACATCTCAAAATTCTCAGCAGGTCAAGTCTGTTGTATCTGCTGTGGCTACAGCCGTCGATGCTGCTATACAGTCCGGAAATATTGGCCAGGCGGGATCTCTCATCGCGAATGCGATAGCAGAGCGAACGGCGAGTCTTTTGATGATTCCATCCGAGAGCATCGGGACGCAGAAGTCGGTCGCTCAGTACGGTGTGGATAGCCTGATTGCGGTGGAACTTCGAAGCTGGGTGGCACTTATGTTTGGCGTCAGCATTCCTTTGTTGAAGTTGCTAGATGAGAAGATTAGCATTAGAGAGCTAGGCGGGTGGATTGCGAAAGAACGGGAGAGCAAACTGTAATTCTTGTAGAGCTGAATTTTGTATCATTCTTTCCATCCTTCGAAAAACTGCGGTCTCTTTATTGGAACCCCCATCGTGATAGCCGTTGTCATAATGAGTCACAGCCTTTTGTCCGGGCTGTACAGAGGGGTGAACAGTTTTTCTAGGGCCTTCAGTTATATCGCTCCATCGACAGCTGGTGTTGCCAAGCCCAACGTTCTACTGTGGTAGGTGGCCGAGTATAGCTTCTTGGGCACCATGATGGTCCTAGATTCAAAAGTCAGGAGGATACACATGATGAAATAAACAAGTCACGGCGTCACATTGATCGACAGAACCTTGAAAGTTGTTGATCATCAGGTCACAGCAAAGCTTGGACTTATCCGAGGCAGCGCTCGGACGTGTTTTGAGCTTATCGGCGGTAATTACCGGCGCAATAGCAACCGCATAGCTATCCATCCCCCAACCTCCTTTCCATCTCATATCCTCATGCTCTTTTTATCATGATAAATTCAATCACTTTGGCATTATGTGCCGCCTCCGCCGGCGTAGGAGCCTGGCATATCCCTTTCGTATCTTCGCCATCCGCGCAAACACCCCTGCGGCTGGAATCCGACCAGCTGCCTTTGATTGACTCATCCGCATTGCAAGGCCTCATCAGCGGTGACAGACTCTTCCGCAGAGCGAAAGAGCTATATGAGATTGCGAAGCTCGGTGAGGGTGAATACAATCATCCCACAAGAGTTATAGGGAGTGCTGGTATGAGACCACACGTGACCCCATTTAATAGCCTTGCGCTAACGCAATATAGGACACCTCGGGACCCTATCCTACATTTATAAGACCATCTTGGAGCTAGGTGACTACTATGATATCTCGAATCAGTCCTTCCCAGCGGTATCTGGCAATGTGTTTGAGTCTCGTCTTGTCATCGGAGATCAGGTCCCCAAATCCGCAGCGCCCATGGGTTTAACCCCGGCGACGAAGAACAAGCAACCCGTTCACGGCCATCTCGTCAACGTGGAGAACGAGGGTTGCGAAAGGTCTGACTTTCCGGACGATGTTGCTGGAGGTATTGCATTCATCAGACGCGGAACGTGCCCCTTTGGCACCAAGTCTGAAAATGCCGGCAGGGCTGGTGCTATCGCAGCAGTGGTGTACAACTACGAAAAAGATGCCGTGCAGGGAACGTTGGGCACCCCTTCGCCCTTTCACGTCGCTACCTTTGGCCTCTCCGGAAAAGAAGCTGCCCCTATTCTCGAGAAGCTCTCCCGTGGTGAGCATGTGGATGCCATCGCCTACATCGATGCCATCGTCGAGCAAATCCTCACTGTCAACATCGTCGCCCAGACCACGCTCGGGGACCCCGACAACTGCGTTATGCTCGGAGCGCACAGCGATTCGGTGGCGGAGGGGCCCGGCATCAACGACGACGGCTCCGGCACCATCAGCCTTCTTGAAGTCGCAAGCCAGCTGACCAAATTCAACGTCTCGAACTGCGTGCGGTTTGCCTGGTGGGCAGGCGAAGAGGAGGGCTTGCTTGGGTCAGATTACTACGTTGCCTCTCTACCCGAGGAGGAGAACCGGAAGATCCGCCTCTTCATGGACTACGACATGATGGCGAGTCCAAACTTTGCGTATCAGATCTACAATGCGACGAATGCGGTTAATCCCGTAGGATCCGAGGAGCTGAGGGATCTGTACGTGAATTGGTACGAGGAACAGGGATTGAACTACACCTTCATCCCCTTCGATGGCCGCAGCGACTATGATGGTTTCATTCGCAACGGTATTCCGGGTGGTGGCGTTGCTACAGGAGCGGAGGGCATTAAGACGAAGGAAGAAGAGTTGATGTTTGGTGGAAAGGCCGGTGATTGGTTCGATCCTTGCTACCATCAGCTCTGTGACAATGTGGGCAATGTAAACATGACAGCGTGGGTTGTGAATACGAAGGTAAGCGCTCCATTGATAAATTACCGTGGACAGGCTTCTAACATGCAAAGCTCATCGCACATTCCGTTGCTACATATGCCCGTTCGCTCAAAGGCTTCCCTGAACGAACTACGCTGGCCGCTTCGAGTACCTATGAGACGGGTGCAAAGTATCATGGGCCGAAGCTTTACATATAGAAATTGGACCTGATCGGAATGGATATCATGCGTCAGTTTCTGAGGGATACGGCCATTTCCACATCTCCAGAATACTGACGTCTGAAAATTCCAAAGCATCGCAATGTTCATCTTCCACCTTCCGTTGTCAGACATTTCTCCGCGAGACCCCATGTAAACTACATACGCTTAGACGCACCAGTTCAAAGATCCCTCGGCATTTCCCTGATTAAGAGCCCTGGAAAGCGCTTATCTATGCACCAACGTGACTTCGTGTTCCTTTCCTGTTGGAATACGACATACCCCTCCCTTGGCAACGCGTCGTGACACTATCGACACTGAAGCGGCCAATGGCGCGCGTTCGATCCGCCAACCATGCTCATTCATACATTTGGACCTTGTCGATCCCCGGGCTGCAGGTTATATATCGCGCGAGATCCTCCCCGTGGTCTGCTTTTCGTCGTCCTTTGCATTGATTTTCTGCTCTTGCAAGCCTACTTCTGTTTGTTACTGCCACACAACATTCAACTGATTCACACACTTGATTCTTGAACCGTCCCACCGCAACCATGTCCACGGAAGAACAAGTCAACTTGACAGCGCACTGCCTCTGCCGCAAACACACCTTTACCACCAGCGTCCCTCGCTCCTCGCTTCCGCTTCCCGCGTACCTCTGCCATTGCAACAGCTGCCGGCACCTGACCGGATCGCTATTCAGCACCGATGTGCCCTGGCCTGGGTCACCATCTAACGTCGATCTATCCGGGCTCTCCGTGTACAAGTTCTCGGACAAGCTTTTGGTGCACTTCTGCGGCACGTGCTCGACGCCGCTACTATTCAGTCACCCACAAGATCCGAACGCACAACACGGAGTCTTCACCGGTACGCTGACAAACGAGGCTCAGAAACTTGTCAATATTGCCATCCACATCTACGTTGGGGATACTGTAGATGGGGGCGCAAGCATGTGGCTCCGTCATCCCAACGGGGACGGCAAAGAGGTGAAACGCTTCAAAGAGCGCCCCGGAGATGCCGAGACCGGGACGTCGGGTGAAGAGTTACCCCATGATTGGCCTTCTCCCTCCTCCTTGACCGGATTCGACAAGAAGTCTCCCGAAGACAGCGTCTCCATCAAATGCAAGTGCGGAGGCGTGCACTTCCGTCTGCACCGCTATCCCCACACGGACAAGACAGGCGATCAACTACCCTGGTTTGTCGACCGCACTACGCACAAGTATAAAGCGGCCCAGTGCGGATGCGACTCGTGCCGGCTATCCTCGGGCGTTGACCTCTTCTCCTGGACCTTTTGCGACTTGGCTCAGATCTCCTTCGTTGATGGCGCCGATACGAAGACTTTTCCTAAGAACAAGGCAGAGCTGAAAACGCTGGTCGACGCCAAAGATCCCTCTGCGGGGACGCTGAAATATTATGCCTCTTCTCCCGATGTGCAGCGCTACTTCTGCAGCAGCTGCTCGGCATCTGTCTTCTATGCGGTAGATAGTCGCCCGAACCTAGTAGACCTCGCAGTAGGCCTTCTCGAGGCTTCAGACGGTGCCCGTGCCGAGGGATTCCTGGCATGGTGGTTCGGTAGGATATCGCACCGAGATGATACAAAGGGAGGGTGGAGGGAGAAGTTGGTTGAATGTGTTATGAAGGAAGCGACGGAGTGGAGGGAAGCAAGAGGTTATCCAGAGGTCTGATGGGGCGACCGTGGAAGTCGTAGCAGAGACAGCAAAGGGGTTTACGCTTTAAGTAGGGGTCGCCCGCGGACGTCCAATGTTCTTTAATGACTCCGAGGGATAAATTAGAGTCACATAAACTTGGTATAAGAGTGTACTTTCTCTCTCTGATTGAGTTCGGGGAGCATAGCAGTTGCCGAACAAGTAACGCTTCTTGAAGGGGAAGTTGTCACCCTGACTGTGGATATTCTAGTTCCTCCCAATCTCCATCCCGAATGACTTTCCAAAACATCCAATTCAGCCCATCCGGGAGATAGTATTACACATTCTTATCAATCTCGACGATACTTATTTTTACCAGCCATGGACGAGACGTGCGACGACGGTTCGAACAAACCACCTCCAGAACCATCCATCTTCCCAAACGCTTCAGAACAGGAGCAAGGCCCGGTTCTCGGAAACCCTTCCCACTCACCAGTCGCAACCCCGGAGCTCGACTTCACCCTACCACCAGAAGTCCTTCAGGGATTATACAGTGAGCCGCAAATACGATGGTCGCATCCAACGGAATCAGCTACGCTACACACTCCGTGGCCGCAAGTAACCCCAGCAAACGCAAAACCCTATGGAGTTGAATATCTTGGTGCCAGCGGACCTAGTGGCACCTCGAGTGGAGTCCTTAGGTCTCCTTACCCAGTTCAACAGCTAGCATCTCAACCCTGGAGAGATGATCAAGATACTGCAAAACCAGCTTCGTCCGCGACCAGGCCAAATACCCGTGGCTTTACGGGAACAGCGGCAGAGGAGCGAATGGCGGCGGCAAAATCCCAGACCGACCAGTCTGCTACCGTAGTCGAACCTCACAGCAACTCGCTCGGCGGCTCAGGGAATGCCCATGTCGAATCCGCCCATGCCACAGGGTCCATTCCCTGAAGTTCTCCGTTCGAAGTTTATTCCAATCAAACCAGTGGATCCCAGACGTACGACAAACATGTGGTACTGCTTTTTGAGATCCGAGTTTAGGGCAAATGATCCTGTGGTTCGATCAGTGCTGCTGCATTCAAGGAAGTCATGTTATTTGGTCCGAAGGGTCCGTTTGATCAAAGTTCACGAGCAGAAAACGTCCTTTGAACGGGAAGTCTACGCACTGAAGAAGTTGAAAGAAGCACTGGAGTCCCCTGACGAAGAGTACACACATAACGTGGTGGGACATTACAGTTGGAATGCCTACTATGTTGGCAGCAAATACCGCAGTGATTCGGCGACTGAGCGGTTCGCAGCTCCCGGCCCGCCCGTGTACTGGATATTGCTAGATACCGCACCGGGGGGGATCAGCCTCGAAGCATACATCCAGGAGTGCGGCTTGCTACCCGCATTCTTTGTTTGGGATACGTTCGTCGAAGTGGCGGATGCTCTCCAGTTCATCCACCGAAGCTTCGTGGTACACGGTCATGTACAACCTTCCAAAGTCCTGGTCAATTATATCAGTAGTGCGCACGAAAAAGCCCATCTCCACATCCGACCCCGACTGCTTCTCATCGATTTCAAGCGTAGCTACGTAAAAGGGGAGCAAGTTGCGCAATCAACTACGCAGGATTGGGCCGGGTTGGTCCGCAAGGACTGGGTGGATTTCTTCGAAACGATATGGGCCTGCGCCCAAGGGGCAGACTGGCGGAAACCGCCGGAACAACAAGCAACTCCGAACGAACGCGCTGCAACATGGTCCAAGCTGTCCGAGCATGCGAAAGCGGGTAGACATCCCTGGGGTGATGGAGAGGCATGGGAGCCATTAGACCAAAAGCATCTGCATGATCTATACACAGCAAAGCGAGAAGCAAAGTCGTGGAGCGTTTCAATCTTGGAGAAGCAAATCTTTGGCCTGTACGAGGAGTTTGAACGAAAGTTAAACGACGAACCCTACCTGGACAACTGCATGTGCCTACTTGGGAAGTGGAAGTCGATTATAAAGACTGGAGTCACGAGAGACGAGATGGTGGCCGCATTGAGCACCCAAATGTTCGGGCGAGGTCGGGGACAGACTTGAGATGACCAGCGCATTGACTAAACGTAGGTAGTTCATAACCAATCCCGCGGTATTGCTTTTTCAGACCACGTGCGTTCACCTTCCCATGCCAACCAATCGGACCTTGTAGTAGGGAGCAATCCCATTTTGTTGACCTTCCAGACGCCCAAGCCCAACATAAGGATATTCATCAGCACATAGACGAGCTTTGGCCAGAGTAAGCGATGCGATGTGCCAGGCGTCTCGTAGGGCGCGAAGGTGCGCTGCAGAGCGAGGACAGCCATAACGGGAGTTTTGAACAGCGTGAAGACCATGAAAATGGAGAATATCTGCAGCGAATTGCCGGTCATGTACATGCCTGCGGGGATTGTTAGGGAACCTCTGCCGGATTACGCAGCAAGGGGACATGCCGATAGCATTCATGGGTAACTGTTTTGCGGGGGCAAGAGCCAGTTCCCACGCCTTCTTCATCTTCAAAGTGTCCATCTCCTCCGTCGTGGGCGCCTGGCGAACAGTTGTCTTGGACGATTGTGCGCACTGCTTTGCGGAGAGGGGTGCGGTGAAGCCTGGCGGATCGGGGAGCGACGCCTTTGACCGAGGCGGAGGCGGCGAGTTGATCTCGACAACCCATCGCGGCGGGGGAGGGGGAGCAGGTATAGACATGGTGGGTAAGAGACTCCCTTCTGTATAATGGTTCTCGTAATGAGGAGGTGTAGTCAAGTTCAAGTGTGGTAGCTCAAAGCTTCCTGTCTTGGCGTACGCACGGGCCCAGCGGACTTCCGCTCCTTCGCCCGCGGCATTCGCCCATCGACATATTTCATGGCACTTGCGATTCACTCGCATCTCCTTCACCCCTCGAGCTCCACGCTGGATACCGACGCGAAATCCTGAACCTTCCCGCCGCTCTCGGACATGCGACCGTTTGTGGTTTCCGACTGAAGCCTGCCCGCCCTGCCATCCCGCCGTTCACACCCTGAGTTGACCCAAGGAGAGAAAGAGGGGGACGTTGGCTAAGACGGGCAGAGGAGACCGGATAAGAGTTCCTACTGGGCAGGCGTGGATAAATCGTGCATATCGGAACAGGCCAAAAGCCTTGGACACGACATAGCTAGCCCACCATGAGCACGGGAGATGGGAAGCTGTTTGCGAGGGTATGTTCGCATCCCCCTCATTTTCTTGTCCACGTGCATGCGCCATCAGCCTTCTACTCCGACTATGTTACGCGTCTCCTCTACCCGCAGTAGTCTTACAATGTACACTGTTTCCTTCACGATCATATTCCTCCTCACTCCTCTCCCCGTCCCTGGACCATGGCCTCGCAATGTTCCTCCCTTATGTCTATGACACGGCACGCTTACACGCTGCGCGTTCACCACAGGGCAAAGTAGCGGAGTTGCGCCTCGAGCTCAACAGTGGCGGAAAGAAAGACAAGAACTTCGCAGCGAAGAAGACGGCCCTGAAGAAGATTGTTGCCAACATGACCATGAGCAACAATGACATGGTGGCTCTGTTTCCGGACATCGTGGGATGCATGCATATATCCAGTTTGGAGATCAAGAAGATGTAGGTGGAGCGGACTCATGACGGCAGGCAAATGGCTGACCGACTAGGTGCTTCTTGTATCTCGTCCACTATGCCCGGGCCAAACCGGACATTGCGCTAAATGCACTGCCCATAATCCAGGAGGATCTGCACGACAGCAATCCGCTTGTGCGAGCGCTGGCATTACGGACCATTTCCTACGTTCACGTACGCGAGTATGTGGAAGCCACGGTCCCACACCTGAAGAACCTGCTTCGAGACTCCGACCCCTATGTGCGCAAGACGGCCGCCTTCTGTGTAGCTAAGCTCTACGATCACGACCGACACCTCGTCGAGTCTTCGGATTTGATCGACAGACTGAATGGCATGCTGCGCGACGAGAATCCCACTGTCGTCTCCAGTGCTCTGGCGGGCTTGATGGACATCTGGGAGCGCAGTGAGAACATCAGGCTGACCATTGACTACGCAAGCGCGTCCAAGATCGTCTCCATCCTACCCGACTGCTCTGAATGGGGCCAAACGTACATCCTCGAAGCCATGATGAATTATGTTCCCCAAGACGTTACAGAAGCCGCATTACTGGCCGAGCGCATTTCCCCGCGGCTGTCACATTCGAACTCGGCCGTTGTCCTTACCTGCATCCGCGTTATTTTGTATCTCATGAATTACATATCTGACCAGAAAGTCATCAAATCATTATGCAACAAGCTCTCGCCCCCGCTCGTCACCCTCCTATCCAAAGGACCCGAGATCCAATACCTGGCGCTGAGAAACGCCCTCTTGATCCTGCAACGTCGGCCGGAGGTGCTGCGCAACGATATCCGAGTCTTCTTCTGCAAATATAATGACCCAATCTACGTGAAAGTAACGAAACTCGAGCTCATATTCATGCTTGCGACGGAGAAAAACATCAAAGAAGTCTTGACTGAGCTGGCGGAGTAAGTTCCCTTATTCTCATGCTTCTCACGTGACGACCCTAACAACCCCAGGTATGCGACCGAGATCGATGTCGACTTTGTGCGGAAATCCGTGCGTGCCATCGGGAAACTCGCCATCAAAATCCCTCCCGCCGCCCAGCTCTGCATCTCCACGCTCCTCTCCCTGGTCAGCACCAAAGTCTCGTACATTGTGCAAGAAGCCACGGTCGTGATCCGCAACATTTTCCGCAAGTACCCGAACCAGTACGAATCCATCATCAGCACGCTGTGCGAGAATCTGGACTCGTTCGACGAGCCCGAGGCGAAAGCGGCGATGATCTGGGTGATTGGGCAGTACGCGGATCGGATCGAGGATAGCGATGTCCTGCTCGACGATTTCCTAGACACGTTCCAGGAGGAGACGCACGAGGTGCAGCTCGCACTGCTCACGGCGACGGTGAAGCTGTTCATCCAGCGGCCGACGCGGGGCTCGGCGCTCGTGCCCAAGGTGCTCAAGTGGGCGACCGAGGAGACGGATAACCCGGACCTGCGAGATCGCGGATACATGTACTGGCGGCTGCTCTCGTCGGCGCCGGAGGAGGCCAAGAAGATAGTCATGGGGGAGAAGCCGGCGATTACGGCCGAGGAGAGCGAGAAGCTGGATCCGGCGACGCTGGAGGAGATGTGTCTGAATGTGGGGACGCTGGCGACGGTGTACCTCAAGCCGGTCAATCAGGTGTTTAGGCAGGCCCGGGTGCGCAAGTTGGGCGATAGTTCGGCGCTGCAGCGGGACGAGCTGCCGACTGTGAAGGCGGCGAAGGCGGCGAGGGAGAGGGCGGTCAAGGAGCGCGAGAGGCTCGATACGAGTCTGGCTGCCAGTGCGGCCGCTGGTGCGAACAATGGAAGCAGCGCGGGCGGCATGAGCGCTGCCGTCAGCGATGCGGATCTGTATTTCCAGGGGGTGGGGAGATCGAGCACGTGGGGGGCGAGTCCGCTTCCCCTGAGCCCCGAGCAGGCCGGCCAGCATGGGTATGGTGGGCAGCAGTTGCAGGGACAGTGGGTGGTGAACCAGAATGCGGCGCAGCAGGTGGGTGGTGCGGGAGCGGTAGGTGATGGGCGAGATCAAGTGCCGGATATGCTGCTGTTTTAGAGGCTGGGGATTGGGCATTCAAGAGGCGAGACACATGTAGATATTGAAGACGGAATGTCACGATTGGAGGTGATGAAGTTGAGATTGGGGGTATCTTACACGTACATGGTATGGAAAGTGATCACTTTAGACGTCTGTCGCAAAAGTGCAAACTGAGAAATGGGAATAGCTTCGTTTTGAATCAGACATTCTTCCACTTACCATCCCATGTCTACCACTCACCTTTCCACAAGGGGAATACATCCACGACCCTCTCTCAGTTCCCTCTGGAATCTACTCATTTGCCAGCAACGGCGCCCGCTCCCGATCCTCACTGACGACCTGGCCCCTCACAAACAAGTCCTCCCTGCCGATCAAGCCGGGAGCAGCCACGAGCACCGACAAGACGAACAAGATGGCGCCGATAGTAAAGGCGAAGATCCACTGCAGCTGGAAGAGGTGCGGTTTCGTCAAGAGCTGGCCAACCGCCGTCGCTATCGCAATCAATTAGCGCATGCAAATACAAAGGGTAACCAGAAGAGAAGAATTCTCAAGACGTACAAAACGACAGCACCGACAAATTAAACCCCATGGTATAATCCTTGAACGCGACGAGGAAAAACAATCCATAGCCCAGAAACCCCCAGATGAACACGTTCGCTACGATGCGCGCGGCGAGGTGGTTCGTGTTGTGCACGGCGACAGCGCCGACCCAATAGAGGGCGACGAAGTTCCAAGCTAAAGGGCCGGAGACGGAGCCCCAGTGGATGAAGCGCGGGGTGGTTGAGTGGCGGAAGTAGGCGGCGGAGAGGTTTGCGAAGTTGACGGCGAGGAGGAGTAGGGAGAGGAGGAAGTGGGAGCGGGTCCAGAGGTGGATGAAGGCGAAGAGGAGGAGGTTGGAGAGGGTCGTGTGCGGGGCGATGGAGGCCGTGGCGTGCCGGTGGGTGGGGTTGGAGGTGAAGAGGGAGAGGGTGGAGAGGGCTTGGAGGAGGAAGAGGATGAGCCTGGAGGAGTTAATTTGTTTTCTTGCAGAAGGATGTGGGAGACGAACCAGTAGACGCTTGTGATGATGCTGTTTTGGGCGAATGGGGTGGGGCGGTTGTTGCCCCAGATCTTCTTATGCGGATGGTGGCCTTCGTGGGGTTTGTTGAAGGTGTAGTAGAAGGCTGTGACGACGAGGACGAGGTACGAGACAAGCGTGGTGACCCTGTAGACGTTGAGGGTGTTGCGCGAGTACTCGTCGCGACGAGCGAAGGGGTTGACTGCAGCGAGGAGCGAGTTAGCCATGTTGTTCGTATTGTCTTGGGCTACTGAAGACGAAGACGAAGAGCGTTGAGAGCGAGATTCTGCTTGAGAAGGAGATGGTGAGGCAGAAAGAGGAGAAGAAGACGGAGAGAGCGGATCTTGCACGAATTCGGTGGCATCAACGAGAGTCAAGAGAGAGGAGAAGAGCCTACGTGAAGACATGTTGATTCACTGCAGCTCGAGGAGGAAGAACTGTGTTGGTAGAAAAGAGGATGTCGTTGGGCTGGCGATAACTGCAGTGAAGCCAAGTTATGGAGCGAGATTGACAAGTAAATAAGATTCGCTTCCGCCTTTGTTTGTCGTCTCGACTATTCCCACGGTAACCTCAGGCAACAACAATGTATCCAAACAACACAAAATCCGTCGGTGAAAGACGGTTACACATAGAAGACCGTCTTCAGGCGACCCGACGCACTTTAAGAACGAACGACGTCCCGCTAGAGGGGAAGCTAATACGTCATCCCTTCACCCCAGCACTGCCCGGCCCGCCCCCGCATCAAATCACACACACCACCAGAACACCATCAGACGGTGAGACCAAGGCCAATTCGGGGCAAATGACTGGCTCTAAGCAATCCATGGCACTTCATCCCACTTCCGGGCGTGCCTTGTGACACCCTTTAGAAACCCCCCAACTCCGTCGTGCGTCGTGATGGTGCTGAATGCGGGGAATCCTTGCCATGGCACGACATCCAATTTTCCACGAGCCGCACCAGGCGGTTGGAACTCCATACATTATGAATTAGTATAGTTAAGGAAATCTTCACCACCGATAATCGCAGACTAAGTAGTAGAGAAGTGGATCCATTGCATTTTCCGAAACGCCCCAAAGTCCTTCCTTTCCCAAGCCTGCAAAAAGCCAGAATCTCTCTAGGCGGGTATCTCGAAACCAAGCCAAACGCAAATCCCTATGATTCCCTGCCAATAAGAGAAACCTTGAATCGCAGGAGAATAAAGCCTTGGAAGAAGTTCCACTACTCTCCTGTAACATGGTCATGTCGGAAAAGTTGGTCGACGCCCAGCGCATCCGTAATAGCCAAGACAACCCCGTCCAGAAAGGAGGGATCCCAACACCACTCGCCTCGCGTGTCGGCATTCGTTCCGGAGGAGTACAGGAACTGTGAAATCGTATGGAACATGTCACACGGACGCACGCAACATGACGGAATCTTACTCGCTCTCCTCGTCACCCCGAGCCCCCTGCCACAACCTCACTTTGCGGGGGTATCAGGCACCTCCCATATATCGCTGTCCGCCTCTTTCTTGGCCTCTACACCCTGAGCATCATCCGACCCGGGTGAAGCTGCATTACTAGACGCAAAGGGTATCGTTCCCGTGGAGCTGGAGGTTGGCAAGTCTTGCCGCTGAGGAACCGGTGACATGGTATTCCCATCCGTACTCGGAGGCATCCATTGCAGGCTCTGCATCCCCTGATTGGCCAACCCTAGAGTAGGAGGAGCCGGAGCCGGTATGCTCCCATACGTCTGCGCCGTGTAGTTCACAAAGGTAGGCATCATGGATGGAGCCGGTGCAGGCGGCGTGTCTGGTCGTGGAGGAGTTATGGTGGGGGAAGCGGGCTTTATGGGAGCCATGAAAGATGGCTTAGGGAGCTGTTCCGGGCTGATGATCATCTCTCGTAGCTCTGTCGGCGGCTCGACAACATTCGGCGGCGAGCGACTCTCAACCTCTTCAGTTTTGTCAATCACGCCCACGGCCTGCTTAGGCAGCACAGGTTGAGGCTGCTCAAGGGTTGTGTCTAGTGCAGCCTCCACCTTGGGCGCGTGCGGAGGCGGCACAGAGACCGGCAGAGCTGGATCAGGGGTAGGAAGCGACGGTGCCGACTCATCGACGGGCGTCTGCGGCTTCGAGGCCTTCGTCGTCCGCCCGGTGCCCTTTCTGGTTGTTGACGGTGCAGGCTTCGTGGGCTTGGTGCGTGCAGCAGGTGCCTTGCGAGCCGGAGCTCTTGCTGCTGTGCTCGTCGTGCTCGTCTTCTTTGCACCTTCCAAAGCCTTCTGTTTCTCCCTTGCATCGTGCTCTTCTCTGGTCGGCATCCTCAAGGTAATACGCTTCAAGCCAGTGGAGAGCTTATCCACATCGTTTTCATTCTTCTCCTTTTCATCTGGCTTGGTCGTATAGTTCGACGGTACTCGAGGGACCGGCGGCGGATTCTTCGGTAGACGGGAAGGGCCCGTCGCGGGAGCCCTAGCTTTCTTCACCGTGATATGGCTCCCAACTTCATCGGGTTTGACGCTTGCTCGTCGCCCTCCCACATTAGAAGCACGGCTTACACTTCTCTCCCCATTGACAGAGGCTGTGCTCGAGGCAATGCTCATACGGCGTGAGGCTGAACGAGCAGGGGCCGGCTCCTCCGAAGCTGAAGGGAGAGCTGCCATTGTCCTTCGTCTATTGGCTTTTTCCTTGGCCGCCGTTCGACTTTTCGTCTCATCGTCGGACGCCGGATCTGCATACGACGTAGCCGGCTTCCTCCCACGGAGCTGGCGTCCAGAGGGGTCTACATGTACAGATGCAAGCACAGCTGCTGGCTTTTCTTTCTTGACTTTGGGTTCGGAGAGCTCCTCTGGCTTGCAGCTCCTCGTTTGACGATCGAATGGGATCAATAGTTTGCTCAACGCATGGGATGCCGTCGTCCAGTCAACGTCGGGAGGCGGAGGTGTGGGCACCCTCACTGAAGTGCTCGGAGCGAAGTTGCCAGAAATACTACGGTGGTACTTAACCGGGTCGGTGAGTTTGGCGGTGAAAGACTGGGTGGGGGACGAGTACATCGGTGGAGGACCGGACTTCAATTTCTTAGGTTTCGCAGCCGGTGGAGGGTTGACGAGATTCTCCAGCTCCGCCAACTGCGCGGGATGCCACCAACTCGGATCGTAGGAGCGTGCCTGCGCCTTGGCTGCCTCCTCAGCCCCTGGAGCCGCCTCCTCCTCGAGACTCAAGGCAAGTTTGCGCATATCGAATGCCAGATCACTTTGTGCAGATGGCTCTGACGACAATTGTCCATCGGTAAGTCCGCTCAGATGACTGAGAACACCGCTGGTCAGCGCCCTATCACTATAACCACCCTCCAGAACTGAGATGACTCTGCCCTCGACAGCCGTGCCCTCCTCTTCGGCCAAGCGGACTACATCCCGTGTGAACCGGGCGTAGAATTCCGTGGGCACCTTGACGCCATGTCGCTGCATCCCCTGCATCTCCCATTCACTGGCGTCGAAACCGGCAGACAGAAAGATGGCCGCTTTTGGCCGGGGGTGGTCTGGCATGCTCTTCAGACGCTGGGTGTGAGTTTTCAGATACTCCCTCGTCCGATCGAGCAGAACAAGGTAGCGGTCCTCGTACATCTTCCAGAACTCCTCAACACTCGTCCAACTTCGCATGTGGATGTTCCAGATCGTCTGATTATCCAAGTCCTCTAGACACAGACTAGCAGCTTGCCTCTTATCCTTCTCGCCGTTCTCGCACGGAAAGGATCTTGGGTCATGGAGGGAGAAGTACCCAATCGACCTCATGGGTGTCCGTCTCTTGTACGGTGCGTATGTATAACGGGGTGCATTCTGGAATTTCTCGTTCCTTTCCCATGCGATTGATTGTGAACCGTCTCCGTGGTGCAAATCAAAGTCGATAATGGCCGCGTGAGTGAGTCCATATTGTAGCATGGCATGCTCAATCCCAACATGAACGTTGTTAATCCAGCAGAACCCAGATGGGTGATCGTCGGAGCAGTGATGTCCAGGTGGCCGTATGCAGACGAATGCGCGTGACGGTCCCCTGCCGTTATCGGTTCCTTGGAAGACTGCATCCACGGCATCGAGTACACCGCCGAGCGCGCCTTGAAACGCATTCAAGGACTCAGAGCATAGATACAGGTCGCCATCGTGAAACTCTTGCTTGTTGGGAAGCCCCGGAGGATTTGGCTCTCTCGTTAACTCCCTTCCAGTGGTTGCTAGCTTCCGTGGCGCATCCGTACACATGCTTTTCAACTCCTCCATCCACTTGGTGCCATGCACATTTGTGACCACGGGAGAAGTAATATCGACGGCTCGTGAAGTCTTGCGAATCTTGAAGGGGATGCGCCGGCTCGGCTCGTGTGACGGATGCGGAGGGTTACTGCCATCACAATGCCGCTCCCCGAGGCGCACATAGGCGGTTGAAATACCAAGAACAGAGGCCAATATCCTCTCCGGTCTCTCCACAATCATGCTCAATGTTGCCTTGCTGGTCTTCGGGCGGGAAAAGCGATGACCAAAACATTGGTCTGCCAAAAGGACAATTGTTCCTGCCGATACATCACCGTCATGCATTTCTAGCTCTTTCTTAAAGTACTCTTCCGCGACATCGCAAGCGCGTAGCGGTGGTCTCTCTTCTTCCACCTGCCCCACAAGCTGGGCCTTCGCGGATTGTGCAGGCGATGGGATGTTGGGGTTGAGAGAGGATCGCCGCGAGGCAAGGGCGCGGGGAGTGGGTGGCATATCACCTCGAAGAGAGGAGCTTGAGGATTTGCGGCCCAAGACTGGAGTGGAGGAGCGGTTGTGGCCTGCGACGCTGGGGCTCCTGGGGCTCCTGGGGCTTCGGGGAGGGTGGTCGGGGGGAACACCAGGCGAGGTAGGCGATGATAGCGATCCTGCAGTTAGAAGAGGAGATTTAAGACCAGGCGATTGCGGGACAGGAACATTCGCGGCGGTATGCACGGAAAGTTGGTGCGGGGGCTTTGGGATAGGTCGCGCGTCGTTGTTTGTTGACTGTCGCGAAGCTTCGGGGGGCGCCTCCGGCTTGTCTGAATGAGATATCTCCATGTTTGCAGATGGGGGCCGCAAAGCGGCGCGTTAGAGTCTGTTGCCGTACTCCTAGAGAACAAATGTGGTGGGTGGACGTTGCGCGGTGTATCTACGAGTAGGAGGTAGACTAGGGGTGGAATGGAACGACGCGATGACGGCGGGCTTGGCGGACCAGTTCACAGGGCAACCGAAACAGGCATTGCCTCTTTCGTCCCAATTCCACAACATTGGGGATGTTGACTTCCACCTGGGCTAATAATTCAACTTGGTACCTAGGTAAACTTGCAGAAGGGGAATTCTAGAGCGAGAGGCAACGAATAGGTTGCTTCTTTCAAAAGCGGATATCAATGGATGCTGGATATCATACATCTACTGCTCTCTTGTACCCTGATGTCAATCGCTCAAGAGGTCCACCCCTACCCCTCGCAATGCCGTCACCGCCCACTCTGGGTATTTGCTCTTGTCAGCATAGAGCTTCGAAAAGAAATCTCTCAAAAATGCCGGGTATCTATCCTCCAGAATGGCCTCACGCACCCGCTTCATCAGGTTCAACTGGTAAAACACGTTATGCATCGTGAGGAGATGCGCTCCAGCCGTTTCCTTTGCCGTGACATGGTAGATGTACGCGCGTGTGATGCCCAAACCCCCTTCTTCTCGTGTCCGACAGCATATGCACTGGCAACCTTCCTCGATCGGGCCAAAGTCCTCGGAGTAGGCCGCGTTTCGCAGGTTCTTGACGCCTTGTGCTGTGATGGCATTGCCGAAACGCTATCCTCACATGAGCATGCAGTCACTAAGGGGTATGAAGCGACTTACCGCTGTTCGTGTCGGCCAGACGCAGTCGAACATGTCTGCTCCAAGCGCAACGGACACAACAAGATCTTCTGGATATCCCTGCTAACGTGAGATTGTGTAACTCCACCAAAATATTCTCACTTACAACCCCCATGACGTATCTAGGCTTGTTTTCCGGCAACAGCGACGTGCACGTGTCGACCACCTTGCAATATGAATCCTTCTCCTCGCCGCCCGACAAGCCTCCAATCGCAATGCCTGGAGTGTCCCGGGCGACCATTTCTGCAGTACATTTCCTCCTGAGATCCAAATCCAGACCTCCTTGTATGATGCAGAACAGATTCTGTTTTTCTGGATATTTATGCGCCTTGATGCAGCGGTCCAGCCACCGTACCGAGCGCTCCATCGCCTCTGTCATTCTGACCATGTCTGGGTGTGTCGTTGCAATCACATCGTCGAGCTGCATGATGATGTCGGAGCCGATGGAGTTCTGTAGCGATATCGAATGCTCGGGAGTGAGAAGCCTGCAGTACTTAGCCCGGGATCGGTGAGATGGCATCGCGAAGCGTACATAGGCGAGCCATCGTGCGGACTCAGAAAGCGAACACCTTCCTCAGTAACCTTTGCGAGTTTCAGAAGCGACACCATCTGGAAGCTGATCCTGGGGTCAGCCACGGGGCTTTCTTCGAGGAGGTTGGAGGGGTCACCCACCCACCACTATCTGCACCAGTCAGCATCCCTATCCAGTAAATGGCGGTTTTGGAAGGTCAAGCACCTGTGAGGATATTGTGTGGCCATGCCTGGAGTTTGTGTGCACCCCCTACGGCATCGAGCGTGGCCTGACCTGGCTTAAGGCCTCTCGAGAATGTCAGAATCGTAACAAGAACGGGCGCTTGAGGACGCTCACAAATGGTAGGTATTGTTGAGACATAGTCTGCATCCTGCCTCTTCCAATTGCTCTGGTGTGAGACCTTTCAGTGACGCCTGAGTCGCCACGGGCATGAAGATGGGAAGAGGAACAGGTCCATGCGGGAGGTGGAGTGTTGCGGCGCGGGCTTTCGTGACCTTGCACAGGTTAACGATGGCAGCACTCAGTTATATAATGTGCCTACTTACCGAACACTTGCCTAAGAGCTCTAAGCTCAAGGCGGAGGGCATTGGCACAGGCGCCATTATTGGTGTTGATGAGATTCTTGATCTCTGTTCATACTGGGACTTAGAGATGCTGTGGGGTTGGATTTTCGAGAATGGCCAACAGCGGTGCCTGGTTAGACTGTGGACCGTGCGTCTAGTGCCAGGTGGTCCCGTCTTCCAGAACTTCACTCTCTTGGCATTAACATATCCGAAAAGGGAATTCAGAATACAAGGAGTGCCGCAAATCGAGAGAGTTCGTTGTATATCAATGCTTTACAATAAGCGGCTAAGCTGTTGTCGACGGATATGCAGAGCAATACGTCAGTCGACCTTTCCTGCTTGTCACGCTGCTGGCTGTACTGGTCCCAGTCTGTGTTGACACCTTGTCCGGTGAGTGAATGGTTAACGCCGAATACGCATAATGCACGTAGTTAAGAGGCTATAGGAAATGGTCTTTTTCTTCCCCGCTCCTGGAAGAAGGTGTCATTCACCTTTGGACCTCTACCTTGCTATATCTCAAGCACAGAAACCTTCACCTACGGATTGCGCCAATCTCTGTAACGACTAGCCGGCCGCCTTCACAACCTGCTATACTGCTAGGTTCAAGTGACTGCCCTTTTAGGCAACAAGTCACCATTTCTCGTCAACCAAGCACATAGTGCCTTCCGCAGTATAAATGGATCTCCAACAGTACCTTGCATGTTCCCCTTCCGCTGACTTTTCACTCTTCGTTCTTCTCCATATCTTTCCGCATTGGTCGCTGTGGGATTTCCGGCATAGAATACGTACCCGTTGATCCCCCGTCCTGGCATTCCAGAAATGTTTCGTCGCGCTTTGCCTCCTTTCCCCCAATCTGCGCACAGGCACTACATGCCGCTGACGCTCATCGGCAGAGGAGGACACGGCCATGTGGTCCTCTGCCTTCCGAGGTCGGACACCCAGCTGCTTTCTGCGAACCCGAACCAAGCCGTTAGCGCCGGGCGGCGAAAGTTACGCAAGCGGGTTGTGGCTTTGAAGGTAATGGAAGAAGACCAGCAGAGCATCGAGCCAACTTGCGACCATTGGGCGTCAGATATACTGCGGCAGATGAGAAAGCTGGAGCAGGCAGTGCCGCCGGGAGTCGATTTTGCACCACTGAACACCTCCATCGGCACTGAGATCCTGGCGGCAAAGAAGATCCAGCAAGTAGGAAAGCAAACTGCGCACGTCCATCATAGACTCCCGATTATCACAGATGTGCATGTTGGGTGCGGGCCCTGGTGCTCCTGGTACAGTATGGAGTACGTCCCCGGTTGTAAACTCAGACAGCTGCTCTTGCATGACAAACCGCTGCCTGCTTGGCTCATAGCACATATATTCTTGGAAATTTTCCAGGGGCTGTGATGGATGCGGGAAGCAGGTCTAAGTCATGGCGACATTCATCCAAATAACGTAATGCTCTCACTCAATCCAAACAGCGACACCTTGAAGCTGGCGCTGATTGATTTTGGACGGAGTGCAGAATGGAGCTTGGAAAGAGGCCGTGAGGATTGCGTGCGAACAATTGCGCTAATTCGAGCACTGACAGAGGCGGGAAGAGAGACGCAGGTCGGCTTGGGGTTTGAAAGAGAGGACAGAGAGCCCGAGTTAGGCTATCTATGGGCGCGATGCAAAGGGGGTGCGAAACTGGAAAAGGACTGGACGGCGTGTGGGCGACCTGCGGTGGATTGGCAGAAACAATCCGGAGCACGAGAGACGGGTCTTTGTCTAGTGACCTTCGAAATGAGATTCAGCGGGGGAATAGAAGAAACTCAGAGTTGGAGACGTTGATGGAGAAAGGGGGTGAACGTGTTGAGTTGATCGATGAGATGTAGTGAGTGCAGGAACTATACCAAATAAGGCATATTGTTTTGCTTAGTCATCCCCGCCGCTCCATCTGAAATCTTCACGTCAAAAGTGTGACTTAGAAGTTCTAGGTCATCCCACTTTTTCGTCTTGAAGCAGCCGCCATCCGGAATGAAGAGTTACTGGAGGTCTCGATGCTTCCAAGCTCTGCAATGGAGAACTTCAGAACGGCGGGGCTTACCGTCTTGTCCGATTCATTCCCTATCACAGCCTCTCAAGTACAAGCAAATTGCAGAAACGGATGTCCGGCTGTAGAAGAATATACGACGTATCTTCTGTCTCAAATTCAAAATTGAACCACGTATGTTAGTGACAGGAAGCTGGTTATGAAGCAACTCAGGGATTAGATGGGAGAGGTCTACTGCGATTTTGCACGGCCAAATAAAGAACGCTCCGGAACCGAAGCCGCCAAAAGGAAGCGAATAAAAAGTCAATCGCAAGGTTCGTTATATTCTTACGCCCTAAAGCTGTTCAATTGGACATGGACAACAGCGATATGGAAAGAGTTCATGGAGGTGTCCAGTCGGATATGAAGAGACGGGGAGGCAGTAGGGAAAGGAGGACTGCTCCGTGGCACAGCAGAAATATCCCTGTTCAGCACAGTTCGCTCACGAACGAAGTCCGACGCAGAAAGTGTGATGCACCATAAGCATCACGATCCGGGGAGCGAACTGTTGCCCTAACGTCAATATTTGAGGAGATCATATGTATGACGGGATGCCGCCACTACCGACATGTCAGCTAGTGCAACCATGCCTCCATACGAAACTCCGAACACGTCAAGCGAGCATGGCGCTCACGAACAGCAGGCGGCTTTCAACCAGGCTCAGGGATAGCGGTAGAAGACCTGCACAATCTCAATCTCCCTTGGACTCCGACAATGGTAGTACTTACGTCTTGGTCCTCATGATCGGGTGTAGACCAAAGCTACCTGAAACTCCGTCTCATGTCATGCGAGGAACAAGGCCTGCAGTTGTCAATTCGGATACCTTGGGACTCCATCGCGGAGGCAGGGACGATCTAAAATTGATAATTCGCCAGAGGACGACGAGTCGGAAGAGCAATCCTGTAATCGGGGAGTTACTCTTTCTCAACTTCCTCGGTCCCAATTTCCCCACAACGAATCGGCATGAGTCGGCCGGGCGCAATCGCATCTTCGAACAAAGTAGCTGAACTCGTCCCTTGTTGTGGCACCGGATTGAGAAGATGACGTTACCCCACCCATTCAGCCATGTACAGGTACCACCTTCGGCGTCTCACCATAGTCGGACGCGCGGCCTTCTGTCGGACTATGATCATGGTAATCCACCTGTGCACTCCTCGGCCGCAAACTGCAATAGTATAGTTATGTCTATCGGCTTCTGGCTATGGCAATGGATCATTCGCTGTCCCACCACAACAACGACCGACCAGGGCCGAAGCACGAAACAACCAAAAGCATTTGCAGAGCATGCTCGTTTCACTGGCTACCCAATCATCAAAGCTCAGAGAGCATTCTTAGCCGTCCGATGTCCAATGCTTGCCCTCCTCTCTAGGCAATATCAAAATGAAGCTGAAGCAGGTTCAGCTCAGACGATGGGTTACTAGCTGGTCTCTTTTAATCTCTCCGAAGCTTGCTCATCGACTTACTCCCGTTCTGCGCCACTGTCTCCCCCCGTTGCTTGCCTGCTGTGGGAGCCGCAAGAAATCCTATTACAACATCTTGCGTATAGGAGGCTTTATAATGCCCATAACTCTAATCCATTGCTTGAGATTGACCTTGCAACCATGTGAGTTAGACTCTCGTTCTCGGTGGCGAGATGCAGCAATATATTAACCACTTCTGGCACGGCTGAGGAAATGGACTTCGTCGGATCCTACGGACCCAATACCCTGGCTTATTTGCAGGAGTTCCTGGTTCCAGGCACCAGAGAGATGCTGTGCGACCTTCGGGACATCCGCGTGCAGCTTTGATACATAGATATTCTTATCCGGCTAAATAAGCCTTTTGCGCACAGTTTGCGCGCGCCACGGACATCTCTCGCCTTATCGTATTTTACGAATCCGCTGTCCACTTTATCATATTCAGAAGTATGCATATCGAGATGTGACAGCACAACCTATGAAGCCACTGGGCTTCTATACTCGTCTTCTGTAGTATTCGTGTTACAGAACCCTTGCGGATTTCCACCGGCAATCGCCAACGACATATTATTTAACAGCCTGCCGCGAGACTTGGCGTCGTCGTTACACTAAGGCTTGAGGCTGATATTCCAATATGTCTCCGGCACGCTAAAAGCGGTTGAATTACAAAGGCGGTCGATCTACCGTGTCGACATTCTCGAACGTCGTCCAAAGAAGGTCTAAGAATAGTTCCGAGCCCAAGACGACATCGCCGATCACCCTTAGTATATTATTCCGCATGGCGGGATTTACAGGGGAAATCCTTCAAGCAGGGACTTGTCGATCATCTGCTCGAGTGGCAAGGTCTGTCGTCAGTATGGTACAAGTCTCATTGGGTGCGCTCCTGGACTTAGAGTTAAGCATAGACAAAACCTCCAAGTTTTTCTTTCACAGTTTAACTGTAGTACAAGCTCCTGATACCATATCACCAAATAGCTCGAGCCGAACCCGAGTACATCCTGCCGCTTCCTCGGGTCAGTTCTCATTCATTGCAGCGGATATAGCTGTGACACTTACCGGAAACAGAACCGAAGTATGTATCTGCAATATACACCGCGTATTCGAGTACCTGTGCTACGATGAGCCACCATCCGTGTTCCTGAACTTTTGAAAGTCCAACCCTGCAGGGCGTAGACCACTTTGGCACAGCGACCAATCATTGCAATTCCAAAGGCCTTCCAGTCGGTCAGCTCTTATCGTGCCACAGGCACAGGATTTCTCTAGGCGGTTGCCAGCCTCAAGCGATCGGAATCGCGGGCAGACATCAGTCGATGAACATGTACTCCGGCGCCACTACAAAGAATATGTACTTCTCGCAGCATCGTATTAATTTATTATTCTGGAGCTGGGCTTCTTGGGCCGTCTCTACTGCAGCAACAGAGGCTACTTGCGATGGTAAGCCGAAAATCTGGACTCGCAGCGGTGCCGTAGGCATACTCTCGTCCATGCAATGACAAGTATAAATCTTTAGGATTCTCGCCTTTTCAGCTCCATCACTCTTTCTACTTCATTCTTGCCTAAGGGCACATTGTCTTTATTACAGTCGTATTCGTCATTTCGGGCATTACATCATGAAGCTGTCCAGTCTTTCCCTTGGATATGCCCTCGTTGGGCTCGTTCCATCCGCCTTGGCCTATCCAGGCATGGGCGACACCATGGACGAGATGCGCCACATGAGCAAACAAGCCCGTCAAGAGTCCAAGCAACTCATCGGGGATCTAAAGACCCTCAAGGACTCCCAACTCACCACCATTGGCAAAGACATCAAAGCCATCCTCCTCGCCCAGGCGTCCGCCGAATCCTCCACCATCGACAGCTCCATACCTGCAGGGACAGTCGACAGTGCCGCATGCAAAGCCGACCTGTGCTGTGTCTGGAAATGGATAGCATACGAGATGACTGCCAAATTCAACGGCACATCGGGCCGCTGCACCAAGTTCGCTCGCGCCGCTGTACGCCTTGGTTTCCACGATGCCGGCGTCTGGAGCACATCGAGTAGCTACGGCGGAGCAGACGGGAGTATCCTTCTCACGAATGAGATTGACCGCTCGGAGAATGACGGCCTCGAGACTATCGCCGAGCAGACCAAGTCGTGGTATAACAAGTACAGCAAGTACGGAGTCAGCATGGCGGACCTGATCCAGTTCGGTGCGAACGTCGCCACCGTCGTGTGTCCCCTTGGTCCCAGGATCCGCACCTTTGTCGGCCGCAAAGACAATGCGAAGGCGGGGCCTACCGGTCTCCTCCCCGATGTCAATGACTCCGCCGACAAGATCATCAAGCTGTTCCAGGCTAAGACCATCGATCCGCACGACCTGGTTGCATTGGTTGGCGCGCACACAACCTCCCAGCAACATTTCGTTAATACGGCGCGTGATGGTGACCCACAGGACAGCACTCCTGGGGTGTGGGATGTGGCCTTTTATGGAGAAACACTGTCGACCTCGTCGCCGAAGAGGGTGTTCAAGTTCGCGAGTGATATAAAACTGTCGCAAGACTCAAGGGCAAAGAGCGAATGGGAGGCTTTTGTCAATGGACAGGGTCATTGGAATGCTGTTAGTTTCCATATACTCCCCCTCTGAAGAGTCTGAGCTGATAATCGAACCTAGGACTATGCGCAAGCGTATACGCGTCTCTCACTCCTTGGAGTGAATAATATCAATGACCTCAAGGAATGTACAAAGGTGCTTCCTCCTGCGAGGAGGACCTTCAAGAACGAGGACCAAGTCATCCTTGACAGATGGTTGAATGGCGAGTTCAACCAACTGAATAATATGGTGGATGATGCGATTATGCTGAGTGGTGTGATCACTACGCCGCCCTGAAGGACTAGATCTTCTTTTCGATTCATGTGGCGCTTGTTGAAGATGGTATAGTATTTGTTGGGAAAGGAAAAGGGGTCATTTGAATTTACAACACATCAATATATCGTGCTCGTCAACATGCGAGATATATAATCTGATTATCCTGAGTTGTCGTACCTAAAGATCAGCAATAAGCGGTAGTTAAGACCTTTCATGATTTTTTATGCTTGAAATTGTAGACCGCATACCAAGGCGTAGGGGGACCATAGACCTTAGGACTTTTATGGTTTAAGCGTCTTCCCTATCCGACCCCATCGTCTTATGTGGAGGCATCCAACGAGAACTTTTCTTATTGGCATAGTCCTTGGTTCGATTGCAAAGGAGGTACTGTAAAGTTCCCGATACAAGTCCGGCCGAGGTGCTGCTGGCCGTCCTCCTCGAGTTGCTTTTGCTTCTGCTGGCGTGGCCGGAGTGCCACATTCAGACGTGCTGCGGCTTTTACGTCTATCCAAACACCGAGCTGCAATTCCTCTGTAGGTGGAATTACTTACCCAGTGCAAGCGAATTGACTACACCTTAATAAACTCAATAATTCTACAGGCGGAGTTTCGTTTTAGAACTTACTACCGTATACGTATATAGAGGTGCGCTACGAAGCTAATTGCAAGACTTACCATATTGTTGCGCGTGCTAGCTGTTTAATTGGATGTGGAAAACAGAAGTATAGAGGAAGTGGAGGGGGTGTTCAGTTGCATGTGGAAAGGAGCAGTGCACCTGTAAACTTGATCTCACGCAGCCAGTCGCTGAAAGTCCAGTCCCGTTGTGGAGAATCACGAAGGAAAAATAAAAATGAGGGCTCCTCGGTGATCCCCTTGGCCAGCAGATCTATGGCGTGTCTGGAGACGCAGCGGTTGGTGCGAGCATCATACCCCAGGACAGCTACGATGCGCAATGCTGTTCCTGCTCCAAGGCGGCTCCCGGGGGGCAATTCCAGATCCCCCCGAAATGCAATAAAAAGCCGTTCGGCGTAAGTCTCTCCTTGGGTAATGTAGCAGTCCTAGTTGTGGTCCACGTACAACGCCTCTGGATCGATCTCGTCTGGTTTCTCGAGAACGCTCCGCTCTTTCAAATTATGGTACCATTTCTGGGAAGGAGACGTGTGATGGGAATACAGAGCGCACAGCGGGACACACCCAGAAAGCAAGGTTGGGTGCCGCTCGGTGTACGCTTGTCCTTCGGTGATGTAGCGCTCCAATGAAGGGGAAGGGAGGGCCTAAAGGGGGATGGGGAGCCACGATGCCGGAGGCTTCAACTCGGTGGGTTGTAGCCATTGATAAAGCCTTCGGAACGAAGCCATTGCCGGAACAACTCGAGAATCAATGTCTTATGGACGGGTACTGATTAGCATTGATCGGAGCATGCGCGACGAGCTTCAGACGTGTGCGACCATGCGAACAGTCTAGAAAAAAGCCTCTCCAGTAGGCTTCAACAGGGGCCCCTCGAAGAAGGATTTCTCGACAACGAAGCATGCAGGGAATGTTGAAAGCCTGTTTATTTGACGTCGCAGATGCAGCTTCCTTCGGATAGACAATGATCTGGCTACCTCGAGCTCCAATCAGAGAGTCGGCCTCACAGGTTTCGCAATCGCCCTCGTGCGCTGAGATGCTCTCAACATTGCCGATACCATCACAATCATCGTGGTATCTCGGAGGTATTGTCCTTCGCACATCTGCGGTCTCTCAGGTGGAGTCGTGAGCGGATAGGGAAGGGGAGCAAGCCACTGGGGGATGATGTGCCAAGCCTGAGTCGTCCCCTGTGCCTTCACTCGCAGCTTCCCCCGCTTCTGACCGACCACACACACACACAACTCCTCGACAGACGACATTCATACGAACACCACAACGGCCAGCTTGTCGACAAAGCAGCGAATTGGGCTGTACGCACCAGATCGATCGTCATTGCTCCGTTCTGTCTCGAGGCGAGCGGACGCGCTACTCGAAGCTCAACACCATGAGACCTTTGAAGGAGATGGCCGTCCTGAGAAGAACACTCGACACCGCCCTCGAAAAACGGCGACTCGGTCTCTCAGCTAGCTAGCGCCATGCGGTCGGTCTTACGATCTCACATGCCACATGCTTTCTAGCACCGGAGGAAGATCTTGAGAGGTCCTGCGATCGCCTGTCGAGATTTGTGTAGCTCACGGCGAAACAACATGATCCTGCCTGGATGGAGGACCACGAGAATCGGGGAGAGCGAGCGCCTGCCCAGAACGCTAAGTAGCTTTCAAGTCAAAGAGAAGCTCCTCCAGTTCTTCACAGCTCCAGGTAAGCCATCGTCGTCCATCCTCATGGGTAAACCTTCGCTGAAGCTGTCATGGCTGACTCAGGCACTGCAGCGGCATTGATCGATCGGACTCATACGGCGGGACACGACGCATCTTCTGCAAGCCTGTGTCCGGAATGAATGCTACCGCTCCCGACACCGCCGGCTGGACTCGATTCGACCCTCTCTTCGTACCCAAAAGTTGTTGCCAAGACCAGATTCGGGACGAAAGCTATTACAGCCCCAACCCCTCAGGAGCTATGACATACGGCTGGATATTGGATATAGGATGTAGCCGTCCAGAGGCTATACCTCTCCAAGGCAGGCTGAGGGTGTTGATAAATCCTCGAATCTTTGACAGCGGGGGCCGGGTATGACTAAGGGCAAGAGCCTGGTCCCACGAAATGCTAGCGTTTCGGATATCTTCCAGACTTGCAGAAAGAGTCGGGTATGCCACCGTTTTCCTGGACTGTATTTACTTTTTCCTTTTGTCTTCTTCTGGTCTTTTCTTACCGTCTTTCCAAGTCCGCTTCCTGATTCGCTTGGGTCATCTTTGTTTCATTTCTTCCCAATTTCCTCCTTCACGGCTTTCCCCGCATCTTTTCTGATCTTCGCGCAAAGGTTATCGTCATTTCCTATTTACCATTTCAAGGCGATCCACGTCGAATCGCCTTTCTATCTCTCTGAGCCATCTAGGAACCTGGATGCCGGTTAGAGCTGGTTTGAGATCCCAACTAGCCTCCCTCCAAAGATCTCAAAATGCCGGACAAGGCGTATCGTGGGCTTTTGAACAGTTCATTCGGCTACTGCCGTCGCTATACTTCCCAAGGATATCTGATTCCGCCTCTTACCAAGATACTCCATCCGGATCTCCAACCAGGACCTCAAAGCCGACAATGATCATTACCATCTCGAGGAGACCTGAGCGAACTCATACCTATATATATATATATATATATATATATATATGTTAGCCGACTTCCGCCAAAGGAGTACATAAACCGCAGGCCGTTCCCCAAGGCGGATGTCAGATTAGATGCAAGTGTTACGTCTGCACTGGAACCGACAAGCAAGCCGGAGACCAGCTGTGGTTTCCTTGCGAGGGCAAGCTCTCTTGCCACATCATCACGCAACGCCGAAGGGATCCAGGGGGGAGTAGAAAGACATACCTCAGAACCTTTCATCAACACCTTCATTGGCATCGCCCGGCAGTTCCGCTCCTCTCTCGGCCTCACTGGCTCTCCGACTTCTCTGGATTCCTAATGTCAGCGTGTGCTCGCGATGAAAACCGGCAGATTGGTTCCAACGCTGGAATGCGGCAATTCATGGAGAGAGTATACGCACCTCGGCGGCGTCTGCCTTCGCAAGCTCCCGCTGCACAACCTTGACCCTGTCCCTTGCCAGGTCGACGCACCTCTGGAGATGCTGCTCGAGAGTTGCTTCACTCAGCGAGCTCACTTGCCTCCACCAATCCGCTCCGTTTGCGAACCCTTGGATCCACTCGCTGTACGCGAGACGAAATGCTCCTGAATATCTGCCCCATTTACTTATCAACCCATGTGTGATACCTGTGGGCGGCCCCACCCACCACCGAGGCCCTGTTCGCTCGTTGGGCTTGGCGACAAAGTCCTTTTTGTACTTTTCCCAGGCGTACACACGCGCGGAACTGTGTCCGTATTGTGCTCCTGTGAGGTCGAGGATGAAGATCTTCCCTGTTCCCAGGGTGATTCGAATCACGGAATGGACGATGTTCTGGAAGGGGCGATTGCGCTCATGGATGATGGCGAAATTCGGCCGTGGGTAGACGGTCAGCCACTCTACATTTGCGGAGGAGTCGACTATACTTGTCAATGCTGGATCTCCACCTTGCTGCGTCGGTTACTCACGAGAGGTCACGACTCTGAACACCAATACGAGCAGGCAAAAGGTGGCCTTCTCACAGCGGAGCCCGTCCTTCAGGCCACGCCGTACCGCTTTGGGTAGGGGCTCGGCGTGCTGCTGCTCCTCGCTCTGCCGTGGGCCTGCCACGAGGTAGACAGGATGGTCGTAGGCCTGTAGCGGGTTGCCGTAATCCTCCTCCTCGCGGGCTGCACACAGAGCTTCTTCACGCTCTCTCTCCGTGACCATGGTCGTTTGCCATACAAAGTCCTCGTCGAGTCTTTCAGCGGTGATGGGGTCGTCCTCGTCTCTCACGAGACGCCACAGCAGCCGGGCCAGCTTGCCAACGGCTTGCAAAGTGCTTTCAGGGATTGGAGCGCTCATGGTTGCTGGCGTCGAAGTGCTGTTTGGGTGCTTGATTCGGTGGTGATGCGAGCGGCTTCAGTGGTGTTTGTGGGAGGGAGGAAGTCCCGCCAAGAGATTGCCATTATACCCCGGCGCTGCAACCACCACCACGGAGCGCTATGCAACGGGGATGGGTCTTCTGCTGCCAATTGATGGCAATAACAGGCCCAGAGACGATTTGCCGTTCAGTATCCTCGTGAAGAGAAGGTGTCATAGCCAGGGCGCTCAAACGCGGCGCTTCGCATTAGCAGCACGCATCAGTTTCCACCCTAAGACAGTGGTGCGAAGAATGCAGCAGAAACTTCTAACGGGTTGGGGATGAGGAGGAAGAGGCAATCTCACCTGATTGATTTGTCTACACGAGGGAGTTGCTCTGCAAGTCCCATGGGGCATCATCCGAGGGTACAACTTCTGTCTCGATCCTAGGCCCTGCACCATCATTGCGGATATCTACCCCTCCGGCTGTGCTGTCCAAAAAGCCTGTGAGCCTGGGAGCGCTCATGCTACCCTTATGAATTCCTAGCGTAGTGCACCTTCCAGCCACTCTACGTTGCAATCATGCGGAGTGCGCGTGTCTATAACAATATCTGCCACATTAGCAGTCGACCCGTGCATTTCAGGCTTCACCAACTGCGTTTCCCGCGATATGGTCATCCTCTTCAGTCGCTTTCGCTTTGGTCTAGAAGTATCAGGGATCATTGGGCATCCAACAGTGCTGATCCCCGTTGAGAGCGCATGTTTGACACTTCCCGGCGGGTAGCTGGAAGAACATCATCATTATTCCCACCCCATCTGCTTTTTGGGGGCTTTCCCAATATACCGAGCCTCCTATTTTGAAGAAGGGGAGCGGCACCCTTGATGAGCGGTTTGGGGGCGGTGGAGCGGCAAGGGGTATGCGGACGGTCGATGGCTTTCATAAACGCTGCGGATGTAAGCCTTGATCATGTCTCATATTGAACCTTTCCATGCATCATCTTGTCTTGAACAACGCTGGCTGATTGTTTGCTCTGGAAGATAGCAAAGTGGTGGAGCAAACACCGGCCATCTATCCCCACCACCGTCAGATCCAGCCGAAGAGCAGCTGTTTTCCTTCGCAAAGCTTGGCTGCAGCCGGATCATGTGTCTTTGACACGTTTCTACGTGTTGGACGGCTCCTAGTGCAGGGGGGACCGCAAACCAGCTGGGCGAATACAGGCGGCTTGTTCAACATGTAGATTTGGCCATCAAAGTTGGGCTCGTGGGGCTTGGTTGGTTATACGAGGCGTGGGAGAGGTGAATTTGATATGCAAGCTGCCTTAGTTGCATTTCGGTGTCGTGATCCAGGTCTTGGGAGGATGGTAGAGGCGGAGCCGGGGCTTCATCCTGCCCGTGTACTTCTTGTATCAAACAGCCGTGCATCCTCAAGGGGCTTGTGGTCGAAGTAGCGTGGTAACGGGGTGTGATGGTGTGCGGCGGCGTGGGACGGAGTCGGCACTATGAGTGTTAGCGTGTTGAAGTCAAAGCCCTGTGCTGTGAACGGAAAGAGATATGATTGGGAATCAAGGGCTTAAAAGAGATATTTGAGGAACGCATGGGCGCGGAGTGGTGGTGTAGTCATGATGAGGGAGAAAGAAAGGCCGTGGTTCTTGCTGTGGAATCTGGTCACGTGAGAGATGTAGAAGCAGAAGTGTTGGATGACAAGATTGATTTTCTCTCCCTACAGGCGTGGCTGGGACGGAAAATAAAAGCAGAACATGTGGCTCCCTGGCAGCACCTCAAATCCTCGACGCTAAAAAGGCGAACACATCGGTATGGGCGATGTTCTCAATCCCCTCTTTCAGTTCGGCCAACACATCGCCTCCACCCCACGAATCCCAGTCATAGTCCAGGAGCAATTTGTGGATGTGTTTCCAGTACTCCACCTCCTCCAAATAAAGGTGGCCGATCCGCTCGAGATCCTTGTCGAATACGATCTTCCTCTTTGCCGGCTCCAATGGGCCATATTCCGTGGGGATGGACAGCTTTTCAGGAGGCCTCTTATTTTGCTTGCTCAGCTTGACATACGAGCCGCAGTACTCTGCTATGGGGAGCAGCCAATCCTCCTTCGACCATCCAAATTGTTCCAGCGTCAGATCGAGAACGTAAATCATGCCGTCCTCCTTGTTTGTGATCGTGATGACGGTGTGCTGGGGTTTGTGTCCGTCAAACCGAAACCGAGTCTTTGCCCGGAAGTTCATGTTCCCGAACTCAAACCTGGATCCGTCGAGAGTCCTTCTTAGGACCTCGGTCAGCATGAAGCCAGTTATACTGCAGCGGTTCCACACCATCAGCGCTTCCACGAGGTATTCCGGTGTGTCGGCGGGGAGGCGGGAATTGCTCCACGGATAGTAATCGTTCAAATCGCGATGCAACACGTAATACTGGATATCTTCCGACGGGCCGGTCGTGGGAATGATGGTCAGTCTCGGTGCCGGTTGCATTTTCGTGATGTATCGCCATAGGGCACGAATCTGCTCGAGCTTGTCCTTGATCTCCATTATGGCGGGAGAAAAGACACATGGTCCTGTGGTATTTCGGGGAGTCATTGCCCTTGAAATGATCGAGGAGATAAATGTCGGTATGTCGGTTTTCAAAGGGGAGGGTGTGGGCGTGGAGGTTGGGAGACGTTGCAGATGGCGAGCCCAAATGAGGCCTCTGTCAACTCCCCTTTCACCGTCACTCCGGAGTCCCTTCGACATCAACGGCTCAACCAATCAGCAATCTGCTGGAAGATAAGGTCTCCATTACTATCTTCGCTTCATTCTCTCAGCTATTATCGTACATCGACATCTCCGTTCTACCCTCCCCTCCCTCCAGTCATACATTCGCTCAACCCTTCGAATCCTCCTCCTCCTCTACCTGTTCCGGGGCCTTGTGGCAACTCAATGCCCGAAACTTCGTCTCCTCAATCTCCTTGAAGAGTTGTTCCTTGGCTTCTCTCTGTTTTTGCAGATTCAGCCCCGCATAGTCGTATATGATCGACTTGATGCCCTGCCAGAATGTGGTATCAGGGCCTTCGCCCCGGGATCGCATCCGCTCTTGCCATTCTCGCAGATGCGTCTCCGTGCGGATCGTATGTCTCCCCGCAATATACTTCGCCCTGTAGTTCTTGAACGGCAAGAGCCACTCGTCTTCCTGGTTCCACCCCAGCTGCAGCTGCGTCGGGTCGAAGACGAAGTGGTTGCCGTCCTTGTCGGTGATGAGGAGGACGCTGTGGATGTAGAGGTGGTCCATCTCTCGATTGGCCCACATGAAGCCCACGTTCAAGCGTGGGTCGAGATCCATCATCTTTACCGTCCTTCCCGTCCCTGCGGCGGCGAAGGCGCGGTCGAGGGCGGGAAGCAGGACTGCTTGAGATGTGATGCACATGCACCACATGCTGGCCGCCTTCGTGACATGGTCGGGCAGCTGGTCGAGGAGGGGAAACCCGCCATCCTCCCATGGTGTAAACTGAAGTGGGAGCCGCTCTTGGAGGACATATACCTCAATGTTGCGGTAATGGTCGTGGCAGTCGGCTCCCGTGGTTACCTCGTAGCTGCCGACTTGTACCCGGGGATGATGCTTTACGGCATACCTGAAGGCGTTGTAGAGAGGGAAGAGCTGCACTTTGAGCTCGAGGTATGATATATGCTTCTCCAGCTGCTCCTCGGTGACGGCGAACTCTCTAAGCCCAGCAACTATCATGTCCTCTATGTTACCGTTGAGCTCATAGAGCTGCAACTCGAGCCGATCTGCGCGATCGTTGAGGGTAGTGGGAAGAGCCATTGTAGCGGGAGGTGGAGTTGTGAGGATTGAGGCAGAGAGGAGGAGGGATGGAGTGGTTCGGAGTGGGCGGCTGGTAGGTCAGGCAGCGACAAACGGGAATGAGGTCGATCGTATGGGATGTCAACTGCTGTTTGCAAGGAGGTAGAGGGCGTGTAGGGTCGGTGACTGACTTCCACGCAATGGGGAGCATTGTCGCTGGACCCTTTACCTACGGTCACGTGCAACATTGGAGCAGAAACGGAGAACGATCAGAAAAGAGCTTCACCTGTTGCTATTGCATGGGAAGCATACAGGACGCACGGCATTATTGCTCGGAACCCCTCTATCATACACGAATATCTCTGCCTTCAGGAGCCGCCATCCATCACTCAGTCTCCGTGTTTCAAATGATTCGGATCCAAACTGCCTTCCCAAGCCGTCCTCACCCTCTCAGCCATCATCAGCGCTAGTTAGGCTCGTCGTACCAACTTCTCTGGCGCATCGACGTCTCCGATATCTGCTCAATCCTCCTCAGCACAAGGGGATGTTCCCTCTCCCTCTCCTCCTCGCTCATTGCGGCGAACTCACGCATCAACCGGCGTACGTCTCTTGTGAAGATATGGTGAGGGTCACTGCCTACATGTTCAGTTACCCGCTTGGAAGCCGTAGCTTTGTCAACGGGGCGAGATCCCTGCGTGTACTCCTCCACGTATCTATCCTCCTCCATCAGCCAGTCCTCAGTGCTTGCCCACCCCAACTGCTCCAAGGTTAGATCAAAAATGAACCTGAAGCCGTTCTCATCCACGAGCCGCAATACGCTATGCCAGCATAGATGACTGTCTCCCTCCCACCTGAACCCAACCGCGAGACGAGGATCGAAGTCCGCCAGTTCGCATCGAACCCCGGAACCCTTGAACTCCTCCTCCAGCGGGGAGAAGAGCATGTATTGAGCTGCGACGCAGCTATTCCACTTTATGGCGGCTTGGCGGAGGTCGTACGACATGTACGCTGGAAGGCCGCTGCTCACCCAGGGCTGCCAGTCGGTCGGAGACGCCTCTATCAACTCGAATATGGCGTAAGGGTATCGCTTGGAGTCAATGCGTTTGCATCTGGCTATGGCGTGCCGGGGGACCCATTCGGCCGACTTGTCGAAGAGTTCGCGATACGGCCATAACCGTTTCTTGAGGCGCAGTAGAGCCAGACGCTGCCGCAGTGCGGCGAGCTTGTCAACCTGGGCTGTCTCCATCTTCTTCAGGGAACGGTCGAGAAGGCGGGCTGTTGGCGGCGGGGCGTGAGGGCGAAAGCGGACTGCAAGTGGTGATGGGGAAAGTGGTTCAAGAGCAGGTTGTGTGGGCCAAATTCATGCACCAAATGAGACGAAGACGAAGAAGCGGATTTGAGTGCAATAGACGTGTGTGTGCATGGAGGTTGGGGGACCGTTTGATCATGGGCATCCGCTTTCACCGATGTACCCCGTACCTCAACACCAAGCCAACCTCTCCGGTCTCGCTCCCTGCTGCTCTTCGATGTGGATGCATTAGATGAGACAAATTTCGGATATCGAGACCGCTCCCTGCGGATCGAGCGTGGTTATGGCCACTTTTACACAAACTTTGCATTCTAGAGGGGCGCTACAGTCCACGACAAAGCGTCGAGACAAGACAGAAGGAAAACCCACCTTACCCGCCCGCTCTCCTCCATATCGCCATCATTCAGGCTGCTGCGCTTCTTGGTAATTTCCTAAACAACCGGCCCAGTTCTTCGACAACGGCAAGCCTCTCGTTGGCGCCAAACTGGCGCTAAGACCACACAGTCGTGTCGCTGGAAGTAATACTACTTTGTGCTATTAATCACGGTGCCATCTGCTTTCTTCTTCAAGCGCACCATTACTGATCTTTTCGGACAGAGAGCCTTTTATTTCCCTCGTGTTCAAACGAACCATTCGATACCACCCTATCCGAGATACTCAACCGTGAAGTCCACGATATACACGTCTCTCATACTTCGCGCATGCCATAACAAGGAACGACTCACGTGAGGACCGGTAGCTTTCTATAAAACAGGGCCTGGTGCTTCTGTGCATGTCTAAAGGACTACCACGAGGCCAACCAATGCATTCCCGGGAACCAGTAGCATAAACCGCATGCTCGCCCTGAGAAGATGCGTTCCCGTATCGCCGTCAGGAGCTCAGCAGCTTTGCTAATGTCAACGCATACATCCCTACGGAGAACGACCGAGAATGATCCGGCTGCCATCCAACTTCAGCAGTTTTCCTGTATCCTCCAGTCCGAACCGTTGCCTACCTCAGCGATATGTCCTCTGGGTCGGCACTCCGCTGCGTGACTGAAGATTTGCCAGAAGGGTTAGAGCTGCACCTTGAGCACCTGCGCAGTTGTCATGAGTGGTGGAACGTTCAGTCATATTCGGGTAGAGAAGAGCTTAAGGTTTGTAGCGATGACGGCGGTACGATGGCGGTTCTGATGGTGCCCAGTAAAGATGACGATGGTGATGTCGTTGCTCACGGCGATCCCGTCGAGAAAACCGCCGAGCACGTGACTCATCCGTGACGCTACTCCACGCGGATGCTCGGACACTACCAAGTCCAAAACACTTATAAGCATCACTTCCAGGTCTCAGAGGCTTCCTCTTCATCTCCACTGCCGCATATCGTCTGGAATAACAAGACCACCACTCCGCCCGGCCGTTATAAAGTCACTGAATTCACTACCCTCCTCAGAATGCGTCGGCCCAGCCCCTCAGGCATCGCTACAGCCATGGCTGGGGCCTCCGGTATGGGCGAGAAACTGAGGTTTCTACGGAACCTCTGGAAAACAATCACAAGATCAAGCCTCCGTCCGGTCTCCAAGAAGGCACCGATTTCACTCGCCTCCCTGGATTCCCTCGCGCCAGTCCGTCATGACATCACTGCAGCCGTGGCTGAAGCCGGCCGGTCGTATCCGCGAGAAACTGAGATTCCTACCATCCCTCTGGGAGACATATTGCCGGTACGACCCGCGTCCCACGGCGTGCCGCATCGAACCCGTCTGTCCTGACTCCATACCTCTGCATGCGATGTACCGGAGTAAAGCTTTCGACGCTACCGAATTCTATATCGTCCGCACATCTGGCCCTGCCCAGGGACCAGCCAGTCCCGAAATCGCTCGTGCTCTCGAGGGATGGCAATATCATAATACCTGCCGCTGTGCCGCCTTTGTCGCATCCCACGTTCTGTGCCAGATGCTTAGAGGAGACCCTGACATAGAGAAGCTGAGGTGGCATTCCTTCGCCGTCAGAAAGCCGTTTGTCCTTTTCCCGGATATTTTCTTGGAGAAAGAATTCGAGCCTCTCACTTTCCTCAATCACGAAGTGATTGTGCTGTACGGTCAAAAGGGCGCGTACGTAATGGACCTCTCCGGGAAGCAATTTGGCTTGCCGGATTTGTTCTTCACTCTGGAGGAATACGCTCAATATACGATCGTTGACGCGCCCAGCTGCACACGGTCCCCCTCCCGCGAATTGGAAAAACAGGGGATTCCTCTGGATTTCCGCTTCAAGGAGCCCGCTTCCATCGACACGTATGAGTTGGCTTGGCTGATGCAGTTTGCCCTGGATGCTTGCATACATGGTCATCGCATTGTTCGGACGGAAAGCAAAACAGCGCAATGCGGGCTCCTTGATTTACCACCCTCCGAACGGAAATTGGCACACTCGCAGGTTACGGGATTATTTGAACTTGGCATGCGGAAGCTGAAATCGTCCGAAACGTTTGGAGAAGATTTGGAAGATTACAGGAAGTGGGGAAGAACGTTCTGGCCTGATATATTGAATCAGAAGGTAGCATCACGTGCTGATGAGTTGAAAGAGCACGGCAGTGGAATTGTCTGCTGAAGAGGAGGTAAACAGGCAGGATCGTTTGCTGAGAAAAGCGAAACAGGGGGCAGATTCATAAGCTACTGGGAGACCTTCTGGGGTGTTGAGCAATCCCGTGCTCCGTCTCCCTCTTCGCCCCGGCTGTACCCTCCCCTGGATCGTTGAGCCCTTTCCGCTCCTGCGGGTTCCCAACCCGGGGACTAGAGCTTATGACCCCAAGTTCAAAGCAGGATAATGCGCTATATGTAAGGAGCTTTTGGCAGTTTGGCGACAAGCCATCCCTCACCTACATGCATCTCAATGACTGCCATAGTCGTCAAGCATGAGCCGGCACGGCATAGTGTTGTACGACGTTAAGGGCGGTAGTAAAAGCTTCGGCAACCGTCCTCACCTCATCAAAAACAGGCGAGAGTTGTTCAGGGGTCTTCTATACAATATGGAAAGCCCACAGTATCAACCTTCCATGCGGATACTTGCCCTTGGTCACTGTTCGACTTATCTTGCACATGTTTGCTGTAATGTGTCTAGTAGATGTCTGGGACATATATGATATCCATCTGTGTGCGGAAACGGGGAGAAGACGACGTTGGGGTAATTAAGGTATTACTATGCTCCTGGAGTCGCTGCTTCAAGGGTAGGAGAGTCGTAACCTGGTTCAGACACGAGGATGTGTGAAAGGATTTGCGGGTTTAACAGACGGTTTGAGAGAGGTATAGATGAAAATAGAACGATGATTCTCGATTCTGTTGAGTAAATAACCGCATGTCTTGTGCTGCGCATGTGTTGCACGTTTGGCTCAGTAGCAGTCCGAGGACAAAGATCGTACACTGGGAATTAAGTCTATCTCAACGGCATGCATATCATGAACACAACATAGTCGTTAACAAAGAAACCTTGCAAGGCAATGAAGCAAAGCAAAAGAAGTTTGGGGTATCTACCTATGTATCAGTACATAGTTCCGACCACTGTCTACAACAAAACCGCAAATCCTGTCTAACAACCCAATGGAGACGACGACAATAGAAGCACAAAAGCCCTATGGAAATGGGCAGCAATCATACATAAAAACAGAACAGAACATCCAGCAACAAGTCTCACTCCCATCCTCCGCCTCACCCCTACTGCGTCCCCGTCCCCACCCTCTTCTTCCCCTTCCCCTTCTTCGACCTCCCCTTTCTCGGGTCTTCCTGCTCGCTCGCGCCCTCACTATCCTCGTCATCGGTTACAAACCCAACCGCCTTCCCCATAGCGCGCGTCGCTTGGCGCGCACGTTCATGTGTCACGGTCCGCGACGATCGACTGCTACTACTCTCCGCCTTTGCAGCGGCGCGCTCAATGACCTCCTCACCCCGACGACGCAGCGAGTGACCGTGATGATGGCGGTGACGGTGGTCATCCGATGATGGTTGGCGTGTATGCGACATGCGACCCGTCGGCTCCTGGGGCAGGGCGTCACGCATGTCGCGGGCGTCCCAGGGGTCTAGTGGTAGTGGTGCTGCTCCCGGTTGGGCGAAGGGATTGGTGGTGTCTTGGCTGGTGTTGGAGAGGCGTGGGTTGGTGACTGCGAAGGGGTTCTCCTTGTCGTAGGAGGAGTGGCGGGCTGATGGGGGTCGGGAGAAGGACCGTGGTGCGACGGTGGGAGAGAGGAGTGGTGGCGGGAGGGAAGTGTTGCTGATAGACGCTGGCGTGACAATAGGCACAGGGGGTGACGGCTGTATGACGGATACTCTGTGCTGGCTCTGGCTGTTGCGGCGGTCGAGCGCTCCCGGGGGTAGAGTCGGGACGCCAGAGACACTGCCCCGTCGTGCGGTCACGGAGTTCCGGCGGGCCATGGGAGCGGCGTTATTCGCCATTGGAAGACGGTTGCCTCCTCGAGGGTCCCAGTAGTGAGACTGCTGTTGCTGCTCTAGGAGCGCTGCAGCTTGCTCCTCGCGCCTACGTCGTTCGTCTGCTTCCCGCTCCAGGGCGATTTGATTCTGCTCTTCGGCGAGCAGTCGCCTCTGCTCCAATACCTCGTGCTGGGACATGGATCGCCGGCGGCCTCTCTTCGTGGGATCTCTAGTCGGTGGGCGGGAGTCCCGTTCCTTACGACGGAGCTTGGATTCTGCGTTGCGGACTTCGCGTTCTTTACGGGCGATCTCGTCTTGCAGGCGTTCGGCTTCCTTCCTCGCTAGCCTTGCTGCTCGCTCTTGTGCCTCTTTGGCTGCGCGCTCTGCCTCCTGGGCAGCTCTGTCATCTTGCTGTTGCTGTTTCATGCGGCGTATTCTCTCACGCTCGTCCGCTCGATCTTTTTCATGTTCGGCGAACTTCTTCTCCGCACGTTCACGAGCACGAGCCTCTGCCCGGCCGCGCTCGATTTCAGCTTGTCGTCTGTCCTCCTCAGCTCTTCGTCGCTCCTCGTCCTGCATCATTTGTGCCATCTTGAGATCCGCCTGCTCTTGGTGACGCTTGTCGGCCTCGGCTCGCTCCCTGCGCTGCTGAGCCCGGAATTCATCCCGATCGGTGATCTCGGGAGCCGCAGCTCGGCTGGAGCTGGCCTGTGACGAGCTCGCGAAACCTTGAATGTGAGAATAGTCGAGAGGGAAAGTGCCCTCAGACCCGAAGCTCTCTTTGGAGTCCCTGGGTACAGCAATGGTGGTGCGGTACGGACTACTTGGAGGTTGAGAAGCTTGGGGCGATGCTGGAGCAGGTGGGGGATTGTGGACGATTGTCGGAGGATAGCGAGCTACCCTCCTGAGCGAAGGCGACTCTGCGTCCGAGGTTACGACCAGTGACGGTGGTCGACTCGACGTCGTGAAAGAGGACGTTGAGGAAGTCTGCCGGTGATGCGGCACGGCAGGACGCGTATTGTACCCCGGACCGGTTCCAGCAGGAGGAACAGGAGCTTCTGGGAACCCCGTGCGGAGTGTATAAGAGGCTTCGGAGCCAGGGGATTCGATGGCCACATCGTTGGAGGTGGTTGATGTACCACCCAGGGAGGTGCGCTTGTAGCTCTTTATGGACGCAGCCGGGTACTTCTTGCCTTTGTCTTTCTTAGAGCCGAAGTCGAAGATGATCTCTGGTTTGATGACCCGCGTGGTCTCACCCCTGCTGGTAGAGTCCCTCCGTGAATGTGTCGGCTTTTGCGGTTGGATGATGATGGTGGTCGCTCCTGTAGGAGTAGGCGGGTTATACGTAGAGGCCGGTGAAGCATTGTCGTCACGTGAAACAGACGATGCTGGTGGGCGTGATCGGTACTCGACCGTCTTCCTCCTCACGTTCGGACATAGTCTGCCTCCACGCGAGTTCTCGCACCGGAAACACTCTTCGAAGGCCTGACGGCGGCCGTCGTCGTCGACATAGACGCGCTCCTCTACTCTGCACATCGTGACGGAAGAGTGATGGGAAGAGTGATGGGACGAGGCCTGGTTTGCTCCGTCGGGTTGCTTCTCGTTCTCTTGATAGGGGTTGGTCCAGTCCGTTCAGTAAAGAGTGATGGAAGAGGTCCCTTCGCCCGCCTTAGTGCCGACTTAAGGCCCGAAGTCCGGAATATAGGTTGTAAGCCGGCAACGAAAGATGGGATGGGAGACCCTAAGGGAAGGGCCCAGTAGCCGATGTCTGTATGAAGCTTTGCTGAAGGGCAGATCCAACCATAGATGTAATCCACGTGAGTTGGACCGATAGCTGGTGAGAGGGGGGAAGTGATGTGACTATTTAGGGAGCAGATGACGGGCTTGACTGAGACAAGGGGCCGATAGCGGGACAGCGGTAAGCAGTGATGGTAAGGCAAGATAGAATGGGACAGGAAAGAAAATGTAACGAGGATAGGAAATGTTGGACTGAAGGGTGTCGTGCAGCAGGATGCAGGCGTATATGCACAGAAATCAGGTAGAGGTTGTGGTGGATGCAGCCCTACTTGGGCAGAGACTGTATATGTAGTTCGGGGCTAGATTGTAGCCTGAAGGGCGGCCTGCCAGTGGCCAGGCTCAGATTACACAGGGAGGCTAGCTGCCAAAGTCCGCGCCCACATTGATGTCATGAAGAGAAGGCGCATGAACCACAGGGTCCATCCTGCCGGCTGCGCAGGGCGCGATGGGTTGTGGTTCCTCGACGGGTAGCAGCGCGATGAATTGGGCGTGCACAGCCTCGAACACTTGAGCCAGGATCAGATGGAGAGCGAGCAGAGACACCGCTCCAGCCACAACCAGGCCCCGAACCGCTGCATTATCGCGGATGAAGAGGGCCTGACCGGCCTAGGGCTGAAGGAAGTGTGGACGGTGTTGCGGTTTGGGACTCCATGATGATCAAAGTGCTCGGAGACGAGGGCATTCGCCGTCTCTCGGGCCATGTCTCAGACTCGATCGGCGCCCAATAGCTGCGTTCCGAACACTCAGACGGCCGACAGATGGAGGTTCCGGAGGAAACCTGTGCGCGCGGGATGCTGAGCGATGGGCCCAGGGGCAGTAGTGGTGGTGAGGATGAAGGAACGTTTGCGATGGCAGCTGAAGAGGAATGCCGGGTAGTGTGGAGGCTATGCATCCTCACCAGCCACAAGCCAGGGGCCGTCTTGGTCTTCCTCCGATATCATTGATCCTCAACGCCCAATTGCCCCTGGATAGTGCACCTTTGGGCGTCGCTGCCAGACGATGCAGCGGGCGCTAAAGAGGCGACCGTCTTGGTGCAGGAGTGGAGGAGCGGTTCGCAGGAGACACGCAGAAGGGATTCGCGCCTTCGCCCTTTTCTGAACAATGGCCGTTCTGCGCAAATGGGCACGCCGAATTTCAACCCAACCACCCTCATCGTCAATCGGCAAGCGGCCAGAAATCGAGATGGCAATATGGCAAAATGATATCGCCGCCGTGGAACTGTACGCATGGGCAGCTGCCAGCCTTTGCCTTGTTGCCTCGTTCTCTGCCCTGGTCGATGGCCATTTTGACATTCAACTGGTCCCAATCGATGCATCAGACGGAAAAGTCAGTTTTGATCTGATGTCTGTGCCAATGGCGCCGGTTCGTATTCTATTGCCAAACCAATGGGCTGGCACATGCTGATTCTCCATTGTAACTGCAACATAAAACGAGAAAAAATACTTTTGAAATTCAGCTACAAATATTCAGCTAAATCTCCACAATATCATCACTCAGCGCCAAAATGCTGCCAGGACAGGCACATGGCGCATGTCGTACTCCCACCATCTCCAGTATTCAATGCCAGTTCGAGCCTCGCCTCAGAGCCACACATAACACAACCTTGGGAAGGCGTAGCCTCTGAGATATTCTTTTGCCACGCTGAATAATGGTGTTTTGTCTGCTTACTTGTCTAGACCTACCATCAAGTCTAGCAATTTTGTGGCTTCGTGCAACTCAGATGTGTGGGCAGAGTGAAGATAGTATTAGGGCCAGGACATGGTGTGATCCCGCACATTCCGCAAGCGGCCCGCTTGAGAAAGCTCAGTGTCCCTTCTGATTAAATAATACTACACAGTATTCTAGTCTTCGGCCAGTACCCAACAGCTTGTAGCTATCCTTCGACGATTTACTACGAGATACCCAATGCGTGTATGGACCAAACTTTTTTCACTTCCATGCTGTGGGCGTAAAGCCTCCCCGTCCCAATCAAACCCAAAAAATGACTGTCAGATCTCTGGCAATACAAAGATTCTTCATTGTTGCAGGGTGTCTACGACTATCTGAGCACCCCGGTCCCAGTTCTCCTCCCCCCAAGCTCTCAAGCTCATCATCATCACGGCCCCCACCTTCAACCATTTCTTATTGGCTAAGCACAGCCACTCAGCCACATAGACTATACCCCAACTGGGTATGTTTGTGGCACAGCATTCACCACTGCTTCTCCAGCCTCGTTCATGATCAACCCTGAAGCCACATGCACTCTCATAACAAGAAAACGGAAGCCGCAGTCTTCCGTCTCACTCAGCATCACTTCCGGGCCGTCGCTGTTTTCGATTACATCTCCGTCTCCAACGCAAGGCCACTGCGACTTATCAACCGGACCGAACATATGGCCCCAATGAATTACAAACGATGGATCCAGAAGAGGGCGCTAACCCACTCTGCAAGAGCTCCAAACATTAGGCAACAGTGCTTCTTGGTGTTTCGACCGTCTTCCACAACCTAATCCGTGTCGTGGGGGATTGGAGCAGGCCTGACAGCCTGGTATCTGCCGGGCGTAAAGTTGAAACGCATGCGCAAGCGCCCAGGTCCCCGAGACACCAAACATCGCGTCCTAAGCAAGTGTACGGCACAGCAAGACAGAATGCTGCTCGTGATTAGTATCACTTTGTGGTTGGCAACTTCAATGCAATTCCCCCTGCTGGCGTACGCGTGTGTAGTGGCGTAGTAATGGAACATAACCATAGTATCCTTTATGAGCCTGCAAGTACCTAATACCTCACCTCCTTTAGATTGACGTCACGGGTTTGACAATCCGCACAGCCTTCTTTTCTCGCCTACATCGGACACTTCACTTCGCCGCACACACTCCCTTTTCAGTACCATTCCCGCGATCCCGCCCCAAACCTGCATCTCCTTATCGATCATTTATCCTTTCTCCCGCAGCCTACTCATCTTCTCCACGTGCGGAAACTCGCCCCTCGCCCTGTGTTCCCCTCCACCGTCTCACCCTGCCACAGCACCAGCCTCGAATCCTTCGCGTCTTGTCGATCTCGCCGCTGTCCAAAGTACCCGATACATCCAAGCCTCGCCCGTGGCTATGTACTTAAAGAGTTTATCATTTAGTATCTCTCTGAATTTACATTGACGATTAGAAATAAGCACTAAAACAGTACTTAGCTTCTCGTCCTGACCCTTGTCGAGGTGAATGCTGGTGCTGAGACTCTCGAACTGGCCGATATGCTAGCGGATGTCTTTGATGTGTGGTGTTAAGGCTGCCATCGTGTACTGAAGCTAGAGTGGCCAATGTTGGAGGTCCGATGGTTGAGGTGGGAGTGAAGAGTGGAAATGCTGCTGTGCGGCACAGGGGGAAGTGAGGCTATGCACTCTGCAGTTGACCTCCACTCTCAGTAGGAGTCCGTGATATGGTGAGGATTCGTTCCGTGTTTTAGGCTCATTGTAAACCTTCGCAACAGAGGTAAATGGAATTGGGATTTAATAGACTATCGTGTCCTAACCTAAGAACGCCTCCGAGTATGGGCAATCTATGTAGCCCTCGGCTATTCAGACGGGCTACGGACGAACTCTGCCCAAGCATAGCCCTTGAAAAAGTCCTCCACGAGTGACTGAGGCTCTTCCTTTCCATAAGATCCTCCAGAGCTAGTTGGATAATGCCACGAACAACCTGCTCCAGCTCTGCCAATCTTTCTTCCTAGTTGCATACCTAGTCCTGAGCTCGTTACACTCATGGGCAAGTGCGTCACGCTCGTCAATCAGTACGTTCACGCGACTCGTTCGCTTTTGCAGCTTCTCTTGAAGTTCCATGCATTCAACCTTCTTCACTTCCAGCTCCCGGGTCTTTTGGTTTAACGCTTCTTGTGCCCCTCCTTCACTCTGTATCGTGTCCAGAGTCTCTAAAATTTTTTGCAACTCCTCCTCCTGGGCCTCCATTTCCTCCCTGGCCCGCGCGAGCTCTCGAATCCTCTGTTCCAAAAACTTCTCGTAGTCGTCCTTCTGGGCCTCCATTTCCTCGCTTACCCGCGTGAGCTCTCGAGTGTTCTGCTCCAAAGCCTTCTGGTGCTCCTCTTTTTGGGCCTCCATTTCCTTCCTTACCTGCATAAACTCAGCAGACGGAGACTTCGGGTACAGTAATAGAACCCAACTCCTTCTCTCCCACTCTTGCTTCAACAGAGCAGACGGGGGAGGGAGAGGAGGGAGATGTCATGGTCAGTGTAGTAAGCTTTCTCAGCTACATACAATCCCGGCTGTCACGTCGTAGTTAGTTTGAGATTCGTTACGGGCTCGCGTCTACGGCAAGCACACATCGTGATATGCATTCTCTCTATGTAACTCGTCCCCCGGGTCGTCGAATTGAACGCTTGCTGCCCCTGCCTCTCTCCAGCCTTCTACGCCAGCTGTAGGCCGCATCACTGTCACGCAGGTTACCCCAAGATCCCAGCCTACACGCTACAGCCTGTCCCTGCGCGTAACTGGTTTCTCCTGTAACCGTATCAAGTGCCTCACGCAAACTCATCATCCTCTCTCAACTCGGCCTCCTCGTCGTCTTTGACCAAGCCACCGAATTCGCCAGCCAACAGACCACCCTTCTTCCTCGTGTTGAATCGGGAATTCGGCAAATAGGACATGGGGAGATTCTTTGCCCGCACAAGCTGGATCTGCTCAATGTTGATTACGTCGGCAACGGCTGCGTCCAGAGTGGCCCTGTCGATGGGTGGTGGAGGTTCCCGTGGGGGTACCCATCCCTCACGCGTGCCTCATACATGTTCTTCCGCTCCCGCATACCCCGAACGTGGGCCTCGATCCAGCAGTCACTTGTCATGGTGACCAAGAGCACGTCGTGCTTCTGTCCGATGCGGTACGCTCTCGCAGTGGCCTGGATCTCGTTGTGCGGCGACCAACTCAACGCAAGAATGACTTCGTGCGATGCACAGGTAATATTAACCCCCTCTTGGAGGCATCCTGTCGACGCCAACAGCACGGAGCCTTTTGGGCTCCTCTCAAACTGACTCAAGATATCGTACCGGTCTGGTTGATTGGGCACGTTCTTGCCGTCGATGCGGAAAATCCTGCGGGTGCCATTCGCGTATTCGGGCTCTTGCTGGAGCCGCAGCTCCATAAGGTCCAAAGCCCGCATCCAAGCCGCGAAGACGATTGTCCGAGTATCTGGGCGTGTGTTCTCTGCGTGGTACTGCATGATCTCCGCTGTGGTGTCGTTTAAGCGGCTGCTGTCTCTCACGTTGAACTCGAGGTTGCTGGGGTCCCGGAAACACCCCATGCGTTTCTCCCACTCCTTTACCCTGGCTTTGGGGCTGTTCTTGCCCCGTGGCATCATGAGAACGAGCTCTGGATGCACGGCTGCTAAGCGCGCAGCTTGTAATGCTGCGCGACCCTTCGGCAACCCATCAGGTGGCCTTCTTTTCTCTTCACTTAAAACGCAAAACCAGTCCAGATACTGCTTAGTCTTCTCGTCGACTTCGCTGACGACCCGTTTTGCAACCAGTCTTGGGAACGTGGCGCAAACTTGATATATCACTTCCTTCTTGCGCCTCCGTATCATCCATCTGACGAGTTCTTTGCGCAGGAGGCCAAGTCTGGTTGGGTCGTCATTCCCAGAGAGCATGAATTCCTGTTCACGTCAGCCCAGCGCTGTGCTGCATACTGTCGACTTACACCTCGAAATTGCATGTTGTTGCTGAGGACGGGATGCTTCAACAGTACAAAGTACCCGTGGAGATCGTCCAGATGGTTTTTGGTAACCGTGCCGGTCAGGCCCCAAGTGACGCGTCGTTGGATATATGTAGTCGACTTGGATCGCTTCGTAGCCGTGTTCACAAATCGCGAAGCTTCGTTGACAAACAGCCTAGAGGACCGTTAGCATGGTTCCAGCGCCTCCGTGTGCGGTCCTTACGTCGCCCATTCCGTACTCAGGATGAGTGGCTCTCGGGGCTTTTTCGCGTTCTTGGGTCCCTCTTCTTCTTCTTCCTCTTCTTCTTGCTCTTCCTCCTCTTCTTCTTCTTCTTCAGAGTCCGATCCCACCTCCTCTCCGGGGTCAACTTCGCCGTCCTCATCGGGACAAATCACTTTGTACTCCGCTGTTATGGCCTGGTCGCCCACCACAAGCACGTCCGCCCGTTCTATATCCTCCCGAGTTAGCTCGCTCGCTGGTTTCCCACCCTCTGCGCTGTCATGGCCATAGACCACCGTGAGCCTCCCGGGCCACACCCACTTTCCAAACTCCCTCTGCCAGTTGTGGATGAGTGTAGGCGGCGCGACAACGAGCACCTTGCCTCGCTCGCACGCCGTGTATCGATCGTAGAGCATGTACGCGATGGCCGTGGCCGTCTTTCCGAGGCCCATCTCGTCGGCCAGTAGCCCCCCGCCTTGGGGTTTCATGGCAATCATTTCAGCAAGGCCTTGCCGCTGGAACAGGTACAAGGTCCCTCGGAGACACGGTGGGGGCAGGGCCGGCCCCAGAACTGGTATTGTGGGCATGATGCACAGCGGGATGGGCCCGGTAGGTGTGGAGATGAACCTGGGGTGCGTGAGAATACTGGTCGAACGGGGGCCTTGGAACCTGACTTACCAGGGCTCGCAACCCGATGCGGGTCGGCTGGCGGGGGTGAGAATGAAAGATAGAGTGGCAGGCTGAGACCTCGGCGCAGTCACAAGGAAGTGTTTATGGGAGAGGCGGTGGGCGTGAAGCTGGAGGACATGCAAGTGAGAGAGGTGTGCGATTCAGTATTCTGTCTGTACAGAGGCAAGGAAGATTGTGTCGAGGCGAGGAAGAGTGTGTTGAGGGAAGGAAGAGTGTGTTGAAGGCGAGGAAGAGTGTAGTGAGTGGAGTGGTCGATTTATCTGGCTGGAGATGGCCCAAGCGTAGGGTGAGCGGTGAGAGACGAACCCCCAGCGAATCCAACATCACCTGATGAGTAGTTGCCATAGTCAATTAACGGCTGATCCGTAAGTAGTTATGGCATGTCGTTCAGCATCCCATTTCGACCGGTCGAACCATCTGACTTGGCCTTGTAGCCAGCCAAATGCCTCTGTGCCTGTACGCATCCCCGGATGAGGACATAGCACACACAAGTCATTGGGTTCTGGGGTGCAGGAGTCGCCTTAGCTTCATGGTAATGATCATTAAATCTATCTAATGAGTGACTAGATGTTCGCAGACTGCCCCGCGGGTTTTCCCGATCCACTGCCTCAAGGTTCCATCCATCGCGAGGGCGGCTACTGGTTCCTTACCGTCATGAAGACCTCCACGCATAGTTCTAGCTGCTCGACATGGTTTTGCACTTCGGAGAGCTTGTCCTCGAGCTCCTGTATATGGTTGTCTTTCTCCCGTATATGGTTGTCTTTCTCCCGTATATGGTTGTCTTTCTCTCGTATCTGGTGGTCTTTCTCTCGTATCTGGTGGTCTTTCTCTCGTATTTGGTTGTCTTTCTCTCGTATTTGGTTGTCTTTCTCCTCACATTGCTGCTCCCGCTCGGAAACACGTTCGCGCTCGGCCCTCAACCGTTCCACCACATCCATCCTGACCATATCAAGGTGTCTGTAATGAGCCTTCATACGGGTTTTGGCTTTCCCGAGAGCCGTGATCATGCCCAGTTGCTTTCGGGTCAACTCTTCGAGGGCACGCACCCTCGTCCTGCACGCTCTGCCCTCCTTCGTCAGGGTATCCACTGACTTCTTCAACTCGTCCGTGGCTTGTCTGGACGCCTGGAGTTTGGATTCGAGCTCCTCTTCCCTATTTACCAGACGGTTCAGCGTCCGTATGGCCTTCTCTCGCAGTCGGTACTTGCTGTCTCGTAGGGCCTGAAAGATCTGGCTATGGAATTCCATATCTGGCGCATAGTCGGCAACCCCTTTCCCAGTGATGTCGTATTCAATTCCATCAGCATGACGACGTGGTGTCTGGATCTCGGCGCGTGGTGGCATGCAGTCCAAAGCAGCCGAGTTGGCATGGCGAAGGCGATGGGTGAGGGCCAAGTGCGCTTCCCGGGCAAGGCGGAGCTCTTCCTCCAAACGGATATCTTCCAGCGCTCCCAACAGTCAGCTCTTCTGTAACTGGCAACTCGAGATAGGCATCTACGGTAGAGGATTGCCTTAGTTCCTGCCTGTACTACATATAAAATTAGCATCTATAGCCTATAGCTATAACAGCTTATTCATAGAAGTTAAAGCTACTATACAGCAAGTCTACAGAGGAGCTATTAGCTACAGTGCTATCTCTGCTACAATAGCAAGTACAGCTTATAATAAAACGCTCTTTTTACAGCTCTCTACGTATAAAATAGTCCTCCTTAGATATCTTATAGAGTTTAGCTAGGGTACTGTTAAGTAGCACCTACTACTGCAAGCTGCTAGCTTAGCTGCAATACTAGGATTCTAACTAATTAGCAGATACAGCAGTTATAGAAGCCTTCCTACACCTACAGACTGTACTACCTACGGCAGGGCCTATTACTAGCTCTTAACTGCTTATCTAAGCTGTAACCCGTAGGAGATACGATCCGTAGTACTGACTGTTGGGAGCGCTGATATCTTCCGTCGTAGATCCAAGCTCTCCGCGGCCTGCTGTTGCGGAAGTTTGCCAACTGCCTCTTCCCACAACCTCAGATCCTCTTCGAGTGCAGTGGCCTTCTTTTGGAAATGGACCAGCTGCTGGCACTGGCCCCTCAGTCCCTCCTTCTCATCTGCGAGAGCATTCGTCTCCTCTCTCTGCTCACGGAGTCGTTCTGTCAGCTCGGAGTTGTCTGCCTGCAGATGAGCAATCGTCACGTCTCGGTCGTGGAGCGCTTCATCCGCCTCTTCAAGGGTTGCGTGAAACTTCTGCTCGGCCTTGTCGCAGTCCGCTTTGAGCTCCTGTGAGCTCCCTTCCAGAACAACACACCTTTCCTCCGCAGCTTTGATCCTCTTCGCCAGCGTCTCTACATCTCGTTGCATGTTCGCTATTTGCCCCTCCTTTCTGTCGAGCTCGCGCTGGTGCTTCGTAACCCATTCCGCATCCGCCGCGGCCAGTTCTTGCTCTAGACGAGCAACTTCTCCAACCAGGACAGTCTTCTCGGCCTCAACGGCCGACGCCCGCCGTCGAGCATCCTGCAGCGGCTCATGCACTCATCTGCGTTGCTCCAGTCGATTCACAGACTATCTTGACATGGGAATTCACTTTCCATGTGTGGGCGATTCCTACAGGGACTGATGCATCTAGGTGTGTGCAATTCTGTCTTCTTTGTATGCGTCTCTGTGTACCTTAAGGCGATGCGCTCTTTCTTTTCCTTCGGGCTTGACCATCTAGGAAGGGGCGCTTAGCCCTTGGACTAACGCTTACCGAACTCAACTCCCCAAGAAACTAGCTATACCATGTCGCATAAGGTTAGGTCGCAGCTAAAGAAACTAGAGGTAAGATCCCTGAAATTTACGAAGTGAATTCTGTCTGCTAAGCAAGAAACCTATGACAAGCTAAATAGCTACACAAGCAGGGGACGAAGGCATAAGATTCCAGAGAAAGGAGAAATAGTGTAGCTCGGTGTCAACGCCTTCCTTCCTTCTAAGAGGATATTTGCTGCTTCCGCATAGAGGGGTAGATGACCTAGTCTAGAGCTAAAAGAAGACAAAGAATAAAAAAGGGAAAGAAGCTCAATGAAGAAAAGCCAGTATCCATGTAGCATCCATTCCTTCCGTGCAGAGATATGCCATATCGCTGCTAAAAAATTGTCTCTAACCAGATGCATTGGTCCTCCTCTACCTCCATCATAAAAAGATCTAGAGGCTGCACGCGCTGGCTTACGCGATAACCATTATTCTCTTCCGACCTCAGTTCCGAGCGTATCTGGTCTAGGCTGTCTCCGTCAGATAACCTTCGCAGAATGTGATAAGGATTTAATCTTTGGTCATAATCAAACTCATCTGCGGCCCATGTCCGCAGCGCCTCGGTCCATTCATCCTTGGGGTTATAGTTCTCGACCCACTTCCGGGGCCTCTTTCCATCTTCAGGGAGATGTCCGCATCGCTCTAAACACCTCTGAAACTTTGCTTCCATATACGCCTTTTGCTGCTCCAGATTAAATTGGTAACGCTGTGGTATGAAGCCGTCCTCGTCATGAATCCAGCGACCAGTTGCATGCGTCAGAAAAGACTCCGAGTCTTCAACCTTGATTTTCAATAGCTCGTCGACGTCTTCCTGGTCCCTTAAAGGGTCCTCGTAAATTTCAATGTACTTAATCGGGATTTTAAGGCTGTCCCGATTGAACGCAACCCGATCCGCGGTGAACCCGTAGCCGAGATCATTCATGGAGCTGATCTTCTGGCGGATGAGATCGGCCAATGTACCGTTGTACGTGATCCCAAGGTGCCCAAACGCTTCGAAGCAGTTCTCATAGAAGCCGAATTCATGGAGGTAAACAGCTACATGACTATCGCTCAAGAATTGTAGCCAGCGATCGACATATGCATCGGAAAAGAACGGCTCCTTCCAATCTCCCGCGAATTCGTAACGAGGGTGCAAGTCTCTACCTGTAAGCTGGAGGAGATGCAGCCACGCCTCCTTGACGGCTTTGGGCTGCTCGGAATAGTGTTCCCCTTTGACACCATTCCAAGGGAGTGTTACCTCAAGAACTTTGCGGGGCTCTAATTGTGGGTGGCCGTTCGCAGGAGAAGGACGACCTGCGGCCGGCGGAGATGGTATATCGCGAACTTTCAGTTCTTCCGTGTCTTCGACTTTGACGGGCCGTTCGGATGGATTCATCGCGAGGGAAAGTTGGGCGCCGATATAGGCTACCGACACATCTCGGGGGTTGGCACCCGCCGATACAGTGTCCGTTCCTTCCAGTGTTCTCACTCGCTTGCTGGTGACCGTGGCCTCGCTGCGTTCGGACTCTTGTGGACGGTGTCGCTTCCCCAGAACCCAGTCTTCCTTCGCCATCGGCGGGTCGAGAGCAACACGCAATGCGCCCAGAGTATACAGCAGCGTCAGGACACACTTGAGAGGGCACTTGTCTTTGAAGGCCCCCGCAGCCATCAGCACGGGAATCAGTTCACTGGAATCAGTGTAAGGAAACTTGCAGCGGATGTCGGTCTTATGGCTGTTAGCGAGAACGTCTCCGGATAAGATTGAAACCTACTTTAACGAGCACAAATTCCAGGTTGCCATCACTGTATGCCTTTCCCGGGCGGTCGTCTATCGCGGCAAGCTCAGAAAGCTCCTGTGTTTTGACAGAGTATATCGTACAATTCGTGCACTCTGGACTGCCCTTTTCCCATCGCGCTAAACTGCGCTGTCCATTGTGTGTGAGTAATTCGAAAATGACGGGTGCCAGGGGATCCCCAAAAGCTTCATATGCGGCTCCGCCTAGGACCCTGAAAGAACGATTAATGTACGAAAGTATCTCGAGGATGAGCAGCCATGTCCTGTCCGTGGATGCGTGTTCGCAGAAGATGTGTCGGATATCGGACGGGTAGGTAAACGGAACCCGCCACGGGCAGTATGGTAGGCTGGCATTCATTCCGAGAAGCGTCAAGAAGGCCGTCAGCGAGACTTCGCTCCGCCGCGTGAACGCATTCTTTTCCAACGTGGTCATTCTCCGGTCGGAGATTCCGGTCGGAGACCATTGCTGGAGCCCCGTCGGCCACCTCAGATGCTTCGCTTTCTGAGTCCTTTTACTTGCCCAAGCAGATTTCAAAAGGTGCCAACTCTAGCGGCGAAGACGCGACTGTTAAGGCCTTTGTAACCCGATATAGTGGCAATGAGGCAGAGCAGACGCGTGCAAGATGTTTCCGGTAAAAGGACGGCAGGTCGAGAGGTTGGTAAGAATCAAGCTGGTGGTGGGGCAGTGGCAGAGCGATCCTGTCTCAGTGGTGAAATACGCGTGCAATCTGAGCTCGAGATGGACCCGCTAGCTGTAGACGTGTCAGAAGCGCGCGCTAGCAAAGTAAGAGGTGCGTTGGTAACGCATCAGGAGAACTTTACCTAAAGACACGACCTAGGTATGACGGATTGGCGGGCGCGACTCGAGTGAGCGGTTACGATAGGTGGAGATCGTTAGTTGGAAGAGAAGGCGTGAGATGGTTGGTGGGAAGGGAGAGGGAGAGATTCGAGGGTGTAGGTGCAGAGAAGTGGGAGAAGGAACGGTGGCGGTGTGGGAAGCGCGAGATTCGAGACCGTATATGGGTCTATAACCGATACTTGATGTTGGGGCGGAGTGATGGGAAGAGCTGATATGTGCAAAGAGTGCAAGCAGTGTTCGTGGCAGCGAGAGAGGAACTGTCTTGTCAGTTCGACGGCAATTTAAGATTGAATGGATGGAGTGAGTATTGGAAGGAGGCGAGAGAACGGTCAATTAGCGAGGGAGTCAGTCAAGGAGGGAAGACGGTGCCAGGTGGGAGAGGGCAAGATCATAATGTCATCGGCGAGGTAGTAAGGCAAAGTAGGATAGGAAGAGCAGTTCACGTATTCATAGAGACACTAGTAGTTATCACTGCCAAGTCGCAATCGATATTAAACTCTTAATCGACCGCTAAAGATAACCTGACGTGAGCGGGTGTTGGATAGCAAGAGAGGGCCCCTTCTACAGTTTGAGAGCTTTTCGAACCAGGTCTACCAGCACCTTCTCTCAAGCACGCCCATGTGCGAGAGTCGATTGTCTGCTCACACGAGCTTGAAGTGAAGAGACCTTGGAACGTGAAGAAGATGCCTCGAACAAGTGACGAGTCCGGAAAGCTGATTGGAGTACTACCTCTTCAGGCTTGTTTTGAAAGGTGCCTTCCGGATTTGGGAGGTGCACAACCTATTCTTCTCCTCCCAACCTCATCCTTATTAGCTACGCCCCTCTCTACTCTTACCTTCTTCTCCCACTCCATAGACTTTGTACTCTTACTCTCACTCTCACTTCTCCTCTCAACCTCAATCTTACTGTCATAACTGCTCACATCTCTACTCTCACCTCTTTTCTCACCGTCCGCCTGCTCATTCGCACCTCATCGGTCATCCACCGGCGATACGGCCTCGAGGCCCTGCGTTCGTAACCGCTTTGCTTACAGAACAAAGTGAGAGAAACGGAAAACCAAATGGAGGGGAGGGTAAGAAGGACAGCGACCGCCTATCAAAGACAGGTTGGTGGCTGTAGGTCTTCAGTAAACCCGCAACTAAGACGCGCAGGGAACGAGTACCCAGCTCCTGGCTGAAAATGAGCGATTGCGAGAACGCCTGGATCGACTAGAGCAGTCAGTGAAGCCCCTCTCTCAAAGAGTTGACATTACTGACAGCAAAAACAGGCAACATTCTAACGACATAACCCGTATGGGAGAGCTCCACAACCAGTTGACAGCGAGCGAAAACTATATACAGGCACTGGAGTCTCGTATTGCGGAGTTGTCTCGACGCAGCCTGTCGCATACGCTCTCTCCTCAAGCACCCACGCAGCCGTCCAGCCCACCAGGTCCTGCGTCGGCGGACTACGTGTCTTCATACACTTCGATATCAACTTCCGCTCCTCCCCGGCGTTCTCCCGGCCTGGAGGTCATTGCAAGCCCAATTCAGAACCCCATTACTTTCCAGGCGCATGGGTTTACTATCGAAATCTACGGAGGGGTCTTGGGCCTGTCAAGAGACGCAGCGGCAGTCCCTGAGACAGTTCGGGCGGTTGTGGCTAGTCGTGTTGCGGAGTGCGCGCCGTTCCAGGTGAAATATGTTGGTCGCTGCACCTATTACTATCTGGAGCACACTATCTGGTCACGCTCCCAGGGCCCTAATGCCGGCTGCCGCAGGTGTGCTAACGCGGGAAAGCCGTGCCTCCGCATTATCGGGCCAAATACATAGGTTGATGTTGCTGCCTCTGTTGGACTGTCTAAGAGAAGGGTTCTCTCCAAGCGACCACGAATTCTGGATTCGACCCGTGCAAAACCGGTACAGTGAGAAGACAAACCCGAAACTGTGGGATCGCGATGGGGTATGGAGGACCAACAACCAACACTGACTTTCTGCGCACGCTTTGGTGATCTGTCATTGGCTTCGGGTTTCCGGCTTCATTGGCTTCTGTCGTACTGGGGGGCAATTTTGACGAGGTCTTCACACGCGTCACTGTACCTTCCGTATATGTATTCATTCTCCGTAGAATCTATTGGTTCGCACATCGATGAGACAAATGCAGGCCTTGATCCATTTCTACCTCTTCCCTTTCTAAGGAGTTCTCATGCATTGCCTATTAATCCTTCTGTCTTGTAGAGTCTCAGTTGTTAGTTTGTTAAGGAGCAAGCCATGTAAGCATGCGTTGAATCCTCCTCATTTGGCTGCATTGATAGTGTCATCTCGGGTTGTTACATATCGTCTTGATTTATATAGCTAACTTGTGTTGCGTCAGCACCTAGCAGGGTGTCTCGTCCGTCTCGCCTTTATAATAGTATTACAGGGTAGTAGAATCGGCTTAGGAGGGAGACGCTGCAGGTATAGATAGAAAGACGCTGTAGCTAAGTAACAACTAAGGCTAGAAACTAGTTAGGTACCTACTCCGTAGCCGTACGGAGGTTGCTATATCTGCTGTAACTACTAGTTAGCTAGATCTTAGTGTTGCACCTGCAGGTTGGTGCTACCTACTAGTGCCCTAAGCAAGATTTTGTATAATCTACAATTTTAGGAAAAACCTTGTAGCAAGCTATAACTAGTTAGAATCTACAGCTATAGCTAATGTGATGGCCCAAGGCAAGGCTCTGCTGGCCACAGCCGTGGCTCTGTCGGTCACGGGACCACGTGGCTGCCTTGGCCATCACGAAGTCATATGAGGCTTCCTTTCACCATCCTATCTTTGAGCACTGGCCTTTGCCAAGCCCGTAGCACCTGCTCGCTTACTGAGCGTGCCCCCAGTGTATATAGATCATCAGGTGGAAGCGGTTCTTCTGCTCTCCACCTTTGGATACCGTGAAATAGATCCCAACGTCTCCACCATTCGCTATCGCCTCACGCAGTTGCAGTGCAGGACATAGTGATACAGCCGTGCGTAGCAACCCCGGGACCGTCCTCACAGCTAACAGTTCCTCTGTAGCTACGCTGTACAGTATATTTAACTCCTAGGACTAAGCCGTAGCTCTAACAGCCTGTAATAGCTTACTTTGTATGTAGTACTGTACGTAGCGTAGGCGAATTTAGACTATAGCTATTAAATTTTGTCTACCGTTACGAAGGCACTAAGTGTTGAAAGCACTAGTTATATACTACTTATTCACCCTTTGCAGCCTGTTCTCTCTCTGCAAACTATTCCCAAGGCTTGACCCGTATTAACTCCTTGTCCTCCTAGAATATTTTGCCCATACCTGAATCCTTAATGTAACTTGTCTCTCCCCGCTGATCGCTCATGCTTGCACACCGTTCCCTCACCGCAGCCCGTCTCAAGTTCCCTCCGCAGCCCGTTGTCCTCCCGCCTAGATATCTTCGTACCCTAAGATATCTTCCATCCAAAGCGTCAAGCGAACTCGTTATCCTCCCGCAACTCGTCCTCCTCGTGATCAGACTGATAGCACTCCTCACATTGGCAGAATCTGGAATTGCCGTACAATAAATGGAAAACACCAAAGCGGTCTGCGGTGATCTGGTGTCTGTTGATCCAGTCTGGGAAAGCGTCCTCCATGATATCCCCCTCCCTGCTGCCGGAAGGTGTCTCGACAAAAGGTGGATGGGGTATCGGACCCGAAGAAGACGCGAGGCCGGCAATGACCGAGGTGTTGGTCCGGGGGATATCTGTAAAGAGTAAGGGTCTGCGCGTTGATACATGTGGATGAAGTTGTAGTGACATACCGGAGAGTCTGACAGGACCTTGGACAGCCTGACTGTGGCTTTCCTGTGACGTTGGCTCCATGGAGCACCCTAAGCAGCTCACACTTTCCGCGATCAGGCGACCAACTATATCCTTCCAGTCCTTCGACTTGAAGACTTCCTGAGTAAAGACGTGATATTTACTGTCGCAGAATCCGTCTTTCGCTGCTTGCTCCAGAAAGCTCGTCGCTGCTGTGATGTTCCGCTCCAAGGTGCTCGTAAGCTCGCCGCGCGCTTTCTGTTCGCGCTCCCTGAGTCTACTGATTTCACTGTTGTGCTGCTCCAACTCCGTCCGCCGCAGCGACCGTTGCTCCGCAACGTCGATCTCAAGTTGCTCTGCCCGCATTTTCAACGCGGCGACTGCATCCTGTTACTCTAACGATAGGCGATGACTTTCTGCGATTATCTCGGCTATGGTGAGTTCCCCGGAAACCTTGACATGTCAGCAGTCAACTTCGAGGACGTCGTTAAGGTAGGGAATACTACATTAGGGTCGCCACCAGGAATCGTGGTACGGACTTCGGACGATTCGCCCTTTACGGCGCAAGTCTCGACTGGTGCCTTTGCTCGTTTGGCGGCACCCTCATCGCCTTGTTCACAGTCGTCGTCCCGGCCTCGTTTCTGGAGACTGCGCTCTCCGCCAAGCAAATCGTGTGCGGCTTTACCGTGTTGAGACATTGTCTGTTGTAAAACAGGTGAGCAAGTGCCTGCTACATATGCCTGAAAAACTGGGGTAATCTCACTTTGAGCGAATGAAACTCACTATGGCCGGCAGAAAATTTGGTGCAGGACTGGCCTGGAGGATGAGTTGATTGCGTTGTTGCGTGTTGACGTGAAGCAGCGAGGTTTGCCCTTGTAAGGTAAAATGAAAGAGGAAGAAGAGGAGGAGGAAGAGGAAGAGGCAGAGCGAGGAAAACAGAAGTGAGTTGGGTCAACGGCAGCGGTGGCTGTTCCCTTTTGAGCGAGCCGAAGTTCAGCCGGTTCTGCGGTGAACGATCAGAGACTTGATGATCTGACCTGGCGGATATGACGCAATAGCATCAATGTTGATTAATTAGCATTTTGCAAGATCTGGGACATCGATATACCAGAAAACACGTCGAGCATGAACAGCAGCGAGGAAAACGAAGACATTTATAGCCCTTATTGGTGCAGCTTCTATATTCCCCCTTGGGGTATCGCGAATCGAGCTGTGCAATGCTTCGCTTGAGTATTCCGATTTCAGCGTAAGAGATGAAGGCAGGATATATGCGTAGTAACAGCTGCTAAATCCTCCGTATGCCATACCCTGTACCCCATGTCAATATAGTCCAGACGTCTTCAAGCACAACTCCAACAGTACCATATCATACAGTTTCAACTTTACAGCTCTTTTTACCTTGAGGACCTCTCCCCGTTGAACTGCCCGTTCTTCTCAGCCTCCTTCATCAGTTCGAAGAAGCCTTCCATCTGCTCATCCTGCGCGTTATCTGGGCCTCGGTTCCCACTCCCGCCCAGTTTTAGACTAGCAAGCGGATTCCGGTCCACATTCTTCCTCTCGGGTGGCCGGTCCTCCAGCTGGCCCCGTGCGACCTGCAGCTCCGCCCCATGGCTTCGCCGCACCTTGATATGAATCTTTCCACTTGGATCCACGGCGGCGAAGAGAGGTTGCACGTGAACCTTGCGGCCGCCCTCAGTCTCGACGTCCAGTACACCAAGATCCTCGACACTGTTGCCACTGTTGTAGCCCACGGGAGTGCTCCGGAATTCGTCATCCGCAACGAAACCAGCGACACCCAGCTTGGCGCGCGCTTGGGTCACTGAACGCGTTCTCCTGGCCTGGACCACACGCGCTGTAATGGGCGACGGCCACTCCTGGGGCCCGAGGATGGGGTGATTGGCGATGTATGCTTTCGTGCGCAAATAACCAAGACCGGCGGAAGGGTGGGTGGAATTAGGCGTCGTCTCGTCGGCGAACTTCTGATTATCGATGATGTCGATTCCGGCTTGAGCATACATAGTCGACTTCAGCTTCATTGGAGGAAGACGAAGGAAGGGAATGATGAGTTTTTGAACGAGGTCTGAATTGAGAGGATCGGCAGCGCACTTCTCGCGAAGCGCACGGATGCCTGCTGTGATATCTTCCGGCGTAAATGTGGACCACTCTTTCTCTTGGGCGGCGCGCATCTTCTCAGCTGCCTCCGGATCCAAGGGAAGGGCGCCCGCTTCTTTAGCAGCACTGCTCCGGCGCGCATATATCTGCGCCTTGACAAAGTTTTCGAGATACTGGTTGAACTCTTGCCGACGTTTCGAGAGTTCATTGGTAATGTACGAATTGAATTCCTCAGCGGCCAAGCCGGGGAGCCACGGCCCATCATGCTTCCAGCGCAGATTGGGGAGCCACGTCTTCTGCGATGCATCCTTTGGTGCTTTCTTCGACATGTCAAAGCTCTGCCTGAGTACCTGTAGTGCGATACCGGCACCGTCAAGGCCGTCCTCGACATCGTATGAGGTAACGTCCGCGTCCTTCTCGAATGCGCTCTTCGGCGGCGGCGCCGACAGATCTTTCTCGTTGAAGTGGCTCATGCCCCTCAACACTGGAACTGCCATCTCCAGAAACTTTTCCCGCGTCCGCACGTGGTCGGATGCCGAATCGAAGTCTGTGACGTGCTCAATTGTATCCCATTGTTTTATTCTTACGACCGGGTTGCTTGTTTGGAGGATACGAGATCGGGCAGGCAGCGGTCGTTTCAAACCCCAATCGCCGCGAGAGAGGGAGCTCGGTGTCGTAGCAATGGCTTGGTGGGTGGGATACGGAAGGGTAGCGGTGTCGGACGTCTTGTTCGCAGATCCAAATGTCGATGACACGGAGGGCGGCGGGAGAGGATTGGGGAGAGAGAAAAGGCGGGAATTGCGTAGTAGGTTCGCCGTCGGAGACAGATTCTGCCGTCGCAGAGCCATGGTGATGCGACAGCCGCGAGGGGGCGGCAATGGCTGCTTCGAAGCTGTGATTGTGAAGGAGCAGAAGACGTTCAATTCTGGAGTCGGCCGGATTAATATTCTGCCGACAGGCTCGCGATCACATGACTGCACATTATCAATGAAAGAATCAAATCATCAATCAATATGACGGGAAGTGGCACATTACAGTTGGGTATATAACTCGTCTACATCTCGAATCATATCACGCTTTCTGTGGCTGCGTTCTGCTTTTTGTGCCAGCATGTTGCGTTCTTCGATCCGACCCTATGTACCGCTCGCCCCGCACGTAGTATCCGTCCATCAGAATCGCAAGCTCCCAACCTAGAGAGTGCCACTGCACCGCCCGTGGGACAGGATATTATCCAAAGTGCTTCGCTGCTTTCGTATATGACCTACACAGCCGTGGCTGTCTTCCGCGCAGTGCAAGACTTCGTCAGGCCGAATGGCGCAGAGACGGCTCCTCTGTTTAGCATCCGTGGTTCGGAATCCGTAACCATATAAGGGGAAGTGCTGTAGGTCCTCGTCCATCGTACGTTACGCGTGCTCAACGCGGAAGATGCTTTTCCCAGTCCTTGTCATCGTCGTCCTCACTATCAGAGTCTTTCGCTGTACCCGACCGGGGGATGTGACCTTCTATAGCCATGTGGGAATTACCATAACTCGGACTCGGCGCAACAGGCGGAGTGGTTTGCTCCCTTTCCTTGATCTGCTCAGTTATGAGGTCTTTGCTTGCTTTGCTTGGGCCGCCTGGTTTCTCGCCCCGTTCGATGGCCAGATCCGCTATCGCACTGTCTCGCGCTGCCCACGCGGCATCTACATCATCAGCCTCGGACTTTGCGGCCCCTGGCGCAGGTTTGTCCTGCTTGGGCCGTAGGGGAAGCACCCGGTGGTGCTCCTCTGCATTTTCGACCATGAGCTCAATAGGCTGTGCTGCTCCACCCTTCCGCAGCCACGCAGGCTCTTCATTGAGCTGCACCTTGACATACATGGCTCGACGCGCGCAGTCTTCCGAACACCACACCTCCAGAACCTTCCTGTCGACAATTTGAACGCCCCTCTCTGTGTCAATCAGGTGCTTCTTTGCAGATGAGGGCGCCCTACGCTTGGGACGCGGACATAGAACGTAGCCGCACTTGTCCGCGATGTTGCGCTCTTCTATCAAGGCATCGTAATCTGAAGGTTGAAAGGGGCGCATACGTTCACGAAACTGGAGGGCGTCCGCGGGCGAGGGACGCTTGGGATCTGCGGTCGAAGACGTGGGAAACTCCATAAGCTCCATTATGGACTCCAGGACCTCTCGCTCAGTCCTTTTCCGGTCCTCAATGATGTTGGCATGGTACAATGCAATCTCGAGGTGGCGCTTGTTCACGGGTCTAGATGAGGGTGGCGCATTCGACGAGGTGGTGGAATTCTTCAGAATCGACCGGGGCTGCATGTTCCGTTGCGATGAAGGGCCGGAAGCTTTTGCCTAGAGCCGTGGAGAGGAGTGTTGTGTTGTATCAGTGCTGGAAGAGAGAAGTGACGGACTTTTGAGGCGAGTCGCCAAGACCGCGGGGCTTCTGCCGCTGTGACGAAGCCTTGCTGGTTGAACCTCCGCCTCCTCAAAACACTGATGAGAGGATCCTGTTCAGACCACTTCCACCAGACCGCGTCTCCGTCTCTACGTCGCATGGGAGCTCCCCAGGACGAGGTAAGTCTTCTGCCACATGCCCCAACGATTTCCCGCATCTTTCCCCGCGATCGCTGAGACCGTCACTCTGCTCAGCCCTACCTACTTTCGATCACCTCCCGCTCTGCCCAGAGCTCTCGCGACGACTCATCGAGCTTCACGTCTGCGGTAATTGCAGCTTCGGCATCCAGCCCATTCCAGTGCTTATAGCCGGACGTATATCCGATCTATAGACAATTCCTTCGTGATGCCGGGTTTCAAGGTCAAGGCCATCTACGAATACTCGTCGCCCCACGAGGACGACCTCACGTTCGCCGAGGGACAGATCATTACAGTCACCGAGGAAGAAGGAGATGATTGGTATGTTGGTGAATATGTCGATGAGACCGGGACCAAGAAGGATGGGCTGTTTCCCAGAAACTTTGTAGAACGCTACGAGCCCGAGCCGCCTCCACGGCCGAACAGAGTATCACGACACAAACCATTGGAGCAACCCGAGGCACAAGCTCCACCGACGCCTGAGATACCCAAACCAGAGCCTGCTCAAGCTCCCGAGGAAGAGTCAGAGGGTCCTAAGCCGCCGCCAGCTTCCGAATCACCGATTGAAACAAAATCCCAGCTGCCTCCTACGTCCCCGAGTGAGCCGCCATCGGTCACCACTCCGCCGCAAGAAAGCGCACAGCAGCGCCCGGAGCCTCCTAAACCAGCTGAAGCCCAGCCAGCACCACCGCCCGCGAAGAAGAACCCCCCACCAGTTGCTGCAAAATCGAGCTCTTTCCGCGACCGTATCGCCGCTTTCAACCAGCCTGCAGCCGCTCCAATTGCTCCTTTCAAGCCTGGTGGCGGACCGCCGAGCAGCTTCATTAAGAAGCCTTTTGTAGCCCCTCCCCCAAGCCGTAATGCCTATGTGCCCCCGCCACCGCGTGAACAGCCGCACATCAGGACGTATCGTCGCGAAGAAGACCCCGAGATTGCAGAGCGCCAAGCGCAAGCTCAGGAGAATGCGGAGCGAGCTGGGCTGGCCGCTCATGGCGGTCCTACGTCGGAAACTTCGGCGGAAGATCTGCCCAAGCCCACCAGCCTGAAAGAACGCATCGCACTCTTGCAGAAACAACAGGAAGAGCAAGCTCAGCGAGCTGCGGCACTCGCTCTTCAAAAAGAGAAGCCCAAGAAGCCGGTCAAAAAGAAGAGCGAGGGTCAGGAAGGGAATGTCCATGGTGACGACGGCACGGCCCCGGAGCAGGTCACTAGCACCGAATCGCGAGTGCGTGGCTCTATAGATCAGCATCGCGCTGCGCGCGCTGCACCGTCCCATCGTGAGCATTTGAGCGATGCCAACGACGCTGATCAGTCTGGAGCTGGAGAAACGGAAGACGCCGAAGGAACGTCGACCGGTGTCGAAGATGACGAGGAACGAACTGGGCACACTGCTGCCGTCCCACGGGCCCCGACTGCCCCCGTCAAAGAATCAGACGTTGGTGATGAAGAAGGCACTCCAGACGATGAAGAAGAGGAGGAAGAGGAAGACGAGTTAGACGCTGAAACGAGACGCAAGCTGGAGCTGAGGGAGAGAATGGCCAAGATGAGCGGTGGTATGGGCATGCCTGGTATGTTTGGAGGTCCCGGCTTGCCCATCGGCGGTCTACCACCCAAAAAGAAGCCTGCCTCCAAAAAGTCGACCGGAGACAGCGAAGAATATGCCACTCCTCAGCGCATTCCTATGTTCGCGATGCCTGGAATGCCAGTCAGGAGTCCTGAACCCGATGATAGCCAGCCGGTCGTCGAGAAAGACGACCAGGATCATCCACGGGTAAGCCATGGTCGGGCTCCTGATGAGGTCCCTGACGTTGAGGATGTGACGCCGCGACCTGGAAGGACACCGACCAGAGAGAACCCTCCTCCGGTCCCCGCAGAGAGTAAGTGCCTCGTATCTCGCTTTTCGTGTACCCCAATTGGTAAAAATCTGGAATTCTTGCCATTATTGGCTCCGGAGACTGTTTCAAAGACCTTCGTGTCTTTTGATGGGATCGCGGAGTACATAATGTTTGTGAGCGTATCCAGTATGTCTCGGAATCCGAGGCCAGCAACGCTTTTTCCTAACCCATTGGCAATTGATGCTCACCTTCGACAGGGCGTCCTGTTCCCCCTCCTGTCCCCACGTCAGAGCGGCCTGTGCCTCCTCCTATCCCTTCAGCTTGTGAGTTTCTTCCGGTAGAGTGTCGAGTGAATACTGACCTGTATAGCCCGCCCTATTCCACCTGTTCACTCGCCCAGCCCTGGATCAGAGTCTGGTGACGAGCTGACAGATGTCCCTGCACCTCCGCCAGGTGATGATTCGTCTCCACACCCTCCCGCGGCCGCGCCGTCAAAACGGGGCTCGTATCTTCCCCCCGACGAGTTGTCCCTAGACTCTTCGGAGAAGCGAGTGCCACCCGTTCCGCTCCCAGGCCTGCCTACATCTCCATCCACTGCCCGTGCTCCTCCACCGCCTCCACCAACTGCTGCACCCCCTACACGCCAGTCCACGGTAGAACAAGTCCCGAAGAAAGCCAGTAGGGTCGACCGCTTGGGAGGCGAGAGCGAGTACGAAGGTGACTATGATACTGATATTGCCTCAGGGGCGACCCACAAGGATGCCCTGAAGTCGCACGCACGCGAATCCAGCATAGACGAGAGCACAATGGCGGATGATACTCCCGTTCATTCCCCGACAACGTCAGGAGTGCCACCGCCTCTTCCTCCATCCGCTCCTCGTGCGGTCCCGCCACCCCCACCACCAACGCAGCCTCCAAGGGCATCTGTTGACGCTCCACGTGCTGCACCACCACCTCCGCCTGCTCCCCATTCTCCCCGTGCTGACTATGACGACGAGTACGACCCGTATCGGTACACCTCTCCACCTAGTGTTCCCGCTCCAGTCCCTCGAGAGGTGCCTCCTGTACCACAGAGTCATCCTCCTCCACCACAAATTAGGCCACCCCCGCCTTCCGCGCCGCCTGCTCCCCCAGCGCATCCGGCACCACCACCGGTTCCTGTCTCAACTCATCCTGAATCATCTGATGAGGACGACCTGTATTCAGCACCTCCCCCCAGGAAGTCGCACGACAGACCGCCGCCTCCGCCGGCCCAATCTCCTCCTCAGCACCATGCACCTCCACCCCCTCCACATCAACCTCCTCCACCGCAAAGGCCTCCGCCTCCGCAGGAGCGCCCAGCGCCGCCTCCCCAACCGCACGAGCCGCCTCAGCCAGCTCGGGCACCAGTTGGTCGAAAATCGCTTGATGTAAATCGAATGACTCAGGGGCGTACATCCATGGATCAGTCACGCCCGTCGCACAGTCAAGATTTCATCGCAAGTGACGTCGATTTGGGCGCATCTTCCCACTGGTGGACGCAGCCCAGCATGCCACCTCCATCCCTGCAGGGCCGCAAAGACATCTTGATTGAGGTGGATGAGTCACGCGACGGCAACACGGTAGAGAAGGCCGTTTTCATCCTTTACATGGATTACTCTCAGACCGTCATCACCGCACGCTTCGATGCCCACAATGTCTCCGATGTTCAGCTCGAGCAGCGACACGATGCACCTCCATCTCGCCTACGCCAAGATCAACTGGAGGCTGCACATGAACAGTTTGGTGTTCGCATTGCCAAGGATGTGGAGTCGAAACAGAATACGGTCGTTGGCGACGGCACACCGCATGGCCTCATTCACGAACTGCTGCGCCCATATAAGGATGTGCTGCGTCCCGTTTCCACTCGTGCTTTCGGCGCCCTTGTCTATGTCAATCTGGCAAACGCGAGCACGCAGCAGTACGACGAGATCCGCCCTGGCGACATCATCTCCTTCCGTAATGCGCGATTCCAGGGCAAGCACGGTGCCATGCATGCAAAGTACTCTGCCGATGTGGGGAAGCCGGATCATGTTGGGGTAGTGGTGGAGTGGGATGGGTCGAAGAAGAAGGTGCGGGTTTGGGAGCAGGGGAGGGAGAGCAAGAAGGTCAAGCAGGAGAGTTTCCGGATGGGGGATTTGAGAAGTGGAGAGGTGAGGGTTTGGAGGGTTATGGGGAGGAGTTGGGTGGGGTGGAGTTAATGGAAAGCTGCATGGCCGGAGTCTGGACTGAATTAGATGGGAGAAGGGAATTTGAGGCGGTTTGGTGAACCAGGCGAATCATGAGTGAGGGTTGATAATGGGGTGGCCAGCGTTTGCTTTGAGCGAGCATTGAGCGATACCGTATGCGTGAAATTTGCGTCGTCTAGAGTAGTGTTGGCGTGGCGCGTTGTCGGTAGTATGTATATGCAGGACATTGAATCGCGGTTCCTACCTAGACTTGTCCAAACGTGAGTTCTATCTGTGCATGTTTAGGGTTGCTTAGGGATGTTTATTCGTGCGTCTACAAGTAGTACCGTGACTTAGAAGTTTGCCCAGGGTCTGGGAAGCTTTCATGTTGCGTCATAATCATGCTAATTCAATAATCAGTCTTCTGTTACACTACAGTAGTTAACGCCCAAGCTTAACGCTTCACGGCCGTGCAGTTCTACAGCTTTATACGTGCTATTACATAGCACAGTGGATTGTAAAGAATTGTAAGTTCTAGGATGCGAAGTCAAGAATTACTTACAGACGCGTATGTAAATACAGGCTGACGCCGCAATCCTAGAGCATCCTATTATGTGGCAACTAGTTCTCTGTACTGTGTTAGTTCGTTAGGCGAAGTTGCTATGCCCGATAGTTCGAAATTTAAAGTACAGCTATCTCTAGAGTCTTCAAAATAAAGGTCACGACCCGATTATGTTAGACATACTAGGAAAGATAGTTTTTCTTGTTTCTCTAAGTCTGATTTGCAGGTTGAATGCGTTACCTGCAAACTAACTACTTTTTATGTAGAAGTTGCCATCTAGCAAACGGTCCTCAATAAATAAGACTTAGGGAATACATCAAATCTCTAAATTGCTTGCTAGAGATGAAACTAACAAAACATGTCTGCTTCTTGAATCAAATGCATGGAGTATGCACACCTGCCCATCGTACGTACAGATAATGTATCCTACGGAGAGATTGTTTTTGTGAACCGTCAGACGTATCTCAACGTATCCTAGATCTGATATCTACAGTACAAACATAACCTAGGATCGAAGTCTGTGTAGGAATACTCCATCTTCAACAGCGGCCATATTCTCGTCTTCCATACTCCCGCAACCATCGCCTTCATCCCACCTCGATTCCTACAAAACCCTTCTTCTCAACAACTCCCTGGTTTCGATCGCTGAAAAGTTGGCAGATCCCCAGTCCCGGTTGAAACATGGGACTTGGAAAATTCCCCTGCACACATCGCATTGATCCTGGCCGCAGATCCTCCTGACGGCGAACCGAGACATGGGATGCATTCAAATCGGGTTGACGGGAGTTGAACGGCTGAAGACCGGTTGTGCGCATCTCCCGCTATCGTTTATCACCGTTGGCTGCGTGGTTGATGTCCTGCTGAGCGTCTGACGGGTTGAAGATAGAGTCAGAAAGGTTCATGATCACGCAAGCCATGATTGAATAGCACATTAAATATCATTACCCGCTTCACCAACTGGGCTTCCTAGGAATATGTAAAACCCAACCCAACGCCCTCAACTCTCCTCCTCGACCGCCCCAATCGTCGAAGTCCCCCCTCCCCTCGCCTCAGCCAACAGCTGCGTCCCCACGACCTTCCCATCCGCCTTATCTGTGAAGATCGCTGAAATCGCAATCAGCCCCACGAATGGCTCGTACGTGTACTCCGTCTCCCACGCTTCCTTGCCCTTGTACTCAACCGACTTGTTGAACCCGTTGAAGCGCATGTCAGTGAGATACGAGCCTACAGTCTTGGTACCCTGGACGCGCCCATTGTTGTCGAGCGTCTGGTCGACAATATCGCCGTTCTGGGCAAGAACGCGGTTCGTATGCGTGTTGCCCGAGTAGTCGTTGACGGAGTAGAGGATGTTGTTTTCCAATTGGAATTGCATGAGATCGATGCTGCGTTTCGACTTTGCGTCTGCGTTTGCGGCCGAGGCTTCATCGTCACCACCGCCGATCAGGTTACCGGTTTCGTTGATGATGCGGCCGAGGCCGCTGCCCAGCTCTGCGATAATGGGATTCAGGTCGATGGAGGTAAGGGTGTCGTTGACCATCTTGACGACGTTGGCGAGCCGGGCCTCCAGCAGGACCTTGGCCGAGACATTCTGGATGAGGAGGAAGACGCGGTTGATGCTGAGGTCGACGCCGGCGTTGAATTCGAGGAGCTTGAGGACCTGGGCGTCGAGGTTGATTTTGGCCGTGAGGTTTTGCACTTCGATGGAGATTTCGCCGACCGAGACGGAGGCGTTGAGGAAGACGTCGGGTTCGGGGACTGAGGAGGAGACGTTGGGAGTCGTGTTTGCGGTCTCGTAGAGGACGGCTACGGGGTCGCCGCCGTCGCGAATGTCCAGCCTGTAGCCCGTATAGCCATCGTCGTCTGCTATCTGGGCGAGGGCAAGTAGAGGTAAAAGGAAAAGCGTAATGATAGAAAGGATAGAACGCGCCATGGCTGGAATCAACGGACTGGTATCGATGGAAAGATCGGATGCAGCTCGGAAAGACTGCGGCAGAGAGTAGAGAGACGGCAATTGACTTGAGCTGGAAGAGCTGGAGTAAGACGTCCGCTACGTGGGGACGTCTGTAGACAAAAGGGTAGGAATCTGTGATATGTAGGGCGCATGGATACTAAGAACTCAATACGATGCATGTTTCCAAAGGCCATAAGAAATTAGATTAAGGAGACCAATGCTTTCCCACAATCCCCTCTGAAAATCAGGTATTTTGGACGATAAACCTGATTCACGCTGCTTGATCCTGGGATTACGAGCGCTACAGCCCTGTAGACATCCTTGTCTCGGCTACAATGGCGTTTACCCGAGATTACAGTTCATGGGAAACAACGATTGGCATGGTCGTCAGCGGTCTTCCTTATAGTTAGCTGGACGACGTCTTCGTTGTTCCAACCTGCGCGTCTCTCTGCTCTAGGAGCCTTCGCTCGTTGCGGTCGCCCACATTAAAGTCGAAACCATGCCGTCAATCCTTCTCTTTCGCTTGCTTCTGTTCGTGGCTGTTTTCTTTTTGTATCTGCCTTCGCAAATCCTTGCGCAGACATCCACACCTGCGGAGACGACACCATCTGCGACCTCGAGGCCACCCGTTACAAACGGCACAACTACAGCGCCTCCTTCCGTGGAACCAACCCGATCTTTCCAAACAGAACCCGATGTCTATCTGAACGTGCCGGAACTCCATGTTGGACGCATCGAACTCGGAGTGGAAGAGCTACAGGCCGACATCAATCTAAACGCAAAAGTTGCAGGCCTCGTTCAGATCAATGCAGGCGTGCAAGTCTCCGTCCAGAAGATCAATGTTACAATCGCAGATGTCGATGTCAACCTCGAACTGATTGTCCGCCTGGGAAATCTCGTCGACATTGTGGAGCGTGTCTTTGAATCCATCGATCTCAACCCTCTCCTTATCGGTCTCGTCAACAACGTTACGAATCTGGTGGGCGACGTCATTGGTGCTGTGGACGGTCTCCTCGGTTCCATTACTCAAGGTGGCACGACGCTGAATTTCCTGATTGACAACCTCGGAAACATTGTGCAGGAGGTCGTTTCCGGCGCTACGGGGGCGGTTTCGACCATTGTCGGAAACTACAAGCAAAACATGACGCAAGTTGGAGAGGAGAAGCAAGTAGGACAGGGTCTGATCCAGAAGACGTTCTCGTATGAACCGCTGAATGCACTGGTGGATATTGTCTTCAACTCGGCTGGCCAGGTGGTTCAGGCTGTGGTGCAGAAGAAAAGGGGAGGAGGCGGATCGCCGACTGGTACGCCTTCTTCTACTCCTATGCCTGTAACACTCCCTGTTAGCACTGCGACTGGTACATCTTAGAGAGAGTAACCCTCAATATGATAATATAATTCTTGTGCATTGCACGAAGTCACCTGTCCGCGTTTTGTTTAATGAGTTCCTTGAACCCTGGGAAGAAATTGATGCGGTTGCGCTCCCTCGTCTTCTTGGCCTAGCGAGCAACGATCACTATGGCAAGGACCGGCGTTTCGATGCCTGGGGGTGACGGGGGTGACGGGGGTGACGATGGTGCGACATACATATATCGACGAATAAATAGATAGGTTATCTTAAATGTTATCGAAGGTGCAGAGGCGTATGTCTATAGTAGACTGTGCTGGGAGGGCGGTAGAAGTCGTGTACCTAGCAGGTTGAAATGTGTAAGGCCGGGCAGACTTGGCTGTTCCTACGGAATAAGCATCTACAGTACGCTCCCGTCTACACTGTCGATAGGGTTACAGGAAGTCGAGAGCGCTATTCGCACAGGTAGATTGCTGCCCCTGATTCCGCACATAAAGCATATTCTGTTGTAAGCGCTGAAAAATTGGCCATAAGGGCACGTGATATCGCGTCATGTCCACGTCGACGTGGTTTGCCAAGAGTGAATGTCTTTTCGCTACAGCTACACTACACCGTTGCCTTACCTAGACTGCCCTAATAGGCTTCCTAACTAGTAACTGCAACTTTCTTGATGCGCGCGCGAGACTTTTCGTAACAAAGTTATGGGGAAGTACTGCGGTTTTCTACATCCGACTGAACTTCCCCCCCTCTATGCCGTTCAATTAGACGTAGAAAACAGCAGTGCAGGGCAGGGCTTGGTTAGAGGTAAAAGAGGCGGTGACGGCACCCGCGGTCAACTAGAAGGCACTTGTAATTTGGTCCGTGCACTACGCGTTTGCTCTTCAATCACTGCTGTATCTCGACTCTTACCGCTTCTTCTTCTCCCTGTATCCTACCTCTTCTTCCCTCTCCTTCGATCTTACATCTTCTTCTTTCTCCTTCAGCCTTACCTCTTCTTCTTTCTTCTCTAATCTTATCTCTTCTTTCTCTTCCGCTACTCCACTGTGCGATCCGACAGCATCTCCTGCGCCGTTGAACAGTCGGAGTGCCTGCTATAGCGCTGCACTCGCTATGGAGGCGATCACTGTCGGCCTACAAGAACTTCAATCGAGCTCATTTAGCACCATTATTCCCCGAGAGGTCCTACAAAAGTACGACGTAAGTCAATTCTGAGCTTGTTAGCCCGACTTCTTACTAAAAAGTACGCAGGAGTTAGAGGATGCCGCCTTCAGACACTTTGGGAAGGAACCGCTCCAGTGGAGTGTCTACTTCCACCTAAAGGACGGCAAATGCGGAGGAAGGATCGACTCTTACTACTGGGACCGCGGCAGTTACTATAATGCCTCATGTTTGACGGCAGGGTGTCTTGAGGTGTTCGCGCATTTTGAGCCCAAACCCAATGTACCCACCTCCGGTACTCCTACCGTCAATCCGGCCATCCACGCCCCCACCACCAGCCTACAAGTCTCCAGCGGTGCAGCTACCTTATCCTCTAGCGGCGCAGCAGCAGCTCCCACTACTGAAGCCACCCTCAATCTGGGTGAGCCTCGGGGTGCAACTGACGAGCCAACGCAGTGCGTGACTTCGCGCTCTCATGTCTCTCAGTCCCAAAAGCGACCGAGCGAACATGCTTTGCATTCCGAGAAAGAGTCACACTTAGAGCAGCCCAGTCAACATACAAGGCACACCTTACCTCTCCTTCCAGACGGAACTGCATCTGAAGATCATGAGATCAGCCTGCCGGCCTTCACGAGCAATAATAGGCCGTACGGACAAAACGCAACCAATAATGTCAGCACGATATCCAATCTGTCACGAGCACGAAAGAAGAGAAGGACAACTGCTCTGGCCGCGGATACGCCTGATTTGACTGAAGAAAGATACGTCTGGCCTATCGACGGGTGTGTTAAATCCAGAAAATCTTTTGACAGCCGCGCAAACCTCCACCGTCACATAAAAGCAAAATATCCAGGGGTTAGAACAGAGCCTTCCAATGTCCAGAACAGAGCGGAGCGAGCGAGCGTTCACAGTACCGTGGATATATCCTGCCCAGGCCGTACGCTGGAGGAAGGGAACAACAACCGCTTACGATGCCCGGTTGAAGGATGCACAAGACGGGTTGCGTCGATCGGTTTACACGTGCGGACAATCTCCGTGCCCACATCCGGAACATCCATCCTGAGAGTCCACAAGCACAATCACTTAATGTGGAGAGAGCGAGACCCCCTCTGCTGCGTAGGGCTAGGATAGCATCTGACGGACAGACGCCTATATGCTACAGCATAGTCAGCAGCGGCGTATCAAAGGGAGCAATCCAGTATTTCTGTCCCGTTGCAGAAGAAGGGCGCTGCGAGCGTGAGGATGGCATCGTGCATTGGCTGAATTTCGAGAGGCATATGAAGAGCAAACACCCAGGTGTTCCCTACACTAAACCAGGAGCGGAATCATCATCAGAGGCCAACCAAAACCAAACAAGGTCAGAGGGCCCAGGGGGTCCAAAGCAAAATATCAACCTGCTTTGCCCTGTTCGCGAGTGTTCAGAGGCTTTCAAAGATTTCGACTTGTTCCAGGACCACATCCGTGTAACCCATCCTACATCGAATCACGCACTTGTATTAGATGCAGTCGCAAATAATACAAGCCCAGTCCTCAACCCAGCGGCCCCTATAGATGACTTCCTTGCAGACTACGAGCTTTGCAAATATCAGAATGCTGAAGCTGGCGAATTCGGTCACCGTGACCCAGACAAATGGGAAGCGATCCAACAGGGGACGCGCAACAGACTCGCTCTGGCACGTCTCATCCACAACAAATATGGCATTCTTGCTTCCGAGCCATGTGGTGCATGCCGCAACGGAGGAACCACTTGCCTAGTTCTTCATCCAGAACTGCGTAACAAACTAAAATTTGGTTCAACGTGCAGCGAATGCAGGAATGGGGGTAAGATGTGTAGCTTCGCTCAGAAAACTGTCTTCGAGCCCTCTCTTGGAGATGCTGCGCTACAGCAGCAGACGAGCAGAGTCAATGGCAATGAAGACACGGTTCCAGGAGTCAATAAAAACACTGCGGATAAGGCACACAAGAATGGGCAAGCCGACGACGAAGAAGAAGAAGAAGAAGAAGACGATGACTCGGGTGTCCACGCCCCGGGCCTCAATTCTCTATCTTCGTCTTTCTTGGATGGTGTTACTAGCCTAGAGGAACCAACTTCGAGACGCCGTGTCGGTAGGCCACTGCATGACGCCTACTCCCCTGGCTTCTTCTCCGGGGAGATAAACGGTCTTCCCACCGTATCCGGACTGGTTTTCCCGACCGTGAATCCGCTGGTTCGACCGGAGCGTGCTGGCCGGCGACGTGCTGACCGCATTCCTATGTCTCCAGAAGCAGGAGACCAATCTGCAACTCAGATTCGCTCCGCCACACACAGTTTCCTGAACCACTCGCATCACCCCCGTCACCCCCGTCACCCCCATCATCCCCGGGACAATGAGACCCAGCAAACAGCTCCAGGGCAACATGGTCTTGCATCGCGCGGTGCTCAGCAAGATGGGGTCTCGCAGACGGCCTCGACACATCTTCCACGGACTCTCAACCGTACCGCCTAGTAGGGAGATGCTATTACCAGTGAGGGTATTGGCTCTAACGCTTGCCCTATGAAAGGAAACAGGCGGTGCGTTTGAGAAGCGTAAGAGAGGAATTCTCTCTTGTACTAGCTGTCGCTAGTAAAGCTTCATTGGAGATTGCAAGAAGGCGAGACGAAGAAAAGTGTTTTTCAGCAACCGTGTATCTTACTCACTGCATGATTTAAGCAACTGCCTGGCTAACCAACTGCCTGGCTATACAACTGCTTAGCTTAACAACTATATGTCTTAACAACTATGTATCTTAATACTATACATCTTCCGTGTATCTTTATCTGCGTGCATCCTAACAGCTGTATATATGCGTGTGTGTCCGTGTATATATAAGAGATATCTAGAGACATACAAGGTCTGCTCTGTAGTATCTAGGGTCTTACCTACAGCTTTTATATAGGAAGAGCACGGCCGTCTAACCTTACGCCCTACCTGTGTCAGTACACCCTTAGGATAACAGAAACAGTGAAACAGACCTAGAGGTTCATTTAGTGTTTCATTAAATGCGAGCTAGCTTTCCTGCGGCTCAGGCCCCTAGTTCACACTCTCGACTGTCTTGCACACATTATCGATGTCTAACATACTTCCGCCAAAGTACGAGATAAACCCTAAACCTAACCCTAACTCGAATATCCATCCTTACTCGTACACCTCGTCCCCTCTTTTCCCCTCGCCCCCTCACTGCTTCTTAGCCTCCCTCGCCGCCTTCCTGAGCGCCCTTCGCCGAATATCCTCATGCATGCCCCTATTCATCTTTACCAGCAACTCGCTCCTCTCACCCACAAACGTCGACAAGAACCAATGCATCAAGCCATGGCTCCAGTAAGGCGTGCTCGTAAACGCAATACCCTGAGCGCCACCGCTGCGGCCAATCTTGCCCAACACAGCACGAACGAACTGCTTCGGATTTGGCACCAGTAGCGAGGATTTCCTGATCTTGGACATGGCGGTTGTGATGAGGTGGGATTGGATGCACTGGACGCGCACACCGTGGGGTTCCAGTTCTGAGCCCAGAGCCGTAGACCATTGCTGAAGGAAGGCTTTGGAGCCGGAGTAGGTCGCCAGGAGAGGGGTGGGGAAAGCACCGCCGAAGGAGGCCATGGTGAGGATGAGGCCGCGCTTGCGGGAGATCATGCCGGGGGTGACGATTTGGGTGACGCGGAGGGTGGCCATGCAGTTGATCATGATGATATCTCGCATTTCGTCCTCGGGGGTTTCGACGAACGGTACGGGGATGGAGTGGCTCAGTCCGACATTGTTGACCAGAATGCTGATATCAAGTCCCTTGATGAGATCCCTCAGTCGAGCATAGTCCGAGTCCTTGTTCTGGGCAAAGTCCATAGCGAGTGTCTTCGTGGAGATTTTGGGGCCATACTTGGACGAGATGTCGGATGCGAGAGTGGTGAGTTTGGATTCGGTGCGGGAGACGAGGATGAGGTTGTAACCTTTTGCTGCGAGGGCGAGGGCGAATTCCTTGCCGATGCCGTCTGAGGCGCCGGTGATGAGGGCCCAGGACCCTCGGGGACCGAAGTTGGTGAGCTGGAGGCTTTGTAAATACTCTGTTACATCAGGGAAAGCCGGACAAGATAGACTTACAGACTGACCTGGAAGTATGAACAGACTGACGAGTACCCTCGCCAGGCTTAGCAACGGCTTCGTAACCGAAACAATGCCAGCGAAAATGAGAAGGGTGGCTGCGAAGCGCAAAACCGGGGAGCTGGCCTCTATGTGAACTCCAAAGGAGTCTGTGACGTTTCTAATAAGGTACTCCATTCTGTCACTTGGTCGGGGAACAGCAGAGCTCAAAGAATTCCGAAGTTGGAAGAGAAAGATGATGTTGGGGAAGTCGGAGCGCCGATGCCTAGGTACGCTCGTGATTGGCTGCCGCATATCCAGTCGGAAAATCTTGTCGCCGACGGCCAGCCCACATTCTCGCTTACAGATTTGTTGCGACTACTCAACCGCGACCTGACCCTAAGCAACGACAACCACATCCCGTCCGCAAACATGGCCACCGAACTGACGTGCGTATCGCGACCGAATATGTCCATTTCCGATCACTAACGGCTTCCGCAGAGTCCAGTCGGAGCGCGCTTATCAGAAGCAGGTACTACACAACCTCCCGCAACGATTGCAAACCGGATCTCTTCACGATGCTGATTCTCGGATTTCTAGCCGCACATTTTCCTGAACCACAAGGTCGGTGGTCCGCGCAAGAGCACCCGGAACCGGAGATGGTATAAAGATGTTGGTCTGGGCTTCCGCACGCCCAAGACTGCCATTGAGGGCTCCTACATCGACAAGAAGTGCCCCTTCACCGGCCTCGTGTCCATCCGTGGCCGTATCCTCACCGGCACTGTCGTCTCCACCAAGATGCACCGTACGTCTATTTTCCATTACAAGTGGAGAGGAGGAATATCGGATCTGGCTCGGTGAAGGAGATACGGCTTGGCAGATATTGACAGGCTGCAGGTACCCTGATCATCCGCCGCGAGTACCTCCACTTCGTCCCAAAATATGCCCGTTATGAGAAGCGCCACAAGAACCTCGCCGCACACGTCTCCCCCGCCTTCCGTGTCGAGCCCGGTGACCAGGTCGTCGTCGGCCAGTGCCGCCCCCTCTCCAAGACCGTCCGCTTCAACGTCCTCCGCGTGCTTCCCCGAACCGGCAAGGCTGTGAAGCAGTTCACCAAGTTCTAAGCGTGGAGTTTTGTTTTGGTGAAATGCTTTTACGCGAGGAGATGGAGCAGAAGGGGTGGCTGAGAATCGGGATCGGAAAGGTCACTCTGCATATGGGTTCAGGAAATCGGAGTCCTACGGGCCGTGTATGTTTCCGCAGTCTATGATCAAATGAAAGCCCTTGGTCGGCGAAAAGGTGCCGCTGAGGCAGGTCAAAAAGTCAGGTGGGGCACTTTTTGCAGTGACGGGCCGCGTGCATTGTGCATTGCGCGTAACGAATGGACGTTGTCGAATGTGCAAATCATTTGGTCTTGGTGATGCTGGAGTTAATGTCTGGTGATTCAGTGGTCGCTTGGAATTGCCAGTGCCTGCGCAGAAATGGGAAGTGGCTCACAGGGCATTCTTCCGCCAGATTGATATAAGCAGAAGCTTGCGAGCGTGCAAGAATGCCTCCTAATGACGCCTCTCTAGGAGCTGGCCATGTTCTCGCGTGCAAGGATAAGGTTTGAAGGATATAACTCCATTCGCACAAAGCTCGTTCCGTCCATTGCAAACCATTACATTCGAGCGCTATATGCGATAGAAGTTCTACCGTGAGCATTTATCTTCCTCTTACAGACGAGCACCATAGTACATATCCCTCCTCTTCCTCAGACCCTCCCTTCTCCTCCCTACATCAGTCCCCGCTCCCTCCTCACAGATCCCCTCCTTCCTCCTACGCCCCATGATACACCCCCCACTGCACCCACATCCACACCAAACTCACCGAACTGATCACCACGGGCCCCATCAACCCAGGCCCCCACCTCGCCGTCCCAAACACCCACCACTCGCTGAAAAAGTGCGCCCAGGCAACCGCATACGTCCAGAATGCCAACTCGTAGACCTGCGGATTCGTAATGTGGTATGCAGCGTAGAGGCGAATGATGGAGGCGAGCAAGGTCCATGTGCCGAAGGTGCGGGCGGAGAGGGGGTTGACTGGGGAGGAAGAGGAGGAGGGGGTTCTACTGCTGGGGCTGGAGGTGCCCGAGTAGACGCGGCGGGTGGGGCCGAGGGAAGTGTAGGCTTGGATGCTGTTGCCGATGGAGACTATGGAGAGCTGGGGAGGGGGAGAAGGTTAGTGTGGGTGGGCAAGGGAGAGAGGGAGGAATGACGCACCAGGAGGAACCATTTAGGGAGGAGGCCCGGGGTTTGGGGGAGGTACGAGGTTAGGGATGCCATTGTGCGAGATTTGACGTCTATGCGGGTCCTTTTCCGGTACTTGGGCTGTGTTGAGGATTCGCTGTAGCGTGGTGGAGGGAAGAGTTGGGAGTGGGGATGCAGATGTTTATCATCTGACGTTGTTGAGGTGGTCGGTGCAGACGGGACGGTGCAGGGCTGACGTTCCGAAATAGGAAATAAATATTCAATAACCACCAAGTCAACATGAGGAACAGTAATTGCAAGGCAAAGAGCCTAAAAATACACAAGAGTGCATGTGGAGCTCAGGCACTTATAGGAGATTTAGGACTTGCGGGATCAGGTTAACGGGGTTATGGGTCATATTCATGGGCATTCGCCAGTAACCCGAACCGCCCTCTTTCTAGAAGAGCGAATGCATGCAATGTACACTGTACAGAGAAAGTTATAAAAGGTATAAACCACCTAACCACATCTGCCCGGTCTCATCCGCTCGAAACGATCGGAATTCGAGGAGGACTAGTTGCTCGAGGAGACCTAGTTGCTTGATGCGTACTCTAGCCTCTTCCTGTAAAGCTCACCGCCGCATGCGCGAAGCCGCTCTGCGGCCTGCTCGGGCGTAATGTCGCGCTGCGGTTCGCCCAGCATCTCGTAGCCCACCTGGAACTTCCGGACGGTCGCGCTGCGCAGCAGCGGTGGGTAGAAATGAATGTGGAAGTGGCTACACTCCACTTCTTCGTCTGTGCCTTCGAGTGGAGCTTGGTGGATCCCCATGCCTGTTGCTGTTAGCATCCACCTATATTAAAGTATTCCAAGATGCAACTCACTATAGGGAAACTGCGTCTCGAAGAGGTTGTCGTAACGCCTTGTGATTTCTGCTACCACCTCTGCCAGTTCCGCGCGCTCCGTTGAGTCCAGATCCACCAGAGACCGTTTGTGCTGCCTACTTATGATCATGACCTCGAACGGCCACACTGCCCAGTACGGCACGCCTGCCCAGAACGACTTGTTCTCGAAGACGGTCCTTTCCTTCTCTTCCGACTCGTGCTTTGCGTAGTCGACGAGCAAATGTGCCCCCCCGTACTCCTCCTTGTACTTCCGTAATTGCCGAAGTTCAAGGGTCGGCTCTTCGGGGAGGGAGGTGGTCGTCCATATCTGGCCATGAGGATGGGGATTGGAGCAGCCCATGGTCCTGCCCTTGTTCTCGAATATCTGCATATACCGGTATTGCGCATTCGGCTTCTGGATATCGTCCTGGCCCAGAGGAGGTAATGCCAATGATGCAGCCTTCTGTGCGAAGGGCGACTTTGGGCTGAGGTGCATGATGTACAACTTGGTCCAGGTCTCTATTATCGGCACGATTTGCGTTGGGCTCATGTCGGCCAGCGTGAGATGATGGGATGGCGAGAAGCATATGACATAGCATTTGCCAGTGACGGCCTCGGCGCGGAGCAGTCGGCTTCCCAGACCCCCATCTTTGCGCTCCGGGTGGTACTCCTCCTGGTCCTCCTTGACGGCGCTGTAATCGTTGACAAAGACAAAGGTCCGCTCATACTTGGGGTTCTGTTGGCCATTTGCGCGAGTATTGCCAGGGCATAGATAGCACTGTCACGTGTCTGTCAGTAGTTTTCCGTTTCCTGGCACGAGATACCTACTTCCGGGTCGTATTCTGGGAGGGTGGTTTTCGACGGAGTTTCCTGGAGGCCTCTGTACCATAGTCAACCACATATCCTCCAACAGCCACTTGATTGCACATACTGCCACGGCCGCTTGTTGCGGTGGGGAGAAACCAGCACCCAGCTCCCGCGCAGGGGATTGTACCGGCGATGTGAAATGTCGTTCAGAATGGGCTCGGCCATGGATGGGATGGTTTGGCAAGACGGGAACGCGCGCACTGTTAGCCTGGACGCCGGGGGATCAGGTCAGTGTAGGACACAGCGGGAAGCGCAGAATATAAGAAGGCCATTTATTATTGGGACATGCACACGGTGAATGACGCCGATCCACGGTACTTTGGTCGAAAGAGTATGCCTTCCGCTTGCCGGGCGTCGGAGAAAACTGTCGCCGACGGCATGGCTCACAACTGGCTGTGGGGGAATGGTCAACAGTGAGAGCTGGCTTCTTTTGGATCCCTGCACATCGCGCCGCCCAACAATCAATCCGCGCAGCAGAAGTGGAGCGCCTGTGATTAAATAGTTTGGATTCGCCCTTCAGATTGACATGGCGGCAATGATGCCCAGCTCAGTCACATCGGGCGGCGCATACGACAACGACGCCGTCGAGCGCGACCTCATCGACCCCGACGACGGTACGTATGCGGGCTGGAGCTCCCAAACAGCTATGCGGCATCTAACATGTATGCATGGCAGCTACACTAGAAGACTTCGATGACCCTCTCCAGTCGACATCGGACCGCGCGCCGCTCACAGGCAACATCTCGTCACGATCGGGCGGTGGGAACACGCAATCCTACCTGACGTCGACCATCGGAGGAGAGGACCGGCGTGCACCCACCAACACCATTGACGAGACGGTATGGCAGACGCTATCACGGGACCTGCTCGCCATCTGGGAGAAGATGAAGCAGGTGCTCTACCCCAAGTACCTGCTGGGTGGCATGATGCAGCGCGGCGGAGGCATAGGAGCAGCTGAGCGTGGAGAGGCAGATGGCTTCGGCGGCGGGCTCAGGAGCCTCGCAGGCCGGTGGCCCGACGCAGACGTTATCCTCCAAGGAGGCATGAGCGAGGGACTGCGCGACTGGGACCTCTGGGGCCCGTTAATCTTCTGCCTGCTCCTGAGTCTCTTCCTCTCCCGAGGCGCCAAGGATTCCCAGAAAGACCTTGTGTTCTCCGGCATCTTCGCCATGGTGTGGATAGGGGAAGCGGTCGTGACGCTGCAGATCAAGTTGCTTGGTGGTAACATGTGAGTCGGGGGAATCTCATTAGCAAGGCGGCGGCTCACTGACCCATACAGTGCCTTCTTCCAATCCGTCTCCATCATCGGTTATACCCTTTTCCCTCTTGTCATTGCTTCTCTGTTGAGCGCCGTCCGACTCCCGCTGATCCCTCGAATACCCGTATACATTGTGCTCGTGGCATGGTCTTTGGCCGCAGGTATCAGCATCATGGGCGGCTCAGGCGTTGTGCGGAACCGCGTCGGAATCGCCGTGTATCCGCTATTGGTCTTCTATATTGCGCTGGGCTGCATTTGCTTCATCAGCTAGACCAGTGCTGTTGTTCTGGGGGTACCATGATTCGGCGTTTGGGAGATGTCACTACACAGGCGTTCGGTATCAATATTGGGTTATCGCTTTGGCATGTTTCTTCTATTATCATGATACTCCAGCCTGGTTTTAGAGGACTTGGGCACCAGGCCACCCGCCTCATTAATGCAAGGTCTTTCAGCGCCTGCGCCTAGTTATGTACACAGTAGGCATACAGTTCCAAGAATTATATCAGACTTGAATACAAGTCTGGCTATGCACCTCCAACCACGCCTCGCGTTTTGTAGGAATTGTTAAAACGGACGACGCTGATTCGCTGGAGGGCCCCGCATTTCCGAGAAATGCAGCTCGAATGACGAGCCCAGGAGAGGTCCCGCTCCGACCGACAACACACTCGACCTCGACCACCCACCTGGGCACCACCTGCACGCCCTCCTCCGCCATTCACCTCCCACCCACGCTCTGCCCCTTGTGCTCCACGTCTGCCGGCGCGTTTGCAGCCCAATCTCCGAATCCAACTGTTCGCGCAGTCATTCCGACTGCCACTCAGGCCTTGGCCGTTGCCGCCAACGGGCCTGGTCTGCGCCGCCGCTCCAGCTTTCCGCCCACTTCATCTCATTGACCGCATTCGCGAATAATACGTCTACGCGCTTTTTCTCCTGTCTTCCGTCCTCTGGCAATTGCGAGATCGATCCTTCCACCGTCTTCTCAGACTTCCTTTGTCTTCGAACACCGCACTCTGCGCGAATCTCGGTGTAACTCAGCCCAGCAGAGCGCCCTTCCCCTGAACGAACACCCCTCCCTACATAGTTACCATCCAACCTCATCGCATATCAGCTTAAGCTTTCGACATCGCGATGGCGGGCTCATTGGAGCGACCGGTATCGCCTAAACCTGCTCCCGCACAGGCTGCGACGGGCTTCAATATCCCCGCTTCGCCAACTGGCAGCGCCCGGAGCAGCGACAGCGAGGGCAAGCCCGTCAGGAAGAAGCTCAAGGAGACAAGGATAGACGCTCAAGGTTCCGCTGAGCGGCCTCCGTCGTCGGATCGGCCTATGCACGATGTTACCAACGGAACCGGAACCGCTACTGCGGGGGATAATATCTCGTCCGAGTCCGAGAGCGGAAGAGGCAGGCTTCGGCGTAAGCGCAGTCGTGAGGATTTCGAAGAGGATGACAAAGATAAACCGGTGGAGAAGAAAAAGGAGCGTCATGTACGGAAGAAGTCTCGCGACGTCACAAGCCCGGCTCCCGCTATTCTCGAGGGTGCTGAGATGTCTGCGAAAAGCGCTGTCGACCCGATCAAGGAGCACGATGCCGACGAAACAATGGCCGCTGAGTCGAAGACATTACAGAACTCATCCCCTGAAGCCCGTGCGACTCCTGAAGCGGGTGCATCTGATAAGGATGCGACGCGAACCAGTCCGAAGAATAAGCGTACTCACGATCAGACGAAGACTGAGGAGAATGATTCCGAGCTGGGCAATGCCGAAAAGGGTGCAAGGGCAGCTGATACGGCCCCTGAGGAGCCCAGCGCTAAACGTCCTCGTGAGAAAAGTGAGGTTCAGACCGCTGAAGTGGCAGATGAGGGCAAAACCAAGGTAAGTGAGGCATCCATGGCACTATTAATTGACATGCTCATACATATAGATACCGCCCGGAAGTGGCTTTGCCAACGTATCGGCAGCCTCTCCTTTCGCCTCCCTATCTCCCAAGAAGCCGTCCGCCGGCGAAAAGGCTCCACAAGACCTCCCTCAAACCAGCGACGAGAAGTTCAAATCATCCGGGTTCAGAAGCTTCGCAGCATCTTCCGCTTCTCCATTTGGTGCCATCGCAGCCTCTGCGAAGTCTCCATTCGGTGCTGCGGCTGGTGGAAGCAAGTTGACCAGTTTTGCATCTCCATCGGCTACGAGTGTTCCTGCAGCAAGCGGTTTTGGGTCACTTGCTGGTAGCGCGACCAAGTCCGGCTTTGGTGGTGCCACCAGCGGTGCAACAGCAGGCTCCGTATTTGGTGGTGCTCTGGGCCAAAGCGGATTCTCTGGACTTGGAGCCTCCAAGGGTGGACTATCTTCGTTCGCAAGCCCAGGTGCTGGGACCATTGTAGGTCTCAGCAAGAAGCCCAACAGACCGTTTGGCGCTGCGGCAGATGATGACGAGGAGGGATCTGGTGACGAAGACGAAGGCAGCAGCGATGGTGAAGCGTCGGACAAAGAAGAAGCGGAGAAGTCGAAGCAGGGCGAGCAAGAGAAGCGCAGTTTTGTGGCCCACGAAGGCAAGTCTGCACCTTTGCACAGCTGAACAACCGCTAACTGCGAGCAGCACTCGAGACCGGAGAGGAAGGAGAGGACACAATATGGTCCGCACGTGCCAAACTCTACATTTTTCGTGGTAAAGATGGATGGCAAGAAAGGGGTGCAGGCGTCGTCAAGCTCAATGTCGCCCAAGAGGGACCTCGGAACCCTAGATTCATCCTCCGCGCCGATGGCACCCATCGCCTCCTCCTCAATGCAAGAGTTCGCGCAGATCTCAAGTTCGGGACTACGGAGGGTACACAGCCTGAGGACGGGAAGCTTTTCTTTGCTGCCCCTACCACGGATGGGCAAGTGCTTACGCATTTGCTGAAGGTATGTTGATCGGCTGGACTGGGCCATATGAACGTGTATGCATGAGACTGACTGGACGCAGATGAAACCTGAGAACGCGAAAGCTCTCTGGAAAGAAGTCCTGGGTGTCAAGGCAGATCTCTAGATCGAACGCCGACGAATTCCTGCATCAGTTAGTCCGCTAAAGAGTCTGCTTCCTGCTGGTCTATCCCCTTCTGTCGATATTGGCTCTAGGACGCTTCTTGGAACCACATCCTCGCGTCACCGATGGGTTGCTACCAGGATACTTCAGAAGTGGGTCCTCTGAAGGGCTCACAAACTCACAACTTGGATCCCGAGTATTGGCCGCAGATATTTATCGTGTGAGACCTTGAATAGAGTCCCGCTCTTGACGCATTGGTGGTGGGCGTGGTTGTGATGCATTGGTATAGATGGGCTCCTTGTGGATGGCGCATGGATAACCGAACGGAGTTGGATGTTCATGTAAGGAGGTTTATTGAGCGGTCAGAAGCAGCTAGGTAGCGTGCTTGGACTTTGTGTAGCATGGTGTGCAAGTGATAAATCCATTTCTCTTCCTGTTCACTCGATGCGTCTCCTGCTCAGATCAATCGCGAGCGGCAAAGCAGCCGTGGAGTGCTACCGTGCCACAGTGTCACTGACATGGCCAAGTGATGCGCTTCTCGACAAGGATATAATGAACCTTGTTTCGCTTCAGGCTGTTACTTCTTCCCTAAAGTCTCCAAGACATTTTCTAGATCGATATCTAAGATGCCAATGTGGGCATGCGACTCCGACGGTTGCTCGAAACCCGCAGTCCGTAACGCTGGTGACTGCATTTTATGTAACCGTCACCTTTGCTCCTTACACCTGCAGAGTCCATATCATCAATGTCCCTCATGGGAGGTCTGGTTCTAGGTCTCAGTTCAATACCGCCCATATGCTAAATCTCCAGCAGGACGCCGATCACTACGATCCCGCCGCCGGGGAAGCCGAGAGAAAAGAGATAGAAAGGCTGCTTCAAAAAATCAACAAGGAAGCTCTGGCCGCGCGTGCGAGCGAGCTGCGAGATGGGATGCCTTGCACCATCCCTGCACTCCAGTACGATGGATCCAAACGGAGCTCTATCATGGGTGGTATGAACTACCACATCGACATCGTTTTCGAAGATGGTGTTGTTTGGCTGGCACGCATCCGCCGTTTCGATGCTGCCTCTCCTCCACCCGCTTTGCGGGATCACATTTTCCAGAGCGAAGTCGCCACGATGAAGTTCCTCGAGGAAGTCGCAATACCGACTCCGAGGGTGTTTGATTTTGCCCTGGAAAGCGAGGAGAATCCCGTTGGCGTTGGGTATATGCTGATTGAGAAAATGCCGGGAACGTCCCTACGGTGGTCACTTGCTTCGCCGGATCAGCGGAGGAAGGTTGTGGAACAACTTGCGGATATGCTGATCGAGCTGCGAAAACATCCGTTTGACAAGATGGGGTCCCTTGAACTTAGTGCTTCTGGTCCTCTTCACATTGGGGCTTTTGCACGCGAGTCGCTTACGGATTTCGACCGTAGTCGCATCTCGGCCTTAGGCCCGTATTCCTCGCTCGAGGAATATCATACTGCTTCCATCAGACTCATCCTAGATTTGATCCTACGAGAGGAAATGTACTCCCAAAACCCCATCGACGCATACCTCATCCACCGCTTCCTCCTCGACCTCATCCCCTCTGTCCTCCCTCCTCCTTCCTTCCGGCAAAACACCAAAGATCATCACTTCTTCCTCAAACACGCCGACGACAAAGGCGACCATATCCTCGTCGACGACGACTACAACATCACCGCGCTCATCGATTGGGAGTGGGCTTACACCGCCCCCGAACCGCTCGCGTTCAACTCGCCCGTCGGACTCCTCCCCGTAGCAGAGTTCTACAACGGCGTCAACGCATTGGGTGAGGAGGAGGAGTGGCTGGCGCAGATGTTCGAATTGAGGGGGCACTTGGGTCTAGCGCGGGCGGTGAGAGGGGGTCGCGTGCAGCACTTCTTTGCGTTTTGTTGTGGGTATGATCTTTCGGATTGGAAGGGGTTTCTTGGGTTATTTAGGGGTTTGAGGGATGCGGTTGGTGTGGATCCCGGGTTGGGATGGGAGGAGTGGAAAGGGGTGGCTTTGGAGCGGTATCGGGGGGATGAGGGGTTGAGGGTTTTACTGGGGAGGGTATGAGGTGTTGGGGGTGTTATGTATAAGGATTGCTATAAAGGTTATGTTGGTCTTATTCTAAGTATGGTTGTGGGTTTTAGACGGAGATGTGGTGTCGATAGGAAACAATTTATACCTGTCTGTTTGATAGCACCCATTGGAAGCATTGCTGTACAAGAGGAAAAACAGGACTTCGCAAAGCTAAATTGCTAAGGACGTAATAGTACTCAAGAATCAGGGACGTAACCTTGTCCTTCTTGCGGCATGTTAAAGAAGCTAACAAAAGATGCAATACCAAGCTAAATCCGCTTGCTCTAAGTTCTTCTAACACCTGTGAGGGCACACCTGACAGCTACTAGGTGAACAAATTTCCTAGGAAGCAAGCCAATGAATGGCATAACAGAGTTTGAACCTAGTAATTTTGTTGAAATATAGAATCTATAACCACATAAACAAGGCCGTTTCCCGGGTGCGCGAACGGGAGCCATGTCTGACGGTTGGTTGTTCGGCATTCTTGGGACTTGGAGCTTCAGAAATTAGCTTTCGCGAGTACGACCAGTATATGGCAGTGAGCTGTCGGCAGTTATGTTCAGGAGTGCAGTTGTGAGTGGGAACGAAGAAAGTACTGGATGTGGAGTGACAAAGGCAGGGTGTGGGGCGCGAAACCTGCTATGTATCAAAAGTAAACTGGACTATCAGTGTTTTGCCCTTCGGTCGTAGCCGTAGACCGGAACTACGCATACGCGTGGTACTAGTATGAGCACTAACCCATTGTCTCGATTGAGGCGTACTATGATCTTGATTCCCAATACAGGTCGGTCTCAGGGTATTGGACATCTAGAGCCGAGATGCGAATAGAATGGCACTGAATCGCGGCTGAGGTCACTGTGCGGCTCACACAATGCGAACTATTGGATAGGCTTCCTCACGTCGAACCAATATGATGGTCAAGCTTTAGCCTCATGACGTGGATTGTACTCGACGTGTGTGAGATCATACAACTCTGCCGTCTTCTAGCGTCTGGACGTCGGCTTCCACCCGGCTCACATAAGCCCCCGGCGTTTTGTCCTTGATCAAGTTGATCGTCCGCTCCATTGCAAGGCCGTATCTCGTCTCACACCGAAGGATGTTCTCCGCTGTACTCGTAGTATCTTGAGGAACAAGTTCTGCATCTCCATTCGCAATGAAACCCTCCTTGAGAGTGACCTTCCCAGCCTCCTGAAACGACATCCTCTTGTACATCGCTACCAGTGCCGTCTTCTTGGGGTTCATGAACAGACGTAGTCTTACAGTAGATATCGCCGTACCAGGCACGCCTACGGAATAATTTCGAGCAAATTCATTGCACGCGTTCACGAGACCGGTCCCAATACCCCGTCCCCGATGTGCTCCAGCAGTGTAAAGATTGCAGATGTGCCACCTCGTTTCGAGTTCCGGTGTCTCGACGACAGCTTGTCCGGATTCGGGAAGGAAATATTCGCCGTACGGAACGGGACCTCTGATTGTAACAAAACCAACCCACTCGCCAGATAGCAGCTTCTCCTCATCGTCGACAGAGTTGTTGTCGCCATCTGGCGTAGCTACGCAGATGAAGATTGTCGAGGGTGGCGCGAGTCGTTTCGTCCACACGTTGAGAGATACATGAACTTCATCTACATGTTGTACCGCGAAACCGGTAGGCTCAGCTAGGAGCGCAGCCAATTTCGCATCCTTATATCTCTTGACCAGTTCTGGGGTGTGAGGTGAATCGGTCGGGATTCGATGAATGGAGTATCTGAACGGAGCGGAACACGTTGGCGGAGACATATTTCAGTGACGCAAGGGATACAAGCTCTAGGTAAAATGACAGTTGGTCCTGGAGGCACTTCTGAGCGTTCTTTGCCTTTTGATATCGATGTACTTTTTCCAAACTTACTGTGGTATATCTGTATATCTAGTAATATTCTCGCTTGACCGTAACTGGTTAGCCTAAGAGAAGCTTAACATGTTTATTTATGCCTCGTTTCATCCTCTTCCGCGTATTGTGGATTAACATGAGCATTCTTGAATGGTGGGCTTCGGCAATTACCATCCTCTTCGTCATCTCTTCATCATTGGCACAACGCCACTCAATTCACCGATGTAAGTGTCCGGGGGACGTGTTTCCTGCCCTCTTAGGTTGAGTGAATTGGAACAATAGCGTATGAAGCCGAGGATACACCTAGGTACCAATTCCGGGAATTGCAGTGATAAAGTCATTGCCTACAGTAAGAGAAGACATTGAGCGTGCAGCATGGGAGTGGGTTCAGGCAAGAGAATCCTGTCTCACGGTGGCACTTACCCTACCAACACAGGCCAATCCAACTCCCTCACCTCCTAATCAACGACTGCACCTTCTTCGTACTTCATGTCCGTCTCGTTATACCACTGCTTGCTTTCTCACCATGCTAACCGGCTCCATGCACACCTCTTCCCCGCGTTTCATTCCATCATCCTTAAGCAAGACAGCTGACACCGTGGCTCCCATCATTCTCATCACCTCACCTTCTCACGTCTCATCCCATCCGCCGTAGTAACAAGCTCCGTAGCGCGTCCAATATCTATCTGCGGATCTTTGTTACGGACTATGCAACTCCGCCTATGTACGCCTCCTCGGATCAGTGGTGCGACGCCACGCCACCATTATCATTACCACGCATAGTCGTATCCAGCAACACTGAAGCCAAGCTGGACTCCTCCGACTCCTCCAACTCCACCTTCGATCCGTCTCATTCATCGTCCGACCGCCTTACCGGCTCCTCAAGTGCAACCAGCCCTTCCAACGTTTCCTCAAGCTTGGGTGGCCGCGCAGACTTCCACCGCGTATCCACATACCCTTCATTGAGTACGCATCACACGGGCACCAGCCACAGTTCACGATCTGGGACACGGCTCCCCCGACGTCACACACCTGACGTTAGAGGGCCAACGCGACAACCCAGCCCTGCCTTTGACCATCCCCTCTGGAGACGATACGAGAAAAGGCAACAAGCTGCAGACCGACGTCGATACTACACCTATAAAAACAAGTCTGGTCGCAAGCCACCCCAGCGACAGCCAGACGATCAAGGCGCTCAAGGAGATGCACGAGGGGGTTCAGTACGATGGCGTCAGCTTGGAGAGTACGGAATCGCAGAAGCTACAACCCCTGAGAGACAAAGAGTGCGAGGACTCCCTGGAGAGTACGATAGCCTGCGTCCTGGGTGAGTTGTCAACGTCACGCGCTTATTGCATTTATCGTCTAACATCGTTGGATAAACGGTTGGCTGATCAGTCCAGCGAACGCGAGCCCAATCTACGGGCCCTCACGCCATCTCGATATCATCCGCTTCGCACCTTTTTCGGGAAGCAAAAAGGCCGCCGCAATCGTGGAGCATCAACCGGCTGGTAATTCGTACACTCACTGTCGCTCCGCGAGGGAAGACTCTCGACGAGCTGCCATTGAACATCCTCTCGTCAGCACTGAAGATACTATCCAGCGGCTTCTAGTCGCAAAAGGTATTAGTTGGAGAAAATAGCTGCCGTCAAGATCGCAGGTACATTATCCGTCTATGCACAACGATACTAGTGTACCCGATTCGAGTGTACCGGGTATTCCCGTGGGAAGCGTGACTAACAGTCGCGAAGGAAGCATTCAGCTTCCCGAGTGAGTGCATGCAAATCCCAACTCTGACCGCAGAATTCCTAGGACGAGGCTGATGCAGTGACAAAAGCTACGGGGTCGGTTTTTACTACCAGAATGACCTACACGCCCCAGTTGCGACGCTCCCTAGGCGAACCCTCAGCCACAACGATAATGACAGTATGGAACCCGCGTCCACTTCGACATCAAACCTACGGCGAGCGGCCAGGGATTTGATAGCGCAACCTAGCCCCATCCTGGTTCTCCACCTCCACGAGTATACACAACCGCGCATACACGGAAAATTCGTGTCAGAGTCGAGTTGATAGTACGGGTGATTGGCGGACAGAGAGGCAAACGGCAAGAGAAACGAGAGATGGAAGGGTGGTCGAATTCCGTATCATTACTGTGTGACACTTCACTCATTGAAATCCTATCGCTGTCCTTCTCATCATTCCGGAAGGTGGAATCCTCAAAACACATGAAGTGCCTACTCTAAATGACCCGACCAGGTTTTGTAACGCACCGTAAACGCCGGATAAACCCTGTTTAGATACCGTGAATATGCATGACAAAGCTACGGATCGGTTCAAGCAGATACGTGAAGCCGGGACTTTTAGTTCGCTTTCTTCGCAAATTCGACTCGCAGGATAAGGTGGTGCAGACCATCTGGTGAATTATTAGCAGGGTATTAAGAACCACAGCACATGTGCACATACAGCCATCCATTTTCTCGCACGCCTTCGCGGCATCAGATCTGTCCGCAAAGCTGACAAAGGCAAAGCCCTTAGCTCTGTTGGTCTCCCTGTCCTTGGCCAAGAACACCCTAGTGACATGTCCGAATCGACCGAACAGCTCGCGCAACTCTTGCTCTTCGGCAAACTCTGACACGTTGGTAACACGCAGTGTCGCCAGATCGTCTCTCTCGAACTTGCCACCCATCTTCTCCCCCGCGCCACCGCGACCACGCAGGTGAGGCGGCACATAGCTGGAGCCACCTCCACCCAAGGCGCCCGTTTCCGGCACGTCGTCCTTCATATCCGCCGCTGAGTCCACGCCCTCGGGCGCCATGGTATCCTTGAACGGACACTTGGTCGTCCAGTGGTCTCCGGAACAGATACGGCACTTGATCTTCGCATCCTTGAGCGAATTCTTCTTCTTTGCCTCCTCACTCTTATCCTCGGTCGTAGCCTTCCACCCGGCCATGGGCCTGAACAAGATGTTCTCTGCAACGGACGTGGTATCTGTCTGGGGCCCAGCGGGCTTGCCCTTCTCGAGCCCGAACTTGGCCCAGTGTTTGCGCTCCGCGACGCGGGGATTCACGATGGTCTTGATGGTGGTCTTCTTGATGCGGCGGGTGGTTTTCACTTTCTTGCCATCTTCGCGGATGGAGTAGGTGACGATGGTTTCGGTTCCGTCTTTGTTCTTGGTGATGGTTTGTTGGGGGAGTTGGAGCGAGTCTTCGTCTTCTTCTTCGGCCCAGTCGGTGCGGCTTTGTGGGGGTTAGTGAGGGTGGCGGGCAAGGGGGGAGGGGTTCGAAGGAACTTACCCTGCTACTCGAGACATTGTTGCGGTTGTCTTCTGGGGTATGCGAATGTGTAGGATGAGGCTGCGGGGTTCGTGGTGCTGGTCGTTGCTTGGGCGGCGGCGATGTTTCTGAGTTCGAATAGTGTGGGGTCAATTTTGAGAAAGGGAACATGAGATGCGGTACGGTCTTGGCGAAGGCGAGAAGCTAGGCCGCGTTGGGATTAGGCGATGCGGATATCCCCAATTGACGAACCTCATTGTAGTTCAACAAACTCAAGTGGGCATCAGAGACGATGGTGTATTGGATGACCGAGCGTATACACAGTATTAGAACCTATGTTGTTTCATAATAGGTGCTGATTTGCTCATCTCTCAATGCAGGATTGTCAACTCAACGACACCGGACACTTCGCCGCACCTGCCGATGCGACTTGAACTTTCCAAGTAGTAGACCTCCCTCACAATTCCTAGTTTCCCTCGATTCTGCAGTAATCGTTGCGGTAGGTTTGGGTCTGAGCTGTATGGTACCTTCTCATTATTCATCTCTGCTTCTTTCAGTCCTCCCAGTCCTTTCCAAATAGCATGACCGTCATGTAGTTGTGTCCCATCGCTTCTGGTGTGATGTCTCTTACGAGGTTTATCCCGAGCCAAGAGACGGTTGCGATAGTTGCGGTCTTCTGATATGGTGCTCCGTATCTTATACTTTACCAATTGCGTTCTACACTTCGGACGAAGTCAGCGGGGGTGGTCTGGACTGCCCTAAGCAACAACTCCGGATACCAATCGTGGAGCAAGTAGGTTTCCATCAAATCAGAAATCTAGAATTCTGCTTTGATCTTCGAATACATACCTAGGTAATACACCTCGACTCGACTGCAGATAGGGTTTGGGTAGCTCTTGCAATAGAAGGCAATGGTCATCACACCCAGGTAAGACCGTGATGGCATACGGGTAAATAACAATACGAGTAAGGACTTTTGCTTTGTATTTCAATCCGCTGTCCTGGGATGATGCCTATGTCGTGAGTGTAGTTTAGATATCTACCCAATCAGGCTAGCGTAGCCTGCCTCCACCTCCGAATCGCTCAGGCTTCCGACAGGGGTTCGATCAAGAGCACAGCCTTATTTTGGGGATGCGCCCCAGATAATCTCAACAGTAATCAGCTGGACGTTGGAGCCTTTGCTTGCCAATATTCACCCTGCAGAGTCACGACAATATGTTCATCGGTCGATAAAACCCGAACAAGAAGCTATTCCGAACGTCACTTGAGCATCACCACCTCCGCCATGTCCTCCGCACCCCCCCATCCCGACCCAAACGAGCAGGCGAATGGAGAGCACAACGTCGAGCTTGCAGAGATGGGTGACAAGAAGCCTCCTCTGCCGATAGAAGAGGATATCATGCAACTGGCGCGACTAGGGGAAATAAGGGCCATACAGAAGCTATTTGACAGTGGGAAGTACGACGCAACGTACTCGGACGAACAGGGCATAACGCCGCTACATGTGTGTACATGTACCCGCCCCCAAGACGTAGACAGTCACTCACACTTCTGTTTGACTTTAGTGGGCCGCAATAAACAACCATTATGCTCTATGCCATTTCCTCATTCAAAGCGGTGCGAATGTCAACGCAAAAGGCGGCGACGCTGTCGCTACACCAGTGCTCTGGGCAGCTAAGCGCTGTAATTACTACATTGTCAATCTCCTTCTCGAGCACGGCGCCGACCCTCTCCTTACCGACGATCAAGGCTTTAATCTCCTTCACTCGGCAACCCTCGATGGGAACGTCTTCCAACTCGTCCTGCTCCTACACCAGGATATACCGGTTGATATACCGGATGCACAGGCACATACGGCATTGATGTGGGCAGCATACAAAGGATATCCAGCGTGCGTAGATCTCTTTCTACGCTGGGGCGCAGATGTGAATGCGACAGACGAGAACGGATTCACAGCCTTGCATTGGGCGCTTGTAAAAGGCTCGCAGGGATGCATACAGAAGCTGATCGAGTACGGGGCGGACCGATTTGCAAAACAAGTTGACGGCAAGACTCCCGCGATCACCGCAGAAGAGATGAACACCACCCAGCAGTGGCATCGTGCGCTGGCGCAAGCAGGGTACAACAAAGATGGGACGGCCAGGGAGTTCCCGATCCCAGGCATCAACGACACGAAGGGGTTCGTCTCGCGGTTTGTGTTCTTCTGGCCGTTTTTGATCATTTTCGTTTGCATTTTCATTCTGTCTCACTTTCCCATCTATGTCGGAATACCCCTGACTCTGGTTGTTGGGTGGGGCATGCAATGGATGGCGCAGTATTTCCTTCGGTGGGCTCCTTCTAACATGAAGCAAATCCATGATACCGTGAGTATACCACTCAGCAAAGCAGTGCATCTCACTGACCCTTTCGAAGCCTTTCCTTGCAGGCATTTTTGCAGGTACTCTGTTCTGGATCGGAGTTCGCTGGCTAACAACTGTCCTCCCATGTAAGCCCTTCATCCGCTGCGTGGCTCATCAGGCTAACTGAAGAAGGGACAATACAAACGAATTTCTTCCTCAATGTGCTTTTTGGCGCCTTCGCTGGACTCACGACCTATTTCTACATCTTCACCATGGCAGCGGATCCCGGTTATGTGCCCAAGGCACCGAGTCGTAGCGCGTCGAAGGCGGTGATTGATGAACTCATGGAAAGTCGGCAATTTGACGAGAGCCACTTCTGCGTGCAGTGTATGGTGCGGAGACCGCTGAGGAGCAAGCATTGTAAGCGGTGTGAGCGGTGTGTTGCGAAGATAGATCAGTAAGCCTTCTTGAATCGAGGGAGGGGATTATAATTAACAGTCTGCAGCCATTGCCCGTGGGTTAATAACTGCGTCGCCAACAACAATCATCGTCATTTCGTCTTCTATGTTGCATGCATGGAGATTGGCGTTCTCATCTGGGTTCGCTTGGTACTGCAATGTGCGTCCATGTCCTTCCGCCGTATTCGACCCGTGGCCTGTACTAACGGTGCTAGACCTTGATAATGTTCCCTCACCTGAAGGCGTCGAGTGCAACGTGCTAGCGGAAGAGCTCTGCAGGATTCTGCACAAAGATCCGTTCACCATCGTCCTAACGATATGGACGGCTGCTCAACTTACATGGGTTACGATGCTCTTGATAGTGCAACTGCTACAGATTGCGCGGAATCTCACCACGAACGAGAGTATGCGTGGCCACCTCCATAGCCATACCCCGGCTGATGCGCTGAACTCCTTCGTCACTACGGGCGACATCTCACAGGACGATGTCTCAGGTTCAGCGGCTACTGGAGACGGAGCATCTTCGCAACGGCCGAATCAATCGATATGGGATCAGTGGAAGCGATTGCTAGGACTCGATACTTTTGTCGCCACTGCGCTCAGGGGCTCACGGGCGAACCAAGCGCGGAGCCGTGGGAACCCGTTCTCCAGAGGCGTGGTCACCAATTGTAAAGACTTCTTCTGCGACAGTTCGCCGATATTCAAGAAGAAAGAGAGCGGATATGCACAATTGGGAGGAGAAAGGGTAGATTATACACGCATGTATGAGATACCCAAGATGCGGTATCAACGGGGTGGTGGGCGGTACGAAGCCGTAGCAGGAGAAGAGGATGGGGACGTCGTATGATTCTAATAATGATATGTGTATGACTGAGAGCGTCGTCTACGTAGACGCCTTGTAACCCTATAGTTAATGAGCTGGAGATGATAGTTTCCTCTGGTCCAGGTTCTCGACCGGTTTCCACGTGGTCGGCCCCGACAGCCGAGGAACGTCCGGGAAGTGGACGGACCTCAGAAATGACCGCCGACCTTCACCACTACACTTTGCCACAACCACCTATGTGCTTGGGATTCTTTTGGCTCTCATTCTTTTTGTTTTTCGTTCATTTTTAGAGTTTTTGGTATCTCTGCGAGCGGGTTTATGCAAAGACTCTCTCTGTTGCTCGCTCGTCACTCCCGCTCATGACATCATTTGAGTTCCTTGCTGGAGGGCTCCGATCGCTAAGTTTGCGGACCGCGCGACCGACGACGCCGAGGACGTACCGTATATTGCAAGGCACGACTGTGTTGGGTGCGAGGAGGTCAATATGTACCGATTGCTTAAGGGCCTTGCGCGCACAGAGGAGGGGTGGGAGGAGTAGCCGGGCCGCTCATTCGAATGGCTGGCACACGACATTGAGGCCAGGTGGGCTTGGGTTTAGGGGATTGACTCAGGGGGTGCAGTTGATGCAGAAGAGTATGTGAGGATTGAAAGAGATATATTGAGGCGAGCATGCACTAACTGAGGCATAGGACCCGTGTCTAACCATCACGGACCGATGGCAGAGTACGAGGCAAGGGTTAACTCGGGCAGGTTGAGAGATGATCCGCATCAACGAGGTACGCATGCTCACGAAGGTACTCGTTCCGCAAGCCTAATGTGGATACAGACATCATACAAAGTCTTGAAGATTTGCACGAAATGCTATCCACGTACGAACAACCCCCCGTCCAGCATCCCACCATCGAATCCCTCCAACCCCCAAAACGGTCCTTCTTCTCGTTCTTCTCTGCAAAGCCCGAGCGCGCCACCATTCCTCCTATACCCGAATCGCTGCCTCAAGGACTGTACATGTATGGCGATGTTGGCTCGGGAAAGACCATGTTGATGGATCTCTTCTACGAGACGCTTCCGCCGAACATCAAGCGCAAGACGAGGATACACTTCCACGCCTTCATGCAGGGCGTACACAAGGATCTGCACAAGATGAAAATACAACATGGGAATGACATCGACGCGATTCCCTTCGTAGCTGCGAATATCGCGGAGAGGAGCTCCGTGCTCTGCTTCGACGAATTCCAGTGCACGGATGTAGCAGACGCTATGATTCTCAGGAGGTATGATTTCCAAAGAACGGTCGCCGAGGAATGAATGCTGATCAAGCGCAGACTAATCGAATCCCTCATGGCCCACGGAACCGTAATCGTCACAACCAGTAACCGCCACCCTGACGACCTTTACAAGAACGGCATCCAGCGCGAGTCCTTCATCCCCTGCATTAACCTCCTGAAATCGCGCCTGGAAGTCATAAATCTCGACTCGCAAACCGACTACCGTAAGATCCCTCGCCCGCCCTCGGGTGTCTACCATCATCCTCTCGACGCGGCAGCGACACATCATGCGGAACGTTGGTTCCGCTTCCTAGGGGATCCAGAGAACGACCCGCCACACAGAGCGGTGCATCAGGTGTGGGGACGCGATATCGTGGTGCAGAGGGCGAGTGGGAAGTGTGCATGGTTTACGTTCAACGAGATCATTGGCAGCGCGAGGGGTGCCGCTGATTACCTGGAGCTCATGAGGCATTACGAGGCCTTCATCGTGACGGACGTGCCTGGGATGAGTCACAAGACGAGGGATTTGGCGAGACGCTTCATCACGTTCATTGATGCGATCTACGAGAGCCGGGTGAGTGCAGAGAAGGGAACTAGGAGAAGACGACAATTGTTAACAATCTATCCGCATAGGCCAAACTCGTCATGACCACCGCCGTGCCCATAACCTCCCTCTTCATGTCCGAGGCCGAACTCAGCGAAGCCATGTCTGCCTCGCAGGCTAAAGGCGACACGCCCAAACCCGCGGCTACGGGTAACCCAGACGACCATGAGGACGTCAGCGACGCCATGCGCGCCATGATGGACGATTTGGGGATGAACATGTCGATGCTGAAGAATTCGAATTTGTTCACCGGGGACGAGGAGCGGTTTGCATTTGCGAGGGCGTTGTCGAGGCTGAGCGAGATGGAGAGTCAGGAGTGGGTGGAGAGGGGGTTGGGGATGGAGAAGAAGGGGGGTAAGGCGGAGATGGAGGGGTGGAAGAAGGTGAGGAGTCGGTGGAGGGAGGATAGTGCGTAGTATGTATGTGTGGGGAGGGGTTGGTATTCCTAGAGTTCCTTTTGGCGTGCATTATTTAGCGGCTCTTTGAGTCGGAAGATCATCTAGAGGGCTGTTTTGCGTGCATGATATCCCGCTATTCCCGGTTGGATAGAGTAACAGTTGGAGACGACTATGGAACTATTTATCGAATCATTGATTTGGATAATGGAACATGTACGATGTGATACAGTGAGGTATTTCCATAAGACTGCCCCTAGTTTTAGGGCCAGATACTGTACCACAGATGTAGATACCACACAGTTCCTCCAGCTTATTGCGAGAACGAACTAAGGTCATGCTCTAGGACTAGGTCGGCATACGGCTCAACATCAATGTACTCGTCCGAGGGCTACAACGGCACATACATCTCTAGCATTTTTCCTTCTCATCCACGTTACCTCTATATATGTACCATTCCCATCCGCACAAGCACTGACACCTTCTTCCTGCCTCTCTCCCCGTATTCACATCACTCAACCACCATCCCTCCTTCGTCCCGTCCCTACTACTCAAGGACACGTCGGCGTAGCACAGATCCTCCTCACGTTCTCTGGCTGAAAGCTGTTCTGCGTACTCGTGCACCTCAGCGTGCCCGCCACATCCAGACTACAGCTCAGCGGATCGATTTTACGGTGCGTGGAGGAGAGCCATTCTTGCCTACATCACGCATCAGATTAGCTTCACTAATAACCGCATCCACACCTTTCTCTTTGACTCTCTCGCTCTCTCCCTTCCCAGCAAAGTCCAAATATACAAACCAGCAATCCCAATCAAAACCCATCCAACCAAACAAAGCAGATGGAAAAAAAAAAAAAAAAAAAAAAAAAAAAAAAAGAAGAAGAAGAGAAAGCAAAACATACCCCCCACACCTCCACCCATGCACAACCTGGAAATCCGCCCTCTCCTGCGATCCCCTAAGTTCAAAAACCAGATTCCTCCTTCCCGTCACGCACACGTTGGAATTCGGGATCGGGGTTCCGGGCGCGGAATTGGCTTCGCAGAGGGTACCCGTGGTCGAGGCGGCGGCGTCGTCGATGATGGACAGGTCCGGGAAGGAAGAGTGGAAGGTGAAGGCGATGTGGGCGCCCGAGGAGGGCGACGAGGTGTAATGGAAGTCGGTGATGGTGTAGGAGGTGGGGATGCAGGGGTTTGGTTGGCGGGGGGAGAGGGGGGAGGAGAGGGTGAGGGTGGGGAGGAGGAGGGGGAGGAGGAGAGGGAGGAGGGTGAAGGGGTGCATTTTGTGGTGTTGGTGGTGATGGATGGGTGTTGTGGTAGTAGGGATATAGTATAGCAGGAGCTTTTAGCTTTTAGAGATGACGTCAAAGTCGAAAGCGTGGATTCGATAGGAGTGAAGGTAACAATTGATCTTAGCTGGATAGGTAGCGCTTTATATGCTCGCAAAAGAAAAGAAGTCGATCCTTTTTATAAACATCACGGCTCCAACGGTCTCGGCATCATAAGTTAGGCCGCCTCAACAACGTCCCTGCTCGACGCGCAAATGGTTCCCAACTGCGACATGTTGCAGTCATACGAGGTGCATAGCAGCATAACGGGTGCAAACGTTACACGACTTTCGATAGAAGACAACCCCCGTGGTCGGCCGCGTGGCGAGGTTGGTGGCTGGTACTGTACGCTGGTCCGGCCCTGGTAAGCTGACCTGAATAGTAACCTAGGATGTAGGCCAATCGAGTAACCAGCTGCACGTAGCCGTGGAAACATGCCTATTATAAACGGTGGCCTGATGTCTGATGATTGTGAATCCGGGCTGCCCGCGTCCTAGTATAGGCATTATTGGAAGGCCTTTCGAGCTGACCGCAAGATGCATACAAATCGAAGAGTCAGGTCTTCGTCTGCAACCTGAGCGATTACCAAACTCCTTCGTCGGCGATGCCGTGTTGGTTCCGAAGTGGCCATGCAATGGTAGGTACTTCTTGTTTGGGTCGGTCGATGCGCACGACTTCCATCGAATCCAATGTGCTCATGACGCGTCATGGAGAAGGTCGTATTAAAACGTTGCCTGCCAGTGGAACGAGTTTTAGGAAAGTGGCCGAGTAGGCGTCCATATGTAACGGTGAAAGCATTGACCGATGTCATCCAGGATTGATTCGTGAATCCGTCTCTCCTTTAACACGCCTTTCTTCCCTCCATCTGGGCCCATATGCCAGAAGAACCCAAAGGATCGGACTCGTTGCAGCCAGCACAGCCGCGACGAAGGTGAAGCACCACCCTCGTCCCATGGAATTGATCATGGCATTGATGGCCGCGGTGCCTCCAGCACCCATCCAACAGCGCACCAAATTGTTAGCGGCGGTGGCCGTGCTGGGGCTCATGGGGTAATAATCGATTAGGAGAACTGCCATGCAATTGAAAGCAGATGTCAAACCGAAGCCAATGATGAAGTGCAGGACGAGCGGCGCCGCCAGTTTTGCCTCGACCTCCAACGTCCAGCCGTAGCACAACACCGCAGCTGCGCCCAATGCCAGCATCGGAACTGCGACGGATAGCCTGGCACGCTCAACTGGGAAGTTCCTGAGATCATCGCCGCGTTTCTTGTCGATTCGGAAGTTCTCCTTTTTTGCGACGCGACGGTAATTCCAGTCCATCAAACGACCTGTAGTCATGGGTGCGCACAGGGCACCCACTCCAAATGGTATAAAAGCAAGACCTAACTGGAGGTCATTGAAACCATAGACTGCTTCGAAAAGGTATGGGCAGGAGGCAATAACCGTGTAAGAGGCAGTGTAAACCAAGCTGCTGTACAACAACAGTAGGCCGACGTCCTTCTGTTTGATCACACGCAGTGTCCCAAGCGGGTTTGGAAATCTGAGTTTGCGTTTCTTCGCCAGTTCCAGTTGCGCCGCTCTCTGGGAGATCCTGGAGGCTGTTCGGGTAAGCTCATCTCCGGTGTTCCTCGCTCTGCGCATTTCGAGGTAGTTCAACAGGGACATATTCCAGCTTTGAGGGGGTATGGAGCCATTTCTTACGACATTTCTGGCCGTCTCCGGGAAAGCCACCAAGAAGGGAACGAGGTAGACAGCCGTCAGGATGACGAGAAACCAGAAGATGGAGCGCCATCCAAGGAATTCAGCAAGGACTCCTCCAATGATGGGGGCAATGACGGGTGCAATCATGGATCCCTGAGGCTGTCAGATTGAGGATGACGGCTGAAAATGACAATACTTACACTCGTGACATATCCCATGTACATGCCACGCTCAGCGCTTGTAGAAATATCGGCTACGATGCCAGTACCAAGAGCTATAGTGGGACTATTTCCGTTCAGCTACCAGCCCAGATGGGTGAAACCGGATAGTGTCTTACCTGCTTCCGGTACTTTGTAAACAGCGCAGGACGAACAGAGCAGCAAATGAGTTTTGGAGGGCGAGACCGATGTTTGCTCCGATATAAACGAGAAAGCCTATGATAAACGCCGGCCGTCTTCCACTGTTTCACAATCGATCAGTTCAGTGTCCGACATTGCATCTGCTAGGGGCTACGCACGCCATGTCGGCTAGATCGCCAAATAATGTTGGCGCCAGTCCTTGAAAGATCATGTAGGAGGTGAGTGTCAGGTTCATCAAAGTATTGGATGCATTGTAGTCTTTGGCCAGAGTCGTCAGGGCTGGGAAGTAGATATTCGCTGAGAGAGGGGAGAAGAAACCACCCCAGGCAGCCAGGAATACGATGAACTGCTTCTGCCGCTTGGTGAAGACTGAATACGGCGGCGCGTTGCTCCGAACAGGACCTAGAGCCTCTGCGTCTCGGGCATTCGGCTCTTGCAGATTGGGATCGCTGGAGGAGGGCGATAGGACCATGGGAGATTCTTGAAAATGCTCTTTCCCGGCTTCAGTCTTCGTCGGTTCGTCAATTGCGTTTGGCTCCCCTCGCTCGACTTTTGCTTCCTCGTGGACACTGACCATGTCCCCTTGATCGTCGCTCGAGGAGACAGTAACACCAGGCATCATGATAGCAGCTCATCTACAGTATGGTGGCATTACTGTAAATAAGTAGGAAAAATCACGGCGGAAATAATCTGGCAGATGAAGTCATTTCCAGATTTCGGCGTCCATGATGCCATTACTGTTCTGGGATAGCCTCGGCCAGCAGCGGCTGGCGTTGCAGCACTGCCTAGGTACAGTGTTGTATGGTACCTTATTTATAGGTATGCGAGGTTTTTCCATGGAACGAACCAAACGGCGGTTTGCGGCCGATCGCCGTCTCGGTGTTGCATTTGGCCGTGGCATCCATATCAAGCGTATGTACACAGGACTGTACTTGTATCTTTGGCCACACAACGGAGATGTCATCCGAAAGTTGCCTTCTCGGGCCCGAGGTCGTGTGTGACCGTTGACGGAAGGTGAACGGGAACCAAACTGGGGAGCCTTCTAGTAGTCGCTTGCCATTGGCCAACCAAGCGAGCGAATAAAATCCGGCCTAAGTCCGACCCGCTGAGATCATGGTCACTATTCCCGCCAGCGCAACCCCCACGTTTATTATACACAACGCCATGGACCTGACGGCAGACTTCAATGCCATATTGAAGTCCAATGGCTGCTCCCAGCTGGTCAAGCAGAGGGAGTTTCGCGTCAGCCAGCTGGACGAGTTCTTGAAGGAGGCATACCGCATTGTAGGACACGTTGCTTCACCGAGGGTCCAGGGACAATGACAGCTAACTAACTGGCAGCGAGCACACATCGTAGAGCTTCATACCTACCTTCGATCCATACGCCAGAGCTATCTCTCTATTGCCCGTCCGCCGCGACGGAAGCAGCATGCACGAGTCAATGGCGCGGCCCCGCTGCCGGGAGCGGATGGGGAAACCAAGTACTTGACGGACAAGGAACGGGATGAAATTGACACCAACGCAAAACAGCTGCTACGAGAGCTCAATCATGCGGTCAGGGGCCTTTCGGACACGGAGCAGTTGCGGCAAGAGGCGGAACGAACAATCGCCTACAAGAAAAGGGCCAAGCAGGGCTTGGGCATGATAGGACGATGGGCAGCAGGCGGAGCGCTGACGGCAAAGAGTCCTGAGGAACAACTGCAAGAAGCGAAAGCAAATACACTGAAGGTACACAGGGAGAGCATAATATGGTATCTGCAGCGCCAGCTGGAGGAATGCGGTCGCTTCCAGAGCTCCATGATGGAGATCAGACTTGCGCGGGAGGTGGAGAAGAGCAAGAGCATCTTGCACAAAGCACGAGCGACGATACCGATACCAGAGGATTACAGTGGCGCCAATGGAGGCGCGCATCCGTCCAACGAGTATCGGGGCAAGACGTCAGCCCAGCAAGACGAGGAAATCAGGGCCGTGGAGCAACAACTTGATCCAGAGCAGCTCCAGCTGTTCGCGCAGGAGAACCAGGACATGCTGAAGCATTATGAGGACACACTGGACCAAGTCCGGTACGTACTCTCAGGGCTGGTGATAGCTTATAAGCTACCCCGCTAACTGTGTGTTCAGCATGGCCGAGAAATCCCTCCTCGAAATCTCCGAACTGCAGACTACGCTAGCCAACAACCTCAGCATACAGTCGGCGCATATCGAACAGCTGGTCGAGGACTCGCATTTGACAACGGAGAACGTGGGAAGCGGGAATAAGGAGCTGCAGAGGGCGACGGAGAGAAGAAGCACGGCGCAGATGGTCTTTTACGGGACGAGCGTTTTCTGCTTGACGCTCATCCTCTGGGATCTGTTCATATGATGTATCATACGGGACATGTCACGAGAGTAGTCGCCCACTATCATGGGGCAGAGAAGTAGGTCGGACCAAGGGCCTTCGGAGGGCGGCCCCCAATAGTGCGAGAAGAAGCCGTCGCCGTCGTGGAAAAGCGGCGCATGTGAACGGCTCCTGGGCTCGCCGTTGACGCTAGACTTTCTCCACGCCGATTTGCTCCACCAAGTGCCTCGGTCTAAATAGTTTTCCCATGGGGAAAATCCACCATATAGTAGACTCACGGCCCGCCTAATCGACGTGTTCGTGTACTGGTTTCTTCTTGTACGATATACGACGTTTCCTAGACACCTGCATTCTCTTCTTCTCATATCGCGGGGTTAAATCTCGGACATTTTCTGGGCGGTGAGCGGAACCACGTACGGCCAGTCACCCACCGGCACAATGGCACCACCTTCACCTACAACGCCCTCCTCTTCCTTACAATCCTCCTCACACTCCCGACTCTCCCAAATCGCTTCCCAGATTGCTCCAATGGCTGCTTCGACGAGTTTCAGCGCCGACGTGGTGCCTCAAGCCCCGGAGGATCCCCTCTTTGGCTTGATGGCCGCATATCGTCGCGATACAGACCCGAACAAGGTGGATCTAGGCATCGGTGCATACAGAGACGACGATGCGAAGCCGTGGGTCTTGCCTGTGGTCAAGCTGGTAGGAGGAATCCGAGACTCGCCCTAGAAACATCAAGCGCTGACAAGACTCCTCCTGCAGGCCGACGAGAAACTCCACAGCGACCCCAATCTCAACCACGAATACCTGCCCATCGCGGGCCTTGCGGACTTTACGTCTGCCTCGCAGAAGCTCATCCTCGGTGGAGACAGCCCCGCTATCAAGGAGAAGCGGGTGAGTTTACAAACCGGAGGCCGTGGCCCGACGTCCCCTCATGGGTCAAGCCGTCCACTAACTGACAACTCTCAAGGTCACCAGCCTACAGACCATCTCCGGCACCGGTGCCGTCCACCTAGGAGCCCTCTTCCTCTCCAAGTTCTACCGCCCCAACACCCACCGAACAGCCTACTTCTCCGACCCAACATGGCCCAACCACTTCCAAATCTTCGGCAACGTCAACCTCCCCACAGCCACATACCCCTACTTCTCCAAGCAGACCAAAGGCCTCGATTTCGACGCCATGATCGGCTCCCTTGAATCCGCCCCAGAAGGCTCCATCATCGTCCTCCACGCCTGTGCGCACAACCCCACCGGCGTAGACCCCACCCAAGACCAATGGAAGAAGATAGCCCAAGTCATCCGCTCCAAGAAGCACTTCCCCTTCTTCGACACCGCATACCAAGGGTTCGCCTCGGGCGACCTCGCCCGCGACGGCTGGGCAATACGCTACTTCGTCGAGCAGGGCTTCGAGCTGTGCATCGCGCAGTCGTACGCCAAGAACTTTGGCCTCTACGGCGAACGCGCCGGGTGCTTCCACTTCGTCACCTCGCCCAGCTCCGAAGCCGAGTCCACAATCGCCCGCGTGGCATCCCAGCTCGCCATCCTGCAGCGCAGCGAAATCTCCAACCCCCCCGCGTACGGCGCGCGCATCGCCTCGCTCGTGCTCAACGACCCGGAGCTCTTCGCCGAATGGGAACGCAACCTCCAGACCATGTCCGGCCGCATCATGGACATGCGCAGGGCGCTGCGGGCGAAGCTCGAGGAGCTCGGCACGCCGGGCACGTGGAACCACATTACGGATCAGATTGGCATGTTTAGCTTCACGGGCTTGACCGAGGCGCAGGTCATGAAGCTGAGGAATGATAGCCATGTGTATATGACGAAGAATGGGCGGATTTCCATGGCCGGGCTGAATACGAAGAATGTCGAGTATTTCGCCAAGGCGGTGGATAAGGCGGTGAGGGAGACGCAGTAGAGGGGATAGGAATGAGGGAGTGGAGCATTCGTGCGAGAGCAATAGAGAATTTCTCTGTTTGCTGGGGTCTTTCCGTGCTCGGATGCCGAACTGCGAGTCTTCCTTTTTTATCTTAACCGCTTGTTAGTATTCATGGGCATGACGATAGCGTTCATAGATCATTCAAGGCCTCAACGATACCAATGATATCATGGCATGACATAGGATTGCAATTGAAAGGAATGAAATATACATATTCAGACGGGCGAATCATCAAAGCCAACGTGAGGCAAATGTTCGCTTCTATACTCCATTGGTGCGAGAACCCTAACCGGTTATCTACCACGATGCTCCTGCTCTCCGTATTATCCTACTATTTAACGTACTTATGGCGTGGGATGAGGACGAATAGTCATGGGATATGAGTGGCAAGTGATGCGAGTTACTACTGTCAGCTGGGTTGATCACATGCACACGGTATTGATTTTGTTTGTTAAGCTTACGCCGTTGGTGGATCATTGGGGGCATTATTACTGTGTAGTGGGAGGAGAGCGAGAAGGAAGCTTTTAGGGGCAGAGAGTGATGTCAGCTTATTATACATCTACCGTGTACCTAGTCCTCGCTGGAGGTCATGTTATACCCGTCTATCTGTGTACGTCCGTAAACGCGCCGGAATCATCGTGAGAAAAACACATGTGAATCCCGCTTCACTCAAGCAGCTTAATCCGACATAGTCTAACATCTTCCGCAACAAGGAACGGCTTGCCTGCTGTACGCCAACACCCTGCCGCGACCGCGCTTCACCCGTTGAGGTAGGTAGACTACCTCGGCGCATATATGCAACGGAGATTAAGGCCAGGGTTGGTGTAACACCTTCGGCGTTGGTGTCCCCTGTTAGAGATTGAGGACCGAGAGACGCGTAGACCGAGGTCGAGCGAAACGCAGAATTCGTGGGAGAGTAGTCTATACGGAGTATGTGAGGATGGATATGTATGCATGTATGTACAGGGCTTTCTGCATGTGTGCGTCTCCAGACAGTATTTGTATAAAGTAGTGTATGTACAAAACGAAAGTCGGTGTTTTGTGTAGATTGGTTCAGCGTCGGAAGATGTAGGGGAAAGGGCGGTTGTTGATGGAGAAATGGGATGGATGGAGAGGGAAGCGGTAAGGGGGAGGGAAGGAAGGAAAGGGGGAAAGAAAGGAAAGATAAGGGAAAGAAGGGTATTCGTATAAGGGATGAAGCCGTTGAACTCTCCGCTCGCTGTTGTTCCGTCTAGATGTGTCCATTGCGGGCGTTAGGAAAAAGTGGTAGGAAAGCGGCCAGTAAAGCTGTAAGGAAAGCGGTATCTCAACAGGTAAGAAAGAAGCCGGAAAGACGGTCATGAGGAAAAAAACAAAAAACAAAAACAAAAACTTTCCCAGCAATCATCAAATCATTCACATAAGAATAACCCCTCGTGCCACCATGCTCTCTCCCTCCAGAATTAGATGATTTCCTTGACCTCCAACCTTCGTCCCGGCAACCTCCCCTTTAGATTCAACCCCTCCCAATTCCTGCCCCAGCTCCGCTTCCACTCCTTCTCCTTCTTCCTCTGCTCCTCATCCTCGATCTCTTTGTTTAGTTCGGCGCTGAGCCGGCTCATGAGGCTGCGGGGTGGACTAGCGGCCAGGTGAGCGGGATTGGATGTTGTCGTGCTGGTAGACACGGAAGCGGAACTTTCTCGGTTCTCCTTGCCCATTTGCGAAGTAGAGGATGATGGTAATGATGATGACCGCGATGGCAGGGAGAGACCAAGTCCGATACCGCTGCTGCTACTCACGGCGTCTCCGTTTCCGCCGAGGACAGTGTCGCGGTACTCCGGCACCGTTGGGGAAGCAGTCGGGGTTGCGCCCTGGAGGGGGAGACTGATGATGCTGCTGTCGTTGGATTCGCGGCGGAATGGGGGCGGCGGTGGTGGAGAGCGCGTGGGTGAGGGCCAGTTGGGGGCGGGGTTTGATGCGGAGCCACGAGATGTTACTGGGCGTTTGTATTGTTCTGGGGAGAACGGCGGGGATAGTGTTGGCCTGGGAGGGGAGGCATGAGAGGATGAGGGGCGATGGGATGAAGTTGGGGTAGGCGGAGTCTCGGAAGGGGGTGTGGTTTTCGGTCGGATTGCTGGGTGTACGTCCGTGGGAATCTGCAGTTGGGTTGGTGATGAGATATTCGTGGCTGTCTTCGCGGTTGGGATTGGTGGCAGTGGCCGGTTGACTGGCGGCGGCAGACTCATCTTGGAGATGTCCGACTTGGAACTCATGCGTCTTGCTCGTGTCTTCGGCGTCTTGGGAACTCGGTGAGCGGGCAGGGGGAATGCTGCCATCATCCGGAGGTCTTCCACGCTTGCGCCAACGGTGATTTCGAGGGACTTGTCTGAGATTGTGCGTGAGTGGAGAACGGTCACCTCTTCGGATTGAGTGGAGATATTTCGCGAATGTGCTGCTGCGATTTCAAGAGACTGGCTGGAGGCATTGCGCGAGTGGGAGAGTGAAGGCGTCGAGGAGGCTGTCAGGGCTTCAGACTTGTCCGTATCCGATGACTCTCCGTCCTCCTCCTTCAGGCTAGGCGGACCGGTGCTGTCCTCGGTGTACGATTCCTGCGTCGAGGACTGCGCCTTAGTCGCCAGTGGGCGGATAATCATCCACGGCGGACATTCCTTCATCAGCTCCCCTAGAAGAGGAGGTGTCGGAAGCGTGTCCCACTCTTTCAGCTTCTTCGTAACCCAAGGGTTCTGAGTGCAACGGAGTTTCGAGAAGTATGCGCTGCAAGCCTGTACGTTATCCAGAGGGTAGCCATGGTCTAGCAGATCTTCGAGAGTAGCAGCGAACTCGGTGTTGAAGTCTGCTAGGCTGGGGTATTGGTCAATATGGAGATTGAGGAAGTGGCAAAAGACGTGGTGGTAGTCCTCGAACTTGAACTTTCCATATCGCTCATCTAATGCTTCCATCATGTCTTTCGCGGTCATGGCGGAGGGTGGTAGTGGTGGTCCCACTTCGAAAACTTCCAGCTTGATGTCGTCGCATACCGACAAGAAGATATCCATCTTGACGTCCCGATCTTTCCTAACCCAGGCCCTACGCTCTTCCAGCAGCTCAGGTTGCGGATCCGTTGAGGCAAACGGTTTGGAGGAACTGGGACCCGACTGTGGCATGGGCATCGGTTGAGAGCCGTCGCAATGTCCCCATATTCCCTTCGTTATGAGGGCGCTCTTGACACCGCGTCTCCATCTCGCATACTCAGGACCTGTAGCCTCTGAGGGAAGTATCTGCACCCCGCCCAGGCGAGGGGACATGAGCTGAAGAGGCATGACGCTGATTCGAAATTCGGAACCGCGGCCACTCGCCAGAACGACTGAGACAGAACGTTGAGGTGACTGGAGGCGCGAGAGGGTCCGACCTTTACTATAGGGTGGCGGCCCACCATTCCAACACTCAAACCGGAGATTCGATCAGAAACCATGCGCCCCAAAGGCCCGTGTCTGACTATAAGTGCCTCATCCTTCCAACAGATGGCGGACTTCGCGCCCACACGCAACCACAGAGTCGGAGCTGCGAGACGCAGGGCCCTGGACCGCATGCCTGCCCCTGTGTTCCTCTAACATACCGAAGGGCTGGCGGGCAGGCTACGGGTTGGTAGGAGGCTGACCTTCTTTCGTCAGAGATCCTGCCTTCGGTGCATACTCCATGCACGTTTTGCAGTGGGCTCCCGTAAGCACGCTCTCCATAAGCTGTGGTGTATGCCTTTTAATATCTAGCTGGGGCGACGCAGCCAATGGGGGAATAAGACGGACTAGGCTGGGTTGCAGGCATTGGTGCATGGCTCCGGAGTACGCAATCGAACTTCAGCTGGGAGTCCGAAGTGCGTGGTGGGAAGAGTGCGAGTCTGCGTGTTGGATCGACTGTGCAAGGAACGATACGGAGATCCGCATGCAGATATTCCGCAGGGTGCCCCAGGATAGCGTGAGGCCGTCGAGGATTCCCCCTCCCCTACTCCGGGGAACCATTTCTTTGCGGCATATGAGGGTGAGTGCCGAAGGATGGGGGCGGATCCGCACACAGTTGTTGGTTGTGAGGTCAGACTTTCTGGGCAAATGGGGGCGGAGATTGAACGTGTTCACAGTCATAGAAAGCGGACATGTGTCACTGCAAGCAACCTCTGGGGACCCGGGAGGTGTACACCATTGTGGCTTCGTGGTCGATGCTGTACCACTCTGCAGGAGGGTTGAGTAGAGATGCTTCATGTTCACAGAAGCGAGACCTATTCATAGCTCATGATGTTCCGAAAAACAACTCAAACTTTTGGATATTACTACATAAATTATAGATACACATAATTTCACATCTCAACCAAGGCGTGGTGGCGGAGTGGTTATCGCGCAAGACTAGAAATCTTGTTCCTTCGGGAGCGTCAGTTCGAATCTGGCCCACGTCGAAATTTCTTTTTGTACCTGCGATAATACGACCACAGCGTTTTTTTTCTTTTCTCCGAAGACATGATTGCTTAGAAGAAAGAACTAATAAGATCCGCCTATTGATATTTTCCCTCTTGAAGCATGGTATTGAGCAGCCTCCTCATTGCCGTCCTGTTCGCGCTTACATAACTGCGCATGCCTCAAACCTAAGTTTCCAAGCTTGACCAGACAATTAGCATGCCTCCTCGCCCGTTCCCCTACCCTCTCCGGATCGGCACCGATATCTGCCACATTCCTCGAATTCGCGCCCTCATAAGCAAGAAGGTGCCCGGAGACAACGATGCGCAACCGCTAGACAGGTTCCTTAGCCATATATTGACCTGGCCGGAACGTCAGCACTTCATCAACCGATTTGGGAGGGTTGGGAAGGCGTTGGATGATGCTGATAATGTAGCGAAGTATTTGGCTGGCCGGTGAGCATTTATACCGAGTAGTAGAGCTGGGCTTTGGTTAACGGTTGTGCAGATGGGCAGCCAAAGAAGCGTGTCGCAAAGCGTGCGAACATCTGGGACAAGCACGTGGCCTGCATCATATTATGATCCTGCCAGCGGAACGCCATATATTCAACTCCAGCCCCAAAGAAACATCTCGGCCGCGAGGACTCCTTTTACGAGAACCATTGGACCCGTTCCCGAGCGATACGATTCGGTCGAATTCCGCTGCGAGGCGGCCCCTGCTAGGGAGCCAGAGTGACTCTGCGGCATTGAGCTCGTTCCCGGAGCCAAATCAAAATTCGAAATTCGATCTGGATAGTGTGGAAGGACAGTTCTTTGAGGTGAGCATAAGCCATGATGGCGAGTATGCCCAGGCTGTCGCTATGGTGCCGGTTGTCCATTGGGAAGGCGGAGAATAAAGAGGCTCAAGTTGGAGAACAAGACACGGTTTGCCAGCAGTACTTAAACCGAGAGTCCTTCAAAGCTTATCGAAGGTGCTGAAACCATTCTCGCGTATGACGCCTTACTGCGATTCCGCGAAGTCGATCTTCAGCTGGGCCAATTGCGCTTTGAGATTACGCTGCCCTTACGTCCAATATTGGGAAAGCGCTATCTAGCCATGAACGCCTTCTCCAGAGACCCTACCTCGCTATGACGACCGAGCGTTTGACGGCAGCACCATCCGATGTGGAGTTTAGATTCGTTGGGTCATACACGGCACATAGAACCTTGGCCCCTCGTACGCGCGTCGCTCACGTGTAACACGTTCGGTTCATACATTCTTTGCTATCCAACCGCATGCTCTAGGCCGGACACAACGGCTACGATGGGCTGTTTACACACCATCTGACTCCCAGACTGGTGGCCAAGCGAGGGTACTGGAGTTGCTCCGAACACGCTGGAGTTGCACGATCTCTGGTCATGCTGGAGCACTGTACTCTACATTATTCGCCAAATTTACTGTTTTATGGGCATCTGCTCTGACATTGAGATCGCTTTGGTCGCCATATCTTCTTTCCAATTCCTCTCACCATCGGTTGGCCTCATAGATGCGAAAAACTCCGTGTACCATGGGATTCTCATACTTATTCACCGCACTCCTCCTGGTCACGTCTTGCTGTTTTGCAAGAACCACTCAACGCCCGTCGAAAACCCTACCGTCTTCCACAATTTCTCCCGCTTCTCAAACTCCCATCCTATTGCTCGAGAGGCAGAATGAGCAGCGTTTCATAGGTTGGGTCTACAGCAGTGGTGAATGGGAATCAAGTGGTTGTTCCGGCGATCAGGAAACGCTGTATTCAGATGGATACCGTTTCGCGTGTTGCACTTCTGATCCTTGCAATCCGGTAGTCTCGTGCAGCGCCGGCAGCATTATTTCGGATAGGGCAGGCGGTATCAAGGCCGAGACATCCGCTTGGTAAGATGCCCGTGATATCTTGCGATTTCCGCTGAGGTCCAACTTATCGGAAGGCCGTGGCTGATACTCAAGATAGCTCCGATGTCCTTGGAAACAAGTCATTCACCGTTTGTAACACCGATCTGTTGTATGAGAATACCCTCGATTCGACTCCGGTAACGCGAGTACGGTGCGGTAATAAGGCTGAAAACTGGTCATTCTACAGGCACAAACCCCAGGAAACACATGTTGGTATATTTAGAAATGGTTGGGTCCCGAATAGTAATGTCTGATTATTCAAACAGAATCTTCGGCCACATCGTCACCGGAACTTTCGACTACTATTCCTCCGGTTGTAATCGTAACGGTAACCGCTTTACCTCCAGCTCAGAGGAGCAATGATAAAAGCTGGATTGCTGCCGCGGTCATTTTACCCCTTGCCCTTGCAGGAGGCGTCCTCTACTTTCTCGTAAGCAGAAAAAGAAAGAAGGCATCGTCTTCTGGCCCTCACATCGGCACTCCAGAGCCCGCTTATCCGGGGACCCACGAGCAAAAACATGACAGCTACCTTGCGCCCGCTTTCGATCCAGCGACACCACATGAGCTTCTCCCTTCAGAAGCCACCGAATTGGAATCGCCCCACTCACCTGCTCCAGCGGACATTCCGCGTCCGTCATCAGATCAGCAGATTCAGCGGGATTCTCTGCCTCCAAGTCTTCAGATCAAGTTTTCGCCAGTAGCCGAGAGTCCCTTGCCCTTGGGCGTAGATGATGCGGTTCAGACTCTGGGGCACACATCGCCCTGTGAACCAGATTGTGATATTACGCCTGATCGACAACCTGATGAGCCTGATACGAGGTACCCCGAGCTAGTGACGAAATAAAGATCCAAGGACTGTGTGGAGTCCATGTCGAAGTGGATACTGATAGTCCGGTATTCTTATTATGACTTCCAGGGGCAGAACATAGCCCGTCGCACGCAGTACTCAGTCTCATTCATGGGGGATTTAATGTAAACGGGTGCTTCAGGTGACCTGGGTTAGGGTGCGCACTATTCAGACTGCCCAACTAAACCTGATTGCCTTGAGTATATTTGTAGCCGGGCAATTCTTCAACAGTAGCTCAAAATTCGTTCTGATTCGAAGTACGGCCTAGTGGAAGGGCGTACAGAAGGCACACGGAAAACCATGGAAAGGCACGACGTCAGGTCAAGGCCCACGAAGTTACATTACACATCTAATGTCTGCTGTCATTCGTTTCAGATGTTGTTCAGCAAGGCCACTTCTGCTTCTCCTCGTTGCTCTTTCCTTGAAATGCCGGCACGGAGAATGCTAATGCAGAACTCACATGCACGAAATGTAGCATGACCCTTCACAATTGTAATCCTCTTGGTAAGATGCGACAATGCTTTGATACCATGACCTTCCTCCACTCTACAGAGACCCTACCATAACCCATGGTCTCACGTTGCGCCCACTGCTGCCGCGGAAACGGGACAACGAAGTCCCATTCGATGGGAGATTGAAGAGTCAACATTAGCACCCCTGTATGGCACTGACAATCAATCACTCCCGGGCCTTACTTTCAGTGCTGTGTCAAGATGTCAAGACCGATGGGGTACTTACACCAGTGGCCTGCGCAGGCGAAGGCATAAAATACGCGGAGTAGCCTTCGAAGCTTGGTAGACTTGTCTACTCATACCATCAGGTGGAGCTGGTGGAGAGTTCCTCGACTCCAGCACTGAATATGTATGACTCCGGATCAAAGGCGTAGGAGCCGCCTTCTAAGCATGTTGCAGCTCCGTAACACTCGTCACTAGGTAGGTTAGTGACAGTCCTAGGCGTGTGACTCAGAGATTGAGGTTGTTCTCCTTGACCTAGTTGACTCAGTGACGGCACGGCATGTCGTGACGGTTGATTTTGCGATATTACTGTATCTACTTGTGATGAACAACTTCTTTTGGTGATTCTTACGGAGTCTCTAGATTTCTATTCAGTTAATTCTGACGTATTGGGTGTCACTGTGGTCACATACACATGGAGACCAAAACATCTGGGGATAGCTCACCCGGACACCAATCACGAGCAACGTATTATTAGTGCCACTTATATGTAGTCTACATAGTTATCTCGTGTACCTAGGGCCTGCTCAGCAAAGTGGCTGCTTTTCCACATTCGTTAACAGTGCGTTTTTTGACATTCATGCAACTATCTACTATATTACGCTCTCCATCTCTGGATTATCAAATCAATTCGAATAATAGACCAATTCACCTCCATTCCTCGGATACAACACCCGACCCTCTCCTGTACTCCACGCCCCCACGTGCCCGCTGATTGGCCAGCCGAACACGACCATCTCGGACGGGCATCGTCATTGCGCGGTCGAAGGTCGCGAACACCGCAGACCTCGGAGGCACACACACAGTCTCGCGTTCATTTTTGAAAAACCCTCCCTCACTCTCTCTTTCTTCCCACATCAGTCCTTACTGCACCTCCCCTCACTCATCACCACCATGGCCATCCACACCCCCGACGACCCATCCGCCCCTACCCAACCCATTGACATCGCAGCATGGACCGAAGAAGCCACGGCGGCCATCAGCACGATGACCCTTTCCGCGCCGGTCGACCCCGAGCCAGAGTTAGAGCTCGAGTCACGACCAGAGCCGCAATCCTCCCGAGGCATGTACGCCCCGATCCACATCTCCATCGACGAGCCCCTGCGCTCCGAAACCGACAAACCATCGTCGTCGGCATTGTACAAGCGCAAAGAGCCACTGCGCCGCGACAGCCTCAAGAGGCGCGAAGCGCTGCTCAAAGGCAAGGAGGGGAGTCGGCGGCGCCGGAAGTGGGAGAATGGTATGCGCCCAGCTTATTTATTCTCCTTCTCCATCCCTGCGTCCGGCTTGAACGATGCGCCATTTCAATCGCAGTTCTGAATCCCCCGGCTCTCCCGCACTTTCCTCCCCTCTCCCCCGTTCTCCTCTCCTCTAACCCAGCACCAATTACCTGCCCAAGAGCAAGCGCCTACCAAAAACTCCCCCTATTGACCCATTCCCGCTCACAACAACCATCTAAACTCTATAATATAGACCGCCTCCTCTCCGTCCCCAACGCGCAACCCCCGACCCCCCGCGACTGGGAAATCCACCCCACGCACCCGGTGCACCACGTACCGTACTACCTCGCGCCCCTCTGGGACGCCGGCCTGGCCCGGCAATCCGCGCGTCGCGAAGCCGCCGCCGCGGCCGCCGCGCGGAAGCGCAAGGCACAGGCATTGGCACAGGCACAGGCGCAGTCGCAGGCACAATCACAGGCACAGGGACGCAATAACACCAGCAGCATCAGCGTGGTAGCAGTAGCATCGAAACCCACAGACCCGGGCGTGGTGCCGAGGGAGCTGCGGGAGAAGATGAAAAAGAAGAGGGGTGCGAGGGGGTTACTCATGGATTTGGAGGGGGAGGTGAGGGCGTTTGTGGAGAGGGTGGGGGAGAGGGAAAGAAGGAGGAATGAGGGGAGGAGGATGATGATGATACCGGTTGATGAGGAGTTAGAGGTTGATTCCGAAGAGGATGTTGATGAGGTTGTGTTTGTGGGGCGGAATAATCGTGCGCCGCCGAGGCAAATCCCTTCTCGGTCGAATAATAACGAAAAGGAAGAAGAAATAGAGGTGGAAGAAGACATACACCACTCAATGCTCATCCTCGAAACCCCCGCCGGCGACCGCTCCGGCACCTTCGCCAGGTGGCTGGTCCATCACATCGGGACGTACTACGGGCTGCGGACGTGGAGCGTCACGAGGGGCGACCCCGCGAGGAGGGAGGCGTACATCGGGGTCAAAAAGGAGACGACGGCGGCGGCGGGCAAGAGCGGTGGTGGCCTTGGCCTGAGGGCTGGGATGCCGAGGAGGGAGGGGGTTTGCAATCCGCTGCCTAGGCCGCTGTGGGGATTGGTGTAGATTGGACTGGGCAGCCATTGTTGTCGAGGGTGAAGCGTTTTGATTGAGTGCGTAGATTGGGTTGGCTATTTATCATTGGCATCGTTTGCCTTTGAGATTATTATGGGTGTTGCTATCTGTTTTTCGTTGTTGGCATGAGCGCCTCCAGCTAGACTGGCATCCATGTTTCTGTTCAGCGGATGGGGATTCGGAAAACTTCATCTCATTTCACTGAGACTAAGCACAATACGAACTACACATAGAGCTAAGAACTTACATAGGGCAATGCATTCACATTTCCAAGGCTCCATGATCAAAGTTTCCTCTTGAAGACATCACTTCCCTCGATCAAAACCATCAAGATTCACAATCTTGGACCCGCATAGCCAATCTCCATTGGAACAAAAGTATCCATGTATTCGTTCATATCATCTATTTATTCATCGTGACAGTACCATTACCCCAGAACGCCGCCAAAATCACCCTCATCACGTTAATCCTTCTCCCGCACAATCCCCCCTACGCCAACATCTCCGCCCATTCTCCCCCCTCGCGAACCATCTCCTCCGCCCTCCCGAACCGCTCCACCCGCCCCTTGCTCAGCATCACCGCCCACTCCGCCTGCTTCACAGCCTCCAACCGATGGGCAATCGTCACCACGGTACTCTGCCTCATCTCCTCCCGCAGGACATGCTGGATCCGCGCCGCCGTCTCGAAATCGATACTAGCAGTCGCCTCGTCCATGATCAGGATCGGCGAACGCCGCAGCATGGCGCGCGCCAGGGCGATGAGCTGGCGCTGGCCCTGGGACAGGTTGGCGCCGTGGGGAGTGATGGCGGTCGAGAGCGTCCAGTTGTAGGATTCGGCGTGGATCTTGGATAGGACGGCGAGGCAGGCGGCGTCCGAGTATTCGTCCAGGGGATCGAGGTTGGAACGGATGGTTCCAGCGAAGAGGACGGGGTCTTGGGCCAGGAAGGTGATTCTGCTGCGTAAGGTGGCGCGCTTGACGGCGGCGAGGTCGATGCCGTCGACGGTTATGGAGCCGCCTGGCTCGGGGACGACGGTTGCGAGAAGGGAGAGGGCGAGGGTCGATTTGCCGGAACCGGTGCGGCCGATGATGGCCGTGTGGCTGCCGGCGGGGATGCGCAGCGTGATGTTTGAGAGGGCCGGTTCCAGGTGCGGCGCATAGCGGATCGTGACGTTGTTGAAGACGATGTCACCCGTGTAGGTGGGCCAGTAAGCCGGCGGGTCGACGTCGCCTAGGGGTTCGGTTTCAAGGTCGAGGAGCTCCATGACACGCTCTACGGAGGTGAAGTCCATCTCTAGACGGCCGTAATTCCGGCATATGCTTTCCGTGTATTGGACAAAGCGACTTGCAGTGATGAGGACGAAGGCAGTTAGGCCGGGGGAAATGCCCGTGTAGATGGCGATTAGGGCCATGATAAGAGTAGAGGAAGCGCTCATAGCAGAGAGACGGAGGGCGAGCCATGCTTGTAGCGACCAGTAGAAGTGGTCGTTTTTCTGGAATAGGTCGACGACGTTGATGACACCGGCAAGGAACCGTGGCTGGGCGGAGAAGGCACGGATGGTGGTGAGGCCGCCGACAAGGGCGCCGAAGTTGGACATCAAGGGGCTAAGAGACACCATCTGGGAGATGGGGATTAGTATGCGTATGAAACGATGGGGTAGCACTGGGTCTTACCTCCAAACGTCTCAGGCTCTGCGAAGTAGGCAGATACTGCTTGAAGTAATACCAATATCCAAACGACAGCACCACCCCAAAAGCCATAAAGGCCGGCGTGGACGAAAGGATAACCACCACACAGGATATCCACCCAATGGATAACCACCCAAAGACAGTGAAGTAGTAGCTCAATTCCCCATCAATCGTGTTCATGTCCGACGTGAGACGATTCATCAGCCTCCCCACAGGCGTGACGTCGTAGAATCTAAAATTTGCATAAGCGACGCGCCAAATAGCTTCTCTGAAGATGTTCTTCGCCGCATGGTATCCGACTCCGAACATGATGAGGTTGGTCAACGAGAAGAGGATTGCAGCGGCGGTGACGAAGAGGAAGAACCATTGAAGCCAGGGAATGACGTTTTCCGCCGGAGGAGGAAGCCATTTGAACAGCCCGCCTTTGTTGCCCGTGTCGTAGCCTTCACCCCAGGCTTTGATGAACCAGGTCTGTCCAACGTCGAAGGTGCGGTACAGTGCCATGACGACGACGGAAATGGCCCACCATCGGAGCGTCCCGGCTTTGATGTATCGCCAGTATATGTGAAGCTTCACGGTGCCTTTGGCACGGTGCTCGTCCTCGATGAATTTGTCTGGGACAGCGGCAGCTTGCTCATCCTCGCCCTTCTTCTGGTCCTCCTCATTAGTTGACGCATGCGTGTCTGTTCGCTTGAGGGGAGTATCTTCAGCCTCCGTAGGTTCGTGAATAATAGCTCTTCCCTTGTCAAGCTCCACCCACAGCTTCGCGAGGCCGTGGCAGAGCTCCGTTCGGTGGGTAACGAGTACCGTTGTCCTATCCTTCAGCAAGGGCCCAGCGAACAGCTTCTTGACAATGTACTCCGCCGTCTGGTGATCGAGTGCTGATAACGGATCGTCCAAAAACAGCATCTTCGCCTTGCTGTACACCGTCCTTGCAAGGGCCACACGCGCCTTCTGCCCACCAGACAAGCCAATTCCATTCTCCCCGATATTGGACAGATCCCCGTGCTTGAGTTCGGCCATGTCAGGCACCAAGGCGCAGGCCTCCAGTACCTCCCTATATCTCGCCTCCTCGTAGGGATACGAGAACAAGATATTGTCTCTGATACTCATGCTCTGAAGCCAAGGCGTCTGAGCACAGTATCCAATCACCTCTTCTGGGCGAACGAAGTCTCCTCCCGTCCTGTCCAATTCGCCCAGCAGAGCCAGCAAAAGCGCAGTCTTCCCGGATGCCACTTCTCCATAGATGACAGTCAAGCCAGAGGGAAACGACAACGTAATGTTATGCAAAACGTTCTTCCCGAGCCCAGGCCAAGCGAACGACGCATTCTCCAGTCGAAGCTCAGCAGATCCTTCAGGCACCACATCCACCTCTTCCTTGTCCGGCTCTTGCATGAAATGCTCTATCCTTCCCATAGCCACATAGGCGTTCAGCAGCACCGTGATCAATTGCGGTAAAGCACGGAGATGCGACTCCAGCAGCGAGAACAAATCCATAGCCGGGAAGATGATCTCCACTCGCAACGGCTTCCCCTCGATCTTCGTGAAAGCGTAAAAAGCAACCGCCGGGAAGAGGCCTGATCCGAGGTACAGGATAAATGCTAGTGTGGTCATGAAGCAGATCAGAATGACACGAAGGTGCAGCTCTCTCTGCCTCCATTCGAGGATTCCCTTCATCCATGCATCTTGCCACCCATACCATCGCAAATGTCGGATGGATTCGATGAACTGGGTGATCCGTTGGAGCTTCTCGTCGGTCGCGACCCTGCGCTTTTTCTCAAAGTAGATGTTGTAGCGCGCTATAACGATGTTGAATGTCTGCGATGCTAGCAGTGCGAGCACACCGAGCAGACACGCCCAACCCAGCATTCTCCAAATCAGTAGGGTTGCGAATATTGCGCCGGCTGGTTTGGTGATTATGTCCGGGAAGTCCCAGAATCTGTACCGCTGTTAGCCGGGGATATTACAGAGAAAGAAAGGTCACCCACCTTTGTGCGACTTCATAGACGTCGTTGCTAGCCAGAAATCAGAACAATGTATACCCTGGACAGTTGGAGGACGTACCGCATCAGATTCAATATCTTCCCCGTGGACGCAGCATCCTCCCTCTTGGCGTCTTTTTTCCTTTTCGCAAACGCTGCTCCCACGATTATCCTCGCACTCTTGAAGAATCTCCCAACCGCACCGAATGACTTCTTCTGCGCCGAGACATGGGCATTTGCATCTGCATTCCCGTTCTCGTTCCCAGCAGCATTTCCATCAGCCTGCTCTCCAACCTCTCCATTTGGCACAGGTTCAGGCTCGACATCAGGTTCTCTAGTACCCAAGATCTTCCGCTTGAGCGTCTTCTCATAAAGCATGGTAATCATCTCACCTCTGGACCGCTCATACACCCTCCTGCTATACCACAGGGTAAACACATTGCATTGCGCAGAGATCAAACGCAGCGTAACCGAGATCAGGGCGTACATGATTGTCGCGCTACGCGGAGATAGCCCATTATCGTTCATGGAAGCGAGCAGGCGCTGCAAAAGCACCGGAGTCAACAGTGCTACGGACGGTTAGCCTCCAAACACAGATTTCTTGGTACCTCTCAATGGACATACTTGCAGCGAGCTGGACCAGCGACAACGTCGTTGTGCGCACAAGATCCATCCCATTCGCCCACAGCAACCTCCTCGTCACGGATCCCTTCAACGTGCGAAACGCACTGTGCAATTGCGCGTGCTTGAACTCGTAGCCTAGGTCCCAAACATCGTCGTCGTTGAGCTGCTCGGTGACACCTTTGCGGATGAGTGGGCTCATCCAGGAGACAGTCATGTACTGCCATGGCGTGAGATTGTCTTCTGGTGAGCGCAGGCCGGATGTGGGGGTACTATAGGGTTTGGCGATGTCGTAGTGCGGGAGGTTGGGGTCGCGGAGGGGCATATTAAGGACGAGGACGATGCCTTGAAGAGACGTGACGGTTGGCAGGGCGCGGAGAACGTTTCGGCCTGGCGTGTAAAGGGTGCGTTGATGGTAGACAACGATGAGCTGAGTTAGCAGGATGGAGGCGAAGATGACAAGGAGGGATATGGAAGCTGTCCTGGGTCGTTTTAGGACGACTATAGCGACGGCGATTCCCTAAGGTGTTCAGCATGTATACCGCATCTGGTTATGGAAATACAACATACCCACGCAACAGATGCGAAGAGAGCATCAAGCTGCAAGTACGGGTGAAGCACCACCGCCGCCTGTAACGCCAAACCTACCGCAGACACAATAAGTAGTCCAGACGTTGCGGTGCTCCAGCGCCGACGAGGAGCTGCCTCCGGGAGATCATCCGTGCTTTGCTTTGGCTCCCTGATGAAAGGCTTCGTCCAACCGGGCAGGTAAGGGGTGACAAGGCGAAATGAGTAGAACAGCAGTACCAATACTCCAATGACTGCGGGTATGGCACTAACGATGGGCAGAAAACATGGCGCAAAGCGTGCTTGTACAGGATCCTGTAACCTCTGTTAGCAACATGCTCCATTGCAAGAGGATCTCGAAATACCGTACCCAGATAGGTCGACAGCGTGATATTCGTGGAACAACACGGAGCGGATTCTCTCCAGCCAATACGAGCGGAACCTGAATATTAGAAGGAAGTTCCATGTTCAATAACTCTTCACCAAACGGCTCGCTCTATCGTTCTCTTCGAGCAGAGTTCAACCTCGCTTGGCCTTCCCGCCTGCTCTGAAACCTCCAAAGCCCGACTCTATATCATGTATCCAAAGCAAAGAATAGTTCCGGCTTGGAAGTGGATCGTCAAGATAGAAGCCGACGGGTCAATGAAGGAAAGAAGGGAAGTCGGTGAGAGACGTATACTATGACATTGGACCGCTGCGCTAGACGGGATCAGGTTTAGCGCGGAGGAATGAGGACCTAACGTGCAGCAAGTGCCGCCTATTCAGAAGCTGTGAACCGTCTCAAAAGAACTTCCAAGGTTTTAGTGCATCGCAGCTGTTTGCTGGCCGGCTACCTTCAATCATGACGGTTTGTTGCTCGGGAGGTTTCCTCGACCATCTTTTATCGCATCGAATACGAAACTTGGTATTCACTTCTACTGTGTACGTAGATAGTACGGATAGTACTGTATACTCAGCTCCCGGTGTAACCCCCTCGCACGCGCCCTTCCCGAGTGCGACTTCCCACGTGTTAGTGCACGCGAACGGCCCTCCACCCCACGGGCGATCGACGGGATCGTGGTTCGTTCGTCGTACCTGGTACGCGAGGGACGAACCGTCAGCGGGGCCTCATTTAGACTCAAATCCAACGTCACTGTTTCAGATCCTCGGCCTGGGCTAAGAAGCCAAAACGGACGACATCAAAGTCCGTCTCGAGGATATGAGCAGACCTGAAAGCAAACGAGTGCAGTGGATCACGGAGCCAGGCGACGATTATTGTTTGTACGGTTTGCCCATTTGCTATGTAGAAGAAACGTCTATAGAGCGAGCAAACAAAGGAAACAAGATTGAAACAAAGATTCAACCAAATGAAACAATCTCTGTACCGCCGCAGTTTCCAGGTATCCCTCCAGAATCGAAGAAGCCAAAGTGGTATATCATGACATGAACCAATCGTGAAAACCCTTCACATCAGAAGAGAACAGAAGGCAAACCAGCCATCCAGACCGGCACTCGCAATCCCTAGTATCGCTCCAGGAACCGGGGAAAGAAGAATGGGACAAGTGCCCGTGGCCAGAAGCACAAACCGAATGACTGGAACCAAAGGGTAGGTGAACGAGTAGATATTTGTCTGCGACGCTGTCTACACACACGCCTCCCCGCCATTACATGCGAGTCCAGCACTGGGGACTCCTCAACCGCTCCGACCGAGACCATGTATCGCGTCGAATGTGCTTCCTCTTCCACTGTCGAAAGATCCTCGCGCCATCAAGTACATACAAAGGAAAAGAAGGACAGCGGTATCCAAGCGCTCGCAGAAACTCAAAAGACTCGACATGGACGAATCTAAGCGTGGAAGCGCTTGTGGACGTGGCCATGACCGTGCCTCTTGGCGTTGACGTACTTGTACTCGGTAACGTAGACGACCTCGGTCTTGATCTTGGGCTGCTTTTGAGCGCCGCCGGCGGGAGCGGGAGTGATGGCAGCAGCGGCGATCTTGACGTCGATCTTGCTGGCCGCCTCCTGGACGCTGCTGGGCGCGGGCTTCTCCTCGTCGGAGGGCTTGGGAGCGTCGTTGGAAACGCCCTCGTCGGGGGACGAGACGCAGAGGTAGAAGTCCATGTCGGCGGCGGGCTCGCACGACTTGGTCTGGACGTCGTCGGGGTTGATGTAGGCCATGGTGGCGCACTCCTCCTTGGAGGAGCAGGAGAGCACAGGGCAGATGGCCTTGTCGGCGCCAGCGGTCGCGAGACGAGGATCGCCGTTGTTGCCGCTCTTCAGATAGAACTTGTCACGGCCGGGGCAGTTGCCGCCGAGGCAGTCGACGAAGGAGACGTCGAGGAAGTTGTAGAAGAAGTCGGCGTTGGCGTGGTTGATGAAGTACTCGAGCTGGGTGATGTCGATGTTATCGCCCTTGCAGCTGTCCGACTTGGAGATTTTGATGGAGACGCCCTCGCCGTCCTTGTGGTCGCGGTACTGCTCCTCGTACGACTCGCCCGTCTTGAGGACCTTGGCGGCGCCCGAGGGACAGCCCATGTCGCCCTTCCTGACGGACCAGAGGTAGACGTCGTAGGGGCACTTGTTGTGGACGCGGGCCACACCCAGCTTGTCCTTGAGGTCGGCGTTGTAGGTGGCCGAAACCACGGCCGGGGCGAGCGCAGCGGCAGAAGCGATGGTGGAGAAACGCATTGCGACGAGGTTTTCGAGCGACTGTATGTAATGGGGTATAACTGGGCCGAACGAAGGCTATGTGGCCTTGGGAAGGGAGGGGATTCGAAGGAGTGACTGCGGTAAAACTAAAAGAGTGAAGTTTTACGGCAAAAAATCAGTAGAAGCAAGTAGTGATCGGACTTGGATGGAGAGCTGAATGGGGGGGAGGCGCGTACTCTTTTTAAGGGGATCAGCCAGCGAAACAAGAAACGCTTGGTCGGTGGCCAAGAAACGCCGGGCCAGGAACGGCCAGGAACGGCTAGGCGGCAATCGCACGAGGGGCGAATCGCGGCTCGCCGCATATGAGGGCCACGGCAGGCGACAGGGGCCACAGGAACAACGGCCATCTGCTTCAATTTCACCGATGTGACCAGTAGTAAGCAGACAGACCAACCACTCGGATGAGCGCTCTGCCTGATTGACTGACGGTAATTTTGACCCAGCACCGTATCAGCACAACCTAAAGCCCAAAGGGGACAAGTCAGGAACCAAAAATTACGACCGGGGCTGGCAGCGGAAAAATGGTGAAGGGGGGGAAAAAGGGCAACGCAGTCGGCTCTCCGCATGCTGTTGGTTGTTGCAACGCCGAGTTTTGGATGAGCAGCGGGGGTGGAGATGGTGGAACAAGTCGGCAGAAAATTGACAAGGCCACTTTTTTCTTCTTTCCGACTGTTGAGGCTTCATCGCAGTACTGTGTACTGCCGAGAGGGCCTTCTCGTTGCCGTTGCCACTGTCCTTTTGACTTCTGTTGGACGAGGACATCTCATCTGACGGATATTGAATCTCCCAACGGCGCTTGGCGGAGCTGGCAAGCCGCAATCATTCTTAAACGAGAGACCCTGTCCATTATTATTTTCCTCAGTAGCAGGAAGAGCCGCTGGAAAGGGGCAAGGGACAAGTCCAACCCAGAAAGCACAACCCTCCCCGTCCTCTTTTCGTCGTCAACACAGCAAGCAACACATCACACACATCGAGAGCGCCTCCGAAATTGCGACAACCACCACAAGTACCGTGGCGGGCAGGGTCGGCATGATATTCTTTTGTTGAGACCTCAACGGTCGTCATCAGGCCCACAATGCGTGGCAACCGCAGACTGGAAGGGCTGTCGTAAGCCGCCGTTGAAAAGTCTGTCTGTCTAGTCGCTGGCGGCGAGCGGCGAGTGAGGCGCGTCACGGCGAGACAGCGACAGCGACAGCGACAGCGACAGCGACAGCGACAGCGACAGCGACAGCGACAGCGACAGCGACAGCGACAGCGCACCATCACAGGGAATCTGGGCCACAAGTTGTGTGGTCGCCGTCGAGTGGTTGTTGGTCGGGGTGCCAGTACTGGTACGGAGGACTCCGTAGCAATTGGTTGCTACTAGTGGCCGAGCGGCGAGAGCCCTGTGCACATCTCATTTCCCAACTGTCCAGCAAGCAAAAAAAGAGTCGAGACAGAGTTGTCGAACCTCGCCTAGCAGACAATCGATACCCGCCGCATCATTATTACTCGTCGAACTTCAAGTCTGTTCTCAATCAATCAATCACTGGAAAGGCAGTGGCTACCGGTACTTGTGGTGCCAGATACCCGTAGGTAGTCTGTTGAGCGAGATCAAGGTTGAGCGACAATGGCCCCGCTCGACTGTAATGCTGCTGTAAACCTGTGCAAACGTACTGTATGCCTCGAGAGAGGGGCGGCGATTGTGCAGTGTATCCAGCACCACGATGCACTTCTGTCCATCTCTTGGCGGAGGGGATCACCTGACTCTCCTTTCTCTCCTGTTAGGTATACAATGACTATCAATGTGCTAGCTTACCATAACATCACATCTTTTATGTATCGCATCAGATATCTATCAAGCGTTTGCAGTCTTCGATCTTTTTCGTATAGTGACGCGTTTCATGCCTATTCATAGACTCTTTCGCCATCTCCAAACACAACATCAACAAGCCTAGGCCGTCCTCAACACCCCCCTTGAACTTCATGTACCCTCATGACCGACCGCAAGCCAACACATGCTGTGTCCAGCCCTGAGAGACACCTACCCCGCAGCCTAATCTCTGGTACTTCATCCATCGTTGCACGAGACATTACGATGATTTAAGATTCCACCACACGAAAAGCAACAGTACACTATAAGAGGACAACTGTCGACGTACTACGCAGTTCTCCTGACGGTGAACGTGTCCATCGAAAGAATGAATTCCAAAGGCATAGATGAATCAACTCAAGAGTGGAAAATACAGTCACTGGCGTGGCAGTTCCCATCGTCTTGCTTTGCCAATGACGCCCCAAGACAGTGTTCACACATGCATCTTCTTCAGCACTCCCCTCAACAAGCATACATATAACCCGAACCCGCCCTAACCGCCATGGCCCTCCCCAGATGCCTGTTCAACATATCCGCAACACGTCACACCACATCCGGTTCACGAGCCCTCACCTCCCGATTCGTCCCATCATCTTGGGTCTCAGCAAGTCCAGATCCATTCAACGCAGCGAAGAGACAACCCTCAATCAGTCGCCCGACAAGCCCGTACCACTACAGCACAAGAAGCGGGGATGGGATAACAGCAGAGAAACCCTCTCCGTAGAAGTCCTCTTTTTGCGGGCCTCCGCGGTCGCGGAAGCAAGCGAGTCCGGAAGCGGGAATCTGGAAGTAAGACGTCGAGCAACAGGTTAGTCTATCGGACTAGAGATGCAGCCGTCAAGATGCAGTCCCGTCTCCTAAAAGTCACTGTTGAGCAGCCAGTAGCGGGGAACCATCAAGATCCAGCTACTCTGCCTCCCGCCAGAACTCAAGAGTACCCTCTCCTCCTCTCAAGCCATCACTCGGTGCCCAACCATCCACGCACCCATCTCCGAACCCTCATCGACGTTTTCTCTCGCACCCACACCCAAAACCAGCAGGTCCATCTTACCTGCAGCCCTTCTCCACGCCTAAATTGACCCCCCTCCCATCCTTCTCGGCTCCGTCGCATAAACTGCGGACCCAGCACCACGGTTCCGCAATCCAGGGATCCTCGCTTGGCCTGCATTGATCGGTGAAGATAGATTGAACCCGTCGTGATGACTGCGGGAGCCCGTTGCAGATTGTACGTGTATGTACATGGATAATGAGGGCTTTGCTTCTTCGTGCCCATGGCTTCGTCGTGTTTCATGGGCGTTGGGTATGAATGGGCATTGGCATTCATCTAGTAGCCCATTTACTGCTTCCATATGAAAGCATGCAGATGGAAGAGGATGGGTTTGGGCACCAAAAGAAACCCAAATCCGTCAAAGGACACAATCCGTCAAAACAGCAAAACCTGTTTTACTTGAATCCTCGAGACTGCCGGGACCACTCAGCCCTTCGCCGCAACAACCGCTGGAAAGCCACGGATGACAGAGGCCACGGCTTCAGTATGGCTACCCACATTCACATGTGCCCCGACCGTCAAACACGCAGCAAAAGGCTGAGGGCCTGTTCGGTTCCAAGTGTCATTTTTTTCTTACAGATATTCCTGTAAGTTGCAGAACCCCGACGACTCGACTCGGGAATCACAGGTGCGGTATGCGCTTTCGCCCCGTCACCCGCGCCCACCGCCCTGCCTCACCCACCTTCCCTATTACCCTATGCCAGAACAAACTCGAGCACTGTCCCCGCGCCTGGAGTCATGGCAGCCGGCTTATACACGTGCGCCAAGCGCAATCCCTCCGACTCGAGAAGCTTCTTGAAGTCCTTCACCGTCCGTTCCAGCGACGAGAAGGCCACCATCATCGACAAGTCAATCTCGGCCTGGTAGAGCGAAACCTTCTCCTCGGGAAGCACATTCTCATTGATCAGCAAGATGGAGCCTTGCACCATGACATCATGGATATGCTTAATGATGGTGCGAGCTTGCTTGTCCGGCCAGTCGTGCAAGACGGCTTGCATATAGTAGATCTTGGCACCCTTGACGGATGCGGGCTGTGGATGGAGGAAGTCGTGGCCTACGCCTTCGACGCCAGAGGGAAGGCCATTGGCGACTCCGGATGCGACGACCGAGGGCAGATCTTCGAAGACGAGCTTGCCTGGGATATCCGGGAATTGGTTGCGGAAAGCGACGACGTCGTGGCCTACGCCTCCTCCAATGTCGACCAGAGTCGTGTCCGATGCTGAGACTCCGCTGAGCTTCTCCCTCACGGGGTAGAACTCGAACCAATGGACTTGGCCCATACGGGAAATGGTCATGCTGGTGTTGAAAGCATGCTGTAGGTTGGGATGATCCGCAAGCCAGTCGAAGTAGTGCTTATCCGTCTTTTCTAGAAACTGCCACGGGCCCTGGAAAGCGTCGTCCGGGTTCTTGTATCCATTCTGCGCAAAGTATTCGGGCAGACGAGCGACTGCCGATGTGTGCGAGCCACTGCTGTCTTGTCAGTCACGGTAAACTTCAAAGAAGGGTCACAGGGATTATCTACAGATGGATCATGGCTTCTCTCAGAGGTGAGCCCGTGACGTAGATGTTTGCCAAAGGCTTCGCGGAAAAGCTATCCACACTGTGCTGCGTAAAGAGACTCAGCCCTACGAGCATTCTCAACACTCGGCCTGAAGACAATCAGCACCCATCCACAAGGATTCAAAACCGGATAAACACTAACGGACTAGCAATGGGTCTGCAGAGGCTTTCTCTGCGAGTTCGTCAACTGTGAGGGGCCCGCCAGCGGCTACAGCGAGGTCGAAAAGCTTCATGTTGATAGCCAGAAGAACTGCTGAGGTCTCGTGTACCTGTACACGCAGTTAGCTCAGCTTTAAGGTCTGCTGCAAGAAAGAGTGCACACTCCGAATGCGAAACGCAGCGTAGCCTGCAGAGGGTCCATGAGCGCATCGCGCAGTTGACTAACTGCACCGTATAGGCCAGCCCGTGCTTCGGCAGAAAGGTCACTGGGCGGCGAGGCGGCGAAGCTGGCGATGTTCTTTGTGAGCTCCGAGACGTCCATTGTGAGTGTTGTACGTGTTTGTACGAGGTGAGAAAGAAGGTTGCCGTGGGCTCAGAGACGACAACAGCTATGAGCTATAAGCTAAAGGGGGAGGATCCTACACCAGGTCTGTTTGTCCTCTGCATCATGGCCCCTGAGGGCTGCTGTACAGCACATGCATACAACGGAGCTTCGGTCACTGTAAAGCCCGTCCTTAGTCTCAACAGGTAAGCATCAGGGCAGATATTACAATGCAAAGACACTTGTTCTCTCTATCACACACGAACCGTCAACCATGTTGTCTTTTTTCTTTTTTTTCACAAATTTTTCTTGCGTCCATTGCTAGCATTGACGCCAACGGTTCGATTTTTTGTACATTATAAATAACGTGATATCTTATTATTATGTTGTTGCTGTCGAAGAGCGAATTTGTTCCAGACAGAGCGTCCGCATCGCGCAAGATACTTCCTGTTCTGGGAAATTCGCGAAGTGTCATTCATCATGTTGTTCGAATACAGTAGAAACACGGCCTCTAACATCGGGATTCGGAGGTCGAGAACGCCGTTGCATGCAACCATGCAAGCTACTACTTGTCAGCAGACAGTATCCTGCGCCAGAAATGGAACGATTAAGTTCGAGGATTGTTCCAAAGCGACCACCAATCAAGCAGCTCGTCAAGTGTTTCCTCATTGAGAACTACCACTCACTTCTTTTTGATAAACTGTAACTATGTCGTTAGAATTGGGCTTTGGCACAATGCAGGTTCGAAGTGCCTGGCCTTGCTGCAACCGTCTCTGCGGCCCAACGTCCCAACGGTTGAGCAGAGTTGTTCTGCGGAAAACCTGAAGGCATTAGACCTGTTCTACGAAGTTCAAACTTTGTACAGCCCCAGATTGTTCATCCACCCCGCTACCCCTCTTCTTATCCTTCGTCCTTGATCCCATTATCAGCATAGTCAGCCCGCTGACAGCTCACCACCCCACCGCGAGGAATCCTTTGCGGCCGCCACATCGAAGTATCACGTCAGACCTTCACGAGGCGGGAGATAAACCCCCTCATAATGTAGGTGCGGCCCGCTATCGGTGTGACCGACATCATATAAACTGCGGTCCTCTCCAATTGCCGAATGCACCGGAAACCAGGATGCAGGGTATGCATATAAGCATCACCGGCACGGGTATTCTGCGTGTTGTGTCCACATTCGACACTGCAGGCATGACTTGATATGTCCTCGGAACATTGCTTTCTTCGCTCCTTCTTCCAGGCTTCTATCTGTACTCGGAACCTGCTGGAGTCATGGCCATGGCCTTCCACTATTGGCCCAGAACGAGCATACAGAGTGTGGCTCGGGATAGCGGTGAGCTGACAGTATCCATTCGAACAATTTCGGGCCGAAGACATGTGTGCGGGCCGTCAATAATTGAACATCCAATTGGCGATATCTCTTGGATTGGCCGATGGATGATATATGGCGAGATTTTGACCGTCATGCCAGTCATCTCTGGCAGAAGGATTGTAGTGTCGTTGTGGCCTTGGCGAAGAATGCTACATGAAGCACGAAGCCCAGAACTCGGGAGTGATTGGGAAACGTGTGACCGGTCTGAACTCAGAAATGTTAGCAAGACAGGGTAAGCGGCATACTGGTGGCATGAAAGGAAACAGGCCGAGATCATTCACCATGAGAACTCGATCGGAATGAACTCGGCAAGCCGACAGTGCAGGTCGACATGGCATATCCCCCTGCAAACCATGCCATAGTCTGCCGGGACACCTTCCAATATACACTTATTCCAGGGGTTGATATGCCCGATCAATATGGCTCCGTAGCACACAGATCGCCCATAGCACGTTGTCTCCGTCGCTATTACAACGGTGTAATCCGACGATAATTTAAAAGAAGAAGAGCCGGAATAACGAGCCCCAGCTATCAAGCTGATAGCAGAGACGGAAGAAGTGTACTTCACATATCGCTCGGAATCTGATTGAAAAATTGTGCCGGCGTTCACGTGCTTGTGGATCGTCATAGCAAATAATATCGACTTCCATATTCCTATATCTCAGGCAAACCGAAGGTCATCGAAACCGTAAGAAAGTAGAGAGAGGTCGGTCAATGTAATGTTACTTTTCAGCTTTGAAAACAATGACAACCGAACAGCGTATTTTGAAGTTTCAAGGACAGCTTCGTGAAGCTGGGAAATGCGAACATGATATCGGAACGGCTTCCCACACCGGGCCTTGGCAAGACAGAAACCTTCAGCTTCGGCAGGTTGTCGAATATATTCAATGGTCGATGGAAGCTGCCGTTCGTCGGCCGGATAAACCGTGTTTGGAATACCCTAGTGCTTGTACTCCACGGGTTAAGGGAACGTGAAGTTGATCATGCCTTTTTACCGTTGATCGCCTTCAATTCGACGTCGCTGTTCAAAATCAGCAAGGAGCCGGCGGAACGTCATGGGGTGATGATGAACGAGCATGATAGGAGATTCCAGCATTCAATAAGCAACAGATCGAGGCTTCAGCGGGATTCGCCTCAAAGCCAGAGGGATGGAGCCCACTTGTCGTCTTTGGTGCTCAAGACGGTGCATGAGACTCGTAGAATGCAAAGGGAAAATCAGTTTCACTTACAAGATCAATGTCGAATTCGGAGGAATGACGTTGGGAAAGCCCCTATAGAGAAGTTGCGGTCAGCTACCAAACAATATACGTCAAAGAGGTGTGACGGAAATAGCGAGCATCCAGATAGACTGATAGATCGTGATAGCAAATTGCGGTTGGCTCAGTGATGGATCAGACAGAGCGCCCGTCATTCTGGTCGTAACGTTCAACGAGTGATACGCGTGACGGTGGTAGTCGACTGGTTCGAGGCGTCACTGCGGCTGATGGGTCGTTTGAATTTCGTACACGCGAAATATGGAGCTTTGAGTACGGTGGTGTGCTTTTGGAGGCCTTGGAAAAGAACATTGTGCGGACGCTCTTGTGCGGGGCAGCTGAATAACACTACTCACCGTTCACCATAGCCATAATCGCTGTAGAAGGTCGCATGTTAGCAACAATATAACGAAGATGCTGTTGGCTACCCGACGGCAGTAGTGGGGCGGCGGCTACGTACGGTGAGATAACCAGCGTAGCCTTCTCCCCTAGAGACATGGGCCTTCCATCGTCTGTGCCCAGAATGCCATTATCCCATCCTGAAGGCTCAAAATCAGTATGTTGGCTGCTGAGTTGAGGAAGCCCGCATGCCTTTGATGACGCGACCTTTTCCAATTGGGGTCGATAGGTCGCCCCTTCCAACGGAGGAGTCGAATTGCGTTCCTTTCTTGTCTGGCTTGCTCTCATCAAGGAGCCATCCCGTGTATTCCATTGATACGACATCGTCCTTCTTTGGAAAATCCACGCCGTTACCGGGCTTGATCGTAGTCTTCTCGACACCCATGATGCAGTGGTGAAGGTTGATAGTGCAAAGTTAAGCTGTGCAGTGTCCGGATAGAGTGGCCGCAGAATCTTGTAGCACGGCTCGCCGATGATATCACTGGAAGGATGGAAAGTGGAGATCCAGGTACACCGAGAGTGGCGGGCTCCGCTTTTAATAGGAAATGAGAAAGCTTCCAGGGCGGGCTAGGGGGTGGGGGCTCTGTGGGAGACTTGCATAGGGTATGGCTTCATGGGACAGTGCGGTCCCGGTCCATGCCCGTTTGCAAGAAGCGGTGCGACCCAGGATACATTGTTGGCCATGCTGCAAGCAAACTTAGGAAGCCCTCGCGTAGTTGGGCGGCTGTCCCGCGTCTCATGTGTCATGGCCGGTTAGGGCCAGACTTGAAGGTCGCGGAGAGGAACCAACTACCCCCGCCGGCAAAGACGGGCTGGTGTGGTGTCCGGGTATGGCGTGTACGTCTGCAAGGTGCACTTTTCGAAGCATTTGAAATATTTGGCTGCCGTCTTCCGCGAGACGAACACTCGCCCGTGATGTGATTGTTGGTGTTCACTTTCAGGTGCATGGGTTGTATGTGCTACGCAGGACTGCGCTTGACGTACTCCGTACTACCACAGTACCGTGTGTATCGCCATCGCGCTCCGCGGCTTCTGCGCAAGCCAAGAAACACGCCAATGATATCAAAATGACCGACTGCGAGAACACCACGGAGTAGTCTAATAAAAGCAATTTGCGTCATGGAGTGGTGGTGGCTTTCTCCCGAGATGTCACCACATGGCCTGAACCCGTTCTTCCACAGGTGGGCTTCTAGCCAGAGATCGGTATACTTGGATGTGCGGGGTGGCACGGTGGGGTCCGATGCGAGAGCTGGAGGCCAGATCCCATTGTCCATAGCATGCTTCCGTTTAGGTACAGTAGCTTTTCTGTGGCCGTCGAATCCGTCAGATGGAACATGGATCATCTGCTAAGCGCTCATGGCTCGAAGTCAATCGGACATTGACGGAGACTCATGGGAGTTTTGGAGCACAAATGTGAGACTCTCGCCAACCGCGCAAAACAGCCAACAAGCCAGCCAGCCACCCAAGTCCGTTTCTTTTGAAAGGAAGCCACCATCACAAAACCGTTGAGGGCATTACCTTTATCGATACTGGGACTGGTCAAATCACAGCCAGCGTGTGAGGTACGTTTGGTCACCGTGCTGATGGGCGGGGCAGCGGGACTGCCCCTCTATCCTCTTTCTGGCAGCATTTCCAATACCGGGGAGGATTTCCGAGACATTAGGACCTTGTCGAGCTGCAGCAAACCCAAGGATGTATCGTATCTGATCTGCGTACCCTTGAACGAAGCTCATTAGAAGTGAGGGACGAGACTTCTGCTGAGTCGTCAGAGGAATCGGAGAAGGCGAGCGTCGTTCGAATCACCATCTGGGGGAGGTCCGGAGCGCAAGTTCCCTCATGGCAACATATACAAGCCAGACCTTCGGGCCTTACCGGAATCGCTATGTCACGGTCGTAGTAACGGAAAATCAAAGCGCAGAATCGGGCTGGGTTTGTTGGACAAGACCGTCCGCATACCGGGGCATCACGGTAGTCAACATCCAATGTCAGGGTCCTTGCAGGCACGACCAATCCGAACCTTCTGACTTCGCCCTACTAGGCTTCAGCACTAACTCCAACCGTGCTTCTCGCGGTAAATCAGAAATTGAGAACCTGCAGTCTTTGTGGGTCCTTGTTCGCTCTTTGATGTCCCACCAGTGGTGGGTATGAGCCATGTCATCGCCGGAAGCTTACGCAAACAGCTTCATGGTCCCAGAGCAAACCGGTTTCGAAAATCATGGCTCCTGTGCAATGGAGTGGGTTCCCAGCAACTCGGTCTGGGTCGGTATAGTCCTTTCATATAGGTTCGGTTTCTAATCCAAATCGCCGTGCAGAGCTGCAGAGCGATTCATACCACCACGAAGTAGGGCGGCGCGTTGAAGCTAACTCTCGAAGCAAAGAGCGCGTCCAGGTGCGTTCCGTCGAGAGAGAGGTGTTTCACATTGATCACAGAAACCCGTGTTCGACGCGTGGAGACATACATGACGTGATAGACAGTGTACAGGTCGAAAAGAGAAGTAAGCTGTCGTAAGTTGAGCCAGTATTTAACAGCCACTGACGACAGCCGAAGTGCCATCTCGATCTGTGCACAGGCCCGATTACAGAGACTATGGTGCGGACCAAATGGGATCTCGCTCCAGATCTCTGACGGCGATGCTGGAAAAGCCGCAAAACCGTGTATCATATTGCCGTTCCTTTGTGGGATCGGCGTACCAGATCTCCTTGATTCCTACTCGCTGAATGAACTCAAGCAGCCGATTGTAGTGCGTTCCGACTTGGGCGATGCCGTGGCTGTCATCGGATATTGTGAATCGCCCACCTAGTGAAAGGAAATGCTGCAAGGCAATCAGTGAAGGTTCAGCAAAGGGATGGCGGTGTGATTCACCTGGCATACGGCCATGCAAGGATATGGCTCGGCCAAGCCTTTCCGCAGAGCCGCGGAATTGAGTTCTAGAATCCCACCATATGAAGCGATATATTCGAGATTGTCTCGTATGCGTTCCCATACAGCTTCCATGCCCTCAAACTGTGTGTTTGGGCTATCGCTCTTGAGGCGTATGAGGTCGAAATGCCCAACTACGGGCGGGTTCAAGGCCCGTAGCATGACGTTCATCTCAGTGAAGTAGTGGAGGAATAATTGCTCATCCGTGCCTCCTGCCTTCTCTCGCGCCTGCTCGTATTTCTCCCTGTCGAAATCAATCGGGCAGCCCAGTACGTGATGGACGGAGCCGAGAAACATTTGTATGGTGCCCGCATATTGGCTCAATACGTCCCTGATGTCGTCTTCGCTTGAGGGCCTGATCCATTCCGCTTCGAACCCTATGATGATCTGGATCTTCGAAGAATATAGATGTTGGAGACGGCAGGCCTCAACCACATAGTCTGAGAATCTCTCCTTCAGGGACGCTGCTGTATATACCCCTTGCTGCATAGCCGTTGGGTCAGCTGCCGAATATATGCAGGCTCGGACAATAGATTACGCACTTCTTCGGGGTAGAAGTCCTCTTCCGGACGGTAAATGTGCTCCGTCAGGGCTAGCACCCGGAAGCCCTTAGATATGACTTGCTGGACGACCTCCTCCAACGTATTCTCCGCATGGGCGCAGAACTGGCCGGAGTGACTATGATGCGAGAAGGGCATCACGCCGGGGACTGCAGCAACGGCTCCTGTTTGACGCTCGGATTGGAATGCAGAATGGGCACCTTCTAAGGCGTATATAAGACCTATGTGAGTCGAGACGGAACTCAAGCAGAATGCCGCCTTGAACGGTAGGTATAGCTATTCCGACGCTGAGTTGGTTGCCCGAGGACGGATGACATTCGCCCGTGTGAATGCGGAAAGTCAAAATGACGGGGCTGCGTACAGAGTCATATCAAATTTTGAGAGTGAAGGAACTGGAGATGATGATAAAGTCGAGAGGAATATGGACGATGACAGACGTTCAAAGTTGAAGGGACGTTAGGAACTCACGATGCTGGAACGAATTTGGAGGTCCGCACCGGTTATCGATATTGTGGGGGGCGGGTGTGTAGGCCAGGCCGGCCATAAATGTAGCCAGCCAGATTTTTAGTTTTTGCGCGAGCGTACGGCGCAAAAAACTAGACTCTTTCTTAGATATCTACGCAATAATAAGAGATTTCTCTTAGATTTTTTAAGGGCAGCTAGATTTATATAAAAAGAAGCTACAGTTTAATTTTAGTAAAGAAATATTTTATTATTACGTAGATATTTAAGAAAGAGTATATCTTTATTCTAGAAGGGACGTAAAAAGGTATATTCTTTCTTAAATATCTATATAAAAACAAAATATTTCTGTATTAAAATTAAACTATAGCTTCTTCTTAGATAGATCTAGCTGCCCTTAAAAAATCTAAGAGAAATCTCTTATTATTGCGTAGATATCTAAGAAAGAGTCTTGTTTTCTATGCCCTAAGGCGGGGTAATTTTCGCGAACAGGCGCGAACCCAGCTACGCAACCTGCGCAGGTCGCAAGGCACAGGTCCCGAGGTCGCAAGGCAGCCTGCTGCGCAGAGAAAAGGAGGTGCAGAATTTCCTAAATATCTACGCAACAACAATGTATTTTTCTATAAAAAAGAAGCTACTACTAGAAGTATATAGAAAGAATATATTCTTAAGTTTTCTAAAGAAAATATTTTGTTGTTGCGCAGATATTTAGGGAAATCTGCAGGTGCGCGCCGCTGAAGTTCTCGAAAAAATCGCTGGCCATGTTCATGGCCGGCCTGGCCTACACACCCGGCCCCAACAATAAGCAAGCTTCCTGCCCAATCCGGCATCACTAGAGCTACCCTGACTCCAGCTTCTCCCCTTCGTCGACGATACCCAGACACCAACCAGATAATAAAATCCCCTCCCTTAAACCCATCCATACATCTCCTCTACTCCAGCCGTCACCCTAAAACACCCCACTTTCATCCCTAAAACCCCTGGCCTGCTCCAACGCCCTCCCCCTATGCCCCTCTCCATCCTTTCCCCCATCCCCATCACTCGGAATAAATCTTCTCAAGACTCCCTCCACATACCCCTCCGGCACCCCCATCTTCAACGCGTCCTCGATCCCCCTGTTCATCCTATATACATACTCCTTCCTCGGCGCATCCTCTGTCGTCCGCCTCCGATCGATATATACTAACATCTTAACTCCCAAGTCCGTAGGCGGGGTGTTCTCGATGTCCTCGATGGGAGAAGCGGTGCCGTTAGGACTGCGCCAGAAGTCTACCGGGAGGAGTTCCTTGGTGTAGGCGACGGGCACACCCTCGTTTTCGTCGAGGCGGGATTCATCTTCCGGGAGGAGGGAGTAGACGAGGCCGAAGACGACGTTGGCGTATCTACTTTCGTTGTTGTCGTCGTCGTTGATTCCATCCATTGCAGTGTCCGAGGAGACTTGCACGACGTTGGCATAGCCGCGGTCGTTGATGATCCATTTGTAGCCGCTGAGGCGGGCCAAACCTAGGTATTTTGATGTCGGACACCGGAGCTCCATTTGGTGTAGCCAGAGGTTGGAGCCGAAACCGAAATAGATTGTTGGATCTTCTGCGGAAATGGAGCCCATGATGGCTTGGTCCAACTGGAAGGAGGGAAGGACAGGAGAGGAGACAACAAATAAACGGAAAAGCAATGACAGTGGCAGAAGGTTCAATAACAAGTGCATGGAACCTGGAGCCGCAACGAACAAAATGGATATCAACAGCACAGCGGACCTTGCAAGCTACGCGGCCAGGCAGCAGCTACTGTTCTCCTTTGAAGCGAGAGGAAAACGAACTTCAGTGGAAATGAATGGAAGATACAGCTAGCGATGTTCCCAAGTCCTAAGAAATGATCGGTGGGAGGGACGAAGGTGTAGTTGTGGAGTTGCTGTGGTTGTGCATAGATAGGTCGCAATGCCAAGAATATCGAGATGTCGCCTTTGCCGAACTATCCCGCCGGCTCAGTTGCGGTATTCCACCTGGGCAGTATTGGGTGACGAATTCACGCTACATGAAGAGGTACTCCACTCCCTCGTGGCACTAAGCAAAAAAAAAGCAAAGTTCATTGAAGCCAGAAGTCTCCATTGACAGGCATAACAGCCTACTGAGAGCAGGAAAACTACCAGGAAACAAAGATGATCTGCATCGAGACGGCCGCATTGCCCTGCAATACTCGAACGTAACATTCCTGCCTAGGACCCCGAGCTGCTCGTCTACACCCTACCTATGAAGTCAGACCCCTAGGCTCCCTCACGGGACTTGCGGTAGCTGGCCTGCATTCACCATCAATCAGCTAGGAACTCCGGTATTTTTGCTACGCAGAGAATCAGAAATGGGCGGGCAGTGCACCAGAGGATGAGGCAGCGGATCAGAAATCAGATGACTGGTGGCGACGAACCTCCTGCTCAACTTGCAACTGATCGACCACTGGGGCCAGCTCGGACAGAATCTCATAGGCCTTCTTATGGTATTCGAGCTGTGCGGCAATGAGGTCCGCGAGGTTGCGGAGCGGTTCGGGAGTATCCAGGACCTACAGGGTCATCAAGTCAGTAATCAACGGCTACAAGTTTGGTGTAGGTTTGAGAATGCCAACTCACGTTCTTCATAACTCCAACAGCCTCCTCGGTCTGTCCCACGAACTCATCCTCGGCCTGCTCAATCTTTGCCCTCGCCTCCTCGCTCAAATCCTCCTCCAAACCATCCTTCCTGCCATGTTGGCCAGGCAAGGAAAATCCAGGATTCTTCACGCTAGCCTTCGTCGCGTCAAGGCTCAGTCGTGCATTCTCCACAGCCTTGCGCGCACGAGTCGCAAACATGATGTTTGTATTCAGAGTGGTACTCCATCCCGCGAGAAACCTGCTCTGGATCTGAGCATCCTGTGCCAGCCTTGCCTCCCCAATCTTCTCGCTCGCGATGGCGAACTTCTCTAGAGCAGTGGCCAGAGGGTCTTCGGTGGCGGAGGAGTGCTCTCCAGACAAAACGTGGGAGCTGTTCAAGGCAGCGCGGGCGATAGCATGGCTGAATGTCTTAGGCTGGGGCTTTGCGGACGGGGGCGCGGTGAGAGCGGCTTGCGCTTCGGCCGGGGTCGTTGCGGACGACAGCAGATGAACCTTCTCCGCCACGGTACGACCGAGGTCGTTGAAAGATTCGCGAATGTTGGTCGGATAGTCGTATGCTTCATTTGAGTACTGAGAGCTGAGGGTAGAGGATGTCAGTCAGCGCCCGCGAAGCTGCAGTAGGACTATGGGTGTACGTACGTAACTTGAAGCATAGTATTGTGCACCTTCTTCAGAGCATCGACCCGTTTCTCAAGCTCGATGTAGTCCGGGGGAAGTTGTGTCTGGAGCGTTTGTTGTCAATGTTTTGCTTTGATATCAGGAGTTTCATCGAGTGTTGGGACGTTGGGACCGTGGAAGTGTTGGAGCCGTGCGCACCTTATCTTCGGCTTGCCCAAGCTGTTCCTTGACATACTGTTGCGTCCTCGCAGCAAAAGGTGTAAAGGAGGCACTGTAATGTTCTTGTCAGTCCCTTGGACCCATTTACAAGCTCCTGAGCTTCAGGAGTAAGGAATGGGCAAGCTTGCGTACGAAATGTTCTTGCCGAAAGCCTGGAACTTGTCCATGATAGGCAGCGTGTACCCGACAGGTTACTTTCAAAAGGTCGTCGTGTTCCTAAAACAAGACCGCTGCGGGCTTTCCTGTGCTCGTGTTGTTCTGGTGCTGATGGAAGAGGACGCTAGGGTCGCTAGGGTCATGCGGCGCGTGCTGTGGCTGGGCAATTCTATGCTTTTACAGGTTAGCGCGAACCTGACCTTTCATCTGAAAGGAATCGGAAACTCCTACTCCGTATATCGCCATGCCTCGAGTTACCTCCGCAGCTTTAGGTGTTGGTTGACAGCTTATCTAGTCATATTATGTTATGTGCTACCTTGAAGCATTTCTTCAATGATTTGGACACTTGAATAAGCATTGAAGCCGCGCATCCGCCCTACCTAAAGCTACTCCCGTCAACACTGACACTTTGTCGAAGGTTACAACGGGAAAACAGAGATAGTATTTCTTTTTAGGACCTTCACATTGAGTGCCAAGTTCAATACGATTGTGTAAATAATTAATACCATAGGTTCTCAGATATAAGTATACAATTGCGGCCGTGATCATTTGGTTGCTCGAATCCCTCGAACTTGTCTACCTTTCTCCATTACAAGCCCAGAATAGAAAAGGAGTCGTAGGGTTTGTACTGGAGCCCAGTCGAGAACCAGAAAATCAGGGATCTCCGCCATGAATCCGCAGTGGTGACGAGAAAAGAACTGACCATGCCGTGCGCCCTCTCCCAGGTGTATCTCAAATATCTAGCCGTGAATGTCCCCGCTCCAGAAGCCGTTCCCGCTGCCATTCCCGATTCAAGGTGAGCACTTTGCGGCCGCGACGACGCGACGTGCTCGATGACGGTAGACTACCGACTGATGATGGAGTACGATGAGAAAAGATCGCCCGATCTCGTGAGGTCAAAACAACGGTGCGCGGAAGACGCCAATATGTATCCCGAAGCTGAGGTTGAATCGCTGCACTTCTCCTAAAACGGCATGACGAGCTGCAGGAGCGATGACGGTTACACTGCGGCGTGTTCGTTGGCGCAGCACAGGTCCTGTGGGAATACTCGTCCGGCGTGATACGAAGGCGTTTCGCAATCCGAGACGGCTTGTCGTACCACAGGGCTGAACTTTAGATGGCTTAGAGGTGACGCGCTGCTTTTCGCGAAGTCGTTTGGTTTAAATGTGACACTGAGGAATCAAGGGACATTCCGCTTTCTCAGGTCTGTGGGCCTTGCGGCTGTCTCCCTGCAGCTTATTCAGGGCCATGAGCCCCTCCTGTGTACACTTAGGTATCATCCATAGTCGCGGGTACAGCTCCACTCGCAAGGACGCCCTCGATCGGAGGAGAGTTGCCCATATTGTCGTCCGCCGGTGAATCCGAGATGGTCAGGGTTGAGAAGATCCCTTTCATTTCCCGTAAGTCTTCTGAGGTCTGGTCCTTCGGCGCCATTGTTCGTTCCTGTATGAAGTCTTTGATCGAGCGGATGATGGGAGGGCAGTTTTCGTCGTTGGGGAACCACCAGTCGGAATGCGCCAATCCCCACTGTTCGAGCATCCGATTTCGCAGCGTGCTTGAGTATATGTAACTAATGTTGCGTTAGTCATTGCAGCTGGGTTGCGATAACCAACTCCGCCAATCAATGCCTCGTGTCATGCCAGGCACAGTGAACTGGCATTCCTGGGGAACTGCAGGCAAAAAAGCAATATGAGAGACATACCCTGCAGATTCAATCTTTACGAATGTGCGGCGACACCATTGTATGGTCTTCGGGTCCTTCGGGAGAAAAAGCGTCGCGATAGCTAGCGATGCTTGCGCCTCGATGATTGCGCCAGGAGTTGCCTTTGGGCAGAGACAGATCGCTTCGAAGACCTGCGCAACGCGGAGTGCCTTGTGCTTTAGGTCGGGATCGAAAGGTTTACGGAGCGCATGAGATATTTGGATTTGAAACATGAGTATAATCCCATACATGTCCATTATCAGGTAGTTTGTTGTCCATCGTGATCCACCCCAGATAATGTTCGTTTCGTAAGGATTGACGATGTCGTCTGGATCTGGATCACCAGCTAGATCGGTGACATGTTCGCTGGGGTCTAGTAGCACCGGATCAATGTTCTTGTCCAGGTTGTTGATCCGATCGGCCAGCTTGGGCAGCTCCTCCATGAACTTCTCATCCGTGAGCAGGCCTCTAGCCTTTCTTGCAAAAAGATCATTCGAGTCTTTGGCCACTAAGCGGGAATATGCGAAACGTTCTTCGTACTTCATTCCCAGATCATGGGGAATTTCGCGAACCTTCTTGACATAGTAATCGTGAACACTGACATACCACTCACGACCGAGGACAGACTCGCCGCCTGACTGGAAACCAACAAAAAGGTCAAACCGAATGTACCATAACAGGACCTTCCGTATAAATGCGGACTGCAGAACCGACTCAGGGGTATATAAGCGTGTAAGAGCGTCGTAGGCGGCCTTTTGGTGCCACATCAGATTGACCCAGTCTCCGAGCATCTCCTGAAGAGGTATTAGCAAATGTTGGTTGACGGCGATCATTATCCTACCTCGATACTAGCAAGCTGCAAAATGGTAAGGAACGTAGCGAGATTCTGCTTTCTGCTTTTTTCAATTGATGCACGCAATCGAGAGACCGATTCGTTGTAGTATTGCAGGAAATCGGATATCTGACCATCTGGTTTGCTGAGAGTGTGGAAGTACGCTGCGTATCCAACCACGGCATATCGAAGGGGTTCGTGCTTGACTGCCATTGCAAGCAAGTCGGTCTTGAAAGCATTATCACCGTCGCGCTTGAGCGAGTAGTGATGGTGGGACATGTGGTTCTTGAAGTAATCCAGATAGAATCTGACGTCTTGCGGGAAGGTCGTGCTATCTGTACTGGGAGGCATAATCGCTCGTGAAATAAGGCCGCTGGATTTCCGTGAAAGAGCCGGGCGACTTTCACTACGTTTTCGGATCGAGGATGCGTCTTGTGGTGTAGGACTGCGATCCAGGGTCAACGCTGGTGTATCGGAAGCCTCTCGTGACACATCTGTTTTTATGGCAGATTTTGCATCCATATCGTAATCTACTTCTTCACCGACATCCGCAATCACCGGTAGCCGCTCATGGGATTCGTCATAATCATCTTCAGGCGAAAATTCTTCCTTGGTCGCTTTCAGATTGCCTTTGCTCCCACTACGGCTTGGCCGTGGATTCGACTCATCTGGGTACACGCATTCGCGATTTCCCTTACGGCATCCTGAGTAGAAGGTTAGAGCACGAGCATGCGGCCTACCCAGGACAAGTTACTAACTTTCGCAGATGGGATGTGTCTCGTCGCACTGTTGTTCTCAGTCAGCGTGCACCGCACAGTCAGTCAGGTAGCTACTCACTTTGACTCTGCGTTGCCTGCATGTGAAGCAACCGCTCCGCGTTCGACGATGCTTGACGCCAGCCGCGTGTTCGGGACCAGACGACCTGCGCCTGGCGCGCGCATTGCCGCCTTGCTGGCTTTCGAAACCCGGTCCAGGTATATCTGCGTACTGGTCTGGATAGGTATGTGGAAAGGGGTGTTGGGAAAATTGCGGAAAGGGCCCGGGCATACCGTGATAGAGGGGGTTCCCTGGCATCTGCTGGTGCGCGAATGATGTCTCGGGCGGCACCAACGGCGGTCCATGAGGGTAACTGGGATTCGGAACGGCAGCAGGGTCGACGCTGTAGTATTCAGGCGGTATGAACTGGTTGGAATGGTAGTATTCCGACATGATCGCTTGTATGTTGTAGAAGGTGCGCGCTGCGGGAGGTCCGAAGCTGGTGACAATTCCCCGGTAAAGATGTGATCAACGTCCCCTATCCGAGGCAATACAGGACGCAGATTGATCACAGTGTGCTTGGGAAACCAGCGCAGTGCGCAGACGGACACTCGGAGGGTTTATGGCGTATTTGACGATAGCCAAATAACGGGAGTGCTGAATCAGGCCAGGACGACTACTGTGATGACAGCGAGGCGGACTGCGGTTGAGGCTGCGCCAGGGCCCTTGCTAGTACCAAAAGACCAGACCACGGCGGCGGCTTTTCTAACAACAGGATGGGTCTCGATGGTGAGCAGGGAGGTAAAGTTCGAGAGTTCTTGCGCTGCACGACCAACAAGGCACGGGGTAAGTGAAGTCCCACTGTGAAACTCAACGGTGGTGCAGTCGGCACTGTGAGGGACACAGCCGTCGCAGATAGATGTGGAGTGTATGTATGCTTCGTGGGAGAGCTACGTAAACTGCTTTGTGCTGCCAGCGATGCTAGGATGTCAATATTGGAACCAAGAAAAAAGCAGGGAGAACGACACTGATGCCGGGCATAGCTACCTAGATGTGGTAGTCTACTACCCTACATCTCTGGCCTGCGCTGGGAGAAATGGCTCTGCAAGCTGCGGCAGGGGTGAAAGGACGAAAAGCGGCCTGTGTGCTTTGCACAGATCAGATTGACCTGAGGTGCAAGGCTCCACGTCCGTGCATCAGAAGTGGCCGACAGGATCAGAGTCCCACCAGTCGTCAAAGTCGGATGCTGCCGTTGGATATCTGCTACTCCGTACAAGCACCCATAACGTGACGACAAGATGCCCTTTGCCATCCCGGTTCTTCCAGAAAGGCGCGGAGAGTGCACCGTCCCACTCCGCGGTCTAACCCCCGCTAAAGACGGACGTTCGAGGAAGGGATTTGAGAGGGATCGTAATCCTTTTATGGGAATGTGAGCGAGTTCCCATCGAAGCATCAAAGTACCCTAAGGTACACAGTAGAGGTGGCCCATCAACCCTTGGAAGCGGGGAATCCATTTGAACCCGCTCTACCGTATGTTGCACGCGCTGGAACTTCTCCCATCATCCGGTTGATGATCACAGGTGGCCAACTACTCGTCAAGCCGGTTGACGGCGCAGCAGCGAGTTGGACCATTCGCAGCTCACTGTGCTTCGTGCCTAAAGGCACGATGACTTCTGCAGGAACAGGTGCCAAGGCTCAAGGACTAGTAGGATGACAAGGAGACGGAGGGGTGCCTGTGGCAATCTCGCCACTAATGGAGAGAGCAGAGGTGAGCGGGTTCTATCGAGAATCAGCCACTCCTTCGAAGAGCTACGAATTCGTCAATATTACTAGCTCTGGCTAGAGACACATCCCTTCACGGAGTCTTTTGTCACAAATTCCGCTGCTCGCAGGGCAGCAAAGTGGAAGTCGACATCGGGAGTGTGGACCGGGTGAGATGCAGTGCGTGATGGCCCACCAGCACAGTGCAGCTGCAGAAAATTCAACGAATGGCAAACTCCGGCTCGAGTAAGATGGCTGCCGCGATGCATGCGGCAATTGGGTTGGGCTGGCGATTATTTGACGCCGTGGGGTGCGGTGGAGCGCCACGGTTAGTTCCTCCTCTGCAGATGGTGTGAAGGCGTCTCCGGAAGAATCTGTGATACGGCAGAGTTCCTATAACACCGGCGATATTTTCGCGTTTTGCCCTATCAAGGACGGCGGCCGATGCAGGCCTGCAAATGTCCCGCTGTCTTGGGCTTCCCAACCTCAGCAATTTCCAAATGATAATGGTGGAAGATGGACGTTCCAGAATGCAAGGCCCCAAGACGGCTTGGCCGCAATCAAGTTCCAAATATATCGCGGCCCCAGCAACAGGGCCGTTGGCGGGAGAAGCAGGGCCTGGCTTCGAGAAGAGAAACTCCCTAGCACCCCCGCTGCGGCCTGGGTGATTCTCTGGGTTGACAACCATCTCATCATCCTGGCGCATTGGACTCATCTACGCTCCCGGCTTGGTGGTTACTTTGGAAGTCGGGACGACCTGGGTCCGTACGTATCTGGCTCCAGTCCATCAGGATTCATCAGCCCAGCTGTCCACCCCTCCAGTCAGACCCAAATGGACTCCCGGCATGAGAAAAGGAGATTGGTGAGGTAGACAGTTGGCATCTCGGAGCCATCCAATCCTCAAGGAGGCATAAATTGCTCAATGCCGTACGCCAGCAGTGGTGGCGCATGGGTGCTGACCCACGCCGGTGACATTCGCATTGACATGGCGCACGCCACAAAGTTGCAGAATGTACCTCCACAGTACCGGTAATTATGGATACTGTGGTCTTTTTGGTCTGCGAATGACCTTTGAATTGACTTTTGGCTGAAACTCTGGTCACCTCGAGGGCTCTCTCTTCTCTTTTCGACCGCACGGCGTTTCATGCTCCTTATTGCGTCTTGGTGACAGTCTCTGCTTGCTCTGTACCCCGCATCTTCGAGTATTGCGTACCTAGGTACACAGAAGTACTTGGTAGTACATGGGAAAAAAGTCGGTGAAATTGTGGGACTTTTCGTGCTCTTCTGCCGCATCGGGTGACTCCCCCTTGATAGTCTCCGCCTTGTTCGGAGAGGGCACCCGTGATGCATGTGAAAACTGCTCCCTTGAGAAATGGGCAGTGTCGCCCATGCTGATCCGTCCCTCTGATCCTTGGTGTTGTTCCATGGCGTGGAGATTATTGTGTCAAGAACGCGGAATTGTGGTTTTTGGTCCGACAAAAGATGCCCGGGTGCTCATACCCCCAGGGCCCGACCCTGGTTGATCCACGTGCGGTGCCCAGGGTGATGACTTCTTCTCTCGCCCTGTCCCCGTCCCGTCGATCGGGATCTGTCTCCCTTGAAATACCAAGTACGGAGTATGTCTGGATATGTCACCTCGCTGCCCAGGGTGACGACGGGGAAGCTCCCCGTCTCTGGGGCAGCGCTGAAAGACTGATAGACCTCGGAAGCCCCTATCTGCTACGTACCTACGTAAAACTCTTCAGCGAATCTCCGGCGAGCGGAAGATGTCGAACATTGATTCTTCCAATAATACCGAGGTGAGGGCTCTGTCCGGTCCTATTACCTGGTACAGAAATAGTACATTTCTTTTAGAGTTGACTCGAGAACTTAGAGCGTCCCTCTCCGGAGACCTGCCCCTATTCTTCCTGACATCATTGTAGGAAATGCGATGTCACGAGCAGGTGCCCACTGCAGAAGTTTGCTGGCATAACCTCAAAAAGGGGTACATTGCTACATTGTTTGGCGCTCTAATACTGTGTACTGTCTATGTACGGTGGCATATGGCACCCAAGCTCTCATCACTGCCTTCGAGGTGCAGTTACAGCTTACAGTCTGCAATGGCTGTGTCACACCAGTTCACACTCTATTGTCATCTTCAGCAAGCCCTTTTTTCTTCCTCTAGTACTCTTTTGTGGTCCTCTGCTGGCACGGTCCTTATTCGATCTCCCAACACGGTACTCCATCCCCAACATCCCTCCCACTCCGAATATCGAATCATTCATTCTCAGACCACACGTCACCGTATCTGCATTTCTCCAACTCCAACCCAACTCTGAGCCCACCATACGCAGAGAAAACCACACAGGGCCAAGATCAACACAACCCTTTCGGGAAAGAAACCCATGCCCCGATCCACGCCTTTGGTTATTCCGTCCCCTGCAGCTGCTCCCACAAATGGACGCATCGTAAACTCCCTTGTCCCTTACCGCGCGCGTGCCTCATGCTGCCGCCCGTCCAATACTTTATGCCAACGTCCGCCCATCCTCAGTGCGAATACTATTGACCATTATCGTTGATGATAGTCCTTCCCAGCAAATCACAGCCTTCCCTTTACGGTCCCGTCCCACGACTCATCTCACTGGCAGTGACGCATATATCTCGACCAAATGCACATCCACAAATGTACCCGCCACCGAGGTGACACTCCTAATCAGGACAACATTCCCTCTTCGGGATTTCCGCATCTCCAAAACAGTTCGGTCCCTCGAAAATTGTATCCAAACTCTGGGAAATTCTGCTTCATGCATGGCTTGGCGACCACTCCTTCGGAAACAACAAATTGTCTTCCTAGTGGGCATTATTGTTGACGGAGGGTGGAGCGCGGGGAGCGCCGGAACGGGACCAGTTCCACTCCCAGCTTTGCGTGCGAGAACTAAGAGAAAAGATGACGAAGGATTCCAGCCACCCCTCCTGAGCGGATCCTCATGCTTGGGGAGGGTTGCCTATAAAGGGAGATACTATTAGGGATTTGGGGGTGAGGTTGAAGGACCTCTGTGACCGTCTCGCGTTTCTGCAGAACTTCATGTGTTCTGTAACTGCGATGGCTACCGCTTTTTCTCAGGGATCATCCTGTTCAACAGCGTCAAGCGGGCAACTGGAGGGTTCGAAATGCCAGGTGATATTGCTATAGATCTGCCTTCTGATGACACGCAAAGGTACCCACCTCATGGGCCCCTTCGTCACGGTGGGAACTTTGATTGAACTTGCATTGGGCGCTTCGAGAATACAGTCGCATATGCCCTTCGCATCTATTCCGGTGCACGCGCAATACATTTTAACGACCGCCGTACCGAGAATCACACGCGCACGAGGTCACGGAAGCTATGTATTGCGGTCATTAAAATCTGTATACACTGTCTCCAAAGGCCGAGGGACCAATGACCAGAAACGTCGTGACTAGTGACCAAAGCCAAGCATATATGCAGCCATGTGGAAGAAAGGAAGCAGAGTTTGTGATCATTCAGTCGTCAGGCAAATCTCCAAAGTAAGATGAAAAGAACCCAGTACCAAGAGCGATAGACCCAAACCTAGAACCATATGTCTCTCGCAGTGTCTAAATGAACACTCCGCATAGATAGATATATCTCAATGCCCAAACTCCCGCTTCCCAGTCCATGCCCAGCCAGCATCGCCTGAGAAACCTTTCGCTTTGAACCGTGATCCTCCATGCTGATAATGATGCCCCTGGGGGTATTGCTTCAGAAAAAGAGAAAAGCCAGAGAAAAAGAACGCCGAGCTTGGTTGGCAGGACACGAGACGCCTCCCAAAATGTAAATAGTGGTGAATGAGTACGATATGTGAAATATCATCCTGGGGTCGACAGATTCCTAGGCCAAGGTCCTTGAAAAGTGATGTTGATCCTTCATACGACTTCGGCCGTGAGCGAACGAGGAACGTCTTTTCCGGTCGCCCAACAAACGCATGTATTTGTCAAGAAATATGCTGTGTGCTAGATGGTGGAATAGGTGTCCCGATAGACTGAGGACGCCCCGTCTTTTCGTCCACGCCTTGGCCGCGACATAAGGGGCATGAGTTGCGACCTGTCGTGAGCCACTGTCCATGAGTTAGCCGGGGATCCATATACAGAAGGATTATGCATGCTGACCTGATCGATGCAGACCCTGTGGAACAAATGTCCGCAGTTAACCAATCTTCTGGCTTCTTCGTTCACTTCATAGTCACACAAGCAGACCAAGCAGCGCGCTGAAGCCAAACTGATTATTTCCTTGCTTTCAATGCCCTCCGCCACAACGCCATCCGGAGCCACCCCACGAATTGTGAAACGGCCAGGAGCCGCTGCAACGTCCTCCTCACTTGCGACAGGAGGCTTCGCAGAGCCAAGAAGGCTCGACAGCAAAAGCATGTCTTCATATGTCGGTGAATCGGTGAAGAGGCTTGGGGTCGTAAGAATGGGATGATTCTCGGGGTAGCTGCCACCGAGCACATAGATAATCCAACTCCTCGCTCGCGCGTCCCAAGGTCTATTGTCTGGCTCGGCGACCCCATTCCTGCGAGATGCCCAGCCGTTGAATCTTGAATCCGGTTCAACGAACCCATTTCTGCGAGCTGCGCCAGACCCGAACCTTGTAAAATCGGACTCGCTCATTCGCCGTTGACGAGGAACAGTCGGCTGTGTTTCTGGATGCTCATCGGTAGGCTCGAGAGTTCGGCGGATAAAACTGCCACGCCGGGAGGGTACAGCGGATTGCACTGTAGGAGAGGGCGGGGATGTGGAGGCCGTCGGTGTATTCGTGCCAGACGATATGCGTGATAGCCCGACGCTGGCCGGCGTAGAGGGCGGGGGCATGGAACCCGAGGGTCCATCGTTGAAGGTCGACAACGGTCTTGGTCTCTCTGGCATTCGGTGATGTCGCTGACTGTCGTAATTCGAAGGGAAGTTGTTCAGACCACCCATCGAGGCCCTGCGTCGGTGGCTAAACCTCTGCTGGGGTTGCCTTGGTATCCCATCAGTGGAGCTCGTGCCAGGCTCCGACAAAGGCGCCGGAAAGTTTGAAAGCACGTCGAGAAAGCCGGGTATGACGTCGTCCGGTGTAGGCGCGTTGGGGTTGATCGAGCGAATGCCAACGATTATGATTGGCACCATTCTGTCATCCCCTTCTTCGTCCCGGCTTTCCTCTTCAGGTGAGCCCATTGCGCTGTCTCGGTCGTTTGAGGAGGTGTCTCTCCGGTTCGGCCTAGGTGACCCGAACCTGAACATCCGGAAGAAGTTCACTGGCGTGGGGTCACCAGTTGCCTCGACGTCGGCTGCTTCGGCGTTGTTACCAGCTTGCCTCAGAACCGAAGCTATTCTGCCGTTTTCCAAAGCTTGAAGAAAGCTATCGAATGTTGCATCCTCTCCATCGCCCGCGACATTGCGCGCCTCAGCCACCGCGCGATGATCGTCCCCCACGAGCGACGCAGCTGTAGCCGTTGCCGCGATGGAAAGAAGGCGAGAGAGCATATCAGCCTGATCCTCATCTGTCGACGACGGGGGTGACCGCCTCCTTCGTAATGAGCTGGTTATGCTACGCACCCCTCTGTCATGCCTGAAGGTTGGTCTGATCGAGGAGGCGAGGCTCCTGGTCCTGTTCGGTCGCGGTGGTAGGAGGGAGTCTAGGACGTCTCCACTTTGTGGTTCTGAGGGATCGTCCAAGTCGGTGTCCAGCGTAGGAGCCTGGAGATTGGGCAGGTAGAGACCGGAGTCTTGAGTGGTGGGGGTGCCAGGCCGAAGGTTGGTGCGCGAGGAGGAGCGGAAAGGCCGGCTTAAAGAGGAGGGATGTAGCGAGGAAAGATTCCTTCGGCGGTGGAAGATCTGAGGAATGTGGGTGAGAGAGGAGCGGGCTCGACTGATGCGAGATGGTGGGTTAGGCACCGAGGGAGGCTCGTCAGTCTCAGATGGTCCAGCATCTGAGCGTCTTCGATAAGCGGAGAGAGCGTTGAAGGGGTAAAGCCGCTGGGATACAGGCCGCTGGGGTCTGGGAGTCGTAGGCCTCCCCTCCTGAGCGGCGTCATCGCCAGCAGGCGTCGGTGGGCTGAGTCTCGGTGCCCATGATGTTGGGCGTGCGCGGTCCCTGTTGGGAGGACTTGGATCTGGCCTCCCTCTAGAACTAGCTTGACCCATGGCGGGATCCTGTCCAGCGCTGGGTCAATAGGTAAGGAAAGAATAGGTGGTGTACGTCGTGGTGGACGGAGGGTTGGTGGCACCTTGAGCCTCCAGTGCATCCCGTCATGGTCTCGGCCGTGTCACGTGGCGCGTCCGCTTGCTGGCTTGGCAGACCTCACCACATCTAGTCGACAGACAATGTTCCTTATGTCGAGTCTTACAACTCGCCAGAGGTAATTCGTCGCAAAAACAGAAAAATGCAGCTATTTGCGGCCCAGACGCGCCCCGGCGGCAAAACAACGCACTCGCTGCGAGCAGGCCAACACCTACAATCGAAGAGGAAACGAGACGAGGACGATTGGGACGACGAGCATGAGATAGATGGCCGCTCCCCGTCCCTAGACGCGGTCTCATATTCCTCCTCTCACGCGCACAAGACAGCCCAGCTGCGTGTCGCAGGTTTATTGCCCGAGAATGCGGCTGAAATACCGCCCACGCCCTTTCCTCACGCACCGGCTCGCACTCCCAGCCATCCTCTCAACGCGTCGAAACTCTGGAAGGGTTTGGCTGAGCTGGATCCTCCACTATTTGCTGTCAATGCCACGTCAAACAGTTCTTTCGTTGGCGGTGTAAGCGAGCCGCTGGCATCGCGGCAGAAACACCTAGGCCTACTGAGTGCAGTCATGCATCGCTGCTTGCTTGAGGGTGACTTCCACCGAGCCGGGAAGGCATGGGGCCTCATTCTACGAACCCATATTGCTGGTGTACCTATTGATCCCCGAAACCATGGGCGCTGGGGCATAGGCGCTGAGATTCTGCTGCGTCGAGGCCACCGGCCAACCCAAAGTAAACTTGACAATAATGCAAATGAAGAATCCTCATTCGGGGAAGAGTCCTTTTCAGAAGAAGGATTCGAGCTCGCCAAAGAATACTATGAGCGTCTAATAATCCAGCATCCTCACCGAAAACACATAACTAACGTCATCGATGAACTTACCTTCTATCCAGCCATGTTTTCCCTCTGGATTTATGAAATCTCGGAAAAGAGTGCTCGGATGCGCCGAACCTTCGAGGAAAGCGATCAAGGTATGGATGATGGTATCACGGGTTTAGAAGAGCGCCGCGCCCATCGATCTGCAATCATCGCATATGAGCTGCAACATGCCAGGCAGATCACTGCACGACTGGATCAGCTCATCGTATCGCCACCCTTCGACAAGTCACCGGATCTTTTGCAGCTTAGAGGGATGCTTGCTCTTTGGATTGGTGACCTCATCCTGAAGAGCGATGAACCACATCATGATAATGGTTCTTGGGACAACCTTTTGTTTGACGAGGATCTCTCTATGGAAAGCACCGATCCCGGTAGGGAGCGACTGCAAAGGCTCATTGATAGTCGGAGAGAATATCGACAGGCGATGGACAGCTTTGTTCGGGCGCAGGTCAATGGCAGAGGACTCGGAGATGTCCTGGCTAACACTGAGGAGAGGATCCTTGACCTCTCGAGGAAGATCGCGAAATTCGAGCCGGAATGACGCTGAACAACAGTATCGACACTTGTATTAGAGCGGACGTATATGTCATGCTTAGGAAAGCAATTGGGCTTCCACCTCCATGCGGACAAGTGCTGATTGAGGCTCACATGGCGGACTCGGACGACCGCGTACCACAACCCGGAATAACCGCAAAATTCCTCCTTCTAAGCACTCCTCGCCGGAACTTTCCGTTGGAATAGACACAACGTACAGCATCATGCCCTAGTGCTGGGAATGCTATGTAAAGGATATGAAGGCCTATACAATTGTTAAACGATGTAAGAATCCTCGCACAATAATCGTTAGCATAACTCCTGTCGATCGGTGAAATCCACTCTACCAGCGATCTTCACACAACTTCCTAGAAACTAAACCTCCTACCCTCCTTGCGCATCTTCTTGATTGAGCGACGCGCAGCAGCCTTCCCGTCCTCGACCAGGACTTGCTTGCTGTCGTCGTCTGCTAACTCGTGCTCGCCCACACCAGCAAGCAGTCGGGCAAAGTGCTCCGGGGCGAGAGTGATGCACCCATGGAGGGTGCTGAGCTCCGCATTGAGCTGGCGTTGGTGCTGCGCTATCAAAGGAAGTACGAGGTGGCAGAGGAGATAACCTGATGAGCGCTAGAGGAAAGGCGCTGGGGAAAGAGCACACCAGCACGCTGACCAGGGAAGAATTGTTCTCTAAATTTCTAACATGTAGCGGGTCGTCTCTCTCTTCGATGCACGCGCATGTAGCGTTGCACGTTAACGGGTTGCGGTTGTTTGTGCTCTTGGGTCGGGGCAAAGGTGATAGAGGAGTCGCACACGAAGGTTGTGGGAACTGGGAACAGGGCAGCAGTGCTCTCTGCGTCAACGGTTGCGGGGAGGAAACATAATGATCAACTGCCGCAGATTCTGAGAGTAAAGTATAAGCTGCCAGAGTCCCCACGATTCCATCTACATGCTTGTCCGACTATTCGTTCCAGCAGACACCCCAACAATTCTTCTCTCTTGCCTTTCTATGCCGCAAGCCAGCAGTCAGGGTCCGCTTTTTGATCCTTTCACTATGCGAGCTCTCACCTGTAGGTTACCATCCAGTGGTTTTACTCCTTGTCCTGGCAGAAGGTAATGCGATTCCCAAACGGATCCATAACGGCCATCTCCCCAGCACCAAGCGCTGAACCTTCCTCGATGCCCGGCTTCAGGTACCGATACGTCTTGGCTTGCAGCTCGCCATGATACGCTACCAGTCCCTTCATCGCCACCCGCACGTGGACGCCGGGACTGCCGTCGCCGTGGTGCTCGCTCAGGTGCAGCACCAGCCCGCCCCTCGAGACTTGCCGATACAGAGGCGCGTTGTCGTCAAACCTATGGTCCCAGTCCACCATGAAGCCAAGGTACCCAAGGTAGAACTCGTCCGCCTTGGCCATGTCAAAGACGCGGAGGATTGGAATGACGGATCGGAACTCAATGGCCATGATGCCTTTGCGGCGCGCTGTTATAGTTGACAAAGGGAGCACAGCAGGAAGAGGTTAGACTGCTAAAAGCCGTAGAATAAGTGGTCTGTAAGATGAGAGTACAGAGTTGTACAGGGGAGGAGACAGTTAAACTCTCGCGGACAGTTTGTGTTCAGTGAAAGGCATTACTTATACCTCAACGCCAAGGATTTGTACAGCAGGCAGCAGTGGTTCTGTACGGAGTACGGCTGGCACCATTAGTAGGCTTCAGCCGAAGGCGGATGGCAGGCGACAGGACTGAATATGCTATGTCTTCGGAAGTAGACGAACACCTCGATCACGCTAGCAAGGAGGAACGTTCAACCCCTACGGTAGGCTGTTGTAAGCAACACCGCCACCACGCGAATTTGCGATTTTGCGATCTTTCGCGAACACGAAAAAGGCAAAAGCAGGCATTTTACTAGGTATAAAAACAGCTTATTTCTAGCTGCGCAGTACCGCAAGAAGGTATTTTTAAATAAGTAGTAGTTAAGAAGAAGAGCGTTATAATAAAAAAAACGTATATTATTTTCTAAGGTTATATAACTATAATATATAAGTAAAGTAGAATTTATTATACTCTTTTTTTTTATAAAGCTACTATATAATAAAGAAAATATATTTATAATAAAATTCTATTAGTTTAACTATTATTTATTTTATTTTAGTATTTTAAATAAACTATAATGTAAACTATCACCGAGATGGCCACTCCACCGAGACGGCCACTTTTCCTTGGCGCAACCAACATTACAATCAACACAAGATGTTTCAACAACGTAACGTGATATTAATTGAACAAGAAGGGAGAATTGATCTTACACTTCGGGCCTACAAATCTGGCCAATTTCAAAGCCTACGACGTGCTGCTGCAGCCTTCAACATTACATACCAGAGGCTCTCTGATCAGCTCAAAGGAAAGCAATTTCGATGTGATACACAACCTAATTGCAAGAAGCTCACTATAATCGAAGAGGAAATGCTCGTCCGATATATTCTTGACCTCAATTCACTAGGATTTGCATCCCAGCTGTGTGAGGTAGAAGATATGGCCGATAAATTGTTAGGTGTGCGTGGTGGTACATCAGTAGGTAAACACTAGGCTGAGAGATTTGTAACGCATTCGGATCAGCTTAAGATGGCCTTCAATCGAGCAAAAGATAGGTAGAGGAGACTCCAGGAAGATCCTGAGGTGATTAGCATGTGGTTTAAGCTGGTTGCAGATATGAAAGCGAAGTACGGTGTCTACGATGATGATGTACACAAATTCGACGAGACCGGTTTCCAGATAGGTGTAATTAGGTTAATGAAGGTTGTTACAGGCTCAGAGAGACGTACAAGGCCTGATCTCATCCAGCCAGGTGATCACGAGTAGGTTACGGTCATCTAGAGTATCTGCGCTGCTGGGTATGCGATCCCGCCATTCATCATCTACAAAGGGTGCATCCACATCTCTGCATGGTATGAGGAGGAAGATATACCGCATTCTTGAGAGCTCTCAGTCTCTGAGAATGGTTGGACAAACAATGCGCTTGGCTTTAAGTGGTTGAAGCACTCTGACATGTATACAAAGGTGCGTCAGGTAGGCAGTTACAGGCTGCTTATTTTGGATGGCCATGAGAGCTATCTCAACCAGGATTTCAAGGACTATTGCCTCAGAAACAAGATCCTTACTATCTGCATGCTGCCTCACTCATCACATATACTCCAGCCACTTGACGTGGTCTGCTTTTCGCCATTGAAGCGTAAGTACTCTCAATGTATACGAGACTTGGTATGCCGATATGTTTTCCATATTAACAAAGAAGGCTTCCTCCCTGCCTTTAGAGATGCATTTTTCGATGTGTATACAGAGCAGAACTGTCGAAAGGCCTTTGAGGCATCAGGACTAGTCCCTACCAATATGCAGGTAGTATTGGATCACCTTGAAGTATGGCTGCATATCTCACCAGGACCTCTGCTACCAGAAATGCTATGGCAGTCAAAGACTCCAAGTAATACGCATAAGTTTGGATCTCAATCTAAGCTTATAAGCAACTCCTTTACACGATCACCTCTTACTGCTCAGGCTAGCTTCTCTCAGCTTGTAAAGAGTGCTGAACTCATGTTCCATCAAAATGTGCTTCTAACTGCTGAGATCAATGAGCTATGAGAACAATTAGCAGTGATGACCAAGTGCAAAGAGCGTAAACGGAAGCAGATACAGCATGGTGGTACACTGAACTATGGTGTAGCAGCAGCACAAGTAGCTACTGAGGTATCTGCAGTATCTCAGCGATCAAAGAAAGCTCGTGGTAGTAGTGATCATGAAACAGCCTAACCAGCTCTACGGCGCTGTGGGAACTACGGAGGGACTGGGCATAATGCATGAACTTGCAAAAAGGATACATAAAGATCTCCTAAATCTAATGTAAAGACAATGTACACAGGCTCTCTCTTTAATAGTGATTAAGATGAGAACTCGTAACATGAGTTGGTTGCGCTAAGGAAAAGTGGCCATCTCGGTAGGGTGGCCATCTCGGTGATAGTTTACATTAATAAAATTAAAAAGTATATATAGCTTTAAAGTTATAGAAAAAAGATAGCTTAGTATATATTAAAAGGTAGGAAATTTTATTTTTAGATGTATTTTTATATTCTTTAGCTATACTTTATACGTAATTAGATTCTATAGATTAGTTATACGCTTTAATTTAAATATTTATATAATAATATATACTCTAGATTTTAATATAAACGCGTAAATGTCTTTATTTTTTAGTATAAATAAAATGTGCCCCCTAGTTATATATTGCTAGGGGTGGCGGGCGGGCCGTGCGCGCCGAACTGGCCAGGACTGTCAGAATTCGGGTTTTCAGATTCACTTCATCTTCAGTCAATCACTTTCACCTTCATCAGGGTCGCTCTCGTGAACGTTCGCAGAGTGCACTGCGACGCTCTTCAGCTGGATAAACAACTGCCAGTTTTCTTGCGCATGGGGCGCATGCGGTGCAAGGGCAGTTCTCTTGTGTGACCGCCCACTTGATTCATCCCACGACCCGGCCCTCCCCAACCTCCCAATTTCTCCAGACCATCTCCCAACCTCAGCTTTCTTCACCACTAATAGACAGCATACAAGCAACGTCCAGACCAATAGCAATTGTGTCGACCTGCCACTCCCAACACGCTATCGCACCCCCATCTCTAGCGCTCTCAGCCATTTAACCCAACCTCTCGCTCACCAACACCACCCGTCTCTCCTCTTCTAGAAATGTTCTTCAAACGACGCTCTCGAGCTAATAGCTACATTGATAACGACGCTCCACCTCGCTCACAGTCCTACGACGATCACGACGCAAGGCCTGGCTCCTCTCGCAATCAACCACCGGTCGCTTCACCTACCGAGGAGAAGGAGATGTACGCCCGCCAGTCAGCTCCGCAGGAAGGCTATGCCAGTGCCATGCAGAATACGGGACACAATGCGATGCCCTCGGTGGCTCATTCTGCTCCACCATCGACGACTGTGAAGACGGAGCCGATGCCCGACCTGCTCGCCCAAGCGTTTAATCAGGCGGTGCGACCGTATACTGAAAAGATCGAGCAGCTCCAGAACCAGCTTGCTGACCTCCAGGCTTGGGTGGAGCAGCTAGAGCAGCAGCGAGCTGAAGTTCACAGCTGGATAGATAAGCGTGGTCTTCGACCTGGTAAGTGCGCCAATTCACTTCCACTCAGAACTTGTCCCGCTCGATTTCCCGAGGCCATTGGATCTCTGGGTTTCGCAAGCGGACTGGCTGTTGTTGCCCCAATACGCCAGAGATGCTGTCGGTCCGACCGTGCCCAAGCAACCCACTTCGGCACTGGTACCATCGGCATTCTTGTGATAGCTCTGCGCCGAATGATATTGACAGCTTCCAGATGTTCCGCCCTCTATCGCCAAAATAATGGACTCCACCACGTCAGACGCCGCTATCACGCTTAATGCCCAGCTCGACCGGAAAATCACAATAGTGAACTTCGACCTCCACCGGCTTCAAGATGATCTCAACGACTCCATCTCTGCTGACCATTTCGCTTCTGCGATGCTCAAGTTTCTCCCGGATATCCAACGCTTGTCCCAGCTTCCAGGGGGTCCTCGACATGCTTTCGACCTGGTCCTCAAGCTTGGCGGCAACCTGAACTCGCATGGAGGCCTGGACAGCGGGGATCCGACCGACATCGCCGCTCGCAGGGACTTCTACGGCAGGCTTGATACCGCTATGGTCGATGTTGTTCAGCGTCGATTTGGTGAGGGTGAGGATTGGAATGTACAAAGGGAAATCAAGCGGATCGAGAAGACGGCCAGCTATCTTAAGACTTTTGGGGTAGAGCCATACTTCCCCGCTACCCTGGATCTCATGAGGAGAGAGCTCGAATTCCAAGGCCGAGCGCCACCACCTTTGGCTAATGGCCAGTCGAGCCCGCCGCGATACCACTGATCTTTCCTTGCAGCCAACGAACTGCGTATCGGACAATACGCCTCTCTTCTTCAAGAGTTTGCATAGCCTTGGCCTATGCTTGGGACGTAGTGTTCTTTCCGTCATAGTGGATGCTTCTGCTCTCTCATCATCCTGATATCCCGAACCTCTTCCTTGAATGGTGCCGGGTTTCTTGTTCTTCAACGTCACCGTTGCAGTAATTTTAGCAGCGTAGCGGGAATGACTGTAATTGATACTGACACGACACGAATCTCCTTGTAAACATGGGCGAGAGGATGGGACCTGGCCGAACTGTCTACGGTGCTGGGGAACTGCGCCGGGGAACTGCGCCATTGATTGTGCATAAAGGTACCTTCAAGCAGACAGTGATACGTATATTGAATGGGACAACTACTGTATAATCTCAGTAAAACAAACACGGTGATTAGAATCGCAGCTGTTCCTCTGGACTGCTCACAGTTTGTACCAGCCACCAGCCACCCTACGTCAGATGATGAGATGGCGCTATTCCACGATAGGCAATGTTTACGCCCGCTATCACCGGTTCCCATGTCAACTCCGCCTCTCCAAACCCACTGCTGCATCTTCACAGTACAGTACAGCCTCAACACAAACCTATACCGAACGATGAAGTCATCCGTACTGCTCACTTTGTATGCAACTACGCTTGCTGCAGCTGTAGCTCAGCATAAAGAGCCTCAGGCAGTCCTGCAGGAGCCGCAGGTGGCCATTGATGAACGTGATGAGTACCTGATCGAACTGTCCCCGGGAGAGACCAGATACGTGACGGAAGATGAGAAATGGGCGTTGAGACGGGTGGGTAATGGCCTCAATCCTAGCCTCTATAACTAATGCCATCTAGCAAGGCATCAACTTCTTCGACATCACAGACACGCCCGACCTCGGCTCGTTGAATCGCAAGATAGGCATCCAAAAAGTATCCTTCCCTTCCAAGACCGCCCATAACGAAAGCGTCATTCCGCTTCTGAAAAAGTTGGAGAAAGACAACATGCGCAAGCATCTCGAAAAGTTCACGTCTTTCCACACTCGCTACTACAAGTCGTCGTACGGCGCGGAGTCGTCGGCATGGCTCCTCGCCCAAGTGGACAACACTTTGAAAGAGACGGGTGCTTTGAAGCATGGTGCATCCGTGAAGGCCTTCCCGCATCCATGGGGCCAGAGTAGCATCATCGCCACTATTCCTGGGAAGAGTAATAAGACAGTTGTCATTGGCGCCCATCAGGACAGCATCAACCTGTTCTTCCCGTCTCTGCTGGCAGCTCCGGGTGCTGACGATGATGGTAGCGGGACGGTGACTATCTTGGAAGCTCTGCGCGTACTCCTCCAGTCAGACGATATTTTGAAAGGGAAAGCGGAGAACACTGTCGAGTTCCACTGGTACTCTGCGGAAGAAGGCGGTTTGCTCGGCTCGCAGGCCATCTTCCAATCTTACGAGAAAGAGGGCCGCGATGTTAAAGCCATGCTCCAACAGGATATGACGGGCTACGTACAGAAGACCATCGACGCGGGAGAGCCGGAATCCGTTGGCGTCATCACCGACTTCGTGGATCCGGGCCTCACAGAGTTCATCAAGGAGGTCATCACAACCTACTGCGAAATCCCCTATGTATTAACCAAATGTGGATACGCTTGCTCTGATCACGCCAGCGCCTCAAAGGCTGGATATCCTTCCGCTTTTGTCATTGAATCCGACTTCAAGTACTCTGACAACAAGATCCACACTACTGAAGACAAGATCGAATACCTGAGCTTCGATCATATGCTGCAGCATGCGAAGCTGACGCTGGGTTTGGCGTACGAACTCGCTTTCGCCAAGTTTGATTAACTCTGCCATGTTCGATTTCTTCTATCTGATTGCAGTTACTTTTGACTCGAAACAGCTGGCATTTCGCATTTTGGTTGCATTTATGGTCATCACCGCTATTCCGGCTGTACACGTTTGTAAACTATTTATGGAAGTCATGGGCTCTACCTAGATAGATGGTTGCGGTTGCGGTTATCGAAATCTTCGGCACGTTCTAGGTCATTCCTCATCGTCGCAACTGTCCAGCACTCTTCCAATGCATTGTCGTGCTTCGGCCGTCTAATACCCTGGAAAATACTGTGTAGACTGGATCCGGACGCCGCTTGGAGACGCTCCACCATATCCGTCTCGCCTGAAGTTGGCCAGGATCCTTCTTCCTCCGTGGGCTTTGGGACACCAGGGGCTTTGTACACAATTCCCTAGGAGAGATGCGCTGGAAAACACCCCCAGTTGGAAGGTAATACAGATAGGAAATGCGGTTGTTCGCCGTCATAGAAGTCGATCTTTGTATTGCCGTCTTCGTCGGTGGGCTTGACGGGTGGATAACAATCAGAGGTGATAAGCATTGGTCTTGTGTGGCGTCCTTCTCCGTTGGGGCCTTCGACGCCTGGCAAGCAGGCGTATACTGGACCTGGATGGATCATACAGCTTCGGACGCACCATATACGGTTGGCCAAGAGAGTGGTCTAATTGCTCTGCGTTGTCACCACCCCAGAGGAAATCAAGTTCCACCTGTCCCAAAGAAGCCGATCTGTCGACCTCTTGGACAGCTTTGGCAAAATCGTGTCTCGAATCCCGCCTTGTTTCCTTCATGGTCTCGCATGTAGTGAGAACAATATGGGTCTGGATAAGTGCGCGATACTTCGTCGCCGCCTATTTTCACATGTGAGACGTTTCGATACGAGGCATCTTGGCCATCAAATCTATCCAGACTCGCCAATCTTTTGTAATAGCAAGGTGACCTCCCCTCATTCTAGTCGTCATAACGACCGTGGTGGATGCGCAGTCCGCAAAATGGACTCCAGTGAAGGGAGCAACTCGGGGTTGAGCAAGTGCACTCGTCAGCTCGAGTACAGCCAATGCAGACGCACGCGCTCCCGTCCAGATACTTTTCTCGTCCGGGTGGTGATTCCAAGGCGGAGTCTGCCTGGCGTCCCGAAGTGATCTTCGCTGAGGGCCTCGGCCGTCTTCACCGCCGTGAGCAGCGGGTTGAGCTTTTGCAGGAGGCGGTAAAGCAGATATCGATAGTTGAATGTAACTTGAGATTCTCATATACTTCAAGCGCTTCCGGACAGGCAGTGCGGCATAGGCAGAGCATTGGAACGTTACCTGTCATTCTGAAGAGCTGGTGTTTGGCTGAGTCTGCTCTTACTTCTTCTAAGTCTCAGAATGAGACGAAGCGAATTGTTGCAGTGAATGCTGCCGGCAGCGTTCGTTTAACCTTAAACACATGTTCTCCCCTTCACATGACTCCCGCAACATAACGCGGGAGAAGTAGGGTTAATAGCTTTATACATGAAAGAATCTACCAAGTCTCTTAAATACCTAAGCTAGCCACATTTTGCTTAAGAAGATAATAAAGATATACTATTTTAACTAAACAAGCACATCTCTAAATAGATATGCCTACGTCTTGACCATCTTAGCGCCATTCGCCACACCATTCACTGCCTCCCCCTTCCCCTTCCCCTTCCCTTTCCCCTCCCCAAACTCCACATCCCCAATCATAACCTCACTCACCAACTCCAACCCCGCCACAAACACGCCCAACAGACTCGCAATGACGAAATGACTGATACTCGTCCCGATATCCAACCAGCTCCCCTCATCCCTGACCATGTAGAAGAAGTTCAGCGTCAGCACATCCCCGACGGCCATGACGATCATGAACAGGGCGCTGGGCGCGACGCCGAGCCTGCGGTTCAGGATGCCGAGGTAGGCGGACATGATGGCGAAGGGGATGAGGAGCTTGAGGAGGAGGAGGGCGCCTTGGGAGAAGGGGTCGAAGACGGGGATGAGGCGGTAGACGGCGTCGAGGGAGAAGGACGAGATGGAGGCGATGTTGCCCGTGGAGAAGAAGGCGGATTGGAGGAGGAAGAAGAAGAAGAGGGAGATGCGGGCGTCGGACAGTGTGAGGGCGCGGTAGTCGGTGGGTTTGAGTTGAGTGGATTCTGCTGCAGTTACCGGTTTGGAGCCGTCGGTGGAGCTGGAGATCTCTGGAGCGAGGCGTTTTGCCTGGGTGTGAGTGAAGATGTGGTGCTCTAAGCGCACCCAGGTGAAGAGGCAGAGGCAGAAGGCGAAGTAGAAGAGGCCTTCGTAGGATATGGTGAGTATGATGAAGGTGGGCGCAAATTGAAGGAAGATGACGACCAAGCGGTGGATGTAGTGGCTATTCGGCCGGGACCCATGGAGCATGGGCATGCAAAGGGATGCCACTGAACTCGTCAGTTTCGGTCACTGCAGGCACTAGATTTGCATACTCAGCGTGATCCAGCCCACCGCTTTTGTTCCAGTTGGCAGTCCTGCCTTGGACTGGATGTACCATATGCTAGACCTAGTGACAATCATCGCCAAAGCCACCAAACCGAGCTAGCCATGTAAGATGAGAGCGGTACAAACGACGTTGTTGACATACCTGCACGCCGATAACAATACGGGTTGAATGATCAACAGTTGGTACCGACAGCTCATCCTCCGACGACTCAGCGTCGTAGAGAATGCTCTTCTCAAAGAGCAGGTAGAGAACACCCACAGCAAACATTATTATCCCTCCAAGCAAACTGCAAAGTATTAACTTGCTGATCTGGTAGCGACGATGAGGTAATACTCACATTAAGTTTAGGTCTTCAACCTTGTTAGCCGGCAATAACGTGAACACACTCATGAGGACGCAAGATAGCACCCATGTTGCCACCAGGACAACATTGTTTTGCATGAAATCCTTTCCGTAGAATGCTGGCCAAGTAGTTGCAAGGAGGTAGCAGATGGTGAAAATCTCTCTCTGAAAATAGCTTTGCACCTGAGGAACGGTAAGCGGCGGTACAAATGGTTAATAGAGCTTGACTCACCAGCGCCTCTAGGACGGCGAAGAAGCCGAGAATGGATGCGGCCAGCTTCACAGCCTCAGAACCGGAAGTGACATGCCCGAAGAGCACTTTTCCGCCCTGTATTAGTGCGGGTCGGCTTGCCCACACCTCTTCCCAGAACATGACAGGAAAGAAGGCATAGGCGTAGTAGATCAAGGGTGATTGCTGCATGAAAAGCAGCGAGTACAATCCAACAAGGAAGGAAGAGAATACGACCATGCTGGGAGCGGTGCGAAGAGTTTCCGTTTGTTGATGAAGGACATGGAGATCGATGACCGTGGTGACGGCATATGCTATCCAGCCTATGTACCCGCAAGTTACCAATGCTCTGAGGAAGAGCCAATCGTATGTCTGCAGGTACCTGAGTCCCTGAAGTCCCAGCTGTATGAGTTCTCTCGTCTCTTCAATGGCTTGGGTATAGTTCTCCTGATCGATGTGGTTTCGAACGCTCGAGATGCGGTAATCGACGGAATGTACCTCGTCCCCAAGGCCCGGAAAAGGTTTATAACGTAGTTCCGTTGATTTCTTGTGCTCTTCTTTGACATGATACATCTCCAGAATCTCCTTCGCGTTGGCCAACAGAGCTTCGGCTTTTGCTTTTGAATCTGCGTCCAGGTAAGATAGAGGAAGCTCTCCAACAGAATTTGTAGGAAAATCCAAGCCGACGAGATAGGCCATCAACGCAGCAACATCGGCCTGCGCAACATCATGGCGTTGGACATGGTCCAGGCCCCAATCCGACGAGAAGCCATCTTCGTGCCCCTTCGCGACGCCAGAGGTGCTGATAACGGGCGGTGCTACGCCAGAACCCCACACTATCAGAGGCGTACGGGTGTTATCGGGGTGCCCGTCCCCATGACTTCCCCAGTCACTCATTCCGTGATCTGCAGTGAATACGAAAGCTGTCTTTCCGTCTCCATAAAAGTCCTCAATGAGCTCAGTTATCTCCTTTACGCCTTGATCAACGATCTTGATGTTGTGCAGATACTGCTTCGAATACGGCCGATGAGCATGCCCGGTGGTGTCCAGACCCAACAGATGCAGGAAAAATACAATCTTCTCCTTTCTTAGCTCCGCGTCAAGAGTTGCATTCCTCTTTGCTTCCTGGAACATGGCCTTCACTTTATCGAACACCCAGATGTCCAATTCCACCGCATCCTTGGTGAAATCTTCAAACTCAGCACCGTAGGTATCCGCAGATACTCTTCCTGGGACTGCGCCATGCTCAAACATGGGTAGAATATCGGGACTCCCCCAACTCCAGGTATGCTCACTCCTGTTGAAGACGCTGTCGAAATCGACGGGATTCAGTTTCCACCCCGTAGTCACAGCAGAGACGTCCTCGTATAGCCCAGCAATGAGAGCGACATGTCCAGGGCGGGATTCCGTTGGTACGCGAGTATGGGATACGCCGAAGGTGCCATGCTCGAGTACGCGCGAACGAAGAAAGGGTGCAAGGGGTCGAGGCACATGTGAATCTTCTGTGTTGTTGGTAGATGGTGAAGGGTCGGGGAAAGACTGAAAAGCTTTATCTGCGCGCAATCCATCTCCTACGGCTCCGTTAGAAACAGTCATCCTCTACGTAGTCCCACTTACCAACGAAGAGTACCAAGCGCTTAGCCGGCGCTTCGGTGGTTTCGACACGATGCTCACGCATCCCATGGACAATTGGGCTTACGAAGTATATGGAGAAGATACTGTCAAATGTCAATGACACGGTACCCTGAGATATCATTCATACGTAGTACCTGTATATGTAAACGAGGTGGAACACCACTCCGACAAAAAGAAAACGGTAGCGGCCCAGTTGCGCCATGGTATAAAGAGTCTAAGGAGTGGATGTCTCTCAGAGACGTTGGAGAGCTGGCTGAAGCTTCGATGTCCGCGCAGCTTGATCAAAGATTTCCGCATTGCGCGTCTTCGCGAACGGTCTGAATGCTGCAATGCGGACAACCGCGGAGATCCCTGCCAAGACTTACCGAATCAGGCATTGGAGCCGCACGGTGTCCTATCTGGATATCATGGTACTTTAATAAACAGATACTGTGCAGCAAATTGCTCAAAAGAATGGTATTAAGGTAGAATTTGATCGAACAGGCGCGCTGTATCCGTTTTATATGTGATAGGTGCAAGCAAGCCCGAATGTATCCTTTACTTCCTCATTCATTGCAACGTGCCAAAGTTGTAGCTGGTGTCTAGTGTAGGTATTGGCCAAAGTCTACTGTCCAGCTTTTACACTGCACGGCGTACCATAAAGCATGACAAGCCAGCCGTCATCTACTGGTCAGCGACCAAAGTCTGACCTTCTCTGAGACCCTCCACAACCAACTCATGACCCTCCGCACGCTTGTAGATATCCTTGATGTCATCTGAAACTTGTTAGCATGGGCCATCCTCCCCAGAAAGGTCCCTACATACCGGTAGTAGTCTCGAAATGGCTTGTAGCATCGTAGCTCTTGGACAGGAAAATGTTGTCGTTCTCGCCACTCTCCAAAGGCTCATAAAGCGGGATTGGTGGACCCATGAACTGCTCCTCGATACGACCAAGCCTTTCCAGACCGGGCTGGAGTTCAAGATGATGGTTGCTGTCGGTTTCAGCAATGGTAGAGACAATGGCGATGTAGTAACCCTTAGGGCACACGTTGTGAGCGGAAGACACCATGGCAATATAGATGTCTATTACTGTTAGTTCAGCCCGGCGGACCTGTGCACTCGGCACTCACCATGCTTGCGTCCGACTTGAGACTGTGGGATGATCAATTGGAGAGAGTCGGCGTTGTCCGTGCGATCGATGGGATGGTTGAGGATGCAAATGGCTTTGAGCAAGTGCCCTGTGACGCGCACTTTTCCAGGGAAGTAAGACGGGTCCGCGAGGATCTTCTTGGCTTTCGTCTGAAACTTCATGCCAGGGCCGTCATCCCCTTTCTCCTTCATGGTGGCTTTAATGCCAACCACTTTACCATTCTCGTACAAGAACTCGTCCACGTCTGTGTTCAGCATATAAGTCCCTCCATAAATTGCCGAAAGTCGTGCAAAGCCTTGGGGAAGTTCTCCGAGGCCATAGAGAGGGTATATGTATGGCGACTTTCCATATCTGGCCATTGAGTTCACATAGAGTCGAATGCGATTGATGGCGTCGCTGGCGGCTCCTGGCTGCTGAATATAGTCATCCGTTTGGTACAAAGCCATAGAATGGCCAATGAAGTCTCGAGTCGAAGGTTCCAGGCCAAACTTGTCATAGACATCCTTCATGGTGCAGGTTTTGACATCGAGACCTAGCAGTAAGATCAGGAATCAACTCAATAGACCAGCCAGCGTACCGACCTTTATGTGTTGCCGGGTCTTCTTCCTTGTATGACCCAACCCATTCGAGGAAGTTCCTCGCCCGCCTCTTCTCGAACAATCCCATCAGCGGCGAGCGAAGAGCTTCGCCCGCATCTGAGGGTACCTTGGCTACAGTGGCCTTAGGGCCGCTTCCCTGTTGTACGTAGCTGCCGGCTATCTGCTTGAACTCGAGATATCTTGTGACATCGGTGGATACGAGGATGTTGGTGAGTTCGCCGTTGGACATGAGAAGTTTGGGCACCAGGTCGATGTTCCAGTCATTGACGCGGCCATACTTCTTCCACGGCTCACCCGAGGTGTGGCCATACAGTTTGAAAAGCTGAAGAAGAGTCAGTGAATTGGAGTGCCGGTATGCTTGTGGGAACGAACAGTTTCCAGATTGACCGATGCCGCTTCTCTACGATGTATAAGCCAATCTTGTCGTTAGGGTGAGACAGAGGCAGGCTTACCCTCCATAGTGATCATTGCGATCGATGTGAAGGACTTTCTTCCCCTTGACGCTCAGAACTCTGCAAATGGGTTAGGCAAAGTAGATATCGAGGAGCGGCTACTGCCTTACCCAGACAGCACACATTCCGTGAGACCTGCTTGGTTTAGCTTCTGCTGCAGTGTGGAGGCGGGGTACAAGCTCACCAGTGCCCAGCACTACAACGTCGTACTCGGGGGCGATCTCGTCCATGGTTACAGTGAATGATTGTGTACGAAGAGGTGGGTATGGAGATTACAGTATGTGCAGCAACAGAAGTCCTGGCGGCTGGGGAGGGGCGGAGGTGTTGCGGTGAGCAGGGAGCGGGTCTGGCAGCTCTTGGGAGTCGGCTAGCCCTGGTCTGAAGCCGAGTTGGCGCGTGCGTTTCAAGGTTCGGAGTTTCAAAGGATCGCGCGGAGCTTCAAAATCTGGGTTTCAGGGACAATTGCAGTGCCACGATAGGTAACAATGCGTACGGTACCAAAGGCGGATCCTGGATAACTTTCATGTATAGGTTCCTTTCGACCAATACTGGTCTTGGCGTAATTCTACATCCGCCCGAGATTGGGTTATGGTACAACAGGTTGCCGTCCCACTGTCCGTGGCTTGCCAACCTGCGGAGGTGTCTATATATCGTACACTGGCCTCAGATCCGTCGATGGCTGGCCTAAAGTCCCCTAAGTGTCCATAAAGGTACACCCTCCTTCTCCCTCAACTAGCCCTGGTCGATGCCAGATTCAGAGGGCATCCATTCTTTTGCTCCATATCGTCCCAGCTAGAATTGGAAACTTGTTACGTCGAGGTGGTTCCGATGTGGTCTCGTACGGCTATTGAGTGGCCTGCTTCACTTGGCCCTGCTCCTCTTTCGGTGGAGCTTGTTCTTCCTTGGTGTCCTCTTCCATCTCGTGCTGGGCATGTATGGTCAGTGACTTGTTCTGGAGATAGTGTCAATCACCAACTCACAATGCTATACGGATCGGGTCCCAGGTACTGCGGGCCATCCTTTCTGGCCAAATCATACTCCTTAGGTCGAGACAGGGCAAGCTTATACGCCTCCTGCCATGCAGTATGGCGCTCCTGCAGTGTATCGAGGATGGCCTGCATGGTCTCTTGTACCTGGATGAGGTTAGCAAGCCATGTCTGTCATCAAGCAGCAGCATCCCGGTAGAAGTCCCAAACAAACAAAGTTCGTGGTGGGGGCATGCAGGCAGATGAATCAACGTACCGTTGCGTCTCTATCGCTAGCCTCCTTCCCGCCATACTTGAAATGTAACCGCTTGCGCTCATGTTCCAGAGTGGCCAGTCGATTACGCTCCTTCACACATACCCACCAAAGGCTGTGTAGATCTGACCAATCCTTCTTGCGCAACTCATTCACAGTCCATGCACGCCCTGTAATTTAGGTCAATTCTGCAGCGTCGTCTTAGAGTTCGGGAGTCGGACCATGGTGAGCCAAGTCAGCCGGTGTGCGCATTGCCTGCTTCTCCCAGAAAAAGTCCCACAGGCCATGGTCGCTATCGACTTCGATTTGGGGTCGTTCGGCTTCTGGTACGCGAACGGGGGGTAGATCGTTCAAGTACTTGTTTACGGATAATGTCTGTCGTTTTCGCAGGCCAGTGTGCCTCAACGGCGATACTCCGCGATTGGGATTGTTATCTCTCTTCCACAAGGCCGACGACGTCGAGAATCGCGCTACTGAGGTGCAGGATGCGGGAGTCACGCATAGTACGGACGGAGCGAGGAGGAAGAGCGGAAGGTCTGAGGGTCTCGGGGTCAATTGGGGTCGAGCGATTCGAGCTGTCGGTATAGGTGCCATGGTGAGCGCTGTCGTTGGACGCTTGCGCAGCTGGCGATGGCTATGTTCGGTGAAAGTCCACTCTCACCAGAAATCTGACGCACGGATCATCACCTTGGCACTTCATCCGTGTCAGATCGTTCAATGTTGTCGGAAGAGGACCCAGTCGGCCTCCGTACAATTTTCGGCCGGCTTGCTCAGCCGCCCTCAGCCCTCCAAGCAGGGCTGCCAGTGCTTGGTCCTAGGTTGGCAGATAAAAGCCCCGCCGCCCTCGAATTCCTGCCTGACCACCCTTCCCCCCTCGCGCTCTTCACCGCCGTGTAGGGCGCACCTTTTCACCACTTCAATTCTCTTTGACGAGTACCTAGATTTCCACAGCGGGTATCAAGGCCCGCACACACACATTCAGTCATGCAGTACTCCATCATCGGATTCGTGGCAGTTGCCAGTCAGCGCGCAGCCGTCTTCTTCTGCCCCCATTGACTCTTCCTCGGCTTCCTACCATCCAGGCGACGGGACAACTAGCTTGGATCAATCCCTTTCATTCCACCATGACTCTCTTCGGCCTGTGATAACCTTGTCTTTGTCTCCTTCCGCTTCTTCAGCCATCGCCGGCAGCCTGTCCGGCGTGTCTGGCGTGTCTGGCAATTCTCTCTTCGACACTTCGAATTGGGTATCTTATTCCCCCGGATTCATTCCCCAACCCGATGTTTTCAATACCTTTCCTTTGGGCTATGGCAGTACCACTGTTCCTTTCACTCCATCTCTGACAACAGTCGATCACATGACTCCATTGTCGGCTATTTCGAACAACACGAACCTGGCCGACGTGACTGAGAAAGGTGGAGTACAACCACTGGAGCACCGACTGGACCATCTAATTAATGGTATTACAGCACATGGGCCTCATCCGACACCTGCTCCCCAATCCCAAGACGAGCAATATTCTTCCTCTTCCGGGGGCTCAACACCCAAACCATCCAGTTCCAAAGGCAGCCCCCGCCCGACTGAGTCCGCTTCTCGGATCGAAAAGAGGAGACAAAACACGTTAGCCGCTCGCCGCTATCGTCAAAAACGCGTGGATCAGATGGCCAGCCTCGAGAGAGCCTTGAAAGAAACTCAAACCGAAAGAGACGATCTCAAAGTCCGCGTTGCTAGGCTCGAGGGGGAGGTTGAAACGCTCCGGCAGTTGCTTCGCTCCCAGAAGTGATCTGTCGTCGGGTCTGTTAGCTCATTTCCCTTCAGCAGTCTCATTACTTTCCAGGTTGTGGTTGTGGAGCATGTCAGGCGATGTCGGAAGCTCGATCAGTGTCTGCTTCGAATGCAGCTGTCACATCGGCAAAACGTTTGTAATCACGTCTCCAATCTCCTCGTATCGTGGGACCACTCACGTTCACTCATTCAATTTCCATTTCCGTAGAATATGTTTCCTTCTATGTGCTTTCTCTACGACCATGCTATGTGACCCCTTTATACTCCCCAATTCGTTTGCATTCATCATGAGTCGATATGTGCCATATGGACTACTGCGGCTCCCCACCGTGGTGGGAACTCCTGTTCTCTCCCCAGACATCGCTTGCGAGATTGCAAAGGTTTGTCAACTGGTAGGGCAGATCGAGAAACGTGAGAGGCCAACACTGTGCCCAATTGGAAGCGGAATGACTCATTTCGTCTCATCCTGGATCATATGGACTACAGAGTAGTCTAAGATTTGGTGGCATCTCCACGATGTGATCACCCGTGGTTTTGTACCCGACAACCATGATCGCCTTCATACGCATTATTTCGACATTGCGAGGAGTTGTAACGAATAACATGAAATCTCTCCTCCGATTTATATGTGTACTGCAAGATTGGCTGGATGGGGACCCTGAAGGCAGAATGCATTTATGACCAGGAACCCACACAACGAAGCAGCCTCGTTAGCATCGCCAAGTCTACACCTACTAACTTGCTCATGACGATATAGTTGTAAGAGATAAATCATTGATACAATGGAGGTCAGCGGCTTTTTGAACACGAGCCGGACTACCTGGGTATGCAGGGTTGAACTAGGCTGGAAAAAGATTAGTGTCTTGGCATTGGCTATCAAGTGGCAGTAGCTCAACACCATGCGTGCGGTTGCGATGGCAGGCTAGGTCATTGTGTCAACAGTCAGTGTCACTTTTCTCACAATATTTGCTGGGGGATTTGCTGCATAAGGTCAGTACCCGAAACATCCACCCTCACTCGACCAGATCTATTTCATCTGCTGGACGCTGCGCCATATATACGGCACAACACATGTCAATGCATCGTCCTACCGCACGCTGTCGACACGGCCGTTGGGCCAATTCTGCGACTTCTCGAGCACGCACCTCTCCCCCTGACTTACATAAAGCCATTCTGTCGCTCCTTCTTATCGTCCTCCGACCCGCACCTACTCCCTGATGCTTTTTCTCGCAGCATCCTTTACGCAAGCAGAACAAACGTCACTGACATCTCGCGCTCCCAGGTTCTTCTCCGCACATCCTCGAATCCATATCCACCGGCATGTTCCAAAGCCAACAAACTGCGGCCGCGCGCGGCGGACCACTTGGTTCAAATCGATTGCAAAATGGCAAGCTCGGTAAGGACAACCTTTGCGCCGCGAGAGTTGCTGCAAACAGGATTGCTGACCATGGTTTACAATCAGGAGGTGGATCGCAATGGGCCTTTGGACAGTTAGGCGGTGCGCCGGGCCTCTCCAATGCGCAGTCTCGAACAAACGGCAGCGGATTGTCAAGCTTCGCCCAGACAATAAGTAATTCGCGACAGCATGCCTCTCTCAACCCAGAGTAAGTCTGCGAGTCCCACGGTTTAGAGGAAGGAGCAGAAGACAGGCATAGGGTCTATCCATGGGCAAACAGCTAATGATATACGATGATAGGGAATTCCCTTCGCTATCCGGTACGCCGCAAGCGCAACACAACACATCTGCACAGCAAATGTGGTCCAATCCGAGTCTCCGCGTACCCCAACATTCCACGATACAAAGACCACAAATACCAACTCCCTCACAGAATCAACCGGCACCTACGAACAATCAGCTGGACCAGATGCAGAGCCACTTGCATGAGGATGGACATCGAGCAGGTCAGGCGCAGTATCCGACAGGCGGCGATGACTTCCGGTTCGGAGGTCAGGCAGGCGTGGGACAGCTGTCTGGCGGCGGCCAGCCTCAAACAGGCAATATTGAGGAGTTCCCACCCTTAGGAGGCGGGGCAGGAGAAGTAGGGCCCGACCGAAGAACAGGCATGATTCAGAATGCAGCGGCGTACGCAGGCAATGGGAGCAATACCTTCCCAGGTCTTGGTCCGACGAGAAACGGTCTATCGAGTCCCACAGAAGGTCAGCATGATCGAACAATCAACAATACCTTGGTTGGCAGAAGCGGCCACCCTGGTCCAAGCAATGACAGACAAGTAGGTTTGGAGACACCGCTGAGTTTTTTATTTGCTGAACGTAATCAAGGGCGACCAGGTAACCGGTCAGACGATGGGGAACTTGTCAATGGCCAATTCGCAAATACCCATCAGGGGTGGAAACCCTGGCGGACAAGCACCTCAACCTCACGACCAAAACTTTGCGGCAGGTACTGCCTCTCCCGGTGCCCGCCTACCTCAACACAAGAAGTTGGCAGACATGTCTGAGTCGGAACGATATAGCTTACCCGGTCTACTAGCAATGATTCCGCTTGAGAGCCCGGATCACTCGTCATTAGCGATGGGTCAGGATCTGACAGTGCTCGGTCTAGATCTCAGCCGGCCGGAGAATTCGCCATTGTATCCAACCTTCGGCTCGCCGTTCGTTGAAGCAAATGTCAAACCCGTGGTACCGAAGGACTTTCATCTTCCAGCCGCTTACACGGTTACCAATGTCCCACCTCTCCATATGAAGATGCAGCAATTCCACTGGGAAACACTCATGGCCATCTTCTATCAGTACCCTCGGGACATTCTGCAAGAGATGGCCGCGAACGAGCTCTACAACCGGGACTGGAGATGGCACATGAAGTATAGACAGTGGATGATGAAGGATCCCGAGCTGCAAGATCCGGTGCAGATCTCTCCTCGGGAGGAGCATGGATGGTATCTGTTCTTCGATGTGACTAACTGGCGACGGGAGAGGGTACGTGATAGCACTCAAGGGTGACGATGAGCCTACTTACTGACATGTTCACAGAGAGAATGCGACCTCAACTACGACGACCTGGATCAGCGGTATGGTGGTGGTGCACGAGGTGTGCCACACATGTAAGGCATTGCTGCTCGAATGTCACGTCCGGCAAACTCGGGGGTAGCGTTGCTGGATGAGGCGCAGGGGATCTCCCAGGCCGCATCACGGTCAAGGATTATATTGCAATGAATCTTTCGGCAGGGGACCGTCATGTGAGCGACTTGTTCTAAGCAATTGCATGCTCGTGAGCGGCTTACCAAAGGGACCATCTGAGTTGCAGAGATATCACAGCGACTAATGAGGCGTCTACCTAGGCGTGGCGACTGCGACTTCCGGTAGGGCTTACGGCCACTGTCTTCCAAGACGCTGAGCCATGGCAGTCCTAGCTGATTCAACTGATTCAATGGTGTCTTATTTGTTCTCTTTGTCTCCAGTGTCGTTGGTTTCTCGGAAAGTTTCACATTTTGCTGACCCCTATATATAGTACTGTTATTGGCAACCGTTTTCGGTGCCGTCCAACTCTGCTCGTCTTTGATGTGATCAGCAGATCCGTATCTGGCAGCGGCGACGTGCTGGACTGGTCGTCCTCAACGCTGGAATGGAGATGCGTAGGTTTCGCATGCGGATTCGTCGATATCTTAGTGCTACATTTGCTTAGGTACCGGTTTAGCAGGGAGGTGCTTCGGGGAAGTATATATTTCGCATATATGGCTGCGTTGTCCGCCAGAGAAATGGAGGGTGGGGTATATGTAGGAGTGGACATTGGAGTACTTTCATCGGCAAAGGGAGGACCATGACGTGGTAAGTATTCATTACGGAGTACATCTGCTATCCTCATTCCTTCCCCGTGTCATTCCCCCTTTTTCCGCTCTCATCCTCTTGGAGATATCTCCGCCATCTTCAACCGTTTGAACGTTGCTTTCTTCCCTTATTCCGTCTCTGTCTTCGAGACGGAGAAGAATCGAGAATACGAAATGGCACAAATCAAGTGGACCAGTGCGTTTGTTGTTTTTTTTTTTTGGAAACTGCTCCGTCGCCTGGTACATGAGCGAGATGCCTAGATTGATATGGATGGATTATCGATTTCCCGCTGATTCCAATTGCGAGGGCGGCTTTTTGATGTCGCTCGTGCTTTGGGAAGGGGGTCCGACAAGATTGATGGATTGGTGGATTGATGGCTGGGTTGGTGGTGGTTGGCATCTCACCGGTTACTGTGCACGTAGTAGGTGTTAGACTACTATGAACAGTGAATTACCCGTTCTTGTATTCCCTAGGTTTTGGCTTTATTGGGTATCTTTTCCTATAATTCAGCGAGTCCTACCGCAGCCCGCAGAGTCCCAAAATTCTTCCTAGGTATTTAAGAATGTGGTCGGAGCATCCTACAGGATTCGACTGCCTAGGTAACTTAATAATAAGGTGAGGTGAGTGAGGTGAGAGAAGTTTCAGCGATGCAGTACTTTAAGTAATAATAAGGCTACATAAGTAACGGATGACTTATCGTGCATTAATCTGTGTCTATGGAATAGGAGTTAGGGAAGGAGTTAGAGTATGTACTGTACTGTACTGTGTAGGAGAAGTAACGAGAGCGCCGCGCATGTTCCTCGTGGTGGATTTATTGCGGTGGAGCCTGTGGAGCTGATGTCAGCGCGGGAGGATGCCGCGGATCCTCTGATCCTTTTTGTTGGTTTCAGATGTATTTCTCTTTTTTCGTTTTTCTATTCATTTTTGTCGGAGATGTCTTCGTTGTGGGAGGGATGGTAAAGGCTAGGTAAGCTACGGTTGGGGGATGGATCTTTTGAGTCGATAAAACATGGTAGATCTTCTTACTCTCTGCGACTAGTAGGCTGCAATTACGAACAACTAGTACTTGACGATACGAAATTCTACATTTCTTCTTTTCTAAAGAGTGATGAATTACTACTGTGTTACAATTCTGCTCTCCATCTTGTGGGATCGACGTCGCATGAACGAAACTTTCCATCCCAATCACATCTTTCATGCGTTAACAGAAGCCGCGTTTACACAAGATCGACGAGCAATTCCAAAAACCTCCAAGGCATAATAAAGTTTCAGCGACAGATCGGAACGCGGGGGAACAGTGGGGCACTCGCTAGAAAGTAGAAACATTATCGGAGTACTTAGATGAATAAGACCTGGATAACGAATATTGTACATCATATTGCTGGTACTTAGTTCTTAGCGACTGGAGATATGATAATAGACTGCGATATGCCGACACCGTTAGAGAACGGTTGAGGGCAGGGTGTTGCTCTTCCCGAGAAAGAGGGGGTTGGAAGGTTTCTGGTAGATTGATGTTTTGAAACGAGTTATGCGGTGGGGACGTTTTGTTTTGACTCCAAGGCGGTGGTGGGAACGGCAGTCAAAAGCAGAGGAACGACAGAGCTAGAAGTACCAGAGAAACAATGAGAAGAATGGTATTCCTAGATCCCAAATAGATTCACCGCCATCGAGTCTGGATGGGTCTCGAGAGGAGACTGAACAGTGTTTCATCGGGTGTATGGGAGTTGAGTTGAGACGGGGTTGTACAAACGGACCTTTCAGGGAGTTGTTTTGAGAAGGGTGCTCGGAGTCCGTGGAGCATACAGTCGAACATAGCGAGTAGATCAGACGATATGCGCTTCGATATTTCCCCGTACTGCTCGGGATCGCTCTCCAATATCAATGGTCTCTAAGCTTGCGATCACATGGGGGCAGCAGCTTCTGGAAGTCTCAGGGCTGTAGGCAGTGTATCAATGCAGGACATGTTGGGCTTGACAGTGCAAGTGCACAGTAAAATGGTGACTACAACATGGACAGGTGAATAGCAGTGCATGGCAAGTCTCAACATGCAGAAGACAATTCTGCATCAGGAAACCTCACCGGGAAAGTTTCACCAAGGGTTCGAGAGCTTTCGAACCAGCACTCGTTCCAGATGCAACCGACATACATGTCTGCAAGCCCGCTATAAGGGTGCTGTTGTTGGAATTCACAGTAGGAGTGAGTCAGTACGGAGTAGTTTCTCAAGAGGGACGATATCCCCAGGAGGAGGAAGTACCAACGGGAAAGCCCAGTAGTGCGAGTCGTGAGCAGGCCATGGTGTGGCACAGTCAGGAGTGATCCGTGACGTCAATGAACTTGTTGACTCTCGTGAACCTCGGTCCTTTGCCTCTCTCGGCTCGTTTCATGAAGCACAAGCGTGAGGTTCAAGGGGGTGTGACATGAATCAAGGAGTGATGACAACAACGGCCAGGACGTCCGTGAGCAATACGTAGTCGGTATTCAGGACGTTGAGGATCAGAGCCAGGCACATCGAGAGCAGAAAGACGGGCGCAAAATCATCAGAAGAAATGCCATGAGAGTCATCATCATCTGAAGATACGACGGTGGTCCTGAAGACATGGACAAGCTTGGCAGGACTGGGCTCAACGAATGAGAGGAGCCTGGCGGAATTGGGAAAGCAAAAGGGTCGTCAGCTGGCGCCGTGTGACGGCTGTTGCACCTGGCAGGCTCGACGCAGCGGACCGGCTTTGGCGCCATGGCGGCAAGCAACGACAACCTGGAAGTGTCCAGTGGGCTGCGTATTACTGCAGATGTTATTGCTCATCAGTCTGCCGTTGTGAGAGCAAAGACAAAGAGAGCGCGGCGGTGCACCTGGGAGATGGAGGGCAGTATGGACCTTGTGAGGGTGGTGAAGTGTGAAGGGACAGATGGTGGGGAAGTTGAGAAAATTGGATGGAAAATGGGCGAATTGGGTGAATTGGGCCATCAAAGATGCAATTTGGGGAAAGGGCCGGGGGCGGGTCTGGCTCCGAGATATCGTCGCACGGGCCATGTGGACGCCTGACTATTGGTTGAAGGGCACAGCAGGCACAAAGGGCACACATGCACACGCCTGGGTAGGTAGGGAGCTGGAGCGACGGCCAGAGACGGTGCAGGTGGCGGATGGCAGGTCACCACTGCTGTCTGCCGAGTGTCATGGTTGAGAAGATTGTCTTGCAAAGAGCTCGACTTGTATTGTGGGAGAGTTGGGCGTGGGTTCGCTGTGGAACCTTGAATAGCAGAGGCAGAGGCAGAGGGGGATGAGGGACCGGGGTCTCTGGCCGGCTGTTTGATGAACAGCGTCAGCAGCAGAGCAGAAGGCGACGAAGAAAGAGGTCGGCGGTCGCAAGCACGAGGAAGAGCCGGTTGGGGCTGGCGAGCTATTGATTATTGCAATACTGTGTACGCGGGCAGGCGGCTGCACGTCGCACGAGGGCTAATAAGTGCCTGCCCTGGGAAAGCGGCAACATTCAGTCTTGTCTTCTACAGCTGCTGTATACTCAGTACGACAGCTCCCCCCCGTTCATCGCCAGTCTTCTTCACAACAAAGCATCTTCTCTTCTTCTTCTTTGTTTCATCGCCAGGTCCAAAAAAAGCAGAAGGGACAGACCAGAGACAAGCTTCGACGGTGCCGCGAGTCGAAACCCTAAACCCTTCCGGGCCCGTCTCCACTGCGCTAGTCCCCATTGAGGCGTTCCAAGGTTTTCCCCTGGCGCCGGTTCATCTTGGGGCAGGCGCCGTCGCCCTTGCCCTTCACCGTTTGGGCCAACTTCCCGCTCGCCGTCGCTTCGCTCTCGTCGGTCCCTTTGCCCTCTCTCCACCTCTCCACCTGCGCCGCACCTCGACTGACACCCTCTCCTCTCCTTCTCTCCCTCCTCCCTCTCTCTTCCCTTCCCTCGCGTCGCCCGACAACCTTCGACCGGATCCACTGCGCTGCTTAGAGTCGACCGCTCTGCAGTGTCCTTCCCGCCGCCGTCGTGCCCTTCTCTGGCCGCTAGACGACACGCTGGTCACGACCTTCGTCACGGTCTCACGCTCCTTTCCCCCTTCGACGATTTACCCAAAACCCACGGCCTCTCGTTACTATCTTTCCTTTCTGCTTCTGCCTTTCAGCCAGCCTGTAATTCGACCTTTTGCCTGCCTTCCACCGGCCTGTCGCTCGTTTTCCCTAGATCCCCACGCTCTTTGACGACCCTCGTGCTCCGCCGCCTTTCACCACCACCTCAGCCCCATCCGCGTTCCTGGTATCGCTTGCTTTGAACGTCGAAGCCACTGCCACGGCTCAATTGGTTGGACACGCGACCCTTCTTTGTCCCTGAAGCTCGTGCCTTGTCCCTGGCCGTTGAATCCCAAGAGCCCCGTCGTCTTGGCTCCAAGGCAATCTCCATTGTGACTCGGGCCACACGGTCGTCTCGCGACATGGCGGTTTAGGTCGAATTCGCAAGACAACGCTGCGTCTGCTTTACCAGGAGCATTCTCTTCTCTCAAACTGCATTGACAGCTCAGTGCGTCTCGTCGCCTTCTGACACGACATTTCCACGACACTGACGTGCGCCTGCTTTCAGGTCCCTTCGTTATCCAAGATACTCGTCATCCACATTCGTTTAAGACCCACGCCCTCTAACCGTACGTCCTTCGCTCGCCTTCCAACATGCCAGCAGATGCTGACTTGGAACAGATTCGGCGTTGCTCCTTCAATCCCCCTCTGTGCCCATAGCACACCGAAACACATATCCCGCCCACAACATCGAGTATGGCGCGTTCCGCAGTCATCTGGGCTGCGGCCCTTGTTCTGGCCGGCCTCTCTGGCTCGGGCCCAATGCTCACCACAGCAGAAGCGATGCCCGCACCTGGTCCTCAAGAGACCGCCGGTCACCCGCGTTACTACTTCCCCCGGCATATCAAGCGTCAGATCGTGACCAACTCCACCACTCCTCCGGCATCCACCTCTTCCTCGTCCCTTTCTTCCAAGTCTAGTACGGCATCGAATCTCAATGCAAGGCAGTCAACCACGGAGAAGAACACTTTTTTCGAATCCCTCGTCTCCCTGTTCGAGTCACAGTCCTTTGCGGACCAGTCTTCGTCAGCCCAGGCATCCGAGGACACCGTTCAAGGGGGACCGCAATCCCCATCGCCGACGGTATCCTCCACACAACCCTTTGGGACCGGTGTGCAGAATGCACCAGTGCTAGTGCAACCGCCTTCATCGACGTATACTCCTCCAGCCCCCATCCCCACTGGTCGACCCATCGGTGGAGGCTCGACGGATGGTCTCCCCCCGGTTATTGTTCAGCCAACTTCCTCGTCGTCGGACACATCCAATGGGAATAACGTCGTCCCTCCATCTGACCCCACAGATGATAGTGACTCTCCTGTCGTAACCACCAACGTCGTTGTGGAGCCAACCTCGTCCCCGGCACAGCCAAGCCCCCAGCCAGAAGTACCGCCGACGGAGAATATTGGATCCACCGGCCAACTCCCCCCTGCGAACGAGATCGTCCAGCCAACCCCTTCACCTGATGGTGTCGGCACCACGGGCGGTCTCCCGCCTCCGAATGAAATCGTTCAGCCGACCTCGAACCCGGATTCCCCTGCGCCCATCGCTGAACCCTCCGACACCGCCGTCCCCACTGATAATCCTATCGTGACCGGACCTTTTATCCTTCCTGGTCCAACTGGCGGGCTGACAACCAGCTCTCCTCTGCCGTCTGAGTCCCCGTATGTCCCGCCCTCCGATGCCGTTGGGTCGAGTGGAAGTACTGGCGGTGTCCCCGATACGGTTGTGCTTCCCACAAGCCGTCCTGTCACCAGTGACACCCCCTCTGAGCCTTTGCCGAGTAGCGGTATTCTGGTTGGCATCACTACGGCATTGGGAACAAGCGAGCGTCCAGCAACCAGCTCTAGTACTCCGGAAGGAGGGATTCCAACCTCGGAGAGCATTTCCAAGCCCGAGAACGACGACACGCCATCCGCGACAGCATCCAACTCTCCCTCCGACCCCAGACCTTCAGAAATCGTCCCGGGCATCAGCTTGAGCTCTGGCGCCGGTGTAACGGATCCCGCTCCTGGACCGACAGCTCCCGTTACCTCCTCCCCTGCAGGAACCACACCTCTCCCCGTTCCACCGCTGGAATCCATCTTGTCCTCTGTTGTCTCCGATCTGAATCCGGACCCCGAGATCTCCACCACCGTCCCCGAGACTCAGACGGAATCACCGCAGCCGACTGGCTCCGCCCCAATTCCTATCGAGAGTCTTGTGTCCAGCGTCGTATCTTCATTGTTGCCGACGCCCACGCAGGAGCCGCTACCGTCCTCGGGCCTTCCCACCTACGCACCCTCGGAGACTCCAGGCGTTTCCCTTCCAACATCGGCGATCCCATCTGGCAGCACCTCGGAGATTCCAGGGCTGTTTCCCTCCGGGTCTGGAGTCTCTTCTGGCACAGGGGTTACGCCCACACCCACTGCTGGTCTTCCATCCTCAACCGGAATCCCCGTTTCAGAGGAGCCACCTACCAGCGGGGTTTCGACCACCAATGTACCCATTCCAAGTAGCGTACCCCCGTCCTCTGTTAACGCGACAACTGGTGCTTCCGATGGGCCGGTCATCAGTCCGTCGGCGACACCCACCTCTTTGCCTGCCTCCTCGAGCTCCACTCTGGCGATTTCGTTTGTGCCCCCAACCATTACGCCTACCGTGTCCAGCCAGCCTCCGCTTGCTTCGATCCCAGCTACGGCAACGAATAGCGAAACCACCTTCAACGTTGGCACGCAGATCATCCAGGAGCCCTCGACGGTCCTCCCTCCAAGCGCTACCGCCTCCGGCATCCCCTCCGATCTGCCAAAGATGATCCAGCCGCCAACAGGTATACCTGCACAGCCCCGGGATTCGTTCCTGGGCCAGATTGGTTTCAAATGGCCCCTCAACTACCCGTTCGTCGCCGCCAACGATGGTGGGAATCAGATCTTCGAATACCTACCCCCTGCCATCAGCGATGCCCTGAATCTCACACGAGACGAGGTGGTCATGCATGGTTTGAAGCCTTGGGATACCACCCTAACCCAGGGGTTCATCACGACATTAGCCCTATTCTATATTCCAGCCGACTTGAACGGCACTCTCGCGGCTCAGCTCCGCAATCCCGCCGCCGCCTTCTGGCACAACAAGAATCAAACCGTCAATGATCTCACATCGCTCATCAACACGGCCATACCCCTTCCTGCTGGCCCAGCTGCTCCGGCTGGTCAAGTACCTCTCTCGGGCGATCCTGGAGCTGCTCCTTCAGGATACGTTGCTGGTGGTGGTCCGGTTGGAGGTGACATGGACGCTAACCGAAAGGTGAACCCAACAAGCGCTGGTATTGCTACTGGGGCCGTCATGGGCGCGATTGCTTATGGCGCCGCTATGTTCTTCGTTGCCCGACGATACAGGAACAAGAGATTGGGTCACAAGCGCACCAGCTCCGTCGCCAATACCAGTCGGAATACCTACAGCTCCCTGCAAGCTGGTGCTGCATTCATGTCTGGCGGTCGAGGCCCTGGACGCCTAACTCCTGGCGGTCGCGATAGTCGCGGTAGCAGGGGAAGCAGCAGCAGCCAGGGACGCAGTATCCGCACGCAGCAGATATCCGCCCCTGTTATGGCCGAGAACTCTCTCGGATGGAACTAGAGTGACTTGCTGAGCATATATGCAAGCACTTGCTCCATGTGCCACTGTACCATATCACCGTGATGGAATGACGCAGGAATCCACTTCAATCGCGAGCGACTGCTCTTCGCCTTTTTCCAACCTGTAATTACTCCCTGGCGCCAAGACTCAGCTTCTCGGGACAGCAGTTTTCATCCCATTCGCATCCGTGCAAGCTGCACGCTTCAGCCAGCTCCATGTAACGTTCGACACTCTCGCTAAGACGACCATGTACTTTCATAACCTTTATCTATCCGACTTCCAAGTCCGGCTTTTCCTATCTTCGATTCTTAGATACCTGTCTTTGCTGAGCGGACTGCCAGCGAGGCCCTTTTTCTATTAGGTGTTTTTCGGCAGGGAGATGTGCTCGGTAGCTTTCATTGCATCCTGCAGAGCGACTTGAGAGTGTCAGTAAATAGCGCGTGTGAGGGGTCCGATTTAGGAAAAGTTCGCCGACATAATTAGTGGTGGTATGAATGCATAATTATCATCATAGTCTTTTTCATTCACAATTTCTAGCAAGTGATCTTCTTCTCTCGGCATGATAAGGTTGCAATATTCTTGAACTCTAGAGCAATGGCTGTTTTCTGCAACTCCGAAACCTCAAATCTGACCCTTTGGCTCCTCTCCAAGTTTGATTGGCAATCTCAAAGAATACAAGCTGTGGTATACAAGCCAATTTTGTTGCGATGATGTCGTCTAGTCGTCTAGCATTGCATAGTGTCCCCCCGATTGAACAGTGATTCTGGATCTCAAAGTGAATATGTGGGATTGCCTGTTTGGGTAGTCAGTACCCTGTCCGGCTTGGCGCAACTCGAGACCGCACAAGCTGCAACTGTAGCATGAGCTCCGTTGGGACTTCCACGACTCTGGACTACTCTGGCCTTCACTTCCTTCAAATTCAACGCCTCAGACGCTCTCCTGGGATCGCAGTCACTTGCCTCCCTCCCGTGGGTCCTGTCACTGCGCTCGCCGACTGGCTTGAATAGCCACGTCGCATACACCCCTCTCCGCACAACCCACCACGAGCCGCAACCATGCGTCTAGACGTAAAGGTACGGGAGATGCGCCTCTAATCCTCCCAAGAATGGCGGCTGATGTAAATTATGTCCATAGAGACAACTCTTCGCGAGGTCCGAGAGAGTCAAAGGTAAAGTCTTTGGGGTTTTCACGACAATGGCCTGAGTTAACATGCCACAGGAATTGGTACATACAGACCGCTCCCACGACATTGCACCGTGCTAATACCGTTACAAAGACTTTCACCCGACCGAGCCTTGGATTCTCACGACCCTGTATAGCGGTGAGCTGTGGCGGATACCCACGAACCCACTGCGGAATGCTGATAGAGGCAGGACATGTCCATATCTGGTCATACGTGTCGCAATCCATTGTCAAGACGTTCGAACTTACCGACGTGCCTGTCCGCGCTGGTCGATTCATTGCACGGAAAAATTGGATAGTCGCTGGTCAGAGATTCCGACACGCAGTGGCCTAGCCGTGTTACTGACTCCGCTCCCACCCAGGCTCCGATGACTTCCAATTGAGGGTGTACAATTATAATACATCCGAGAAGGTCACTTCGTTCGAGGCGCATCCGGATTACATCCGTGCCATTGCTGTGCATCCGACACAGCCTTTCGTTTTGACCGCAAGCGTACGCCTAAAGATGGGATACATTAGGGGCTGGGCTGATGTTGCTCCAGGATGATATGACTATTAAGCTTTGGGATTGGGATAAATCATGGAAATGTATGCTTGCGTCTGCTGTCCCATGTGAAATTGACCCTTGGCTGACAACATCTAGGCGTCCAGGTCTTTGAAGGACATGGTCACTATGTCATGGGCATTGCCATAAATCCCAAGGATCCCAACACATTCGCATCGGCATGTCTTGATCGGACAGTGAAGATATGGTCCCTTGGCAGTGCCACTCCCAATTTCACCCTGGAAGCCCACGAGGCCAAGGGAGTCAATTTCGTCGACTACTATCCTCAGTCCGACAAGCCGTACCTCCTTACTACATCGGATGATCGTACAGTAAAAGTATGGGATTACACTACCAAGGCGCTGATTGCAACATTGGAAGGGCACACTTCGAATGTGAGTTTCGCGGTCTATCACCCAGAACTACCCGTCATCATCTCCGGTTCCGAGGATGGCACGATCAAGATATGGCACTCCTCTACCTACAGATTGGAGCAGTCCCTGAACTATGGCCTGGAACGAGCTTGGTGCGTAGCCTACCAAAAGGGCAAGAATGGCGTCGCGCTTGGTTTCGACGATGGAGCTGTGGTTATTTCAATGGGCCGTGAGGAACCTGCAGTCAGCATGGACGCTAGTGGAAAGGTCCTGTGGGCAAGGCACAACGAAATCCTGAATGCTGTTATCAAGGGCAATGAGCAGCTCAAAGACGGCGAGCGTCTCACCCTCCCCACCAAGGACCTCGGATCCACCGAGATCTATCCCCAGTCCCTTTTCCACTCACCCAACGGTCGATTTGTCGCCGTATGCGGCGATGGCGAGTACATCATCTATACCGCGCTTGCTCTCCGTAACCAGGCCTTCGGTTCCGCGCTCGACTTTGCATGGGCATCAAAGGAGAACGACAAGGACTATGCCATTCGGGAATCTTCTACAAGCGTCAAGATCTTCCGGAACTTCAAGGAGCGAAGCGTCTTGAACGTCGGGTTCTCCGCTGACGGACTGAGCGGTGGTGTGCTTCTCGGTGTCAAGGGTCAGGGTGGCATCGGGCTCTTTGACTGGGAAACCGGTGCATTAGTCCGGAGGATAGAAGTCGAACCCAGAAATGTTTATTGGTCTGAGAGCGGAGAGCTCGTGACGCTCGCGACGGACGACACATTCTACGTTCTGCGATTTTCGAGAGAGAACTACCTTGAGGCGGTGCGCAATGGAGAAGTAGACGAGGACGGCGCAGAGTCCGCCTTTGAGGTCGTTTGCGATATCAACGAAAGGTGAGACTCGCGTGACTTTGTTTGAATGGAGAGATACTAATGTTCACAGTGTCCGCACCGGTGCCTGGGTTGGCGACTGCTTCATCTACACGAACAGCACAAACCGCCTGAACTACCTCGTCGGGGATCAGTCGTACACCATCTCGCACTTTGACTCTCCACACTACGTTCTCGGCTATCTCCCACGCGACTCGAGGATCTACGTCTGCGACAAGGATGTCAACGTCATCTCCTTCGCCCTCTCGCTCGCTGTTGTGGAATACCAGACGCTGGTTCTGCGCGGCGACCTGGAAGCTGCTGAGGAGCTTCTGCCTTCGATACCCAAGGACCAAAACAACAAGATCGCCCGCTTCCTTGAAGGCCAAGGGTATAAAGAGCTAGCGCTCAAGGTCGCTACGGATCCAGAGCACCGCTTCGACCTTGCTCTCTCGCTCGGGGATCTGGAGCAGGCCGTTTCTATCGCACGCGAACAGGACACGGAGCACAAGTGGAAGACAGTTGGCGACGCCGCGCTCTCGTCCTGGAACGTCCAGCTCGCCCAGGAATGCTTCACCAAAGCGAAGGACCTGGGCTCCCTGCTCCTGGTCTACTCGTCGACTTCGGACGAGCAAGGCCTCCGGGAGCTCGCTCAGCTGGCGGAGAATGCGTCGGCGAATAATGTTGCCTTCTCGGCGCTGTGGCAGCTGCAAGATGTGCAGGGCTGTATCGATTTGCTCGTCAAGACGAACCGGCTCGCGGAGGCGGTGCTCTTCTCGCAGACGTACAAGCCTAGCGTCACGGCGGGGTTGGTGAAGCGGTGGAAAGAGAGTCTGGAGAAGGAGGGGAAGGGCAAGGTGGCGAGGTTATTGGGGGTGCCGCCGAGCGAGGAGGAGGAGGGGGATCAGGAGATGTTTCCAGAGTGGGAGGAATATCTGAGGTTGGAGAGGGAGGGCGGGACGGCGGAGGATTTGAGGGTTGGCGACGAGGAGGATGGAGGCGAGGAAGAGGTTGGGGAGGGGGAGGAGGAAGAAGAGGGCGAGGACGAGGAAGGGGAGGAGGGGGCTGAGGAGTAAGAGTGGATTCGATTCGAGTATATGTTGCTCTGTTTCATGGTAATTCATCCAGTCATAGATGAGGGCGTGTCGTTTGGAAAATGATACTCTGGCCTGTTTTACTGATCACTGATCACTCCTCTACCAGGGGGAGACGGTGAATTGCGACGGATGCTGCGTAAAGCGAAGATTATCATATCATGACGGTAGAGGAGATACCGCCATATACTATCCCTCTCTCTATATACCAGGCTTCCCAACCCGTTGATATCATATATCCCATCGCCGATACGCAACGTAGGCTCCAACGAAGCATTTCCCCAATTCCCGTAAGAATACCCTGAGCCTCTCAAGGTATGCATAGTACACGGAGAAGCGAAGCACGGCCCCAACACTTCTCGTAGGTATCTAGCCACCACCCAATCCCGAAACAAGTTGACGAACAACAACAACAACAACAACAACAACAACAACAACAACAACAACAACATCTTCTTCTTCTTCCCCTCGTCACCTCCTTATCTCCTCGCCCCGCCGATAACTCCTACTCCTCGTCGTCAACCCCTCACTCCCACTCTCCGACCCCTCAGTCGACGCATTACTCTCCTCTTCTCCTTCTACTTCTTCTTCTCCCTCCTCCTCCACGACCCTCCTCCCCCCATCCCTCACATTAACAACCTCACCAACCACATCCTCCAACTCCTTAAACTGCGCCGCCGCCGCCAGAGCAGCCGCATCCCGCTCCTGCCTGAAGAAATCATCCGTCCTCACACCCCTAATATCCTTCGCCTGCAGCCCCTTCTTAACTCTCCGACCAGTAGTCCCCTTCGCCCTCGCCACGGCATCTCGATTCTCCCGTATAGCCTCCCTGACAGGCCCCATGGCCGCCTCCCTACACGCCTCCTTGATATCGCTCCCCGACAAGCCCGCACTCAGCCGGACCAAGGTATCTAGATCAAAATCCCCCTCGTCGATCTTGGTGCCCCGGAGCACGAGCTGGAAGATGTTGCGGCGCTGCTGGGCGTTGGGCAGCCCCACGGGGAATTTCTTGGGCATGCGGCGGAGGATGGCGTCGTCGATGTCTTGGATGCGGTTGGTGGCGCCGAGGATGAGGATGCGTTGCGGGGTCGTGGTGCCCGAGTGCGAGGACGAGAGGCCGTCCCAGTGCGTCATGAATCTGTGAAACCAGGTGGTTAGCACACTACTACTACGAAGATTGGATAGTTTGACGGCCTATGAAGGACATACTCTGCTTTGACCATGCCGCTGGCTTCGTGCTCCCCCGTCCTGCGGGTCCCCAGGACGGCGTCGATCTCGTCGATGAAGACGATGGCGGGTTGCAGTTTCCGCGCCAGGCTGAAGACGGCGTTGACGAGCTTGTTGCTGTCGCCGTACCATTTCTCCGTCAGCGTCGAGATGTGCAGGTTGATGAAGCAGGCGCCGGATTCGTGTGCCAGGGCTTTGGCAAGCATGGTCTTGCCGCAGCCGGGAGGGCCGTAGAGAAGGACGCCCGAGGGCGCGGAGAGGAGGGAGGAGGCGGAGGCGAGGGATGGGTGGGTGAGGGGGTAGATGACGGATTCGCGGAGGTCGTCGATGATGGCGTCGAGGCCGCCGATGTCTGGGGAACAGTCAGTATTGATTTCATGCGAATATGGTGAACCTCCCAGGCTTCGAGGACTGAGAAGAAAGAAGCAAGCCCATCCACATACCATCAAAGCTCACCGGAATATCCTCCGGCGCAACCACCTCCATGGCAATCGTCTGCTCATAGCTATTCAGCTGCAGATCCTCCGTCCGCACACCACTCCGTCTTCTCCTCCTGGACCCCTTCCTCCCGCCATACGAGCCGTCTTCGTCCTCGTCGTCGTACTCGGAGTCGTAGTCCCGCGCCTTGTTCGCTAATATCGCGTCGAGTTTTTGCGTGGCGGCGTTGGCTTTGCGCTTCGCTTCTTCCTTTTGCGCGGCTTCGGGGTCGAGTCGGGAGAGGAGGGAGCGGATTACAAAGTAGGCTAGTAGGGGCTATAGCGAGCGGGCGTCAGTAGGCGTAGGAGGATTGTTCAGTGAAGGGGAGAGTTAGAGAATCGTTCGGAAGAAACGCGGCTGCGCAGGAACTGTCCACCTTGACATGCTGCCAGAGAGTTTCCCAATTTACTTGAGGAAAGAGGCAGGAGGAGCGTCATGAAAATGGTGATTGTCCTCAGAGACATGGTGAAATACGAGTAGAACCGCGAAAGAAAGCAGATGCACGTACAGCAGCGGCAGCCATGAGGATATCCGGAAGATACCCTGTCAGGCTGGACTTCTTATTCGAGCTCATCGTGAGTAATGTGTGTGGGAGCGTGCCCTACCCGAGGGCGGCTTCTCAAAGAATGTGTAGAGGAGGAAATGTAGGGAGTTCTCGTAAAGAAATCGCTGCTCAAACGTTGGATGTCGTGGTCCCTCTCGGTGGTTTCCGCCACAGGACGCCTTAGAAGCTGTGGCGCGGCTGCGCCGCTTTGGGCAACCTTCCTCGGCATCGCTCAAGAATCTGACCAGATCTATTGGGGAAAGCGCCTGGGTTTGAGTTGCTCCCCCCGCCGACGTCGTGTGCTCACATGCGATCAAGCTTGTAGGACTACCGACGTTATTTACAGCCGCGACAGAGAACGATGGCATCGACTTACAGACCTCTTGAAGCGATCCAGCTTCTGCGACCGACTTTCCGCACAGCGCGCTTCCCGCCTCCGTCTAGAGTCGCGCACATCGCACCGTTTTCTACCACATATTCAGCACATGCGACCCATAGCTCAACGACGGCTAGCCCTCCACCGTCTCCCCGGCCTGCGCGGAGGACCGTGACCGTCACCAATGACACAGGCGCCGTGCGATGGAGCGACCTGAGCCTTGGAGAAAAGGCCGCGCGGACGACGCAACAGTCCTTCAACTTCGTCGTCATCGCCGTGGGCGTTGTATTAACCGTACGTCTCCCATCCGTTCCCTTGTTCCTACCTGGAATATTCATGCTAAATAATATATATCCAGGGCGCAGTATCCTACTACATCTACACCGAAATCCTCTCCCCCTCGTCCAAAACCTCCCACTTCAACCGCGCCGTCACGCGCATCCGCGCGCACCCCGAATGCATATCCCTACTCGGCGGCCCGGGGCCCCAAATCTCTGCCTACGGCGAGCCCTCCTTCTCTCGCTGGGCGCGGAACCGGTTTATTGCTTCCACTTCCGAGACGGATAGATGGGGCACGGAGCATATGCGGTTTAAATTCTATGTGGAGGGGAGTAGGAATCAAGGGGTTGTGAATGTGCATTTGACGAGGAGGCCCGGGCAGGAGGAGTGGGAGTACCAGAGTATGGTGTGTGATGTTAAAGGGGAGAAGAGGGTGGTTGTTGAACAGAAGGAGGAGGTGGGGAGGGCGAAGGGGCAGGGACCGAAGATCTTTGGCGCCAGGTGGTGGTAGCGTGGGGACGGAAAGAGGAGAAATGGCCCGTCGTATGCATAAGGTGTGGATACGTTGAGCTCAAAACCGAGAAAGATATAGCCGTTAGGAGGTGTCAGCGGGGAACTGTAGAGGGGCTGGCCGGAACAGTCTTAAGCAGCAACAAGGAGTGTGATGGACGTTCTGGTATGCGGCAGTCCAAATTTGCAAGCTTGAATTTCTCGAGCATCAAATCTTCGTTTCAACATCAGAATGGGCCAGTAGCTGATACATTTTCAGGACTAGGCCTCTCGAGAATGGATCAGATTTTGATTCCACCAAAGCGAACGCTGAAAGACTCTATTATGCATCTAAGCATCCGATATTCCATACCTAAGTGCTTACATCTTTCCCGTACTTGCTATAGATACAAGACGCCAAAACCCCCATTGATACGCGAATGCCGTGCAACATTCGTCCTCTACGCCTCACCATACATTAGATCGCCTTCTCCAACCATTTCCTAATGCGCCTCCGCCTCATTCGCTGATCGCCCAAAACTGGGTGTATTCGGTCTCGACTTCTCGACACCCAACAGCGCTATATTCTCCCTCAGCGCTACATACTCGCTATCTGCATACCCCAATGCCTCGTGAATCTGCGTGCTGTGCAAGCCTTTGATCCGTCGGATCTCAACATCGGAGTAGTTCACTACCGCTCGGCCAATCTCAAAGGGGGCAGGGTTGTGCAGCTCGTACGCCGGCTGTTGCTGGTGATGATGCGCGAGCAGTTGTGATGAGGAGTGGGAGTGGACGAGGCCTGGGTGGTGGCGTTCGTAGAGGGAGTTCCTGTCCGGCACAGGGGCAGGGACGTGCCCGTGAGTGTGATTATGTGGTGGATTAGGGGTAGCTGGAGTAGATGCTGCTGTGGAAGTGTGGTTGGTCGACGGAAGGCGTTTAACAACTACTAGCCGGACGGCTTCCTGCTGGGAGAAGTGGCCGTCTACGTCTACAATACCAGAAGGAAGGAGGCCCGCTTTGTCGCTGAGGGCGTGCCATGCACCGTAGTCGATGTATATGGTGCCGTGGGGAGTCAGGCCGTGGAGGATCCAGAACCAGCGGTCGCGAATAGGGTGGGCGTTTGCGAGGAAGCGGGTGTGCAGTGGGACCTCCTCGGCTTCGGATGGCGGAGTCTCGGTCTGTGCAGGAGTCTCTTGGGGAGTAGATGTGGAAGGGGTTGCGTGGTCGCTGTGAAATTTCAGCGATGCTATTGATGAAGATAAACCTCCTTCGCGGTCGGAGTTGGCCACGCTGCTTCGGCTGGATACTCTCGCCAGCCTTTGTGACTCCGCATATCGAATAATCGCACCGATGTTCCCTGGTTTCGAAGACTTCGTGATGACCGTTGTGACGCCGGCGCTGGTCGCTAATCTTGCAGCAACGATCTTGGTGCTCATTCCTCCAGTCCCCAATGCCGAACCCGCACTACTAACGTCTGCCGCCAAATCCGCGATATCCTCCACTACTGTGATAGGCTTCGCATCCGGATTCGTCCGCGGATTCTTGTCGTACAGACAATCCACATCTGTCATGAGAAACAGGTAATCCGCCTGAACCATACCGGCTGTAATCGCACTCAAGGTGTCGTTATCGCCGAACTTGATTTCGGAAACGGCCAATGTGTCGTTCTCGTTCACAATCGGAATGACTCCCATATTCAGCAGCTCGATGAACGTGTTCTGCGCATTCTGGTACTGCGTCCGGTCCGCAATGTCGTTCCGCGTCAACAACACCTGCCCAATTGGCTGCCGGACATGCTCAAACAACTGATCCCACAGACTCATAAGTCTGCACTGACCGATTGCAGCTAATGCCTGCGCCCTAGGCAATTGTTTGGGCCGTTTTTCGATATCCATTCGGCGAAGACCGACGCCAATGGCGCCCGAGGAGACGATGACGACGTGATGGCCATCTCGACGAAGCTTATGGGCTGTTTCGACGATGAGGGAGAGAATTGAAAGGAGGGGCTGGTGCGTCTTTTCGTCGACTATGGAGCTTGTACCTGCGAGGGAACGTTGGTAAGCGCAACTCTTCTTTCGAATGTGGGGATGTAGTACAGTGTATTTACCGAGTTTGATGACGATTGTGAGCTGGCCGTGATGCTTTTTGGGTTGCACGGCCATGATCGCAGAGAATGAGAGCTTGTAGTTATCGTGTATACCGCATAAGTGTCGGGGAGGATTTAGCAGCGAGATTCTTTGTACAAGGGAAATCAAATGAAGATGACTCTGCCCGTTGGGCGCCAGAGCTTCGGGCTCGGAATTCGGAAATGGTCTCAAGGGTCGTCCGCACAGCCAGCCAATCAGATCAGCCCGTTGCCGCTGGCTCGCTCTCCGCAATCCTCCAACTTCAACGTTTTCATGCGAGACGCGCCGGAAGGGATTATATCGCGACGTCCACTCTTCACGTCCTTTCGCCCTTTACATCCCAATGACGAAGCCCGAACAAGCCCCCGACGGGGCTTCACCCGGCCAAATCGCAAAACCCCCCTCTCAGAAAGTCGACCCCGTATACTACACATGGAGCAACACCTTCTCCATCCTCCTCGGTCGTATGACCGGCAACCGCGACGTCTCCCTCGAAAGCAAATATTTCGCAGAGCAAGATGCCATAAATGAGGAAGCGTACTGTCGGCGCTGCGAATCCAACCGCGACTACCTGCTCAAATACAGCCCCATCGTGCGCTTCATGAAGGACGAAGTCGCGAAGCTGGGAGGTGATATCAATGAGAAAAATGTCATTTGTAGGATGTGCACGCAGGAGCAGAGTGGCGGGTTTCATATCGATCATGGGATTCTGCTGTGTGCGAATAAGTTTCGGAATCGAGGGCATCAGGAGGATACTATGGCGCATGAGATGGTGCATGCGTGGGATCATCTGAAGTGGAAGGTGGAGCAGGATAATTTGAAACATCAGGCTTGCTTAGAGGTATGCTGACTGGACTCCTTGGGGAACATCGGTGCTCGTAGTTGAGACAGGGTGCTAATGACTGCTAGATACGTGCCTCAACACTATCGGGCGAATGCCGCTTTACTCGCGAGTTCTTCACGAAGAATCAATGGCGGATAACAGAGCAGCTACAGCATTGTGTACGGAGAAGAGCTACACTATCTTTGATGGCGAGACCAGGAGTAAAGGACGATGTCCAAGCCGCGAAGATTGTGAATGAAGTGTGGGATAGCTGTTTCTACGATACGAGGCCATTCGATGAAATATACCGCTAGTGAAGGAGAGGATGCTTACGACCTGCATTGTATCATAAGACACCATCGTTGTACAATATACCCGGATAGGACAGGATTGGAGGGCGGGGAGAGGGACATGCATAGCGACTGGCGTTATTGAGTAATTCTTCGAATGTCATCTTCACTCTTACGGCATCGACATACAGTTTATTGACACAAGAGTTTGGATTCATGATGTCATTACTCAATCGAATCATGGCAATGCCAATGCAATAGAAGAACAGAAAACCCGAATCGCCACAAGCGCCAGGCTATGCAATTAGACAGACCCTCAACTCCAACCGGCCGTACGTACTCCTAGTGAGAAATGCCGTTATTTTCATTTCTAAATCCCCGGAAATGAACAACGAAAACAGCCATAGAGGCGACTTGAAAGGGAGGTGGAAGAGCTCAGTTCTCCTTATCGGAGCTGCTGCGGGCTTTGCTTCCAGAAGTGCGTTCATATGCGCGGGAGCTGCCCTTGCAGTGCTTGATGATCCAAGGGTGCGTCTCAACTTCTTCAAGAGAGATGCGCTTCTCAGGGTCCAGGACGAGCAACTGAGACACCGTAAGTGAATGCATAAGACGACAGGCAAATGGAAACATACCTTCTTAATCAGATCTTTTGCCTCCGAACTCACAAAACTGGGCACAGTGTAGTCACCCCTGACAATTTTTCTCTGCGTCATGACCTGCGAGTCTTCGAATGGGGCTTCACCAACGAGGAACTCGTACGTCAGCACGCCCAAACTCCACAGATCTACCTTCTCCGTGTAAAAGTTGTCCTTGCCGCCACCACGAAGCATCTCCGGGGGAAGGTAGTCAAGGGTACCGCACATGGTGTTACGCCTATTGTTGGGCGCATGGACTGACCAGCCAAAATCGGAGATTTTGATCTCGCCATGGATGCCGACTAGGATGTTCTCTGGCTTGATGTCCCGGTGCATGACGTGCTTTCTGTGAAGGTATTTGAGAGCTGCCGCCATCTGAGCAATGTACTGTGCGGCCTTCCATTCCGGGAAGCGCTGTTCGCGACGGAGGTGTTTGTACAGCTCTCCCTTGCCAGCGAACTCAAGGATCAGAAAGATGCGCTTGGCGTCATGGAAGTGGCCGAAGAGACGTAGAATGTTGGGATGAGCAAGATGGGACTGAATCTCGATTTCTCTCCTTACTTGTTTCTCCACTTTGCCCTGCTGGAGTTCGGACTTGTGGAGAACTTTGAGAGCGCAAACAAAGCCTGAAGAGCGCTCTTTGGCAAGGTAGACGCGACCGAATTTGCCCTTTCCGAGGGGCTTGCCAATTTCGAACATTCCGAGGTGCCACTGCTTGGGGGTCGTGGGTTGAGAATAAATCGCAGGTTCAGTAAGCGTGCGGCGGTGGGCATGAGATTGCCGGTCTTCTGATGAACGGTTTTGGACCGCTTGGGATTGCGAGGCGAGGGGTACCTTAGTGATGTTGGCTTGGACAATCTTGGTGGAGTTGGCGGCTGCGAGCTTTTGGAGAGGGAGTTTCATGCGGTTGGCGGCTGAAGTGCTGGTGCCGAGGGCAGTTATTGATACGGTGGAGACGGAGCCCTATGCCAATGTTAGAGCGAAATGCTGAGGACTAATGTTCCCAAAATTCTCGAACCTTTTGCTTATGATAGGTGCTAGTTACAGCAAGCTGGTCCTCATTCTCGTCGTTGACGGTGATGCGCTCAAAGGCGGCTTCAAGGTTTGAGACGTCCGCCATTGTGAATTCAATTCAAGTAAGCGCAAGTAAATGAGAGGACTTCCAAACGGAATACAAGAGAAGAACAATGATTTCTGGAGCTGGGTGGAGGAGTATGCTCGTTGTTCGATCCGGTCTACGGTTCGAGACGAAATGAAGTGGTTGCAAGACCAAGGGCTGACGACCGGTATACAAATAGTCGTTGCCGCGGCAATAACGAGGTCACATGATTATCACGTGAGAGTATTCACCACCATCAATTGATGCACCGTGATTCCTGATGTTAGATACATGTTCCTTTGATGCAAAATGCCCGCCTATAGAAACACCAAACCTGAATGTCGAGCTAGATGTATGGAAGCCAAATAAGTTTCTTGAAGATGTACCCCCCCCACAGGCGGCATGCATGTGCCAATTACCCGGCGGGGCAGGCCTAGGGTATGCCCTACGACGAGGTCTAGGAATAACTGCACCCAGAGATATATTCCGCTCTACCGCATCTACAGAGACTGGAATGGCTTCCCCGAACTTACCAACCTTCAATGGCTCGTCTGTCGATGCGCACGCACCGGGTCACAGTACAGATGAGTCCATCACCAGAGATGGGTTCAAGGTCACCGTGCGGAAGCTACCTATTCTCAAGGCCGGCCCTATAGAGGACATGACAAAAAAGCTGGGAATTGCACCGCCCGAGATGATTTTCGGCGATAACCTGGCGCGCATTGAGCACCCTCAGAGTGGTTGGAGCATTGAGTTCAACGCCTTCGATGCACTCGACCGTGTCGACAAAACGGGCGAGTCGATGCTAAAGGTGTCCTACTCCAAAGAATGGCAGGAGAATCGGTGTGTAGTCCCTCACAACAGTGGTGATTGTTGCGAAGCTAACTCGTGAAAGGCAGAAGCAGTTCGAAGAGATAAAAGAAGTTGTCAAGCCGTTCGACTGGTCTTACAGCACCGACTACAAGGGCACTATTTCGGGACCCCAGTTTCAACCAACAGATAAACCGATACCCATCGACCTTCTCATGCGTCAAGACCCGATCCTGTTCTTCTCAGAAGTCATGCTATACGAGGATGAGCTGGCCGATAACGGCATTGCGATGCTGTCATGCAAGATACGGGTTATGCCGCAGAGGATGCTGCTGCTGTCAAGGTTCTTCATGAGGCTGGATGGTGTTCTTTTCAGAATACGGGACACAAGAGTATATATCGAATTCAGCACAGGCGAGGTGATTAGGGAATATACCGCTCATGAGGAGAAATATGATGTCGTCAGGGCGGCTTTGGTTGGAGGAACAGATGATGTCCTGGCGATTATGAGGGATCCCAACCAGTTGATCAAAAAGGATCGGGCTCTCGTTCCCATCGTGGAGAGAAGCTTGGACAGAGTGGTCCTGAAATGAGGTGTGCAGGCGGTAGGTCCCAGCATGGACACAAGTCCGCTGGAGCCGCAGGCAAACGCGACAGTTGCATAACAGAGAGCTCCTTCGAGAACACTAGTTAATACTGTAAGTGCATGCGTTCCAGCACATAACAGCCCGACACGTGGCTATGCTGACACTCTGGGGTAGCAGGTCCATGGAAGACGCCACCCTGCAATGCCGCAGAGGTGGTCAGTCGAGTTGTGACCGGAATCCACCCGACGTGGATTGATGCCCGAAGGCAGAACCGTTTCCCATTGGACGGAAACGTTGCTCAGCTTCGGCAGCAGTTCCCTTCTGAAGTTCACTTTTGGAGGCGGGACTGATTCGCTGTTCGCTGTGAATTGGTTCAATGAGGTATAGCGCGTTTCTCGAACAAAGGACAGCGGTGGAGACTATGCGAAATCATAAACATATACATCCCTTTCGCATCTCAGCTCCACTCTGCAGACTAATCATCACAACTACTCAACCCATCTCAATACCGATACTTTACCTCGCGCTCTCCTTCACTCGGATGTGCACCGACCCAAAAGTCCAGTTAAGCGCCCACTGCTCACCGCAGCGGCTGTGCCCCATGGATGCAGGCTTCAAACTCGGACAGCCTCACCAGGCGCCGGTCACTGGAGCCGAAAGGCTGGAGATCGAATTGATTGAAGGAGATCCTCGTTTCACACAGCCCCGTGGTCCTTCGTTTTTCGCATGTCTGGTCTCACACAGGACGGCTGTGTCGATGTCTAAATCCTTCTCGAGACATGTTTGCTCGCGTTTTCGCAGTTTGCCACGGGCGCACGCGTGTTTCATCCACATGATCGCTACTATTAAGCAGTGCATGTCGCTTTAAAAGAGTCCCGCCTTGAGGTGTACTGGATACAACATAGCGGTTTCCCAGTCTGTTGTGTTTTGCTCGCACTCTATCCTCAACTCCGAGTTTGGTTCTCAGTGTCGTATCGTTAATGGACCCTTTCACTATCGCTCTCGGTGCCACACAGTTCGTCGGCTTGGCAGGCCAACTGGTTGAATCAGTTGTATCGTTACGTCGAAAACTTGTGAATATCAAGAATGCGCCCAAATTGATTCGACGCATCCATGAAGAGCTCCGGATACTTCAGCATGTTGGAGCTCGAGTGGCTCAAATCGAGAACGTTATCCCCGACGATGAGAAGCCCACTTTCGTGCGAATCTGTGACGATCTGGGAGAACATATTTATGAACTCTACAAGACTCTCACGAAAGTCGAGTTACAAGAAGGTGACCGGGGTGCAAAGCGGTTTTGGCATTCCTTCCTTGCTGATGGCAAGCGGCCTCAGCTTGAGGAGGAACTTTGCGTTCTTCAAAGGACGAACACCGCTCTTGCAGCCTTCTTAGACAGCGTCATTATTCGGATAGCAAGGTATGATTGGCCTACGATTTCATTATGTATGCTAACGAAGCGATTTAGTGCAACCCATGATCATCTCACGGCCCATACTGCAGTAGTGACACCCGCCATAGAACGTATCGAGACACACTTGTCGGCCATTTCGGAGACTTCGGAGAACATTTTTACGCAGACAGTCGAGATTCGAAAAGACCTCCAGGAAAGATCGGCTACGATCATTAGTCACATAGATCATGCCGTACAATCTATAGGCGCCGACATTCCAAAGTTGATCAAAGGAAGTCTCCAGCAATGCTTAGAGGAATATCGGGGCCAATTCACAGCCGTAGCGGGCAAAGACACTTTCCTTGTTGGAGGATGCGATACACAGAAAAAGAACACGAGAATGGTACGCTCACTCGGGCGGAAACACACGGTAATGAAAAGGTTCCCCCTTCCCATCGGGTTTATACAGACAAAAGTTGCACGCTCAGGGGTTGGTGAAGATGCAGGTTTACTCTATATTGAGATCAGTCTCATTCCGTTCAAATGGCTCTCCTCTCAAGGAAGAGTGATGCGGATGGATAAGACGATGACTGATTTATACGCCACCTCGTGGGACCTTTGCCTCCGATCATACAACATCGTCCGCGATGATGCCATGATCCTCAGAGCATGCCGTGCTCGGGATCTACCAGCTATTCAGAAGCTGTTTCAATACGGCCAAGCATCCCCTTTCGATGTTGATTGCGATGGTCGAGCGTTGCTGTCCTATGTCTGGAACAGCCGTCTCGTGCACGAAGACTTTGGTGCTGAGGAAGCCTGCCAAGTCCAACAAACTATACAGTTCTTGATAACCCAAGGCGCGGATCCTACTACGTACGTTCAAGAATTCTTGGAGTCATATCGATCGTGGACCGGTTTTCTGTGGGCATACGGTTGCTATTTCCTCGATGGCGACCCGGATTCAGGCACAGCGGCTACTTTGAAGTCATTGGACGATACTCTTCGTATGTGTTTGGAGAACAGCCGAACGGATCCGTTTGAGGATGGCGAAGGTCTTCTTAGCCTCTGGAAGGCCTCTTTGGGCGGATATAGCCTGCCTGCTCTGGACTCTTCCTACCTGTTCCGGGAAGACCTAGCCGGCTTGGACGAGCTCGTGTTCGAGAACCCTGATCAGGTGTTCTACGATATCGTTGGAGGGCTGAGGGTAATGAACTCCAACAAGGTCTACCAGGAGTATCTTGACCAGAATTACGATACTTTGGTCTATCTTTGCAGAGGCGGTCCTCAAAGCATCAAGAGCAAGGTATTCTCCAGGGACATGGACAGAAATGGACCTTTGCTGGATAGCCGTTGGACCTGCTTTTGTCCAGTGGGCTCAAGCCATCTACTGTTCCAAGCCCTCCATGAACGCCGTCTCGCTCCGTATTTCAAGCAGGCGAAAGCGAGGATAATTAGAAAGCACGTGCACCGCGTTCTTGTCCAACTTTTATCCAGCGGCGAGGATCCAAGAGCGCGTTGCGACTGTAAGACTTCGTGGCAATCTCCGTCAGGATTTCGAAGTGCGACAGACCTCGCAGGTGAGGAAGGCCTCCTTGACGTCTGGGAACGAGCTCTCCAAGAATGCGGTCATGATGCGACTGAAATTGTTGATGAATGGCGCTACGAACCATTGCCGGACTTGCTACAAATAGCTCAGGATGATACGTCCGACATGGCTCATGTCCAGTCGCAGATGGCTCCTACGCCAGCTGCCCGAATGAAACTTGTGGGCACTGCCCTTTACCACACCTTCTCTTCGATCGTTTGAGGTATTCCTGGCTCCCAGTTCCTGCGTTCACTTTGCCATACTTCGACGACCGCGCTCTCTTCATCAAATTTCCCGGAGAGCAACAGTTCCGAACATAGATTTACGGACGTTTTCGTGATCTTGAGTGAGAACCGTGGTTCTCAACTTGATGCACGAAACATCGGCAATAGCGAACCAACTGAATCTAGTAAAGGTTGCGTCACTTGGAACCAGTGCCTGCCGCCTGCCGCCGCCGTCAGGAGGGGGACCCCACTATTTACCATCTATTCCCATGATCACCCCACCTACCTATTTACTCTCCTCCAGCGACTCTTCCATCCATCTCATAACTCCCTCGAAACGATCACCACGTACATCTCAACTCTCACCCTCCAATATATTCCTCGCAAACCGCCAAAATGCCCAGCGCAAAGTTCGAAGAGCTCTTTAGTAAGGTCAAGCAGCTCGACGGCGATCCCTCCAACGAGCAGCTACTTAACGTGCGTGCCCCTCCCAATCCCTCTCCCCTCCCTTCCTCCCTCCCCCTTTCTCTCTCCCTCTCACCGTCCCCTGCCTCCCCGGAACAGACGCATATGCGCGTATCGTCTCTCACTCAAACTAACCCACCCGCCAGCTTTATGCCTGGGGCAAAGTCGCAAAGGGCGTCTCCATCGAGGGCAAATCCAGACCCGGTATCTTTGACCCGACCGTACGTCCACTTGTGCTCCATCCCATCTTCGCTCCAATGTCCTAACATGTTCAATCTTCTCCAGGGCCGTTATAAGTACGATGCGTGGAAGAAGGCCGAGGACGAGGGTCTGTCCGCCGAGGAGGCCGAGCAGAAGTACATTGCGCTGGCGGAGGAGTTGATTGCCAGGATCGGCCTCAAGGCGCCCGGGCAGGCCTGAGAATAAAGGTGGACAAGTACGCGATGGAACGATGATGGGAAGCCCGTTATTGGGGCGCAGGAGAAGGAGATTCCGGTTGCTGAGTGAGAAGACCAATGTCGCCACGCTGGGTCTCCCATAGATTTGTGCTTTTGACCGCCGCGTCTACTGTAGAGGAATGTATACTTCTTGCATGCAACTCCAGATACATCCGTCTGCTCCAGCAGAAGCTGGAGGATGACTGATCCACTATTCTAGTCACCCAAACTTAGGGTCATCCTGTCCGATACACATGCTCGCAAAACAAATCCCCATTTGCTCTCCTCATTGTAACATATCCACATATCCCCCCGCCCCATAGCACCCATCTCGCGCCTTGATTACATGCCCTGACTAACTCGCTGGTGTGAATGCCAGCATTGCCGTTCCATCCCTGCTCCGCTCTACTGACTGTGCCTTTTCGTCACACACTCTCAGATCTTGTCCTAATAACCCGACCAAGTCCTCCCCATCCAGTCCGGCTCCTCGTACGCCATGGTCGCACACCACGGCACTTCGTCTTCGCGATATCTCTCAAGCGGAAGATCGTACGGCATGCGGAATCCCACGAATGTCTTCGGCTTCTTCCTCTTGTGCTGTGTGCCTTTCCCTTTCTCGTCGCCTTCCCCTTCTTCGTCGTCCGTACCATCATACCTGCCTTCACACCCAGCCAGATCCGAATCATCAGGCACATCCTTTCCAAACACCGGCACCATTTCCACGTCCCCCACCTCATCCCCACGTCCCCCAGCACTTCCACCATCATCAGCGAATAGGTCCGGCCAAACCACAACACCACACTCCCAGCTCTGGATCCATACCTTGCCATTTGTAGCACTCTGCACATCGCCCCAAGCCTGCTTGCTCAAGTTTGCGCTTGTGACGAGCGCCCAGTCAATCTTAGGAGGGGAAAAGGGGGTCCTGAGTACATCCGAGGATGAAGAAGAGGCGATGGGGAGGTGTTGCGTAACGTTGTCTTGAAACCGGATGTATGTTTTGATATGCGGCGCCGCTTGGTTGCGGTGTGCTTCCTTCTTCGTTTCTTGCTCCGGAGCTTTACCCTTGCCACCGCGCTTTTCTCTATCTGTGATTCCGCATGCACTTGGATTCCAATGGCAAAGGAGTGGGTGCAAATACTCCAGCTGTCCTTGCTGCGCCGTAGATTGTATTCTCATATGGATGGAATCGCCCGAGGCGTAGCCGTCCAGCGAGAGACGTATTTCTTGGGCAGTGGGAAATATGACTGATAACGTCGGATTTAGCTTGGCCGACGTTCTGGACGAGGACGAGGCAGATGTAGGAGCGAAGAAAGACGGGCGGGAAGCGGCGGCTTTAGGTGCTTTGTGAGTGGCCAGAACGGATTTGAAATTGGTGAGCCATGTTGGATTTGCGCCTAGAGTTGCGATAGACGAGATCTGCACGACGATATTCGGCGTCGCGGTCTTCCTTTCTGCCTCACTACTGCCACCTTTGGGACCAGGGGGATTGGACTTGACGGGGATAGTGGACAGTATCTCTCGTAAACCAAGCCAGCCCCAAGATGTCTGCGTCGCTGGGGTTGCACGCTCTGGATCCTGCCGCGATGGCGTAGAGCCGATAAACGCAGCACGAACAGAGCTGAAATCGTACCGCCTGAGTTGGGTGGTTAGGTCTCGTAGACGGTTTCCATAAGCTGACAGATAGCGAAGGAGATCAGTCTTGAAGCGCTCTCCGGTGCCGATGGGATGAGAAATCTCCTCGCTATCACCAGAATTGGTCTCCAGGGGGAGCAGCGGTGATAGCCAGGCGGCCTGTGTCATGTTGGCCCAGTCTCGGTTGATCATGTTGGCCGTATGAATGATAATCTGGGCTTGGTCGTCATGGCGGATGAGAATGAGCATCTTGGAGTGATGGGTGCCAAAGCGGTCTGGCATGTATGCAGTGATGAGTCCCACATTAGGATAGCGTTCAGCGGCTTCCTGGGCGACGTGAGGATCGAGGTTATGCGGGCTTGAGACTTCTCATACCACAAGAGCGTGCCGTCGCTCATTATCATTCTGCCAGAAACCATGCACGATTTTGACTTTGACAAGGGACCGCACATCAGGGTCGAAATGCTGCCTTTCGTCTTGTTAGCCTCGGGGTGGCCTAACGTATTGTCGGGATAGCAACCTACATAACCCAATCGACATTGAAGAGGTAATTGAAGTTCCAGCACTCCTTGATTAACGGATCTCCAAGCACATCTTCTAACCCGATCGCATCGACATTTTGCTGGGGCGACAGATCCCGAATCTTGGTGAGTCTGATTGGAGAGGGCAGGAACCGGTGATGTCCATCCGCTGCAGGTCGCTGCTCCGTCGCCGCCACATCTTGATACGTTTGTTTGCGTTTCGAAGACGGTGGGATTCCCACAGTCTCTGACCTTGCCCGCCTCGAGGGTGGCGGACTAATGGGCCGACTCAAGCTCGTTGATACCGATACTGGCGTTGAGGTGGTTGTACGAGTGCCGCTAGCAACGACGGCACCGGTACCCGCGTCCAATCTACGACGCTTGCTTGGGTTTTCTTCCATGACCGCTCATGACCTCAGGGAAGAGATGGGCGAAGTCATTCAAAGACGTTGATGAATTGAGAGTAGGGCGGTCTTGGGGAGAGAGCTCAAGGCAGCGATCCCAAACCGGAAGTCTCGGTTTGGGGTTGTTTCTGGAAGGAGCCGCCAGTCCCCCGTTGGCACTGCAGCAGGGCGCGAACTGAGGTGAACAAACTCATCGTGGCGGAGGTGAAGGTGAAGGTGAAGGTGAAGAGATGGATTTCGAAAGGGCAAGATTGGTGAACATCACATCTGGGCACGGACCAATTTTAACTGAGCTTCAGCTGTATCTATTGATTGTAATATGGATAACTGCCACCAAAGCCTTCATGCTTGTGAACAGTTCTACGCGCCTTGGCCAAGGCGTTTGATTCTTCATCATCTTGGATGCAAGTCATGCGTCTAGTTTGTACTCATAAAAGAAAGCAAGAGACTATATTCCACCATGGTATAAAAGCCAGTCCGTGAACGCCAGCGAAAAGAGCGGATTTTGGAAGAGGCGAGAAAACAAGACGGACCATTTATGCAGCGCTCGCGCTGGAAGGGGGCTGCTGAACCTTGGTAATCTGGTTTCCAGCCCGGATGATAGGGTTGCCGGCGTCGTCCTTGACATGCTGCACATCCTTGTTCTCCCGCTGGGCGCGCTTCCAAATCTCCACTTCGCAACCGCCACGGATAACACCAACCCTCATCGTCGACAGAAGGTTGTGAGCAGCGTTGGAGTGGAGATAGACGCCGCCGTTGAACATGGCGGTGGCATCCTTGCCAAGGCCACTCTTGATCAGAGCCTTGCCACCTGGGTGCTCATTGATGAAGTCGGTAACGTCGTGAATGACACCAGCCACAGCGACCAGACCACGACCATTCTTGACCTGCTCGACATAGTCATCCCACTCAACGACGGGGAGCTGGTCGAGGGGAGTGCCCCAGTCGAGCTTGGCGCGCTTCTGATCGAGCTTCTTCTGGAGCTGCTGAACACGGCCCTTCTCGATCTCGTTGGAACGGAACTGCTTGAGATCGTAGGCGAGGCCGAGCTTGCTCCAGAGCCAGATGCACCACTTGGTGGGATCGTACTGGTGCCACTCAATGGCGTTGCGGTAGTCGGACGGGAACTCGTGGTGGAAGTTGTGGTAGCCCTCTCCCAGGGTGACGAGAGCCGTGATGACGTGATCCCTGGGGCTGTTGCGGTCGTCAAAGGGCTGCTCTCCGAGCCAGTGGGCAAGCGAGTTGACGCAGAAGGTTGCCTGCTGGACGAAGAAGATGCGAAGGATGCCGGCATAGATGGCGCCACCCCACCAGTCACCCCAGAACAGACCGGCCACGAGCGTGGGGAAGACGATGCCCATGAAGATGACGACCTTGAGGTAGTTCTTGTGCTGCCACACGACAACGGGATCCTCGTTCAGATCGGTAATGTCGGTCCGGCCGATACGCTTGGGGTTCTGCTTCATGACCATCCATCCAATGTGGCTGTAGAGCAGGCCCTTGCGGACGCTGTAGGGATCTTTGGTGGTATCGGTGTAGCGGTGGTGAGCGCGGTGGTCGCGGCTCCACCAGCGGATGGAGCCCTCAACAGCACCGCCTCCTACAGCGGCGAGGAAAATGCTCAAGGGAAGGCGGGCGGAGTAGGACTTGTGTGCCCAGAGACGGTGATAGCCCGCAGTGATGCCGAGACCGGTCCAGAAGTAGTAGACAACGGCCCAGACGGCGGTCTTCCATTGCAGAGGCGTGTAGCAGGCCATGACGAGACCGGCCAGGGGAAGAAGAATGATCAGGGTCACCTGATTGACATGTCAGAAGAGGAGCGACTGGGGGATGGAGGCGGGTGAGACTTACGTTGAGCCAGTTGACGTGCAGGTACCAGTTGGACTTGGTGATGGGCATATCGGTGATGTGTGGCTTCTTCGGATCGTACTTGGGGTTGCGGTTCGGCTCCGAAGTGCTAGCCATGGCCGACGGCTGCTCCTGGGATTCGACTGAAGCCATGGCGGCGGCAGTCGAAGAGAAGAAAAGTCGAGGTGTCGTGCTCGACTGGCGGTGTAGGAGGAAAGAAGAGCGAGGCGTCGAACGGTCGACGGGAGGTTGGCAGTTGAGGGAAACTGCACCGCTCGCTGGTTGAGAGTAGAAGGCAGACTCGATGAGACGCCTGAGAGAGAATGGAGAAGAGGGGGAAAGGCGTGCGGGAGAAAAAGGTCAGGAATGCAGGGCAATAAGAAGGGTTTTGGGCGAAGCTGGGAAAGAATGCGGGACCATCCGAGCTCGTAAGGCTAGCCGAGATGGGGCTTAGGGCAGCCGCATTCCAGACCACTACCCTACAAATACTGTCTATCCCTCCCTATTTCCTGGTGCTTTTCGACGAGGTGGTGGCGAGATGGGGTGAAATTGCTAACGGCAAACGGTATTGTTCGCGGGCGGGTCGATCGCATCCAGAAAACAGCAAAGCAGCGAAAACAATTGCAGTGCCATCTCTCGGGCCATCGGAGAGAGAACAGAGACAAGCAACCTCACCGTCCCGTCAGACGGTTACAGGAGCTTTGTAGCCAATCAGCAGAGGAGAAAATGATGGACCCTGACGTAATTAAATACTCACTGCAGGTACAGCTACGCCAGCAGCCGCAGTTCTCTGACATTTCGCAAGCTCTCCTCTTTTGGGCATGGCGTCTTTTTTGAGCGCTTCCCCGCCCGCCACACCTGGGCAGTTTGCCACACATCACGTGCATTCACAGCACCACAAACTACCTAGGTAACCCGTCCACTGGGCCGTGTACTCCGTATCTCTCCTCAGCAGCCTCGCCTCGTCAGAAAATCTCATCGTCTACTGTGGTATATCCTCTCGTCCGAGTTCCACTCCCCCCAGTGAGTCTCGGTCGGTTGTCTTCTGAGGAAACAGACTGGACCGTGTAGCGATATGCGAAATACGAAGGCTCATCAGTTTTGAGTCGGTAACCATCTGTGGCCGGCACGGTGGCACACTGGCGCTCAGTTGACGTAAGCCAATCCATCCGATGATGGAAGATTGCAGTACACAGTACGAGACGAAGTTGTATTCTTGCACTGTGGACGAAATTATCGAAGAATTCTTGCCATCTCAGCCCCTGAGTGTCCGTCTGAGGGCCTCGGATCTGTTGTCGGAATCGACCTGCTTATCTCTCTTATCTCGTCAACAAGTTTGTAACGCATGCGGCACCGCCCTCCCTATCTCTCTTACCCAGGTAGCATTTCTCGTCGCGTGCACCATACAGACTTCACCATCCTTCGGCAGAGTCCAGCAGCTTCAGCAGCTCAAGAGTCATGGCGCCCCGCTGTCCCTCAGAATGCCTGCTGGGTATCAGACGCTAGACCCAGCAGTTATCTTCTCTATCTCTATGCTTGTACGAAGGCTGCTGGTAATGAGATCCGCCGTTGCCATGTATAAATCTTCTAGTTCGACGATATAAAATCCCCAACTACCTACTTATTCATCAACACACTTCCTCTCATTTTGGGAATTAGCGATCTGCAGTCTGCAACCGGTTCAGGGCAGCACCTATAGCTAATAATAATCCCCCGCATTCCCATCACCCCGAACCACTCCCATCACGGCGACCCTCTGTAACACACACGGGCAACAACATGTTGGAAGGTCCTGATAGAATTGGACCAGATCGTGGCCCGAAGCGCAGTTTCGGAGACAAGGCGCGGCGCGTCGTCAGGACGTTAACCACAAAGTGAGCATTCTCGCAAATCTCAGAAGTCTTGATTGACATGGAAGCTTACTGCCGAGAGGGAGGGCCTCATTGGCACATACGACTATGCGTTCCTCTTCAGGCCCAATCTTCCCTTCATGAAGAAGGACCGACGGGCTCCCCCGTTCTTTGGCCTCCATGACCGCATGCCCGTTTTCCTTGCTCTCCTTCTCGGCTTCCAACATGCCCTCGCAATGTTGGCCGGCGTCATCACTCCGCCCATCATCCTAGGAAGCGCGGCACACCTGGACCCGAATACCTCACAGTACCTCGTATCGACTTCGTTGATTGTTTGCGGTTTCCTTTCTGCCATCCAGATTGCCCGTTTCCACATATGGCGGACTCCCTACTACATTGGCACCGGCCTCATCTCCGTCGTGGGCACCTCGTTTGCGACCATTCCCGTTGCCACGGGAGCTCTCGCCCAAATGTACGAAACTGGATTCTGTCCCTCGGATGCCAAAGGCAATCCACTGCCCTGTCCCGATGGTTACGGCGCAATACTCGGTACGGCCGCCGTGTGTTCCCTCTTCGAAATCGCCATGGCCTTCACTTCGCCCAGGATCCTCAAGAAGATTTTCCCTCCTCTCGTCACCGGCCCCACAGTCATGCTCATCGGCGTGAAGCTCATTGCGTCCGGCTTCCAGAACTGGGCAGGCGGAAGCGGTGACTGCAAGTCCATGCCCAAGGAAGGCCTGTTCCGACTCTGTCCCAACGTCAACGCCCCTCATGCTCTGCCATGGGGAAGTGCCGAGTTCATCGGTCTGGGATTCTCCGTCTTCCTTACCATTATCCTTTGCGAGCGGTTCGGATCTCCCATTATGAAGTCCACGGCGGTTGTCATCGGTCTCCTCGTTGGCTGCATCATTGCTGCTGCGACCGGTTACTTCGACCATACCACCATTGATGCCGCGCCCGCCGCTTCCTTCATCTGGGTGAAGACGTTCAAGCTCAGCGTGTATGGTCCAATAGTTTTGCCTCTCATTGCCGTGTACATTGTCCTGGCCATGGAGGCCATTGGCGACATCACGTACGTTTTTTGTCTTTTCGTAAGATGAGCACGACCTAACCTTCATGCAGCGCTACCTGCGACGTCTCGCGCCTCGACGTCGAAGGCGAGCTCTTCGACTCCCGCATCCAAGGCGGCGTTCTCGCCGACGGCATCAACGGCTGTCTCGCCGCCCTCGCCACCATCACGCCCATGTCGACGTTTGCCCAAAACAACGGCGTCATCGCCCTGACGCGATGCGCGAATCGAAAAGCCGGTTTCGCCGCTTGCTTCTGGCTCATCGTCATGGGCATCTTTTCCAAGTTCGCGGCCGCCCTGGTGGCCATCCCGAGGTTCGTGTCCGACGCGCAATCCGTTGGAGTTAGTTGCTAACTGAGCATCGACAGTGCGGTATTGGGCGGCATGACGACGTTCCTCTTCGGCGCCGTGGCCGTATCCGGCATCCGGATCATCTCGACGATGCCGTTTACGCGTCGTAATCGCTTCATCCTGACCGCCGGTCTTGCGCTGGGTTTCGGCGCGACCATGGTGCCTAAGTACGTCTTTCTCCTGTCTCGTCTCCTCTCTCCCTTCGTGGTATCTGAATAGAAAAACGCAATGCTAATCTTGTCTACGCGAATAGCTGGTTCTCCTTCGTCTTCACCTATGATGGCGACAACCGCTCGCTCTTGGGGTTTTACAACGCCATTGAGCTCGTCATGGAGACGGGGTTCGCGGTCGCGGCGTTTGTGACGCTGATTCTGAATCTGCTGCTTCCCGAGGAAGTGGAGGAGGAGGATGCGCCGGAGTTGTCGGCGGAGAGTGGGGATGAGGAGAGGGTAGAGGAGGGGTTGGAGAAGGGGGAGGGGGCGAAAAGGGGTGCTCGGGAGGGGGTGGAAGTATGTTGAAAGCCATGTAACTGTATTTGTTTGCTGGTTAGAGTTAGGGGATCGAGGATATATGGCTGGATGGGTTGGTATTGCAGCCGGTGGGACTGTCTGCGTGTATGAAAGAAGTCTTCAATCGAAAGAAGCCGCCTCCATCTCAAGTTCATCCTCTTTTGCGTAGATAAGATCAAGCAAAGTCGGGTCTTCCCCGTACACTCCAGAAACTACCCCTAATCGGAACATCCCAACAACGCCATCCACGGCATGACCGAGACTCGCAGATGATTCAAGCACAAATGTAAGCGATCTTGTTATATAAGAGCCAAAAAAGGCCTATACAGCTCCAGCACTTAGGAAAGAGGATGCAACGGGGAACAGCTCCAGCACCTAGGATCCAGTTGCATAGATAGAATACAATTAATTACCTCCACGAGATTCGTCAAAACTACCTCACTCCACCTCCCCCGATACCTTCACATCCGCACGCATCCTCTCTCTCTCGGTTCCCCGTGCCATCCAGCACCCCCCTCAAAACGTAGATAGCAGTGTCATACAAGCAGCTGAGCCGAGCAAAAGCGTGGCCGGGCATGCCAGGAAAAAAACGAAAATCCGTAAAACCCCATCCACCATCATCTCCGTCGCTGCCTTCAGAATCAAGTTCGCCGAGAGGGGGTACTACCAAATAAGCGTCATGTGATTCCAAATCGAGTGAAGTTCGTTGATACTGCAAGCAGCGTCGACCTATTTGCCATACGCCTTGTCAACCTCCTTCTGATACCGCTCGAGGATGGCGCGGCGGTTGAGTTTCTGCGCTGCCGTCGTGAAGCCCTGACATCCCAGGTTAGCATCCAAGCTCGCGATAAGCGACAGCATCGGCAACTTACGTTCTGCGGCGTCCACTCCTCGTCGGCCAACACAACGCCCTGCACAATCTCGAACGGAGCCAGACCCGCTTTCTGGCCCGCAGCCTGCAGCTGCCTCGACACGGCATTCACAATTTTCCGGTCGTGGACCAACTCCTCCAGATGTTCGCCCTCGACGCCCTGCTCGGCCGCAACCTTCTTCAGGACAGGCTCGGCAGGCACTATGATGGCGACGGGCTTGGCCTGGTCGTCGGCAGCGTAGACGCATATGTTGGCAACGATGGGAACGGAGCGGTAGACGGATTCCAGCTTCTCGAGCGCAATGTACTCGCCGGTGAGCGTCTTGACGAGGTTCTTCTTGCGGTCGATGATCTTGAGCTGCCCCTTGGCGTCGAACTGCCCAATGTCGCCGGTCTTGAACCATCCATCCTCCGTGTACGACTCCTTGGTCTCCTTCTCGAGCTCAAGATAGCCGTCTGTGACTGCTCCTCCACGGATCCAGATCTCGCCTTGCGGCGGGTTGTTGCTGGTGAAGTAGCCAGCGTCGGCGAAGTCGACGAGCTTCATCTCAATGCACGCAGGCATCTCGCCCAGCGCCTGGTCGGTCCAAGCGAGAGGGTCCATGAGCGCGCCCATGGCGCAAGTCTCGGTCAGGCCATAGCCACTGATCATGGGGGTAATGGCGACGGAGAGGAAGCGCTGCGTCTCCTTGGCGACGGGACCGCCGCCGTTGAGTAAGATTCTTAGCTTGCCTCCCGTCGCTTCCTTGACTTTGTTGAAGACGATGGCATCCAAGACACCACTCCCAGGCAGCCCCATGCCGAGGAGGAGCTGCTTGGCAGCGTAGGCGCCCCAGAAGACCTTCTTGGTGAGGGCGCCTCCCGACTCGACTTTTGTGATGATACCCTTCTTGACCGTCTCCCAGACCTGGGGCACACCAACGAGGATGGTTGGCCTCAGCTCACGGATATCTCCCTTGCAGTTACGCACAGACGTATCAGAGAGCGTCTTAACGGTGCCGTAGCCCATGGTTCCACCCCAGAAGAGGCATGCGGATTCGAAGACGAATTCCAGGATATGAGCGAGCGGGAGGTAGGTGAGCAGCACGTCGCCTGGACCAAGGTAGTCACCCACAATCACATCGACACCGGCAACTAGAGCATATGGTGTTAGCGACCAACTAGCGGCGGCGTTCCATTTGCGGAAAACCTACCCGCTGCGATGACATTGCGATGTTTGATGAGCACGCCCTTGGGAGTACCGGTAGAGCCAGAAGTGTACATGATGCATGCCAGGTCGTCGGCGCTGGGCGGGATAGGATCCGCAGGGTTCTCTTGGCCCAACTTGACCAAGTCGTCAAAGCTCATGATCTTGACATGGGGGTGTGCGGCCTTGAAGGCGTCCAAGTCACTCTGGACGAGATCATTACCGGTGCTGTAGAAAACGACCTCGACGTCCTTGGCCTCGTTGTAGGGGTTGACGAGGTTGGGGAACAGCGTGGGGTCGATGAACATGAACTTGGCTTTGGTCTGCAACATGGAGTGCTTGAGGCCCTCCTCTCCGAGCGTATCGTAGGCGGTGACTATTGCGCCGGACTGAGAAAGGGTGCCTAGAGGCCGAGTCAGCGAGTGGGAGTCGAGGAAGGAGAGGCATGAAGTCACCATGAGCCATGGCGAGCCACTGCGAGCTGGTTCCGGCGAAGAGATGGAGGCGATCGTGGGGCTTGAGGCCCAGCTTCTTCAAGCCAGCGCCGATGTCGTGGATGAGCTTCTCGAACTCGACAAAGGTCTGGTATTTGTACTCGGACAGCTCGAAGTAGGTCCAGTTCTTGTCCACCTCTTGCTGGACGCCATCAATCATCTTCTTGACCTTCTTGGTCTCGGTGTGGGTGCGGACGATGCGGCGGGAGCCCATTGCTTTTGCGTTGCCAAACTTGCTCGAGGCATACTTGACCAGGTCGTAGAGGGTGCTGACGCTGTCGTGAGGCTTGAGCTTTAGGGCATCCGCTGTCCTTGCGTTACGGCGCGGGATGGTTTCGCCTTCGACTTTAGGGACGCCGGCAACTTCAACGGTGACGGGGCCCTGCTTGGTGGCTCTCGCCTGGGGGTAGAGTTTCTTGAGGTCCTGAGGCATGATGGATGTTTTGGTTGGGGGGTTGGACAGAAGGGCGGAGAGTAGCAGGGAGATGGAGATGGGAAGGGCGAGGAGGACGAGGATTAGGGTATAGAGTGGTGGTGCCGCCAGCGGAGACCCGAAGAGTCGACGAGGAGAGACAGAGTCTGGGGAGAAGGGGGTTTGTGGGGGAGGACGATGTGCGCCTGGCCGACGTCTTGTTGTTCACGCTGGAGGGTTGAGAAGCTTGGACGGTTTCCAGTGGCGGACTCCAGCTTGGCAAGCAGGGGCACTATTTATTGAACACAACGATGACGCGCGACAGGACCGGTACACCTTGGCATAGGACGAAGTACTCCGTAATATACGGGGTGACGCGTGAAGTTACTGTGAGCTATGAAAGGGGTCAAGGAGCGGCCTGATTGTGGTGAGCTGCGTGTGTTCTGCGTGCACTTCTTCTGATAGCCAAAAAGCACAGCAGCAGACAGCGGCTGAACCCACATCTCTCGCGCGGCCAAGAACAGCCCCCGCCTCCGCATTTTTTCTTGGACTGTTGTTGTTGTCTGGAAATCACCACAACAATAAAAGACTAAAAACATCATCATGGACCATCTCCAAACCATCCTGGGGAAGCCCGTGACCGATCCCGAAGAAGGTACCATGCACACATTCGCCTCGGCGTACCAACGCTCACCCTCTGCGCTTCATCAGAAGCCTTTGTCGTCTTCTCGCAACACGGCCCTTCTCATCAGTCTCTGGGCTTCATCGACTCCAAGGCAGCCGCCATCGAGCTCAGCGTTGCTGGCAGAGACCTGACCATCCACCACTCGAGGGGGCTGCTCACCTCGGACCGCAAGCAAGGGACCACTGGAGCAGGTCAGCCAGCACTGCCGCATCTCCCCATCTCCCCACTCCTAGGCGTCCCTCCTCGTCGCTAACCTGGCTTGCTGCAGTCGTCTGGAAGGTGACGCCGCTTTTCGCTGACTGGATTGCCTCGTCCAACTTCCTCTCCGCCGCCGGCTACTTGTCCACTGAGACTGTCGCCTTGGAGCTGGGTGCTGGCGTCGCCGGCATTGTGGCGCTGACGTTGGCACCGTCCATCAGCAGGTACATTGCTACCGACCAGCATTATGTCCTCCGCATCCTGAAGCAGAACATCTCCGACAATCTTCCCAATAACGCAACCACATCAGCGAAGAGGGCTTCCTCCCGGACTAAACGCTCACAGCCCTTGAACCAGCCTAACCTGCCATGTATAGAAACCTTCGAGTGGGATTGGGAATGGGACGCCTCCTCCTTACCACCCCTCCTCCACCAGGGCCGCGACACTGCAAACGTTGGCGTCGACTTGGTCATTACCTGTGACACCGTCTACAACGACGCCCTCATCGAGCCTCTGAACAACACGTGCGCCAACATTTGCCGACTCCGGTCGGCAGATCCGCACCGGAGACCTACCCTTTGCCTTGTTGCCCAACAACTGCGTTCTCCTGAAGTCTTTGAGTCCTGGCTCAAGAGCTTCCACAGTTTATTCCATGTATGGCGAGTGCCCGATAAGCTCCTTACACCGCCGTTGAGAGAGAATTCGGGCTTTACCGTGCATGTCGGCATACTACGCTGACTATGGCCGGCACGCAAATTGTAAACACAGTGGTAGATCTATGCATCCGTGCTAAAGGAAAGAGGGGACTACTCTTGATCGAATACTAGCTCTGCCCATCCCAACACCCCGTATCCTTTGCAACATGTCCCGCAGTTTACTAAATGAGGCCACTGCTCGACATGCTTAACCGAATCAATTTCCGCTTATATATCCGGGTTCTGCATCTCCGCATCTTCCATTAGTAGGTGATGGTGCTCCAGATGGATATATTCTGGCATCGCCAACATCAAACCTCCACTTGGAACCGTCGATCTGCACGTGACGTGCGAGAATAGGTTGACTAAGCGCTGCCTTGTCTTGGCTTTCTTGGGCAGCCAATCACCACGAGGCGTCGGTGAGGGGAGGAGGAGGTGCCATGGCCCATCACATCACGACGCCTACGCAGGAATTGGCACGGACGGCCGACTCCGCGACGCGCCAGTAACAGAATAATGACCGCTCGGATATGGATGTCCTCGCCGGCCATTTTATGATGACAGTGATATTTTCCTCGCATCGTGTTGTCGGTCGCAGCCTGGAAGCATGAAAACCAGCCCCGCCGCGCATCGCTGGGCGGCCCACGGCTGCTGCTGACACTACTGGACAGACAACTCTCCTGTCCGACTCGAAGGCGCCCCCGCCGCTAGCCTCTGGAACCTTGAATGGAACCCATCATATCCATGCCTCCTCTTTGGAAGGCTTTTTTTCCTTCGCCCACACCGGAATCACAACCAGACACACACACACCCATGGTCAATCACACAATCCCATCATCATGATCCGCATCCCAGGCCAACCCACGCGGACCGCCCGAGTCCTGACACCCCAAACTCCAGGCGCAGCGCTGCCGAACTGTGCCCCATCACCCATTCACCCATCATCCCTCTCCAGCTGGGGTCGCTGGCTGAGGGGGACGTCCCTTTGCACAGTCGCATCGCAGACTAGCCCGCATCCGGCTAGATCGGTCCAAGCGTTTCGTTCCTTCCTTCCCCCAATGCCATCTGCCTGCCCTTCTCCCTCTCCTCGCAATTCACTCTGCTGCCACCCTCCTCCCGCCTGCTCTCTCGCGCCGCCTCCCATCCCCGCCGTATTCTTCCACCTCACGCTCTCGTCCCATCCCCATCTTCATCATCACTTCGACGCGCGCCCGCCCGACCCTTTATCGCTCGACCCGCCACTGCTCCTCCTTTGTCTGAACTCACCGTCGACGCCTCCCAACCTCTGCTCGCCCACCCCCTCTCTCTCGCCTCCACTGCGATCGCTTCGCATGGCCTCGACTCTCCGTGACGAAAGAATCACTTTCTCATGATAGGCGCTCCATCTGGCTCGTCGTCTGGTGTCCCTCCATCCCTTTCGAGCCCCCGCTCACTCGCTGTCCGTCGCCGTTCCGCCACGACAGCCTCATCTCTGCCCGCTTCTGACCCTCAGCGGCACCTTCCCCTTCTACAACGCAGATCCATCTCACATACCTAGGGCATACGACCGCATCCCGCTTGCGCAGTCGCTTTCAGGCCCCATTCCGTCGTTGCGCATCGAGCGCCATGCCATGCAAAAGGTCCTAGAGCCTGAGCTGACACCGTTACTCGATCCACATACCATCTCAGCGCGGCGCCAACCGGATTATGACAGACGTCTCTCCGGTAAAGGCGCTTGCTGATCCTCAGCCCGCTTCTGTCGTCCTCTACGGCGACCATCGTCCTCCCTTCACCCACGCCTCACCCACGCTAGATGGCACTGTCGAGGAAGAAGAATCGTCGACAATCAAGTGCATCTGTGGCTTCTTCGAGGACGATGGCAACACCGTGCTCTGCGAAAAGTGCGATACGTGGCAGCACATCGTCTGCTACTATGAGTCGGTCCAGCACGTGCCCGAGATCCACGAATGCTTCGATTGCCATCCTCGAGCCATCGACAAGAAGAGGGCTGTCGAGAAGCAACTGCAGCGTCGCGAACAACTCCACAGTATCGGCGAGCGCAAAGGCAAGCCCAAGACGACTTCCAAGAACCACAAGAGGCGAGTCAAGGAGCCGCTGGCATCTGTCCACGCCAATGGCTGGGCCGTGCATTCCAACAATGACCTGCACTACGGAACCGAGCGCAAGAGCGGAAGCCCACGGGACCAACCGCCGCCTTCCAAGAGACCCAAGACGACTCATCGTTCCTCTGCCTCCGTGAACATCATGAACGACGCTCCTGCGCTCATGCCCCCGTCGCGCAAGCGGGCTAGTTCAACTGCTGCTGCCCAGAATGGATACAGCCCGGTCAAATCCCCGACGACTCCAGATGGTCCCAACGACATCTACTCGCCCGAGTTTATGAGTCTCTACCGCCAGCAGACGCCTCCGTCACCCGACTCGAACGATTACACAGATATTGGCATCGCAAACGACCTCGCCATGTGGCTCACCGACAGGGAGGAGTTGGCCAAGGCTACTGGCGGTCTGCAACCCGCTGATGTCTTCCAACGGATCAATCAACCGATCGAGGACCTGGAGCGAATGGCGCCGCCAATCTTGAAGCAGACCGACGCGGACCTCGGAGTAACCGCGCATGGCCTACACCCACAGTGGAACTATCTTACTGTCGAGGCTCCTGTCCTGGCACAGTCTTATATCGGTGAATTGAGAGGCAGGATAGGTCGGAGGCAGGATTACATCCAGGATCCTTCTAACAGATGGGAAGTTCTGCGACATCCCGAACCTTTCGTTTTCTTCCCTCCTCATCTACCCATCTACCTCGATACGCGGCAAGAGGGCACCCTCTTGAGATATGTGCGGCGGAGCTGCAACCCCAACGTTTCTATGAAAATAGTCACCCAGGGTAATACTGATTTCCACTTCTGCCTCATCTCCGACAAGAATATCGAGGCTGGCGAAGAGCTTACCATGGGCTGGGAAGTCGAGGATGGGATCCGGCAAAAAATCTCCGACGCGCTTGACAAGGGGGAAATCAAAAATGAGGGCCTTAAGAAGATTGAGCCCTGGGTTGCCTGCATCCTCTCCAACTTTGGTGGCTGTGCATGCGACAGGTCTCGCGGCTGGGAATGTCTCCTAGAGCGGGCACGAAGGCGAGGTAATGCTCAGCAAGAAACGAACCCGCCTGCGAAGTCATCCAAGGGTCGGAAATCGAAGAAAGGACAGGCATCTCCGCTAAGTACAGGCCATGCCACGAACAGCCGTGCCGGAAGCGAAACCATCAATCGTAATGGGCCTGAAGATGACAATATGGATGCTCGGTCGACCTCTGGTTCGCACAAGTCGACGAGCCGTGACATCACGCCCTCAACCCATTTCTCGGTTGATGCGGGTGATCTCAAGCTGTCTGACCGCGAAAGGCGAAAGATACAACAATCGGAACAGTTATTCAACAGGATGGAGTACGAGGAACTACACAGAGGCAAACGGGGGAAGAGGAACAGTGCTGGGTCGAATCTGAACACACCCAGCCTTCCTTCTTCTGTAAGGCGTCGCCCTCGGGCCGCAGTTCATTTCGCTAACATTGATCAACAGAAACAACTGGGTCACTCGGAGCCATCGCCGACCGCGCGGACCCCGCGCGAACACAATCATGGTGTTGCGCGCAAGGCATCTGGTACCTCTAGGGCCAAAGGGCGGACCGAGCGAAAGCCCAAGCCCGTCTATGTTGACAGTTCCACGCAGACGGATGGGCCCGACTCCTGTCCAAATGCGATACCTGTTCCTCCCGCGAACCCAGGTCCACCCAGACGTCCAGTGCGCTTCGTTCACAGGCTCCTGCAAATGGCCAATCAAGATCGGCTGAAACGACTAGAGCAGGAGGAGTGCAAGAAGGCCGCCTTTGTCAAGGCTGAAGCTAGATCGCCGGCCCTGCGGGATGTCATGTCCAACAAACGATCGCCCTCTTCGCCGTTGGTTCCCAAGGGAGAATCGTCGGCAATGGACACCTTGCCAGACGCTGAGCCTGTCCCGGCGCCTGTCGGCGCGCCCACCGTGGCCAAGACCGAACCGGAGACTGCTTCAGTGGCGGATGTCGTTATGAAAGACGCTGAACCTGCAACTCTAGCAGAATCAGCGGCAACGCCTTCGTCATCAAAGATTGAAGAAATGCCTGATGCTCCCGAAGCCGAAAGGCCGCCAGAAGCACCCCAACCTTCGATGCTGCCACCATTGCTGCCATCTTCTTCGACGGTTTCGATCGGGTCTGCAACCACCCCCGCTGCCGCAGCACCACCCTCAAAACCTGTGGACCTTCATCTCCAGCTTCCTCCACCTGACATGACCCACCCCGCAGTCTCTCTGAATTCCGCATCAACGCCAGGCTCTGTTTCAGGGGCCCCGATTGCGCAATCTCCCATTTCGCTTCCAACTGCATCGCCCATGTCACCCGCAGTAGGCGCTGCCGCTAACCCACCACCGGTGCGGAAGAAGATGAGCCTTAGCGACTATACGAATCGCCGAGCCAAACTTGCTCAGACACAGTCATCTGGTGCTAGCGCGACGCCTACAATGATGCAATCTCATTTGGCAAGCTCTCCGACGTTGTCCACAGCCAGCTTGCCGAGCCAGACCTCCCCCCCTCCAGCAGTGAAGCCGACGGAACCTAGTACTCTGACGACCGTAACTGAGGAGGCAAAGTCAGAGAGCTGAGGGTTGTGCTACTCCCTTTTACCCGACCTTCGGTTTCCATTCGGTGTTACATGCGAGCCCGCAGTCCGGGCGCTGGCGCCGTCTGGGACGCGTTTACCTGTGTACGATATATAATGTGGCCAATGCTCTTCGCTTCTACGGCTCTTCACTTCATTTCCACTCCATGCCACACTGTTTTCTGCGTTGTGCCGACGGGTCGTGCTTGGACGGACTTCCTTTCCATTCCCTGCAGGAGCCAATTCGAATGCGCTACGACCAATGCTCTTTTCCCTTGGGTTTCTTCTAGGGTCGTTGGGTGGTGGTTCGGATTCTGATCTTCGGCGTTGCCCCTTGCAATGGCAGTAGTTTTTCTGTTTCCTCTCTTGTCTTCCCTTTTGCTATGGGTCGCAGTTGCGGGAAAAGCGCTTGTGACCGCGAACGCTGGTTTACGTTACGGATCCCGTGGATTGGGCCTCGTTTGGTTGCCGAAAGAATGGGCTCACTTTGCTGTGCTGTGTCCCAGGCGCGCAAAACGGTCTCCGTTTTTGATCTGGACATAGGGGAATGTATGAGTGAGGGAGTTGTTTTAGTAGGTTCAGGGATGAAATATATCTCAAGTGGCAATAGCCCTTGGTTGTCATTAGCATGCTGACTTTCCTCTACTGCCCGTGTGCACTGGTCTAGCGATGGTGTTTATTATTATTCCCTGCTCCCGAGGATGCTCGGCTAGAGCCATGATGTTAAACATCTGCTCGTTCATTATTTAGCAGACACCACCAGCCCTTGTCTGCGTGCTGCTGTCATCTCCCACATGCCTTTCCACCTCTTCAATGGATACTTCCCTCCCAGCCACCCCGCGCACCCGCCAGGCACACCTGCAGGCCTCTTTGACCCTTCCCACGTTCGAATCACTCGTTTGCCCTTGCGGCAGTGGCGATGTCCTTGTCCACGCCTTTGTTTCCTTCTTTGTCCGCGCCTTGTCACGGATCCCCATCAGGTGGTCGGTCTCTATGTCGATTGATCTGAAACCTGAGGGCCGAGGGTGTTCTTCTTTGTTTGCTACTGCGGACAAGCATGGTTCTCTCGTGGGCCCTGTTTTTGTGTGGTTTGGGTGGCTATGGGGATTCTGGGGCTTGGGGATTGTCACAAGCTTGATGATGAGCGAGAATGGCCAGTGGTGGGAGGCGGAGTAAGTACCTCTCAGTGGTGCCAATGCGGAGGCTGGGTACTGCGTTCTTTCTCCTTCTCTTTCTCCTTCGTTTTAAGTCTCGGCTGGTTTTTTGGGGGAGAGGCTTGGATTCTTTCTGGTCTACTTTCTACTTACTGTAACTACATTGGTGATTTCTCTACACTAGACTATTAAACCTATACTACGCTACGAGGATCCTATACGTACGCATTTACTTTCACTAAGAAGGCGATCGATCGAGCTCGGGCGCGAGATAGATGTGCTGAACGCCTTACCGTCACGAATACCATCGCCGCTATCACTACCACCACGACCACTACTGCAACTCGCTCACCACTACCCCAACCATGAAATTCCCACACTCGCTCACTCTCAAAACCCACCTCTTCTTCCTCCTGACAGCCCATCATACAACAACGGCTCAACAACCCGACACCAATGCCGTTAAATCCTCATCCACCCTTTCCACCGCGGCCACCTCGTCAGCGAAACCTAGCCCGAGCGCGAGTGCGAGTTCGACAACAGCGTCAACGCCGCCAAAAGCTGCTGCCACGCACATAGTAGCTGTAGGACAAGCGGAGCATAAATTCAAGCCGGACGTGACGGTGGCGGATGTCGGTGATGTACGTCCTCTCTTGTCCTTCTTTTCACTTCCCGTCCCATTCCCGAGCCTCCTCCTCCTCCTCCTCCTCCTCCTCCTCCCAGTCTATTCCCTCCTTCCTTCCGCGAATATCCCATCTCCATCAAATCAAGGCCCCTCAAGGCGCCACGAGCAAGCAAGGCTTGATTGCTAACATATCTTTCTCCCCTCTCAGATCATCGAATTCCACTTCTTCCCGCCCAACCACAGCGTCGTCCGCTCCGCCTTCGGATACCCGTGCATCCCGTACGAAATGACGGGCTCCAAGCGCGTCGGGTTCTTCAGCGGTTTCAATGCCGTGGACAAGATCCCCGATGATGTACGTCCTTTCCGTCTGTTGGTTTTCTTCTTCTGTAAACCTTCATTCGCCGCCTGTTCCTTTCTTTCCTTTTCGGCCGCTCGGGGAGGAGTGGAGTGAATAATAATATACGGACTGAGTGGCTGACTGAACGACAACAGCCGCCGAAATGGCGAGTCCGGATCAACGACACGGAGCCCGTCTTCTTCTACTGCAGCGCACCGGGTAGTTGCACGGATTGGGGCATGGTCGGTGTGATCAATCCCGTACGTATCTCTCCATTTCTCGTTTTCCATCCCTCTCCTTCCACCTTTGTCTTCCCCTTCCCTCCTTTCACCAAAACCAGCATAGACAGCCACTTGCGAATCCTAACCCATACATTCCAGAACGCCTCCACCCCAATCTCAACCCAACACTCCCTCGCCCTAACCTCGTCCTACCAACTCCAACCCGGCGACCCCTTCCCCGCCGAAGGCTCCCCCTCCCCACCCGCATCCACCCCAACCTCCCCTCTCGACAACTCGCCCGCCGACCCATCCAAGCCCCGTCTATCCCCTGGCACAATCGCAGGCATCGCCATCGCCGCCGTGAGCGTCATCGCCCTGGGTGCTTTACTCTTCTTCTACATAGGGAGGTGGAAGAGTCTGAAAGACGAAATAAGGAGGAGGACGAGTACGATTATCAGGACGGGCGGGTATGTCGATCCTAGTGTGCGACGGAGGGTTGACGCGGTAGTAGTAGAAGGAGGAGGAAATGGTGGGTTTGCGCCCGAGGGGGCCATGGGCGGCGGCATGGTGGAGGCAAAGTACATGCCGCTCAACCCCACAAACGGTGCTGTGTCTGGCGGCGAGCGTAACATGAATATGAGCGACATTCTCCGCAACGCCAGTTTGACTAGCTCAACTGCTGCCGGGGCGGGGACGGCGGTAAGAAGTCCGTCGTGGTCTCCTAGGTCGGCATCGCCGCCGGGTTACCACGCGCCATACCATTATGGTCACGGGCAGCAGCAGCGTCACGGATACGTAGTCGGCGGCACGGTACATCCTGCGTACGCGGGTCGAGATTGGGCGTATCATGACGGAGAGGGTGTGCAGCGGAACGCCAGTCATCGGTCGATGGGGGGGACGTTTGAGTTGGATCCTACGACGGGATATTATAAGCGGACGCATGAGCATGAGCAGGGAGGAGGAGGGGAAGGTGGAGCCGCGGCGGAATCGTACAAGTATGCTGTTTTGCAGGAGGAAGCTGGTGCTGGGCCTGGGCCTGGGCCTGGGGCTGGAGGATGGGTGAATGAGGGACAGCCGGTGGAGATGGACGGTAGGGCGTTGGGTGAGGAGTCTCCTACTGTGGGGAGGGGTGACTAATCCTAGGGGGGCTTGAGGTGTTTTAACATGCGTATCGATCTTTTGGAACAGGAAGAGGTGTGTATCTTGTTTGGTGAGCGCTTAATACCCTTTGGTTGTGTATGATATCCGAAGCATTGTTGTTAGATAATAGTTCAGGTAGTGGGAAGTTTTCGCTGAAGGTTGGAAGCTGGAGCGGAAATTGACCAGAAGTCTCTGGACGATGCTTACAGTCGTGACCAAACACAACACGTTCCGCCTGCTCAAGGCAGAAGTTTCCGGCTCTTCTATGTCCGTTGCCAAATAGATGCCGAATTGCTCCAAAGTGGTTCATGAGTCTGCTTCTTATCTGTCAGCGAGAACTTGCTTGACAGATGGGAAATCTTGTGATAGCGTGGATCTTCTGGAGAGGAGGTGAATAGTCGCCGTATCAAGGGTGCGTCCATGGCGCGCTCTGGAGAATAGTCAGCATTGCAATAGTGGAATACTGCGGCACGCCACGTACTCTGGCTGCTGTGACTATAACAGTAAATGGAGGTGCGACACACCATGACATCGTATACGACAGAGAAGCAGCATTCGCATGTAACATAGTGACTACGGCGGTCCTGAATGCGCGCGTAGGCGAGTACGGCTGCTTTGTCCATAGTCACTCCTCGCTTGTGCTTCATTTTGACAAAGGGAACATCGTCGGGATGGAACCGGTCCCAAACCGAAGTGTTGACAATCTCGTCAGGGGTATGTCCAAGAATATCCACTATGGGGTCGGAGCTTTACAGGATGTGAGCATCCTCGGTAGGGTCCGTTATGTGAGCAACCCAGTCGATTCATGACCGATTGACAGGGTAAAGCTTACCATGGATGGTAATAAATGTGGTGTTTTCCATATCGGAGAGATGTATATCAATCAATGCTCTCGTCGGTCAACTGGTGTACGGCACGTTGAGCTACGAGGCGCGAGATTTGAGCAAGGAGTCGTTGACGTCACGGGGGTAGGCGTCCAAGTCGAACAACAAATCGAAGCTGGCTGTCTTGCTGCCTGTAGGCAACGGGGGATAGGGATTGAGAGAAAAGACGAAACAGATATCGTTATTCAACGTTTGCGTTTGGGTAAGTCCGGTTCAAGGGTCAAATGAACGTTAGAGAAACCGGATAACGCGAGGTTTGAGAGCGTGCACCACGCACAAACGAGTGTGTGAGATAGATGAATTGTCAAGTCCGCGTGGAATCAGCGCGTGTTGCAAGAGTATGCGAATGGCTGCTGGACGCAAAGAAATTATACTGGAGACGGTCCGCTGGGGTTAAGCAGAGGTGCCAGTATAGGCAGAGAGGGGGGAGCCGGATAGAACCGTGGACGCCAGCTGGCGGCGAACAAGTTGAGAGGATCTGGACTGGTAGCAGAATCCAAGAGCGGATAAAGACTGATTGCTTCTAAATGCTGGTGGGTGATGTTAGCTGGAGACGGATTTCATGTCCCTACAAATGCGTGTCAACATTGGAGGAGCTGCCCGTCCCAACTCTCCTATGTGGCTGAGCCATCCCGGGCAAATGAGCGAGTAGAGTAGATATCGTCTAGGTAGGTGTGTTCCTCTCTAGAAGATGATGTTCGTCTTGCAATTGGGAGACTGTGTATCGGTACCCTTAGAGCTGTACGGTGAGGTGAGGATGGTTTTGGCAGCCGCCAGCCAATAGCAGACCAGATAGGTGTTCTGTGCACGTAGCCGCATTCGAGCTCTCCTAGAAAGACGAGGACGAGTTGTGGAAGTCGGCTGCAGAGTGCGTACGGAGTGCTCCTAGAAAGACTAAACTGCTCCAGCCACCCCGGTGTTGTTGTTGATCGTCCAACTTCAACACCAGCCTGTCTCGGTGAGCCCATACACTCCTGTGGCAAGCATTGCACCTGCAACTTCGCCGGTTCCTCGCAGTCATCTCCACTTTGCACAATCGTCTGTATTTCCCGTCTAACGGCAGGAGGAGGACGACACCGCCTTCCAGGGAGCCAGTTGAGGTGAAGGGGTGGGGCTGGCAGAGGTTTGGGGACTCACCTACATCAGCTTCTTTGATCAAGCTTCCATATTCATATTCGACTCGACCCCGGCATGTCGTCCCACGTGGATCCCTTCAGGCTTCGCGCAACGCACCAGCTCTCTGCCAAATTGACGCGCGGTCACGTACATCCATCCGTGGTGCAGAGATTGGGCCCGAGTACGCGAAGCATCACCACCCCCAGGCTTGCAGTGCGGCGCGCTGATGCTTCCTAGTTACCTGGTATGATGTGAAATTCTACCCGCACAATGGTCGCGGAAGCAGCCAAGTTTTCGCCGTGACTGGTGGATCACTGGTTCGTGCGGCTCTTTGTGTCTGCCCCTGGGCGTGTTGCTAATGGTGTGCAGGTTGCTATCTGCAGATGCGTGGTTGAATTGGGAGGCGACATCGAGGTTATCCGTCTATTCGAGGATGAGGGTATTAAAGAGGGCAATGTAAGTCTTTTACCTCGCCAACTCTATGCTCTCTCACTTACACGCTAACGTTTAGGAAGCAAAGGCGTTCAACAGTCTGGAATGGTCACGCGCCTCCAACGGCGACCCCCTAATATGTGTCGCTGGCGGGGACCCTAGAATTAAGATCCTGAGTGTAAAGACAGGGGAGTTGGTAAATGTATAAAGTCCTTTTAAAAGAGTCGGAGACGTCAACTAACCGCATGACAGACGGTAACCGGGCATGGAGATGTGGGTACTGCGCCGCATTGCGCCCACTGGTTTCTTTTTCCACATCATTTAACTAACATCTTCCAGGTAGTTGCTGATTTAGCATTGTCCCCAGCCAACCCTAGCTATCTAGCATCTGCGTCTTATGACCACACTATCCGATTATGGTCCCTGGATCCCGATCATCAAACAAAGCCCACGGCAACCTTATTGTTTGGAGGTGGCCACGACCGGCAAGTTCTGACTGTAGGGTGGCACCAGAACGGAAAGTACTTGCTTTCTGGGGGCATGGATACGCAGTTAAATCTCGTACGCATGCAAGCCTTCCTCTTGAGAACCGTGACACTAACACCCAATCGTAGTGGACGATACCGGATACCGTCAACGAAACACTTGGAACGGATCATCCCGCTCGTATATACTATCCGCACTTCTCCAGCAAGGAGATCCATCACGATTACATTGACTGGTACCTCAACACGAAACCATTCCTCAGCCCATGCTAGACGAAATAACATTGCCTAGTGTACGCTTTTACGGCGACCTCATCCTGTCACGAGCAGCCAAGGACGACAAGATTCTCCTCTGGCGCATCGACGCATTTGACTCGTCGAAAGACCCACCCGCCGCACCTCCCCTGCCGCCCAGTCAGGCTGTCTATAGCGACGAAACGGTCTACGTGGCTGCGGCACAGGTCCCCAGGACACGCTCCGCATGGGGCGGCAAGTTTCAGCGTCTACTTCAGTTCCACCACCCGAATGCCGCACGCTTTTACATTCGCTTTGGGCTCCTCCAGGCCCCGGGCATGCATCCGGTGTTGGGTGTAGGGAACGAGAAGCATAGAGTCTCTTTTTGGGATTTGCAAAAGCTGGAGAGTGCTGGGTTGGGCCAAGATGTCGTCGTAGTGGAGAAGAAGAAGGAGAAGAAGGAGAAGAGCCCGCCCAAGGCACCACCAGGGACACGCTACCTTACCACGGGGATCAGCGACCCACTCAAGTCGATTGTACCCCATACCACTGTTCAGTTGCAAGGGCCAAAATTCACGATCCAGCAAGTGGCGTTCAGCCCTGACGGGAGGTGGTGCGTGGCTGTAGGCAACGAAGACATGGGTGCTGTGTTCAGTAGATGGGAAGACGGATTCCCGGAATGAAGACCTCGGTAGGATTCGAGGTAAGGCGTGGTTCAGCACTGGGGTGGGACTGAAGGAACTTGGCAAGTGGATCTGTCTGCTGGAGAACACGACTCGGACGTCTCGAAGATGGATTTAATGCATGATGTCAACAAGGACTGCTCTACAATGGTCCCGAGGAATGTTTTCTCGACATCCACATCCTCGAGCAAGCACCTCGATTAAATCCTCGGCCCTGCCATCCATGGTATACTGTCATTGTCGGATATATTATGCATTTCCATACTTGGACTGCGAACCCATGGGCTCATCGTGGACATCTATATAAACAAATCTAATACTGTGTACATTGCATGTCCACTCCTTACTATTCCTCTTTTACACTCTCTGTCTTTTCTCCTCTGGGGATTTCTATTCTCCTTTACACATGCATGACAAGCAACCCCACTCTCTTCCTATCTCTGTGCCCCTTAGGTAAATCGTAAGATCCACTGTGCTTTCAAGCCTACCCGCCTCCTTCTCGAAACCCGCAATATCTGCACCTACGAGGCGGAACCTCGTGCGGTGGGCGTCGGAATCTAGCAGTGCTTGATAGTCCATTTAGGGTTCAACGCGCTGCACGTTGAATCAACAATGGGTTTCACACTTTCTGACTTGGGCGCAATGCACTGCACCGCACAGGGGAGAATATAGTAAGTATTGCTTTCCGAATATGTACAGATCTAAGGAGTTACAGAGAGTGAAGACACCAAGAGAAAGTAAGTAACGAGTAAAGACGCAAGAGGTCAAAAGCTGTTTAACATAGCTATACCAACAGCACGATACAATATTTATAGAGCTCCCGAGAGAAGAGCAGATAGCTTCTTAGGCGAATAAAAATAGTCTACAGTCGCAGGAACAAGAAGGAAAGAGTTTGGCTGGAGACAGGCAAGAAAAAGAAGCAGCAAGATGCTATAGTTATATAATTTGCCTTATAATAAAAACACCCAATCTCGCGTACACTAGACTCGTTCACTTGGTCTGTATATCGTCCGTCGCATCTGTCTGCAACGACCGAGCAGCCCAAAGATCCTCAGGAACCAAAGCCGTGAAGACCAAACTGAAACCCCCAACAACCACATCTTCCCCGAATCGAATCCCTTAAACCCAAGATAGTCGTCTCGAATACTCAATAGTTAATCCGATGCTCACTACACCATCACGATTCACGTCAGCCACCTACTTACAGTGGCAGGCGAAACAACCACAGCATCTGCGACACACAGTGTTTGATCGCTCGGTGACGGAACCCCATATCCATTCTAGAAGGGCAGAGGAGCTGCGCCTCATTGGTGGAGCGGCGGATTCTGTTGGACGATAATAGCAATCGACTACGGAGAGCCAGGATGGAAGGTTTGGCCTCTGAGCTGGTTCCATCTCCGTTGACGCTTCGAGGCATGTCGGGAATGCCGTACTATTTGGTTGAGTCACTTCGAGTCGGAAGCACAATCCAGATTGTGCTCCAGCCGAGGTTATAAGCTGCTGTCCCAGAGATGATGAATGGTCCTCAAGATAGCGCTACATCGCTATCCCGTCACGTGATATCCAATTCATCACCCACCCACCTTATCAAACTTACCGTACTCTCATGCATGGTGCGCCCATGCAAACAATCACCTCCAAAACCCAACACCTCCCCATGTCCCACACAAAACACATTCGAATACCAGGCTGATTGGATTCGCCGTTTCAGCTCCGTAACGCGCCGGTGCGTGGATTCGAAACGGTAGTGCATGAGGTGCCACGGCGGACGTCCAATCTCGCTGAAACAGGACGGTAGCAACCGCCGCCACCACGAAAGTGAGATATAATAAGACAATGGGAATGCCATTGCTTCTGGGATCGCTGCCTTCGCCGCAAACCTTTGGGCAATACCCATTTGCAACGGCCCCGGGATACCATCATCGACTACTCACACTCTTCGGAGCTTAAGCGACAGGAAAAGTTATCCCAGCTGCAATCCAAGGCGCCCGTTTACACAATGCATCTCGCTTTCCTTGCCGTGATCGCCGCAGGTGTCAATGCCATTGCGATTCCAAATCCGCAGGGTGCTCAAGTCGCGAGTATCGGGCAGTGTCCGGTACGTGTAGAACCCTAGGCTCGCATCAAGGTATCCGAAGCTGACCAGCCACGCAGAAAGACTGTTGGAACGAGAGCGCCGGACTCGTTGATTGCGATCCTGAAGCGGACGACGAGTGCTTGTGCGGCATCTTCTTCGACCTCGTGACAAACTGCGTCTCGCAGACGTGCAGTCTGACTGATAATCTTGGTATGTCCATTGCTGATCCCATGGTTCTACCATGTCAGTGAGGCTATGCGACAAGCAGCTAATGAATGACGCGTGATAGCATCGCTAGATTTTCTTCAACCTGCCTGCGGCTAAGGACCGACATGAGTTCTTGGAAGGATCAACGCAAGGAGACATGGAAATGGCCGGAGCAAACCGGGAGAAAGGAAGTTTGGCGACCACGAAATTTGACACAACTCGGAGGCACACCGTCTCATCTAGCACCCCCATGAAGACGTAGCTCCGTAAGTGCGCTCCTCATGTCCATTCTGGGCATGCCCGTACGTCGAAGGGGGCCTGTGGAGGAACGTGGAGGCTGATGGAGCACTGATGGTAGAGAGTGCAAACTCGATTTCGGACTGTGCTACTGTGTAAGTAGAATGCATAGTAAGGCCAGCATCGGGGATTGGGTTGGTAAACTGTGGAGATGCAAACCCATGGTCCAGGTTGCTTGCTACTGTGTACAGTACTGCAATTGCAGAACCAAATAGAATCTTCTCATCCCGAATTCATCACTGTCTCGTCCCGTCATAATACTGGCTGGGCGCATGTACTGTACACAGTACACAGTACACAGTACCGTACGCAGGTAGTTTCGCGGAGCTATACCTGATGACGTATACAAGTATGGGGTTTGAGGAGTAGTGGCAAACTAGCCCCGGATCGGCCAGAGAACTAACTGGGAAGAGTGCTAACGTCCACCCAGGAAGGATGGGGCAGGTTTGTGGAGATCACCCTGGCTTTCGGCTTCGCCACTTTGCGGGATCGCAAGAGGACGGAGGCACCTGACAACAATAAAATACCCACGGGACGAGCCTACCTAGGTATCCTGAGTCCTGATCCACTCCACTCTGCATGTGATGCTCTTCTCGTTATACACAGTACGTGTCTATCTGACACTTGGAGACGCTGTCGAGTCTCAACCTCGGAAAGACGCACAGGAGATCGACGCCTGTTGAGTTGGGTCACAATTCTGAAATCGGTTGGGCATCTGAGTTGACATGGACGTCAACTATCAACTACAAGTATTTCGAAAACGGTTGCGAGGATGCTTGGCCATATCTGCTCTGTGCTGGTGCCTCGGGTATGACGAGCAAAAGGTGACATCTGGTTCCTTGTTGCCGCCCAGGTGATGGCTGTAACCGACGATGCTCTACAGTACGGGATAGAGGTGGGAAATGCTTGTGGCCGCAGGCAAGGAGATCTAAACTGATTCAAGGAACCGTCAGGTACGATATAACTCGACGGCGACTATATGGCTCATGGGAAAAAAGAAAAAAAGAGGTACAAAACTCGACGATGGCAAGACGAAGCGGTTGACGGTGGTTGATGCGGCTGACCTCGGCTTTGCTGGCTGAGACGGTTGCGACGGCAGATGTTGCATCTATGAAGGCTGACTGTTGCGAAATATTAGTCAGCGGTGTTGCGGCTCTGCGAGTTCTCGGGCGACTCGAAGTCGCATTGACGGTGATTTCGCAGGCACTCGACTCCGTCACACCATACTGTTAGATGTACTGGGTACGCGCGTTATCTCTGCAATGCAAGCGGGGCGGTAGGTAGCTGTGACCCGCCGGGCTTTGTTGTTTCCAAAGCACTCAATGGCAGAGGTGGTATCATGCACGTGCGCCGGGGTGGAGCGGAGGGGTCGGCCGAGATAAATGCCCTGTCCAACAGAATAATCAGGTCCATCGGCGCGCTACTAAAGAGCGGTCGGGCAGGTGCAAGGCCCAAGCCAAAAAGAAGTAGAAAAAAAAAAACAAGAAGAAAACTGTTGAGCCGCGGTGCTGTTGCTGATACTGGTAGATAGCAGTTGAATCATGGTTGTACTGTAACGCCACGAAGGATTGAGCCGCGGCAGATGAGGCCAGATGGGCGGGAATGAATCACGATAAGGCTCTGGTCAACGTGTTGCGACCTTGGGGTTCGTTGGTGGGCTCGGAGGATCGGACAAACCTTTGGCCACCGACTCGCGAGCCCCTCTTGGCACTGGACGCAGCTTGTCTCAGCACTCGAGCAGTGCAGGCGGGGACGAAGGGCAGCACTTCCGATCAGAGAACTCTCTCCCACACGGAGGATCCGTCCGGGGAGGACCGGGCTAGCATGGGGGCTGCTCGGTGGCAACTACGCGCAGAGGCCTACCGAGTATAGACTTCGGATAGTGAAGCAGCAATTCTGCCTGAGTTGGCCGGCTGGGTTGATGAACGAGAGTTCGAAGTTGAGGTTTGTTGGAACAGGAGAAGAGAAGGCTCGGCCGGATCATCACCGACAGTTGTCTCTCGGGCCGTCCCAACACACCACACGGCGGAACCGTCTGGATGACTGGCAGCTGCTGCCGCCGATGTGCTGCTGGATGCTATTTGGAAACCCTCATCAAGGTTATTATCCCTTGCGTCTGTTGAGGAGAGCAGAGGAGGAGACGAGGAGAGGACACGTCTCGCAGCAGTGGCAGTGCCGGCGCTCTCTCCTCTGTCAAGGTTGGCTTTCACCTGTCACTTGTGTCACTTCTGGCATCTTCCCCAGACATCATGACATGGCTTTTTGGGGACCCCAGAGTGTGCCCCCACGCCGCCGCAGCCACAGTGGTAAGGTGTCAGTTGGTGGATAAATTCCACCACTGCGGACCCGGCACCAGTGACCGCTTCCGCAACAGGTGCGACTTCGCCATCCAGTACGGAGACTGTTACAACAACAATAATAAGGGGTTTCAAGGTTGCCATGGACATCCATCAGGCGGTGCTCAAGGTGGACGCAACTATTGGGTAGTTGAGAGGCACTCTTCAGCGACTCCAAGGATACCAACATGTGCAGGCGTGCACTGAGGCTTGGAAGTTGAACCCCGACGCCTCACGGCTGTCTGTGAGGTGATGCCTTGCCCTCTTGTGTCACCTCCGCTGAAACTGGTGACGGCGCCTGCGCGATGGGCGAGCAAAGCGGACATTATCATTGGAAGGGCACAGAGAATGGGGGCATTCGCCTTGTTCCAGTCGCCATTGCTGTGTGTTGCTCGCTCTGGCGTTTCCATGATTCCGCCTGCCTGGGCTGGTCATTCAGCGGCAGCTCGTAGCCTCGTCTCCGCTTATCTTCAGTCGGCATAGATATCATATCTCGTCTCCTATCTTCCCCAGGTTCGCCATCACTATCCGTACACAGTATACTCCACAACCATCTGTACCATTCCTTCCCCCGTATCCCCACTCAGCAAGGCCCCCCTCGCCTTGTGAGGTTGCACTGTTGCGGCGTGATCGAGTCACGACCGAGATTCGATACCCCAAGATAAGCTCACATCCACACCGCACCGCATTACGGTAGTAGTGAGGCGACACACAGCGACAACGACGGTCCAGTAGGGGAGGACGGGGACTTTGCCAGCGTGTCTGTCGCACCGCCATCCCCTTGCGCCTTTCAATCCTCACCGCCGCCGTGCTTTGGGAAACCTGTCCCTGCCGGCTATCGTCAGCTCGCCCCAGCAGCACGTTGCAACACCAGCGCAAGAAAAAAAAATTTTGTTCCTGCCCAAGAGCGGAGCTCGTCGGCTCTTCTTCTCCACAGTGTCCCCGCTTTCCGGCGCATCGACCGTCGACCGTCTCATCCACAGCCCACTGATAACTTCGGGACATCCGAGGGAGTGAGTTCTTGCGGACCTTCTAGCGCCTCGTAGAAAAGGCCGTCCGACCGGTTGTCCATAGCGCAAGCAGCAGCAACCCCGTCCGTCGCTCACATCATCGCTGGTCCAGGAACAACCCCCCTCCCAAGCCCGGCTCCCGCCAGCCCTGTGTGCACTTCTCGATACTGTGTACCGCGTACATACAGAGTACGTACAGCAGTCGCCCCTCACCACCACGGGGCGTCCAATATCGACGCGCAGCTCAGCAGCAGCACACGCACAGGTCGGACCCCAACAATCTCTTCTGCCTCCGTACCTACACAACTACGGAGTACATATCTATCTATTATCGACAGCATCAGCGACCAGGGGCCCGTCTCGCCTGATCCGATCCCTCTTACCGTATCTTACCACCTGGGCAGCTCCTTCACCCCGTATCCCGCCGGAGCCGGGGTGACCCCACTGTCCCCTGACCCCCTGGCACTTCCGGGCTTGGTCCCCAGCTGCTCCCTTTCCGGTTGATCCTCGCACCTGAAAAAAGCTTGTCCTGTGCGTGCACAAGGGGGGGCGCGGCTTACGTTCCCCACGTTCCTACGCCATTTTTCTGCAGTCAACTCTCCCGAGCTCGGTATTTAAATCTTCACCTCCCCCCCCGAGCAATCCCGCCCTCTGTTTAGCCCTCCCTATTTTTCGTCAGTCAGTCTTTCCCGGGTGTCGACCCCATGCAACCTTCCACTTCCTTAGCAGGTTTGGGGAATCTACTCAACGCCGACACCGTCCAACACCAACACCAACACCCACGACCCCCACACTCGCCCGCCAAAACCACGTCCACCACCGAAGCATCGCAGCCGCAGCCTCCAATGGCCACCGCCGCCGTCGGCCTCATGGGTCCACTCCTCCAGAACCAGCAACCTCCCCAGGAGGAGCAACGACACGATCTTCCCCGGCCCTACAGGTGTCCGCTGTGCGATAAGGCCTTCCATCGTCTCGAACACCAGACCCGCCACATCCGCACCCACACGGGAGAGAAGCCGCACGCCTGCACCTTCCCCGGCTGCTCAAAAAGATTCAGCCGCTCCGACGAGCTCACCCGCCACTCGAGGATACACAACAACCCCAACTCAAGACGTGGCGCCAGCAAACATGCCGCCGCCGCCGCTGCCGCCATGACGGGCGTCCTCGACCACCCCGCTGCTCAGATGGGCCATATGATGCCTCCGCCGGCGAAGCCCATCGTCTCCCGTTCGGCTCCCAGCTCCAACATGGGCTCGCCCAACGTGTCGCCGCCGCACTCGTACTCGCACTTCTCCCCCAACCTCCCCCAGGACCTCTCTGCCTTCCGGAGCGGGGTGAGCAGCAACAGCAGCAGCCCCAACGGTCGGATGGACGCACTCGTCGAGGTCGCATCGAGATCTCAGCCCTACTCACATGGCTCCTCCCGACATGTGGCCGGCCATGGATACCACCACTACCCAGGTAGCGGTCGGCTCCCCACCATGGGCCTCCAACAGTACGCGTTGACCTCGCAGCCCATGTCGAGATCGCATTCACATGAAGACGATGACCCGTACGCGCACCGCATGACGAAGAAGTCGAGGCCTGGCTCTCCCTTGTCCACAGCGCCACCTTCCCCAACCTTTTCACATGACTCAGCATCTCCCACTCCCGACCATACCCCGCTTGCCACGCCCGCCCATTCACCCCGCCTGCGCCCGCATGGCTACAGCGACCTCCAGCTCCCACACATCCGACACTTGTCCTTGCAGCAGCCGGCGCCAGCGCTCGCGCCCATGGAGCCGGCGTCCAATAATGCCGAGCCCCAATACGCTCCTGCGTCGACCCAATTATCTGGAAGGCTGTCCGACCTTCTTTCCAAACCGAGCAATACAAGGAAGTTGCCGGTGCCCATGCCCAAGGTGGGCATCCAGGACCTACTCAACCATCCGCTCCCGGGGCCCCATTCCGGGAATTCGTCTACCGCTGGTTCCGTAGCGGGCAACGATTTGGCGGAGCGTATGTAGGGAAGGCAATCGTCTGGCATAGCAAAGCGCGGAGTTATGGGAAGCATCGTCTCTGGGCATTTACTCTGTTTTGGGCATCACGGCAAAGCGATTCCATATTTTCCTTTTTCCACATATAGACGGGTTCGGCATCAAGCGAGGGAATCCACAATCCACCTAATGCCACATACCTAGGCGCAACCACATGACGACTCTCCTTGGCGATCATTTCTTTTTCCTTTGTTGTATCGGGCAGGTCACATAGAAGGGTTCTTTCTTGGTTGAATTCCTGGGCTTTTCCTTGGTTGGATTCTGCTCATACCCGGCGGTTATTTTCCCCAGCTTAGCACAACCGCCTCCCTCACTACTCGGTACTCTGATGTGTATTACTAGACTACTCGCTCCTCGTGGGCTCTTCTCCCACTCCATTCGTGCGCGGGGCAAGTGTCCGCGCACACTGTACTGTGTAATAAGCCGCGATGGCGCAACATGATCCCATATGTCTTCATCATCACATCACAGCCGTCCCTCTCTCTGCCCTTGACGAACGTAATGACAAACCCCGATGATAGGATGCCAAAAGAAGAATTCTCCTGTCTCAGAACGGCAATGTCATTACGGTATGGTTAGCCAATGTTGGCAAAAGCAGAGTCCAGCCCGCTTTTCTTCTGGGGCATCTCGTGCGTTGACGTGATCGCTACGCCAAGGGGTGAGACCATCCGCGACCCTCGCCCCAATCCTGAAGCGCAGAGAACCCACGCACACACATCCAGGGATTGATCCGGAGTGGATACTCGTGATGGACAAACGAGCATGTATCTTAAGCATCATGCTGGCATAATAATTAATCATGCGAATGATGCAGCTCTCTTTTGAAGAAGGCCTCGTGTTTGAACTTTGCTTTTTGTCTCCCCTTCTCCTGATTCTCAATCTACCGCAGGATCTCCGTCGCCCGTCGCCCGTCCCCGCGGGGACATGTGATATATCAGCTGCTTCTCGCCCCGACTCGGGTGCAGGCAACGACGGCGGGGAAGCAAGGGCCTGCATTCCGCGGGTTCCGGAGGAGTGGTTCTGCTTCACCGCTTCCTGCACTGCCCTTTCCCCCTCCCCCAAGTACGTACTTACATAAGATGGTAGTAGTAACTTAGTAGTACGGCATGTAGATGTGTCAGGAGAGTGTTGCACCACCGGCCATTATAGGGTACGGGTGAGATCGCGATGAGGGGGGAGCGAGGGGGTTAGGGGATGTGGGATGGGATGGGAGGAGAATGTGAATGGAGTTGGTGGTTTGATCGGATGTTGTATTTACACCCGACTCTTTCCGACCCCGCATCGGATAAGATGGATCTGATAACCTTTAGGGGGCCGCTTTGATGGTGTGCACTCTACATACGGAGTACCTCTGGAGTGGCTAGTATCGACTCCCATAGTAACAACTGAACCTCAATACTCTCCATAACAATCCAATAATAATACTCCGTAGAGTACCGAGTACAAAATCGTTGAGCAAGTGAACACACACTCGTCCCCTTTCTCCGGTCTCCCTCTTCGGCCGACCCCGACCCTTCCCCATGCTCGCCATGTGACATCGCTTCGGCAACACCGCCACCTTCCCATATCCAGCCTCAATCCGCTTCCTGCTCGGCCATCCGGGTACTCCCGATGACATTCTCCCTCTTGTCACTCTCCGCGTGTCCATCTCCGCTTCTCGACTGCTGTTATTTGCATTGCTCCTGTGTGGACATGGTTGTCACATGTTTATGTTGGCATTACGATATCTACCCCGTAGAGGCTACAGTGTCTTTCCCGAGCCCCTCCCGCTAGACTAGCCAGTCTAGCACGAGGAAAAACTCCGCTCGTTCATCCAAACCTCCGACTCGATGAACGGTGAACCATTATTATTAGGGGCTTGGTCCAGGCGTCCACGCTACTTTGTTGGACCTTGGTCCAACAAAATGTCTGCCCTGCGCCGAGGCCTGACCTGAAACTCGCCCGCAACAATGAAAAAGGGTACAAAGGTACCTAGGCCCGCGACTCCGAGGCTCCGATGGCCATGTATCCAGGCGGGTAGGGGGCTAGACTTTGATGCCGTCTATCCATCATGTGGAGTCGATGTCTTGCATGAGCATTCTCCACTATATGGATTGATGAAGTGCAAGAACCCTTTTGCAGATCATGCTATCTGTGCCTCGCTTGACGGATTCCACATCATTTGCGCGTCAAGTTGCACAATCGCGATGACCAAGGAGCAATAACGAACCCACCCTTTTCATCAGCCAAAGTTTCCAAAGTGGCATTTGTGACACGACACAGCCAGCATACCTACACAAGGTACACGGATCATCGTATCGGGGTTCGAGGGGAGGGGAATTTTTCGTCCAACAGCCAACCTGCCCGACACCCGCAACCTCAAAGCACCAAGAACGAGCCACCTTCGCGACCCTCCACCGCCTCCATGCACGCGCAATCAATTTATCTTGAGGATCCCTCGTCAGCTCGCTGATTGAGGAATCAGCGAACCAGCACCCGCTTTGCCCTTCTTTCGATGCACCAGCAATCTATCCAGCAGGCCTCCAGTACCAGGTCGTCGGGGTCCCACACGCATGGCATAGCTGGCCCTGACCGGTGTGCGCGTCTGTTTGAGACTGTGTGGAGGGGAAGGGTCGATCTGCAATTTGTGCAATCCGTGTCCCCTAGTCTACTCGGTACATTTCAGAAGGAGGTAGAGATAGGGTGAGGTACCCGGCAGTTTTGGCTCTCGCTTCTTCACTCGCCCTATCTATAGATCTCTCCATCTTTCGTAACCATTATCCCTTTTCCAATCGTCGGTTGATGAGTTTTTGGGTTTAGCGGAATGCATGTCTCACTGCTTCATCAGTTTTGCCATGAAGTTTACTAATTTCTTCCCCTGACGGTTGCTGCTTGAGCTCGGACCGACCCCGCGTTCTCTTCCATAGTCGTTTCTCAACAAGTTTCTACAGGGTATACTGTGTCCGGTGTACGGACCCAGCCAAGATGGCGCGTTTCTCCGAAGCAACCAAATATGCCAGGCTTCTGCATGCCACGGCGGCACGAGTCTGAACAGCCTGGAGTTTGTCCTCCAACGTGCAGCGGGGAAGCGGCGGAGCAGCACATCATGACGCAGGTTGCCAGGACAGTTGCGTGGCTTGGGTCCAGGAGTTCTCCGCACCCTGAGCTCTCAAACTCGCCTTCTCGAAACGTCTTCGCCAGTCAAAAAGATCCCGCAACCGTTCCGAGAACTGTGCCCGAAGTAATCTCAACGACGCTCAACATTCTCATCCCATCGTCATTTTCTTTTCTTCCTATCTGTCCTCCCGGAAGATTCCTACTACTGTGTCCATGCATGTCCCCCACGTCAGCAATCAACCCTCTCACCTCCTTCCCCTCGCCCACGTTTCCCATGTATCCTTATCCCTTATCTTCTCCCCCTGCGTATCGCTCCACAGGTATGTATCTAAGTAAGGCACAGAACACCCCGTTCAACAACCTTCCTCCCGCATGCACATCCCATAATCGATATTGCCGTGCATGGACGGAGTATCCCCCCCCGACTCCGCAATCTATTCAACGTGTCACGGCCCAGGGGGTGCTGCAGACGGGGTAATTTAGCGGGCATGGGAGAGGTACATGGTACATGGTACATACCCTATCTATCACGGCTAAAATGCAGAGTAAGTACCTGAGAGGTTAGGTACGGAGGAGACAGTTCGCTTCCAGGAAGCACATCTGTTGGAGAGTGATGGTACGGCCTCGTGTACCTGGTGATACGCGCCTGGGGGGAGGAGGATCGGTGATATGGGTGAGTGGGGTATGTTGTACGTATACAGTAATGCGGTGGATTTGGCGTAGCGTATGAGACGAGAGTTTCATGGGGAGTGGGCTGGAGGATGGCCATGTGTGGAGTCGCGTCATGGTGGAGAGGTTGTGCGTGCGTGCTGGAGGACGGGACGGTGAGTGGTGGGATGTCATTTGTCTCGAGCAAGAAGAATTGGCCTTGTAGGCTTTTTCCTTCTCTTCCTTTTTCGTTTTTCCTTTCTTTTCTTTCAACACCTTTTCTTTTCTTTTCTTCTCTTCTCTTTTGTTTTGTTTTGGTTCTCCTCTTTACGTTTTGCTAGAGTTGAACCCCGGGTGGGATTGCTGTGTGCCGACTATAGCCCATAATATGGCTATTGGAATAGTATCATTGTGATACTCCGTGCGTATGTACGGTGGGGTCTAATTTAGATAGTAGCCTGGACCAAAGTACTCATCTCTTTAGTGTTTATTTCCAAGCCTAAGTAAGTCTCTTCCTTTATCCTTATGTCCGCCATGATCATTCCCTTGCGGTCCTTCCGGTAGCTGCCTCCCACTGGTCCCTTCTGGTAATACATGGCAAGTCCTATCCCTAGCATGAATTGCTCTCACCTCCAGCAGTTAAACGCTGTGAAAGCATACCTAAAGTCTTGCAAGTCCAAGTCCGCCCAATCTCTCCCACTCATTGCAACAGCATGCATAGATGCTTCTACCGGTACTCACGAATCGCCTCCGTCCCTTACGTCTCCCCATCTCCCATCCGACGTCGTTCACTCGCTTTTCATCTGGCCAGTAACAAGCCACGGCCTCCATTCCCTACCCTCATAACCTGCCCTGTTCACCCCCGTCTTATTCTCCCATCCTTCCATCCTGCCTTAAAGCATCATCGTCCCCCGCTCCGCCTCACGCCGACTCACTCTCGCTGCTCGCGTCCGCGGGGCAACCAGACAACCCAACAAGCATCCAACACCCGATCCGGAAGGTCCCCAGGTCCCCCCCCATCATTCCCGCGAGACCCACTACCTATCCCCTGGACCGGGAAAGAAACACAACACAACACAACACATACACTCCCGGTGTTCTTCCGCATCCTCCCCTTCTCCCGGCGCCCCGTAAAAACCCTCGAAAAACTCAAATCACCCCCCCATCTCAAGATCTCGATCTCGATCGCGAAAGTTCCGAAACATCCAACAGTTTTCCCGACCTTGCACACACCAAACAAGTTTCGGCGAAGACACTCACTGCGTCCATCGGTATTACAAACGGTCACTGGCATGATCCGAGATAAAGGTCGGCCAAAGCAGTAGATTTACCAAACGAGGGTTCGCGGACAAGAGTAATCTTGGTATAGCAGCAGCAGCAGCGACCGATCCATACGCTCCTGTCCCACAAACGTTCTATTTTCAGCCAACAACACAACCCACCCCACCCGCTAGTAACCAGTACAATATGTCGTGTGAGCGCACTGCCATATCCGACAACCTCCGACTTCGCTGCCTCCGCAAAGTCGCCTGCCGGGAGATGGAATGCGCCGAGGGGAGGGGATGACGAGATATCAACTTACACTGCATGCCGGCCACCACTCCAGGTATGTCGAAGCACTGCGGTGGCGTTTCCCCGCAAGCAGAATGCTTGCTTCGATGGGCTGGGGATACGGTATTACCTACCGCCTTCACCAGTCACCCTCTTGCACTCTGGGGAGAAGAGGAGTGAAACACCCGGATTGCGCGGGATTGCGCGAGTTACAACGACGTTGTCGCACTCATTATCCATCCGCCACACAGCCCGTCATCTTCCAGTCATGACCGCCGTGGAAGCGCCCTCTCTGAGACCCTTCTGCCTGCCGACTCAGCATCAGTCACGATGGCTGAGGTCCTCCAACAACAGCGCCCCGGATATTCCGATGGCCTCTTGTCCGACTCTTCCCCATGCCCTTGTGAGCAAGTTAACGAAGATTTTGACTCGGTCCCCCGGCCTTGACTTATCACTGCCCATTCACCAGGACATCCTACCGCCGGCAACCCCCACACTCCCCAGGATCCCCAAGTCCAGAACCGTACACCCTCACCGATAACCCCAGAAAGTTCCAAAATAGGAAGCAATTTTGCCGGTCAGCCATCCCGGCATTCTGGGTCCCGGCGTCTTCCCCGACGCACTCCATGTCGCCTCGAGGGAAGAGGCGGTCTGTGCTTCGTATTCTGGTCAATGATGACCCCGGAAACTTGGCTCATTTGGGTGGACGCGGAGCGCCTGGAACGATGCGAGCCTGGGGCCGCCTTTCTAGAATCCGCGGGGTTCGACTTGTTCTGTGGTTCGTGTCTCCCATGTTGGAGCAATATTTGATGAGTGCACGTACTGGTACACAATACTGCGCCCCTCGTATTTGCCGCGAGGGGTCTGAAGACGCGCTGTAACTGGTGCACGCTTGAGACAAGCACCGACGAGGTATGATGACGCAGATAAGGCGATTGACAGCCGTATGGCTGAGGTGATGGTTGCGAGCGGATAGGGAGGTATCGACAACGACCCACAATGGTGTTAAGACGACCATGTATCGCTAAGTAGCGAGAGCACTTCCTCGTGCCGCGTGGCCAAACCCCACACGATGAGAGTGAACCTGGCAGGCGGGCCTGGTGGTGTTTCGGGTGATGCAAGCTCGTAGGCAGGATTGATGAGAAGGCATCCTCCGGCATGTTCCTGCCTGAGACTGTCTAAGCCGGGACGAGAAGCAACGGACGGGACTGCCCACGGGTCTGACCGGTTAGCCCTGTGAGGAGGAAGGTGACATGAATTGGAGAGTGGCCAGGACAGTTCCCTTCGTCACCATATGGGGGCATCGATTGGCCAACTGTGCCGTTGAAGAAATTGCGGCATAGACTTTCTAGATGCATGCCAACTCCGGTCCAACGATATCTAGATGGGGTCGATGCGTTCTGGTGACGTCCTCCCACTTCGTGTAAGCGCCATGCTGTCCTGTTGATGCCCGGGTACTCCATGTGCAGCTGCTGTGTCCAGATCGTGCAGAGCTGTTGGCTCATCAATCAAGAGTCCTTCGGCGGCGACTGCATCGTCATCAACCCAGCCATAAAGCTCGTCAGAGTCACTGTCCTCAATCTCTGTAAAACGTCGTTTGAGCGGTCTGGACTCCGAAGGGAGGATTGCAGGCGCCGCAATATCGGCTGCAGAGACGGTGATGTCGCGAACACCAGCCTGGAACATGTCAGCAAGACCGCATTCGCACAGTCGAAGTGTTACGCGTCCGCGATAATGTAGGCTCTGCGGGTAGTAGATTGACTTACGCTGTCGATAACAAATGGAACCACGCTTCCCGCACCCCCTTCGTCCGCCAGAGTCACACCATTCACCTTGACGACGCCTACAAACCGGGCTTTCCGTAATCTATCAGCGTCTACGCCAATCAACTTCCCCTGCATCGGAATCCAATCTCGAAACAAAACCAGACGAGTGGATATGCTGCTCTCCCATTCTGCAGTCGATATTGCCGGAACCAGAAGAGCCCTTGAGCTGCCCCGAATCCGAGTGATGGTCTGACATGTAATGAGCAGCGCAATGTCGTGCATAGCGGCAACCCTGGCGAGCATCCCAATCAGTTCATTAATAACGGCCAATCTACGTCCTGCTGCCCATTTGGTACGTTCATTCTTATTTCTCGCGGATCGATGGTCGGCATTGCGAGGATACGCATTCTCAATGAGAGTCGATAACGAGTCGATGACGATGAGGCTCGTGTTCGGTGGCGGAAACGCTCGCGGTGGGTGCATGATAAGTGCTAGGACATGTGCAAGTGTCGGCGCATTCATGCGAAAGAAACGGTCCTGCAGCGTAGCGGGAGACAACGTTGCGTCGGTCCCAGCGAGCACATTGCTGAGACGCTGAGGCACCAACGGGGCACCGGCTTCTGCAAGCAATTAGCCAGCTCATTTCTCCATAATCTGAATTGTATCTTGCACCACTAACCAATCCATACAACGCTTTGTCCCTCCTTCAGAGCGCTCGCAGCAGCCTGGATGCTTCACCGTCTCAGTCATCGTGCCCAACATAGATCCCCACGGAATAAGGTTCAAATTTACCCAAATGTTGTCTTTCCCACTCCGGGCGGGCCGTAGATTTCTGTGACCTTGCCGCGGACGAACCCGCCGTGTACATCACGGCCCGGGAGCGCATATGGAGTCAATATCTTGTCGAGTTGTGTGAGTCCGGTGGATACGGTTCGGGAACCTCGTCCGTGCAGTTTCTGGAGCGCATCTGAGGCGGATACTGTGGGCAATCGATCTGGAATCGCATGAGTTGATTGATGTTGAGAGATGGAGTAATGCCAGAAGAACATACGAGCTGATGACGGCGCGGGGTCGGTCGCCATGAATCGTATATCCTGTCGCGGTTGAATAAGCTGATGTGGGTAACATGATCCCCCTCCAAAACAGCGGCCAAGTGCGACGAGTCCACAAGGCCACAAGTTGTGGCTGATGAAAGATTGTGGTGGAGGTGAAAGTGGACTCGGCGCGTTGAGAGCGCAGGGCGCGTTGGGGCACTCGCGTTCGTGACTCGACAAAACGTGACTTCCCCTCTCACCCAACTTCGCCACACTCTCTTCTTTGTTTGAGCTACGATTGAACTACCTTTGATAAACCCTCTCTTTTCAAAGCGGGGAGAACAAGACGGCAATGTCTCCCAACAAGTTCAACGTCCTCGATTCGCTTGTAGACTCCGTCTATGACAAGTGTAACCAGCTGGGACTGCATTCATCTCCACTCACCATAGCCATAACCATTCTGGTAGCGCTCGCTCCTTTCCTGGCGGTCCTCATCTTGGCCATTACCCAAAAAGAGGAGCGTCTTCCTCCCCCAGCAGGATGCCGCAAACTAGGACTCCAAGGGCCCTCCAACCTCTCCGACCAATTCTCCAGCAAGTACAGTCAAGGTGGTGATCGCGGCCCAAGTAACCCGTGGAAGGTAAAAGCCCTGTTCATATACCCTGTGAAGAGCTGTAGAGGGATCGAACTTGAAAAGAGCGACATCGTCAGCACCGGTCTCAAGTATGACAGGCAATTCACTTTCGCACAATACGTCACTGGACTCCCGACTTTGCAGGGAAAGGTCCAAAGTGAGTGGACCTTCATCACTCAGCGGACCTTTCCGAGGATGGCCAAAGTAGAAGTCGAGATGTGGGTTCCTGACCCAGAGGCGCCTGGGTATAGTCCGGATGGCGAATGGGTCCAGAGCGAGGGGTGTGTGGTTGTTCGATTTCCGTTTACACCTGACGTGGACTTGAGTTTCGAGGGGTTGAAGGCTTATGGGAGCATCGTTGCAGCCAAATTGTCTGGCAAAGCTGAGCCCATGGTTGAATTCCGTGTTCCCTTCAATCCCCTCAAAGGCCGACAGAAGATGCTGAGGTACAAGTCAGAGAAGCTCAAGATTTGGAAAGATACCCCAGAGGCCCTCAACGTTGGGACCGAAGTGCCAGATGAGGTCATGGCAAAGCTCAAATACACCCTTGGTGTTGCCAACCCAATGACTCTCTTCCGCATTGATCCTGCAAAATACCGGGAAGTCCACAAGAATGCGCCCAAGAAGGAAGACGTGGGTTTCCAAACTGCCATCGGCATGCAGGACTCTGTAAGTTGTTCTGTTCCAAATCAATACAAGAAGAGCTATTGACGCTAACCCTTCATAGTATCCCATGCACATAATGAACCTTGCTTCCGTCCACCACGTTTCCTCGCAGCTACCCAAAGGCTATCCGCCTCTCAGCGCCCTTCGTTACCGCGCTAACGTCTTCTTCACCGGCCCGCCTGCATTCAGCGAAGATGACTGGAAGAAAGCTCGCATCGGCGCGGGTACCTATCATATCTCGTGTCGCACGACGCGCTGCAAGTTGCCGAACGTCGATCCCGAGACGGGCATTGCTGATCGCAACGAGCCATCCACGACCATGCGAGAATACCGCGTGATTGACCAAGGTTCGAAGAATGCGTGTCTGGGCATGCAGGTTACTCCGCTGGATGCGAAGGAGATCAAAGTCGGGGATGAGATTGAAGTGCTGGAACGCGGAGAGCATTACTGGCTGAAGGAGTGATATTTTGTGTTAGCATGTCCTCATTTGAACTGTAAATTAGTGCAAAGAGCAACTAATGTTTGCTATATATGCATTATAATGACGACTCATCTTCTTCTCCGTGTTTGGACCCATAGTGAGAGTCGACTATGCCCTGCCGCAAGTGCACTGAGCAGGATGTGTAGGCATCACCTGACAACGATGTGGCTCAAAGATAGGCTGATAAACTCACTCAAGTCATCGCTATCCGGATCCTCTTTTATTCACCGAAAACACCACTGCCCATATTCACTGTTACTAGACGCACCAGTTAACCTCCAACGAATTAGGTCCTAATATACAGAATTACCAGTTTTGATGGATCCCAGAAGAATTCCCATGTTCGAATAGCCGCAGTACATCTTCACTGAGTTAGAGCACTTGTATTCTAGGCCCAATTGGCTGTATATAATGTTAATGAAGATATAATCGAGCTCTCACGAAAGACTGCAACCTTGATCACTTCTTGTCTTAACATATGAAACCCATATACTTGAAGAAAACGTCAGGGGTTGGTGCAAAAGTCCTCTGTCCTTCACGGATTTTCCGAGCAGGATTCATCAACCCCATTACCGATCGCAAAGCCTCGTCTACATCAAAATCAGTATTATCTGGAGGCGAGCAGCAGCCATACTCCTTGCAGATACAGGTCTAACCTTGTGACTGAACAATGCCTTGAAGACACTTCATATCCCACCGTCTGAATGCCTACCAGTCCAATCACAGCAAACGACATAGCCCACTCCACTACCTCTACACAATGTACACCCTCAATAAAACACCACATATCTGCACAATGCCTTCATCCCTTCCATCCACAATGCCAAACCCTTGAGCCCTCTATTTCAGCCCCTAACCTCCCTCCTCACCTCCCGCATTCTCCAGACCCCCTATATTCCCAGCGGTCCTCTGAATCCAACCATCCACATGCACAACCCAACACCGGAAGCAACTACAGCATAACATCACCAGGATGCGCTCACCTCAACCCCACACCCGCCCACACCGTAACCTCTCCTCCTTCATCGACAGCATCATCCTCTTCCCCATCCACACCCTCTTGCCCTTCGAGGAAGACTGCTGCATCTGCCTCAGTCCCTATTACACACCTATCTTTGATGATGCCCCGGGTGCTGACGACGACCCCATGTACGCCTTCGAAGAGCCCATTCGGCTCGCCTGCGGCCACGTGTTTGGTAGCCGGTGTATTATGCGTTGGGTACTGGGCTTGGGGATGGGTATGGGTAAGGAAAAAGGGAAGAATAACACGTGTCCGTGCTGTAGGGCCGTGTTATTCATGAAGGAAGTGGATGACGAGGAGGAGGAGATGGGCGGCCATGTAGATGCTGTGGGCGGCGCGGAGCAGTGGGATCACAGTGCGGGTGATTTTGGACACCGTGGTGGTGTAGTTGATCATGTTGTTTTCGGCCCTGGCGGCAGTGGTTATGGAGATGGGAATGGTGGGGAGGTGGGTATGGCGGAGTTGGAGGACGTAGGACCGGGGGCTGAAGATTTGGGGATTGCCGATGAGGAGGAGGAGGAGGAGGACGAGGACGAGGATGTGGACGAAGATAGGACTGTGGGTGAGGAAGACTCGTATCCAATTGGATATGCGTTTGAGGACGACGATGAGGATGGAGGGGACGAAGATGTGGACGACAACACAGACAGCAGCCCATCCCATCCACGCTCCACCCTCAACATCCTCGCTCCCCTTTTACCCACCCGCCGCATTTTGTCCTCCTCCTCCGGCTCTGTCCAAGCCTCTGCCACCCACACAGCCATCCCCATCCGCTCATATCCATCTCCTCCCCTCCCACCCCATCAAACGCTCCCATCCCATCAAACCCGCCTCTTCCACCTTCCCACTCGCCCTTACACCCGCCCATACACTCGTCCATACACTCCCTCCCTCAACGCTCGCACCCATCATATCCCTGCCCCTCTCCCTCGCCCTGCCCGTCCTCCCTCACCATCCCCTCCCACACTGCCTACACTCCTTACCCCTTACAAACGCCCCCACCTCCTCCATCTCGACTTCGACACCGCCCTCGAGAAAGCCATCACCGCCTGTCTACGCACGAGCGCGGAGCTCGAGACGCGGCATGACGAGTGGATGCGTGAGAGTGTTGGGTTGGGTAGCAGTCTTAGTGTCCCCTGTCGGTAGTTGTTGGTGAATATGGGGAAGATTGGTAAGTAGAAATCGATGGGAGACGGATAGAGATGGTGATGTAGACGAAAGGGGTGGGGGCGGTAAGTATGAGGTGAGTACGGTTGTTTTGTAGGTGTTTGCGTTTACATACAAGGTTCACGTTTACGGGTTTGATAGCTAAGGATGCTTTATACATGGTGCGGACGCTGGCGTCCTCTTCGGCTCAGACAGGCAAGTCGACTCTGATGCTCATTCGGCATGCTTAGATGTAATTTGATTTCAAACATCCAATCGTTACCCCCCTGCATCTGTGATAGATTTCAACGTTTCCTTTTAACTGCCAGTTTATCTTCTGCACACCAAGAGTCCGTAGCCGGTACTCAGCGCTACTGGCCGCGTCACACTACAATGATCTTGAACACTCCACCAATTGCTCATCCCCCATTCCAGCCTCTACTTCCCCTCCCCCTCGCCCCCAAACAAATCCTTCTCCACCATCTGCCTACAAATCGGATGATAAAACCCCTTATTCCTCTCAAACGTCCTCACCGCCAACTCCCGATCCGCCGCATTCAGCAATCGAAACAGCGGCCTCACAAACTTCATCCTGCCGATCCTCCCGAGCAGCTCCGCCGCAGGCTCATACGTCTCTTTTGTCCTGGCCATGAGCCCCACTTGCAAGAACCGGCTCACGACCTCAATGTTCCTGGTCGCCGAGGCGGTATACCCATACGTGGCGCCCAGGAGATTGACGTCGGCGGGGGACAAGGACGCGGCGAATTCCTGGACACGTTCGAGGAAGACGACGGATTGGTTGGCGACCCAACCCTGGATGTCGGATGCGTGGGGCTCGAACGACGACGGGTCGCCCTTTTGGGCGCGGGCCTGCCATTTGTCGGCCAACGCGTAGCAGCGCTTTACCATGCTGTCGTCGAATTGGGGCTTCTCGGGGTATCCGGGGGCGTAGAAGAGCCTGTCCCAGTCGAATTCCTCGAGCTTCTTGCTGGCCTCCGCGTCCGAGGCGAAGAAGTCGATCAGGCAGGCTTTGAAGTCGTAGCTGTCGATGGATTTGAACTTGAACGTCTCAAAGTAGTGCGCGATGAACTTGTCCCACTTGTCCTTGCCTAGCAGGAGTTCGAATGCATACAGAGCGTGGAAGCCCTTCTCGTACGGGATCGACGAGAAGGCGTCGTCGGGATCCTGGCCTTTGAGGTTGACGACCAACTTGGTGTACTCGTGGTCCTTTCCGTAGCGCTCGATGGAATCCTCAAGGGCCTTCCAGCCGATGATGGCGGAGAAGTGGCGATGCGCCTCGCCGTGGATGGCGGCTAGAATGCGGCGCTCCAAGTAGACGGTCCATCCCTCGTTGAGCCAGAAGTGCTCCCAGGACGCCGCAGAGACGAGGTTGCCGCTCCAGCTGTGGGCGAGTTCGTGCGCTACGACGTCCACATTCTGCTTGTCGCCCGAGATGATGGACGGGGTGGCATAGGTCCAGACGGGGTTCTCCATCCCACCGTAAGGGAACGAGGGCGGGAGGATCAGGCAGTTGTATTGCGTCCATTGATACTTTGGGGCAACCACGGATTCAATGGCTTGGATGAAGGGCTCAATCTCGCCATCCAGCTCCCACTGACACTCCAGCAGCTCTTGCGGCCCCGTCCAAACCGTGCTCCGGGGCCCAATGGACGCACATGCCAGATCTCCACTCGCAATGGCAAACAAATAACTCGGAATCGGGACCTTTTGCCGGAACGTATACAGCAGTGTTCCGTCTTCATAGTCCTGGGCGCCCGTAGGTAAACCACTCGCAAGAACCGGAAGGGGACTCCGGATGGCAAAGTCGAACGTGCTCTTCACATCCGGCGTATCCTGGCAGGGAAATATGGATCGAGCGTGTATGGCCTGGCATTGCGAGAACATGTAGGGGTACTTTTTATTGCTCGTTTGCTCCTTGGTCATCCATTGAAGCGCCGTGCACTTGTCGGTGGTATCGACCTTGATATCCACAACAACTTGCTCGCCCTGTGCGATACCATCGTTCAGTTGAATCGCCAGCGCGCTGCCAAAAGGCTCCATGCGGTCTTTGAGGTTCCATTTGGCCTCGGTGCCATTGACGCTGACCCCGCCAATGGACAGGAAACTGGTGTCCAAAAGGATCTCTTTGCTTTCCCTGTCGGTCAACGATTCCATGGTAAGAACGACATTGCCTCTCAGAATTCTCTGGTCGAAATCAATCGCGAAGTTGGCACTCGTGTGCCTCGTGACCCAGTTGTGGTAGTTGGATAACGTGTTTGGATCCCTCGGGGTGTGGATCGTGACCTTGGGATCCGTCATGGGTTTGGTCACCATGGCTGCGGGAGAACGATGCATAGTCGTGAAGCTCCTCTTGGGAATGAGGCGCCTGTACCGTTGGAATGTTTGTGGCTGAGGGGTTGTTGGAGTGGACGTAGAGTAATAGTATGGTTGCTGGCGGGCGCAGGATTGACGCTGCAATTGCAGTCGAGCCGGACCTATTAATATCAATCCTGCTAGCCGTTGTTCACCAGACAACCTTCCGCACCGCACGCGCGCAAGACTGGAGAAGCCCCTCATAACCAAGCCATACAATCATGTATGCCAACCGGACACTGATCATCTCCCCAGAAAAGGCCTTGGACGCCTTCATTGCGCACGGGCATTATCGGCAACCGTGGAAGAGGAAAAGGCCTCTGATCACGAGATTTGTCAACATATGTATCAATTGATCGACGCTATCGGTATCCAGTCTGAAAAAGCGCAATGGTGTATATGCCTTATGCAGGTATACAACGCAAGTACCACAAAAACGAAAACGGACGACATGCAAACTCCAAACACCAAACGCGCTGTTCCCCAAAACGCTGCACGCATGCTAGCTAAATACAATGCCACCAGAAATGCACCTGGAAACCTCCAATACCAGTGCATTCCTTGACCCTCTAATCTCCCTTCGTACCCTCTTCCCCCTTCCGCGCTCTATCTCGCAGCGCGAGGTTCAACTCCGGCCTCGCGCTCTGATACTGCTGCGTCGTTGGTGTCAAGGAACCTGCCGCGGGAGACCGCCCTCGCGCTAGACTGTCCTGAGCATCGACCTCGAAGGCATCATCTCTCAGCTCAATCAGATCCCCAATGTCCCCACCCACCGTCCCCAGGACTGGGATAGCGCTGCGTCTGCCTCGCCCCGGCGTGCTCGGTTCCGATAGCAGCTTGCTTGCTTGAGAGCCCACCTTGCGTACCCATCCCTCAATCGCCCCTCCAATCTCCTGGAAATCGAGGCCAGCGCCGCTGAGCGGTGTTCGCGAACCCGAACCACTGTGCTGGACGGAGGTGCCGGAGTCTACTTCAAGCAACGAGGGAGCCCACGGGGTGAAGTATTCCTGGCCTGGTGGCGGCGCCACATTGGGAAGATGCGGACCGAGCAGTTTGTTCAGTCCATCCTGTGCAGGGCCAGGGCTCCTGACATTCTTGCCCAATGTCCCGACACCGCCAGGCCCATGAAGCATAAAACCGCTCGAGCCGCTTCTTTGACGGCCACGGAGGTCCGACGTGGAGCTCGTTCTGGAGGCATATCGGGTATTACTGACACTCTGGCTGGGAGAAGAGACTGCATTGGGACGATCCGTCGATGTTGAGGACCTGGGTACATCGAATGAAGGACGCGATGCAGAAGCATCTGAATACGCGAGCGACTTCCGCCGGGCTGGTGGGAAGAATCCCAGCGTTCTGCGGGGCATGCGCCCAATCTCGGTGGGTTTAGTGTCGTTTGGAAGAAGCACCCAGGAGTCATGTTTCCAGGGTGATTCTGTTTCTGTGTTGGAGTGTGAGACTGAAGGGATGAGCGCATTTCCAGTAGTTGGCCCCAGAGGGGAGCCCAAGCCATCGGGAGAAGCTTCGTCATATGTCGGCTTCTTCGACGAGGCCATATCACTGTCCAGCAGAAGGTCCTCCTGATGCATATCCAGGCCAGGAACAGGACGGCCCTTGACGCCGCAGGCATCCACAGGCAGCACCACGACCTCCCTCGTCTGTATGCTGTCATTGGGCCACATACGGTTTGCCCTCCTCAGCGTCGCGGGATCGCAGCTGTACTTGATGGCAACTCCGGCCAGCGTGTCCTGAGGCCGCACGTGGTGGATATACACAAGCGCATCCCTTTCCTCATTCTCCCCTGGAGGTGCTGAGGAGCTGGCCCGATCATCCGAGTTCCTTCTCTTTATGCGTCCAACCGAATCCGTCGCAAGCTGCTCACTACGGGACAGCAAGTCCTTACGTTTTAGTGCCCGTATCATGCTCTCCCTGTCCTCCTGTGTGCCTGCGCCGATGGATACTGCCGCAGAGGCCGAAGGTCCCCATGTTTTTGGCGGCGCATTGCTCACAGTCCGTCTATGTGTGTCCCACAGCGGTCTCCGCCTTCGTCCACTCGGATCTCTTGGAGCCGTTTCGCCTTCATTCCCAAGCACAGTCGTAGCCAGACCCTGAAGGGCGGACCATGAATTACCCCAGAGGCCTGAAAGTCTAGCCGACGTATCCCGCAACGCTTTGGGACCCGGTGAAGGTGCATTCGAGGTGGTAGGAGGTCGTGACGGGTGAGAGCGGGGGATGGGGGACGCAGCTCTCGAGCCTAGCGTGGAGCTGCCGGTGTCGCTTCCCTCAACAGGATTGTACTCATCTTCAATGGAAATCAGGCGGCGGGCGCGCGGACGCAAGCTCGAGGTCGTGGGGGTGGAAGTGCTCTGCGAGGAAGGGGCTCCATTGATGCGGTGCATTGCATTCGGCGGCCGCAAGGGTTTGGTGAGGAAGCAACAGCATAGGGTGAGACGGCGGGTTGCGGGGCGACGGGGCGCATGGCATGGAGTCACCGTGGCATGTTGGAGGTGGTTTTCCCTGTGGAGAAGGGGAAGTCAATGAGTACGTTGAGCGATTGATAGATGGTAGCTCGGCTTGGTGATCTGGGCCGTGCGGCACCTGATGACGACTTCCCCATGGCCAGAGCGACGCAGATGGCATCCAGTTGTTATCTTCACAGAGTCTCAGAGGGCAATTCAATTCGTTACAAATCCAATGGATTTGATGTTTCGTTTGCTGTTTCCATACAGTGGGCAATGCATTGTATTCTCGTGTATACTCGATGAAGGTCTATCGCTGAGGCCAGATCATACATGGTATTCCTCCAAACCATTGGTCAAGCATGAACTGTGATTGGCTCAATTATAAAGTGCATGGTCCGCTGTAAGAGCACCAAGACCAGCCCTACTAGTGTCTACCTTCGGCGCCGTTTCTAGTTGCGAGTGAGTTGCGAGGCCTATATTGAATGAACCATGATCTGGTAAATGCCGATACCCGACCTCATCCATATTCAAGACCTAGGACGTGGACATTGCATCAACCCCTAACGCCATACGACCAGGAAAGCACAACCATACCGTAGAGTACAACAAGCCGGCCCAGCCCATCCCAAAGAAATGCGGGACGGCGTATATCTTCAAGTTGCCTCCCTCCTCCCCATACTCATCAACCCATCCGCTCAACCAACCCCATCCCCTCGCCCCTCACCTTCGCATTCACCACACCCCCGACCCCAAAAGCCGGCACGATCCTGCCCATCCTCGCCACGCAACTCACCCCCCAATCCCTCAGCACCCTGCTCGCTCTCTCCGCGGGCCTCGCCTCGCGCCGGTTGAACAGATCCAACCCCAGCAGGTGCAGCGGCGTCGAAACGATCTGAACGGCAGCCGGGGTTACGAATTGCGCGACGCTCGAGGCAGACATGTACGACTGGAACGTCGACGAGAGGTGCGGCGAGATATGCGGCGCCAGGAGCGGAGGCAAGTTGAAGGAGGCGAAAATGGTGAGGCAGTCGCGGATGGTGAAGAGGGTGAATGTCGGTAGCGGGACTCTTGGCCTCGCTACTGCCGTTGCTGCCTTTGTCATTCCGGCGGCAGTGCGTGAGGAGGTGGGGGTCGAGGATGGGGAGGCGGCTCCGAACATTTGCGTGAAGCGGTTGTCTTTGTAGAGGCATAGGGCTAGGTTTGCGGAGCTGGTGGCCGCGAACTTGGCGGGCCCCGCGGTGGTGCTGGAGATGGATGGGGTGGTGGAGGGGGAAAAGGTCGAGGAGGCCGTATCAACGAGGTTGGCCGTCAAGTAGGTGCCGGTGTAGAGGAGCTGGACGTGTCAGTGTAGGTTCTTGATTTCTGCTGCAATTCTCTAGCCGGAGAGAGAAACCCACTCACAAAGACAAGCCCAAACGCCCTCCCCCCAAAGAACCGTCCTGGCACGCCCACCATCTCTCCCACACTCGCCCTCAAGCTCTCCTTTAGGCCACGCCTCCCACTCGCATTCTCAATAATGGCCCTATCAATCGCGGTAATGACGGGAGCGACGAGGGCGCCCGCGACGCTAGCCGCAACAAGGTCGGTGAGGATGCGCGGGAGGAGGGCATGGGTGTTGAATTCCAAGTCTGGTTTTGCTGATGTGGTTGTTGCGGGTTGATGAGCGGTGCTGTTGGGTGAGGGTAACGGAGATGGCGATGTCGATGTCATTGACATGGAGTCCATACGCTCTCGCCCTCCCAACTGCAACTGCGAACCCTCATCCATAATCATCCTCTTCGCCACCCCTTCCATGGCTGAACCATCTCCTTTCGCAGCCACCGGCGGCGCCGGCAAACTTGTCTTGATAGGAACGACAGGCACGATGGCTGGTGCAGGTATAGGTACAGGTACAGGTACGGGTAAGACGGGGATAGCGGCATTAGCAGCAGCGTTCAAAGCTGGTGACGCGCCTTCGGCCTCATCCCTCATCACGTCGACGTCGTCCTCTTCCAAGAATGCAGAGGAGCAGAAACGACGCGGCAAGGACGGCCATCTTGATTCTTTGTACCATGTCCCGTCAGACTACGCTGCTTACTGACGGCCCGTCAAGGCGCGCAGTTCGGAGTCCGTGGAATCCTCGATTCCCTGGTTGGCCAAGCGACGAGTGCTCGGTGCCGACTTCGGAGGTACACAGCAATATTTGAGCGTAGATTGTATAAGCACGAGTACTACTTGTAGCACACCACTCCAGAGTGATAGGGAAAAAGTTTATGCTCTAACCCATGGTAGTGGTAATCCCCCTGCTCAATCGCAAAAGCCACCTACGTACGTCGGTCCGTCGTCGCTGCATGGCTCATTAAACAAGGAGAAAGGAAAGAAACAATCCATCCATCCATACGCAGAAGAAGCGATTCCCATATCCATCAACCTCATCCTCAAGTCCTCCTTCCCCCCTCTGTAGGCCAGAAAGAGAAGAAACAAAACCGGCAGATGAGGTTGACAGAGGTACCCTCCCACGTAGCAATCATGAAAAACTCCCAGAAAACAATCCGAGCACCCCATAACCAGCAGACCGTGGGTACTAAACCAGAGCATCACATCGCCAAAGACTCCAGAACGCCTTGTCCGCCATCCTTTTGTTCCACCTCCCCTCGATGCCAGTAGAATGTCGTGCAAACGCCCCTCCCCTCCGAACAACCAGTGCAGAAGAAACGACCAGAAGAAGACCGGGTTCCTCCAATCGGGTTGCGTTGCGTAATAGGACCTTTGGCAAAGCCCCATACAAACAGCGCGTATAGAAGTGCAAAAGGGGCTTTGGCATGCCCTTCAAGGAAGAAGGAAGTTCAACGCATCACTTACCTCATTTCGCAGTGCGGACACTCAACGTCAGCTTCGGATTCCTCTCCACTGCGATCATCAAATCCTCGTCGTTCTCAATGGGATAGTAGCGTCCCTCAATCTCGTCGCGGTAGTCGACATACAACTCTCCCGGATCACCCTCGTCCGGCTTCTCGAGCGCCCTCCGCTCCTTCAACTTCTGGTACAGGTCTGCCCATTTCAGGCTGGTGGGCATGCGGATGACCACGCAGCTGTCCTCCTCGAACCAGACCTTGATTTTGAGTGCCGCGCCTGTTCCCGTGTTTGTCGAGGCCGTCGAGAGACCCGAAGTCTGATGCTGCATGGCGGGAGGGGCATTCATGGCACCGTAGCCCTGCTGAGACTGGGCCCTTTGATGAGCGGGGAAGCTGGAACCCGTCGAATAGGGCGTTTGCGGAGTCGAGCCCAACTGGTCGGCCGAGGACTGCCTCGAGGCGCCCTGGGACGGGTCACTCGAGGGGCCGGATGTGTGGGACAAGCGATAGTCATCGGCAGCGAGCGCTTCGGGGTCAATCTCGTAGTCTCCCTGGCGGGGCGCAAAGAAAGCCTTGACGAGGGGCCCATGAGTGATGTGCCTACCGAGCTTGAGCAGATTCTTGATGTAGGCATCCAGGTTCGCGCGGCGCCCATTCGAGATGTTGTCCGTGACGTAGGTAACCGGGCCCGGCATAAAGGGCAGGGTACGCTCTCCAGACCCGCTCGTGCCAGCCTCGACTGGGTACGTCGCAATGAGCTGAATCTGCAAATCGTAGAAATCCTGGTACAGACGCTGCAACTCCCAGCAGCGCCCATCCTCCATTTGGCACTCGATGATGAACCAGAAGATGTCATCCGCAAAGCAATATCGGGGGACACAGGCTTTGATCGGCGCTTTCAGGCTGGTGTCTGACCCGCGATATTGCCGCTGCTGCGCCATCTGATACGCCGAGTTATTTCGCGAATGGGACGTAGCCTGCAACGGTGAGTGGTCGATCGAGTCGGATAAAGGTGTTGTCGGGCAAAAGCTTACCATGGCTGCTTGCGCATGCGCACCACTCGGGTTGCCGAGTGTGCCATTCTTACTGCCTAGGCTCATTCGCTCTATACCCTGTAGCATTGTTTGCTGCGCGTTGGTTTCCAACTTGCCCAGCGGGATGCTGCCATTCTTGTACTCGGCCGCCATTCTCTTCCACTCTTCGACCTTGGGCACCCCCGCGCGTTGGACAGCCTCGGCAGCATCGGGAACCGGCTGGCCAGTGGTCATGTCTCTGATCTCGATGAAGGAGACGGGGATAAGGCCGGGGCCCCCGAGGCGGGTGATGGGCTTCGCGACGAACCATTCGGGGTTTGACTGGGCAATCACAATAATGGCCTCGCCCTCTTTAGCGTCCAACTCATCCGGCCGCTCCGCCTTGAAATCATACATGACTATGCCATAGACCATGGCGCCTGAGGGCTTGCCCATCTTTGACATGCGGAGTGGTTGTTGTTTCGCGGCGTCGTCTGCGGTCCTCGGGCTGGCGATTGCCCCGCCGTATCCGGAATCGTGGGGCGCGGTTTGGGAGGGAGGGTTGGATTGTCCGGCGGCGGCCGACTTGGTGGAGCTGGCGGAATCGCGCACTTGCTTCTCGAGACGGTTCGCTACGGGTTCGAAGTAGGAGACGGGGACAAGGCCACGGGTGCCGAGCAGCGGATTGCAGGCTTCGTACCAGTCCTTGTCGTTCTCTCGCGCTACGACGTGAAGAAAGTCGCCTTGCGAAAAACTCAGGTATTGGTCGGGATTGGGTGCGGTGTAATCGTAGAGTGCCTTGATGACCTGCTCCCAGGTGGAAAAGGCTGGTGTCAGCGGAGATTCCAGGGCGACATTGTTGATGGAAGCGGCGCCGGCGCAGAAGATGGAAGCGGGGGCGCAGGGGCGTTTGTAGCAGCAGAGCGACTCACCTTCTTGGGCGGAACAATGGCTATTGCGTCTTTGGGGGGGATGGAGATGTGGTGAGGTCTGTTGTCCTTGTCCCCCTTCACCGACCGACGGAACTGCGATGTAGGTTAGCTGCTGTGCTAAAGCCGTCCGCCGAGCCGCGGCGTAGGGGTTGCTCCACAGTCCGGAGGGGGTTCACCTTCATCGTGGCAGGACTTCACAAGACGTTCCGCAGACAGCAATGACAGTACGAGGTTATAGCGAGCGAGGGCGGTTGTCGCGGGAGCAGGTTCAACAGCGCGGCTTGGGGCTGGGGGGAGTAGCAGGAGGTGAGGTGAGGCGAGGTGAGGTGAGTTGTAAGGTTGAGGTGAGGTGAAGAGCGGGCGACAGGGCGGCAAGGATCAAAACCGGCAGATTGGCGTCGTCGTCGCGCTTGGGCCGCGAGCAGAAGGACTGTCGGTACTCTGTGTGAGTAACGAAGAGCGAGCGAGCGCGTCGAGGACTGTATTAAATAAATAAAAAAGTCCCAGTGAAGGAGAGTCCCCAAGCCAGCCAGGCACCCACCCACTCGGGCAGGGCGGCGACTGGAGCAAACGGGCGCGATCGCAGTAGCCGGCCTTTAGCGCACTCCTAGTATGATAGACAGTGTCGAGTAGTGCAAGTTCCTTTGTGTCTACCTTGGAAGAATAAGTAGTCTAAGACATACCACAGTACAACCCAGCTCCAGAGTGCGCCTCAAAGAAAAACATGTCCCTTTGAAAGGCACACGCGGCGGGGGGTCACATTCAGCCGGCCACTCCTTCACACGGTCTCTACGCCGCACTCTCAGCCCTACTACACCAGGCCGACTTTCACCGCGCACCCCTTTAACCTCTTAGCCAGCTAGGAATGTGCGTGGATAGCCCATATAACATTGTCTATAGCAGACCGCCATGGACGGGAAGCGCCCAGCTCCACCAACACCGAAGATGCAATTCCCATCCAGAGCAAATCAGATCACCAAACTCCCAGACTCCGCGCCCATTGGCCTTTGGTCAGCGCCTGTAGAAATCCACCTCAAGGTGCCGTCCTCCAGCCATCGCCATCACTTCTGATGCCCCTCCATGCATGCTCGACTGCGCCCCTTCTTCAACCTGTCTTGACTCTCCAGCCGGAGCCCACTGACCCCAACTATCCTACACGGCTATGAACCCATCAGGCCATCTCCGAGAGCCCACGTGGTGCGCGCCTTGATTTTGCCCATAGAACGTTTTATGCGCACGCTTGTACACTGTCATTCAGTCCGTGTTCATGGCCTGCGCACCTCTAAGCTGAAAACCGCATCGACCAACCTTGCCGTTAATCGCAAAACAACGACGATCCAAACCAGACCGCCGGGTGTGACCAGAAAACTATCCGAGACGTCTAACGTGTGCGGCTGCAGGGAATAGGACTTTCCGCGCATTGCATGAAGCGGATGACTCCGTTCCGACCGTCGGCATCGCGCAAAACAGAAATCATGGACCATGCATGTCGTCATCCCTCTCCGCTACGGAAAAGAACCTTAAAGAAGCCGTAAACGTCCTGGTCGATGAGACTGAGAGGGTGAAAGGAAAAGAAGAGAAATGGTGCTGGGTGAAAATCGGAGGGCCGTTTCGAAGACCAAAGAAGAATTAACGAGCCGAATACGGTAGTAGAACATGCCAGTCAGCTCATATTTGGCCTTTGATGTCTACTCGGCTGAACGCAGCAGCACGAAGTTGTTCGAACAGGGTAGCGCCCTCTTTTACGCGTACTCGCATCTGCACCGTTTGGTCGCTCCGTTTCTCTTCTACAAGGTGGTGTGCGCTGTGCTCTTGGAGGAACTGCTCACATTCCTTATCGTTCTCGAAGCCAAGTTCATCCGTGACGAAGCGGAGCGGAACGCTTATATACCTGCTTCCCGTTAGCAAAGACTACAACGTTGGCTGAGAGAAACCTACCCTCTAGAGATGTTAGCGAGAGCATGGAGACGCTCACGCTCGATGAACATGTCCATTAGGTAGGCGCCCATGTTAGGCGCATCAAGATAGAGCCTGAAGAACTTGTGGTAGTTGCCCACCGCCAGCGACGAGCGCACGTCCAGTGCATGCTTGACCTCGGCTTTGGACTTGTCTGCAATGGTTAATTCGGCCAACAGGTCGTTCATGTCCGTCTTGTTGCACGTGTACACAAAGTAAAGAATACGGTATGCGAGGAACTCGCCCGGATGCCCCCCGAGGCCTTGCGCATAGAGACCCTTGAGCTGCGTTTGGCACTGATTATACTCACCCAAATCCCCCTTTTCCAGAGCTATCCGGGCATGAGTCTCGTAGACGCGGACGGTGAACGAGTTTTTGATATGCTGAACCGTCAAATCTTGGCGCAAAGACTTGAACTGGTTGCAGATGTAGTTGTAGTTCTTTTCGCTCTTCCACTTTTTCCTCAACATATCCAGGGTCTTCTCAAGCACGTGCTGTGGACGAACCGTCTCGGGTTTAGGAGGCGCAGTGAGACGGAAATACGACTTTTCGAGTGACATGTTGGTGCCAACAATGGGGACCATGGACACCTCATCTTCGTCCTTTCGTGATTGTCGCCAGGGCGGATTGACGGCGGTTCCAGATTTGCCAGTGTTGAAGCGTTGTTTACGCTTCTCCAGGTCAGCCTGGTCAAACTTACTTACGATATCCTTGGTGATGTCGGTCTTCTTCTGGCGCTTGCTCTGTTGACCGTCCCCAAACGTGACGCGGTCTTGCAGATTAGTCTTTTGCCAGGGTGGAATCTTGGCGGCTGCCGTCTCCAGCTCCTCGGCATCCTGAGACTTGCGCTTGGACGAAGGGAGAGTCAAGGCGGGGGATGGCATGTTAGTAGGATAGCTTGATACATTCACTGAAGTGTACACTGGGTTGGCAAGACCGGCAGTGGCTTCTCTGCGTTCCTGAAGAAGCAGTTGTTGTGGCAGGGGATAGGTGGACCAGTCGATCTGGTCGTGCATTTGGCGTTCGGCGTAATAGGAGATGATGGACTTAAGCTTTACTTGCATTTCTTCAGTGGAAATCCCCTTGATCTCGTTCTGGGGCTCAAAGGCGCGTCGCACGTAGTTCCGGACAGGTTCCGACCATTCGACTTTCCGAGGCTTCTCGGGAGCCGGAGGCGCTGCCTGGTGAGGGTAAGCGGTATGCCAACGGTTGCTCAGAGGTACGAGAGAAGAGCGCACCACAGGAGTAGGCTTGGCGAGTGTCGTTCGGGCGGGTACGGCGTTGTAAGCGGGATGTGGTTGCGATGGAGGAGGAGGTGGCCACGCCACCGTGGAGGGGAAGGACATTGTGACCGGTTCGGCGAACGGGAGGAGAGAGAGCTAGAGAGTAGTAGGGTGGTGAAGGGAGGCACTGTGCGCACAGGCTTGATGGGTTAGTCGTGGGTTGGTGGTAGGGATGAACAGGTGGGTTGATGAGTAGTTGGGAGATGTGGAATCGGCGGTATGGGAGGCTTTGAGAGGCCAAAATTGCCAAGCCGTCTATTTCATTAAGTAAGCAAAAGTCTAGCCTGTTACAGTCTAACGCGGGTCATGACGCCCCGGAACAGGTGAATGTGGGTACATATCTGATGGGCAAGCCGAGAGCAGCTCACAATGGCATTCCCATTCCGATGGTTGTCGCCCTGACGTACGCTCCATGATCTGAATGTTTCTAAATCCGCTCGATCTCACGACCGCCCTGCGTCCGTCCCTCCTGCCTGATGAGACGCTACTGTTCGTCCAAGATGCCGTGGGACTCTATGAGGGGTAAGGCCAATTTCCCTCCCCTTCGCATTGGAACGATGTGTCGAATGTAGAACCACTTGCTGATAATGGCTAAAAAGGAAGCTCAAGATTCCCAAATACCAGAACGGTCAAGCCTACCTCACCTCTCATCGCGTTTGCTATGTCGACCAGACTGAGCCGCGATCATGCTCCGTTGCCATCAACTTGAAGGAGGTTGAGCGACCGGAGTTCTATGTAAGACCTGTCTGCAGCTGTCTGCAAACACAACTCCCGGGATCATTGTACTGATATGAACCAGGCTGGATTCCTCAAATCATCACCCAAGATCACTCTCTATCCAAAAGCCTCCAAACAGCTATCGATAGCGACCAACCCCTCTCCTACGGCGCAAGGTACACTTGCCAGTGCTACCGACGGGCATGTCGCTCCGGCGACTATTTCACCTGTGAATGCCACATGGGTGTGCCCTATATGTTCCTTCTCGAACCCCGTACCCTCGAATTTCGATCCCACCGCAGCCAATGCGCGGACACCGCTACCACCCTGTCTTGCATGTGGTATCAAACCGCCCCTAGCACATGTGATAAAGGCCGCTATAGCTGCTATAAGGCAGGCCCAGTCTTCAGACGGCACTCCTCAATACACGGCGGGTGCACCGGCATCATCCACACCAGGAACCGTTCCCTGCCCTCGATGTACCTTCCAAAATCACCCCTCGCTCTCCGCCTGCGAAATCTGTGGCGCACCCCTCCCCGCCGCTGCAGACAAACGCCTCGAAGCTGCCAAAGCAATAACCCGCGCGGAATCTCCTGGGCCCTTTTCCCAAACTTCCCCCTTAGGACACGAAATCACTGAAAGTATCAAACTTTCCTTCCGCTGCGGCGGTGAAAAGATCTTCTACGAGCGTCTCAAGAACGCCCTCGTGCAACGAAAGTGGCTCCTCCAGAGCGCACCGCCGATCCCCAAACCGCTCCCTGCGTCCGATCATGTGAACATGAGTGCCGGACTATCTGCTGCAACTATCCAGGCATCGGGAGCGTCTGGGCTCAGCAAAGCGATTGGTATAGCAGGCCTAGAACGGCGCCACCTCGAGCAAACCAAAAACAACGAAGCCGTCATCGGAACCGCCTTCTCCGACCTCGAAGCCCTCATGACGTCCGCAAAAGAAGTCATTGCTCTAGCCGAACAATTCGCCAACCAAGCCAACATCGGCAACAATGGAAACCACAACCGTGAAGCTGCCAACGCTGCATCCGCCCTCAGCTTGATCACGACAAAAGACATGCTGGGCACCGGCTCCGGCGCCTCGGATCTGTACATCTCCGAACTGAGCAGAAACCTGGCAGAGTATCTCACCGACGATACGCGCGGGATTCTCAGGAACGAAGGCGGCATCATGACGCTCGTGGATCTGTGGGCGGTGTTTAATCGCGCCAGGGGAGGCGTGGAACTCGTTTCGCCGAGCGACTTCGAGAAGGCGGCGCGCAGGTGGGACGAATTGAGATTGCCTGTCCGGTTGCGGAGGTTTCGATCGGGATTACTGGTTGTACAGGGGAGGGATAGGACGGATGAGAAGACGGTGGCGAGTGTGCTTGCTTGGCTTCGAGAGTTGCATTCTGAGAACCAGGGGCAGGGGCAGGACAGGGAGGTCTCGTGGGATCAGAGGACGTGGGGGAGGGGCGTCACGGTGCAGGAGGTGGCGGAGAGGTTTGGATGGAGCGTTGGGGTTGCGCAGGAGGAGCTGGAGATGTGTGAGGAGAAAGGCGCGGTTTGTAGGGAGGTGGGGTTGCAGGGGTTGAGGTGGTGGGAGAATTGGATCGTGAAGGATCCGGTTGTGCACAGTGGATAGTGGCAGGTAGGGTCAGAATTACGGATGAGATGATACCTGGCTACGGATTGTCAGAGTAGAACGTTGGCTTTTGGATCGGTCCACCACAAAGTTCCACATCTTCAGAGAGAGTTAAAGATGCACGCCATGTTTCAGCCCCGTCAACGTCTAACCCCAGCCTCAACGCCTCGTGCAAGCTGCGTCGCGGCTAATGCGATCGTCTAGGATGAAGTGTCTCACGCCCCTAGTCCCTTGCTCGGAATCGTCATGCTGGTGCTTAAAATTGAAAGGCGCATGTCACGTGTTGACTAGTTTCAAATGTTCTCAAGCTACGAGTGCTGGTTTTCCTTTCTAGTACTGACAAATACGCGGAATTAGCCTTTACAGGAGATGGTCTGCTACAAGTGACAGGATTGGTGGCTCCCTCACGCGCTTGTGATTCACCTACCTGCTCGCTGCTCGGGACGACGCACGGCATGCATTGGATGCAAGGGCACACCGCTTAGCATGATTTTGGACCAGGAGTAAACCTTCTTACAGACGGTGTATATTCATGGGCCACACCTCGGATAGGCCTGGAAAATTAAGGTTTGCGGGCGGCCTAGGAGGTAGGATAGGGAGGTAGAGATTTCCCGTCCACTTGTAGTGGTAGTGAACGCCTGCCCTGTGCCATGGGCTTGACTCGCTTGCTTGCAGTTGCAGCTCTCGGGATCTGGGGGGAACCAGGATGTCTGAAGGGTAAAAGGGTTCAGGGACGCTTTGCAAGTGGGCGAGAGACGCTTGGTCCTTCTCTCACTTCTTGATTGTCCTCCTTCGAGGCCTTTTTGCTAAGAGGTTTTGTCTCTGGGAGAAGAGAAGTCTTAGCTACCCTTCCTTCGCCTCGCCTCTTCTGATCCTTCTTCTACTATCTTTTCCTGCTTGATTGCAGGCTGCAAAGGGCGCAGTTGATCTGTCCTGTCCCTGGTCCGGTCAACATGTGTCTCTAACTCTCGGCTTCTCCGTCCTAAATATATCAGTGACAAAGCTGGATAGCAGGTCTTTCTTTGTTACCTTTTCACCATCCTACCTCTCCTTGTATAATCGGGCTGAGTAACCATCAAAGATGTATTTTCGCCCGGGGTTCGTGGTCGTCATCGTCGGATGTACACTTACGGGGTTGAGCACTATTGTCGTGGGCCTGAGGTAGGAAGGGCCACTTCATGAGGAATATGAACAAGATGGAATGGCAAGCTAACGTGCAATAGGTATTATTGTCGGTTTTGGCGGATGGGGACTCTCGGTGTGACGGATCATTTGATGTTAACTGCGGTGGTGAGTGGTGCCAATGGCTCATAGCCGCTCCCCTGACATTTTCTCCCCTCTGACATTGCCATGTATCTCCCTCATTCTGTCATAGGCAGCCTGTGGGCCTTGCTGACTGGAAGCGCAGGTGCTAACCTGGGGCAACACGGTGGTGAATTACTACCAAGACGACACGAGTAGGCGCTTTAGACCGACTGCCTTTAGAGACCCTGTAAGTAACCAGCTCCAACGGCCCCCCTCCTGGCCTCTTCCAGTGCCACTCATACCCCTTTTTCCCAGGCCAAACGCCCCAAAATCGAAGCCGCCCTCCGCGGCACCCTCATAACCTGGTACATCTACCGCATCACCTACACCATCGCGCTCCTCTTCGTCAAACTCTCCATCCTCTTCTTCTACCGCGCCATCGCCTCGCAGGTCACCTTCCGCCGTCTCGTCAACGCCACCATCACCCTCCTCATCCTATACACCTTCTCCGTGACCATAGCGAGCATCTTCCAGTGCGAAAACCCAAGTGATGCCTGGAGCACCGCAGCCTACATCAGCCAATTCGACGGCGTCCCTGGCCGGGCCCCGCGGCCTAAATGCTTCGAACCCACGCGCCTCTGGGCAGCCACCGCCGCCGTCAATCTCTTCTCCGACGTCGTTATCCTCCTCCTCCCTATCCCCACGCTGCTCAGCCTGCGCGTCCCAATGAACAAGCGCCTAGCCCTCATTGGCATCTTTAGCATTGGCATCATGGCCGTGGCGGCGAGTTGTGTGCGTCTCTGGGTGATGGCGCTTTGGGCGGAGAGTCCGTACAATAGCGCGAGGTTTGGGGCCGATTTGTTGCTTTGGGGTCAGGTGGAGACGAATAGTGGTATCGTGAGTGCGAGTGTGCCGTTTCTGAGGTTGGTGTTTAGGGGGAGAAGGAGAAGGAGGGAGGATACTGAGGAGGAGGGTGACAAACGGGCTTGGGTGAGTCCTAGGCTTGAAGGGAATCCGGAAGCTGGAGGAGAGGGAGGGGGGAGTGAAGGGAGTGGAGCTAGGAAGATGGTGGGGAGTATGGAGTTTTTCGATGCGGAAAAAGGGGACGATGGTGGGGTCGCGGGTGGGAAGGGGAGCCCTCTGTGGGAAGGATTCATAACAGTGCCGGCGAGTTTGGGTTCGAGTGCGAGTAGGGATTCCGGGGTTGTGATGGGATCCGGAAGAGCCCAGGGGAGTAGAGAGGTAGATGAGGAGGAAGGGGATGCTGTGAAGCCGCATGTGACGGTTTAAAGGGAGGGGTTCTGGCATGTGAGAATAACGTTGTTGTTCTTGTCGATGTTGACGGTGTTGACGGTGTGGAGATTCACGAGGTGTAGCTGGTCTACTCCGTACTAGGGATGGTTCTCGATGGTTTACCATGTAGAGTGAGTAGTGGGTTTAATGTCGAAGATTTACCGTGTTCACGGGGAGGAAGCAGCATGCGGCCATGGTGTTTTGCAGGTCTATCAGACCGTGGGGGAGGAGCTGTCCCCGCCATACTTGTATAGACCTCAGGAGCTGACCATAGTTGCGATATACGAGCGGTATACGAGCGGCACTAGTAACTAGTTCTCCGAAGCCGCTGGAATGGAATAGTGAGAATACGATACAATACTTGCAGTGTTTGAGATCCAGATGTGTGTGACGTCCCAAGAAGCATTCCAAGCACAATTTCCGCCATCCTTCTTCCGTCCTAGCGCAATTCCAATTCCCCGGATGGCTGAGCTGACCCGGCCCCCACGCTCACCACGCTCGCAGGCCCCGATCCCCTCAATAGCTGGCAGCTTTACCTGTCCGCACCTCTCACCCGTCAACGAATCCAACCATCATTCAATGACCACTTGAAATCGGCCCATCTCTCCCACCCTGGCGCGCCTACGCATCCCCAAGCTCTATCTACTAGCTCTCATCCTCTTCGTCGCCATCTCCACCACCCTGGCATCCCTCCGCTTCGCTCCCCGCACGCCATCTCTCTTCCGCTTTCTGCGGCCTGCGTCCAAGCCCTTTTCCACGACCTCGCAGCACTTATTGGTGAATAGCAGTATGGCGCCGGAACGGTATAGGACGCCCCCTCAGCTGCCGCCGAGGTTCACGGCGACGCCGGAGAGCTTGATTGAGGATACGAAGAGGATTGTATGTTGTGGTTTGGGATATGGGTCGCATGCATAGTGGGGCGACATTTCATACGGACTGGCTGACAAGGCTGCAGATTGAGCGGTCTCGAGGCGTACAGGACCACATTGTGAAGTCCTTGACTCCCGAGACGGCAACGTTCAAGAACACGCTCCTCCCTGTTGCTCACGATGACAATAAGATGGCGCTCGAGACGCACATCATCGGCTTCTATCAGGCCGTGTCGACGGACCAGAAGCTGCGCGATGCGTCGACTGAGGCGGAGAAGATGCTCGACGACTTCAGCATCGAGTCCAGCATGCGGGAAGACGTGTTTAGGCTCGTCGACGCCGTGGCGAAGAAGAAGGAAGAGCTGGATCCGGAGTCGCAGCGTCTGCTGGAGAAGGACCATAAGTCCTACATTCGGAATGGACTGGGTGTCCCTGCAGGACCGAAGCGCGATCGGTTCAAGGAGATCAAGAAGAGGCTCAGTGAGCTGAGCATCCAGTTTCAGAAGAACCTCAATGAGGAGAATGGTGGGATATGGTTTACACCCGAGGAGTTGGATGGAGTGCCCGAAGATCTTGTGGCGTCGTTGAAGAAGGGAGAGGGCGAGAATGAGGGCAAGGTCTGGCTGACGTTCAAGTATCCGGATCTATTCCCTACGCTCAAGTACGCGAACAATGCCGAAACACGCAAGCGCGTTTTTGTGGAGAATGAGAATAAGTGCAATCAGAATGTGCCGCTGTTCCGGGAAGCCATTCTTCTGCGCGACGAGGCGGCGAGGATTCTGGGTTACAACAACCACGCTGAATTTAGGATTGAGGACAAGATGGCCAAGACTCCAAAGACCGTGGACGATTTCCTGTCGGATCTGAGGACCCGTCTTGCGCCAGGTGGAAAGGCCGAGATTGAGAAGCTGATTGAGTTGAAGAAGCAGGATCTGAAGCAGCGTGGCATTTCTGACGGGTCGGATTCGCATTATTTTCTGTGGGACCACCGATACTACGACAGGTTGATGCTGGAGAAGGATTACTCGCTGGACCAACAGAAGATTGCCGAGTATTTCCCCCTGTCTACTACGATCGAGGGCATGTTGAAGATCTTCGAGGAGCTCTTCGGCATGGTCTTCGTGGAGATTGTTGGCAAGGACCGTGATGCGCTTGCGGAGAGCGGCAGTGGCTCGGATATCGTATGGCACGAGGATGTACAGGTCTTCAGCGTCTGGGACGACGAGGGCGAGGGCTCCGGATTCATCGGTTACCTTTACTTGGACCTTTTCCCCCGAGAGGGAAAATATGGTCATGCTGCCAACTTCAACCTCCAGCCGGGCTTCATCCAGGAGGATGGAAAGCGCCGCTACCCTGCGACGGCGCTCGTCTGCAATTTCTCCAAGCCCACGGCGAAGAAGCCTTCATTGCTGAAGCATGACGAGGTCGTCACGCTCTTCCACGAACTGGGCCATGGCATCCACGATCTCGTGTCGCGAACCACGTACGCCCGCTTCCACGGCACCAACACGGTCCGCGACTTTGTTGAAGCGCCCAGCCAAATGCTGGAGAACTGGTGCTGGACGCCCGCGCAACTCCGCTCCCTCTCCAACCACTACTCCTACCTCTCTCCCGAATACGAAGCCTCCTACAAAGAATCCTCGGGCGCGTCCCAGAAGCCCTCGCAGCAGATCCCCGACGAGTACATCACCAGCTTGATCAACACCAAGCATGTCAATGACGCCCTGTTCAATCTGAGGCAGCTGCATTTCGGCACCTTTGACATGACGGTGCATGAACCTGCGAGCCATGAGGAGATTGAGAAGCTGGATGTTACCACGACGTATAATAAGCTGAGGAAGGAGATTGCGCAGTTGGATGGGCCAGAGGTGCTAGGGAGTGGGGAAGGGGAGAAGAAGTGGGGGTGGGGGAATGGTCAGGCGACGTTTGGCCATTTGATTGGCGGGTATGATGCTGGGTGAGTGTTTTTTTGATGGCCTTTTTTCCTCCTTGCTACTATCCATCCTCTGGCGAACGGGCCTTGCTAACTGCAGCGGTGATTCAGATACTACGGATACCTCTCGTCGCAAGTCTACTCGGCAGACATGTTCTACACGGTCTTCAAGTCTGATCCCATGAATGGAAAGGAGGGCCGTCGGTACAGGCACACTGTCCTGGAGCGCGGCGGAAGCAGGGAGGAGATGAGTTTGCTGGAGGAATTCTTGGGTCGCCCGCCGAGCACCGAGGCGTTTTATAAGGAGTTGGGCATCTCAGCATAGTAGATGTTTATTCCTCAGGTGCGGTGATCAAGGGGAGATGTAGAAGGTTTGGCTGATGGGTGGTGCAGTGGTGTAGAAGGCTCCCTAGAAGTTGCAAGGAGCTAATAGCTCATTTATTAGATATTGGTACATTAGACAGGTGTGTAGGCGTTGTGGCCCATGGGTCTGGTGGCTGCTACTACGCTCACGTGGTTGACATGTTGCGATGCTAATTTCCCGTCACTACTACCTCCTAGTATCTATGGTTAATAACTCCGTTGTGTGTTTTTACTGTATGCCGGACAAGAAGTCGGGCAGATCTATCGGTGCAGCTCGCCATACAGTCGGGCCCGGCGCTGAACCGCGGTGGTGCAGGGAGGGGGAACAAGAACCTTACCAAGCCTCATGGTAGTCGAGCTCCACTGCCCCCACGTTCTCGGCATGTTTTATTCCGCCTATTGGGTGTAGGGACCTTGTTGTGTATGGCGGTGTACCATCTTTCTGAGAGAGTATATGTTTGGCTTTGCCCCGTTCCGAGTCGGAAATTCGTCGTAGTGCATCAAGAGAGCTGTGTCACCCAGCGAAGATTGAATCTTGACTGGGAACGGTTTGGCATTCGCCTCGAGGCAGAAGAGTTATTGAGACGGTGGATTGATAATCACCAAGATCTTCGAACCTCGGAGTCAACAGAGCAAACGCAAAGAAGGGAAAAAGGAGCAGAACAATGGTGACGATAACGGGCTTTGAAACGAGGGATGTGCGGTTCCCCGTAAGTTCTACCCCTTTCTTTCGTCTTTTCATAATCCTTTCGTCATGTTGCAAACTCCTCATCCTCTTTATACACTACGGATACATCTTAAGCTGCAAGTGAGTGACAGTGGTGTTTCGGAAAAATGCTGATTTGCTATTTGCTCTAACATAGACGTCTCTCGATAAAACGGGCTCGGATGCTATGAATGCAGCGGGAGATTACTCGGCGGCTTATTGCATTTTGAAGACGGATGTGGGGTGCGAGGGGCATGGGATGGTGAGTTGAAAAGAACTCTTTCTTTTCTTTATACATGTGTAATATTTTTTAACCTTGTTTCCTGTTTTTAAATCTTAGATTCTTCCAATTCTGCCCCCTTCTTCTACGTTTGATGGTCGAGTTGGTTCCTTTTTCTTTTTCCCCTTTCTCTTCATCCCTTTCCTGATAGCACTTGCTATGTGGTGACTGATATCGGATAATGTAAAACGGGCAGTAATGGTGGGTTCAATTTGAATCTGGATTTTGCTTTCTCTTTTCTGAATGGGTATTGTCTCTGGTGTGGTCATGTCTGCTCTGAGGAGAATTATGGACCGTGATCTCTTCTTTCTCTCGATCTACATGTCGTTTCTTCCTAAAGCGTCTCTATACTCATCCAAACGAATCTTAATTTTCTTTCGCTCTTCACTAACGAACCACTCTATACTTACAGACCTTCACCATTGGACGAGGCAATGACGTCGTCTGCTACGCCATACCGTATCTCGCCGAACGCATCAAGGGCAAGACGCTCGAGTCGCTGGTGGAGAATTGGGGGAAGACGTGGAGGTATTTGGTCAATGATAGTCAGTTGAGGTGGATTGGTGAGTTCTGTTCTTCTCCCTTCACCAACATTCAAGAATCCAGGGTGCCCTTATAACACCTCGTCAACACCTCCTCCCCCTTTCCTTTGTCCCCTCCCACCCGCAACCTCTTTAGAAGCAGCTACTAACACGCACACCAGGCCCCGAAAAAGGCGTCATCCACCTCGCTCTCGGCGCCGTCGTCAACGCCCTCTGGGATCTCTGGGCCAAAGTCCTCGGCAAACCCGTCTGGCGCATCGTCGCCGACATGAGCCCCTCGGAAATCGTCTCCCTCATCGACTTCCGCTATCTCACCGACTGTCTCACGCCCGAGGAAGCCCTTGCCATCCTCGAGAAAGCGCAAGAGGGGAAGAAGGACAGACTCCAGGAGGCGTTGGAGAATCGCGCGGTGCCAGCGTATACTACGAGTGCGGGGTGGTTGGGATATGGTGAAGACAAGATGAGGGGTTTGTTGGAAGAGACGCTGGGGCAGGGTTATAAGCATTTTAAGCTCAAAGTAGGTGGGGATGTGGAGGGCGATAGGAAAAGGTTGACGATTGCGAGGGAGGTGATTGGGTATGACCGCGGAAACGTGCTCATGGTGGATGCGAATCAGGTCTGGGATGTGCAGGAGGCCGTGACGTATATGAACGAGTTGAAGGAGTTTCGGCCGTGGTTCATTGAGGAGCCGACGAGTCCTGATGATGGTATGTCGAGTACTCCTTCTTCTCCCTCGCAGCCCACTTGGACACAAAGCACAACACACCCTTTTCAAATTGTTCCCATGCTAAGATATGTCAGTCCTCGGGCACAAGAAGATCAAAGACGCCCTCGCCCCCTTGGGCATCGGTGTAGCAACAGGTGAGATGTGCCAGAACCGCATCCTCTTCAAACAATTCCTGGCTGCTTCAGCCCTCAATGTCATCCAACCCGACGCCTGTCGTCTCGGCGGCCTCAACGAAGTCCTCGCCGTCCTCCTCCTTGCCGCAAAGTACAACGTCCCCGTAGTACCTCACAGCGGCGGCGTCGGTCTGCCGGAGTACACTCAGCATCTCAGTACGATTGATTACGTGGTGGTCAGTGGAAGGAAGAGTGTGCTCGAGTATGTGGACCATTTGCATGAGCATTTTGCGAGGCCGGCGAGGGTGGAGAATGGCCATTATGTTACGCCCAGTGAGCCAGGGTATAGTGTGGAGATGAAGAGGGAGAGCATGGATAGGTGGGCATTTCCGGGAGAGGAGGGAGTAAGTTGGTGGCGAAGTGACGAAGCTAGGGTGATTTTGGAAGGGGAGAAGATTTAAACGCTATGACTTGCGGAATATTGGGTGGATTGAAGGAGGCAAGGGAAAGGGAGATAGATGGACTGTAGCACCGGAAAACTAAAAAGATAGCTTAACAAACGCGGAAGACTTGGAAGCCGGCATATGAAATGTCTTTGAAGCCATCTCGGTCATCTTAACAAAGGATCCAACCTATCAAGACACAGTGGCATGACTGCGAAGGAAGCCACCATGGAAGCCCACCGTACTTATATTTCCTTACGCTTGTGCTCAAAAGCCTGTGGATAAAGCACCAGTATCATGGTATACATTCCGTTTCATACCCCCCTGCTAATGGGACAACCAAGGTCAAGCCCAAACGAGAAGAAGCATGAACCGGGTTCTCCACGCTGGATCTAAAGGGGTGATATTGGTCGACCGATAGGACCCGGAGCCTTTCCCTCTTCCCGCTTATTTGATACCTCGTTTCTCCTGCTCACTGTAGTAAATAACCATACGCCAAAGCTTCTTAACTAATCCTTCTGCTTCCTCGTCCAGGGCCTGTCTCATATTAGCACAATGATCCGTAAAGCATCGACATCAGAGGACTTACCACTTCCAGGTTATCCACCAACTCCTGCGGTTCACCCTTGTTCTTAAGATGATCCACGATAGCGTCAACCAGCAAATCTTCCTGGATACCCATGATGTCCAACACCTTCTTCTCCGCCCACCTCCTAATGTCTGTGTCGATGCTCTTAGCAGGCAGATGCTCCCATGAGACCTTCCACGCCCACAAGCCCTCCTTGTCGCTTGGAATCTCCCTTGCGAGCTGTTGCTGCGCTTCGACAATCTCCTCCGCGGTAAGATTGGCACGAACTGAAGGATCGAAGCTGATGGGAACAAGAGTACGCTTTTTGGTCGTGGGAGTTTCCACCATCTCTTCGTCTTCGAGCATGTCTTCAACCTCGGCGACGGTGCGGCGTGGTGCAGCAGCCGCTTCGATCTTCTTCGCTGCTGCTCCGAGCGAAAGCTTGAAGGGTTCGGCTTGACGAGGTGCTCTTGCCAGCTCCTCGGCCTGCTGCTCCAGGAACGAGTCGGCCAGACCGCGAGCAACTTCTGCCTTCTTCTGGGTGGCGGCGATCTCTCGCTGCTCCTGTGCTCGATCTTGGGCATCATCTCTGGCTTCCCGCTCCCTCGTCTTCTCACGCTCGCGCAGATATTGGCTGTGATCCTTACAGTAGAGGAGGTGCTTCTTCGAAGCCTCGTCGTCATCATCAAATTCCTCGAGAAACCTGGCTTGAGAATCACGTGCCTTCTGTTTCTCCGCCTCTTCGTTCTTCATGCGGTCAGAGGTTCGCTCCAAAGATGTGGCATTCCTGTTCTCATGTTTCATCCATTGGCTCAATTTCTTCCTGTAAAGATCGTCCAGCTCGTCTTGCTTGGCCTTCCGACGACGGCGCTCCAATTCTTCATCGCTAGCCGGGTCATCGTCGTCTTCACGGTTGATGTAAGTACCGTTATTCAACGCACCGCCGTTGATGAAGTTTACTCCCGCCTGGTAATCTCGAGGGAATTGAGAGCCTTTCGGTCCGCTGGGGGCTCCTTGGACACCGCGATCAGCTCTGGGTCCTAGAGGTACTCCATTAGCACCGTTTGCCCCGCCCGGTCCAGTAGGAGCCAACGGTGGAGGCGAGGCACGCCTGCCACTTCGGCGGCGCTCTTCCGCCTCGAGCTCTTCTTCCCTACGTAGTCGTTCCTGGTCGCGGCGGTTTGATCGGTCGCGAAAAGCAGCAATCTCGGCTGCTACGATTTCGCGCATCTCAGGAGGGATATCCGCAAGCTCGTCCTCGGCAGAAAAGGCGATATTGACGATTTCCACGCCCTCTGTGTCGTGTGCAGGCACGTCCTGCATTTTGACGTCTTCCATGTGATCCACAGGAAGAGGACGTGGTGGATGGAAAAGACTCGCCAGCACGCCCTCAAGCGTCTGTCTCGCCTGATCAATGCGGAACTGTGCTATGCTCTCATCCTCATTTCGACGGGCTTTCCACTCCTCAGCATATTTAATCGAGGCATCATCGACCATGACCAACAACTTCGTCTTCTCAATCTCAACCTCCTCTCCCTCCTTCTTCACTCCCGGTTCCTGACGCTTGGTCGGCACTTCCACGTTCTTGAAGATCTCCGCCGCCGTTTCCAGACCCTGTGCATCTTCGTACTCGGCAAAACCAAACGTTTGCGGCTTGTTGTTTGCATCCGTGGCTCTTATCCAACGGACCAGGCCTCCGGCACTGGCGAGGATACGCTCCATCCCTTCATCACCGCCGACGCCAGGCGGTATGTTTCCGACAAAGATAGTCCGCGCAATCTCCTCGCGCGTGGGAGGAATGATCTGCTGCGTGTCTCTGCCTCTAGGGCCATCGGCGTCCCGCATCATAGAATCCATTCCCAGGCCTCGACGCGAAGGCATTGCTCCACCGTCTCTACGCCCACCTCCGCCTTCCATGCCCATGCGAGGTCTATCCGAAGTGCCCAGCCTGATGACTGGCGCATTGAAGTTGATATTCGGCATGTTCGCAGGTGGTTGCCAATTTGGGGGAAGATTTCGAGGCCCGCCAAGAGCCGGGGGTTGCGCTGGAGTGGGCGATGGGGATATACCAGGTGGTGCGGCGCCGGGAGGCACTGGTCATCAGTTAGCGATGGCCTCTGAGACATTGACTCAACTTTCGAGAGGAGATCCGATACGTACCCATTCCTGGCGGTGGGCCCATCCCAGGCGGAGGAGCTCCATAACCCGGCGGCGGGTTGTACCCGGGAGCTGCATCTGTTAGAAGGTCATGTTGGAGAGGCCTAGAAGCGTGTCTTACCTCCGTAATTATACATGGTTGAAACTTCACTCCGCAGTGTCCTAGTAATGGGATTCCAGATGTGGTTGAGAAGAAGTGTATCGCGACTGGAGACAGAGCTGTAAACTGAGAGGACGGCAGGTGGCTTCCTGTAGAATTAGTGTAGTTCCCTTGCGGGATCCCCCGAAGATCAACCGGCGAAATTCATGCATATCTCACGTGATCACTTCTCGCAACCAACCTCCCTCGCCCATCGAAAGCCGTCAGGACGCTCCTCCGGTGCCAAACATCCTGAGAGCCAGCAACACGATGGGCTCTCGACAGCTAGGGGAGGTCCTTCTCCGCCCCCCACCGCTGCGAAGCCTCATCCTTCCTCAATCGTCACGTCCGGTTTGGAGATGCGCTTCGCAAAGTGCTCCTCGACTTCAACGAGGTATCAACTTCAGCACCTCCGCCAGTACCAACGCAGCGCAGAACTCGGCCAGAAACCCTCAGGCCCCGAGGCCTCAACACCAAAACCCATCCACCGAACAACCTCGTCCCTCCCAAACCGCGACTTCTTCTCCCACACCCTCAAAAGACGACCTCTCCCGTGCCATCTCCGACCTCTTCCCCTCCTCAAGTCAGGCTGCCCCCAACCGCAAACAAGCGCAGTCGCACCCTTCTGCCGCCTCCGCCGCCATCGACGCCCTCTTCGCCAATTCCGGCATCGGCCGCACCCGCCCAATCTCCTCGTCCGACGAATTCGGCGCCGCGGCCGCTGCCGCACGCACGGCTTCTTCTCCAGCGACGCGCGGCCGCGGGCCCTTCGGCGCAAACTTCTCGCGCCCGAACCCCAACCTGCGTCCTCAGTTGCGGACCAATTGGGCCGAGATGAACACCCCGGATGCGTTTCCCCTGCAACCGTCTGATCTGTCTGCTGCAGCAGTGCCCACCGTGTCGGACAAGGATATCGTATACCCTCGTTTGAACGCCACGACGGGACGCACGATAGAGTTGGATCCGAGCCGTGGGAGAGATATTGTGCGGGGATTGAGCATGCTGGGGCAATTGGTGGCGAGGAATAGGGTCAAGCAAGACTTTAACAAACAGCGATTCCATGAGCGGCCTGGGTTGAAGAGGAAGAGGCTTAAGAGTGAGAGGTGGAGGGCGAGGTTCAAGAGGGAGTTTGATGCAACGTGTAAGCGGGTTTCTGAGCTGACGATGAAGGGTTGGTAATTCAATCGGTCAAGGTAGTGGAACAGGTCTGTCTGCACAGAAAATGGTCAGGGTGTAGATTTGTAAATTGCATTGTACAATACGAATCGCCGCACGTTCGTGCCGCTGCTGTTCCTGGTTGCGCATGAATCAACATCCACGTTTTGCCATGCTTCGCCATGCAATAATGCAGACTTGGGTTCCTACCAGATATCCCAGAATCAACCCATGCTCCTAATCCCCATCCAACAGCGGACATCACCCTCTGGTCTAGTCCTTCTTCCCAACACCATACCCATAGCCACCCACGCCATACCCATACCCTCCATACCCAGACCCGTTCCCATTTGAAGTTGGCAGCCCATAGCCACCGCCAAACCTTCCCGCTCCCACTCCTCCCCCAATCTTATCCCTCGCATACCTCCTCAACCGCCTCGGCAACTCCACTCCCCTAAAATACGCCACGCAAACGGCCGCACTCGCCCCCGCCGACAAAATGCAATAAATCAACGTACTCGTATACACGTGCCCGCCATACCCGGACCACCCTGGCGGTAACGTGGTGCTCGGATACCAGCGGACGGAGAATTGCAGGGGGAGGTCGTCGCCGATGGTGACGCGCGTGTTGCGTGCGTGGCTGGAAATGCTGTAGGCGGCTGCGGCGTCGATGGTGCCCGGGCTTATGGACTTTGGGGCCGCGTGGACGAGCAGGTTGAGGTAGTTGCCGACGTGTAAGTGCGAAAGTTGGAGAGTCCCTGAAATCGCAATGATGAGGGGTGTGTAGAGGGTGGATTGGCTCCCTATAGCGCCTTCTTGGGTGGATTGGTCGGAGACTTTGTAGGCGGTTGTTGGCGAGGCGGGAAGGGGACGCGAGGGAATGCGGCAGGTTAGCGGGGCGTCGTTGTGAATGTAGAATTCGAGGAGGTGGAAGAGAGGGTCCGGGATGGACGTTAGGGTGCAATTAAGCTCTGTGGGGGAGGTTAGACGTTTTGAAGAGACGGAGGGGGAGCCAGGGAGCAGGTCTTGTGTACCTTTCTCCACGCCGAAGAACAGCTCCAGCGGTCGTCCTGTTTCACTGCATACCGGAAATGGTACATACTGCAGCTGGCCATTCACGTCCATAATCTGCCGCCAATGTCAACTTTAAACGTTCCACGGAGCTTGAGAGCACGCGGTAGCTATCAGCGTACATGTTCACCCGTTTCTCTGGACAGCTTTCGCGTTAGCTATATGCCAGTTCTAGAAGCCCGAAAACTAACATGGACCTATTCAAACATGTCACTGGTATACTTTCACCAAACTTATACCCATCCACAGTCGCGGCTTTGAGGGGTTCCTGACCGGAGAGCGCGTGGGCCAGAGAAACCCAGAATGAATAAAGCGCTAACAGCAGAAGCCATGTTGACGAGGCTCGCGGCGCCATGAAAGCGAATACAATGAAGCAGAAGAGAGATACCTCAACAATGCGTCGACATTGCGTGAGAATCTGGCGTTTCCTTGACGTAGTGAATTCGGCCCAAATCATATATCTGGGGTTATGTAAGACGGACTGAACGCTCGGACCACATGTTCATGTTCCTTCAAATGTTAACTCTCTGGAAGGGGGCGACTTGCTTCACTGCACATGTCACTTTCTCTAAGCTGGGAGAAGGGCTAAATAGATTGGAAGTCTTTCGTTCAGATCTCCCTTCATAAACAGGTTCTTTTGTTTCCTAACGTGTTTCCTGACATACCACGTCGCTGCCATCAGTCATAAGGTATTTGAGATGGGTTGGAGACCCATCTACAATTGCGCCTTCTTCTTGAAGGCGTTGATAAGGCCGCTGGTGCTGGCATCATGGGAGGTGGACTCGCCGGCCTCGTCAAGCTCAGCCAGGATCTTCTTGGCCAAGACCTTGCCCAATTCGACGCCCCACTGGTCGAAGCTGTTGATGTTCCACACGGCACCCTCGGTGAACGTGAGGTGCTCATAGTAGACAATCAAGGCACCGAGCGTGGCCGGCGTGATCTTATCCGCAAGAATGGACGTGGTCGGTCTGTTACCAAGGAACGTTTTGTGCGCCACAAGGTTCTCCGGGGCGCCCTCTGCCTTCACCTGCTCTGGTGTCTTGCCAACCATCAGTGCCTCCGCCTGCGCGAAGAAGTTGGATGCAAGCATCCTATGCGGATCAGCGAAAATGTTACACAAAAGCATGACGTACTCACTTCTGATGCTTGTTGTTCTCGACCGGATTGTGGCTCTGGGCAGCCAGAATGAAATCAGTGGGAATGAGTTTCGTTCCCTGGTGGAGAAGCTGGTAGAACGAATGTTGGGCGTTCGTGGCAGGCTCACCAAACAATATCGGACCAGTGGTATATTTGACATAATCTCCGCTGCGGGTAATGGCCTTGCCGTTGGACTCCATGGACAATTGCTGGAGGTAGGCAGGGAACCTGTGGAGATATTGGTCGAAACTGAGAAGAGTCAGTGATAGGTCTATAGGCTTGCCAACTTCAGCTTACGGGGAGACAAGATGCGTCTGAGCACCGAAGAAGTCGGAGTACCAAACGCTCAAAAGGCCACCAAGCACGGGGATGTTCTGCTCAAGCGGTGTCTCCTTGAAGTGCTTGTCCATGGCATGAGCACCGGCGAGGAATTGGTGGAAGTTGTCATAGCCGATGTAGAGAGCCACACTCAACCCAATCGCGCTCCACACGCTATAACGGCCGCCAACCCAGTCAGAGAATCCGAACATGTTCTTCTTATCGATGCCAAACTTGGTAACCTCCTCCTCGTTTGTCGAGAGAGCAACAAAGTGCTTCGCAATGTCCTCCTGCTTTGCGCTCTTCAGGAACCACGACTTTGCCGTGTTGGCATTGGTCGTGGTCTCAGCAGTGGTGAAAGTCTTGGACGCAATGAGGAAGAGGGTGGTCTCGGGGTTGGAGTCCCGCAGAGCCTCGGCAATGTGGGTGCCATCAATGTTGGAGACGAAATGCATCTTCAGGTTGCGGTCTGCATAAGCCTTGAGAGCTTCTGTGACCATGACTGGTCCGCTGTTCCAGGTCAGCTCAAGCTCGAAGAATGTGACACCAGCCAAATGCTGAACACCTACAGGTCAGAGCCGCCAATGCCAATGTTGATGATGGTGTTTATCCGCTTTCCGGTATAGCCCTTCCACTCGCCACTTCGGACCTGCTCGCTGAACTCCTTCATATGCTGCAGCACCTCGTTGACACCCTCGACCACGCTCTTTCCGTCAACCTGCATGCGTTGATTGGAAACATTGCGGAGAGCGACGTGGTAGACGGCGCGGTTCTCGGTGAAGTTGATCTTCTCGCCCGCGAACATCTGATCACGGAGCTGTTCGAGGTTCGCCTCTTTTGCAAGCTCAACGAGTAGCTTCAGAGTCTCTTCGGTAATGAAGTTCTTGGAGAAGTCAAAGAGGATATCGGTGTTGTCGGCGTCATTGTGGAAGGTGCGGGAGAACTTCTGGAACCGCTGAGGGTCCTTCTGGAAGTACTCTTTCAGGATAATATCCTTCCCAAGCTTCTGATGGTGATCCTGAAGAGCACTCCACGCGGAAAGGTCCGACGCCTGCGAGAAACCGGGCATGTTGTTGTCGTGGTGTTGTTTACGCTGAGCTACGGAAGGAGGTCAGTTGGGCAGCGGGTGAAGTGCAGGGACCAGCGGGGCGAGACATACAAATAATTGAGAAGTAACTAGCGGTCAGCGGAGAAAAGAGAGAATTGAAATTTCACGAAGCAATTGGGGAGATGGGAAAGGTTTGAATGCGTTTCCGCGGGGGGATGTTGTGGCAGAAGTGGTGGCAGGAGGCGCCCTTGGCGGGGCACGCATCATTCAACCATTCATCCCTCTCTGACGTCTCGACCGCGACAAACGTGGGGCAGCTTTTGCTCATCCCGCGCTAAGCCTAGTCGGGTACTCCGACGGTTCAATTTACCATGAGTACCGTACCAGAGTATGCTTTTTCTCGCCTGCGAGGAATATAAACATACACAGTACAGCTTGTCCACCGTCCGCGCCTTGTGAAGGAGTCCATGCTTGAGAGCGCGCTGCAGACCATATGGTATCGTATCGTCTGTATTGCAAGACTAGGTAACACAAATGCTGCCATAGACGCCGGGTCCGCCAAGTGCTCAGCACAAGACCCGACGAGAATCGCAGCGGAACCCATATACCCAGAACCCGTCAAAACTTCCGCCTAGCCCACCTCGCTATGGCTGGAATGTGTGAGTATGGAGCGCAAACCTTTCCGCATGCATGAACAAAACTAGTCGCAATCATTCCTGAGCGCGGCCACTGCTACTTCGATTGACGTCGCCATTTGCCTCCTTGCGTCTCATCGTTCGCTGATACTTCCGAAGGACGGATCCTTCACCGAGCCTCCAGCATCACCAAGACCAGCTACCGGCCGGTTGTACGACCAGCCGGCAAACTGGTCCTGCATGGTCTGGGAAAGCGTGGGTCCGTCCACGTACGAGTCCGCAGGCGCCTCGGACGTGAACTCACGATCGAAGTTAGCCGTATCCAGGGCATCCACCTAGGCGAGTGTCAGCAAGCCGCATCCCACAAAGCAGTCATATTGTCCACATACCACGTTCGGCTTGAAGCTGGGCTCATATTTGCGCTCCAGAAGCTTCCGCCAGTCGATGCTGTGGAAGAAATAGTGGGCCTTGATCTCAGCTGCACCTTTCGCACCCAAGCGCTTGGCGGGATCACGATCAAGCAAGCGTGTCAGGAGATCACGCGCCGCCACTGGTACGATCTCGGGACCTGGGAAGTGCAAGGGCTCGTTGAGAATCTTCCTATACATCTCGTTCGTCTGTTCGTCGTAGAATGGGGGCAGACCGGTCAACATCTCGTAGAGAAGCACTCCGAGAGTCCACCAATCCACTGCCTTCGTGTAACCACCTCCCGTAAGCAGTTCAGGGGCAAGATACTCTGGCGTTCCACAGAAAGCTGATACAGAGTCAGTAAAGGTCGCGATTCGCCGGCGTTTTAGACATACTATTTGTCCTATCCTCATCCTTCATGTCGAGCTTACACAGACCGAAGTCGCAGAGCGCAATGTGTCCTGTGTAATCCAGAAGGATGTTCTCGGGCTTGAGATCGCGGTAGATGACGTTGAACCCATGTAGACACTCCAGCGCACAAAGGAGCTCCGCAGTGTAGAAACGAGCGCGGTTGATATCGAATCGCTGCTCCTTCTGAAGATGATGGAACAGCTCCCCTCCATTGACAAAGGCCAGGACGAGGTAGAGCTTCTCGGGAGATTGGAACGAGAACTTCAGGGGTACTATGAATGGATTGTTGATTTGGGCCAGAACCGATCGCTCCGCAAGGGTATGAGCAACTTCTGAACGAGAGATGATGTGAGCCTTGCGTATGGTCTTGAGGGCGTAGATCCGGCGCGTATCCTTTTTCCTACGATCGTTAGCTTGGCGACGTCGTGCTGGGGCGGGGAGACGTACATGACCTGCATAACCTTGCCAAAGCTACCTTTTCCGACGACCTTGAGCAACTCAAAGTCGTCGATGGTCAATCGATCATTGCGGTTCTCGACAAAGTGGACACCGACTTTGATGGAGCCAGTACCGTATCCAACGTCAATCCACTCGGTGCCAACCTGACCGGCCGATATGGCTTTCTCTTTATCCTTCTTGCTCGCCTTGGCTTCGGCTTGCTCTGGAGTCTCCTCGAACCGAGGGTTGACTTTACAGGTTCCGATGAAGATATCCTCGCTTCTACCGGAGTTGGGCGGCGAGTTGGGATTGCGGATGTAGAGTGAGATGCTCAAGTGAGTGATCCTGGACACGTCAAATTTGTACTGCGTGTTCGTCCCCGCCCAGACTGGATTCTCGGGGCTGCCCGACACGGCGTTGATGAAGACTTGTTGTTTATCGAAGTCAACCAGGGCGTAGGGCAGGTATCGAGAGGAGTAACGGCCATGGTTTGACGGCACGGCATTGATGCTGCCCGCTGCCGATTGCGGTCTGTTGGAGGAATATGAGCCAGGAACTGCATTGCGTGAGGAGTTGGGCCGCATGGAACCCGCAACTGAAAAGCCGCCTCCTGCCGAGAGCGAACCCTGGTGATGACTCGAGGAGAAGGCCTGTTCAGCCCCCGGTGGGAGCGAGAACCCCTTTCCCTCATGGAGAGTGACTATGAGGACACCAGGCCTGAGCGGTGGGGCGGGAGGGATTGCCTGTGACGCCGCTGCGGCTTGTGTCAGCAGTTCTCCTCAACTCGACAAGCCGACCCGACGCACCAATGCCATTGGGATCGTTTGAGTCTGCGAGAGTAGTACTGCTCGCAGAGCTAGAGACAGAGGGTTTGGGTGTGGCTGCGTCGCCTGTAATGGTCGAAGTGGACGAGGACCGGCTGAAGGTATTGGCGAGGGGCGCAAGATGCGTCTCCTTTAGCTCTGCGAAAGTCAGCACTACCCCTGGCAGAGCGAGAGTGTGTGAGAAGGTTACAGACTCTTGGTGAGCTTCCACGACATGGCGATGATTGTACACTACGGGCGACCTCAAGGGAGGGCGCTGCAGTGCAGAGTGCAGGGGCAGAGGGCGATGGTGGGGGACTCGTTGGGGGCGCTCCCCAGCGGGCGGTGGTTGCAGCGGGGGAGGAGATGCGAAGTCGAGATAGATGCAGCGAGCCGCACGAACGATGCGACGTTCTAGAGACTGGCAGGATGCCCAAGGAATAACAATGCAAGAGATTGGAGAGCAACGAGAACAGATTCTGTGGTGGTAAGTGGGATGTTTGTGTGTGTAGGGGGATTGTAGGGACGTACGAGGGAAGTAAATACGGTGAGCCCGGGCGGAGAGAGGGTCGGGTAGGTGGTGGAGGCGTCGGCCGGGTCGCGGTTTGTGCGGTTGCCAAGCCAGAACGCGCCTGAAGCTGGGGCAACGCCAACGGGTGCGCCGCTGCCCTCCTCCAACAAGGCACATCCGCGGGACCACCGGCAGCTTGTTGACAAGCATCGAGCGTGAATCAATAATAGTCGACTTGTACTGTACTAATAACGAGACCCATCTCCAGCCTAGTGTTGACAGACGTGTCAACACTTTTTGCCCACCTGCCAGGCCCGGATTCTCCGCACCAGCGAACCGACATGCCCATCTAGAAACTATCACCACCATCCGCTATGGGCCTTATCAAGAAGAAGACGACGTCCCGGGGAACCGAAGGAGGGGTGAAATACATCTGTGATGTATGCTCTTCAGATGTCACTGCGACCGTAAGTTACGAGTTCCCAGAACGAGAGCCTGAAGGCCTGTATCCCCTCCGACTCACTCCTAGTACTGACATGTGCAGGTCCGTATACGTTGCGCCGACTCTGCCTGCAATGATTTTGACCTGTGCGTGTCCTGCTTCTCCGAGGCCAAAACTGCTCGCGATCACGATCCGGCAACCCACGCCTATCAAGTTATAGAACAACATTCAATACCTATTTTCAAGGAAGATTGGGGTGCTGATGAAGAGCTGGCGCTCCTTGAAGGGGCTGAGATTTACGGCCTTGGTTCATGGGCCGATATTGCCGATCACATCGGTGGTTACAGGACGAAAGACGAAGTACGAGATCACTATATCGACACATATGTGAATAGTTCCCGGTTTCCCCTGCCAGAACATTGTAGCCCAGAAGACAAGGAGCTCAGCGAGCGGATACCGCGCGATGAATTCCAGGCTCGTAAGAAGAGGAGAATAGAAGAGCGCAAGGAGGCTGCCAAGAATGCTCCACCGGCTACCCCTAAACAGAAGCCTACGGCCAGTGTGCCTGCGTGTCACGAGGTTCAAGGCTATATGCCTGGACGTTTGGAGTTTGAGACAGAGTACTTCAACGATGCCGAGGAAGCGGTCCAGCATATGCAGTTTGAGCCGGGAGACGGCATCAACCCGCGGACGGGCGAAATGGAACCGGAGATGGAGCTGAAGATGACTATCATGGACATATACAATTCCAAGTTGGATGCGAGAGTCGAACGTAAACGAATCATCTTTGAGCACAGACTCTTGGAATATCGGAAGAACGCCCTCGCCGACAAGAAGAGGACGAAGGAAGAGAAGGATCTCCTCAACAAGGCCAAACCCTTTGCCAGGATGATGAAGCACGATGACTTCACCAAATTCTGTGATGGCTTGGCATACGAGCACCAATTGAGGCAAGCCATCGCACAACTGCAGGAGTGGCGGGCGAATCAGGTCGATACACTGAAGGCGGGTGAGAAGTATGAACAGGAAAAGCAGCTGCGGCAGTCTCGCGGTCCTCAAGTGGGACAATTCGACCGTCTGGCCTCCAACAGACTCGGAAAGCCTACGCCACCTGCAGAAGCTCCTTCGGGCGCATCACTACTGGTTGCCTCTGAGTTGCCCGAGCGGTTGAAGAACGGCGGGCTTTCAACACCACCGCCTGAGAGACCTGCCAACGGGGTCAATGGAGTTAACGGAGTGCTGGCACCACAATTTACCAAGACGAAGTTCACCACACGGCCGCTGCCAAATACCGTCCCACTGAAGTTCGGCAAGGAAGCTGTACCCGATCTTCAGCTACTGACCCCCGAGGAGCGCGAGGTCTGCAGCATCCTGCGTATCATGCCAAAGTCCTACTTGGCTATCAAGCACAAACTCTTGCAAGAAGCCATCGACCATGGTGGCGCTCTTAAGAAGAAGACTGCTAGAGAACTTTGCAAAATCGACGTCAACAAAGCCGGACAATTGTTCGATTTTTTCGTTCATAATGGATGGATCGCGAGGGCTTAGACTTGGTCCTGGGACTGGAATTTTTGGCTTGGCGAAACTCCTTCTGCGATACCCCACTTCGCCTTGTTGTAGGTAGAGGCTCAATGTTATATTGTCATCCGTTTTCCTTCTTCATGTACTTCATGTGTAAAATGTCGCATTTCCCAAGCAAAGTCCTCAGACCTAGCCAACGGCTCACCTCGTACCTTCTTAGCTCCACGAGCCCCAATGGTTCTTGAGAACACCTCGATTCGTAGCATGGACCTGGGATGTTCAGGAACGATGTCTTTACAAACTGAACTTCGGATTGAATATCGACGTGGAATTCACGAGAGCTGATGATGAGGATTCACCATTAGTGACATCTTTTGGTAAGGATATCTAGAAAAGGGCATTCGGTCGACCTCGATCTACCATGGAGTTAACATCCTCCTTTCCAAAGTCGTTCATACCCATGGATGGGTCGGGGAGTGAGAGACGTCACGTGAGGCCCGGTTTAGTCTCAATGACGCTTGGCGGTAGTTTCCCCATGTTTGTTTCCACTTCTCCACACTGCCTTCAATAAGCTTCCCCGCCACAAACACCAGATTCTCGACTCTCCCGGGCAACTCACAGCTATACGAACTCACTGTTTCCGCGCTTTGCGAATTCTAAGGTTCAGCTCTCGTGCCGCCGTGTCTCTCCCTCCCACGAGCTTCTGGTTCCGTCAGCCCCAGACAGCCTCTCCGGCAGCGGTGATCGCAACGCGCCGATCGCTCAGCATGCCTGGTTTGTTCGCCAAAGAGCGTCCAGGTCCATTATCTGAAATCGAAATCCACTCTCCTCTACCTCGCTCACCCATGGGTCCAACAACTGTTGTTCGCCATGTGACCAACTTTGGCGTTCACGAGACCGGGAAGCTGTATCGTCCCCCGAACAGCCCCATGACGACGAGCTCATCGATGTTTTGCAGCGCCGGTGCAGATGTGTTGGCGAATAGCACTCCTTCGATATCTCGCTGCTCTGATATACGAAGTCCACCTCCGCTCGCCAACGATCGATACCAGCTTGCAGGAGGTATGGAGCCAACAGATCGGTGCGCTGGACACGCCGGGGATTACGACGATTACTTCCAACTTGAAAAACATCGCCAACTGTGGACACCTTCGATCCCCTCTGCCCGGCCGCGAGACCAGCATTCACCTGACGACATGGATTCCACCCCAACCGCGAAAGCGTGGGTCCTCAATCAGATCTACAATCTCGTAGGGGGAGTTGCAGGCAGTCTTATCCAGTTCTGCTCTCGCCCGTTTCGTGGTTTTCAGGCAGGAGGCGGGCAGGCGTACACATTTGGACCGGAAGAAGAGGTGGTGAGAGAGGGAATCAGGGAATCAGCGCACGAGCAGGAGTTGTCCACACCAGTGCGGCCTCATACCATGGTACCAGCAAACTATCCCGAAGACAACTACGGCGTGCTTTCGTTGGAGTCTCTGGACAGTGAGCGCCCAAGAATGGCCAAAAGACTGCGAACAGCGGACAACTGGGTGATGGTAGACGCAAATGGAGACGTGGAATCGCGACCTTCGACGCCTCGACTATCCGAACGGCGACTGCCCAGCCATACCCAATCACCGTCGCGGATACCCAGACCTGTGTCCAGAACACATGAGCTACAGACACCCTCGAGGCGGCCTTCACTCATCCCTGTATCTCGACGGTCCACACTTGCCAGGCAGGCAAACCACGGGGCGCGTCCGGCCTTCTCCCAGCCCAGCAGCACACCGAGGTCGTACAATCGCCAAAGCTACGGTTCGCCCGCCATGTTCAAGGATAGTAAAAGCAGCAAGCAGAGCCCGTTGCCAGCAGAGACGCAGCGCCTAATCAACCAGAGACGTCGCGAGCAGCTTGAAGACGAGGCGCGCCTACACCGAATGAGCTCGCAGATGGACGAGATGCTTCGGCAGGCGCGGGAGGCGTTGGGAAGGAAGATTGAGATAGCAGAGGGCGACTACACTTGAGATAGCGACGCCGTAAGACACGACGACGGCAACTGAAAATGGATTCCGAATCGCTACAACGCAGTCTCCGCTCTGAACTCCCAAGACGCATTCTCACCCGAACCAGCCGCTGTCCTGCTTGGAGCCGACTGGGTGAGCTTGTGTGGATCCGGTTTGAAAATGCTCGGGATCTCAGGATTTCGGCCTCATGGAAGTTTCCTCGTAAAGCCGGCCTCCCTTCGCGTTTCCGGTTGTCGGCAGCATCTTCCGTCAGGCACGACTAGATTGATGCCATGGGATGTGGCCCCGCAGTGCTGGGTTCCCAGCCCCCCTTGGCACACGTGTGCCTCTGCTCCCCGCCAACTGCTACCTTTAGCAGCTGTTCATGGGCCTGCTGTGAACTTGCTAATGACGAAGGGCATAGGGCCGGTTCTCACACCAGAGATGGCTGGGTGAACGACACGCCGTTTTGCCTGCCGTTGAACGAACGAACTAGACTTCCACAGACACAGCTGGAGCTCTTACCAAGTACAGCTATCTACGGTCGGCGCCGCCCAACCCCGCATGCCCCGCCCTATTCACAAGTCGCGAGAACCACGGCACACGACACCAGCAATCGTAGTCGTGCCACTTGTGCAGCCCGGGTGCAACCCCAGCGTTCCCATTATTCCTATCTCGCAGGCCTGGACCCGCACCTGTGGATATTTGAACGCTACACAGCCTCCCTCCGCCTCTGCCATATTCCCTCATTCCCCTCGTGCTTCTAGCTTCTGTCGGGCTGCGCCACATAGCCTTTGTACATCCTTCGACACTTCTGCTCCTCACCGTCAGGCGTCGGCATGACTTGCAACATCCACCAGACGCCGTGGGTGGAGCCTCTGCCATTGTACACGCGTCACGATCCGGACGCCCTGTCTATCCGTAGCGCAGCTCCTTCGTACGTGTCCGAGACGCCGACGTACACCTCACGCCGACCCAGCCACGACGTCTCAACCCCGACATCACTCCTCCCACCTCGCTCTGCGAACCAGCAGACGCGAGGCCTCCCCCCTGCCCGCTATGCTCCCGGCTTCCAGTCGCGCGCACCGGGCTCAGTCTCCGAAGTGAACATGCGCAACTTGCCCGTGAACGCGTGGAGTACAACTAGCCCAAACAACAGTAGGCAATATGAAGCAGTGGCTCGACGGCGCGCCAGTCAAGCTGCAAGCAGCAGAGCTAATGCGAACCCTGCTGTTGCTTCCATCTCCCAGAACGGCGCAGGCAATGCACGTCCGTCTTCCAGGCATGGTGGCTCGCCCAATGCGTCATCGTCTTCCCTCAACACATACCCTCTTGCCGCCGCAAGCTCCCCCGCTCCCCCGAACCCGCTCGAGGACCCGTACCTGGTAGGCGAGGAGGCCGCTCGCCGAGCTCGAGCTCAGAGGATCTATCGGGAGATGTGCCTGAGGGAGGAGGAGGCAACTCGGATGGAGACGAGGAGCTGGGAATTCATGTTTCTGCAGATGACGGACTGGGAAGAGCGTGTGCAGTGCAGGAGGAAGAACAAGACGGGGCGCTCCAGGTTACTCAACCGCCTCGGGTTGAGGCCTTGAACTGCGTCTGCCTACTGCGTACCTGCTAGAGGCTGGTACCAGAACGAACGCGGGCATACAATTTATGCGATATGAGGCTATGATCGGACGGATGAGCTCAGGTCTACAGATTTTCCTTGGACGCGTCCACCTGGCATACGGAGGGTGTGTTTGTTTTGGTGTCTTGCATCATTTCCGTGGGACGGACGGCGTTGTTCGTCTTTTGTGGGAAGCGCCTGAGACTGGCGGATCTCCTGATTCTGCTCATCTCCCTCCGCTCCCTTCGTCCGGCTCGTTGACTTAGATCATTCGACCGAGTGCTGTGGATAGGGGCAGCGGCTTTGATTTTCATGGGGCGGTTATCGGCTTTGCGAGCCTTTGTTGAAAAGGATATGAATTCACCGTTTCTGGAGAACTTCGTGCCCATTGGCGCGTGTGTGCAGATGCAGTCAGGTGGTTTCGCTCTAGTGTTTCTTGTTGCATAGCCTCTACTACTATCATCCAGCCTGGAGAATATGTATGACAAACGGCGCGAGTAGGTACGAGGATTCAGCGGTACATCTATGGCCCGAAACACATCAAATCGCTTCCCCGAGCCATCTACATACCTCTTCCTTTGCAGGGAATATAGCGGGCGAAAAATGCGCCATGGCTTTTCTCACTCAATAATGCGTCGTCCATCACAACCTCCACGTCCTTGACCATCAAACTTCGACAGCGAGTCGAAGGCAAATGATGGGATACCCTGATTAAGAAGCCAACCTGCATTGCTTTGAACAGTACCATGTCACTATCTACTGTTCCATCGCTCCATAAACCCAACGTCTATACCTTAGTTTTTCCTCATTCCAGGGTGACGTACCCTCTTCATTTTCTAAATTGATTGACAAGCATGCTAGAAACCCCGCCCGCCGTTGTGTCTATGTGTGCGTCGTTGTGAGTCGTGTTACAGCCAGCCGTAAACATGGAATTCCTCTCCTTCTCTTTTTTTGACGCCGAAACATGCAATCCGTGAGGAAGGAAGTTATCTAGAGAATGCTGGTGTACAAAGGGAAAGTAGATGGCACCAGTCCAACAAGGCGACTTTGATGAGGAAGACGAAGGAAGGACAGCAGCAGATTTCTCCCAGTGCTACGGTGGACCCTCAGGGAATGTTCCTAGGAGATCGAGCGGATGCCGAAAACGAGATCGAACCCCGTATGTGAGATCTGGTTCCGAAGAGAGACTTGTTCTACAGGTAAGCCAAAGCGATTGCGACAAACTCAGCCGTGATGTGTGTGTGTGTGTGTGTAAAATGCATAAACTCTCAAACTCCTCGAAATGCGTCAGGTCTCCGAAACTCGCCAAATGTATGAAACCGAGCGCCATGATACCATTGGAGAGAGGGGTGGAAAGTGGCCGCGCAGGCAAACGGGCGAATGGCGGAAGAAGGTGCGGAGATGCCGAGTGTTCACTGGCTTGCGTGGAGGACTAAAGCTGAAGACAAAAGCGGAAAGCCAAAGCTAAACCCAGAGAGTCGAAGTCGAACCCATTTGAACCGGTTGTCGGAAATACCATGCCCATTCAGGGTGAATCTAGATCACAGCAGAAACCCCGTCCATGGTGGCAACGGAGCCAGCTGCGGCGGTGACGCCGTTGGCCAGCCCATTCTGCATATTGCGGGAAAGGTCGAACTCATTCGTCCGCAGTCCATTGGCTTGCTGGGCACCGTTGGTCTGGCGGATGGCGCTTTGGTGATTCGATCCGTTGCTCTGATGATCCGCTCCGAATGGCCACTGGTTGACCCGGTCGGCGAACGTGGGGCCAGCGTCGACACGGGAAAAGGCGGGAAGGGACTCTGAGGCCGGGGGAACGGCGGACTGGCTCAAATCTGGTTGATTTATGCTGGCGGAATCGTATCCAAACGTACCTCCGCCCGAAGCCGCATTGCCTGGCGTCGCAAACGGACTCACGTCGTTAGAAAGGGGGTGATTTCCCAGAGCTACTCCAGGCCGGACACCGCTGCCGTTAGTGAGGGGGAAGCCAGGGAAGGACCTCCTGTTGTCTTTAGCGCCAGGGCCAGGCTGGAATAGGCTGTTGGAGCGCGAGCTCCTTGCCGATAATGATTGGGGGGCAGTCATGGTGCCGTCAGTGGAGTCGGCAAAGTTGTTCCCGTCATGGGTCAAGGGAGCCATGTGGCCCACGGTTGTCATATATTGCGCGTCGGTGAAGGGCCCAGACGTAGTTGCCGTCGCCATGTACGGGTTCCCGGCGCCGTTGGTAGGCCGTTGGGGTTTGCGCAGATGAGCCTGTGCATATTGCAAGTGGGTGACGTTGTCTGGATTACCTCGTCGTACGGAGCACTTGTTGAAGTGGCGTTTGAGTATATCACTACGCGAGAAGGTGTCCAAACATAGAGCACATGAATATGGCCGCTCGCCAGTGTCTGCAGGGAGATTAGCAAGCGCAGAGAGAACGAGCGGGGGCTAACTTACGGCGCAACGTGTGCCTCTTCAGATGCTTGAGGTGTTGGTACGACTTTGTACAATGCGGGCAATCATACTTCCCCTCGGCGTTCTTGGTGACGTTGATGGGTGCCCTTGGGGTCGGTTGGGGACGGCCATTCATGGTAGGAAGCACGCCCCGGCGGCCCTGCTGTCCCACAACATGAACGGGCTCCTGGTCAGGTAACGTGGTGAAAGGTGCTGCCGCGTACACGGGATTGGAGTGTAGAGGGCGGGAGCCCATGATATAAGAGGCGGAGTTCGTATACTGCCCATTCGCCTGAGCCGTGGTCGTCATGGGAGGTGGGTAACTCGCAGTCGTGTACATTGAAAAATGCGGTCGAGTTGGCACAGGGGCTATGGCTGGGTGGTTTGCTGGCGTAGAGGACGAGGAGGCGTGAAGAGGCAGGGCCTGGAGATTACAATTGATGCTGTTGTTTGCGGGGAATGGTGGGAAATTGTCCGTCAACGGGGGTAGCCTCTCAGGCAGCGCGTTGCCATGCTGTTGTTGTTGTTGTTGCTGCTGCTGCTGATGTTGACCTGTTCCATACCCGGAGATGCCATGGAACGGTTGTGACGCGTTGGTATACTGATGGGTACCATTGTAATGGGGCGAGGGGTATATGGAAGGATTCTGGACGTGGGACTGAGTCTGGTATTGAGCGGTCTGGTGGTTCTGCGGAGGGGTTTTGGAACCGGTTCTTGAACGGGCCCCAGCCTGGGGGTCTTGCTGCTGGGGAGGAGCTACAGATGGATTTGTACGATTGTCCATGATAGGGAGGGATGGAGAAGCGGAGTGGGAGGGGAAAGCGACCAATGGGTCGGGCGGGTCGCGTCGAAGAGAAACGGGTCGGTGGAGAGGAGAGGTGAAGTGTGGTCGAGTAGTGATGAGGGGGGGATGGAGCATGCGAAGGGTTTGGTGGATCCGGCGGGTCCTCGAAGCGGGAAGGAAGACAGGTACCGAGCTTTGAGGCGCGGGTGGTGGCCGGGGGGGAATGGGAAGCGTCAGTCTGCGCACAATTGGCCGCCGTGCAAGATCAATGGGGCGACAATGGTGTGGAGGCGAGGTGGTTTCGCCGAGATTGACGTGCTCTGCCGGCGGGCGGAAGAGGTTGGTGGTGGTGGGTGCAGAGACGACGTTGGAAGAATCCGATGGAGGTTTGTGAGGGTTGCAAAGAAAAAACGGCGGCGGCCCAGGGAGGTGGGAGGAGGAGGTCGGCAAGATCTGCAATGACCCACTTTGTTGTCAGCCTCAGCCGAGGGAAGGCAGATTACTTGTAAGATGGATGGGAGAAGAGTTGTCGATGTCGGATGATTATCGATTGATGTCGTTGCGTGGGGGTTGAAGGAGATGGAAGCGTACAGAAGAGTTGGGCGAAGCAATACAGGACTGTACCACAGTAGTGAAGAAAGAATAACACGCGGTTTTGGGCTTGGGCTGGGGGGCTCGCTCGTCTGGATTTGCTTTGGCGGTTGATGAAAAATTTTTGACGTCGTTGCTGGTGGCCTGTCGCCGCCGATTCCGCTTGCCAGCTCTTTGCTTGCTGGTCCCCCCGCGGCACTCGCCCACTCGCGCACTCGCCGACCTTTGGCCGACCACGAGGGAAACAAGCTTGTGGACGTCGATGTGATTCTAACAGTACGGAGTACACAGTAGATACAACGCAGTACGGAGAAGAAGCAGGAATGTGTGATGGCTCCAAGGCGGTGAGCTCTGGACGGTATTGCATTGGCGTATCCCATCCGAAGACATAGTACAATACTGTGTACGGAGTAATTATCTCGCCACAAGAATCCACGTCCGTTATACTGTTGGATGCGCATGACGTCGGCACACGGCACTATTGCCCATCTTTTCGACTCGCGTTCTGGTGTCGAGTGCCTGGGCACAGAAGGACTTCAACACTGCGGCTTTCCACGTTCGAGTTACTGTAACTCACTCCTCGATAACCAATCTGGCGCAATTCAATTGGCGAGAGGCTGATGATGCAACCAGAGGACTGCGTTTGAAAGGTTAATTATTGCCAATTATTACCAAGTATACTATGTACTTCCTTTGATACTGTGTAGAAACGAGGCGCTTCTCCATACATAGCTACCCGTGCAACCCCTGGCGGTTCATCAGTCGGATGTGAGAAAAACGGCCCAGTTATCGATAAGGCAGAGCGGAGTCCGGACAGACGGAGGCGGCGCCCTTTCCCACATGCTTGTTTGGGCCTTGGGATGGGATGAGTGGCTGAGTCCGGATGTGGCTTGCAGCGCCCGTGCGTCATTTTTTATTCCCGACCTCGGGATGGTCCGATGAGAGCCGCAACCATGTGACATCCCGCCTCGGTTCCTCACCTGGGCAAGCTGCAAGTAAAAGAGCCTCCCGCTCTCCATCATCATTCCCCCGATCAAGGCCCCCATATAGCCCACCGTCTTCATCACACCTCCTACCGAGTAGAGGCGACGCTGAACTCGGCGGGCCCTCCTGTTGTTGCAACAACTTTTCTCTGCCCTCGCGCCCGAATACTGACGCCGATTTCCAAAACTGACCCTTCTTGGCATCGGCTTACCAAACTCAGTGCCGCGGCGCCCAGTTCGGTTAAGCCGGCCTGCCGTCCGTCGGAGCTCTGTTCAACCTCAACCATCCATGAGGCCCTATCATGTGGACTATTGTTATTGAAATCTGACAAGAACAGACTCTCAGAGCAGGAGAATTGTCCCACTACTACATGTTAAGACGCACAACACCACACCATACCCTCCAACAGGCGCTACACGGCTTGTATTTAGATAACACACAATGGCCAATTGGGACCATTCTAGTCTCCTGTCTGAGTCTTTTCTTCAGCTTTCTGATCTTGTTGGATCATCCTTCTCTCGTCCCTCACTGCCCATTGCTCGCCGCGACAAGTACATGACTTTGGTATACTAATGAAACTTACCTAGAGCATCATCTGGATGACCGCCATAGCTGCTCGGATCGATAAACTCCTGCTTCACCAACGGACCCCTTTCCCCTTGGTGGTTCTCCTCCCACGCCTTTAGGAAAGTCGGACCCTGGTAGTCCTCTATGCTGTCATACATAGTCCCCCCGAGGCGCTGCAACACGGTGCATCGTTCATCCATAGTACGCGCCAGCGACACGAGACCATAGTGCTCCGGCCTCAGCTTCTCGTCCCCCTTCCGCCCCAGAATCACCTTCTCACACGCAAGCACGCATAGTGCTCCAGGCGTGTGCGAGGGCCACGCAACCCGCACCCATCCGCGCTCCAACCGCGTCGGCTCCAGCCCCTCGTCCGCCTCTACCGCGTCAAGTGCTTCGTCGTCGGAATATTCAAGCTTCCCCACGAAGTCGCGCCGGGCCTCGCTGTCCCACCACGTGGCCCCCAGACGCAGCAAGGCCTGGCAGAATGCGTCTTCGGCATCTCGGTCGGCGTCCCGTCGTAAAGGAGGGTCGAGGGGGTCGAGATGCAGGAAGTCAAAGTCAGGAGGCGTCGCGCTTTCTAGCACGATGACGCCCCCTCGCGAGGGCCATCCGTGGAGGGTGATGGTGTCTTGGTTTAGGGAGGTGCGGTGGGAGATGCGGAGGTTGTAGGCGCGGTGTTTGCCTAGACAAGGGCTTTTGAGAGACTGATTTCGACCGTGTTTGTCCTCGAAGGCGCTCCGAGGGGGAATATTTGATCTCGAGGCCATGCCACTGGGAGGACTTGTTCGAGGCGTAATGTGAATACTGTTGTATTCGGTTTTGATAGCCTTGACCATGGGTGACCACATTTAGAAATGTTTGAATGAGTTGGTAGTGGCTACGTATTACGTTTAGTTGTTGCAGGTGGTTGCGTTGCTGTGCCGTATAAGTAGCGGGGAAGCTGCTGGGACGCTCAGGCGCTTCTACGTACAATTTGAATGTACAAGAAGTCAAAAGAGCAAACAAATTAGAGCGTTTTAGGTCAAATATGACACCTCTTACCAATCAACCTAAATGCTGCAGCTATGTACGAGCAAAAAGGTGTTAATAGCAACGATGATTACTATGATAACAAAGGCGATCTCTTGATGCAACATAATTAATATTCTTACTCAGCCGAGTAGACGCCAGGAGAGTCTGCAGTCTCTGCTTCCCATTATCAAGGACATTCCCAGCGAATGTAGTTCGCAATCAGAAGTTTGTTTGTCTGCGATTCTCGTGCAATTCAAGTATATGACGCCTAACTCTTACAGTCGATTTTCTTAGTAATCTTGGCGGTGTCACTGTTATGAGTTATCTGTCCAGGTTTTATGGATTGTGATACATCCAGGGGCATCAAAGACGTCTTCTTCTGACTTTGAACATGCTTGTACAATCAAGGGGAGGCTGTGCTAGTACCTACAGATTTTTCCCTCTAGAAAATAGGCTTGAGAGCACAGTGTTTCGGTGCCGCACCACATTCGGGAGACTAAGCAGCTAATTGAAGGAAGCCACGAGCTTACGCAGGTGTTGAAGATAAAACCAGAAAAAATAATTCTAGGTCTGAAACCCTACACACTGGCTTTTAGATGTTGCTGTCGGTTGAGGACTAGGTACGTTCAGGCTACACCGCGGAGACAGTTTTTGAAGAATTCGAGAAGCGACTCTAGCACATCTACTCTGTAAGACTTGCACAGCCAATGATGTTGATTGATAAGCAGAAAGTCGATGAGGACTTTATCATGCGGCAATAATGGAGTGCTCTCGTGTATAAAGGCTTCTCCGCGCCCTGTCCGTCGGCTACCCAAAACAGACACTGCGCCGTGTACGGCGTCGGTATAGTTAGTATTCATAGAGGCAATTTTTGCAATTTTCTGAAGTATAACTGGTTTCGGTCATGTAGTTGTAGGGCTTGGGAAGTTATTGGAGATTAGTCCTCGGGATTTCTGCCCCTGAGTGCTTCGAGCGGTTGTGTGCTGGGCTGGCTTTTGACATGAAATGCATAACTGTGGCGCGATAGATTTACAACTGATCCCGTCGTTGGACTGAACATCTGGGAACATTCTAGCTGCTGCGTCAAGGACTTCGGAAATTTGATGATACTTGGCGCCGCTTGATTATCACGGCCAGAAGCTGGTTTGTCGAAGAAATGGTGGAGTATGTTCCATCAAATCTTATCACACCCTGAGAAGAAGTGCTTGGGAATCACCTAATACGGGGTAAGCATCATCGTACTCCATTGCTTTAAGCAAGCATGCGGGTAGATTTTGGGTACCCAGAGAACACAACATGTGTTGTCGTGTGCATGAATGCCCAGGTTGGAGGAAACCCGAAGCGAAGCGTACATTGAGTGAAGCTCATTTCGGACGCCATTGTAGATACCCATGGCATCGTCACTTATTGATCTTATCCGGTCTTATGACTGAGGAGAACTCATGCTGCAGCCTCTGTATTCGAACATCTCGACTCTTCGATATATACATTTGTTCTTGCATCGACTTTACGGCGATCCGGTCTTGGTATGGCCGCCGCGCTCAAAGTATGTCCATTGACCTTCTGGTGCCTGCTCCTCAAGCGCCTCCCAGCTGCAACTTGTTAGATGATGTCCATTCAAGCATGTCGTGACCAGGGCGGACAAAACTTACACCTTGTTCTCAATCATCACATCCACGAGCTTGTGTTCGCCTTCGGCAACCTGGATGACCTCCTCGATAAGGCCAGCACCGATCTGGCTCTCCACTTCAGATATTCTATCAACACTTAGCAAGTATGTACCACACGGCACGCGAAAAACACATACTGCTCAGCCGTAAGCTGCGGCTCCAAAGGCAGCTTGACCTCATGGATCTCATCCGCAGGATTGTAATCCTTTCCACCAGCAACCTTCGCAAACAGATGCTTCCGCGCCTTCACCGTCTGAATGCCCTCTTTCAGCGTGATCGGCTCCTCTCCATTCCACTCTGCCTTGACCGATCGGAAGTCCACTATCCTCTTGGTCTTCTTGAGCCGCACATGCTGCCCAGCCGAGGTGGAAACAACCTCAAACGCCTTGGGATGCTCCGAAATTTGATATTGCACTTGCTGTTGCCATTCCTCGAGCCCCTTGGGCTTTGCGGCCTCAATGATGGCGAGACGGTGCTTGGTGAGCGCTTCCGTGGCTTGCCGGTACACAGAGTTCTCGGGAATCTTCTGCAGCTTGTCTAGCGTCGAGCTGTAGAGGTACAGGAGGGTGGATCGTGGTGTGGGATGTGTGAGAAGGCCAGTGAGGCCCGTCGGCGCGCCGGCCTCGAGATATTGCTCCTTGACGGCAGCAAGAAGCCTGGAAGCCGCCCTCATGCTTGCGGTGTGCGGATGCCCAAGGCGGAGAATTGGGTCTTGATTATAATATCGATGATGATGAGAGAGCTTCGCGAGGTTCAAGAAGGTGCCCATGCCAAGCCGCGGCCCCCCTGCTCGCCCGCTCCATCTCACCTCATCCCCTCCCCGACTAAATAGGGGATCTGTTCTCGGGCGTCGCAAGCCGACAATGTGAGATCTACAACAATAACTACCACCCAGGACCCCTACGACCAACTCGAAGGACGGAAGAGCTGGGGCTTATTCTGCCGTAGTATTCTCCAAATCCGGTTTTTGCTTCCACGCCTCATCCCTTTCACCATGCGCTCCTTACTCTATTCCCTCCTGTCGCTGGCGACACTCGCAACCGTCCTGGCTGGTGATGCAGCGCCAGCCAAAACAGCAGAGGACTGGGACGAGGTAGTACCAGACACGGTATTTAATGGCCAAACAGTGCCCCCCATGAAGGAGTTGGACTCCATCCACATTGAGGAAGATCTAAGCAAGGGGAACTGGTAAGACCACCCTCAATCTCCAATGCGTGGCCGCTCTAAGACCTATCCTAGGCTGGTCGAGTTCTTCTCACCGAAGTGTCCTCACTGCGTAGCTTTCATACCTACTTGGCAGACGCTGTACGAATTTTACTACACATCGAAGCCGATACAATCGAAAGACCAAAGCGAGCGCGATTCCTTAAACACATTCACACGATACTATGATTTCAAGTTTGCGAAGGTCGACTGCGTAGCGTTTAGAGATGCCTGTGAAGCCCACAATGTCCGAGGCTACCCGTCCATTATACAGTTCAAGGACGGCAAAGAGATAAAGAGGGTAAAGGGGGCACAGGGGCTTGCGGACCTGAGCCAATGGGTCGAGGAGATCCTAGAGTCTGTGAGGCCGGGCTCGCGCGTAAAGGGAGGGCCGAAGCTACCCAAGGTGGGAGCTAATTCAGTAGAGACTGGCCCGGAAACCGAAGAAGAAGTCAAGGAGAAGGAAGGCGCAAAGGAAGAAACCCCAGTTACGTCAGCCCCGGCGAGCGAAGCGTCTGAGGTCACCGAATCCACGCCACCAAACGTGAAGGAGCCCGAGAAGGCTAAGGCGAACATGAACCCTTCAGGTATCTCGGAGCCCCTTACCGCCGAGACTTTCCAAAAGAGGGTAACCGATGCCCTGGAGCCATGGTTCATCAAGTTCTATGCTCCGTGGTGCCATCACTGCCAGGCCATGCAACCCAACTGGGCGGCCATGGCCCGCGAGATGCGCGGCAAGCTCAACATTGGAGAGGTTAATTGCGATGCGGAGAAGAGGTTGTGCAGGGACGCGGGTGTTAGAGGCTACCCGACCCTTCTATTCTTCCGCGGTGGCGAACGTGCCGAATACAATGGGCTGCGAGGCGTCGGCGACCTCATCGCTCATGCAGAAAAGGTGGTCGATATAGGCTCGGGCGTGCCTGATGTTGACTTGGCTGCATTTGAGAAGCTCGAAGAGACGGAAGAAGTCATTTTCGTCTTCTTCTACGACCATGCCACAACCACTGAGGATTTCATGGCTCTGGATCGCCTCACGCTCAGCTTAATTGACAAGGCCAAGTTGGTGAAGAGCAAGGACCCAGCTATGTTCAAGCGGTTCAAGATCTCCACCTGGCCGCGCATCATGGTTTCAAGGGACGGTAAACCGTCTTATTATGCTCCCTTGGCTCCCAAGGATACGCGCGATGTCAAGAAAGTGCTGACATGGATGAAGTCCGTTTGGCTGCCGATCGTCCCCGAATTGACAGCCACCAACGCCCGCGACATCATGGACGGCAAGTATGTCGTCCTAGCCGTCCTGAACCGAGAGCGCAAGGAAGAATTCGCAAACGCTAAGCGCGAGCTGAAAAACGCGGCGCTTGAGTGGATCGACAAGCAGACGCAGATGTTCCAGCTGGAGCGCCAGGAATTGCGTGATGCAAAGCAGTTGCGCATCGAGGAAGCAGAGGACAAGGGCGACGAAAGGGCTGTGATGAACGCGAAGAACATCCGGATCGACATGGACGAGCTGGATCGCAAGAGCGTTGGGTTTGCTTGGGTCGACGGCGTGTTTTGGGAGCGGTGGGTTAAGAGCACGTATGGCGTGGATGTGAAGGTCGATGGGGAGAGGGCCATTATCAATGATGAGGATGTAAGTCTCACAATTCCTGGCAGACAGCGAACCTGGCAACAGGATTTGACACCAACACAGAATAAACGCTTCTGGGACACGACGATCAACGGCGAGCCTATCCGCGTCTCGCGCACCTACATATTGGAAACCATTCCCAAAGTCATCTCCTCACCCCCCAAGATCTCCGCGAAGTCTACCACGGGCACCTTCTCGCGCTGGTTCTTCAACATGCGTCATTTCTGCTCTGCGCACCCTTGGTTGGCGCTCGCCATGGTAGTCGCGGCTCTGCTGGTCGGCTCCGTAGTCGGGAAGAATAAGATGAGGAGGAGGGGCTATGGCTCGCCCTCCGGATTTTTACAAACAGGTGAAAAGGATGGTCTGCTCGGGGGCTTTGGCGGGCAAGGGAAGAAGGACTAGAAGTCTGGAAGGTACATTTGGAAGAGAAAGAATGGGGAGTACTGGGATAGGATCGATCTCTAGGATGGGTCTGTGCCGAGGAAGGATTGACTGGTGCTAATCTCATACTTGTTATAGCATTTCACATGGCGCTCCCGGGATGGATGCTTTAGGAGGTTGGGTGTAGGGTTCGTTTTGGGACGGCATTCGTCGGATCTATTTGGGATCGGGATTCATATTCATTCCTTGCAGCAGATGTACCATCAATACTAGTCCATGACCAATTGCCTGACCTGCGCGGAGTTGTAGCCAGCCCTGGAGTACTCCGTACCTTGTGTCGATAACAGACTACCCCTTCACGTGCCATCGCGTCATGTCATTCCCATCCCCACTATTTATTTATACAACTCTGCATCAGCCGCACGACAAGCCAATCAGTCCAGCTGCGCGTATGCCACACATCCACTTTGTCCCACCACTCTCATTTAGAACTTCGAGATTCCCTTCTGGGCTTCGTATCTCGTTCCATTCTTCTTTCACAGAACCATACCGTCTCTATACCCGCCAGACCGTCTTTTACTCCCACACTCACTACTACTACGCGCACCGCACCGCAGCCTCACGCAGCAAAAGCATCCCCACCATGTCCGACATAACCATCTCCTCCCTGGCCCGCATCTCCCGCGAAGCCCTCGCTGAACAACTGCTCGCAACCCCGATTTCCCAAACCACGACCCCGAATCCTTCCTCCTCCACCTCCACCACCCCCACCGGCACATCCTCCTCCACCTGCGCGCAATCACCGCCGGGATCCAGCACCACCCCTGCCCCGAGCATTGCCATCGTCGACGTCCGCGACGGCGACCACATTGGCGGCCACATCCGCGGCAGCACGTGGGTCCCCAGCAGCGAACTGGATTTCCGCACTCCGCAACTCGTGCGCGACCTGCAAGATAAGGATGTCGTGGTTTTTCACTGTGCGTTGAGTCAGCAGCGCGGGCCGAGTGCGGCCTTGAGGTATTTGAGGGAGAAGAGGAGGTTGGATGGGGAGGGGAGTGTGAGTATTAGTGGTGGCGTTGTGAAGGAGGGGTTTGAGAAGGTTGATGGGGAAGGGAAGGAAGGGCTGGCAGAAGGAGAGGGCAAGGGGAAGAAGAAGGTGCAGAAGGTTTTGGTGTTGGAAGGTGGGTTTACAAAGTGGCAGGAGGCGTATGGGAGTGATGAGCGGTTGACGGAGGGGTGGCAGAAGGATATCTGGGAGTGGGGCAATTGAGGATGGAGAAGGGCTGGTAGATACCCTTGGATGAGGAGATACCGCAGCCATGTTCTTGAAGTTACCGGCTGGATATAACTATGCTTTCTCGAGGGTTGCAGCGGGAGATATCACTGCACATCTCTTCAAGAAGGTGGGCTTGCACGGTACACGGATCTGGAGCTGGCATTAATACATATCACGCCATATTATTGTCATACCGGATACATGATCTTCTGTGCAGACAAAGAAATGTATCATAGAATTCCTAACCACAACGCCAAACTGCAGGGCTTCGTACGCTTCAATATCCCGATCTTTTCCCTTTGGCTTCGAACTGGTTGCACAACCTCTGAGACATCTCACAGTTCTCACACCCTTTCTTCCATTATGAACAACCCCCACTCTGCGGCTGATCCTTCTTCAACTCGGCATAATTTTTCCTCTCATGCTCCATGATCGCCTCCACCTTCTTCGCACTCGCACTCGCCCTATCAAAGCGATAGCCAAGCCACTCCTTCGCCAACCGCCTCGCCAACTCCAAGCCCACCACCCTCTCCCCCATACACAGCACCTGCGCATCATTACTCAGAATCGCCCTCTCGACGCTGAAACTGTCGTGAGCGGTCACAGCCCGGATACCAGGGACCTTGTTCGCCGCGATGGCGACGCCCAGACCGGTGCCGCAGATTAACAAGGCGCGGTCGACTTTTCCCTCAGCAACGAGTTGGGCTGCCGCGACGGCGACGTGCGGGTAGGCGGTTTTGTCGCTGGAGGAAGGGACGCCGACGTCGATGATGTCGGAGACAAGGGGGTGGGCGGAGAAGTCCTTCTTAATGGCTTCCTTGTACGAGACGCCGGCGTCATCGCAGCCGACGGCAATGCGGAGGGGGGCAAGCTGCTGCTGTGCCATTGTGAATTTGTACGATGATCGTCGTCGGGTAATCAAGTCTTCTTCTCCCTTGAAAACGTCGTTGTTCAGATAGCTCGCTCAGTCGTATCCGTATCGGCCAAACAACCAAACAGCTCCAGCTTCGTTCGCTCTCAAAGCTCACTGCAATCGTACTTGTCCTCAACTTTCTTCCTTCTCAGTTCCCTCTCAGAATCCCTGTCCTCCCCTTCGCTGTATCGTCGAACCGTATCCGTAATCACCCTCCCGTCAACAACCCGCTCAAAACTCCTAACAACCTCCTTCTCAAACGGCCTTGACAAGATCCTCAGACGCGTACTCCCAGACGAAGGCCCGGAGTGCTCCCTCACACGTACTCTTTCCCTCTCCCGGACTTCTCCTGGATCGTGGTTATGGTCCTCGACCCGCTGGTAAATATGGTCGGCGTTGGAATCGAGGTTGACCTCTAGGAACGCTCGGCGGGGAGTTTGAGATTGCGAATGCGACTGTGGCTGCGAGGGTGAGCTCAAGGAACTCGCGGTAGGCGCCATGGTTGTGGACGTGCCTGGGGGATATATATATGTAGGGGTTACGGAGACGAGAGTGGGGTTTGGCTGTATGCGGTAACGGAGGAAGTGCCAAATTGATTGATCGACTTGTTACGGTTGGGTGCGGGCAACCCCGCAGTGTGCTGTGTGGATGAATGAAGTGGGCGGTGGATTGCTGGTTTGGGTATGCCGACGCTGGCAGCACCTGGGCAGCGCTGGAGGCGCATTTACCCGCAACACGTGGTCGGGATAGAGGTCTTCGGGCGCCAACGGGGATTACTTACTTGATAAAGAAACATCGAGCAAAACTCACGGGAACTGGATCTGTAGTAAAGAATGAAAAATATCACAGTCCTGCGTAAGAACATGTGTGACTCGTTGAAGGGGCTTTCTGATTTGTAGAGGTATTACAAGGACTATATCTGATAGCATCATGCTCCGAGTAGAATTTCCAGCATAAGTGAAAGACAAACCCGACATCCACCATACCAACACAGTCCTGTTCTTACCGCCTAGCAGAATGTCAACGCCATCACAGCCTTCCCAAGGACAAACCACCAGTAGTACTTTGTGACCATCATAACGGGAAACCCCAGCCGTAGAGCGCACAGGACCAAAAAAGGGATCCCAAGTCCATCGACCTTATACACCGAAATGTCCCTGAAAGGAATCGTCTCCGCCATTGATGCCAAAGAAATTGAACCTTTATACCAATCATCGTCAGCTATGAACCAAACAAACAGAAATACATATCAGGCAAGGAACGCGGAAGGGTGGTTGCCATAAAGGTTCGAAAGCTCGTCGGGGATACTGGCGGAGTTGGGTTGAAGGAAGGCATACCAATCTTCCACGTTTAGTGTCGTGGGCACTATCGGATTCCCTGGTCCGTTGCTGCTGCTGCTCCAAGCGTCATCCGTCGAGGCACCTTGCTGGTTCTGCGCCATAATGTCCACTTGATGAGCCCAAGCCTGAGGATCGTTCTGATCGAAGCCAGCCATGGGCATGCCGGGATGCTGATTTCCCATGTTAGGCAGGTTCTGCTGCACGCCCGTGTTCTGTGAGTATTGCGGCCTTGACAACGCGGGATCCACCAAAGTATTATGGTTCTGCGCCGGCGAGATTTGCGGAAAGCTCACATGGGTATCGGCCGGAAATAGTTGATCGGGTTGGAAGTTCTGCCATAACTCCTGCGAGATATTCGGTGAGTTTCGTGTAACTAGATAGAGGTCAGGGGGGGTTCCAGGGTACGAGTAGGACGGATTGAATGGCGTTGTAGGCCGTGTGCCCGACCGCGAGGGACCCATGAAGGCGTCGTTGTTCTGTCTCGCCATATGCGGTGAGCCAGCAGTCATCTGGGGAATGTTGTGCTGTGGCAACTCCCGAGAAGGTGTAACGGCTGGTGTCTGCGGTCTTGACCTTTCATATGAGACCTGCTGTGCAGGTGTGGTATTGGCGAAACCAAGGTCCATTTCGTCAAACTTGCGTTTGTGTGGATCCTGCGCAGGTTTTTGCACTGGAGGCGGGCCGGAAGGTTTATTGCGCTGGTGGCGTTTTCCGGCTGCTTTCTGAAGACGTTCCTCCAAGTGCTTATTTCCAAGGATGGACTCGAATAAGGTGTGGACCATCTTAGCGACAAGCCAGACCTTGGAAACCTCCTTTAATGCGTCCATACAGATTTCGAGGCGCTGTTCCGTAGCTGCAACAATGGATTTGTTTGAGGAACGCATTTGGTAGACATGCATGATTAGTGCCGAAAACAGGCTGTACACGATGAAGGCGGGCGTGTACCGCAATTCACCGTTATCTCGAAGTTTCTCAATGATGGAAGTGATCATGCCGGCCGCCTGATACGCGATGTTTCGCGACGGATACGCGGCTTCTTCGTGGCTATCGAGTCCGTTCTTTGGCGAACCAGCGGGTGGCATATGGGCTCGGTGGAGCAGACAGAGAGTGGTACTGTGACTGTGAGCACACTACGCAGGGTTGCGCAGAGATTACTTACTAGTAGTTGGAATGCAACAGAGCCGCCCAGAAGTGGTGACGGTTCCTATCCCACTGCACATCTGGTGGACAGTTCTGTAACCAGTCTGCAAGCGCCATGTCGCTGTGCGTCAAGTCAAGGGCGTTGTTTCTGCGATATTTGGAAGCAACCGAGTATTGCTGGGAGAGAACCAATCCCATGATTTCTGTCAACTTGACGTAATTGATGAAAAAGTTGACATGGACCGGGTCTGGAGGGTATTCCGCAGGGCGATCTGGTTCATCCTCGATGAAGTCCTCGGGCGAGATCATCTCCACATCCGAATCATTCGGGTTGATCGCTACAGGCCGTCCAAGCGCCACGGCAACCGAGCGGTCACGGGAAAAGAGGGTCCACCATATCCTTTTCCAGAGTCGTTTATCGGATCTACTGAGCTGGGAACCTTCGACGCTGCAGGTGTCAGACTCATGAGCAGAGCAGGTTCCGTCAGCTTACCTTCTGTGCATCCCAGACCCTTGCGCGATAACAATACCCACCCTGCTCCAGTAGAAGACATTCTTTGTGACATCTACAACGTCAGTCTCAACCAATACATTAAGAGCAGGTAGCATACCTTCAGGGCCTTCCCAGTACCATCCCATCAATATAACAGACTGTACAATCGTTACACGATCGTCCTCGTAGTTTGCATCGTACAGAGCCTTGGCTCGCTTGTAGAAGGTCATGGCGGCTGGCGTAGTCGAGCCATTGGCGTCCATCAACTGAGGATTCGTGCATACGCGAGAGCCCGCGAGAAGAATCGCCTGAAGGAGGAGCAGAGACGGCGGGTTTTTCGGGTCCCGGTATTGACGCATAAACCGACTGCGATTGATAACGGGAACCACCGGTGCCACCCATTTGAAGAAAGCGTCTACAAGTTCGTCGCATAGCGAGCGGGGCGGGAGCAAAAATGCTCCCCGCTTGTGCAGGATATCGATCTCAAGGTTGTCCAAGTCGTTGGAGCGTGCCTTTGTGCCTCTGACATTTTCAGGAAGTGGATAGTGAACCACGTCCGTGTTACCGTGACGGTCATGAACGAGCAGTGACAGGTTGGACGACTCCCCAAGATAGGCCACGCGCCCTGCTTCTTTTATGGGCGCTCTCGCAAACTTGGGTTTCATGAACTGCACGTAGGTCCCATTATAGGTCGCTTGCTGGGCTGCATATGCGCTCGACTCGGCTGCGGATGGAGTGCCATTCGGGGAGTTGTACACGATGGTCTTGTCTCGTGTATCGGCGGCGGCGGGTGTGGTGCTGGTGGCGGGCGAGGTGCCGTCGGTTTGGCCGTCGCCCTGCTGGCTTCATCACAGTCAGCTCCTGCGAGGAAAGCGCAAGGATGATGGGTTCCCACCTGTTCTCATCCTTTAACCTGGCTTGAGTCTTCTTTCGCTTTGGTGCGGGGATGCGGCATTCAATGGCAAAGGCTGTGCAATTGGTGCATGGTACACCGAGGCTCGCGGCGTCGCATCGGACCTGGAAAACGGTTATGCGGTGCTCGTGTCCTGTCGCGGCTCATGTCTCGATTACTCACTTTGCGGGCATGGCAAGCTGGAGATGCGGTGGTTAGCAACGGTTTGATGAAGCTGGAGACCTCGGTGCCGAGGCACACTCTTCTGGGTCTATAAAGCCTGCGCGCAGCACCTGTTGACACGAAGCGCAGCCACATGGGCGCGAGATGGGAAAGAAGACTTACTTTCGCAGGCTCTGCTGGCGCGCTGGCGGCGGAATGATGGATGACCCTGCTGCTGGCTCGCTCTGTGTGCGGTCAGCGGAGCGTTTGCGGATGCGAGATGGTGGTGCACGCACGGAGCGGGAGTCGAGTTGTGAGGTTGGGCGGCCAGCGGCGGAGGGGCCGGAGCCGTGGGCCCAGAGGATGCCATGAAGCTATGCTCGCCGCTCATTCCTCGCTGCTTGTCGGAGGGTGAGTGTCGAGAGTCGCGGGCGGGTGTTTGTATGGACGTCGTCGGGTGCTCCAAGTGCTGGTTGCGGTCGGCGGCGGGATGGGGAGCGGGAGATGCCAAGCGACTAGCTACGAGAACAAGGTGAAGGTCCGGCGACGACGGAGGACCCCAAACGTCAGGTCCCTCCGATTGATCCAGTGGAGTGTTGCTCTTGCAGCACATCTATTATTCAAACCACTCAGCATGTTTCCAACTGCATTTCAAAAGCAATCTATAGGTCTCTAGCAAGTATGCTCGATGCATGATGTCCTCCCGCAGTTGAGCTTCTTCATACCACCTCCTTTGCCTTCATTGACGTATCTGGGCCTTCCCCGGCCTCGCGCCGCAGCCTGAATGCCGCCAGTTTCACGTCTTTGTTTGGAGGTGAAACCCAGCTAAGAGCTGGCCCTCCCGCTACCTGCTCCTCGACGATCTCCTGCTCTGTCGCGAAGACATAGGCCTGGTGCTCTATGGGGTCAAGCACCACATTGTCCAAGCTCTCCACTTGTACCTCGAAGATCAGCTTCCACCAGGCCTGGGATGGTTCATCCCAACCAAACTCGGCAACCTTCCGGACAATTCTCGTTACTTGGAGCCCAGTCTCTTCCTTGACCTCGCGCACAACAGCGTGGAGGATGGTTTCATCCGTGTCGTCCACTTTACCCCCCGGAATCTCCTTTGGACGCAGTGCTCAGCAGGTGTCTGTCTGGCGGTGGCCTTCCCACCTACCCAGAAGTTCGGAAATGCCTTTTCTTCTTTGGCACGTTGGACCAGGAGCATCTTCCCCTCACGGTTGAAGATGACCGCCCCGCTGACCAGCATGTGATATTGAGGGTGTCGCGTGAAGAACTCTTTGGCCGAGACCATGTACTCCTGCAATGACGGCGCGTAGACGAAAGGGGGCAGGCGAGCAGACATGATGTGGGAGCTTTGGAGAGGGCAGGATATAATGAGTGAAGATGTGGTATTCTTGCAAGATTCTGGGCCTGCCAGTGGATGCTCACCTTGCAGTCCCGAACTCGGACTGCTGCCTGGGGCTATTCAAACTTCCGCGAGTTTGAGTAAGTTATCTACGAACGTAGTGAGTTTTTGATTATAAGAACAACTATTCAGTTTCGTCTCTATCTGTGGCTCCAATATGGCAGCTGCAAGATGTGCGTGTGTGGAATTGGAGTCCTCTATACAAATCATGTGACGTTGCTCTACACCAGTTGACTTTACCTAGGTACTCTGCCTTGGTGGTCTCTCAACGTTCATTTAAACTGTTTCATCAGAGACGCTATACGCAAATGTTAGGCCATGCCTTTAGGTGCTGCATGGTCAGATACATCGATATCACGTGCGTACACGAAGGGAATGGAGTGAATAAAAGGCCTGGGGACGTGCGACCATCAACTCCCTGTGGACGCGAAACCCAGCCGAGAAAATAAGCTTCTAGGAAGCACGCTAAAAGCCTTACCTACAGCCTTGCAGGTGCGCACAGGTGCTTCCGGGGCAAGCCCACCCCGATCTCAAACACACGCGCTCGAAATATCCCCCCACATCGAAGCTATTTCGCAGACCTCGCTCCACCCTTACCGCGTACCAACATACACCGTGGAACATCCAGATCTCTCCACCCGATTCATCAACTGAATTCACGAGCCATTGCGCCATGACCAACCCGTCCAGAACCAGAGCGCGCGTGCGGCGCGGTACAAAAGAACGCGTCTCATCCCAATCGGAGCCCGACTGGTCCGACACCCCGGCCATAGAGGACTTCAGTGACGATAGCGATGGCCTGGTGCGCAAGATCTCGCATTCGAAGTCGATTCAGAACAGGAAAATGCCCATGTACTTCGAAAAGCAGCGCGGCCGCCCTTGGATGCACGGCGCGCTTCCTGCAGAAGAGGCAAAGCCCATGCAGCAGCCAGTGAAGCAACCAGCGAAGAACCAGGGGAATCTCAGTGCGGACGACGAGAGCAGCCTTTCGAGCGTTCCGGAGGAGAGCCTTCTGGATCCTAGCCTTCTGTCCCTCGACTCACTAGGATCGTCTTCCCCGGCCCACGGCACCCGTCCGCCGTCAGCAATCAAGATTGGAGGAACACCCGCGCACGAGACATCTTTCCTCGCCCTGAAGAAGTTCAAGCGCAGGGCGCGAGAGCCTAGTGTGCTGGATAGACTGGAAAAGGTTACCAGGGATTTGGAGCATCACATGGAGAAGAAGAATATGGAGAAATCGAAGAATGTCGCAAAAAGTCACCGTGGAACGAGCACACCGTCAACAGGGTCCTGTGGCAAGAAGAGGAAGCTCCCATCAACTCAATCAACACACGTCTCTCAATCATCCCCTCCGAACGTCGACGACAGTGGAACAAGCACACCGTCGACAGCCTCTACTGGAAAGAAGAGGAAGCTCTCATCGCCCCTATCACAACTTCCTCAAAGCTCCCCTCCGATTGTTGCCCGCCGTGGAACCAGCACACCATCACGGCCTTCGCCTGGAAGCAAGAACCATTTCTCATCACCTACTGCACGAGACATCGAATCCTCTCTTCCCGGTACACCCGAAATGGAACCGACCTCGCCCAGACATGCATTACTCAGAAGAGGAGGTTCAACTGGGCCGCGACAAGTATCCACTACCCACGTCTCATCACCTATTACACGAGACCCTGAATCTTCACCCCCCGGAATACCAGAAAAGGGATCGACTACGCCGAAACGTGGAAGACAGCGGAGAGGAGCACCAAGTGGGCCACTGGCTGTTTCCACAACGAAGCTCCAGGCTCTGCTTCCGCGGAGGCGGGCGCAAACCAGGCAACGACACGGGTCTGGTGATGAATTGGGGAAGTCAGACGATGACTGGGAAGTGCGGTCGCCGATCACGGAGGCTATGGAAGGACGACAGACACGTGAAGCAACAGCTGCAGAAGAGGCCTCCAGGACGAGGAGACCGTCCGGGGGAACGCCAGATCCAGTGTTGGCGAGTATCGCGAAGAAGTTCGCAGATGTCGATGCGTACGACATGGAGTTCGAGACGGTTGATGTCGGCGGTGGCAGTTCGAGTCCCTGGCGCTAGCTATGTCTTCAAGGCTAGGTAGATATCGTCTGTGTAGGATAATGTAACGGGTAAGCCCTGCGTAATCTTGCCTGGGATGCCTTACTCGACCTACATGCCAACCAAAGGTTGGCACTAGTTAGCTCAACAAGGATCCTTACCTTTACATAGATTTTCACGAGGCCTGCTTAAAACAACGCGTATTTCTATAGAACCTAAGGCTATCTACGTGTTTTTAGATATACCTAACGCGCCTAAAGGTCTATAATTAACAAACATAAACTTTCTAAATATTTAGGTAAATAGAGATTAAGTTAAACCTTGTTTTAAAACAAGGTTTAGGTTAAACCTTATTTCCAAATTTTAATCCTAGTTTATTTTAATAAGTAATTAGTAAGTAAATAAAGAAAACTAAACTATAAACCTTATTTTAAGGAAAAAACTTTTCGGAGACCCCCCACATTCCCTAGCGGCGACCTCCCACTCAGATGTACACAGTCGTGACCTGAACTTCGCACCACTAAGCCTATAATGGCAGCTGCCGTGGCTCGGAAAATGTTATTCTGCGCCGGCAATGCACTCCTCTCCAATTTCACAGCACAGGCCTGCATCGCCCATTTGAGCGTAGTGAATGGCCCAAATTTGTCACCTACACAAGGCGCTAGACCTCGCTTAATTTGTGCTAGCCAAAAGTGCACCTAGCTGGTGGAACAGCAGACCGTGTAACTGCCTCTACAACAACAACCAACCACTGCAACACTATCTCCGTACATACAGGAAATCTCATAATTGCTCTCCTGACTGAGCACTTTCGATTGCTCCAATCCGCTTCCAATTTGGATGTTGTGTTGTGGTTCTGTGGTGGGTCGAGGTAAGTCCGCCCATCAGCCCTAGCACCACGCGGGTAGCTGCCACCGTGCCATCTCCAACCAGACAAGTCTATCTGCTAATGTAGCTGATTAGATGATGAATATGAGCCCTCCACTTGAGCCTACCCCTGAGGATCCAGAAGCTCCGAGTAACTCTCCAGTTAATGAGGATGCCAATGACAAACTAGATGGTGAATTTATTGAGAAGGAGGACTACAAGGAGGCTGTTGCGGAGCTCAATCGGCAGCTGCAACCACAGGGTTACGCAGTCTCCATTGACAGCTATAAAAAGTATAAAGGGAAGACTACCAAGGACTTGATCAAGGTTGTACATCTCCGCTGCACCCACTCTCGCAAATATACCCAGGAAGGCAAAAGGAAGGCTACTGTCAGATTTGATGGTATCTAAAGATGTCACAGTGACAGAAAGATTGAATGAAGATGGGTTGACTGATTGTATTCAGGTGTGTGCCTGTGTGTTTGAGGCTGGGGCCTGACACCGGTTTTGATGTTCCTTCTCTGGGCACTAAGGCTGTGCAGGGCACTAGCCACTGCAGAATCACTAGCCACATGTCCTCAGACAGTACCGGTACAGGTAGTTTCTCCCAGTCCTCCTCTCCAGTCCCAGATGGGATATCCATAAACTGGCTTACCATCTGACATACACCCTCAGCTTGGAACCCATTGCAAGCTGGACCCAACAGCATCTCCTCTTCAGAGTAGCATGTCTTCTAACTTGCCTTGTACTTCATCCAAGTCTATCTCCTTCAGGGCACTTGAGTTCTTCACTCTTTCCAGTCCCAAATGATCCAAGAACCTGTTCCACTTATTCCCAGATAATACCTTTGTAAACCCATCAGCCAGCATCCTTTCTGATTGCAGATACTCAATCCTGATAATCTCAGATGATATCTCTTGCCTCAGCCAGTGATTGTGAATATCCACATGTCTGAGCTTGGTCTGCAACCTTGAGATCTCCGCATTGAGGAGCCTGATGGTTTGTTGATTGTCACAGTGGATGGTTATTGTCTGCTCTAGGAGTAGAACCTCCAGTTCCTTGAGGAGTCTTAAAATAAACATAGCTTCCTTTGCCACCTATGAGAGTATAAGCAGTTCAGCTTCAGTGGTGGATGTGGTGACTGTGTCTTGCTTGTTTGCCTTCCATGCAATGAGGCCATTGAACAGTTTGATTGTATATCCTTGGGAACTCTTCCTGTCCAGTGTATTGTGTGCAAATGATGCATCACTTGCAACTTCCAAGGAATCACCTTCTCCCATCTTGAGACCAAGGTTCTTTGTATCAAGGAGGTACAGGAGGACACGGTCTGCTCCATTTTGGTATTCCTATCCTGGGTTCATCAGGAAGTGGGCCAGTCTGGAAGTTGCAAAAGTAATGTCTGGTCTGGTGGTGACTGCAGCAAACAGCAAGGATCCAATCTTTCTCTGATACTTGTTGATCTCAGATGGTATTGCTAGGCCTTCCCTTGGCTTGAGTTCAACATTTGCCATTGGGGTATCATGCCTGAGGTCTGTTCTGTCCACCAGATGGCTGATCTTCTCAGCATACTGGGCTTGGGAGAGAAAGAGAGTGCACTTTTTACGGTCTCTCAGGACTTCCACACCAAGGAACCACTGAAGATCACCACCTCCTGTGATGGTGTACTTCTCTGTGAGTTTCCTGATGGTTTCCTGAGCTTCTCTCTTCCTGGACTTGTGGAATTCAACAATGATATCATCCACATAGAAGAACAGAATGATTCCATCCTTGATGAGACAACATGGTTCATATTTCACTATGTAGAATCCCATTTCTACCAGTATCTTTGTCAATTCCCTCTGCCACAGCAAGGAAGAAATCCTGAGTCTATACAAGGCCTTGTTGAGTCTAAGGAATATTCCTGGCTTCCTATATCCTGGAGGCATCTGCATGTAGACTTCTCTATCCATGGATGCATGCACAAAGGCATTGGTAATATCATATTACTTGAGTTCTAGGTCAAAGTATGCTGCAATGGCCATCATCATCCTGAAGGATCTCCCTGCCAGTGTTGCAGCATATGTGTCTTGAGATGTGATGTTCCTCTGTTGATCTCCTCTTACAACCAGGCGGGCCTTGCATTTGTCCAGTCTGTGGTGCTTGTCAAATTTGTAGACATATACCCACATGCAGTCCAGGATTTGGTGACCAGCATCTTTTACTTTCTTGCTTGAGACTTCAGTCCAGGATTGTGTGGGGATATGGGATCTGAGATGTGCTCTTTCTGCTTCCTCAAACTGTTCCCTGAGCTCATGGTC